CTCGTCGCAAACGCCAGAAGATCGATTGAAGCCTCAATATTTTGATGCTGATCGACCAGATCAGTGCTTTAGTCTGCACGAGGCAGAAATCCTCGTCAAGCGATTGGGAAAAGGTCTCCAGGACCTAGGTCTGAAACCAAACGACAAACTTCTGCTTTATTCCGGCAACTCATTGTACTTTCCTATTCTCTTCTGGGGAACAGTTGCAGCGGGCTGCGTTTTTACAGGCTGCTCCCCAAGTGCATCTGTCACAGGTATGTAACCTCCACACCTGGCAATTCTACGTGCTCTTCAACCCGCTAATTTGACCTGTTCAGAATTGGCATATCAATTGAAGGACTCAGATACTTCAGTGATCGTGACAAGCTCTGCATGCGCTTCTAAAGCGCTTCAAGCGGCCTCACAGATTGGCATCCCCAAGACGAGGGTTTTTGAGTTTTTGAGCCCTGACGAGGGTTCATCAAATCTTGGATTGTCGTCATGGACTGACATCTGGGCTGCTGAGAGTGATAGTCGATCATGGTCGTGGAAAAGGTTCACAACTCGTGAGGAGGCTGAGTCAACCACTGCAGTGATCAATTATTCTAGCGGGTATGTTGCAGCTCTGATGGTGGTTGGTTTTCACAATACTGAGACACATTGAAGAACGACAGGCGTTCCCAAAGGGGTGGAGATCTCCCACCTCAACATTGTCTCCAACTCATTACAAGTCATCTTCAAGAGGGAGATGGTGGCAGATACGGAACAGGGAAGAGCAAGAAAGGCTCGAATCGACATTTCTGGTGAACGATGGCTTGCACCTTTGCCCATGTTTCATGCATATGTGAGATATGATGCACCAATATATTTTGAAGTGGTCTGCTGATGATCTCAACAGGGCCAAATGTACTACTGTACAACGGCAGCACGTATGGGTGTCAAAGTGTTCATCATGATGGAATACACTATTCAAAGATATCTCAAATTCCTCGACATCTACAGGATCACGTTTCTGACCGGAGTTCCCACTCTCATGGTCCAACTATCAAAGCACCCTGAGGCGAAGTCCTATAACCTGAAGTCCATAGAGTCAGTAGTCACCGGATCTGCACCACTAAATCCAGCAATCGGACGACTCGTCGAGAAAAGTCATCTCCGACCGGGCGTCCGTGTCAAACAGGGCTGGGGGATGACCGAAACGACCTGCTCGGCTACCGGGTTTGCACAGGACGACGAGGATGACGGCAGTTCCATTGGCTGGATCAACCCGAATCTGTCCGTAAAGATTGTTCCTATGCATGAGTTTGGGTTCGAACAGGATGACACCATTCCCTACACGATCGGAGAAATCTGGGTCTCTGGGCCTAACATCATGAAAGGCTACTACAAGAAGCCACAGGCGACCGCCGAGACTATCGTCTATGAAGATGGTCAAAGATGGCTTCGCTCAGGTGATATCGGATACGTGGATAATCGAGGATGTCTTTTCATCGTCGACAGAATGAAGGTAAAGTGGAACTGATCTGGGAAGTGCCATGCAAAATAGCTGACGATTCCCAAAGGAGCTGATAAAGGTCAAAGGACTGCAAGTTGCTCCAGCGGAGATTGAACAAACGCTCCTCGCACATGCCGCTATCGCGGATGCTGCAGTCATTGGCGAGAAAAGGTTTGTTTCAGCCTCGAACACACCATAGCCCCCTTCGATCACCCGCTAACTATGTAGTAGAGCTGATGGCGAGTACCCCAAAGCTTTCATCGTCAAAGCACCAAATGCACAGGTCTCTGCGGAGGAGATCCAAAAGTTTATTGAATCTCGAATGTCCAAGCATAAATGGCTTACAGCTGGCGTTGAGTTCATTGACGCAGTCCCTCGGACACCAAGTGGAAAGGTCATACGAAGATTGTTACAACAACGCCAGCCTAATGGCGCTAAAATTTGAGGCTTGTTTCCGAAAGACAAATATAGAATCATAGCATATGATAATGATTTATGCTTGAAATCTCTTACCGACCATATCGCTTGACAGCAGCATCCCCTCCACGCCCTGGATCTTCCCATTGTGGGCAGGAAAATTAAAGACGTTGCGATACGCCCTCAAACCAGATCACAGACAAGCTTTGGGCTGTAAACTTAGATGCGCCAAAGCTGCTGTCTGAATGGCGATCGCTTTCGACCACGGCGGTGCCGAACTTCTCAATCGAATCTTGGCCCTCGGACCCTGTACTCGGACCTTAGGTTCGGCGACCATCGCGCCACCAGTCTTCCATTCCCTAGTAATTGACTTGTCGGGATCTGATGATGAGTGGATTCATCACTACAAACGTCTACCGCCAACCGAAAGCCGAATTGCGCAGGCTCCAAAAGGAAGCCGAGGATGCTGGTGGGTGACACTTATCATGAAGATGAAAATCAGTCTCTTCGTTGTTGGTAGTTGATTATTCCATTTTGTTCAAATCACCAACAACCACAATGGCTCCTTCAGTCGCTCAAATCGAGCCTACAGTAGTAGCAACCGACCAAGGCGACTTGCTCAACGGATCGCTCAAGCCTACTTTGAACGGTGATCTGAAGCCCACCCTGAGAGCATCGACCGCTGCCGTCTCGAACCATATTCATCATGTCAATGGTGCAGATGACTACAAGATCCGTGAAAGCCCTATGGGAACTAAGCGCAAACTCAAAGTCATATTCATGGGCATGGGTTGCAGTGGCATCAACTTTGCCCATCAAGTCAACACATTGATGGAGAATATCGAACTCGTAATCTACGAAAAGAACAGTGACATCGGAGGCACGTGGCTGGAGAACAGATACCCTGGTTGCGCATGCGACATTCCAAGCGTTTGCTATCAATTCAGTTGGCAGAAAAAGCCCGACTGGGAACGGTACTACTCAGGATCCAAGCAGATCTTTGACTATTTCCGACAGGTCGCCGAAGAGCGAGACGTGTTGAAGTTCGCACATCTTAACCACAAGGTCATCCGAGCAGAGTGGCTCAACGGTCCCGGACAGTGGGAAGTAACTGTGATGCGGAACAATGATCCTTCGGACATCTTTGTCGACCATGCTGATTTCTTCCTCAACGGCGGTGGAGTGCTTAACAACTGGCGTTGGCCCCAGATCCGAGGACTCAGTGACTTTAAAGGGCCTCTACTGCATACCGCGAGATGGGATGATAATGTCGACCTACAAAACAAAAGAGTTCTCATTATCGGGGCAGGTAGCTCAAGCGTTCAAGTGGTACCCACCATTATCGACAAGGTTGATCAGCTGCATATCGTTGCTCGATCCCCAATTTGGGTCACCGCAGGCTTTGCACCAACATATGCAGGTAAACGTGGGGAAAACTTTTGGTACAGCAAGGAGACTCAAGAAAAGTTCCGCAACGATCCGGAGTTCTACCTGTCATACTGTAAGGCGATCGAGTCGGAGCTGAATGTTCGTTTCAAGTTCTACATCAACAACTCAAAAGATGCTAAAGAGGCTCGCGAGTATTCTATTCGAGAAATGCAATTGAAGCTTGAGAAAAAGCCAGAATTGATGGACAAATTGATTCCTTCCAACTTTGGCGTTGGATGCCGAAGGCCCACGCCTGGGAATGGGTTTCTCGAAGCACTCACACTTGACAAGACCAATGTTCTCACAGAGGAAATTCAAGCTGTGACAGAAACTGGGTTCATTGACGCCTCTGGGAAAGAACACGAGGTGGACGTTGTCGTTTGTGCCACGGGATTCGACACGAGTTTCCGTCCAGCCTTTCCCATTATTGTGGACGGTAAAAATATTCAGGACGAGCTGCAAAATCCTGCGGACCTCACCGGCTATCTGGGTCTTTCCATGCCACAAGTTCCCAATTATTTCGTCTTCATTGGCGCCTATGGACCGCTAGGACATGGCTCTGTCATTCCCATGGTTGAAGCATATACCACCTACATTTTACAAGTGTTAGAAAAGGCACAGACCGAAGACATCAAGAGCCTAAGGGTCAACAAATCGGTGGCTGAGGCTTTTACCCGTCATGCAGATGCGTACCTTAAGCGCACTGCTTGGTCTGGTCCCTGCAGCTCCTGGTTCAAGAACGGTGTCTCTGCCAACAAGCCCTTGTGCTGGCCAGGATCTCGTGTACACTATTTGACCATGTTGCAGAAGCCTCGATTTGAAGACTTTGACCTTGAGTATGTCTCGGACAACAGATTCAACTTTCTGGGTGATGGATTTGACGTCCGTGAGTTTGACGGCAGAGATATAACCTGGTACTATGGTTTGTTAGATGGTCAGGATAAGCAGCTAGAGAAATTCCCCGATCCCGTATATTGAAGGCATGGTCGGTAATTGAAGCCTTTTTGGGACATATGACTAAATATTGATCATTACAAGTCTGTTTGTTTCAATACTGAAATTCTGGTTCGATCACTAACTCATTCTCGTATCGTACGCCCGTCAAAGTTTAAGAAATTCATTGTTCGAAGTTCACGGCGGTTTCCGCGGATGTGTCCCGGCCTATCCATATGGTTCTTGGTGGACGGATGCATATGTGTCCGAGAGCAAAGAACATCAACACCAAGATGTAAAACCCAACATCTTTCCTCTTGAACGCCGTCAACCCTGATTTCCCGGGCTAAGGGATCACACCGGAATCAAGCCGCTGTAACATGAATTGGTGGTCTTGTCATGAACGCATCCGAATCCGGCATGCTCCTTCATAGCGGCTTCTTCCAGAGCATCAAGCGGTGCAGGGCCTAGCCCCGGTCCTGGGAGGGATCTGGATTACTCTTGCGACACGCTACCATCTGCACATCACGGCATCAAGCCATAGCCAAGCAATGCCGAATAGAACGTTCTATTACGAATCAAGAACAGTAGACGCTTGGTGGTCTTGACTGGTAGACATTTGAAATAGTTGTGCGAACTGGATCGGCTTCTTCCGTGCCACGTCCACCACGCCACCCCAGATCTTGCAAACCGACAGTCAGTAGCCGGAGAGCTGACAATTTCAGCGTAGACTGTCCTCTTATATCGTCTATATCTCCACAAGAAGCTTCCCTTCCTATTGTCAGAACTAATATGCCAATCCACTGTAGAGAATCTGTCTTACCTGTATTGACCCCGTTGTAGATATCTCGAAGCGTTTTTTCAGCTTGTTTCACTCCTCCGGGGATGATTGTCTCCTTGGCCTGAAGTTTTCCTTCTTTATACCAATCCCTGAGCTGTGCATATGCCTGAGGGTTCTCGTCAGGGTAGTCGAAAACGAGAAAACCTTGTACCCTGGGTGGTTCAGCGCAACTGAAGGCACTAATTCTAATGTCTAACTCACCGTAATCGCTTGTACCCAATGTTCATGTAATTCTGTCACCCATTTAGTAGAATCAATAACTAGAGATAGGTGGATGTAAGTACCTTGGGTCCTTTGGGCGTTGTTGTGTTGACCTGGCTTACTCCTGATAATAACGATGAGAACATGCCCGATGAATATGCTCAGACTGCTCACCACCGCATAAGATAATTTGTCCCCCGACCTTTGCGTTGTCAAGGGCAAGCTCTAGGATCTCGCCTCCAACTGTGTTTGTTAGCCCCTTGCTCCTGCAGGATACCTCATCCGCCACAGACCGTTATCCCAGAAGATATCAAATCCTCCCTAAACTTGTATCAGTTTCCACTCCAATTTGACTGTTGAATCACAGACTCACCGATGTAGCAGCCTTGAAGCTCTCGGCGAACCCTGGAGCCTTGTAGTTGAGAGCATCATCAAACCCAATCCCCTTGAGCCATTTAACCTTTTCATCGCTGCCTGTAAGACCCAGCACTCTGGCACCCTTGATTTTGGCAATCTGACCAGCGACGCTTCCTGTGGCTCCACCAGCACCAGAGATGACGACAAGATCACCAGGCTTGACACGAGCAGCCTTTTCGAAGCCGTAGTAAGCTGTCAGACTGGTGAATCCTAGGCGTGGAGAGATCAGTCATAGCGAGATCAATACAACCAAGCTGTCCTACCAAGAAGACTCAAAGCATCAGCCAGTCTGCCGCCCTCAGGAATCTCAGGATCCACCAATGTACCTCCAGGAACAATCTTGAACTCCGTCCACCCGACTAACCCAGTTGCGTATGAGCCCACAGGGAACTTTGGATGTTTGCTGGCTGAGATGACTCCAGCCGAGAACCCTCGCATTACCTCTCCAATTGCGACCGGAGCCATATAGGAACCAGGTTCGTTAAGCCAGTCTCTCATGCCTGGATCGACGCTGATATATTTTGTCTGGAAGATGACTTCGCCATCTTTGAGATCGTCCGGTGATAAGGCTGGATTATCGACGACTGAGAACGTTTCGCCGAGGACGATGTGTTCCTCTGGTCGTTTGCTCAGCACCACCGACTGAAATGTTGATGCCATGGTAATCTATGAAATAAAGTCAACGAATGGCTATAGTCTTGAAACGAATCATTGATAAGTTTACTTTTTGTTCCCTATCAGTTTATTTCTTAAGTCCGATATCTCATATGTCCTTATGTGAGGCCTTTCGCAGCCACAGTTTTGCTTCCGAGATGCGTTGACGATTTGCATCCGAAACCTTGGGTGGCTGCCTGAGTGATGCCTTCAGAAACCTAGATTCCCCGGCAAAGGAGGATGGCTCACAAGCCGGCCTCCACATTCCCCCAGATTTGCGACGGGTTCGATCCGGGGCAAAATGCTTGATCGTTCGAGATTTGTGGAGAGTGTGAGGATATAACATAGGAGAGAAACCCTCCCGCCGTGTGGTTCTATCTCCAGTCTGTCAGAAGCAGCAGATCCGGAGCAAGACTCACCATTACTTCACAATCAGGTTCTCACAACCCTTTCCGACCATTTTCTCTTACTCGATCTCTTGCTGAAGATGCCTCTCGGTATACTCGAAGACCCACGCATGGCGCATGTCCCCGGGACAGCTCCACTCGAGACCATACAAAATTCGTCTAGCATCGAGATCGGAGCTATCGACACCGTCGGATTGAAGCACGACAAATCGGGCAAATTTGTTCTTGTTCCACAGCCTTCGGATGATCCTAATGACCCTCTCAATTGGCCTCGATGGCGGAAGGAAATGTTCATCGTCACCGTCATTTGGCAGGTTGGCTGTGTGGGAGGTTTGTTGCACTGCCATCTCTACTCCATTTGTGATCCATTCTAATAGCTATCAGCAATTGGACCTCTTTTAGCTCCTGCGTACGTTCAACTGGCAGACTCATGGGACGTTTCTCTGCAAACCTTTTCCTCCGGTATCAACGGGGCCCTCATCATCTGTCTTGCTGGCGCCACCGTCATTGGTAACGTTATTGCCGTCAAAATTGGAAAGCGCCCTGTCTATCTCGTAGCTTCAATTGGCCTGGTGGCCACCGGATTTTGGGGATCGGCGGCAAAGAGCTGGGGTTCTTTTGTGGCCTCTCGTGCCTTCGCAGGGTTCTGTATGGGGCCAGCAGAGAGTTTGGTTCCAGCCTCGATTGCTGATATCTGGTATGAACTGCTTTGATTCCTTCTCCTCTGCAGAAATCATTTTTTGACGGCTTCGTAATCAGGTTCGTCCACGAACGAGGCACCAGGACTGCAACCTTTAACTTGGCTCTTTTGGCAGGAATCAGCGTCGGCCCACTCATCGCAGGTCAACTCATCCAACGTTACGACTGGAGGATCTGCTCGTACGCCATGGCGGCAGCCCTGGCAATTAACCTCATCTTAACCTTCCTTTTCATGCCTGAGACTGCCTACGTCAGAGACAGTCCTGTTCCCATGGAAACTGTTGCTGGCCAACTATCCACCGGAGACAGAAAAGACATTAAACTAGAAGAATACGTGAAAAATTCAGCGCAGGTGCCCAGTCGTACAGGCGCTGCTACTACTCAAGCGTCACCAATATCCCGGAAGTCGTTCTGGAGTGAGTTGGCCTTCTACAGCGGATACTATCATCCAATCTCATTCTGTAAAACCATGCTCAACCCGCTGCGCTTGTTCCGGTCACCGATTGTGCTTTGGACATCTCTGGTATATATGACGGCGGTTGTATGGATCGTCATCTTGACCATTGGAGCGTCGCAGATCTTTTCGGCTCCGCCATACAATTTTGGCATCTCGGCGGTTGGAAATACGTTTCTATCGTCATTCGTTGCCTCGATTATTGGTTCTATCGTAGCGTACCCGCTGATTGATGGAGCCAGCCGCTGGATGGCGAAGAAGAATCGTGGCATCTTCGGTACGCGGTCCCCTTGTGTAAATATGAATCTCTCTTTCTACTTATGGTTAACATCTATAAGAGCCCGAATTTAGACTACCAGCTATCGTGTGCTATCTTCTCTTCACAGCCACAGGGTTCTTCTCTGCCGGACAGGCACTCGGTCATGGAATGCCATGGGAGATCCCCGTGATCTTGTCATTCAGTTTCGTCAATTTTGGTGTGGTGATTGCTGCGACCGCCGCCATCACATACACAGTCGATTGCCATCATGAACATGCCGCTGAAGCAGTGTCGGTTATGGTCTTGATCAAGAACATGTTCGGATTCGGGGCCACCTACTTTCTCAATGATTGGGTAGCTGGCAGCGGTGTAAAAGATGTCTTCTTCACCATCGGTGGGATTACCGCGGCTATCACGGTCACAACTATTCCAATGTAGGTCTTGCTCTATGTTGTTCGCGTCGGGTCGATTCGGTCTAACAGTGTTTCAGGTACATTTATGGGAAGAAGATTCGAGGCTTTGTTGCTCGACACAATCTCGCATAAATGGCGACACAGGAAGGGGCGGTAGACCGCGTGGTGGTGGACTATTGTCTAAGATTCTTTGAACAAAGCGCAAGTGTATGTCGTGCTCTCGCTCTGGTTGACACGAACTCGGATGGGGTGTGAGTCGAAGACGAGGTTTTCTAGGTTGACAACACAGCTCTATCCGCGCCTCATTTTCATGAGCCAAAGACAAGAGTATGTACATTCACCTCAACGCAGGGTCAGTTTCACAATGATTTCGGTTCTATGCTAGTCTACTTCATTTGAAGCGCTTGCCCCTGTAATGAACCACTTCCGTCTGGATCAGTCCATCGGCCTTACTGATAAGAGGAGCATTCTCCTTGAAAACGTCCGTCTTGGCGAATTCACTGTGATCTTCCACAGATTTCCATCCAAAAAGACCCAGGAACGCCTTCCCTTGGTCCGATCCCATGTTGGGAAAGGGCAGGTCATCCTCCACTGCCCAGCCACCAGCAAACCCAGTAATCACCGGCTCTCCAGGTTGACACTTTGCGAGAAACTCCTCAATCCGTTTCCCGAATTCCTGCTGACTGGCTTCAGAATATTCCTTGGGGAAATAAGCCATGAAGATCTCCGTCGCGGGTGAGGTCTCGCCGTGGAGAACTTGGTCGGCTGGATGTGGTTGTACATGGGTATGGAACGCGGTGAGTCTGGACAAGTCGGTAATTTCATTGAGCTTTTGCACGAATGGCATATAGTAACTTAAAAAGGGGGGTTTAAAAGTCAGTCACATGGCCTTCAAAAAATAATTTCCCAGTCATAATGTTCCATGCAAGTTACTTACTCTTTCTTCTGTAGGTCATAATGGGCTTGGACTGAGTCCCAGTGGACAAACATTTTCACCAATCGAGGATTTTCGATTGTAGTGCCCCAATATGCCCTTTGAACCCCGGACTCGGAGACGATCAAGTCGAGAATATATTTTTTCAAGACTGACTCCAGCGATTCATCGAGGGCGATTTCATCTCGAAGTTGAAATGAGACGACTTCATAGGCCATGTTTCGCGCCGTGCTTTGCCGGACAGAGGATATCAAGCTGGAGTAGAGTCTAGTATTTGGCTGGTCTTGGATCGCCGGTAGTTACGAATTATGAGCACTTTTCCAATCCGAGACGCCTCGTTCACCTGCCAGGTCAAGTGTACATTAGCCAATCGTCCAAGACCAACTTCTGGGGGAGGATTTGATCCGTTGGGGCCCCGTGCCTCAGGAAAGCCACATTTACCTCCGACCGAGACGCGGAAGCGAATGTCTCCGATAGAAATAGCTCCCAGATCGGATCCAGTCAGTCCCAGTCACGGAATCAAGACCATATTGCTTTCAGAGCCGTCGATGTGACCATCAGTACGCTAAGAGAGTTTGAGGCATTATTGCGTCGAGGAAATTATCTGCATAATGAACGATACCTGGCTCTCATGCCCTCCAAGTTGCTCAAGCGTTTCTTAACAAGTCAGCGTAGACTGCAACCGCAAAGGAATCTCAAATGTCAGATATGCTGGCCGAAAAGAAAATTCTGCGGCTCATTGGTCGCTAATTGGCTAGACATGATTGCCGATAGGTTTGAGTCCATGGAGAATACTGAGAACATTGATGCGCCGGCGCTTCAAGACACAGGCCTGGTTGTGAATCCCAGACAAAGGTACTTTAATCATCGGACTTCTCCTACGTATTCAGCGACTGATAACTACATCGACGGCTCTGAAAGCATTGTGGTCTAAGGTTCAAGTCCTCCACTTCCCGCCCAATCCAAAGCCGATGAAAAGCAGAATCAAGTGTTGACTCTTGCGCAATCCAATAAACTCTGGCCTGGGCATACAGTTGACATGGCTGGTGGGGAACCAATCAGTATAGTGCACCATGTTCTATCAATTCCAGAAGACTGGTAAGTATATAGATGTGGGGCGCCCTTAAGTAGATTGCACCCTGGACCAGGAAGCTTTTGGAAGGTTCCATTCTGAAGCAAACATTGAAAGCTGCTAGTTGGTGATGGATATATACTTTTTTTCTCACGTGGGCCTCAAAACGCTAGTCTCGGTGTCTGGACAATCTGGTATATTGCGTATTCCAATCTTATTTTGTGACTTTTATCACAATGAGCAGCCAAATATCCTCCTCCTGGGAACAAGAGGGAATAACAACACATTGAAACATCTCACATCTCGAATCTGGCTCTCTCATATGCACACTGTAAATGACACCAATGTATGTTGTCCTTCGGCTAGTAAGACTGGCTTTTCCAGCGACTGGAAGTTAGAGATAAGACTTTATATATTCCTCCCTAGCTATTATTGTACAATATCTATAAATTTTGAGTTCGCAATGCTTTCAACGAAGCCGGTTCCAAAGATCCCAGCTGGAGTTTGAAATCCTGGCTGTGATGTCCCCTCAAGAACCCGATGTGCAGCTTCGATAGATGCCTTAACCGTGAACGTGTACCCATTGACGGTGTGGAGAACCTTCATTGCCACACTACCGTCGGTTGATTCCATGACCGCTGCGGCGTGGTATGGGTTTAAATCTCTGTCTCGCTCTGAGGGTCCGTCAGAGATTCCCTCGGGACCTTCGGCGGGTAACGCGACCGCGGACACGTTAACAAAAGTTCGAATATTCTCGATCCCTGTTACTTTACTAGCAGTAATTAAATCCGGCAAGGTCATTGGAGCGCAGGATACCCGACCTCTACCATCCAAAAAGTCGAATTCCATCGGCACAATATCCTCGATCGCAGTTAGTTCTCCCATTCGTCGCTCGAGTGGAGCATTCGTCATGCCACCCATCGCGCTGGCCACTGAGCCTCGAGACATGGCGCCTGCAACGTGGAGTGCGATGTTAAGCCTCTGAACTGGGGAGGCTGCAATTTCCATCGTACGCCTCGCTAGACACCCAAGCATTGCAACACTTCCACCACAGCCTGGCAAGAGCATCACCCCAGCTTGACGGGCGTCTAGATCCAGTGTCTCGGCCAGCTCATAACTGTCTAACTCCGCAGCAATGTCGAGATAGTTGATGTGGTGCCTGATGCAAGCTGTCATCAGAGGCTTGGCCGTGCGAGAGAAAGGGCCAGCACAGTTCAAGAGGGTATGACAGGTCGGTAGCTCGTGCATGGTTGTAATTGCGTCATTGACTTCGAATGCGTGATATGGGACTTGAAGTTCTTTGGCGAGTTTCTCGAGTCCATATGCTGTCCTGCCAGCAACGGTGAAGTCCAGGCCGACCTTTTGAGCTTGCTCACAGGCAAGGCGACCGGTGTAGCCTGTAGCGCCGTAGATGAGGAGGGTATGTCTCGTCTGACCCATGATGAAAGTGGCTAAACTGAAGGCAGTAATATAGCCTATATGTCTGCTTTTTAAGAAGTGTAGTGAATCTACATTATTTAAATATTTTTGGTGGCCACTTCCTCTAAGTTAATCCTCTTTGGTCAGTCTGCGAATAAATCATGGTGACCACGTCCTGAATGAGCAGTGTTGACTATTGATCTAATCAGAGCACGGAGCTCCGGGTATACCTGCGTGGCGAAGGGGTCCAGGCTGCTGGTTGGTCGCTGCGGGAATCTAGTCGTGAAATTAAAGTTCCTCGCTTCTTGTTGTAGCGCTTACTATCCTCCACAAGAGGTCGAGGGGCCATCGTAATAGGTGCTTCATGTGCCTCTACTGTGACCTAGGGACGATCAGTCCACCCCTGCTCTTTTCCTGACGCTAACCATAGCGAGATAGGATTCCCACGCCGGGGTGCCGACGTACAACCCTAACTTAGCCTAGGGATATTGGAAACCATTGTCATCACTCATCCTTGGTGCCTTTACATGTTTGAGCGCTAGGAAGTAGCGTAAGATTGTGTGGGTCGGGCGTCGCAAAATCCCAATAGGCAATACTACTCAAGTCGTAAGCTTGAACTTCTCAAGGAGCATGGTCGCATCAGAGCGGCATCTTCACGGCTTATTACGTTGAAGGCGACGGTGAAGACCTTAATGGCCTCATCGACCTCTGCGGGCAATCCGAGCGCAAAGACCTTAGAGCCGGCTCTGAGAGCGGCGGCCTTAGACTGCACCTTGTCAGCAGATAGCCCGGCAACGGTGAAATCGAGGCTGAGGTTGACCATTTCTTCGGCTGCCAGCCCACTGCTACAGCCAGAGCCGCCATAGAGCATGATTTTGGTAGCCATAGCTGCCCAAGGGGGTACTGTCCTTGATTGAGAATATAAGACAGCTTCTGACAGCTAGAGGCTCGTTTCAGAGGACGGTAAGGCTTGTGGTGAAGGTGCTTGCAGAAGGAAGTACGGGTTGAAATTATCGCTCGGCCGAATGGTTTCACGCGAGGAACCCTGTTTCTGCGTCTCCCACAATCGTGGATGGTAGCTTAGAAATCTTGGGCCTTTGTAGGTTTAGAGATCCAGAGATTTGTCATCCAAAGGTCCTTACAATCATTTCAAGATGATCTGGCCTGGGGTTAAAAGAGGCTCTGGGCCTGCACTGTTGGTAGGTCTCGACCCTGTATCACCACCACAAGTTCCCCTCTTAATCGTTGCAATCACTACCCGTTCATTAACTCATTCGTAGATTGAATATGAATATCCAAGACCCTGCAATTCCCTTTGGCTCAACCATTGTGGTGGTGGGCGCCAATGGGTACATGGCCCTTGAGGTCTGCGACAAGGTTCTCATGGCTGGATTTCGCGTCCGGGGAACGGTGCGGGATGTATCCAAGCACAGCAGCGTATGTTTTTCCTTGTACTTGTTTGCGGATAAGTTCCCTTTGAACATTGGGCTACAACTAAATGAGGCTTATCAGAGGCTCCACGGGATTCTCGATCCCCAGTACCCCGGCATGTTTGAGCTGGTCGAGGTCGCGGACTTCGAAGTGGAAGGTGCCTTTGACGTCGCATTTAAGGGCAAGTAAAAGAATACAAATTGCATTGTACTCGGAATCCCGAGGATATTGGTGCTAACGCGTTTCTGTCCAAAGGTGCATCTGGTGTTATCTTTGTTTCGGTCCCCACGATCTTCAATCCAGACCCCTCCAAGGTTGTTGATCCACTCATCAGGGGCCTGATCAACAGTCTCGAGGCAGCCAAGGCCGCTGGCGTCAAGCGCTATGTCCTCAACTCCAGCTCCAAGGCTGTAGACTCCGCCGACTACAGCAGGCCCGCTCGGGAGCTCACCGTCGACACCTTCAACCACGAAGCCATTGAGGACATGCGCAATGGTGATTCCACTGATGTCTCGTTTGGCAGAATTGTGGAGGTCTATAGCGCCGCTCGGGCCCTGCATGAGCTTGCATTTTGGGAGTGGCTAAAGAAAAACGATGAGGTCCCATTCGTGGCAAATTGTCTAGTGCCCGACGGTCAATTCGGTCGTGTCATGGACATGTACAATGTCGAACACGGTGTCTCCTCCAATGGTCAGCTCAAAAACGTCATGGAGGGCAACTGGGCCGCCATTGGACTTCAGCTTGGTAAGTCTCCTGTGGAAAAGAATAGATGCAATTCAATTTGAGCATGCTGACTTGGCTAGCCTACTTCTCGGACGTACAAGACTCGGCCCGCCTCATAGTCGCCGCTCTGACGTTGAAGTCCGTCAGCAACGAGCGCATCTTCTCGTATAATGTGAGCCGATCCTGGAACGGGATGCGCCACAAGGTGCGCGAGCTGTTCCCCGATCGGCCAGAGCTGGTCCAGGGCGAGGACCAACCCGTGGCGGGTCACGATCTGGCTACCTCGCCCAGACCAATCGCACGTGCCAATCAGATTTTGCAGGAGATTGGACAGAGCGGGTTTGTCTCAGAGGACGCTACAATCAGGGATTTTGTGACTTCCATGTTTCCCCAGTAGATCTGATGAGAAGCCTGGGGGTTTATTGTCATGTAGTCTCCTACCAGTAATTCCTAGCGATCTTTGAAGTAAAGGTCCTTAACTGCCCTGTAAAAACGTAACCTTGGGTCAGATAACTGGAGAGACAGGTCGTTGAGAGAAAAGGGAAAAAATTAACCTGTACGTCATCCGCCCCTTGGGGGTTTGTCTATAAATCAGTGGTTGCTCCTACGACCCGAAGAGTGCAAAGAGAAGAGAAAATAGGAAGGAAGAAAGATGCAGTCATTTCCAAGCTGAGGAATAATGTTACACATCCCATTCTGCGCCTATTAAGCATCTGTGCCCGGCTCAAGCCAACGCTGAGTACCATTGTGGCTCAAAAACGATCCACCATAGCCTTTTTCCAATGACGAGCGCTGTACGAGAGCTAGAACACCTTTGGCCGCCTCAGTGGGTGACCTGTTAGCCATAACAGGACCATCATACTTCTGAAACACAGCAGCCATTCTTTCGAGGCGAGCACGATCCTCCGCGGACACTATTCCATGGGGTCAGAATCTTGTCCGTTGGAGGCACGTGGAGTTACTCACAGCTCGTCGGGCCTTCGGCCGTATCCACTCCACCGGGACAAATGCTGAAGAATAGAATTCCTTGGTCCCGATACGAGGCTTGGAGCTTTGCGAAAAGGATGCTTAATGAGGCTTTGCTGATGGCATAGGGAGCACCCTGAAAAATACCCAGCTTATTGACAAAGTCTGCGAATACCCATTAGTATATGTCGTAATGACACGAGCAGAATGGCATCGGCCCCTAGCATCGGCCGCTAGCATCAGCCGCTAGCATATTCTGTCTTGAATCGTGTCTGATTGACGGGCAGAGACACGAAGGAAAGACTGACCAATGTCTCCATGTCCGCTGGAAATGGCAACTACCTTCTTCTCCTTGCCTGCCTGGATAAGAGGCAAAAATGCGTAAACAGTTCGGAGGACTCCAATGACATTGATTTCGAAGCTCTTATGTGTATCATCAACCACAGTTTCTACTTCAGTCTCACTATAAATGCAGTCGCATCAGTGATATGTTCAATGTCGAGCACCGAGAAAGGGCTTACTCACAATTCATCGAGTCCCTTGAGATGAGATATCTCACTGATGTAACCTGCATTGTTGATAAGAACGTCTAGCCCTTTTCCTTGAAGGATTTCCCGTGTCCGTGATGCAGCATCTCTCAGGGCTGCCTTATCTGTTATATCGGCGGCCAGAACATGGACATTTGTGACACCATCCCGCTCCAAGCGTTCCTTCGTATGCTCGACGTTGCGGGCCATGCCAATGACGGTGTTTGAGGGATCCAACGCGAGAGTCTTGACTAAGCCATACTTTTCTTATTGTCAGTCTAACATCGAGAACGGTATGCAACAGTTATCAACGTACACCAAGACCTCTGGATGCCCCCGTAACTACGTAGCTCGGCATTGTGAATATAGTTGTTTATGTTGATCAATGGTTGGTATCGAACTGGGAAAAGATGCCTTCTAACAACAGATCACAGTCAAATATCAACATCAGAGCTACAAGTAGGTACTTCTTTTCACGAGCCAGGCTTAATAATATGACGAGAAGCTCAAACCACTCCCAGTCTATTGCATTTGGAGATTACGTCAAGATGATACATTGAGCCTGATATGATTCAACTTTGGTTAACAACTGCTGGTTTACTATCCCCACCTCTGCTGATTCATTCATAGACCTGTTGAAAATGGATCTAAGGCGCGCAGCCAGAACCACGCCTTATGGACCGAGCACTCCTAGTCAAATGCAACCCGGAAGTCCGCTGCGCTGCTCACTTGCAATATCGTGAATCAAGACAGGCTGCGTGAATGATGAAGGAGCGGGCAAGCATCGTTCCAGGGCAGGAAAAAGACAGAACAATCTGGCATGTATGAGGCCGTGCCCCTGCAAGTTGCCAAGTACGTGAACCCGTTGTTGCGCAATTAGCGCAGACGTGGAACCTTTGATTTCAAATCTTACCTCCCCATGGATGGCCCCACAAGGTACCGGAGTTCCGAGCATAAATATGATATTCAACCCGTTATCATCTGTTATCATCTGTCGAATCAGATCACCAAACAAGCCTCGAATACCCGAACTGGAGAACTCAGATGCCGCGTTGCAGCATGCCGGGTTCGAGCAGCTCGCTCAGCTGCACACGTTGTTTTCAGACTTTTACGCAGAGTGAGTTCGAATTGTCGGTCATGGAGCTAGCTTCCCTGCTTTCAAACTCGCAGGGTTGTAGTCAATATGCTAACGTCATTGGCAGAATCGTCCTTGACAAGACATTCTCGGCGCTGTTTGCGCGGCACGCAAGCACCCACAAGGAAAAAGTCTTGCACATGTTGCGCGCGTGCCAGGGCGCGTTGTGACCTCAAACACCCACTCTGCGGTCGCTGTGAGGCTCGTTCGCTGGTGTGTGAGTTCCCAACCAGTGAAGGCACTCGTACAAGCACGCACACTTCAGCATCCGAGGACCCTGAATCGGGGAGCGGACGCATCGAGCTGGCTGGCGAACATGAAGCCTCAGTTTTTAACCGAAGAATTCCCCATTCGGTTGACACAGCGCCATCAAGCAACACGTCCAACACTTGGCGAGATGAGTGGACGACGCCAGGAATCACATCTGTGTCTAGCGGCAGCGACCTCTACGACACTGTGGAACAGGCGAGGCATCATGGAATTCCAGCAACGGCGATGATTTCAGAAGAGCGACGACAAGCGCTTCTGGGTTTTGCGCCTGGAATGCACGTTAGTGACAATTTTGCAAAGCGAACAATGCAATTTATTATTCGAGTGTTAAGAAGCTGGCCTGTTTTGTTGGCGACGCATTCCGCGTTTAATTTACCACCAATGATACACAAGGTACAAGTAGCCGATGGCATTCCGAAGCCGCTGGGTAACTGTTTCACACTGTGCAAGATGTGGTATGGGCAGGTTGATGGCAGCAAGGACATTGTCCTGAACAAGATCATGCTCGAACTGGAAAGGTTGTTCCAAGAGGTGAGCATGGTATCCATTGTCAACGGTTGTGATGCAACCAAAATGTTTCTTAATCCTCAAGCGGACCCCATGTGATCTAACGAGTGCATTACATAGCACCCAAGCTATTCGGAACTGGATCTGCTTGCCGCTGCGCAGTCTGTGTTACTGCTACTTATCATCATATGTTTTGGAGAGGAGCAGCAGCGGAAAGGGCCTCCGGCTCCAAGACAAGTGGAATTGGTCATACAAGCCTGGGACATCAAGCATAAGTTGGCTGAGACAGGACTTTTCCTGCCAGAGGAGTCTAGTAACAGTATGCCGTCTTGGACAAAATGGGCTATAGTCTCTTCGAAGCGCCGAACTATTCTCGCCATGCATCATCTCGAGTGGTCCTGGTCGGTCCGCCATGGCTACCCTATCCTCACATGTTTTGAGCTTGCGCCTTTTCCAGCTCCCGCAGCCAAGGACCTTTGGCAAGCCGCCAATGAAAAGAAATGGAAGAAGCGTTATGCCGAGTGGCTTCACCTATGGAAGGGAGATAGCTACAAGGTTGGGGAATTCTTTCATATCCCGTTTGAAGGGAATTTGGACGACAGAAGCGAAAGATGGCTTGCCGAGGCGGATGAATTTGGCATGATGCTTATGGCTGAAGGTAAGGCTCGCCTCCTATCAGACGAATTCGTTGATCATCAGCTGACAGAAACAGTAAACTCGAGGAGCAATTCGGAGGCATTACTAAGGGCTTAATTTTATGGCTATCTCTAATGTACTTCATCGTTTACACCATAGTTTGTTGAATTGAGGCAGAGTCTTCTACAGTAAGAATCCCGAGAATGATTGGCGACGACTCTAGAATCTTTCATGAAATGACATCATCTGAGATATGCTCACTTTGCTCTTCTCTAATTAATTTCCTGGTTCTACGGATGACAAGCTTCAACAGCGTCCTCCATACGGAGAACAAGGCACCGCCCGCAGCCGGCGAGACCCTTCCAGCGCCAGTCCCCTCAAGGCCGAACCGCAAGGCGGTAAAAGAACATAATTACAATCCTACACCCTGTCGCGGGTGAAACGACTGTATGAGGTGTATGAGGGCACAAGGAGTTTTCTGCCGTAGTAGAACACGATTAGCGATACTCACGAACGATGCCATGTAGCGCAGAAGAAGACAAGTCGCGAGCAGAAGCTAAAGGATTCCGGTACTGCTGTTGATTCATTCTCACAAGCTCCGGTCGTGAACTCCAAGTGAACGGAATCTTTGACGTTGCATTCCGCTGCATATCAGCCCTACGTGTAGGCTGACGTAGCCTCCCACGCTTATGAGCCGACAGCGCCTTGCATTTTGAGAGAAAAGTTTTACCACAGCGACCATCAGGCGGCGAATTATGACTGAAGCCATCAGGCATGGCCCACTTGCTGGGATCTGACGGCGTGACAAGCGAGCCGAGTCAACTTCACAAATCTTCCGCATTCGACTTACCTTGACCACAGCCCGTGATGGGCCAAAAACGCCACGACAGTTCTTTTGGCCCCTAGCCCCTCTTCTCCAAGACCAGAACATTTAGCTCCAGACTATCAATGTGCGCTCGGTACTCCGGGTGCCGATCTTGAAGACCCACATAGAGGGTTTCGTCTCTAAAAGGCGCAATATTTATTTGAGCACCTCAACTGATTGCTGAATATGTATTGCAATGATATATTCTTGATGTTGGTTCGAGCCTCAGTATTACTAGAAAATCTTTCCGATTCAACCAAGACCCGTTCAACGCTGTTGCACTTGAATACGGCTACTTAAGAACACGAAGTGTATACACGATAATGACTCCTCCGAAAACACCAACACGCCAACTTGGTCGGGATGGTCCTCAGATCCCGGCCATTGGTATGGGTCTGATGAGCATGAGCGTGGGATATGGCCAGGCTGCGTACGTCTCCTCCAATGAATCTCAAGGCATTCTACGACTCATTGAAATCCCAGATCTGATGAAGACCGTATTGCACTTCTCGACCGAGCGTGGGAAATAGGATGCACGAATTGGGACACATCTGACATCTACGGAGACTCAGAGAATGTTATTGGAAAGTGGTTCAAGCTTCACCCGGAGCGTCGAAAGGATATCTTCCTTGCAAGCAAGTTTGGTCTCAAGGCTACCAGTTCCGGTATTGTCGCAGATTCGTCTCCAGAGCACTGTCAGGAGTGCATTACGCGAAGTCTGTCCAGGATCGGTGTCGAGTGCATCGACTTGTACTACGTCCATCGCGTGGATCCAGCTGTCCCTATCGAGAAAACGATTGCGGTTATGGGAGAACTTGTCAGGTACGTCGTTGAGGCAAAATTCGCAGCCGAGAATTACGTTCTGACAAGACTGGCCTTTATACAGGCAGGGCAAGGTCAAATACCTGGGCCTCTCCGAGATCTCGTCCAATACTCTCCGTCGTGCCGCAGCCATTCACCCGATTGCGGCTGTACAGGCAGAATACAGCCTCTGGACTACAGACATCGAAGGTCCCAGGGGAACGTATCTGTTGGATACATGCAAGGATTTGGGTGTCACCATATTTGCGTACTCCCCACTCGGTAGAGGCATGTTGACCGGGCATTTACGAGCCGTAGCGGACATCTCGGGCCCGGGAGATGCTCGCGCGGGCATGTCAAGGTTTCAAGAGAATAACTTACGGGAGAACTTGGAGATGGTTGATAAGATTGAGGCAATTGCAGATAAGAAAGGCTGCTCCCCGGGACAATTGGCGCTAGCATGGCTAGGAGCACAAGGTTCGAATATCATCCCAATCCCAGGCACGAAGAGAATAAAGCATCTTCAGGAGAACTTCGGAGCTATCACGGTTGAATTGAGCGAGGAAGAGCTTGAAGCTCTAAGGACCATTGTGGAGAAGATGGATGTGAGTGGCGAGAGGGATGCTTCGTTCGGGGCATACCTTGACACTGCCCCCTTGACTTGAAGATGGGAAAAGAGATCACCAATCCTACTGTACTAAGGGTGTGTTGACATTTATCTAAGATTCACTTTGCTGGCCCTACACCTTCTAGGTCTCTCGAATCCAACCTTAAGGGCTAGGGGTATTTAGGTAAAAGAGGACAACACATACTTCAGTATTATGCTATAAGTCAAGCGACTAGATGACTATTTCTATTATTTGTCAAAGATTGAGGTGAATGAGTTGCTTGGGCTTCCTCAATGCTATATCTATAGCCAAAGGTAGGGCTCTACGGTGTACAGGAGGCCGGGAGTTGCTACCAACCCTTATCCAGGGGTGTTGGCTTTGAACATTCTTGTGGTGTGACATAATCTATAAATTTCCTAGGATCCCCAGAGTTTCTCTTCCATCAATGCCGCAGTACCATTCATTGACAACGTCCAAGGACAACAAACATCTGACCCTGTTCCCGAGTGCGTGAGACACAGGTCACTTGAGTGAACTTCAGCCTCACTTACTGCCGGGAAAAGACAAAACTCGTGACAGACTAGCAAAGCAGGAGAGGACACAGTTCCGCCCACCCCCAAGGCTGTCTTTGAAGGCTCTCAATGCGCCGCTTTGTGAGGATAATGCCTTAATAACATCCTTCTGAAAGAAAGAATCACCATGGAAGGCACACCAGAGCATTCATCATGACGATAAAGCGGGAGCTGTGACCATTGCATTTGTCCGCGATCCAGCTATGAGGTTGTCGCCACCAAAGAAACAAACGCCGCCATTGTCAAGAAGCTTGATAGTCTCAAAAGACTCCAGCACGACAGCGTCGTCCATTTCCTCGCGGCATCAGGGACTTTCTTCGGGCGGCAAGTAAGGTGACTTTGTCTGAATTGGCACGGTCGGGGTGAGCCGCAGGCGAGCTGCCTACAGTTTTCAGTTCTTCAATACTGTCATAAAAATTCGTTCAGAAAATCCGTGGTAGTCTCTTGTCCTTCTGACCCAAGCAGATTCTGCAGCCAGTCATAGTTATCGGTAACTGGAAGAATCCCAAATACATCGTCGGCCATGGACATGCTCAAGTCGGCTGAAGTGCTGACTGTAAATGTGTTACCACTCAGCGCCTCTCTTGGACGGCTCGCAAGGTCCACAACACAATCTCGACCATCCTCACCTGCTGTCCTTATTGGAGTGTCGCCATCACTCTCTCTGAGCTCCTCTGGAGATTCCGCTGTCAGGCCAAGTCTCGTTCGTGAGATGACGGCTTCAAACATCCGCAGCGTCCAGATCAAGCTACTCCAGTACTCACAGCTCTCCCGAAGGTATTCAAGTTCGGCGAAGATCTGAGTCTTGGATGCAAGTTGCTTTCGTGCACTCAAGGTCGGGTCTAGCGCATTTTCAATGCGCATGGCTAATATCGTCGAAGCGCATGTCATACTGTCACAATAAGGTTAGTTTTGTATTTTGAAGGGCGGGCCAAAAGTCCACCCTGGGTCGTGGGCATGACTAACAAAGAAAGCGGACAAAGATGCAATACCTCGTGCATCGATGCCCGCTGAATAATGGTGGAGAGTTCAAACATGGCGCTTTCTTGCCTCTGAGATAATCGCTTTACGGCAAGAGAGTCGTCCAGTGCTTTGTAGACCTCTTTGCTGGCCCTGCAAAAGACCGCCTCGAGGCGATAACCCATTGCTAGCAAAACCAGGATCCAGATATTCTCTGACGACCATTCCTGCAATGTGCCGAGCTGCATTTCAGTGGGCAATTGCTTTCTCCATGCACTTATTTCACTACTCATGCGGTCGATGTCTTCTGTCGTGGGTATCACGCCAGGAGCCTTGAAGTCTCGAAGGAAATTGCCACCTTGAAAGGTCAAAGATTAACATTATTTACTAAGGATGCTTCTAGCAGCAGCTGGGACTTACTAATAATTGAGAGCTTGCTGAGTTCAACCATGAACAACTTCTGGAGTCGGGGCATCGGTGGTAAGATGTCTGAAAATTCTTCCGGGATCTCTCCGTCCTCTTCCCAGTCTCCCTCGGTCAGTGGTGCGGTATCACAAAATCTGTCATGAAATCTTCGTAGGTTATCAATCCCAGAGATGGTAAGCAGTGTGTCCCTGTTGTACAACACCCACCAGATCCGGCGGAAAAGTCTTTTTGTTCGTACACCGAGTGCTTCGGATACATAGTTTCGATGAAGGCCCATCAAAGTTGCAATGCGGCCAGCATTGGTGAGCCAGTGGCGGTAGTCTTTGTCCATTGCGTACGAAAATGACAGTGAACTCAGCATAATCGATCCTTGTAAGAGACACAATTGACTCTTCTCACATCCGATATCGTAGAGAAGTCGGGCTTTGGAAAACAGGGACTGCTGAGCCGTGATTCTGTCTTTGTACCCTGCTTCCTGCAACAATTCTTTCGGCGCATGCGGGACGGCATTGGCAAGTATCGACTGCATCAGAAACGGTGAATGCTGATTTGCCCTGTAATCGTGCATGAACTTCACGCGATCCAGTATTGGAGCATATGGGAAGATCGTAGAGAAATAGATTTTGAGAAGTTCATCGCTGGCAGAGTTAAGCGGAGTTCCTTATAGAATAGAGTTGATCATACCAAATATGTGGCGAGGGAAAATCCAACGCCCCTTTGGCGGCGATGTACGCCATGTCTGCATCATCGAGCCCAGGAAATCGGTGGTGAGAGGTGACTTTTGGGTCATCGGCGAGGACTACACGGATCAGCCGATTGGGACGCTGGTGACCAAGGACTTCTCCCAAAATTGTCATCGAGTTGATTCCTTCATGGAATTCAATTACTTCTCGTCGGTCGAGCTTCTGTGCCTGGGGGGATGGCGACATGGCTGTGACACTGCCACGGGACATTTCCTGACAAATGTGCAGATGCACATCGTCTTCACCAACGGGAGGATCACCTGCCTCGCCCATCTCGCTGGTAAGCTCGCCTTCCAGCGGAAAATCCATCAGAGGTAGACCTTGGTTCGAGGTTTGCATGTCATGATCTGCGCGTGATGGTGAAAAGGTAGTTCCGTTCGGCAATGTTGGTCCGGAACCTGACACGTGGTGATGAGGACCTCGCTGTATACTCGTACCTTGTAAAGGCTCCTAGGAGATAATGCTTGTTAACAAAAAGGGTCTTAGAATAGGTACAGATCGTGAGACTTACATATCCAGGCAAGCCTGAGCCGGCATGCGAGGTCGATCTCGAGGGGCCTACTTGACATTGCCTTTGTTTCTTGTACTTTGCCGAGCTTATCATATGAAATGAGTCAGTGTTGAAGTTGAGGACCAGAAATCTGAACGTTTTACGTACCTGGGAACACGTCTATGAGAAGCATCAACCAGGACACAAGTCCCTGCTTGATCACGTCGTTTGCATCTTGTACAAGGGATCCCCACCTCCCATGCGTTACACCTGACCTTCCGCACGTGGCAATGTAGGCAAGCGCGTGGTTTTTTGGCCGGACGAATGTCAAGGCTGACGGGACCATCCATATGTTCATTCGCCATTGTGTTTTCATGACATGGCACCGTTTGGGAGAAGGGGAGTCTGCGACGACCTGGAATGAAGCACTGAGAAAGAGTCTTATCGAACTTGCGGCCAAGTGATGCTTGGAACTTTTCAGCTTGTAGGCATCATCCAAGTCTCTGTGGGCATTCAGAGACCTAGAATTCCCCAGCAGGAGCAGCCTGATTTGCCGAGGGTTTAACTGGGGTAAGGCAGGCGTCTGAGCAATGTGCGGGGTATAAACGGATATCTTCCGGGGGCTATTCGCGGGGGCATCATGGTCGGACATAAGCAGAAACGACCCCCGCGAGACTAAAGCTAACAAGCTAAATCCACGACACTCTTCTACGGACAACCTGCTTTGGCTAATTGAGGACTCTGGAGCCATTCTACAACTTACTGGTATTACTGATCGGCCAAAGGTAGGAATTACTGACATTGCGTCGACGGGAAAGTTCTTCACTTAGTCCTCCACCAAGTCGAGCGGTTTCACCAAAGGGATCGTCCGGCTTAAATGGCGAGAACATCAGGGGTCTTGATCGAGACACTCTACGCCTATAATATCCTGCCATGGATCTCATCTCGGTGCTTGGGATCCTCATTTGCAAACACTCGTAGATCCGACTCCACTGCTCGGCACCGAGATGAGGCACAACCCTCGGCGTTCGTGGAGGGAGCCTCACATTTCTCCCCTCGGTTGCGGGGATCCCACACGAACTCCTCAATCATGACCTGGTCGAGTGGACCCTCCTTGCAAGTATGCCATATCGAGGCTAATGTGAGGCCAGAACTAAAGCACATAATGTGGCCGGAGAAGGTCTCTGATACTCTGTTTCATTAGCTCCACTTGCAACCGGTACACGGTATTTGTAAGAGTCTCACAGGGCCGATCACCCTCATTCCCACGCTCCAGACTCAAGACTGGGCAACGTCATTGACCATTATAGCATCACATGTCGAGATAGCTCTGGACATCAATAATTGTCTCGTGAGTTGAGGCGAAACCATCTCTAATGACTATCGAAGCAGCGCACAGAATGTCGTCCCTCATGACCCATGCTGGGACTGTCGTGGTAGTTGCGCCAGTTATCCTTCTGTTGGTATTCCTGTTTCAGCTCACAACTTCAACAATTCGATGGAAGAATGCGCCTCCTGGTACATTGAGATCCATATGCATCTTGGTATGAATACTGAGCATCAATAGGGCCACCAAGCCTTCCAATAATAGGAAATTTGCACCAAATTCCAAAACGTGATTTGCATTTACAGTATCAAAAATGGGGACAACAGTGTGAGTGACCAAGCATACACGAGCTTACATATGCCCGCCTGACTTCCGCAGATGGCCCCATCATCTCTCTGAATTTAGGTTCTCAAAAGGTCGTGGTCTTGACAAGCGGGGAGATGATTAAGAAACTTGTCGATAAGAAGAGTGCGAACTACGCAGATCGACCGAAGTTGTATATGCAGGACATATGGGAGGGCTCCAGAATCATCATGAGAGGTTACGATTCGTTGTGGAAAGTGGAACGTAAGCTGTACCATCAGTTTTTGAATATCAACAGGGCGAGTCGGTACATTCCCTACCAGGACCTGGAGACCAAGCAAATGATTGTCGACTTGATATCGAGCCCGGCTAATTTCGAGGACCTCATCACAAGATCAACTTTGAGCGTTGCAACTAGCATGGCTTATGGGTTTAGAGTTCTCGACCGCAACAGTCCTGTAATGCAGGAGTTGTTGAAGAACACGCACGGATTCTTCGTCATGGTCAACAGCAGTAAGCTCCTCGACTGGTATCCTCAATTGCGACCTCTTGTCAGGAATCTGCCTTCATGGCTATACCCTATGGCCAGAAAAGCCAAACAAGTATTCTACCGCGAAAGAACCCAATTTAGAGAGCTGTATGAGGATTCCAAACGTGCGTCTCAGTTAGACGACTCATTGCCTAGTACGTTTTTACATGAGGGTCAATTTTACGTCTGCTAATTACCACGCCTGATAGGCTTCGCGGCAGATATCAGCAGGGCTAGGGAAACTTGGAAGGGCACAGAGAATGGGGATCTCCTTACGGAGCATGCAGCTTCGTACATTGCTGGAATTGCCATGGAAGGGGCGGCAGATACCACGAGCAATACTCTCGCAGGACTGATCAAGGTACTACTTCCATTTCCGACTCCAAGCCACATGCTGAAGCTTAATCCCTCCAGGCTATGATGCTGTTCCCTGAGGTGCAGAAGAAATGTCACGACGAGTTGGACAGAATCGTCGGCTCAGATCGATTTCCCACCATCGAGGATTTTGAATCTCTGCCTTATATTCGACAAACTGCAAAAGAAGCTTTGAGATGTAGGACTTCGTCTAAGCTTTCTATTTAGTACAACACTCTGACCTTGTAACAGGGCTCCCCACCGCGATAAGTGGCGCCATACCGCATGCCGCTCTCGCCGATGATGTTATCGATGGCTATGTGATTCCTAAAGGTGCAACCGTTGTCTTGGCGGTCTGGTCTGCAAACAATGACCCGGCACTGTTTCCAAATCCTCGGGAGTTCCAGCCCGAGAGACATGATCCAAACCTGTCCTTCTCTGAGGCGGCCGCGGCGGCAGATTTCCGTAATCGCGACAATTGGACCTTTGGCGCTGGTAGACGCATCTGTCCGGGTATTCATATTGCTGAGAGGACCCTTTTCTTGAGCGCTGCTAGAATTCTCTGGACCTTTGACATCCACAAAGCGAGGGACCAATATGGCCAGGAAATTGAAGTTGACCGAGATGAAGTTACCCAGTCGATTGCAGCCCGTCCAATTCCCTTCCCGTAAGCGCTCGCTGTCAGCTTTTCTTCCCGCCTGATGAATCTGCTAACATGTATTTTTTAGATGCAGTATTGTTCCACGAAGTGAGAAGCACGCTCGTATTGCTAGGGAAGAGTGGGACGAGGCTCAAACATTACTTGACGAGCGTGGTAACTACAAGCAGAACGTTCTGAGATAGGGACCTATATTTCCCCATAATATTCAAAATGTGATATCAATATGTCAGGATGGTCATAAGTCATATCGACTAATCATTTTCTATCTGGCACAATTAAAGTAGGGTCATTGTAGTCGTCATATAACCCCTCTTTGTAAGACCAATCCACCGTCACACGGTATCACCGCTCCTTGAATGAAACTCGCCTTGGGGCTACAGAGAAATGTCATGAGTGCAGCAACATCCTCGGGCAGTCCTAGTCGTCTGACGGGTGTAATTGCCGCTAATTTTGGAGGAGCGTCTGGAGGACTTGTTTGCCGGAAAAGTTCTGTGTCGATCATGCCCGGGCAGACGACGTTGATGCGGATACCAGCAGGTCCATATTCCTGGGCATCTGCTTTCGCCATCCCCACTAGTTCGTGCTTGGAGGCACAATATACTGACATGCCGCTTGATGCGTTCATACCAGAGAGTGAAGAGACAGTAACAATGCTCCCCCGAGTCTGCCCATGGCCGTCAAGAGGGTCTTGTTTCCTCATCTGTGCAATTTCTGCTTGGTGACACAACCATGTCTGGAAATGACATCAGTCAGCATGTGGTGGACCACGAGATTGCAATACATCTATCGATACGAACCCCGTGTACGTTCACATCAATGACTCGTTCATAAGTCTTGACATCAACATCTGCGATTGCTTGTCTCTGGGGAACCACTCCAGCTATGTTCATAGCGTAGTCCAAGCGACCGAAGATGGAAACACAGGTGCTGATCATTCTCGATACTTCATCTTCAATAGAGATGTTGGTGCGATGAATGTGGGCTTGAATCGAAGAGTTTGCATTTTGAACTTGTTTCAAGGTCTCTTTTAACCCGACAATGTCGATGTCCGTCAAGAAGAGCCTTCCGCATCCTCCGCGCGCTAAAGATACAGCTGTGCCCCGGCCAATTCCTTGCTACAATTGAGTCTCAATTCAAAATATGTGGTTGCACGCACGACATACCTGAAGCTGCTCCTGTGACTAAGCACACTCCTGGAAGCTCGAAACTCATTGTTTCCTGATTTGCACGGTGCGCCTGTGAATTCGAAGTGATCCACCGCATAAGTGGTTTTGGTCAAGTGCTCCGACAATTATACTCACATATGGTGCATCAAAGGCTCAAACAATATCAAGACGTTTTGCAATCATTGCCGCAATGAGAGGAGTGCAGATCGTCTCTCGGCCCGCCGAGGTCTGGCCTCTGGCCGAACGTTCCGCAAACCTTCAACCTTCGGTGGCCTCGGGCCAAGATTCGATGCCGAGCATCATTGAGGAGTAAACAAAGGTCTATTATCAAGGGTGAACGGCAACCAAATGAGGTTTCTGTGACTGATAGCCCGCGACTTCATCGTCTCAACCGCCATGTCAAAGTCTTTAGGTGCTGCATTGGTTATCGGAGCAGGTGGGGGTAAGTAGTGCTTGTGGGAATTCGCGGCTCCTCCCTCGCTCTATGGTCTGACTAGAAAATAGGGGATGGCAGGGCAGTGGCTATGCAATTAGCCCAGGAAGGCTGGTCAAAATTAGTACTTGGGGACCAGAACGAGACCTTATTAGCAGAAGTCGCCAAAGAGTGTCAGAGGTTAGGGGGTGATCGGGTCAAAATCTGTACAGGCATTTGTGATGCCGGCAACCCTTCTGACCTCGACCAGCTTATTGAACGTGGAATTGAACAGTTTGGAGAAATCAATCATTGTGCAAACTGTTTGCGAGTTGAGCCAACAAATATGGCATTTGGGGACAAGACGCGTGAAGACTTTGCCCGCCTCAACGACGCCTGGCAGAGAAAGGTAAGGACACATGTCATTATCATCTGCCTTCCTTACAAAGCTGACTGGGAAATCCCTAGGTTTGGCTGGCCATGCGAGCTGAGGTCCGTTTATTCCTGGCTCAGGCTGCACGAGGAAGCACTGGTGATTGCAGTATTGTCAATGTCGCGGCTGCCCAGGGCCTGGCAAGTGAACGAGGGTTCCCTCAGTATTGTGCAGCTGCACATGGCATCGTGGGCATGAGCCGGGCCACTGCGATGGACTATGTGCAGAAAGGGTTTCGCATCAACTGTGTGTGTCCTGGACCGTCGGGAGAAGATCTCAGCTCTTCAGCCGATCATCAGCCATCGCGGCCGGTCTCTCTGCCAGTGCCGCCGAGTGGGCGATATATCACGTCAGATGCAGTGGCATCCGCAGTGGTGTTTCTTCTTTCGCCCAAGGCTGCTTCTATCACGGGTATTGAGCTACCAGTGGACGGAGGCTGGTCGCTGTATCACCATTAGATGAATCATTTGCTCTTTTTCTACTCTTCAAAGCAGACATCAGCGTTGAAGCTAATTGGTACGAGGATCCACGTAAGCTGCCACTCGTCCTATGCGATGGTAAGAAGATTCTGAGCCTATTACTATCGGGAATGTTCGAACATTGATGTTCAAGGTGTGGGACCACGAGGATTCCAGTTTTACCATTCTTGATAATGATATGACCCTATGAATGCTTGACGCTACCTTAGATATATTTCGCTCAAAGCTCTCCCCCTTAGTGAGATGCTATTCAAAGTCCGCCCTGTATGGGTATTTCTTGATCAAGAAATGGCCGGCGCACATGACACTGGCTCCCAGAAAGAACAGGCCTGTGTATGTTCCGAAACCCTTGTAGTACTCAGGGGCATCCGAGCTTGGGAACAGTGCTGACGCATAGACCTGTGCCAGCTGCGAAAGCCCATTCACAATTCCCAAACTGATAGCTCGTGTCTCTGTATCTACAGGCCCCAAACAACTCGTCGCGTACGACAATGCGATGGGTGCCCCAGCCCAGATTGCAGAGTTTATGAAGCAAAGGAATACGTATCGAGGTACGTAGGCCAGAATTCCTGTTGCAAGGGCACAGAACAATGTGCCGGCAAGCATAATTGCAGTTACAAACAGGGCACGAACTTGATGGAATCTGTCCGCGAGTAGGGACATTGGGATTGCGATGACCAATGCGACCACCCAGATTGGGGCTGTCATGAACCTGCACTTGCATTAGACTCCTAGCAGATCAGTTCTGATCAAGGGGTACTTACTGAGCATTGACTGCGGTATAGCCGAGGCCTTGGACCAGGTAGGGATAGAAATAAGACAAAGCACTGGCGCCAACCAGTTGCATGTATGGTACCGAGAGGAAGTAGATGCGCCAGTTTGTAATGGCTGAGACGAACGCTTTCCAGTGTGACAATCTAGTCGCACGTGTGGCGTCCCTGGAGGTGATGTTTTCTTTGGCTAGACGTGCCACTGCAAGTCTCTTCTCTTCCTCGTTGAGCTTCTTTGAGGTTGCAGGGAAGTCCAAAAGGAAAAATGGGACGATGAGAGAGATGCCGACAGTCAGGGCTCCCTCAACAATGAATAGCCATCGCCATCCACGGATTCCATGAGCCCCATCCAAATTCCCGGCAATTATACCGGCAATAATGCCACCAAATGCTCCAGACAATATTGAGCCACTTAGGAAGAAGATGAAACGCTTCGATCTGTTGAGGTTGTTAGCTTGCACCAAAAATATGGCATTTCCCATCGCTCACTGTTCTGCCTTTTTGTACCATGAGCTGATCAGGAAAAATACTCCAGGCTTCACGAAATGTCAGTTTTACTCTGTAGAGAGCTGTACTGAATTCATATGGCATACCGCAAAGCCGGCTTCAGTGACGCCTAGCAAGAACCGTATCGCCCAAAGTTGGCCTTTGTTCTGGATTGCTCCCAAACATGTAGCACAGGTTCCCCACAGGAACATAAGAGCTGGAAGGTACAGTGACGGGCGGACGCGAACCAAGATCATGCTAGGGAGAAACAAATCAGCGACTGGTATTCATTGATCCAGGCCAAGGGCTCGACTAACTTTGAAGGTGTCCCGGCGATGAGATATCCCAGCTGGAACACCAGAATGGCATGGTAGTAGTCTTGGTCGTTGAGAGCCAGATCGGTGTACATTCCTGCAACTCTTGCGTTGCCAAGGTTCGATCGATCCTAAGTGAGGTCTCAGTATCGATTCACGCGGATTGTGGAAGCGGGCTCACAATATAACTCATTACCATCAGAACCCAGATGGCAGGCATGAGGTACAAATCAATCTTCCATCGAAGTTTTTTCTCCGCACTGGGATCAATTTCGATTTCTTCGAGAGTCTCGAGCCGTTTTACTTCGAGGTCAGGACCAATGGCATCTTCGAAATGCTGCGAGTCCATTGCCTTGATCTGCGGTCCTTCTGGTCTGGTGGTCGACATCGTAGCTGAGAGTAGATGAGTTACTGTTCACTCTTGATTCGGGAAATGAATCTGATCGACAACCCCATGGGGTAGTGTCTGCATGGCCAGTATTGAGCTTTTGTATTGTATTGTGACAGTACTAAGCTCGGCCTCTGAAGTCTCTTTTGTTATTCGGTTGGCAAACTCGGCGTCTATAGTACGTAGAAGGGTCAATTTCCAAGCTCCGAGCCCAAGTTCGGCTCCGATCTACTTGACCCTATGTACCCACAAAATCATATTCGGTTTGTCGGCTAGGCGCAGCCGCCTCATTGGCAGGAAGCATACGTCTCCTATTAGAGAAAGCTGGGTATAGAGGGCTACGGGCCCAGCCCCGTTACGAGTGATTTGTCTTGCACGTCGCCGAAGGTATATGTGAGTGAAACGGGATGGTCGGTGCTGGGCATATTTACATCGGCTACAAATCTCTAACATCAAGAATTCTATGTAAGTTTCTACGTTGCTGCGGCGTGAGTCATGGATACTGGCCGTGCTCCAACAAGGTAAATTCATCAAGGCATTTGATAACCATTTAGAGTTTTGGAGCTGTTTGTGACTCTCGCTTCCATAGATCTCGTAAATGTCTTTTGAGATATTTGCCGCTCGCCGTCTTAGGAAGACTCTCGACGAAGACGATACCCCCGCTGAGTTGTTTATACTTTGCAAGCCTCTCTGAGACATAACGCTGAATCCCACTCCGGTCCATTGCAGCTGGATTCCTTGGAACAATGTATGCCCGTGGCACTTCGCCATCTATGGTGCTTGGGGCGGGGATTCCGATCACCGCAGCGTCGAGAATATTGGGGTGAGACATCAGAACAGCCTCCAATTCTGGAGGTGCAACTTGAAAACCACGAACTTTGATCAATTCCTGAAAACATTGTGAGCAGATGAAGTGTGGCAGGACTACGAGAAAGAACCGTACCTTCTTCCGGTCTACAATGTACCACTTTTTCGACTTGGAATCGCAGTAAGCGATGTCTCCTGTACGAAACCAACCTTGTAAGAAAGAGGATGCATTTGCGGCGGGATTGTCAAAGTAGCCCTCGATGACTGTTGGGCCACGTATACATATTTCGCCGTTCTGGTTGTAACTTCGGATGTCTTCGTCGTTGTCGTTAACCAATCTGATCGAATATTAGTATAGTGTCTCAAATGTTCAATCTTGCTGAGCAACCTGATCTCCAAATTGGGGAGGAAATGCCCCACACTTCCATCAAGATCTTGGTCTGGCCACTGGTAGCAAGCACCAATGCAGCTGATTTCGGTCATGCCGTAGCAGGGATTGAGGCTACCGTCAGGATGCATAAGCGCAGTAAAGGCCTGTTGTGAGAGGAGATCAATCTTTGCTCCCCCAGTCATCCCACACCTCAAGCTCCTCAGAGAGTACCGCCTGATCAGTGGAGACTGGAGGATTGAGACCACGATTGGTGGTACCACAAAGAGCTCTGTTACCTCAAATTTCTCAGTATAACGGAGAAAGTCTTCCAGATGGAATCTTCGCATGACATATGAGACATGGCCTGATCTCAGTGGAGTGATGTGTCCTATTGGAACCATGGCCGCATGAAAGAATGGTAAGCAGAGGATTCGCTTAACCTGCAAGTAAAGATTAGCATCGGCTCCAGATCATTTGCGATTAGTGAGTACCTGATAAGGCTTCTGAACCTGTTCCTGGAGTAGGGTATGCTGAGCAACAAGGTTGTAATGGGAAAGTGCCGCAGCCTTGGGCAGTCCCGTGGTCCCTGAGCTGAACAGTCGACACGCCGTGGTTGATTTGGCGACAGCCTCATCATTAAAGCGAACCCAATCCTGCTCGCCACACCGCAATAAGGTGGCCCAGGACCGTGGAGGAGCTTCTGGTACTGATCTTCTATTCGACCAATCGAAAATAAAAATATTGTTGTCAGGGATCCCAACCCTATTGGCTGCAGGACGAATGCTGTCGTAAAGTTCGGGCTCCGCCAGGACGAGCTTTGCTCGTGCTGTTCGCAGGTGATGTTGCAACTCAAAGTCTGTATACCCAGGATTTGTCCCTGCCCAAACGAAGCCTGCACCAACCACAGCGAGGAACACGCAAGAGTAGTATAACTAGAATCCTGGGGTAAGCAGTGGATGCGAGAAATGGTCGATTATGCTAGGGTCGACAGACGTTGTTGAAAGAATGAACACAAATACAGTCACCTGTCTGCAGCGAAGTTGACCGAAAACCAGCAATGAGGCGGCGAGTGAGATTTCTTGCTTGTTGTATGTTTATGGAATTGGTTGGATCCTCGGGATCGACGTAAATCTGCAGCCATTCAGCAGAAGCCTCCTCACCAGAACCATGAGGCTTACTGCTTGATCCTGGGGATAACGTGGAGAGTCAAATATCCAAGACAGTATATCTTGAGTTGGAATATCAACGGTCTTGGTTGGTTTGAAAAAGACATCTTCAATAGCATTGGCATTAGCAGGAACTTGCATTGCCGCCATCACTGATAACCAAAGCCAGGGAAGGATTGATGAATTATGCAGGTATATTGTCCTACCTGCCAAAGGGTCTGAAAGAAGCGGTCAGACATACCTGAGATTTAAGAGCATTGAGACCGCATCTTTCGGCAAGAACTAGTTTAGTTCGCCATCAGTCAGAGAGTTCAGTATGCGACGATGGTTATAAACTCGGTGCCGCGTTTGATTCATGTTCGGCGGCGACGACAGTCACGTGTAGGTTCCGTACGAATTGGTCGGATACTCGTACGACTTAGTTATGACGCTAATCTATAACCGGCTATCCTTTCAGGAGGCTAGAGCGGCAGTCTGCTAGTCCATATCTAGTCAAGTGATGTCCGAAATCAACTTTCGCGCATCTGACATCTGCAATCTTGGGATCCATCCACTTTCGGCTCTCAACAACAAAGGACAGAGTAGGTAAGCGCCGTAAGGTTCCGATACTATTGGCGAGATTCTTTGACGAAGGGATAACTCTTCAAGACTCTGGCTCTTGTACAGCAGAGAGCAAAAGAACCGGCCAACCCTTGGCTTCCCATCATATCGATTCATTGATGAATGTCCTCCATCAGTATGGAAATTGACGTGTGAGGAACTCACGGTGTCCTCACAGCTATCGTCAAACCTCAAACCCACACCTGCCTGTCACTCCTGTCAGGTTCCTCCTCCGTCATCCACCCACATGGTCTGAACGTCGTCTGTCACATACCAACCACGAGTCGAATGGGTCTCTTATGCTAGTCTCTAGATATGGCTGCAGGTACTCGACCACTTCCTTTACAGCCCATGGGCTCGTCAAATGAGGCCCCTCCTGACAACGAGTCATCCCCGGCAAGACCAGCGAGCCCATCACGAACTACGGGCACTGCTGGATTTTCCTCGAAACGACATGTTAAGGGCCTGTCCCTGAACTTCCCGATACTCCTCCCTCCTTCCACCTCTAGTCCTTCCTTCTCGCCGTCGCCGACAGCATCGTCCGCATTGGCAACGCCGATTGACTCATCACGATCCTCGCCTCATACGCGTGCTTTGCAATTCCGACACGCCGAGACACAGGAAGATGTGAAGGTCAAACCGGAGCCGAAGGGCAGCGGAGACTTTCTTACTCTCCTCGCAGCCCAGGAGAGAAAGGTGTTGGAGCTGAGAGAAGAGTTGCAAAAGGCAGAGTCTGATTTGCTTGCCCTGAAGCGGCAGTGGGCCAGTTATGAAGCAACAAAGAAAAAGGACGAAGTCAAGCTGGTCAAGAAGCTGCAGCCGCTTGCCTTGGATGACGTGCCGGCCGGGTCACGCCACACTGAGATTGCTGAAGAAGACATTGATGAAGAAAGGAGGCGAAAACGAGCAATAGTCGAGAGAAGTCACGCAGCCAATGTCACTGCTGGGTCGACTCCAAAGTCTGGGTTGGCCCGAAAAGGGTCGAAACGTGTGTTTGAAGGACGACATACACGAACACTAAGTCTTTTGAGTCCAACTGCCGGGGCACCCGCTCGGTCCCCAGTGAGATCTTCGACCGAGTCAGAGCATCAACGGGACAAACCGTACGATGAGCACGAAGATGGTAATGTCATCAGGCCGACGCCTTTGCGAATGCCGACGTTGGAAAGTTTTGCCTCGATCGATGCTCTAAATTTAGGATTTGGGAAAACATACAAAGATCTCGCAGCCCACCGACGCTCATTGCCCCCCGCAGCTACTGATTTGCTGGTCAAACAAGGCCGACAAGTCTACGATGGGGTCAGAGATGGCCTGTGGACATTTTTTGAAGATATAAGACAGGCAACCGTGGGAGAGGAAGGGGTCAGTGGCACCGCAGCTCAACAACAGCTACAACGGCAACCAAAGAAAAGGCCGGTGAAGAAAGTGTCTGGCCCACCCAGCAAGGGACAATCAGCAAGCCCAACGCTGGATCAGACCCTGCCCACGGAAAGAGAACCTTCATTCTGGAACGAATTTGGATTGGAAACACCGCATAAACCAAATACAGCACCCTCAATCAAACGGGATCAAAGTAATCGTCATGTACAACAGAAAAGCAGCACCGATTCATCAAATCCGCCCAGCCTTCTCCCCGATGGGAACGACACAGAAGGAATGGACGATGGTTGGGATACTTGGGATTCACCAGTCAGTAACAGGAATGGTGCGTCTCCAGATCCCAGCCAGAAGACCATGTCCGACAGTCTACCGTGGCCTGAGATCCAAAAACTCACGCCGAGCAAATTGACGCGGACGGTCAGTGATTTGATGCGAGAATGGGACGGTGCGCAGAAGCGTGAAGGGCCCCAAGCTGGAGAGGCTCTGGTGAATGGAACAGATTCATTACTGAGCAGCCCACACATATAAAAATTAATGGATATAGGTATACGCATATGACAGGAGTTTAGAAGAGCACGGATGGGGAAAACAGGGCCAGAAGGCCCAGCGACCATGGGATGAGTACGGAGTACTCCATACGCTCTGGATCAGCCTATGAGCCATGACTTGTTACAAACATATGTGACGTTATCAGTGGAACTTTGTGTTTTGTTTATCCCCCGGATTTTCCGGGTTTATTGACACAATCGATCGAGATGGATAGAGGGAGCAAGGAGCATGTAAATACGCTCGAGCCATAGTCACTCGCATGGAAATGTGTCACGAGGCACTGGGAAATGAAGTGTGATGAGGTCAGTGAGGTTGACAATTTGACGGTTTTGAGGCGTGGGTGACAGAGGGAGGGCCGTGCGGGTGTAGGAGCCAACACGGTTGGCCTGGTTGGGCGATGGGATGTGGATGTATTATGCAACCTTTATGATGTGTATCCAGCTCCAAAATGCCATCTTGTCGGGACGTTGTCCTTGACGCCCCCACTATTGAGAGAGGTTTTAGACCATGTTGGGGACCTCGGGCCACCGCAGTGACGATATTGACGGTCTAGACGGATTTGGCAACCTAGTCATGAGGCACGACTGACTGTACGGCTTGGGCAGAGAGAGGAGCAGGTTAGATGACTCGACGTTGTGTAGACTCGTACGGATAGAAATTCCCTGCACTTGTGGTCATGTGTTTCCCTGACGACGAGGGAGAGGTAATGTCTGTCTGCGGTGCGCACCCGGTCGACCCCTGGAGGACTGCAAGATGACGAGTCGCAGGCTAGAGACTAGTCAGGACATCCAGGTTGAAATCTAACGCTGAACGGGAAGGAATCAACAATCTCGGCTTGGAATCGGTGGGACGGACCCTGGGACCGGTGACACTACCGTATTCTGTGCAGATGAAAGAAATAGAAGATGTGGATTGAACAGTGGATGAACGAATCTCTCTACTGGAACCCAGCACCAAGAAACGTGTGCTTTGGATCTCGGGGGCGTTGGCCCCCTGCATTAGGGTCAACACTAGGAAAGTGTTAGGGCCCCTCGGAGCTGGAAGTGGGCGTATCGAGCATGAACCGGCACAAGGGAACGCCTAGAAGGCCCCTAAATGGTAAAGCTGCGGGAGGGAGGAGCCCTGGCACCTCGCTGTGGCGCAGACACTCGGCAGACTCCAGGAAGATACGTCGCACTAATCCGAATTAGGCATGGGTTGCCATGTAAACAAAGCACCTTCCTTCTCCACCTCAGACGATCAAACTGCGTCCCTCAATCGACACGACGTCCAAATCCACTGCCACCACCAACACCATGGCACCGTGATATCATGCATCCTCTTGCCGGCTATTACTGTCATCAACTACCCAGCCACGCCTTACCTCTATGTCTATGCATTATTGCTGCCCCATGTGCCGACTACCGTGGTAGACCACTCTTAGCCTCGCCATCCTGCCCCTCGAGATCAACCTTCTCCATACCCAGATACTCGTACCCATTATCACTTCCCACCACCCAGCTCACGAGGTGGACACAATCAACCTCGACGCTATCATCTTAGCAATATCCCTCGGTTTCATCTCCATTTCAGCCACCCGACCACGACCCTGATTCCCGTCTTTACATCCTCTCGCTCATCCTCCTCCACTCTCTCAATGCTTGTATCACTACCCTCATCTTCATCTTTGCATTTTTCCAAGGCGCCTGCATCTGCATACAAGACGGGAAACATAGATTCTTTCCTCCACCATACACCGATCTCCCATACATGTCTTCCTGCGGGTCATCCATCGAACCATTATTGAAACCTCGGAGGATTGACCAAAATATACTAGAAGAAGACTGCGCCGCTCACAACGCCTTATACACTGTTTGGTAAAAATGATGACATACTCAGAATCCGCCCCTCGCCAGTCGAGGGCGGTTCAACCACCTCACTTTGAGATCCAGCAAGATGAAGCCAATGGCGACATTCTGGCAGATCGCTTCCAAATGCTTGAAGAGCTCGGAAGTGGTTCCTTTGGCGTCGTTTACAAAGCCATCGAGAAAGCCACTGGCGAAATCGTTGCTATCAAACATGTGAGGAGCCAACATTACCTCCATACTACTCCTTTGGAAATCACTGACATGCTCATGTCTTAGGTTGATCTAGAATCTTCAGAAGAAGACCTTTCAGATATCCTCTCCGAGCTCTCAGTACTCTCCTCCTGTTCAAGTCCTCATGTCACCAAATATCGTTTAGCCTTCCTTCGTCGTCAAACTCTTTGGATCGTCATGGAATATCTTGGAGGTGGCTCATGCGCCGATCTCCTCAAACCTCCGCCACACCGTCTATCCGAATCCCACATTGCCATCATCTGTCGTGAGCTCCTTCTGGGCTTGACCTATCTGCATAGCGAAGGCAAACTCCACAGAGATATCAAGGCTGCCAATGTGTTACTAGGAATGGACGGACGTGTCAAGCTTGCCGACTTTGGCGTCGCCGCACAGTTGGTTGGCCTCAAGAGTATGCGAAATACATTCGTCGGCACTCCCTTCTGGATGGCACCAGAAGTCATTCAGCAGGAAGGCCACGATGCAAAAGCAGATGTCTGGAGTCTAGGTATCACCGCCATAGAGCTGGCAAACGGAGAGCCCCCACACGCCAATGTCCATCCAATGAAAGTTCTGTTCCTGATTCCCAAACAGTCAGCCCCAAGGCTAGAGGGCAATCAATGGTCACGGGACTTCCGCGATTTTGTTGCCACATGTCTGACAAAGGACGTGGACAAGAGAGCGAGCGCCAAAGAACTACTCAAGCATCGGTTCATTCGGTCTGCCGGCAAGATCGAAGGCTTGCAAGAGTTGATTGTCAGAAAACAGGACTGGGAGGCCGGTAAAGGCGGCGACCGGAACTTGAAGTACTATGCCGAGACACTGAGGAGTTTGTCCGGCTCAAAAAACGAAGACGACTGGGTCTTTGAAACTGTGAGAGCCGTGCCGACGATAGACTTGCGAGGCTTCCAAACCCAGAAGAGGAGAAGGGTAGAAAGCTCGGCCTCGGTCGTTCTCGGCGACCAAAACGAGACCAGTCCCACGCAGATGATGCATGATATGGCACTGCAGAATGAGGACGCCCAAAAGGACCAACAAGCTCATTCGACCATGCGCCGGATTCCCGAACCTCATCTTGAACGAACAGACTCAACAGATTCATCAAAATCAAGACAGACCGCCAAAAAACGACTGTCGAGTGCACAAGCACGACAGCCTCTAGGGGTGAATATGTCGTTTGGCAACAGCCCCAGTACAGTGCGACAATTCCGACGAGTGTCCCCTAGTGCCATCGGCATCAACTCGGAAAACGAGGATCCTAATTCTAGTGTCATCAGGACACCTTCCAAGGCAAAGCCTGGCCTACACCAGATGGTTGATATGGACAATTCCTTACTCCATGGGTCGAGGCCAGACAAGACCTCTAGGTTCTCCTCAACCGCAACAACCATTGCGGCGGAATCCAAAGAGGCTAGCCTAGGAAGGAAACTATACACCAATGCGATCGGAATAACGTGTCAGGACGTGTTGAGCAACACCGCAGATGAAGTCAAAAGGGAGGCTGTGGCTCGACTAGCTGAAGCGTTTTCAGACTTGGAAAGCCTCGACCCAGATGGCATGTACCACATTATGCGAGGAATCGTAGACAAGATGCAAAGTGATAAGGACCTGAGGAATTTTTTGCCCTCTGTTGGTGGCGACCAACATCAGTCGTTTCCCGACCCACCAGACAAGACGCCGTCGGCCGAGAAGGATGCCAGCTCACCACAAAATCAGCCCCTGTCTGAACCCATCACTGCAAATGCATCACGTCAGGTCACACCTTTGACGCCAACAGGAAAGGGAAACATGGGGGCCAAACTAGTGCTCGCACAAAATAACCCTCATCTCAAATCCCATCGACGACGACAATCAGCTCAAGCAGCCATTGTGAAAAGTCGAGAGACGAGTCAGGTCTTCTTACCGAGCCCCGAAAAGCACCGCAAGACTGGGCTAAGCCAAGAAGACGCAGAGCTTGAGAGGGATATGTTCAAGGGCTTTCAGGGTGGTCTGGAACACAACCGTCAGCTGGCTGACAGTCTGTTCGAAAGATGGTGTGAAGGCTTGAGGGTTAGGTGGCCTGCTGTTTGAACAACCAAGTGTGAAATGAATTAGCAAAGTACCAGGAGGAAGGAAAGACACGCCAAACTGCTGCATATCATGACCAGCTAGTGAAGCTGAAGCTATTCTGTCCTGTGTCATCTTCAGCGGAGGCAGACTGGACCTTTTCCATTCACACCCAATTTCTTTTCTAATGTATTATATTATCCATAGCCACGTACGAGTTTGAACGGCCTCCTCTCATTTGAACGAGTCTCTAGCAGACTATGTTGTGTCCCATGTCGATTCCATTGTGTTTTTTCTTTTTGGCATGGCGGTGGTAGTTCATAGGCTGGAAATCTCCTCGGTGACCTCTTTTGTACGATAGTGTGAGGGGGGAAAGATGGAGGCCGAGGGGCCGAGAAACACACACATTCGTGTGCAGTCTCCATAATCGACTGTTTGATACTCATAGTTATATAGACATATATGTGTATGACTACTCCTATTTCATGTTGACTATCAAATCGCGTATGGAGTGGTTGCCAGTCGTGTCAGTGTCGGTGGTGCCTTCCCTCGTTTCTACCATTCCAACCAATTAATAAAGTTAAACTTCCATGACGCTAAACTTTATCTCGACCTTCTTTTCATTCGTATTCGTGATGATTGTTCAGGATCGACTCATCCCTCTTTCAACAACTTGAGGGCACATCCCTGTCCACCCTTTGTTGTCTCCGGCCCTACCATCTTATAGAAATTCAAGGCCATAGTCCAAGTAACCATGGACGTCCGACTTCACGCCTATCACCCCACACGAGTACTCCTACTTCTCGAATATATCCCAACCTCAACTTCAACTCCAAAATCCACACTTTCGCAACCGCCCAATGTCCTCCTTTTCATTGGTGGAATGTATGACAATTTTCGTTCTCCGCGCTATGTAGATGACATTGCGAAGCTGTTCCCAAGAGATGTTGCCGGTACTGGCGGTGTTGTTGACGACGTTACCCAAAAATGGAGTGTCTTCCATGTTCAACTTTCATCCGCGGGAAGGGCTTTTGGAATTGGTGGATTGGATCGCGATGTAAGTCTTTCTGCGATTCGTGAGCCCTCTTTACCCCCAGTCTTGATCACACGGTCCTCCTTTTTGTTATCGACACAGCCAGCAAAACTCACTCCAATCCACACCTATAGGTTTCGGAGATCAGCGAAGCCATCACCTACATTCGTAACAACATCATCAACTCTCCATCCGCCCCTGTTGTCATCATGGGTCATAGTACCGGCTGCCAAGACTCTATGCACTACCTCTGCTCTTCTCTATCTTCAAATACAAAATCCTCCTCTTCCTCCCGTCCTCCCATCTCTGGTATAATCCTCCAGGCGCCAGTATCCGATCGGGAGGCCATACTTGACGGCGTTCGCCATGATGCAAGAGCAGCATCTGCGTATAACGACGCATTGGCGTTCTGTAAAGCAACACCAAACAAGGCTCACTCCAAAACACTCTTGCCCTGGAATCTCACCATACCCATATTGGGTCCTGTCCCTTTGACTGTCACACGATTCCTCAGCTTGGCTTCCCCTGAAAGCCCCTCAAATCCAGCTCAGGATGATTATTTCTCTTCAGACCTGGGGGATGATGTTTTCAAAGGCACTTTCGGAAAATTGGCCGCATGCGAGTGGGTTCTGACTCCGACTAAGCCAGCGGACAACACAGATGGTGGAGGAAAACGCCAATCGAAATCCATGCTCATCCTCATATCTGGAGATGATGAGCATGTAAGCTCCGACATCAACAAACTGCAGCTACTCTCTCGCTGGACCAAGGCTGTCGAGTCGCAGTCAACTGAGGAAAGCCCAGCCATAGTCTCTCCCCATTCCCAAGTGGTGGAGCATGCCTTGCATGACATATCCGGGGACAGTATCGAGGCCAGGACTGCCAGATTGGTAGAAATGAGAGCCGCAGTTCTGAAATATCTAAATGATGTGGTGGGCGACGTTTATGGACATGAGCACGGTGATAGCAAAGACGATTACTCGCCTTGGGGCATTTGGAAAAGGGACAAAGAAGCCATTGAAGCGGAGAAAGGACTCCAGGGAGTAAAACTGTGAGAGATGAATTCCATAATTCCATAGATGGTAGCCTTTAGTGGCCCTCACATATCAATTAAGACACATTGAGCACTCTACCGCTACTTTGAAGTTCTCGCTGCAAACTGCTGGAATGATGTTGATTCAGCTCTTCTAGACTAGTACAAATGGACTTGGGCTAGATAGCTCAGTACTATTCAATATGCAACTTATGCACAAAATGATGATTGAAACAATAATAAGCTCGAAGAAGGCCATTCATTGTCTCATATCCCAAAGCATGCCACGGTGTCGCCCTTGAACGTAGTATCCCTATTGACTTCACTCATCCTTCTTGGCCTTTTTGGAGTCGACTGGTGGCCATTCCCAATCGTAGTCCAAGAGGTTGAACGGACACTTTCCGACGAAAGTACCATTCTCATCACGGGCCAATCTGCAGTCCTGGCCAACATGTTCCGGCCGACACTCGGAGTTACGACAACTATAGCCCTTCTTCTTAATTCCTCCTGGCACACGACATTTGCCGGACTTAGTGCATTGGCCATTCATTGTCTTGATGTCCCGACCTCCAAGGTCGAATGGGTTGCCACTGTGGGAAATATCATCTGGCAAACCGACTGCAGTTGCTGTCGTAGTGGGTATGCGTGCGACGAGGAGCAGCAGTGGGATCATCAGGAGGACCGGGGAGCTGCTGGCTAGGAGTTTCATGGTGGATATATTTGTTTAACAAACGTTCTTGAATTTTTCGGTCGAAGGATGGGAGAGAGTAAAATATTAGAGATTGGAAAACTCTGTGTTCAGAGATTGTATGTGGATAGTAGATAGATTTGGAAGTCTTTTCGATTGTATTGTGTGATGTATGCGTTTGGGACTAAAGAGTGCTGGTGGTGAGGCTTCTATAAACGCCGTAGCCCTACAACTACAGGAGGTGGCCTACCTCAAGAGCAAACAAAACCCTCGAGGCCAGACTGAACGATTCATTCATTTCTCATTGTCATGGTCATTGTTGGGTATTCGAACTTCACAAAACGCATGGAGTTAAGGTGATTGTTCTCTTTGTTTGTTGTCGTGGAGAAGCATCTAAAGTCAATCGCTTCAACAGTCTTCCCCAGTATGGCAAGAACAGCGGCCAATTGTCCCCTCCTATTGCTTTAACAGTGTTTCTTTCTTCTTTATCGAACATACATGGATGGCCGACGTTCGAGGATCCCCACTTTTTTCTAGGATCAATTATGCCGTCAATTGCCGGAGTAGTTACACAAAATCTGTACTGATTGTATGGTGAGTGGGGTTTAGGGCTAGTTAGACGGAGATTTATGTCTAGTTCTAATCTTCAGATTCTATTCTATTCTTCTCTAGAGGCGGGTGAAGTATCTAGAAACTCACGTAAGCAGTGCCATGCAAACCATCAACTCTAGTCCAAGCTCCAGGACATATTTTCCTTGCCAGCAAGTCCATGCTCGAGATCTCCACCGTGGTTGGATTGGCAAAAAGACGTGAATGACACTATTTGACCTTTGCCGACGATACGATGTCGAACAGCCTAAACCGTCTGTGTGCGGGTCCTAGTCGGCACCCTCGGTCTTAACCCCACACTTTGTCCTGGAGACAAAAGCAGAGATAGATGCTCGCAGATCCTCGGCTCTCAGAACGTGGCTATCATCTTCAACTTCCAACACAATGGCAGACTATCGCAGCCCTTCGTCAAGTGCGCTCACTCCGTCATTTGCAGATGTTCAGGACTTTGTCGACGCCGATCGTGGCTTCATTGCCAGCCTAAAGCCATGCGTCATCAAGAACCCGAGCGGCAAGACAGTGTGGAATAATGATGAGTTCGATTTCATGCACACATCGCCATGTCCTTCCACCGTTGACCCGAAGCTTTGGCGACAGGGCCAGTTGCTGTCCAAACAAGGTCTCTACCGCATCACTGATTCAATCTATCAAATCCGCGGTTTTGACATCTCACACATCACCTTTGTCGAGGGACAATCCGGGGTCATCGTTATAGATCCGTTGATCTCATGTGAATGCGCAACCGCAGCGCTAAAATTCTACCAACAACACAGAGGAGACCGCCCAATCAAGGCGCTCATCTATACACATTCACATGTTGACCACTATGGTGGTGCAGCTGGCTTATTCCCTGATCTGAAGGGCGATGCTGCTCCTGATGGTCTTCCTGTTGTCGCTCCAGAAGGCTTCATGGAAGAGGCGCTCTCTGAGAATATCCTGGCAGGCCCGATCATGCGTCGCCGTGCGGCACACATGTACGGTGCTAATCTTCCGCGATGCGCCGCCGGTTCGGTTGGCGTCGGTTTGGGTATGGGGACTTCTTCTGGAAGGGTCAGCTTAATCCCTCCGACCACCATAATATCGCACACTTCTCAGCAAGTCTCCATAGATGGTGTTTCAATAGTCTTCCAGATGGTTCCCAACACTGAGGCCCCTTCAGAGATGAACATGTACTTTCCCCAGGAGCGTGCCCTTCTAATTGCAGAATGTGCAGGCCACTCTTTGCACAATATCATTACACCACGAGGCGCGCTGGTTAGGGATGCCAAAGCATGGGCACGATATCTCGACGAAAGTTTGACATTGTTCTGCGATGTTGCAGGGTCCGATGTGCTACTGAGCAGTCATGGATGGCCAACATGGGGGACTGCGAACGTCAAGAAATACATCGCCGAACAGAGGGATCTGTATGGATATTGTCACGATCAAACAGTGCGTCTGATGAACTGTGGCCTAAACGGAGCAGAAATCGCCGAAACTTTTGTGCTTCCTCCTAATCTGAGACGTGCATGGCACGCCCAGGGCTTCTATGGGTCTGTTAGTCACAACGTCAAGGGAATCTATCAGCGCTACATGACATGGTATGATGGCCGAGCAGAAAATCTCTGGAAGTGGCCGCCCAAGGAAGAAGGCTCGCGTTATGTGCAAGCTTTTGGTGGACCACAAGAAACACTCAGAAAGGCGAAGCAGTTCTTTGCAGATGGTGACTTGAGATTCGCCGCCACGATTTTAAGTCACTTGGTCGCGTCGCAAGAGGAGTATCCCCAACCGATCCAAGAAGAAGGCCGCGAGGCGCTTGCCCAGGTCTTTGAACGCCTGGGCCTTGGGTCTGAGAATGCTCTTTGGAGAAACATGTACCTATGTCAATCTCGAGACCTGAAACAGGGACCAAGGCAGATGGTCAAGGGTTCACCTCTACAAGCAGGACTGCCCCCTCAACTGTCAATCCAGGATTCCTTTTCCGCCTTATCTGTGAGCATCAACGGAGAAGAGGCTTGCCGGCACAATGGCACAATTCACATTGGCATCCAACTGGAGGATCTGCATGAGGCGTGGGCACTTATACTGAGCAATGGGGTGCTGACCTCCCGTCAATATGGCAATCTGAAGACGCTGGAAGTCATTCCCCAAGACTGTGTCATTACACTTAACGTTTCCCAACTGCGAGACCTTTTGACGGGCAAGGGAGACTTCGAATGTCTCAACGTCCTGAGCGGTCGCCCAGCAATGCTAGCGAAAGTATTGTCATTTGCGGGGATTGAGATGAAGAATGGCCCTCCAGCAAGCCATCTATGATACAGCTGCGACCTTGCAATAATGAGAGATCTGGCCCGTGCACGGTTCACTTCTGACATTGTGTACCTAGGCCGGGCATCATGACTTGGATGCCCCTCGCGCCCCACCGTGCCCCTCGTGCCCCTCTACCAAACTCTACCAAAGACTGGTCGCTTCTGGTCTCTGTGCTTCACTAGATGCTTCGCCGTAGCTTTTTGACAAAAGCGGACTGGCTTCCCATTGGCGAGGCTGGACCTGGACGTCATTATCAAATCTCATGCTCTGGGCTCGTTTATATTGCTTCTTCACGACGATTGTATATGCACCAATGGGGTTTTGTTGCCAAAGGCCCAGTCTCAAATCTTGACAGCTCTTACAAGTTTATCCATGGCTCGATCACTAAGCTCGCCTTGTAGCCATATTTTCCGCAGCCATCCAGAGTTCACGAGTTCCACGGCCTCAAGAGCTCCCTGACCATGTCATCTAACTTGTTTCGGAAACCATTTTCCTTAACATCAAAGAAATTGCGCCATAATTCTCATGATGCTGGAGGTAGCCATATCAGTGAGAATGGGTACTCGGAGTCAACGCCACTCCTGCCTCAGAGTAACGTCATAGCTACCTCCAGAGCTGAACAATGGTCTTATCAAATCTACCATGCTGCTCGCCAGATATACCTCCACAACCATATTCACGGACTTTTGATATTCCTACTCCCTGCTATAGTCTCGAGCTTGGTACATTGTCCTGCAAAGGTTCGATTTACACTCAACTTCCTCGCCATCATTCCACTGGCGTCCTTGCTCGAGTTTTACTTGGAAGAGTTTTGCGCCAAGCAACGTTTGATACTTGGAGGAATCTTGGCTGGCGTCCTTGGAAACGGCATCGAACTGATTGTAAGTAGAAATCGTTTCGACAGAAACACCAGAGTACTGATGCTTTACTCTCATCCAGATTGGAGTTGTGGCCATCTGCAATGATGAAACTCTTATCGTGCAAGACGCTATCCTGGGGAGTCTTCTGTTCAACCTTGTACTTGTGACGGGGCTCTGCTGCGTGGCCGGAGGAGTCCGGTACAAGGAGCAGCACTTTGCTATCCCAATCCTCTCGTCCTTGTCCGGCTTTGCAATGATTCTTGTGGCCATGTTGTTGACACCAACAGCTCTGGCAACAGTGGCCTGGTCTGGAAAAGACATCGATCATATTACAGAGGATGGGCGCATTATATCCAGCGGATCCGCGATTATCTTCCTCGTGACATATGGGGGTTATCTTATGTTCCAACTCCGGACCCATGTCAGCTTGTTTGAGAGCTCGCTTGCCGAGGAAGATTCCTCTGACATGACAAGCGAGGAACGTCACAGCACCTTGAAGCCACTCGTTGCAGTTATTCTGTATCTTGTGACGGCCGGCTTAGCTTCCTGGTGTGTTGTGTCATTATTCCAAGCAATCCCCGAAGTGGCTGAGAAGTCAAGTCTCAGCAGGACGACTGTCGGATTCATCCTCCTCCCTTTTCTTGGAGGGGCGGGCGGCGCCATCGCTTTGATGACTGTGTCATTCAGAGATAAACAGGACCTTGCTCTTGGATGCATAGTGGGAAATGTGATCAACATTACTCTATTTGTAGTTCCTGTGTTGATTATCGTCGGAAGAGTTGTTGGCAACGAGCTGTCATTATATTTTGGACATGTCGAAATGGTGGCTGTTTTGATTTCTTCAATGATGGTGGTGCTGTTACTCCAAAATGGACGGTCTACTTACTTTGACGGGTTACTTCTCCTTGGTTTGTACACTATGGTTATTATGGCAGTGGTGGTACTGCCACATGAGTAGCTCTGATTTCAGCTTCAGTAGAATTATTACGCCTTGGTGTTTGAGATGATACCTGATCTTCATCGAGGGGCTACAATGTCTGAAAACTCCATATACACCACCTAGTCTCGGCAGGGTAGAAACGGAAATGATGAAGAAGGCCATAACAACCTTGACGCCTCTCAATATGCGCGTCTCTTTTCATTAAATGTACTTGATTCCTGAAACGCGAAGATGAACTAAGCATACATTCCTACGGGGTGTCGGCCAATCCAAATCAGGCCTAGATTTCAAACCACGACTGGTTTATTCTTAGAAACTCAAGTCTTGCAGCTGACTGTACACACGCCTATAGAGCCTCCTCGGCCACTCGGCCACTTGGCCATCGGTTTGATCCCCTAGTCATCTTTCTCACTTGGGCAATGCACTTTTTGAGATGACACCCAAATGCCCCGGCTTGGCCTATCAGGCGTGCTACTTCCAGAGCCCCCGAATTGCCATGTCAGACCTTTAATCATCTAGCCTGTGCGCCAGCATCAATTCGAAACTACCCTTGAAGGAACATTGATGTGTCACTGGGTGAGATGTCCCACCCTAGGGGCGCATGCTACCAACGGTCAAAATTCCGGAGCCCTTTCGTGCTTTATGAGGTTTAGCACTCGAGATCGAGGGGCGTAAGCACAGCGTCCCCTTGTTAGAGCCAATAAGTCAGACCGTCTCTTCAAGGTTCTTACCCCGACGGCTGAGGCTGAGGATTGCGGTCTCGACCTAGCCGACAGCTCGCGCAAATATAGGTAGGGACTCGAGTTGTGCTGATGGCATTTAATTATCATTACACAGAACCTAACGGGCGCCCATCGATTCTGCCCTTGTTGTCCTGCCACCTTGAGGTATCTACCTGCCACAAGACCTCGTCAAGAGGATCTGGTGTCGCATTTGTTTTGTTCTTTCTTTCGATTCGAGTCACAACTGACATTGAGTCCCGTCATTTCTTGAAGCCGCCCTCTAATTAACCTCCCCACTTCAAAAATGCCGAGATCTCATTTTGAGGAACACTTGGGGGACCGCGAGGACGATGAGAACAACAATAATGCGGGCAAGTCATTGTTGAAGCATTCATCGGCAGGTCTGCGCTCCCTCGGCCACACGTCCAACTCGCTCTTCAAACGTACCATGTCAATTCATCATTCGGCCAAAGCTCATCTCGCAAATCCTTCTAAACCGGAGAAAGGCACATTCGTGTCACGACTTCGTTTGACTTTACGCATCCTTTCGTTGATCCTCTCCTTTGCCATCGTGGTCACCCTCGGTCATGCCATTGGGGTGTACAACTCAAGCAAAAATGATATCCAAAACAACCAACCGGTGTGGCCGACTGGGTTGAAAATGACGCCGACCATTCTCCTCCTTGTGGCAGCATGCGTTGCTACCGCTCTTAGCCTGGCTATCTCTTTGGCGAGCTTTTCGGCAGTAGTAAGTTATTCCTCATCACAGATCTGTGAGGGCGAATTGCAGAACTGACGACACGCCTTTTCTAGATCCGCCATGTCACCAACGTCGGTAACATTTTCACACTGGTAGTCAGCTCCATTTGCATCGTCCTCTGGGTTGCGGTGGCCATTGTATACAAAGTGGACGACTTGAAGCCGGAAGAGCATTGGGATCTACTTTCATTCACCTGTGCGCGTCGACATGCTCTCAATGAAGGGACCGCCAACCTCCATACTCTGTGTTTTCAGATGAGATATGCATGGTGGGGTGCACTCGCTTTGGGCCTCCTGGAAATCGGGGCGGTGGCAACATTGGTTCTTGGCTGGTACTCACTTCGTGGGGCTCGGAAGGGCAAATATAGCCGCATGGAGGAGGACGGCGCTTACAAAGACGCAGGAGCACGTAAGGAAAGCTTCCAGCTATCTGGTGGCAAAGCTGTTCGGGCAGGTGCTAACTTTCCGTCACCCGTCAAGGTCAGTAAAGGTCGGGAATACTGGGATGTGGAGGACATTCTGAAATCACGCGTCCTTCCTGGTGGCACGACACAATATTTGATCCGCTGGAAAAATCAGAACGAGAATCAGGACTCGTGGGAGCCCGAAGGCGCCTTGACACCAGAGTGGATTCAGTACTTCAAGCAGCAGAGAGGTGGTGGAGACGAGTATTGGGAGGTGGACACAATCTTGGATTCTCGCACGTCTCGCTACGGCACACCCGAATACCTAATCAGGTGGAAAGGGTACAGTGCAGCCAACGATTCGTGGGAGTCCGAGGAAGATCTGTCGTTGGAGGTGATCAAAGAGTTCCGTGGAGGGTCCGTGGGTGAAGCATGATCCCCCGGGGAAAGATCCATGGAAGAAAGCTTGGGTCATGAGGCAGAGCCCGCGGAGAAAACGTGATCTCTTGGACCACATGGTGTGTTTTTAATATGATTCAAGTACGGAGTATGCATTTACGCCACACTTTGTCTCGGTATGAAGAGAAAAGATGACGGACAGCCTTGGGTTGGACAAGCGGATGAGGCTATGGCGTTACTCGGCGAATAGGTCACGTGTACAAGTCGAACTCGACAGATCAAGGTATAATATATGGGCTTTGTCTGATATGTGCCTTTCCAAGATGCAGTATAGTACACAACTTTCCACAACAAAGTGTCGGTCGTCAATCTACGGGGCAGGTTGACTTGTGCATCGTGAAGAGCCGATGGAAAGTGCACATCATCATCAGCATCATGGAATACATGTCAGATAAGGTCACGTGCCTTGACTATTTATCTCCTCCTAGGCGATCGATGATATGCACGGTTAGCCAAGGGCAAGCCGGATATCTATTTCAAATCAAATGTATAGTGCTAGTGCCATTGGAAACAAGCGGAGAGGACATGCATAGGGCGTGATTGTTGGGTGTGAGAAAAGCATTTGGGCGAACCAACCGTTCACAGCCCGAGCGGCGTTTGTGAGTGGTTGAAAATGGGCCGCGGTTAAGCGATGCCGCGGTCATCCAAGGGAAGGTGCGATCGAGTGGAATCGAATCGATGAGGCGTTGGCTGAGGGGAAGGCGCGTCCAGTGCAGGGATGCTGTCACGACCCCCACATCACAATCCGATCGGCATCCCAATAAACAGACGACATCTCGCAAGCTGAAATGATTGATCTATCGATTTATTCTTCGTGCACATGTTTCTTCAGTCTCTTTGATACCTCCACTTCAAAGTACCTGCCCAATATAGTCGACAGCAAACATGGCCACTAATACGATACCCATGGGCCAATATCTGTTTCATCGGATCAAGCAACTCGGGGTAGAACATATTCTCGGAGTTCCAGGCGACTTCAACCGTGAGTCTCTTCCCCCAGCAATACCTGTTAGGAGACTACATTTTCTCGAGGCATGACAATCTGACCAAATTAACAAACCAAATAGTTACCCTGCTTGATGAGATCTACAATGTTCCAGGCCTGAAATGGATTGGCTGCTGTAATGAGCTAAATGGTGCCTATGCAGCAGATGGCTACACTAGGATCAGGGGAATCCCTGGTGCCCTGATTACTACCTATGCAGTTGGCGAGCTTTCAGCCATGAATGGCGTCGCCGGTGCCTATGCAGAGCAGGCCGGTATGATTCACATCGTAGGCATGCCTGCCAGAAGTCGTAAGTTGCCCTTAGGATTGATCAACTCTCTCAACGCAACTCAACGCCCAACTAACTCATCGACCCAGACCAACGAAACAAGACCATGCTTCACCACACCATGGAACCTAGAATGGACCAGTCCATTTATATCCAAATGGCCGCGCCTATTCGGAAAGACTACGCATTTCTCATGGAGGACGCCACCATGGCCGAGGATATTGACCGCGTCATTGTTTCCTGTGTCAAGAGCCGCCTCCCAGTATACATCTACGTCCCTGCTGACGTGGTGGGGGTGAAATTGGACGCCAGCCGCCTGGACATGCCGCTTGATTTAACGATTCGAAATCCCGATACCACTGTCGAAGATAAAATCGTCAATTCGATTTTGTCTTTGATTGAGAAAGCCTCCAAGCCAATCATTTTGGGCGATGTCCTCGCCATACGTCATGGCGGTCTCCAATTGACCAAGAAATTGGCCGAATTGACGCATTTCCCAAGCTATTCAACACCTCTATCGCATGGCATCATCGATGAGTCAAAGGACTACTATAACGGTGTGTACAATGGTCAAGGTAAGTCATCCAAGTGCTGTGTCTAATCTGCCAAGCCGAGACTGACATCCCAAAGTCTCCTTCCCGGGAGTCGCAGAGGGCGTCGAAGGATCAGATCTAGTCCTCAATATCGGGCCCTTATTATCGGACTCCAATACGGGAGGATTCACCCGCTATATCAAAGACGAACATCTGGTCCGACTAGGTCATGACTTTGTGCAAGTCAAAGGTGAAAAGTATGACGGTTTCCACTTTTTGCCAATCCTTTCGCGCCTGGTTGAAAAATTAGAGGCAAGCCCTCAACAATATAATCTACCACGGCCGCTACCCGGTCCGAAGCTAGAGATCCCAGTGCTACTCGATTTGAAAAGTGGAGAGCTCAAGCAAGACTACGTTTGGCAGCGATTGTCTCGGTTCCTTAAGGACGGCGATATCCTTTTGGCAGAATCCGGCACTTCTCAGTTCGGGATGCCTGATATTGCATTCGCTCCAAACACTCAATACATCACACAGATGTTCTGGTCATCGATCGGTTTTACAGTAGGCGCATGTTTGGGAGCGTTGGTCGCGGCCAAGGAACAAAACCACACGGGTCGTGTCATCCTCCTCGTTGGTGAAGGGAGTCTTCAAATGACCGTGCAAGAGATCGGCACATATATCCGCTATGGATTTAAACCGATTATTTTCGTGGTCAACAATGACGGTTATGCCATCGAGCGTGCCATTCACGGCCCTCATCAGGGATACAACGATGTCAGCATGCTTTGGGATCATCAAAAGATGCTAGAATTCTTTGGAGCAAGAGAGGATACCGGAATCAAGGCAAAGAGTCGAACGGCAAAAACAGTAGAAGAATTGGAAGCAGTCCTGAATGACGAGGCCTTTGCGAGTGGCGATATACTACAGGTGAGTTGCCCTGGGCAACCTGCATTCACACCTACATGTTATGCTAATCGTTCCTTCACAGCTGTGCGAAATTTTCTTGGGCAAATATGATTATCCCTGGCGACTGTCTCGTCAGATTGAGATTGCAACAGAGCGCATCATAAAAGGAGAAATGCCCCCTCATTCGCAGGGGTAGATTTACCATGAGGAGGCTATGTATGATTCGAGAAAAACGTAGTCCACGAAACTAGATCTCATTGCTAGAGGCCAGGGAGATGGCCAATCAAAATCTACACAATTTCATACAATCGGCAATACAGCTCCGAGTCCACTTCATAAAACTTGATCCCTTCGAGAGATTCGCATCAGGAGGTTCGACTGCATTGACACGCCATACTTGAAAGTATCCATAGGATGAGAGGGATTAATGACGGTGAAGTCAAAGCGACGAAGAAGCTGCAGAGAGTCAAGAGTTAGCATCGACATGTATGCACGGTTTTGACAGATAGCAGCAAGTCGAACTCGGCGACGTGCGATCGATATGGATAATCGAACGATACATACCTCGACAAACACCTTGTTGAGTTCGAGCAAGGAGATGGGTTTGCCTAGACAGCCCCACCTACCTTGACCGAAAACAAGTTCGACAGTATTCTCCATGACACGCAGCTTCTCAGGGGCGGCAGATGCTCGCAGCCAACGTTCCGGCGAGAAGAGCTCCGAGTCTGGTCCAAAGACGGCCTTGTCGCGAAGCACGGCGTGAGCGCTCCAGCCGACATGGGTGTTGGCAGGGATACGCTGACCACATACTTCTCCATCGTGGTCCGACATGCGCGGCATGATACCTGTGATGGGGGGCCAGATGCGAAAGCACTCCTTGATCAGAGCCTGTAGGTATGGTAGTTCACGTGCCTCGGCGTCGGTGATTGGCGATGAGATCTTGCCAGCTTTGATTCCTTGGTCAATCTCACGCTGAAGTCTCTGGTACACCAGTGGAGACGTTGCGATGTGCATCATGCCGATCCGAATTACCGTGGCTGTGGTATCGGAGCCAGCCACTCTGATTCGTAACAAGCAATGAACACGTCAGTATAAACATCCAAGGTGGAAACACAAATGGCTGCCAGGTCAAGCAAAAAATGGAATCACATCGGGCGCTCACATCTGTACGAGGGACTCTTGTTCAGCGTCCTTTTGGTCTAGGCCATGAGCCACAAATGACCCTAGCATGTCTTGTTTGGTGATCTTTGAATCTCCAAACCGTTCGGCAACGACCTCTTTGGCAATACTGGATACAAGAAGAGACGGGTCAGCTTATCGTGCTTGTATAACAAAACACAAGCAGATATTGTGGCTTGGCAATGGTCATGGATATACCCACCCCATCACTTTTCCAAGCCCTACCGCATCTGTGGCTGATGGTCGGACAGCTTTAAACAACGGCGACTGTAGAACGCCAATCAGCCATGGCAAGAGGGCGATCATCTGCATCAGTGGCAGCGATTCCTCGGTGGTTTTGATGTAGTCAAACAGATCTCCATCTCGGTCCATGAACCCGAATGTACGTCCAAATGCGATAGTCGAGATGGTGTCCAAGGTCAGATACTGCGCCTTGCGAGCAAAATCGACCGGACGAAACTCGGTCTCAGTTGAGAGATACTTGGTTTCCAAGAAGCGGACGAATTTAGCGATTTGTGCGTCAATTGAGTCATGTAACGAGACAATGTCTTTTCCAGAATACTAAAAGGCACGTGCAGTCAGACACTAAGGTGGGCATAATGCCTTTGTCAGCCAGAAGATGTTGTTCGACTCACGCCAGGGGCTAGTTTGGCCCGTAGAGCAGTGTGCAGTCCCTCGTCTCGCATGGACAAGGTGCAGTCTCGCGGTGGATCGAGTTGGAAGCCTTTGTACCACGGAGAGCGATCGAACTGAGAACGAACTCCCCACATACGACGGACCTCGATTGGGTCTCCACAGATGACATAGTTGGGTGCAATGCGAACCAGCGGACCTATGTGGCTTGGATGAGCGGCTTTGTCTGAATGGAGGGAAGATAGATCCGACCATATTGTTTGTGCAATCTCCCCAAATCCTCATACAATGTGCCGGAGAAGGCAGCACGAAGCATCCAAAGACCCGACCATGCGCAAAAACTGGGTCCTGGAATATGTCGTAATCGATCCCATTGCTGAAACCGGCGGAATGATGCAAATCCACCTAACACGACCACGCAAATGGCCCAAAAAGTCATCACTATCCAGTCTTCCAACCGAAAGAGGAAGGCAGGATCGGGTTCAAACGTCAAGACCGAAATCCTGATCTGCGGAAGTTGCCGTCAAACCATCAGCACGGTCGGTCAGAGCTGTGGTATTCGAATGAGGTGGCGTCGATACGATGGAGTCTGGACTTAAGCTGCTTCGGGCCGAGGGGAAATGCGAATAGAGGTGATTTTGGTCACGGCTCAGGGATTTCTCGGCTAGATCCGATGCGCATCTTAGTTCCTAATGTTCCCGTCAAAGGAATCGATTGTTGACGTTGATTGACAAAGTGGCGGCGATGTAGCTTTTCAATGTATGTCTAGACAATTGTGAGGGGTTCAAGGGGAGCGAGGGGTCAGAGCGAAGCTAGCTAGTAATTAAGCAGTTTAGTATGAGAATCGAGAGCGACGGCTTTTGATATCCACATTAGACACACAAGCCCAGCGTCGTAATAGATAAGATTGTTCAATTCATGACTCCGTGCTAGTTATGCATATGGCGTCCGTCTTGTCCCGCGGGTGCATGAAACACGTAAAAAAAATAAGAAAAGTCCACGTCAAGGATCTAGAATCTAATCATTTATTTCTACCATCTCTAAATGGTTTTTTCCCTTAGTGATCTATTGAAAAGGTGACTGATGAGGGGTTGTACTACTTGTTGCTTGATATACGCCTGGCGCTGGTCTCGCGTTGGGAGGGTCTGGAAGTTACCTAGAACGATAAGTACCGAGATCCTCGACCCTTAAGCTTGGAATTGGCCCTAGGCCCCCCATGAGGATATACGAGTTAAGATTGGTCTTGGACCCTGTTGATGGCCCGTGGAACAAGATCCACTGATGTGCCGCTGATGCTGCGCTGGCAAACTCACAACCTCCTTCCCGTGTTCCCGTCCGAATCCACCCACGTGATGTCCCGTCCGCGGCGGCCAATCATCAACCCGATGTCATGTTCCTACCAAGACGCCGATGCTGAGGCTAAATGACGAATTGTTCATTTGTTGTACTTCTGGACTCCAGCTTCAAGATCTCAGCCCTTCCGCTCTGTTCATTCATGCCATCTCATCTCCCTTCCACGTTGTTATTAGTCACCTCCCCTAACAGTTGGGACTTTGTGGGACTTTGTGGTTTTCTCTTTATGTACCTGGAACTCTAGCAAGCGTCTCACTGTCTCTTCGCCGCAATCCATCACCCACAGGCTGAAACTCGCTGTTCTCTGTTTACATTTGCATTTGCATTTGCCCTCCAAAAAGTCCCCAGTCACTGTAATCATGCAAGAATCCTCGGAAGACACAACTCGTCAAAGCCCAATGGCAAGTTTTTGTGCACCAAACTGCCCCTATTTGGATTCGCTGACCCTTTACAGGAGGCAGACCCTGAGGAGGACCCTACCCTGGGCATGGTACGACCACATGCTCTTTGGGATAGTCAAAGACAGAAACTAAACTGTCTCAAAATTCTAGGATGATGACGCTATGTCCACTGCATCATTGACTTCAAGTATACGTGCCTTTGAGATGGAAAATGGAAGAACATACCACGCCCTCAGTGCAGGAAGTAAAGTCCACCCTCCCCTTAGTGACCGAGCCCTGTGTCACTGAACTCAAGTAGAGTACATCCTACCCAACGACGAGGTAAGCCAGGGCTGCAGACCGACATCCTTGGTCTCATAAGTTTTCTGACATGATTCTTTGTAGGCCGAGAATGAAAGACTTGGTCAGTGATCCATCCTTTGCCCACTTCCGACACATGTCGATTGATGTCTCTAACACTCATTCGCAGACATGCAACATGCCCACTTCGTCGCTACTTTCAACGGAAGGACGCACTTCTCCCCTGGTGCCGAGACTGCTCAAAGGGTCCTCGATGTTGGCACAGGAACCGGTATATGGGCCATCCAGTTCGGTAAGCCCCGCCTAAGGAGATAGTTAGATTCGTCACTTTACTAACCTTGACTGCAGCTGATGAACACCCGGCCGCACAGGTATTAACCTTTTGATTGAGAGAATCTAACCACGTACAAACCATGTTTTCAGGTCACTGGCGTCGACCTGAGTCCCATCCAACCCGACTTGTAGGTGAGAAATCGGATTGCTCTTTTTCGCCCGAAACTAACACCATCAGTTTACCACCCAATTGTTCATTTGAAATGGATGATATCGAACAAGCTTGGACGTGGACCTACCCGTTTGACTATATTTTCTCGAGAATGATGGTGGGCAGCTTCGCTGACTGGGATGGCTTTGTTGCCAAAGCATACGAGTAAGTCACTGTTCGGGCACATGCAGGGCGCATTCAAACCATTCTGGACTGACGCATTCTTCCCCTTTCCTCTAGAAACCTGGCTCCTGGCGGATGGCTTGAACTTCAAGATTGCATCTTTCCACTGGGAACAGACGATGGCACCTTTCACGAGGGCCAGCCAATCCACGAATGGTCCTCCCTTCTTCTCTCAGCGAGTGAAAAGTTCGGGCGATCCCTTGGCGCCGCTGCTCACCATCCCGATCGTCTAGCTGCAGCTGGCTTTATGAACATAACAATCCGACACTACAAATGGCCCACCAATCGTTGGCCGAAGGACAAGAGGCACAAGCTCGTGGGCCTGTGGACGCTGGCCAACATTGGTGGTGGGTTGGAAGGCCTCAGCATGGCCTTGCTGTCCAGAGGTCATGGTTGGAGCAGAGAACAAGTCCTAGCCTACCTCACCGATATTCGAAAAGACCTGCACAATACCGCCATTCATGCATATTGGCCTATGTGAGTTATATATGCCGTTTCGCAAGCTCCTTGATCAAAACGTGCCGCAGAACTAACTTCCAATAGCATTGTCGTATGTGGCCAAAAGCCAAAATCGTCGTCCTCTCCCAGATGAGAGTCATCATCCGCCGTCTGAGGTGAAAATGGCGATAACCACTTACCTGCGCAGATCCAAGGAGGAAGTCATGTGTCTTCCTCGATCATCCTATCCGCCTTTGAGCCATGGTCCGAGCCAGACGCAGAGCTGAACCTAGATCATCCTCCAAGTCAGAACCGACATCCAATCCAGGGTCTAAGTGACTCTAGATCAACTCGGTCGCGCCGAGTCATGAAACCACGGTGTCACGAGTCTTACGAACTGTCGACATGTGACAATTCATCCTCATCAATGACACAAGGCTATTGGAGCCTTCATGAACGGCTCTTATTATAGTGTACAGCAGGCTCTCCGTCGTTTATATCGCCGCCAGGGCATACCTGCACGATGGATACCATGAAAGATCGACTCTCCAAATAATGATCCTCACCCGCGTCCCAACAGAGGAGGAAGAGTACATCTTCAAAATTTAGAGAACATTCTGAAAAGAGAGGAGAGGAGGAAACAGCCTCAGGAGAGATGCCTGTGCGTCATTGCTGGAGTGCCCTCAAAGGCTTTGATTGAAGGCGCTGTATCATCGAAGCAAGTCAAGCCTGCTCACGAACTGAACCTTGCCCCTGCACTAGTATCGTCCATGTCATGTTCGCAGTACGAGGATGTTCTCTCCTACACCTATAAGGACCACGAGCCATATATCAGGGTGATCAACAAATCAAAGATGATCTAGTCCATAGAGATGCACACTTTCAATGAATGATGGCCAGGAGAGGGTTGTCACCGACTCACCATGTTTACATCCTCGTCCCGACTTGGGCTTAACAAGCACACACGATTGTACTGCTTCTACTGCTTCTACTGCTTTTATACTGAGATTATACATTCCTATGCAGGCGAGTGCTACCTAGTTGCTACCTAGTATGTGGCAGGTCTGCCTTGCAGGTTGACATTAATTGGAGAAAAACAGTCTCTCCTTGAGTCCCATCTATGATACATGCATGGCCTTCGTAGCGGAGGTCAGTCAGGTGGTTCCCGTCATCATCGTTGCTCACAGTGTCTTTGGCTACCAGCGCACATCTCGCTCTCTCACTCTCTCCGTGGATTGGTGGACAACCCCTTAGACACTGCAAGATAACATGAGGTCAAACTTCCCTCGAACTTTGCCATGTTCGCGTCGAAAAAAACTTGAAAACGAAAGGGGAAAAAAAGAACTCGATCATCGTTGAAGCAAAAGAATGGCAGGCCTTTGATCTCAGGCATGGTCGCCGATGGACGTCTGACTATCGTGGTCTTGGTGCGTCAAACTCCCCCCACACTGGTTCCCTCCGTCGTGGAGCCTGTTGCTGGACATCTCGAGGATCTCTATTTTGTTGGTGGGCGTGAGTCTGAGCTAGAAGTTCATCTGGACCAGCGATCTGGTCCTGGATTTGGGGTCGAGGATGCTGCTGACCAATCTCGTGGTGGGTTGGAAGACCAACTTGTTGCAGATTCATAACATCCTGGTATGGAGGAGCTGGGTGCTGCGGTGCAAAGGGCATAGGATAGGCTAACCCAGTCAAACGATCGAAGTAAGCTGCTTGAATCATCTGCCCATACGGGGAACCTTGCTCATAGGGGACAAATCCAGCTTGCTGGACAAGTATATCTCCAGGAGCAAGCGCACGTTGATGGTGCTCTTGAACTGCTGGATCAGCCTGGGCCATTTGAGGAAAGCGGGCTTGACCAGGCATCTGTCTCGGCATCTGACCCTGGTACATAGGCTGATTAGGAACTGGATATTGATTGTAGAATGGAACCTGCTGGTGGCCTTGTGGGTAGATGTTTTGCTGCTGTCGAGGTTGTGCTTGGACTTGTGCATCATGTGGATGTTGATATAGACCCCTTGGAGCAATATTAGTGCGAGGAGGTTCTATGTGGACTTGACCTGGGATTGGTGGCCGAGGAGGAACCCCCATGCCATGTTCACCGTGAATTGTAGGTAAAAGTGGTGCTCGGAGTCCAGGATGAGGTTGAGCCGGTCCTTGAACATCTGTATTAAGAGGCCGAATCTGCATGTCGAAGGACTGAACTCGCTCATGACGAGGATGAATCTCTAATCGATGAGGCACAGCTTCAACTTGAGCCTGAACCTGAACGAGTTTTGCTTGAGCTTGATCTTGGTCAGATCTAACTTGAATAGGCTCATTTTGAGGTTGCGCTTGAAGAGCTCCGAGTCGGGCGTGAGGGTTTTGGACTGGTACTTGAGGTGCTAGAAGCGGCAGAACCTGGGTCTGAGTTTGAACATCACGCACTAGAGGCACTTGTCGTTGAATCCGTCGTCGCAGTTCCTCTGATTGATCAAGAGAGAGACCTTGTGGAACTATACTGTTTGGGCTGTAATCGAGGTTCACAGGATTGCGCTCATTTCTCTTCTCGGTCAATTGACGCGAGTGTGTAAGGTTGGCTCTGCCAGAGATTTTGGCCGCCGTCATAGATACTTTTGCTACCCAAGCCCAGCGGCGATCCAGTTGTGTGATGGAGTTGTCCCGAAACTCATGGCGGAAGTAAACGAGCGACTCGTCGATGTGATGGGCAACACACGAACCATTCTTTTTTCGTAACATTGCATACAATCGTGGTTTCTTTGCAGACATGACCAGCGCTGAAGAGGATGTTGACGAGGATTGTGACTTGGAGGATATCTCAGTTGATTTAAGGATTGGTGTCACAACAATCATGTAGTTTATCGTAGTTGCAAGATTCGCAACGTTGTCCGGGACTGCCACACCAACGGCGGACTTTGGACGACATTGTGGATTTGAGACTCGAGTCATTGATGACGTCGCACTAACGCTTGATGCGTACCCGACAATTAGACACTGCGAACCAGTCTTTGACTTCGCCTCGCTCCCTCCTTCGCTCATTTCCTCTGGAGTAAGGTTTAGGCTGCGCCCAAAGACGCAATCAAAAGAGATTTGGCCATTGCCCGTACAGTGGTTAATGCGGTCGTAGACGTCTCGTTCTGGGTCGATGCGGACCGTGATGAGCTGCTCGCGAGGGTGTTGTGGCATCGGCTCCTCGATGGCCCAACCGCAGAAGTCGACGGCGATTTCTGGGAGCTGGATTGTGCCGGGCGGCTCACGCTCGAGCTTCTTCAACTCGAGTTGCAGAGCCTGATGAAATCTCAACGGGAGAGGTGCCATTGTGGACGAAAGCGAGAAAGTTGAGATAGATTGGAAAACCTGAAGGGAACCTCAATCATATGGGGTATGGTTGAAGCTCACGAGAGAAGTGATGTGAGATACTGAACATGAAGAGAAGGGTCAGGGGTAGATACTGAATACCTCTCGCCAACTGACCGAATCTCAACTACTAAGTAGAGAGATAGGGAGAGAGGATAAGAATCGGGCATGAGAGGGGGGAAATAAATAGAAAAGAGCGTTTGTGGTCGAATGAGCGAGGTAGGGAGTCAGCTAGGAGTTCGCTTCAATGCGTGGTCAAACCTGCAGGTCACGATGTGAAGGCAAGATTGAAGACAGAGGTCAGGCAGTAACCTTCAGGCAGCAGGGCCAGTGATTAATTCACTATCCACCAGGTCTCTAAGACTAAGATCTAAAACTGTGAGTCAAAGAACATTACAAGAGGAGTCAAGAGCTTCCTTACCTCGCGGTCCCACGAGAATCTTCACCGTCAGCCACCATTCCATGTCGTTGACTTGGCTTGGGGTGAGTGACAAGACCTAAGTTGTGACTCTGACAATAGAGCGTACCGAAATCAAAGCCAGTTGCCCAATATCGAGATTGAGCATTGCTCACCAAGAGAGATGAACTGAAAGGTAATTAAAGAAAATGATCATAGGTATGACCAAGCCAGCTGTCCTTTGTAGTAGCTTTTTGAGTTAAATAGCAGTCCTTGCACTGGTGTGTGAGAAATTTGCATGGACATCGCTGCAGAAAGTAGAACATGTGAAGGTCTGAAGTGTTGTGTGTAGTACGTGAGGCTGTAGGTGCTCCATGACAGAGTCACCACATCTGGGCAATGATGATCCCTATGGTCGTCTATGCAGAGGTTGATTCAAAGCTGAGCCTGGCCCGGATCGAGGACGAGTCCTTCATTTTCGTTGGTAGTTTGTTGGCGACTCGCCCGCGTGAAAACTTGTGAAGAGGTTGATCGCGGGCCTCGAAGGAGTTTCATTGCCCAATGCATGCCACTTCTCCTCCCAGCTCTCCATGCTGGCCAAACTTGCCGACGCAACATGTGCACGATCTGGAACCTTGTGAGATGTCCCAGAGGATGATGATGTGGTTGTAGATTTGGTCTCACGCCATATTTTAGACGCTTTTCTGCTGGCTCTAGGGGTGGAAAGGCTTGGCGAAGCCATGTCAAGATCTCGTTTCATCGCCGCCTTCTCAGCCTCGGCGGTATGCTTGCGCATCCTACGCGAGTATAGGGCGTCACTAAAACCGTCATTATCTCCAGTGTAAGTTCCTTCAACCATCTGACGAGTTTTGCGGTTCTTTGCTCGTGTCTGTGACAAGCGAATGCAGGTTTCGGAAAGTGGTAGGCGGCGGATGAACTTGTCGAACGATTTTCTGTGCAATTTGCGCCACAGCATCAAAGACGCAAGAATAAGTATTATCACACCTAGTAGGAATGGTATGACAATAAGATTGCCGTATCCTGATTTGACGTTCGTGGGAGCATCTGTCTGCAGAGGTGTCCAGGCTGTGGTTGCCGTAGTGTCAGAGGATGTGGTGACAATATAAGCTCCAGTCTTTTGGGATGAAGACCCTGTCAGGGGCGATTTGGTAGTGCCAGAAGCCGAGAAGGTAGATATTGTTGACTGCCTGAGATCCGTAAAGCTTGAACTTGGCGAAAACGAGATTGCCGAACCCAAGATAGTAGTGACTGAGCTGACAGGGATGACTGAGCTAGAAAATGACGTAGGAATATCGTTTGTGGCGATGGTGTTGTATGTCTAGAGGTGTCATAACAGTCAACTAACTCTGACATTCATATTTTTCAACCATTCCAGCGAGAAGAGGATAAAGCTGACACGAGAAGCTGTGACTTCAGATGTGAAGGCGATGTTGATACTGATATTGCCGTACGAGTCCATGGCCTCGCGTTGTGTGGTATTGTCTCCCAATAGTGGCAACCTAACAAAGAGGATGGAATCAAGTGGGTAAAGATGTCGGGCAAGGGGAAAGGGAAAAGGGGGACAAATAGACATCGATGACCAACGCGCGGAACTCACTTCAGTTGGGGAGAATGGAAACGTGTCCGTGGTAAGCGCGGCACTGGTCACTCCATGTTCTGCTGATAGAGAGGTACTTTCATTCCAAACAGACGCAACATCGCCACTAGAGTGATGGGTACTTGGGTCGACTTGTGAGCCTGTGTTCTCCGAGTTAGGCGATGACTTTACTGACAACTTTAAAGAGTAGAGGAGATGGCCAACCTTGAAATGATACTGTCTGACGTGAATCTGACATTATGTTGTCTGACTGATAGGTCGCTGTCGTTTCCTGGGACGGAAGTGAAGGAAGCTCGTACATGAAAATTCGCATGACGACTCCTGCAGCTGTGGCCGATGGGTAGTCAGATGCTCTTGTACTAGTCGGTAGATCAGTCGGCTCTGATAGAGTTACTCTCTCCAGCTCAAGGACACAGGTATGAATACTGGTGCTGCCACTTGCTACCTGTGCATAAGTCGTTGTGAAGGTTGTTCGTGCAACAGTGGGGACTTGTAATGTTACTAACATGTGCCCTGCTGTTGAGTCAAGAGGATTGTTGGGTTTCTTGAGCAGCAACTTGTCAATGCTAAGAGTTGGATCCAGCTGGATTGAGAAAGGCATGACAGAGACAATATGTTTCGTGGAGTCCTTCTGGCCATGATCAGGTTCAATGTTCCCAGTGCCATGATATCTTTTGCCGACTTGGTTCATAGCATGCTTCGCCAATAGATTCTGCGAGTTTCTCGCCATTGGAGCCTTCTCAGTGCTGTGCATGAATGTGCTAGCAGCTGTGGGCGCTTCCTGTCGTGCAGGTTGTGCTGCGTAGGAATCCATAGTACTATGATCGTGTTTTGCACAGCACTAGCACAGAGCGAGATCGAGAGCGGGCGTGCTAGCGAGTTTGGAGGGGAGGAGTATGAGAAGAAAGGCTGGCTAGGGTGTTCCTCGCGGAGGTGAACTCTGGCGTGTCTGTAAGAGGGAATGAACGTGCCAGAAACACCGTCCCTCACGCAATCCCCTGGCATGTGTAAGTAGACAATAAAACTTTTGAGGTCAATGATCTTATCAATCCCAGGAACGCTCACAAGTTGATTAGCAGAGCGGGACCTAGCTCGCGCGGTCAACGGATCTCCGAACCTAGTGGTATGAGATCAGAAACACCTAGGAAAGCCCACAATCCTCGGAGAGGACGAAGCTCGCCAAATCGAAAATAGGGGACCAAAGATGTGCACCGATCTGGAGGTTGGCTTGGATGCAAGAATTGAAGGGCGGAGGACTTGAAATAAGGGACAGAGTGAAAGACAAACTTGGCCAAGCCATGTAGAGTCATCTAGGAACAGGTCTTGGAGACGATAGTAACGCTTGAAGCACTAAGAGTCAACGAAGCCTCCCTTGTAGTGAATAATTACGAGGCCGTCACCAGTCGTTACAGACCATCGTGCACATTCACATGTTGAGTCAGAGTCCGCCTGCACTGAAACGCCATGAATCATTAGCACCGAAAAAGAGAAGACTGGGAAAAAGAACACTTAGTCATGAGTGATTGGTACTGGAGCAAGTCATACCTTGCCTTGGGCTCACAGATAATTTCATTCTGAGAGTCTGCTCCCTTGATGTCTGAACTGAAGAGTGGCGAAAAGATGAAGCAGGATTCGAACATGGTTCACTGTCACAGGCACGCGTCTGCAGTTCCTGCTCAGAGACAACATAGGCCTTGTGCCTCTCATTGTCGTCTTCAAGGAGTATCAGCAAAGGAGAATTGAGATGGAAGGGGATGGAAGCATTGTATCTCAAAGGTTGCAGAAGAGGATGACGCGAAGATTGCATGCTGCCCTCCTGCCAGTTGTCGCCCTATTGACTGGCGCCTTCCTCCTGCTTGCTGCCTCCGGGCTCCTGCCTCCTGCCATGTTGGGTCAAAGAAGAGGTGGGTCACGTGACATATACATCATTGGCAACAACCACTCAAGAATAAGATAAGAAGCAACATCAATGTACCAGGACGCGCAAAATGAAAGGTGCTTTCAACTTCCATATCAATTTCAAAGCTGCATACCCTGATCGTCAGAAGACAAGAAGAATGTAAAAAGACCTGCGCACCGATAATGGGTCCTTGAGTCCGGTAACCAGGCCAATGCCTCTTGTAATCCACGTGGGTCTTCATTACACTGCCAACAGCAGCAGCCGATCCAGAAAGAAAAGCAAGACATGACCCCTGGAGATTGGATGGCTATCGGAAGCAGAGGAAAAAGTCTAGACATGGAGGAATTGCGACCGGATGTTGCGCCCTAACGCCAGCAGGATAGTGGGTGTAGAAGCCGCGCTGAGACCATCGAGGCCTCGAATTGATCCCAGCGAATGGTCCCAAGTTGTTGATCCTAGGGCACCTCCCTCGCGCAACGCTAATAGACCTGGCATCATGCTCATTCTCCGTACATGTAATGGCGTGAGGTTGTCAAGAGGATAGACGAAACATCTAACAACAGCCTCCGGCTGAGCCTGACTGGACACCTTGGCCCTGACCAACTTGGACGGTAGGTTTGTTGTTGACCGTTGTGGTGCCCATTCGCTCCTTGATTTGACGAGCCATGGTCAAGAAGGCCTGTTCAACATTCGAGGCGTTCTTTGCAGATGTCTCCAGAAACGGAATGCCGAGGCTGTCTGCGAATTCCTGAGGCCTTTGTGAGTAGCCACTCGAAGAACATCCGGATCAGGACATACCTTTGCCACAGTGTATTCGACCACCTTCTTGTCTGACATATCACTCTTGTTTCCAACCAGCAACTTGTTGACGCCCTCGGTGGCATATCGGTCAATCTCTTGCAGCCATTGCTTGACGTTGTTGAATGAATCCTGATCTGTCACGTCATAGACGACGCAGATTCCATGGGCACCGCGATAATAGGAGGAAGTGATTGTTCGGAAGCGCTCTTGACCGGCGGTGTCCCACTTGATGTACTATTAGAATGTGAAGCCCACGATGAGGAATGAATACGCACGATTTGTAGCTTGACCGTCTTTCCATCAAGTTCGATCGTTCGGATTTTCTGCCCATGTCAGCCTTCTGCCTAGTTATTCATCATCGTCGCTCGACGTACGAAATCAACTCCAATGGTAGAGATGTAGGACTCGGTGTAGGTATCATCGGCGAATCTCAGAAGCAGGCAGGACTTTCCAACGCCTGAATCTCCGATAAGCAGGAGCTTGAAAAGGTAATCGTATCTGCAGTCCAGGTCAATGTTGGGTTCAAAGAAGCGATTGCTGTGGAAGAAGCATGGCTGAGAGGAGGGATCTGGATACTCTGTTCACGGTCAGCATGAATTAGCAGGCGTCATGGAAGAGAACCCGATGGGACGAGAGGGTCTCGTGTAGGGGGTTGTCGGTGACTGACCACTCTGGATTCATCTTGAGGGGCGGGTAGAAAGGGCAAAAGTCAGGGCTGAGATAACAAATCGAGGCCTGGGTCGAGGAATGATCAAACAAGAGAATCGGGCTTGGGGTGATTGCGGAAGGTGGTGTTATAGGAATGGGATTTGTGAAGACCGAGAGTGTGAGAGAGCGTGTTCAGATGATGGTGTGTCTTGGTGTACAATGGGAATCAAGCGCGGGTCAGCATGGGGAGGCACGGGAGATTCAACTGTTGGCAAGACTTGAACAACAGGTGGCAATCAAGAGTCAGCGCCAGCTAATAAGAGCCTGTGCTGAAACGTCATGGGAGTGTCGCTTTAGGGCACCACAGTGGCCAGGAGGCCTGGAGGCTGCCTGCGGGTGACTAGTTTTTAGGGTCATTCCTGGGTCCGGGCCTTCGCCTATGACACGCGCCATTCGCTTATAGGCTCCCACACCGACACCTACCAAGCCTTGTGATCAGGCTGGTGCTGCATAAGGCAGCTTTGTCGGATTCACGGGAAAGAGCGAAACACGTGACTATTCACGTGATTGAATAGGCGGGATCACATGTCCTCTGTGCTCTCAACGCAGCCTTGTGGCTCGAAGTAGAAACCCATCTATTTAGCGGATGCCAATTTCATTTGGCCCAACTTGTGAAGACTGCCCGTGGATGGAAGAACGATGGTAATCATGCCGCCTATGGCTCATGACTTTTTCGCTAGCCGGGTTTCTGGTGCGTCTGCCCAAGATCTCACGATTCAACCTTGCATACTCTCTCGCTGAGCATATTCCCCAATCGAGATCCAGGGCACCCAATGAAAACTTCCGAGGGAAATACATTGCACAGTCTATGCAAATATAACCATGTACGCTCCAGGTCTGTAGGCACCAGGGTTGAAGATGATCAATGTTGAAAACGAGTCGAAGATACGTTCCACAAATCACAAGCGAGCACAATCGATATTGCAAACTTTTATGCATTTCAAGCTTTATCTAAAGCCTTGCCAGACTATTCCTAGATGAGAGTCCTGGAGCCTTTCTACCTCTTGAAGACCCACCTAAGTCTAGAGATATGTTCAACGCAATTTCTCCGCCTTGTCTGAAGAGTAGGTGTCCTATTCCCAGTCTGAAGCAAATTCAGCCCACAAACAGCTGCGTGTGTATATATACTTATATGTCTGCCCCTGCCTCTGCCTCTACCCGCATATGTGTTATATTCCGGTCCATAACACCACATGAGTACGGGCTCGTGATGTCGTCGAGGTTCTCCTTTGAGTCTGGTACAGCGAGGTATGTGATTTAGGCAATGGGTTGAACGTCGCTTCAATGTTTCTTATTTGCTCCAACACCACGGCAACCTGGATCCATTGATCCTGAATTCGTTCCAAGACCGAGAAATGACGTCGACGAATGTGGGACAGAACATCAAGATTGTTCGCGATAACATTAGTGTATTCCCCCTCAACAACAGAATCAGGGTTGTTGATCGGTTTGGACAATATTAAGGCGTATTTGACATTAGGGTTGGAGTTTGAGTTTGAGTTCTGTAAGATGGCATCGTGGGCGCTGGTGATGTACTCGCGAACGTCTGCTGGAATCAAGTCCAGGATATTTGTCTGCCCTTCAGGTTCTGCTGCGAAGCGCTACCAGCTAATGCTGACTCTCGCTTCCAGCAGGGCAAGGACCACCAGAATGCCAATGGACAACTTGTCGTGAACGTCTTTGCCTGTAGGATAAAACAGGACACAAGACAACATCTGACAGTTGGGTGAGGGAGGAGGAAACAAAGAGGATGTCTTCCCGAAGACATGTGAAGCAGGTGCTTTGCCTGGGCCGGCTGATTCGTAGTGAGATATATATATATATATACATATATATATACCGTGAACAGACTAAGTCTGAACCGGATTGGAAGTGTGGGAGAGAGAAACAAGTCGAAGTAGGCCGCGGGAGAGGCTCAGCTTTATAGACTAGAAGGCCCCTTCCTATGACTCTGAACAAGGTAGGGTAACTTGATCGCATGATGTTCGGACGCACGCTCCATGACTGAATCACAGTCAGATGTTCAATGACACTGACATTTTCCAAGACACAGTTACGGCTGTTTGCCTCATGAGTCAACGATGGTGGAGACGAACTGTTACAATTGAAGAAGTAATGTGACTTTGTGACTATAATGCTTCAGCATTGCGAGCGGCTGAGACTTCCAGTAACTTTCAATGGTGTGAGCTGCAGGATTCAACGCCAAATGTCAGAGGGTGAAGGGGTGCAATGATTCAGCCTCGTGACTGTTCGAAGACACAGCCTTCGTGACTGAAGCATCTTATAACTCTCTCCGATTCACTCAGGCCACAACTGGCTCTTACGTTGCCTGGGTGCGGACCATACATATCAAATTCAATCAGTCTACAGTTGATGTCTGTGCTGGGCACCAGCTCTATAGGTACAGAGACGCTGAAAATTGAAGGGCTTTCTGGGGATATATAGTCGGGCTTTCTGGGGATCTATAGTCGGTCACGGGGAGGAACGACAAAGTCTCGAGAGGACATGTGTGAATGACAGAGATTACAGATCATAGGAGCAGAGAATGCTTTTGGCAGGGATGCTGAAATGCAACTCTTCTATTTTCTCTTTTCCATTTACGCGTACCCTCTCGCCTTTAGCCACTCGAGGATCTGTGCTTCGTCCCGTTGCTTGTAGCTGGCATTCCCGGTGATGGTGTCAGAAATGATGACCAAACTTCGGTTGAAAGGCCCGGTGTTCTTATCCTTGAAGAACGACAAGATGTCGTCTCTGATGGCCGTGTCGGAGTAATGAGTGAGACCATTCTTGATCCATCGATCAATGACAACACTAGTCACAGCCAAGCGCTTCTCAACCCGGGACCACTCATTCTTGGTGAAATCCCACGCTGCATTCCTCGTCTCGTTGTTGTTTGCCACTGAGATGATGCCACTATGTGCGTCTTGAGGGGGGACCGCGTCTGATGTGACAAAATTGAGCAGCTCGAGAGCGCATTCGTAGCTCTTTGACCGGCCGAGCGCAGTGATGGCAATCTCCTTGCCATCCACAGATGTAGTCTTCAAGAACTCTGCTTTGACGGTGTCGTACTCTTCTTGTCCACCGTTGGCAACCACGAGATTGAATACAACGCCTCGAAGATTTTGGTGGATTGCTTTTTCGTCTCCGGCCTTCCAAGCTGCAAACTTCTTCTGACCCTCGGAGATGATACCTTGATGGCCGGCCCCAGCAGCAGCAGCGAGCAATAATTTTCTGGACTGCCCAGTCAACCAATCCTCATTTTTGGGATATTCCCAGCCAATAGCCTCTGCTCGGGGCGAAATCAGCTTTAGGGAAAAGTTCTTCAATCCTGCCGCAATCTCCTTGTTCGAGGCAAAGACTGCGCGGACTTTAGCGAGGGAGCTTGAAATGGCGGACCATACCAGGAAAGATTCTTCTTCCTGGAATCCCTCGAGCAATGCGAGGAGTGCTGCGGTGGTACCATGTCCAGATACAGCCAAGGCCGTAGCATCTCCGAGCAGACCAATCTTGTCCTCGATTGAGAGCTGAGATTGAGCTTCACCTAGCTTTGCCAGCCTTTGCGGGGGGTAGTTGGTACGATAGAAGCCCGAAAAGTCGGCATTGATCTTGTAAAAGGAATCATCCACATCACGAATAGTATCTTCCTTAGCGGTCAAAGCACTGTGAAGCACCTTGAATGGCGAGCCAGTTTTGAGGCCCACGGGAATCCACCAAGTTGTTTCGTCTTCTTCTGTTTTCACGTCTCCTGTGCTCAGGAATCTCTCTTGTCGCAGAGAGATCTGACCGGGCTCTTCAGCCACAGTCACCACCGGGAAGCCAATCTTCCGGATCCAGGGATCCATGAAGGCGAGCACGTCTTGACCAGAGGCAACAGAAAGTGCAGCCCACAAGTCCTTGGTTTTGGCATTTCCGTAGGCATGGGCCTTGAGATAGTCGCTGACACCTTTGAGGAAGACGTCCTGGCCAAGATGATTGCTCAGCATTCGAATGACGGAACTGCCCTTCAGGTAGGAAATCTGGTCGAAGATCTGATCGACTTCAAGGGCGTTTCGAACGGGAACCTCGATGGCGTGAGAGGCACGTAAGGAATCGAGTTGAAGAGCTGATTGAACGCCTTCAGCCTGGGAACAGAGTCAATTGGGGGGAACTCAATGGATACCTCTTCGCATACGCACCACAAACTGACTCCAGACATTCCATTCGGGGTGTAGGTGATCAATGGCCAGCCAACCGACCCAAGTGGCGAAACCTTCATTCAACCACAATTCATTCCACCAGTCCATGGTGACCAGGTTGCCAAACCATTGATGAGCCAATTCATGGGCAACAACGTAAGCAACACGGTTTTGGAATCTTGCATCGGATTTTTCTTCATCGTAGAGGACGGCGGTTGTGCGATAGGTGACAAGACCCCAATTTTCCATTGCTCCCATGGCGAATTCATGAACAGCAAGTAGATCGGACTTGGGTAGGGGATACTCGATTCCAAAAATGTCGGAGAAGTAGTCGATGGTCTTGTGGGCATGTTCAAGGGCGAAACGACCTTGCTCTTTGAGACCACGCGTTGTGTAGACTCGGACTGGCAGAGGTTTGCCGTTGTATTTGCGCTCAGTGAATGCCTCGACGTATTCGAAGTCTCCAATAGCCCAAGCTGCGAGCTAAGGGCATGGGGTTAGACCAAAGGGTATTTATACACGCATGAATAGAACTCACATAGGTGCTCATGGGCGGGGTCTTCTCGAAAGAAACCTTTTTCAAGCCTGGTTTCGAACCTTTTGTCGTAGCCTTTTCAGGAGTATTGGACAATGCGACCAAGTCTTCGGGGATTTCGACCTCAAATTCGAATGTGGCTTTGAGGTTGGGCTCGTCAAAGGAAGGAAAGGCTCTTCTCGCCTCGCAAGCCTCGAATTGAGTGGAGAACATGTAATGGAATTCCCCGTCAGTTGGGGTACCTTGCGCAGGAGGGACGGTGGGCTTGTATTTGGATCGATAGAAGCCAGCCATGGCGTTATTGATGGTTCCTTTATACTGGATCGCAATAATAGCATCTCCGGCTGGTATGCTCTGGGGGAAACTGATTGTTGCCCTCTCGTCCTTTTTGTCATAAGACACATCGGTCGAAGAGGTGACTGCGGCTAATTGGAGTTGTTAGGGCTGTGGAAATAGCAAGCTACGAGGACCAGGCTTGCTTACCAGAGCCATCTTTTCCATATACCTCAACGCTGCTTATTTGGAGCTCCTTGACGTTGATGACCAGCTCTTTCGTGTCTGACTTGATCTTGGAGTGAATCTTCACCAGGCCATCAAATGACCATTCTCCGCCAAATTCTAGATTGAACAACGACAGGTCATAGTGAGTGGGTTTGATGCTATAAATCCCAGGCCCGCTGTCAGTTTTCTGTTCACATGACGTATCGGGTAGCAAGTATAGCTCACGTGTCAGGAAGGATGTCTCGATCTGTGGGAGGAGCCATGGCTGATCGAGCTTCTGCGGAACAGGAACGCAACTGAAGGTTGGAGGGGTATGTAGCAGGTCGGGGGAGGGGCAGTCTTCTAGGTCCTGCAAGGTGACGATGGAGGTTGAGGGCGGGTGTGGAGAGTTTTCTTGAGCACGCGGAGGTTGTGTAGATGAAGCGGAATCGTCTGATACCAAGTGAATGGCGAGGGCCAGCCTTGAGAGAAGAGAAGAGACCAGCAGTGAGTCTAGACTCCAACATGAATGGTGAGGTCGAGGATCCCACCTACAGAACAAGCACCAGTTGCAGTTGCAGTTGCGATGCTACCGGAATATAGGCGCCCAGCGGAAGGAGATGACCGATATTTGAGGTTTATTTAGGTTGGAGATGATGAACAGACTTGGACTCATGTAAGGTGATGTCCAGTCAGTTCGGGCTGAGAGAATCAGGTACCAACGCTAAAAAATTATAAGCTCCTATGGAGCCTGGGGGGGCACATCAGCCCGAGGGGCCCTCTAAAGACCCCTAGGAACCCTCTGCCCCTCCTTGGTGGGGTACATACAAGATGTGTAGGTTGGCAACGGCCAAAGTCTCTTATTACCGTGTACTCGCTGGGAGGAATTCAGGTACAGAGGAAACCCAATCTTGGTGAATCTTCTCACGGAAAACTACCGAGTAATTCTAATTGAATTGTGAACGCCATTTAAATGAAAAGTCTGAATAGGTACCTAGGTGCCTAGGTAGCCAGTTTCAGATGAAGAAAAGCACCCTTCCTGCACCAACGGTTTACAGATGTTTGTAGGCGATGTGTCATGAGATTAGGCTGCAATGAGGCCCGAGGGCCACAAATTGACACCCAATGATCCCCGAGCAAATATGTCCAGGCGCCACAGGCCTGAGGGCGCCTGGCGCCTTAAGTAGAACCACTAGAATCCACCAAACGCGTCGACTGCACAGATGATTACGCGACTCCAATAATTTCATCTCCCCACATCTTAGACGAAGCCATCTCAACGTCACCCATCTTTTCTAATTTTGTTCCCGTACTCTGATCATGCCGGCGCCCGGGGATGACCATGGCGATGGAGGCTCCGATGAAGATGCAATACGAGCCCCTGGTCGATCCAAAGCCCGACAGGCAAACGACCATGACTCCGCTCGAGACTTTGAAGTCACCCGCACTTGGGATCTGCTCACCGAAGCCGCAGATGGCACAATCACTGGTGCAGTTGAAGGATTGTTGGAGGCAGGTAAGAGGAAGAGGTAAGAAATAATAGAACCCATCAGCATATCTCTCTTTCTCTGATCTATGGTCTAAATTATGCAGACTGCTCAAAGATACCACCCCTCTCCAACGAGGCATCATACGCCACCTCATCCTCATCCTCGACATGTCTCTGGCCATGAATGAAAAAGACCTTCGACCGACCCGCTACTTGTTGACTCTCCTCTACACCGAATCGTTCATTCGTGAATACTTCGAACAAAACCCCATCTCCCAACTGGGCATAGTGGGCATGAGAGATGGAATTGCTGTCCGGGTCAGCGATATGTCAGGAAATCCCAACGATCATCTCACTGCCATTCAGCGCATTCGAAAAGAAGAGCCCAAGGGAAACCCGTCGTTGGAAAATGCCCTCGAAATGTCCCGGGCCGCCTTGTTCCACGCCCCCAGCCATGGCACTAGGGAAATTCTACTTGTCTTTGGTGCTCTGCATTCCTCCGACCCAGGCGATATCCATAACACCATCAATCACCTTGTCATGGACAAGATCCGTGTTACGGTACTAGGATTGGCAGCTCAAGTCGCCGTATGCCAGGAGCTAGTACGAAAGACCAATAATGGGGACCCCTCCAACTACGGCGTTGTCCTTCACGAACAACATTTTCGAGAACTCATGATGGCCGTCACAACCCCTCCTGCGACCACTGAAAAGACGAAATCCGCCAGCACTCTCCTCATGATGGGATTTCCTTCACGCACCGTCGAGGACCATCCGAGTCTCTGTGCCTGCCACACCAAACCCAGTCGAGACGGCTATCTCTGTTCGCGGTGCAACACCAAAGTATGCAACCTGCCTTCGGAATGCCCTGTGTGTGGACTCACTCTTATTCTTTCCACTCATCTCGCCCGTTCTTACCACCACCTGTTTCCTCTTGTGAATTGGATTGAAGTGCCATGGTCACAGGCCAGAAGAAGCACTGCTTGTTTCTCCTGCCTCAAACCCTTTCCACCGGTGCCGCCTAAGGAAGAATGGACCCAACCAAACTCCAACAGCAGTCGGTACGGATGTCCAGTCTGTCATCGTCACTTCTGTATTGATTGTGACCTTTTCGCCCACGAGGTCGTCCATAACTGCCCTGGATGCCAGAGTGCAAGACTGTCCACAACCTTAATGGGCGAGACCGAGATTCCTCAGGAAGATGGCTCTTCGAAAAGCGGGCCCCCATCGAGGAACCCTATCGAAAATGGTGGCGCGCATAATCAACAAATGCTAATAGATCCTTGAGATATCAATGATTAGCCTAAGCCACCGACTCTGCATCAGAACGACCAGAATTGAGACTGGGGCATTATTCTATCACCTGGAAGCTCAATAGCGCCATTATCATATGATGACGTTTCTGATCACCACGGAGCTCTGACATCCCAATTACATTCCCTTTCCCAACAGAATGAACTGTCCTGCTTGCGGCCGAAATGAGGGAGGCACCGGGCAACGTTATCGTGATCTGATGGTATGAGGGAGGATAGGTCAAGAAGAATATAAGTGGTCTCTTCACAGAACTGCCGATGCCGAGCAAGGAAAGAACCACATGAAGCCATCAAAAAAAGATCAAACACAACGAGACTTCTGGGACTCTTATGCTAGGGATTAATATACCCCTGACTCATCTAATTCAACCACGAATATCCACGCGGCTATACGAAAGAGGTCCGGTCATGTCAACATCCACGGGCTGGTGGTTGACCCCGTCCCCAACAGACAAAGGAGGATCAGAAACGCTACAGAAACGATGGAAGGAAGCAAGTCAGGAAGAATCGGAGAGATGAAGATGCCAATTCTCGCAATGACAATCATAATGATGGTCATCGGCAGCTGCAGCAATAGCAATCGCACTATTGATAACGTGAGAAGCAAAATCCTAATGTGAATCAGTCACCACCAACACCGCCCGCAAAATTCCAAATATGCCTATTCCGTGTCGTAAGAAGCCTTATTGCAAAAGGGAATTTCAGTTGGCCACCTGAGGCCCATGGCCTCCCAACCCCAATTCCCAACCTGGATTACCAACTATCTGAAATAACCCGTGACCAACAGATCGAAACTCTTCTCACGGTCTTCCATGGCATCGAGGCCTCTCAGATCAACCTGCATTCTTTCCGCAATCTCCTTTTGCTGCCACTGGATGTCGGTCATGATGTTGTTGCCCGCAGTACGGTCACCGAGGGGGTCATCGAGCATAACCTCGGCCCTCTTCCAGGTGATGCGGGCGATGGTACCGTCGATGACGCCGCCCGAGTTGACCTCAGCAATGTCCTGGGCCTTGTTGAGGAATGATATCGCCTTTTTGTGGTGGTCTTGTTCGAATTCGCAGCACGCGATCTTGTAGCATGCCGCCGCTGTAAGAGGGTGCATCGGGTTGAAGTCCTTGGAGATCTGTCGCGTCAACTCGAACGATTTGGCCGCCGAGACGACGTCACCCTGGGCAAACTCGAGATTGCCGTACGCGTAGTATAGATGGGCCATGAAAGACTTATTGCTACCAACCTTCTTGTTGAGCACGCCCTCGCATTTTTGGTACTTGCTGTACGCCTCGGTGTACTCTTCGCGCAGGTAGTGTATCCGTCCCACTTGCATGTAGCTGATGGCAAGCATCATGGCCGCGTTGTCCCCAATCGCCTCTCGAATATGTCGCGCTTTTTCCACATACTCCATCGCGGCATCAAGATTGCCTTCTGCCATCTCTATGTTGCCTAGATTAGAGAGTGTATTGGCAATTTCCATGTCCCCCTCTGGCAGAAGCCGCGTTCGGATCGCGAGCGCCCCTTCCAGAGCATCACGTGCTTTGCCCAAGATATTCTGCTCGTAGTAGGTAGTGCCTTCAGTGTTGAGAAGATGGGCGTAAGTAAGCGAGTCCTTATCTTGAGCTGCATTGCGTGCAATATTAATCAAGGTGAGGGCTTCGTCATAGTCGGCAATTTCAAAGAGGTACCTATAATTCAGTCAACAGACAGGCTCTGTTACTTCATAAAAGGTCTACAACAAAAGAGGCGTGGCTTACCATGCAGCATTAGCCAAAAGTCGCACAAAATATGGGGCAGACGCCATTCCCTTGAGTGGGAACTCATCTGCCGGACGATTGGAGGCATATAGTCGGTACTTGTATGCCAGGGTGACGACATGCTGGATCCAAATTCGACACCAGTACCAAGCCTCAGTAAGCGGTCGGCCATCCTGCTGTTTGGGAAAGGCATCATATAACAAGCAAACCATGGCATCGTAGAACTGAGTCAACTCCTCTTTACCCTGGTAGTTTACGGCTTCCTGAACGGTTCGGTGCATGGAGATCTGGCGGCCGGTCCGCTTGATCAAACCTTTACGTTGTAGTTCGTCGAGAGCTTCGCTTAGTCGAGACGATGGATTCACGACGGTCTGAATAGATGGACCAGGTACGGTGGTATTTGCGCTTACGCCGGAGGTGCGGCAAAATCCGAGTTTGTCCGTCAACATTCGCTGGTCACTGGGCAGGAAGAGATCCAGCAGTAACGAGTCTGGCGCCAGTAGGGAGATTCCTGAGAGGATGTTTTTCGCTGGAGTCTCCAAGTTCTTGAACGCAATGTTCCACACAGTATCAAGAGACTGTATCAGAGGATCACGAATCGTAGTTTGGCGGGGTGGCAGCGTATGGAAACTCATGTTGAACAACTCCATATAAGCACGGACGGTGCCAGTTTCGTTGATCTCGGGATCCCGGATCTGAGTAGCGGCGTGGCGAATAGCAATAGGGAGACCACCGGTCTTCTTCATCAGAGCGGCAATGGCTGCTTCTTCAATCTCGTGCATCATATCCTCAGGATCAAGATGCCGACCCACCCATTCATCACCGAGCAATGCCAGAAGCAGATTTCGTCGTTCCTGGTCGGTGAAAAGCTGGACTGTCTCACCGTGTCGATTTTCGTCTTCAAAGAAATTGTGGAAGGATCGAGATGTCAGCAACATAGCTCCATGGCCGCCTGAAGGCCAGTAGCCCTTCAACTGCTGCTCACGTTCGGCGTTGTCATAGATGAGGAGCCATCGTTTCTGTGTATGGCGTAGCCATCTCAAAACGCGCATCAGGTTTTCATCAAAAGTGGTATTGTTGTCGGCACCTTCCAGCTCTAAAGCAAGAGCAACGTCGGTGAAACTCTGTCGCAGGGCAGCCTTTGTTTCTGATTGGATCCAAAAAATGGCATCGTAATCCTTCTTGTAGCGTTTGGCATATTCCAGCGCGATCTGGGTGCAAGTCATGAGTTAGCCATGGGTCGTTCCCTTATCACTGACGAAATTAACTCACCTGAGTCTTGCCAATACCTCGTCGACCGTAGATGGTATAGGTACGAATTGGTGGGTTCTCTCTGACGCCCAGCCAGGCATGGATCTTTTCAATATCCTTGTCACGGCCCGTGAAGTGGTCAGTGCGAAAAGGGGGCAAGAGCTCGAGGGGAAAGATTGCTTTCTCAGATCCATCCATCTGCTCGACACGCTGTCTCAAAACACCAACTTCGGCTGCATATGAACTTTCCTGGACATGGTTGACTCTGCTGTTATTGGTAACCTCACGCAGGTGCTTGATGGTCATGTTCAGAGCCTCAGAAGTCTCACGGATCCTGGGGTCCATAGAGCTTGAGTAGTTTGCCGAGAAATCGGTTTCTGGAGGAAAGGACAGGGTTAGCCACACCTGTGGAAAGATAAGTAGGATTCTAGTACTCACCATCGTAGTTGCGTTGGAGATAGAGGATAGAATGTCTGAGTAGGGCAATCAATGGCTCCACGACACCCATAATTTCAATGCGTATTGAATTATCGGCATTAGTGTTGAGCTCCATCGAGCTGCGGACTGCATTGACAAGCAGTTCCAGGTTTCTCCTTAGCTCATTCATCCATCGGTGGGTTTTTGAGAGCTTGGAGGGAGAGTCCACAGAGAGCTAATGTAAGGGTCAGCTGCCGTTAAGACGCAACATCCTCACTAGATAGAGAGTACCTTGACATTGAGATAAGCCAATCTCCAGAGAGCACTTGTGTCGATAGTTTTGACTTCGACGACATCATCTTTGGAATCATGGTTTTCCACCACGAGTTCCTGAATGAGCATCTCAAAGTTCCACAGCCATCTGACAAACTGGACAATGACAAGCAACATATTGGACCTCAAGGCCGAGCCCGACTTTTTGGCATTTTCACGTGCTTTGTATACCCAGTCACTGAAGACTTGGTGGGAAGTGAAGTCATTGGATTGTTCTCTATCTGTCTTGGTCAGATCATGAAGTTCGTTGGCGTTTTTCCATGCTTCAATGAGGAACTCGCGAGAGTCACTGGGCTGCTGTCAGTAAGGCTGAAGGAGGGAAGGGTGACAAGGTGGATCTTTACTCGAAATCTGGATAGCAGGGTCAGTCTGGTCAACGTAGTGAGGTTGCTTCTCGGTAATGTACCAATGTCCCACTCATCTTCCTTCATCGCGGCCTTGAGCCCATAGGTGTTGGTGACCCTGCCCGACATGGCTCCAAACTACATGAAGGCACCACAAGGCTGAGGGGTTCAAGACAGTAATCAAGCTGTGGACAGGGACGGGTTGGTTTGTGAGAGCACAGTGACCAAGAGTCTTGACCTCGCAGCTCTGGAGGGGTCACGATCAGGCTGAAAGTTGACTCTACAGGAAAGAAGAAAAGACAGGGAGGGAAGGGAAAGAGGAGGGACTCCATGGATCATATGGTCAGCCCGTGTCCTTGAACAGAAGAAGATACAGACCCGAAGACCAATGGTAGATTGAAGGAAGTCCTTGGTGGGATGGTCGACGTGGCTGCCTTGTGCGCCTTGTGGTTCGCAAGTTGGCCGACGTCGAGCAGCGTTGGCCGGCAATGCATTGGACCTGGACCAGTAAAGATAGACCTACATCTGTAGACATGCGGGTTGAATGCACATGCTGAGGCACAGGTGCCATACAAACCGGGCAAAAGAGGTGACATGAAGTATGGACTAATGCACGGGGCTTTGAGCAAGTGAGGAGGAGAAAGTGGATGCTGGGTGGGCGTTGGGCAAAGAGGGCAAAGAGGGCAACCACGAGTGGGATTGGGCGTGGACATGCGGCAGGAGGGCCGAAGCGCCGCAAAAGTGGAGAGCCAAAGGAGGCCCGCTGGGGCCTGATGCCCTCGTGCCCCAGAGAACTCCTCCATCTTGCATGCATGCATGGCCACACGTTCAGGATTCTTATTAGAGAAATGATAGGCGGGATCCTGGACTTGGTACCACCGAAAATGAAAGCCTGCAGTTCTCAGTGGAGGATATCAATTAAGAATTGTCTTTTTTTGGTAACCTTTTGGATACTTAAGATGAATCGAAACCCCCCAGTATTAGGAATCAAGGTTGCCACTCAGCATACAAGCATGCTCACCTAAACACCCATCGCCATGCTTGCAGAACCTTGGAACAAAAATCCTCCACGCCATGAGAATGCAAACACAAGCAAAACAGGAATGAAACCGTCATAGCTCGTGAGGCGTAAGGTTGCCCTTATTGCTAAGAGTCGATTGACTTTTGACCACGTTGAATCACCAAGCCTCTAATGTATGTAAAATGCAATATCGTGGAGGGAGCCGAAAACGATGCGAGGCGGACTGGGTAGGAATAGAAAGGTGTTGGATCGGTGGAAAGGAGAATCGTCTCAGGTTTTATGCGCCAGTTGAGGATGCTCGCCGACGCGTCTAGTAACCACCCAGACTTGAGGTTCCTAGTTCAATGTTAGCATGGATCTTACAGAGACATCTCTGGAGGTGGGATGACCTGCCGTGATCATGCTGGAGGGAGCAGACGACCAACATCTTGTCGACAGCACCGGGCTTTCGAGACGCGTCTTGTCTGGCTGCGAGAAGGGCCATCCATGGACGTGCCTTTTCCTTGTCGTTGGCGGGAAAACCGGCAGGATCGACTGACTCAAAAAAGTTGGGAGATCCAGAAGATCTGGTCATGGTGTTCTCCTCGGTCGCGGGGCGGGGTGACATTTTGCCTGAAATGGTTCAAGTGAGGCTGGAGGTCCAGGGTCTGGAGATTTTGTTGATGCGATAAAGAGTGTGAGATATGGATCTGGGGTGGAAAGGGCTGTGCAAGACTAGGGGGTGTGTACCGCCTGGAAATTGAGGTGCTTTGGCAAAAAGCAACACTGGTGGCGCTGGATTGAGCTTGAGATTGCAAGTGCTTAGTTGGCTAGAACAAAGTCTCGAAAAGTGGGCGAGCGTGGGGACTGATGAGGTTCAATAGATGGAAATGGATGAATCTGGAAGATCCAAAGAATACGGGGATTTGGGGGCGAGAAGAAGAGTCCCGGTGGTGAGTTTGACGCCTGAGGAGGTTTTGGAGGAGGTTGGGGCTGACTGGCTGTCACCCATAGGAAGGAAGGTGGCAGGTGCTCGCGCGATCAGTTCAAGGCCCGAGAGTGAGGAACAATCAACGAGCAATAATAATGTAATAATAAAAATGTCTCAAAGGGCGTTGCTGACACCTGGGTCGGATCAGCCTCAGGGGAGGCACACAGGGCAAAATTTAAGAGTTGGATGCCAGGCAGACTGGCAGGGAGGCTGGCAATGATACTGGCGTTGTCTTCTCCAGGCTCTTGTGTGTTGGGGGCTGCAACAATGTCATTTTACTTCAGGCTTCTTGCGTCCTCGTTTGCTTTATATCATCACCTTTTGGGTTACACACCATCTTGTCTCTCAGTGACTTATCAATCGTCCCGCTCTGGTGCTCCGTTACTGAAGATGCCTATGCGTGCTAATCTTTCAGTCTGACCTCTACTGTCTGTTTGTGGCAGTGACTCTCCTTGCCGATCGGATAACACATATCCCCTATCTAGGATCCCCGATTGTCATCCCATCTGTGTTGTTGTTGCATCTACGGAAACGTGAGAAACCGGGCGCCCTACTGTGAGTCGAATGCCGGCATGCAATCTGTCGAGCAACCCTTGCGGCACCCATGCGACACTCTCCTTGGTCTCATGTTCTCATGTGTCCTCTACTCTTGTCAGACACCCCTGGCATGGTGTGCATGATATCTCGCATGTTTGCCGTTGGTCCCCGTGAACCTTGACCTTAGTGATCGTCTCTCGTGGAGTCCATTAATACACCGCCGTGGAGGGGTAATCTGAGCGAGCATCTCATGCTTGAGACTTATTTTCCCACACCAGCTAGTATCCAATGATAATGGTCAACTCCTGAATTATGTCGGTCCTGCGAAAACTTGGACATGTCTGATAAGGATTTTGAGAGGCTGTGTAAGTAATTCACTGGAACCACTGGTTGGTGGTGCAGGGTTTGCAGGACCCCAGCCACTGGGACTCGTCTTCCCAGAACTCTTTGACTTACTCGGCGTGGTCTAGATCGGTTATACCCAACGCCGAGATCGAACCACCCAACATCTTACTCCGCGAATCTGCGTTCTACCCTGGTGTTGCATACCAAGGGGTATCGAATTTCTTTCGGCTTCCATGCGACACCCCTCATCAATTCCTTCCGGTCCATTCCTTTGCCTACATGACAATAACAGCGACCGTGGGAGCTCCGCCGCCCACCCGAGACATAATCCAGGTACAGACTAAGTAGATTACTCCAATCCATCTCAGCCTCTTGTTGCTGGACCCCGCGATTTGCCTTCTCTGACCCGATGGCCCTCTGGCACACCGACAGCCTCAAAGCCCAGCACCTCGCTAACAAGGGTCTACGTCGGCAATAGAAGGACACATATAAGCCCGTGATGCAAATTGCATATGTTCCTATTATCATACCCCACTGGTGCCCAACGTTTTCCCTATGCCGACCACAACTTGGTAATCACAATGGATCGAGTTTCGATTGACCGTCGTTTCTCTGCCTGATCAGGGGCATGGGGGAGGTCGAACGAGACATGAGGACAGACTGCGCCACTGTTAGAGCACCATCACATGCCTCTTGTCAGAAAACTTACATCGGGCCGTCTTCTCAGATTGTGTATCGTATTCAAGGAAAACCAAAAGCTCATTGCTGCGTTGCTTTTCCAGCCAATACCTTCCCCAGGTCAACGGTGCCATTGATTCACAAAAATCATCACCTACCACTGTTGCTCGTGGCTGTGCTGAAGATAATAAACCTCCCCAATGCGGTCGGGTAGGATCCTGTCCGCAGCAACCAGATCCGAAGGCGCGACAGTCCGGGTGTCGCAGAGTGCCAAAGGGCGGTCCTCGAGAACCGCATTCAACGGTCGCCAGGTACTATTTCCTGTTAGAATAGCCACCATTGTTGGGCTAATATTACACTCACTTGAACACCCGAAAACGATAGCCTGGTTGAAGGTATTTGGACTTGTCTTCTTGCGTCAAATGCCGGTTGATGATGGCCGGTCCAGAACTAAATGTGACATCTCGACACGACTCAGTCAAGCTTGAAACGACGCCATGTGGTCTCTTACCGTTGTGTGCACCTTTTGCTGGTCCCTCGACTAGCAAGGGGTCATAAACATCAAATTCAGTCCGGGAAAGCATTTCATTCTTTCGTAGGCGGTGTTCATAAGTCACAACTCTCTCTGCTTTGAAGCGGTGTGCGAGGAGGTCGTTGATTTGCGAGCAGTATTCCACAATGTTTTGTCGACTTTCTAGAGCCTGATGCGAAAAGTCGTGAGTTGTGTATTCGAACCCACACTGGTCGAGGCAGAGATCTGGGGTTTCCCGCATGTCCCGAATAAGGATGTTGGCGTGTGATTCGTATTCCATATTGTCGAGCCGAGTGTTGTCTAGATCGATGTCCTCATCTTTGCCCGGCAGATAGAGATAAGGCTTTTCCGTCTCGTATAATGGAGACTTTGCCAGAAACTCCAGGGTTGCTCTAACTGCAGGCATGACTACCGCTGCTTGCTGATTGCCAGGACAAGGAATTGTGCAATGTCAAAGCTTCTCAAAAAGAACTCTTTCGAGTGCACTGATATGTCCTGAACATCAGATTTCAACGCTTGGTCATGACAGCAGAGAGACTCACAAGTAATGTCAGGTGATTTTCACAACGCCTTCAATGTGAAAGCACCGAGTATAGGTGGCTCATGGTAGGTTGAACGGGAAAGGTGAATGGAGGGTTGCCGACTCGCCTAAGAGGGTGCATGCAGAACGACTATTGATGAAGAAAGCCTGAGTAACGAGCGTAACATTATGATCCTAGGGGAAGATATGGGCTGAGCAGTGCAGTCAGTCTGAGTTGAAGAGTCACGCTTCGGTCACGATGACCGAGTGATGGAGAGGGCAATGGCGAGAACCAACAAGGAAGGCACGATGTTGGCGGGAGGGGTCCGCGATGAGGAAGGAACAACGGAGAATTGATCATCCGGGCCTCTCCTCCTCTTTGGCCTTGCATACATGTCGTGGCATCTCACATAGATGATGGTCGATACCTTTCAAGCCATAGATGTCTTGATTGATTAATCGATGCACACTTATCTGTGACTGTAGATGGCATCCACTGTGTATCTCAAGCACTTTGATACGGCCTAGCTACCTACTAATTACGACAATTGGCCACTCATGATCACCGTCACAACTGGGCGTAGAGCCCCCACCACAACCACAATATAAAGTACCAGGCATCTTCTCCAAGAGGGCTGAAGACATAAGGTCTATCAGCTTGTGTGTTTAAGGATTGTGAGAAATGACATGGGCCAGGCGACAGAGACAGAGAATGCAGACGCAGAAATGGTACCAACCTCACGCCTTTTCTGGTCCAAATCGCCAGCTCAAACCCTAAGTCCTATTTGATCACGAGAACCAAGTGCGCGACCCTCTAGCAATGGCTCTTGTCAGAGTGTCAGACTTGAAACCGGACATGTGGTGCGGCTGTGTTTTCAAAGTGATGCGTTGGCCCAAGGCCACCGATTCTAGCGACGAGTTAAATGGCGTTATGGCGGTTGCCTTGCATATTTAGCCCCCGCCCACATCCCTCATTTGCTCATTCCATGACACTCATCTGCCATCAAAACCCAAGACGTCGGCCTGGCAAGGTTGAAAAGCATGCACTAAGCCACTGCAAATATGATGCAAGATCATCAAATCGGGCGCGCAGAAAGGCCACTGGTTTGCGGAGCCTCCCACAAGCGTGTTGGCCATGTTGGAGCTCACACGCATAAATACCCTATATCGCCATCAGAGGTCTTCGTGAGCAAGAGCACAGCCTCGTTTTGACCGACTCGACCCTTGGACATTCTTTGTTCCGTGGCATAACCGACATGTCAGTCCACGGCTCCGAGATCGAAGACAAGAGCATTACTGCCAGGCTGGATCCCCTAACACCACTTCCCTCCTTTCAACCGAGAAGCATTATCCGAGCTTGGTCGTTGCAAATTAAGCAGCGAAAGACTGCAGGCTTAGCACATGACGTTGTCTCCTTCGATTGGGATTATGGAGGTAAGAGGCTGAATGACGTGACTTTTGAAAAGCAACGGGTGCCCATGGACGAACGTGGTCTCTGTGATGGGAAAGACTACTCCACCGTCGAGACGTGATGCCTGATGCTACTCACTCAGACAATCCAATCCTTCCTCGCTGACATCTTGCTAGCTTCGCGACTCCACCGCGCAACTGCAAATCTCCAGAGAGCCATCATGGGAAATGACCCTCTGGACGCTATCAGTACTCAGTCTTGGGTTTGGTTCCAAAAGTACTTAGAAAACAAAATCACACCTTTACTTCGAGACAAATTGATTGTCCCAGTCGTGACGGATGTCTCTCTCGATGTGATCGGCGATGACACTTCTGGAAAAACAGCCATCTTCACTCTGATTACTGAAGTGGCCAAGTGCCTGGTCAATGACGGAGAAGTCACCCTTCCCGGTATCGTCGATCACCTCACCGAGGTCAAACTTGAGGATAGTCGCTCGGAGAAAACCCAGCTGCTTCTGATCGAGGGACGACGTGAGCTCGCAACACATTTGGTCTTTCACGTGATTGGGTGGATCACTGCCATCTGGGAGCCCTTATTATTCGAAGTCCTCGATTCGAATCTGGCCGAGTCCCGGTTGTGCATTGCCGGGGCGTCTTGTCAACGACGACGGCCCGGGATCTTGTACCATCCGGTTGTGCGGAATCCCTCTCTATCCCTGCAAGGTCTGGCACATCAGCCACTGCGTCAAACTGCTGGCAGGTTTGGGAAATTGTTCCCCGTGCCTGAGCTCTGTCTCGAAGATAATACTCTGGGCACAAGAGACATAGAGTCTGCCTGCATTACTACCGCCTATCTGTCGTATCACAGCTTGGCCAATATTGTCGACGTCAAAATTGCATGGACGAGCACCCTGGGACAGCATCTTGAGTATGACCAGAGACACAAGAAACTGTTTGTCTTTAAAAATCCATCCATCTGTCTCTTACTTTATCGGAAGACTTCCAAAAGTATACTGTCCGAGGTGTTCAAGCCAACCCAACAAAGCCAAAGCATGAGCAAGCTATCTGGGGGTCTTGAGCAGGTCGAGTATGAAGACTATCTCGCCGAAGTTCTTCTCTCTTATCGGCTCGTGTTCGCTCATGACCAGAGGTCTGGGAAACTGATTGGACGTGAGATCGATGCTCTTGGGCCGGACTGTGACCCTCTTCTACGCACACTCTGCACAGAACCTAATACTTCTGACAAGATCAAAGAGATCTATAATCGCCTTGACGCTGAATCATGCGAGAATTACGTCTTCATAGCAGAGTTCCCCTTCCTGGCCAAGCGCTTTATTCGACTGCAAAAAGCGAGCATGGGTCGCAATCCTCACTCGATTCGCAGGCTGTGGTATGACAGACGCAACCCTCCTGCGTGGTTTGCTCTTTGGGCAGTCCTCATTATCACAGGAGCCACGCTGCTGTTGCAATTCTTGCAGCTTGTGTTTCAAATATACACTCCTTTCTGAAGGAAAGGTGGCCTCCCCTTCTGCGCTTCAGTTTCTGAGAGAGATTGGATCATGCATAATCATTGGCTCCAAAGCGGCTCCCGGAACATCATCAATCCCAAGACGTGCCAACATATCAATGCCCAGGGCAACACGCTCCAAGACCTAGCCTTGAGCAGCCTTGGAGATGAAGGGTAGGTGCACAATACTTGGAACTCACGTGAAATCATGTGATCATGGTAATGCAACTGCCTTGATAAATACCCTACCGGCTCCAAGGCATATTGCACGTGCCCAAGTCAAGTCCTAAGTGCCCCGCAGATTCTTACTCTGATATCGATAACTCAGTCCAAATGGGACTTCATTACATAGACTACGCATTGAGAAGGACAAGCCGTCTGCAGAAATTGGAAACAACGCTTAAGAGTAGATGAGGCAGTGAGAGGATGAAAGTGATCAGGTGAAATATCCGCCCGGAGGATTTGGTGTCCACGACGCGTCTTGAGCAATCGCGAGGCGCGTGTAGCGGAGCGGAGCGGGTCAGATAGATTGAGGCAAGAGCCAGCCCGCTAGTTGCAGTTAGTGCCTTGCTCAAAGCCATCATTGGCTACTGATATCAATTGACCCTCTATTTACCTCAAACTATCCTCTTAGTACTACGGGGGAGTTTACAATATCTAAGCACATTTCTTTGCTGAGCAATTGTGGAAATTCAACCCCCAATCTTGACAATTCTCTCCTCTCAAGGACTGAATCTTGATATTCTAATCCATGTCCCCTCACTTTGCCCATACCTTTCTTGTTCCCGCGCCAAGGCAGAACATCCTCTTATTAGCAGAATCAATAATCACTTTTGTCGCAACTCTAATTCGCTGAGCCAGAAGGGAGAGCGCGTCGACATTCAATAGAGAACAGAACTGCCTATTCACCGGATTTCATATCAATCACCTGCTTTCAATTCTCCCATCGAAGCCCAGGGGCAGAAACTCTTGGAAGAAGACACCGCCGCATCGTCAACATTGCCCTTCTGGACTCTTGGAAACGCGGTCATCACGTCAAGGCAATCTTTCGTCTTGCATTAGATGATTGAACTACAGCATCAAATCTGAAACCAACCTTTTGCGCCATATACTATGGGGATTGAGCATCACCTCACAAAGCGCGTCGGGTACATCTGCCCAAGATGCTGAGCGCGAACAGCGATATCAATAACAGCCGTCCGGACCGAAGATTTCGTTATGCAGCAGGCGACTTCGGTTTTGAAATTCTGAGATCTCGTACCCGCGCGAATTCTTTCTTGCAAAAGAACATTGATTTATTCCTCGACAAGCATCAACATCGACTGCAAAACACTCTGTCACAGAACTCTCTTCAATCCCACGGTATAAGCACAGCCAGTAACTCTCACAGCCCAGCTATTCCCGACCAGGCCTTTGAAACTAAACGCCACTCCATTTCTTCTTCCAACATGAGGGGACGTGGTGCAGCGGTCAATTCTCAACAAGCAACCCCGCAATCACAAGGAGACCTGGCTGGCAATGGTCCTGCTCGGGGCCCAGATTCCAATGCTCGCTCATCAACGTCTCGGCGCAGTTTGAGACAGTTGGACCATCAAAATTTCCAGCCCGAGTCTAGTAAGCAGCTGGTAATTGACCTCAAAAACATTCGAAAGAAGCTCAACTTCAAAACGAATTGGCTCCAGGATGACGAGCGATCCGCCAAACGTCGCAAACGAGATCAAATTCGTTGCAAATGTCATCTGACGGTTTGGGATAATCGTGATGGTGCCTCAGAATCTCCCCTAAGAGCCCTGACAAAAGACTGCTGGGTTACACCTCTGGAAACGGCAGCCGATGGTTTCTTTGTGGACATTGAGCTGTCAAGCCCATTTATTCTTACCCCACAAGATCTTATGGTCACTCGGCAAACCAAACACGGCTTGATAACTTCCATTATCGACAAATATTTTATGGAGATCAAACTACTCCCATGTCGCCCTGGAGGTGTTTGGCCACCTATACCCACTCTGGGGAAAAGTGATGGTGATCAATACGCACCACATGTCAAGGCCGACTCTGGAGAACTGCAAGGCGCCCTCAGTGCTCGGTATATGCGCCTACCATTGCCCCCAGAACGCGACGTAGCCTTGAGTGTATACTTTTTGTTCGGTGGTATCACATATCGCACCAAATACGGTTTGCAAGTCTTCTCTGAATGGCAACCCGCAAAGTTTCCGCAGGCACCAAATGGCATCGACCTGGCCTATTTCAAACCAGAAGCGCCACCATCGCCACCAACCGTTGGACGGAGAAGCAAGACAAGGACAAAGTCAAATGGCCCAGTTGTGCTGCCAGATCAGCAAAACAATCACGGTAGCGGGGCCAACAAACGAAAAGCTGGGCCAGATACCACAACCCGCAACTCTTCTAACAGCTATGGTACTTCTATCACTCCTGAGGTTTCGTACACATTCGCACCTGCATGCTCTACGGACTTCAACCAGACACGCCCTCGGGCCACAGTCGAGGGCTACCGTTGTGTGACATGCAGTAGATGGAAGGCCGATAGGTTGGAAAAACTTCTGTTTCATCTGTCTACCTGCCATCCCAAGTATATCTTCGAAGTACAAGAAGCGCGAGAGAGACAATCTCAAACCAAGACAAGCCGCGTGGAAATCAAGGTAGATCTAGCGACCCCCCCAGCGGTGAAAAGGGATCATTCCTCGAAGAAGCTTGGACTTTCGAAACGAATTGCTCTCAGGTACAACCAAGCAGCACTCCAGCGTTTCAACGCCGCCCAGAGATCGGGATCAGCGTCAGTCACCCAGGCCGCCGAAGAACGTCCGTTTGAAGATCCTCGAGATATTCCGCCATACGACCATGATCGTCTCGACGAGAAAGAGTTCAGCTGGTCGGCGCCGAGGCAAGCATTCGACCTCCCTGCATATACAAACGGTGATAGAAATTGGGTTGGAGGGAAACCGACCAGGCCATTGACAGTCAAAGCCAATGTACCGGGTCCAAAGAATGGTGGAAAACCACTTCGGCCGTCAGAAGTCCCCGATTTTCGCAAGCCGAATTACAAGAGACATGCTCCGGTGTCTCTCAGTTCGACTGGCATCGGCCAGCAACCCAGCTATACCTCCATTAGTCATCGGCCGCTATCACCGTCAGAAGAGCCCCTCAGCGAAACTGATGATGAGATCGACAATGAATGGCAGATCCAGCAGCATCTGGAAGATCTAGACCACTTTGCGGCCAAAGCAAAATGGAGCGACCAGGAACGTGACTTTCGCAAACGATGGGACAGACACAGGATGGAAGAACGGTACGAGCACGCCTCATTTATCTCTAATTCCCTGGTCCGCTTTGTCAGGAAAAACCAACAGTGGCTCGCCAAAGCTGATCACAAGCTGCTCTCGGTATTCTTTGATTTCCTCGACCGCCTCAAATCACAACGAAGAATCACAGACGACTTTGTGGTGGACCTCTCTGAGATGATCTATCTCACTCCTGCCAAAGAACCAGCGGGAAATTCAGTTGTCGGTAACGGCATCTGGAGTAATGGGGCTCGACCTTTCTCTTTGAACAACAACGGTGGACGAGCGACTTCACAGCTGTCTGAGGATGACGATATTGCTTTGCAATTGTCGCTTCAGCCAAACAGACTACTGGACCCTAGCAAAAAGAATGCTACGTCTGAAGCGTCTAGATCCAAATCTAATCGACCTCAACTAGGCTTTTGTGGATTATGCTTCAAGCAGATTGACGTCCCAGCCATCAATGGAACATTCTGCACCAATGAGTCCTGCAGCTCGCCTGGAACCATGTACCATGCAAAATGTGTGGAGACGTCGTGCGGCGGAGAAAAAGCAAAGAACAAAGCGGCTGACCTCGATCAGTGGAAGTGCAAGTGGTGTGCATCAGAATCGTCAACCGCGAATGAGGTTTCCAACCCGACCCACCAGGAGCCCCCGGTCAGATTTTCCCGCGAGGGACGGAGTCCGTTGAGAAGCAATGGTATCCAAGGCCTGCCGCCCGAGAGCGCGCTCCTGCAACACCATGATCGCCAGTACTTGTATGCCTTGCGACTCGATGGGCAACACGACCAAACCAGATACCAGATGGAACCCATAAGTCCCAACAGGTCGCTGCTGGGGAACGGGTCGATTTTCGGCCGCCCACAGGACGAAGTATTCGATGTGCGGAGGCAGATGGACAAGCTGAAGAATTTGACCCAACCCAAGTCGCTACTATCCCGTGTCGATATTGTCGAATGCGGAAGTAGCGTGGAGGACGAAGATCGAATGTTTTGAGAGGGAGAGTGAGCTGAAACAACGTTTTTCATGGTACCGCCGAGGGTCACTCGATGAGAATCACTCACTTTCAAACTAATTTCCAAAAAGGAGAGAAAACCCAGACAGCTAGCAATGAAATCTGATGTCCAATTGGAAGTAGTTATGTAGGCAGATACATAGCTACCTACTTACCTCTCCCACCCTGGTAGACGAGTGGGAGAAGGTATGAATGGACAAGATAGAAATTGCGTCCAGTAATGTACACGGCACTCCTTGTGCTCTATGAAAGCGTTTTTGGGATGATCATGAGACTGTCGGACTAGAATGTTTTGTGTAGTGCGTGGTGGGCAACGGTGTACAAGGAGAGCTCAATCTCTCATTTGGTCATCATCCTCATCTTCGACCTCAAAGTCGTCGTCGTCATCATCTTCATCGTCATCGAGATCATCGCCAGCGGCCTTGGACTTTTCCTCAGCTTCTGCCCAATCAATGTGCTTGTTGCGGGTGCGACCTGAGACAATGTTGGATGGGTCGATCTCCTCCATGTCTTCGTCTTCTGTAAGGCGGTCACTTTCGTCAGTTATCCGGAGGCGCATTAAAGGGACTTTTAGTTGAGATCAACTGTACCATCTTCTTCGACTTCCTGTGGCTGTAGCGAAACAGATGTTAGTCTCTGTAGAGGAGGTGACGGAACCGACAGCGTACCTCTTCTACACCGCTCTCTTCATCAGAATCCTCCTCTGCTACTAGTTGGGGTTCCTCGACAGCTTTGCCTTTGCCTTTTCCAGAGTCTGCGATCTCGCTTGCGCCTTGGGGCACGGTTTCCCCGTTGGCAGACATTGTGTGAAGTAGGGGAGAGGAGAGAATGTGAAGGACCGGAGGAAGAGGTAGGAGAAGAAACAAGACTTTCAAGATGGGAGAGAAATTGTGGGCGGAACAGGGTTGAAAAGTGACAACGGATCTTTTGCTGCGAAATCCATTAATTGTCGCGTGAAAGCAACCGAAGTCTGGGGCTCTCAGATCGCGGTTGCCGCCAAGATTTGAGTGTCAGAGTGACATTTCGACTAGCCTATTCGGGTTAGACACGAAGGGGCTCTTATCACGTGGATTCTAATCACGTGAACACCGACATCGGAAGATCCTGGTCCTTTAGAGCTCCGACCAGATATCGAACTGCACGAGGCCATGGTCGTTACAAGCTTCAATGGCATGAAGTAACCGGGATACACACGACCAATGGATGTTCCAGTAGCAGCAAATGTGCTGGGTGTGACTGGCGCAGTTTGCTGGTCGGTTCAGGTACGTGATCACTACATCCTGAAATCGCTGTATGAGTGCTGATTTTTCTCAAAGCTCATTCCCCAGATCGTCATCAACTATCGCCGCCATGACACAACGGGGCTTCAGCCAACAATGATGATGTTGTGGGCCATTGCTGGTATTCCACTTGGAGTATACAATATTGTGGGAGACTTCAATATTGCTTTGCAGGTTCAACCGCAGTTGTTGACGCTGCTGAGCCTGATCACATGGATCCAGTGCAAATACTACGGGAACAAATGGTCTCTGACCAAATCTGCAGTTATTGTCACCCCTGTCGCTCTTGTCATGGGTGGGATTGAGTGTAGCCTTGTCTTTGCCTTGCGCAAAGCCCGCGACAATCAAGTCGAATGGCCTGCAACCCTGATGGCTGTCCTGTCTGCCTGCCTCCTTTGCGCAGGGGTTTTGCGACATTACTGGGACATTTACAAGGAGAAGACGGTGAGAGGAATATCATGGCTGTTTGTGTTCATCGACGCGATGGGAGACTTGACATCGTTGATTTCAGTCTTCTTCCAGGCCGAGTTGGATATCCTGGGAATGGTCATATATGGTTCAGAGTTGGTCTTGTGGCTTGGAGTCTTTGCATGCGGCGGGTATTGTGAGTCGCATTCTCAAAGTCACTCTGTTTTATTATTTGACACTGACCCGTGCCACAGTCAATTTCAGACCTTGGTTACGCAGGCAGCTGGAGAAGCGCCAGACAGGTTCAGAGGATCCAGAAGAGTACACCAGCCAGAATGGGGATGCAGTGGGACGAAGCATGTCACGACAATCGTCGAGTACTGTCTTTCGGACTGCGTCTGCCACATCTGACATGTTGGACACTCAAAATTCGTTGAGAATGCGTGGGGGAGCTTCTGTTGCGCATCGTGGCAGCCTAGAGTGATTAATTTATTTGATATCCATGTCATCCATCCCACAACCCATTCAATGTAGCATGACGATATTCGCATTCGGTAGAATATGAAAGAACTGACCTGTATGATGGATTGGACCCTGAATGTTGGCACCAAAGTTTTCATTCGATGGGGTGGAATGATTTCATGTAGTGGGGCAACCGGTGGACCATCAGGCTATTTGGCCCTCGATCTTTGGTGCCCGGTAGTGCTGGTGATGCCCTGTTGGTGCCTTTTGGTGCCTATGGAGACTCTCTGGAACTCTTCAGTTGCTGGGCAGCGCCGACACCCACCGGTTTAGGCATGATCGAGGCTAATTGTCAGGCAACATTTTGCCCCGCTCTGCCCACTAGAGGCCCAAACAATTGCCCCTCAGACCCCCTCTGCCCCTCCAACGTCTCGCAGCCTCGTCTGTTACCTTCCAGCTCCTTCCCTCACTCCAGAAATAAAAAAGATTGGGTGACGCATGACGTCACTTGGAATAATCTTCTCCCTCATCTTCCATTGTTGTCGTGACTAGAGCACCGACGACGACGAGCATCAACGATGAGGTCTTAAATTTTTCCCAATAACATTTCCGTGAGTGTAGAATCAAGTCTGTCATAGCTCCATTATTGTGCAGTGAAGAACCTAGACGAGGCTGGAATCATCTGGTGGGGATTGGGTGTTTCTCATAACATGTTGAATGTTCCACCACCTTCTTCCGCCTTCCGCACATGCGCCAAGCCCCAGGACATTTTTCCTGACTCAAGGTCTTCATAAAGAAAGCCCAACCACAGTCTTCAGAACAGACTTCTCTCCTGCATCCCAAACGAACACATCTCTTCCTTTTATTAGAAGGTCTCTATCACATCTTGAACCTCTCCGATCTTCTCTTTTTCACAACTACCTTCATAATTCTCACACAAGATGGCACCAGCCATTGGTAAGTCTCCCTCAGACCACCGCCGAACCTCTGAACAGCCTGCTAACGGTGTTTCCATAGGTATCGATCTAGGTACAACCTACTCATGTGTCGGCATCTTCAGAGATGACCGCATTGAGATCATTGCCAACGATCAGGGCAACCGCACCACCCCCTCCTTCGTTGCTTTCACAGACACTGAGCGTCTGATCGGTGATGCTGCAAAGAATCAAGTCGCCATGAACCCTCACAACACAGTCTTCGATGCCAAGCGACTGATCGGTCGCAAGTTCGCCGATGCTGAGGTTCAGGCCGACATGAAACACTTTCCCTTCAAGGTCATTGACAAGGCCGGCAAGCCCGTCGTTGAGGTTGAATTCAAGGGCGAAACCAAGACATTCACACCCGAAGAAATCTCTTCGATGATCCTGACCAAGATGCGAGAGACTGCCGAGTCATATCTTGGTGGCACCGTCAACAACGCAGTTGTCACAGTTCCTGCCTACTTCAACGACTCTCAGCGTCAAGCCACCAAGGATGCCGGTCTCATTGCTGGTCTTAATGTCCTCCGTATCATCAACGAACCCACTGCTGCCGCTATTGCCTACGGCCTCGACAAGAAGACTGAGGGTGAGCGGAATGTTCTCATCTTCGATCTTGGTGGTGGTACCTTCGATGTCTCCCTCTTGACCATTGAGGAGGGCATCTTCGAAGTCAAGTCCACTGCTGGTGATACTCACTTGGGTGGTGAAGATTTCGACAACCGTCTCGTCAACCACTTCGTTAGCGAGTTTAAGAGAAAACATCGCAAGGATCTCAGCTCCAACGCTCGCGCCCTTCGACGTCTCCGCACTGCTTGCGAACGTGCCAAGCGCACTCTTTCTTCGTCTGCTCAGACCTCTATCGAAATCGACTCTCTTTTCGAAGGCATCGATTTCTACACCTCAATCACTCGTGCCCGATTCGAGGAACTTTGCCAGGACCTCTTCCGCTCCACCATGGACCCCGTCGAGCGTGTCCTCCGCGACGCCAAGATTGACAAGTCCAGCGTTCACGAGATCGTCCTCGTTGGAGGCTCTACCCGTATCCCACGTATCCAGAAGCTTGTCTCTGACTTCTTCAACGGCAAGGAGCCCAACAAGTCCATCAACCCCGATGAGGCTGTTGCCTACGGTGCCGCTGTCCAAGCAGCCATTCTTTCCGGAGATACTTCCTCGAAATCTACCAACGAAATCCTTCTCTTGGATGTTGCCCCACTGTCTGTCGGTATTGAGACTGCTGGAGGTGTCATGACCGCACTCATCAAGCGAAACACCACTGTTCCAACCAAGAAGTCCGAGACCTTCTCTACCTTCTCCGACAACCAACCTGGTGTGCTTATCCAAGTTTACGAGGGTGAGCGTGCCCGCACCAAGGACAACAACCTTCTCGGCAAGTTCGAATTGTCTGGCATCCCACCTGCTCCTCGTGGTGTTCCTCAAATCGAGGTTACCTTCGATGTTGATGCCAACGGTATCATGAATGTTTCTGCGGTTGAGAAGGGTACTGGCAAGTCCAACAAGATTGTCATCACCAACGACAAGGGCCGTCTCTCCAAGGAAGATATCGAGCGTATGTTGGCTGATGCCGAGAAGTACAAGGCTGAAGATGAGGCCGAGGCTGCTCGTATCAGCGCCAAGAACGGCCTCGAGTCCTATGCCTACTCGCTGAAGAACACCCTCTCTGACTCCAAGGTTGACGAGAAGTTGGATGCTTCGGACAAGGAGAAACTCAAGGCTGAGATCGACAAGACCATCTCTTGGCTTGATGAGAACCAAACCGCTACCAAGGAGGAGTACGAAGCTCAGCAGAAGGAGCTCGAGGGTGTTGCCAACCCCATCATGATGAAGTTCTATCAAGGTGAGGGTGGTGCTCCCGGTGCTGGCGGCCCTGGTGGCTTCCCTGGTGCTGGTGGTCCCGGCGGATTCCCTGGTGCTGGCGGCCCTGGCGGTGCTCGAGGTGGTGATGATGGCCCAACTGTCGAAGAGGTTGACTAAATGTCCAAATACCCACCTCGGAAAAGCATATGAGCGACTTTCTCGACATTGTCGATCAGACCGGCGTTGGCGTTCTCATCAATGGATTATGGGATGGTGATACCTCTGACACTGCATAGATTAGTTTTCAGGCCTTTGGAACGGGCTGACGAGTTATGGAAATGCTTCAGATGATAGTTGCCACTTCAGAATTCTGGACGTGGAGCATCATATCTGCTTTTTTCCAGTAGCATAGCTTTCATCAAAAATGTGATGACTTTGAAAATAAATAACCTGCTCCATGTTGTATGACCATCCTTCAAAACATACCTAGTATTTTCTTTAGATTTGAGCTGCATCACGATTGTGTCTTTCCAGTGCGTTCCCTGTCGTCTCACATCATCAATCTCAACTTGTGTGATATCCCATCAGGTGTTTAGAGCATCTCTCCTTTTTCGTTTCCCCCAACGGGGGGGTTCTTTCGGAGTTGCACAGTAGTTGTTGCCCTTGCTTACATTGTGTGCTTCCTTTTTGAGTCAGTCGCTCATATGCAAAGACGCAACGGAGGGAGCCCTACGGTGAATTTGCACAAGTAATTGACCATTAGGCTAGTTCGACGGTGTATTCTCATCTTACCTCTGTCGGCCTATTGTAATTGCCGTGAAGGCCTGACCAAGGCCGTCCGTTCTCGTGTCTTCAACATAGTACTTACCGTTACTTACTGTATTCGAGGGACATCATCTCTTGGCTATCGGCTTGATTCTGGATTCAGGCGCACCACTGCTCAGCGAAATCTGACCTAATGATGTGGCAATTCTGTTGTGCAGTACTGGACTACAGCACGATAGCAAGCACAGCACAGCACAGCACATACTTGCGTTGTTTGTGTGGTCCCAGAAATTCCAAGAGAAAATGGATAACAACCCCTGTCGAGCGACGAGTTCAGACTCCAGATGTGACGATGTACATCCCCGACAGCCTCACGGCCTCTATCGACCTTCTGTATGTCTTCATACACTCAGGAACATCGGGCCCTTGTATTCTAAAACACCATAGAATCACAACCGACAGACACCATTGTTCCAGGATTTGGACCGTCTGTTACCTCTTCTGGGACAGGGGACGTTGAAATGGGAGGACAACACGCGGTGAGATTGTCTCGGTTACAGTATCGACACGACCAAGCTTCATTCCCCGCCTTCTCCCCCAGACATGATTTGCCTCCCAGGCCTCCATACCCGAGGTCCGTGACAGTATTGACCGACTACGACATCCTTGATCAATGACATCAAGTTTCAGTACTGCCTATTGGCAGTAAGGTGTCTTTCGTGTAAGGCGTCCGAATAGAAAGAGGTGACTTGGGGGGATGCCTTGAGACTACGGTATTTCAAGTAAAAAACGTATCTAAATGAATATATAACATGCGCCGGACGGGCTTCAGCCAGATCAGAGGTCACAGAACATCAGTTTGTTCTCATCTTGGCACGACATGGACACTCGTACTATGGTTCTTTATCCATTTCTCCTGGGTGTGGCTTCACATCTGGGCTGGTTCATGCACGGCGAGCATCACAAGTTGACTCTCCGATACTTTCAAGCTCTTTTAGGACTCCCGCCTCTTGCCCTGATGTTACTCATATTTCGAGCATGGCCTTTCTCTACCGCCTTGATGTCCACTTTCCGGTTCACCAACGCATATCTGACGGGACTTTATGGCAGTACATTGATATACAGGGGCCTTTTTCATCGGCTGAGACGGTTTCCAGGCCCCCCTTTGGCCAAATACTCGGAATTATGGCACGTTTGGACTGCTACACAAAGAACCCGGAATTTTGAAGATATAGATGATCTCCATGCCAAATACGGCGACTTTGTCAGAATAGGTACGGTTTCCTATTCCTTCTATCCTTTTTATTTCTCTTCAACAGATACTTCTCCCAGTTTGTCGGTTGCTAAGAGTTCTTGGTGATACACAGGACCTTCAGAACTCTCTGTCATTCATCCCGATAGCATGGAACTCGTTCATGGACCCAACTCGAAATGCACAAAGGCGGAATGGTACGATAATTCACCTGGACTGACGTCTTTGCATCAAACGAGGTCCAAGAAGTTGCATGACCGAAGGCGGCGGACATGGGCCCGAGGATTCAGTGCTCAAGGTATGTAAACAACCAATCTCACCGGCCGAAGTACTACTTACTGCTTCCTTTTGGTGCTAACCACATGCACCGATCATAGCTCTCCGAAATTACGAACCTCGAGTCGACGTATACACGGACAGTCTAGTAAAGCAGGTCGAGGCACATTCAGGCCAACCGCTAGACGTATCTCGATGGTTTAACTACTACAGTTTCGACGTCATGGGTGACCTAGCGTACGGAAAGTCGTTCAGCATGTTGGAGACCGGCAAATCCCACTGGGCGATCGACGTGCTCAATGGAGGAGTCGCCCACGTTGGCACCATTGGACAATCGACCTGGCTTACTCGCCTATTCGCTCAAATGCCCATCATCACGCGCGATTTCCAGCGTTTCCTGGTCTTTTGCGAAGATATGATCAATGAACGAGCCAAACAGGAGAAAGAACTACCAGATATCGCGACATGGATCTTACAGAGTCCGAAGATGGAAAACAGTGGCTACTCTGAACAGGGATGGTTGACGGGTGATTCACGACTGATCATCGTCGCGGGAAGTGATACCACTGCTTCTACGTTGACTTATCTGTTCTATCATCTCGCCGAGGATCCTGAACGAGTCAAGAAGCTTCGTCACGAAGTCGACGCCTTGGACGGCGATTTCAGCTCTATCGCTCTGGAAAAGCTAGAGTATCTCAACGGATTGATCAATGAGACCTTACGCCTGCATCCCCCGGTACCATCTGGCGTGCCTCGCAAAACTCCTCCCGAAGGTATGCAAATCGGCTCGACGTTTGTTCCAGGAGGAGTCACTGTCAAGATCCCTTACTACACGATCCAACGAGGTAAAGTGTTACGACGTCCGACCAAATGGATCGATTACATAGACGCTAACTGACGGCTGTGCCAGATAATCGCAACTTTGAACATGCTCTAGAATTTATCCCTGAGCGATGGTGCGTTGGTTATTGACACTTCAATTATGACTAAACCCGTGTTGTTACTAAGTATTGACCATCGGAACAGGGCTGAGGATACATCGATCAAAGACCAAAACCATTCGGCATATGCACCTTTCTCGCGAGGTAAGTTGCAGTGGCTATTGAACCCTGTGTTGACTATTTGCTCCTGCGAGACTAACGACTTGTTTCCCCCGTGGGGAATTCCCAGGTCCTTACTCATGCATCGGCAAACAATTGGCATTGATGGAAATTCGCGCCGTCACGGCACGGATGATGTCAAAGTTGGACGTTTCTTTTGGGCCCGGAGAGGATGGATCAAATTTGGTGAACGAAACGCATGACTGCTTCACTTTGCATCTTGCGCCACTGAATTTGAAGTTTGAGGATCGGAAATGAAGCAACACACGGCGGCCAGATGGACATCAAACATGATGTCAGACGATAGAATCAAGCAGAGGAAAAACAAGTCAAGACATGAGATGTATAGTCAAAGTGTTTGATTGCTTGCTAGCATCTTGTAAGCTCTACTGCTTTGATAACTAGATGCCTGCGCAACCCTCGCTCGCTCAGTCTCACCATGACAAATACTTCCCATCACAACAAACATCCGAGCTCCGCAAGCAAGCGTGAAATAAATGAATGTACAGACCAAGGGCTGCCTTGGTCGTGCCGATCATACGTTGGGTCTTTTTTTGTCTATTCCTTCCATATTTCCATAAAAGACCACAGAAAAGCCATCGCTGCAAAAATCTCCTTGTCGTGGCGTTTCGCTCATGTCGTACTCGGTCGTGCTTTTGTTCGTTTCGTCTCCTTTCCCAACCATTGTCAAACGTTGTAAACTAGCGCCCCACCCGAAACGCGATTTCGCCAAAACATGAATAGAGCAGTTGAGTAAGAAGGCGCTGGAAGGCCACTTGGGTCATTTGGGGGCCATCCCGTGTCAAATCCTCCAATCACTCGTCGTTGCTGTTCTGACAACATATCATTTGCAATGTCTTGAAAGCTGGCGAATCCCCACGCACTCCAGATAACAATGTCCAATCACAGTGGGTTCACCCGCTCATTGGACCCCTCATCTCATCAATCTTGATCTTCTGCTCGGATTCAAGACTATCGTAGTATCTCTGTGCCAATGTCGGCTCAAGTTGTTGCGGTCCGCAAATCGACGAGCCCGAGAATGGAGACCGATAGACTGTGGCCTGCTCTTGATGTCGGCTGATATAGTAATTGGCCACTTTGCCCCAGAATCCTCCACGAGCCTGCCAATCAAGAAGTTGCTGTGGGGGAGGTCGATCATTGAGCATCAGCCCATTCGACCCGAGAGGCCTTTTCTCCAAACTTGCTGCAAGTAGGGGCGATGGTCTCGCCATGGGCGGCTCCGACTGTTGGACTTGTTTGTGCTGAGTGAGGGCATGTGCGTTCTTGGTCAGCGGATCAAAGGCGGATCGCTTCGGGGTGAATGTGGAGGTGGGCAGGTAGTTAGCCGGGAAAGGCGCCAAGTCACTATCCATGTCCATTGATTGCGAGCGTTTCAAAACAGGCTGGACTGGGGGCCCCATGGACATGTGCATGCCGAGGCCTGAAAAACTTCCTCTTGCGGATCGATGTCCCGCACTCGTTCCTGGAGGGCTGATTTGGGTGGCATTTGGATTGATGAATTGAGGTGGATTTTGAGGGTCAATCGCTTGGGCGGAAGATGATGCTGAGTTATTGTGCAGATAGTTGTCATGTTGTAACCGGGGGCTTGGGAGCGTGTAAGAGCTTGTTGGTCGGCTGCCGGGCGGAGAGCTCTGATTCGCCTCCTTCTGAGCTTTGATTTGATCGGGGCTCTTGAATGGGTATGCCGGATTAGATATTCGCCTCTGCCTTTCCAACTCGGCCGAAGGTGGAGGTGGAGGGGGTTGGCTCGCGGCGGCTCGGATTGTCTCTATCCGCGGCGGGGCTGGCTGAAATGGCGAATTTAGGCCTCCGTTGCCATTGATATTGTTGATGCCATTCTGGAAGCCGAACTGATTCTGAGGGTGGTGGTTGTAAGTCGCGAAAGCCCCAGTGGGCATGGATGATGGCTGCTGTGAACCAAACTGAGGGAGCATGGAGTTCATGCCGGCATTCTGAGGCGCTGCAAAGTGACCATCGCCATTGCCGAGGGCTTGATTCATCCAGTCATTGCTATAATGAAAGGATTGTTGACGTGGTGCAGAGTTCAGCATGGTGCCGTTGCCATATTGATTACCCGCGTCACCATCCTGGAAGCTAGGGAAGGGTTCAGAATACTGCTTCAATGGCGGAAGTGAAGGATCGTTGGACCATTGAGTCATATGCTTGGCCTGTTGAGATGCCTGCAGTTGAAATTGTCGCTGGCGCTGTACAGCATCATGATCGATACCAATGGGTGGATGACTAAGCGGGTTACTGGACTCAGCCGCGTCAAGTTGTTGAGACTTGTAAGCTTGTCGTTGGAGGATTCTTTTCTGCTCATTCGTACGAGCCTCTTGCCCGGCAAGCATGTCCCGATACGTTGAAGCCTTGATCGGAGCTGATTTCTGCGCGTTGGCAAATTTTTCCTGGCTAGCGGATTTGGTGAGATTATGCGTTGTCCCGCTGAAAGTTCCTGGCAACGTGGAAAATACTGGACCGGAGCCATTGTACTTGACGTTGGTCATAGCAGCATTACGGGCAGCGACATTAAGCATCGGGTAAGATGCAGCTAAAGACTGTCGTTTTGGTTGGGGAGGAGGTGGCATTACAGCTTTCGGCGGTGAGACAGATTCCAGGAAGTTCGATGCCGGGTCGTGGCTGCGGTTCGCGGGATCCGCCGTATAGTGCGCCTTGGCTTCGGAGGATGTTTCTCCGATATAAAGCCACACGTGTTTTGACTTGGATAAATCCACGGCTTTTTGTAATGAATTCTCTGCCGGTTCTGCAGAGACAAACTCGGCCCATTCAGTTCGGGGCTCTTGAGTAAATGGATCTCCTGCGCTGGGCTTTTTCTCCATCGATTCAGGCAACGACGCTGTCTTGCCTTGAAGATCTTCCGGAAGCTCCAGTGCATGAGCCGATGGCTTCTGGAGACAAGAAGTTGCACTGTCCACAAAAAGAATTGACGTTGGATCGATTTCTTTGATGGTTTTCATCTCTGGTAGGATGGTGACGAGAATTGAGTCTTGCCCGCTGTCATAACCGGCGACCACCATACCAGCCTCAACATCGTCGGAATTAGTGGCTTGGAATTGGATGAGCTCGCCCTTTTGCAATCCATACACAAAAGTGCGGAATTCCTTGTTGTCCCAAGCATTGTTGGCATGATTGCAGGCAGAAAGCTCACTCGTGATTCTCGCCCTCTTCACTGTCCGGTGAAGGCGACACCGCCAGTCAAAGCCAATATCGCGATACTCGACGCCTTGGTGCCATACTGCAATCTCGCCCTTATCCACTTGGACACCAGCTTGCATAGCACATGTTGCATGGTATGATTTTGTGCATTTGGCCGAAGAACATTGGAAACAAGATCCCTTTTTCTGGCGGCACTCGTAGCATTTGAGTTCCAAACGAGCCTTGCTAACATTCTCCACATTGTGCACAATCTCTTTGCCATCTTTCTTTGCAATGTACGTTTCTGGCGTATACATGGCACAGGTTCGATGGGCTTTTTGACCATGACTAGTCGGCAGCAATTCTTCCCAGGAAAAGTCGTTTGGACATAGACAACAAGGCTGATGCTTGCTGACCTTCCGGATCTTGACAATCTTCTTGGCCTTCTTGTTGGGGCCCAAATCTTTGGGTGCGCGCTTCCTTTTCTGGCCACTTTTGACCTTGCCTCGATCGCTGCTGGGTGGAGTGGGGAGATCGATGGGCTCATCCAGCTCATCTTCATCATCGGTGACTTCGACTTCTTCGTACTCTGGAGATGGTTCCCCATTCATCCTTCGGATGAACCAGTCCACATCAATGAAGACACTGTCGGCTTCACACTGACATTTCCTTGCGGTTTTGCCATATTGCAGCCAGTTAGGAATGGCAAAATTGACTGATTCTGCACAGTTGTACCCCAAGTTGTAACCCGAATGGTAGCCGATTGGGAAAGTAATCACAAATTGACCTTCGCGATGAACGATTTTGTTGACATTGACGCCGAACTTGGATTTGAGGATTGAAGGAGAGATGAGATATGTCTTGTGTCTCAAGAACTGGTCGCATGCTTTGGCGTCTGACGGCCAGATGGACTTCATCGCGTTCTCAAACTTAGGGGCGTCTTTCTGGGAGATGCTGTACCACTGCTTGGGGGCGCCAAAATGGATGTAGTTGATGCTGTAGAGATCCACATCTTCCAGATGCCACGCAAAAGTAGCTCGCCACATGCCTAGGTAGAGGTATGCAGTGTTAACACCTGGGATGGGTTGTCCCAAGAGGTCCAACAAGTTCGGCAACTTGGCAACATTCCACGCGGTGGTGTCGTCGTCGAACAGTGATCCCGGCATGTCTGCGGCATACATGGGGTTGCTAAAGTTCAAGCTCTTCCAGTATTTGTCTTCAAGCTCGTCGCACCGCTCAGCCGTCCACTGATCGTTGTCATGGGCACGATAATCAAAATCTTCAAACGCCTCCTCGTCAATCTCATCGTTAGCCTCACGCGCGTTGCGCAGCCGCCGAGAGGCAACAGTTGTTTCCGCACTTCCGCTTTCCTTTTTGCCTGCTGTTTTCGGCTGACGACCACGGGGTTTGGCGGGCTTTTTGCCCGATTTACCCTTGGATGGTGTGGTCTCAGTACCTTCAAGTATCGTGTTCTCCCCTTCATCTTGATCGAGAGGCATCGGCTTGACGTCCGGACTGGTAGGAGTGGGCGGCGCAAGAAGTGTAGAGTCTTGATCGATGGGCTCATCCTTGATCGGGCGAGTTCGAGGTCGGCCAGGCCGTCGTCTGCCACTTGAAGGCCCTGGAGAGGATTCGGGTTTCTTGGACTTGACGGAGCCTCTTCCTAGCAGCTTGTCTGCATTCAACCTCTTTTCACCACGACGTGCAGGTGGCTGATTTTCGGTTTGTTCGCACAATGTTTTCCATTGGGGGAGGTTATAGGAGCGCATCTTTTCCATGTTGCGTTGGGTGTAAATTCCTTGAGCACCGTGAAACTCTTGTGTCAACGGGTTCTTGATCTTGATGGTCTTGATCATCTCATCCAAGGCTTTGCGGGCTCGTTTCCTACACTTTGGTCAGTTGTGCCGTCGTGACGATGAGTCGATGTTGTGTGCAGCATCGGCGCCGGGGTCGTCGACGTACCATTCCTCAGGAGGGTCGATCAGGACGATTCCAGACTGCATGCCGTACGGATCAACACCCTTGACGTATCGCTCGAAGTCTTTGAATTGTTCCATAGTCTAACACAAGTGTATCATTAGTGCTGTCTATACTCTCGCCATCATAGGGTAGATGACGACGGCGAGCCTTGACTTACCGGCGTGAAGATAGGTACACCATTTTCATATCTGTCGGGCTTGACTTCAGATGTCTGTTCAGCCTCTGCACCGGCGCGTGCAGCATCTTCAAACCTGAGGCGGTTTTCTTCATCATCGGTGTCATCGCCGAGATCGGAGAGGGAGGAACTCGAGGCGGCGTCGTCGTCCTTGTGACTTGCTTCGTCGGTGGTAGGAGGAGTGTGGACTTGAGGGAGAGGGAGTGGCTCAGAGAGGTCGTGAGGGGTGTCGAGGGCGGTAGAGGCGAGTTTGGGGGAGGTGGTAATGGAGGGCATGGCGACTGCTGCCATGGTGGAGGAGGATCGGGGAAAGTGGTGGGAGGCGTTTGAGCGATGGGTCAGTGGCAAGGTACTGCTCACAACGATCTGTTAAGTCAAGGTGTGGTTTGGCGCATGAGCAGAGCAGCAACGAGAACGTCGCAAGCCCTGGCCACGACCTTTGACGAGTACCAGATAAGACGAATGGATGCAGAGGTGGTGGTAATGGGACTGCATAGGGACTCGCTGGTACGGGGATGGGGACAAGAGACGTGATCAGAGTGAGAGACGCAGAGGTTCGACTCAGGGTTGGTCTTGGCGCAGGCAGATCCCAGTCCACTAGTCCCGATTTGGATGTGGCTTGGCACCTGCCCTCCGATCAGGCCACAGCCAGTATTTCACTTGGGGTTGGAGACAGGGAAGTCACGAGAGAGTTGGCCATCAAAGACAAGAAGGAACAACCCTGAATTACAGCCTTGTATAAAAAACATGTTGTGCAGGTGCCAGGCTCAGTGGTAATATGTGAGATGTCTATATCAAGCAAATCGGCCAGACATTATCACAATCCACCATTATGCCTTTCCAAAGTTTCGACCAGGGACACCAACCAAGCTCGCCATGGCGTATGTCATTAGCTCTGCGCCAGGATCCCACCTTGGATTGCACTACTTACTCCGTACATTTCTTCTTTGCCATGGCCCATGACCTGTGTCATTCGCTGCCACCAATTGGCTCGCTTGACCATCCAGGCACACCCAACACGAACACGGGGTCTCCCCGACTTTGGGTCATGCTGCATGCACATCATCGCGTCCCCATCGCCCTTGAACCAGAGCTTCCTTGTGGTAGCCTGCAATGATTATTCATCTCCGATTTGCCCATCGGTAACCAACCAGAAGACGCATCACCGGAAAATGCGCCTTGGTGACACCCTCAACTGCCTTTGTGTACACTTGTGCAGCGTCACCCATTCATCAATATTCTGTGAGTGCAAGCTTCTTGCCAACGGTGCGACGTTTTTGTGCTATTTGGTCGGCAGGAGTTGGTTGGTCTTTCTTCAATGCCTGTAACAGCATGCCAGCGTCGAAGAATCCATCTAGTACAACAAATTAGTGGTGACAAAAAAGGCGTAGAGATATTTAGGGCACTTACATCCACCTAGACCATCATCTTCGACTTCTGCCGTGTCCATGCTGGTAGGTGTCTGGACTCCATCGACCTTGGACGGGTCTGTTTTGATAACGCGACCCCGCGATTTAAGTCGGCCATCTTTGCCTGCTTTGTCCTCGACCTCCCGCGCCTTTGTGAGTTGGGCAGCCGCCATATCCTTGGTTCGAACAGACCGAAGCAGTCTCCGGACCTCGTTCAGGTATGATTCAAGGCTATCAACGAATCTCTTGGTTTGACGGTGCTTACTGCTGGCACAGACGGCGATAGAGTCGTCCTTGATGATATAGCCAATGCCAAATCCATCGCCAGAGACAGGACCAAATCCAAAATGTCGCAGTGCTGGATTACCACAGTTGGAGGTGCTAAGAATGGTATTGTTGATTCTTTCCCATCCCGCATCGCTGAAGAGAGGTGGCATCTGACTTAGTGGAGGGGCTGGTGAGCGACTGGCATCGGTGCCTGCTCGCGAACGAACTCCGGGGGATGTGGAAATGTCTTCCAGTCTTCTGGGGCTTCCCGCATCAGAGTAGTCGCCAGGGCTGGAACAACCATTGGAGCTGAAGCCGGTCGTACTCGCTGCCTCAGCCCCTTCATCGTTGACCTTGCGCTGCCATACACAATACAATGCATATAGATGACGGTCTTGACCTTGAGCTTTGCTGCTCTCTCGCGTGTTGGCGGTGTGCTTGGTTGTGGCAGCCTTGAGTGCATCTACCTTTTTCTGCGCGGCATTATCTGCCCAGAACGTTTTGACGTAATCCACGCTCTCGGGTGTCACACTTCGAATAGCTTCAGTTCGGCCATGAAAGTACATCTTGGTCATGGCAGGCTCATACGTGTTTTCGACACGGCCGTACAAGCCATAATAAGCTGCTTGGAAAGCCATTTGCACAAAGGCATCGGGAGAAAAGCCCATAGATGTGATGAAGTTTTTACCATAGCCGGTGAAATCCAAGGTCTGAAATTCGTTCTGGTTAATCAAATCGGCCAAACGCGTCTCAGCGAAACGTAGGGCAATCTGGAGCTCCGGAATCATATCCCATTCGAGTTTGTGAGGAGTGGTACTGACATCACCAAAGCTGTGAGGATCACGTTTCGAGGGGTCGGGACTTTGACTTGTCCACATTGTGGGGGCTTGACCGTTGATTGATTTGGCGAATCTCAGAATGGTGTCAGTGTAGACATCGCTAGCAAACCGCAAGACGGTGTGACCATCCACGCCAGTGTGCTCAAAGTTGATGCCCGCACTCCCATTTTTGCAGACGATGATTTGCAATTTGTCATACCAGCGATTGGTACAGGTGCCGACTTGGACGCCCTGGACGATTTCATTTGTGCCGCAGAGCATGTTTCCACATAGCTGAGAGACGTCTGACGGCTCTGTGTAGTCCAGACACACGACGAACAAGGCTGAGTCAACGATGCCAAGGCATTCGGCGTTGTTGGAACCTTCTTCTCGTGTTAAGAGTTCCCGCAGTCCAGACCAGATTTTTCGATTCTCGGTAGTGAGAACTCCTACAGCACCTTTGGCAGCTTCCCGGATGGGGGTTTGTTCGGCATCGTCGACAATGACTTGCAAATTGATGGCAAGATCCTTCTCGGTCATGATGAGATCATTATTTTGGTCGAGAACGTCAAACCAATAGACCTGACCACGACACATCACGACGACATGCTTCGAGTCAGAATCCTGGCCAATGATACAGCCATTGTCGGTAGGGACTCGTGCGGTACCAAATAGCCTTGAGTATTGATACATGTCAAGAGGGGTCCCTCTAAGTGTGTCGGGGGGCAGCTCTTCTTTCCTGACGGCTCGGACAAAGCATAGGGCAGAGATGACCAATGAGGCAGCTCGAGTGACTTGGTTGTTTCTTGCAGGGGTGGGATCGTCTTCCAATAAGAAGAAAGGGTTCAAGTTCAAAACGACTGGATTGTCATAATTGAGATACGAGTCATACCAGAACTGTTCAATATAACTGGTCTTGCCTGTCGAGTATTTCTTCAAACGATCTTGCAACTCGCGGCCATCGTTCTCGATAAAGTCGCGGACGGCAGCTTTGGTGTCGTTGTGCTCATGTGGGGACTGCAGGGGGGCCAAGGCGTCGAGGTATTTCTTCATGGTGGCCTCCAAGTCGGGGATTGGTAGTTTGGGCAGTTTATCCTGCGCGGCAAATGTGATGCCAGGTCTTGGGGGGTCTCTCCTCTCGATTGGGTTGTTCTCACGCCTTGAGTAGGAGTCTGTGACACCTTTAGCCGCTTCGAGGGAGCGCTCATCCTCTGACTGGCCCATTGCAACAGAGCAAGGGCGTAGTAGCCCGTGTTGCCCGTTCTGGAGAGGATTAGCGGCTTGATTCAGGGTCTCGTCGAGGGACTTTGGACGAGCGAAGTATCTTGTTCCTGTAATTGAGGAGGGCATCGTCAATATCTGAATCATGCGTACAGCGCAGCCACCAAGGTGGCAATGCTTAGGAGACGAAGTGCGGTGCGGAAGAAGTAATGGCAATCGTGCAAGTAGTAGCCAGGCATTGGGGACTGAGTAACACAATCCAGCAAGCAGGAATGAGTACCAAGGAAGTGGGAGGTCAAGGGAGATGAGCGAGGCTTGAAGTGAACCGGGGGCAGGATAGGGATTTTGTCAGTGGGGAGCAGGTGGCATGGTGCATGGTTGCGTTCGAAAGCAATGATGGGGAAATGTATCAAACCGTGGAGAGGTGGGGGCTGTGGTGGAGAGTGACCGAGTCTTGATGGACATGTGAAGGCCAAGGGCCACATTGGAGAAGAGCGATGTCATGCTTGGACGAGGGCGAATCCGTGACGAATGCGCGGTACGTGGCCGAGTAGCGAGAGCCATGTCCAGCAGATGATTGTTCGGAAAGTGTCGTAGATGGAGGGATGAGATGAAGTGGGCAGAATGGATGGTGCGACGTGATTGGATCGGACGTGGTTCTTGGGTGGTAGGGCGAAAGAACGGGTCGGGGGAAAGGAAGGAAATGGTTTGCACTTACAGCCAGATCTGGCGGCACCACCTATAATGGCGCGAATGGCTGCTAGAGGGACGCCTGGCGGTGGAATCGACCTATGCAGATACCCGGTGGTCGTCTACCGGATGTTTTTCGGTACACTGCGTCGAAATCAGTGTTGGCTATGGCGGTAATACGGTCAATGGCTACCGAGGAGCTTAAAAATGAAGTGAGTTGACGACCGAGGAAGTGACAGCGGTGCGATTAGGATTGGAGATGAGGTTATAAAGCGCGGGGTCCAGCCGTCGGTTGGACCTCGTGTTGTTTGAGAGAGATTTCTAGAACAGTCAGACAACTCGACAGCCACGACAGCTTATTGGGACCTGGGTATGTACTTGGATAGGTGGTTATTGTGATGCTGATCATGCGACAAGACCAAGTCATGCAGCGATCTGCTTCAAAGTCGAGTGGGGGATTCTGGAATTGCACGATGATCGATGGTGTATGTGGCAGCTTGCCATGTACGGAGTAGGGTCTGTAGCGTGGCAGCCTGTCGCAGTGACGTCGTTAGGTCGAGTTTGGTTTGAATTGGGGCTACACGCACTGCTTTTAAAACCTCCTCCAAGGTACTTGGGTAAGGATCTAAGTACTATGATTTTCATCGGGTCCTCCTACAAGACTCTACGTGTCTACAGGTAATTATTGTCGGCGTTCTCGACTCTGTGGCTCCTCGCCGTTCTTACCTGGATAATCTCGAAAACGGCGGACCATCGGAGGACTCTGGGTGGATGACCATGACCTAATTAATGGAATCGGCGGCTGTGCGGCTGACCATCAATGCCATCAATCCTCAGGCGCCTTGCAAGTCGTGCCAGTACTAATGTGGTGGCAATTCTGGGCCAAGCGGAGAAGCTTGCACTGCCGAGGAATTGTCAGGCGCGCTAGCCACAACTTCCGTTCCTCCGCACGCTTGTTCACGTGCATTTCCTCACCCGACACAACCGTTAAACAGTGGGTGACAGGGGTTAAGGTACTTAGAGTGTCTAAGTAGAGTGCCTCCGCATAGGTAGCCCTGCGGCTGCGATGCATCTCATGAGCTTGTATCCATACAGACGCATATTCTCGGAACCTTATAAGATTTCGATCAAAGTCGAACCGAGTCTCTTACATTCCCCTTATTATTCCAGAGCCGAATGACGGCTATCTCTTCCGACCCAAATGGTTTAGTAATTCTCAACCGAGTGTTCGTACCTTACCTTTCTCATTTCCTACCCACTTGTGTAGGCACACAATGACCGAAAGGTCTTCTGGCGCTCTTGCCCCCTTTAGCAAATAAAAATTCTGGGAAAGTCAGCTGACAAGCCTTGCTACGACCACAACAGAAACTTTGTTCCACGGCAAGCCCTATGTTTCATCCTCAAGCATCCATGTACATCAGCCACCAAGGAATTTAAGCAATGCTGTCCGCAGTCATTTATTGAAATGCTTTGTTGTTACATGATGCCGTGAGGCTGAGCTCCTAAACAAGGTCCAGTCCATTTTCCCGCGAACGAGACTTGACTGATGCTCTTTGCTATCTCCCAACACCCTCGGGCCATCATCATTCGTATGGTCCAAGAAGTGTAGAAATGTCCTGATCAAACCCACAGGAAATGATTCTTGGGCGGCCGAAGAAAAGAATGAATGCTTGTGGCTCGCTAGCCAAATGTCAGAAAACAATCCCTTGCATGCCCAATTTGCTCCGACCCAACCGAGCAATATGCCGTATGCACAAATCCAACGCAAATTAGTTCGTCCATGTGTCCAATGAAACCAAGGCGCATTCCCTCGACTTTGCTCTCGAGAATGTCATGAAATCGTCAAGATCGTCACAAAAGCAAAAGTGCAGTGCTTTACAAGACCACCGTCGGATACCCGAGGGGAGCCAGGACATTTGCGGCATACTGTCCACCGAAGTTTCCTAAAGGTTATCATGTCAGTCAATTGTGTCGAGGTGTTAGAGGGAAGGTGAAGACTTACCGGGAGGACTGTAATTGCAAACGGTAAAGTATGGGCTGACTCCGCCGCCGGTGTTTGCGAGACCGTTGGGACAATACTGAGTGGCACAACCAACGCTGGTGGTCGACTTCCACACAATCTGAGAAAAGTGACCCCACAGATGGAAGTTAGCCATGCTGGGCTCAGTGCCATAGCCTGGGTAGTAGTTGATTTCGTTGTTGTACATCAAGTTGGTAATCATAGCAGGGATATCAGAGGGAGGGGATCCCGCCCCAATGTTCTGTCCATAGCCACCCCCTCCAGTGGAGGTATCGTGAGCATAGACACAACTGGCGGCAATCTGAGCCGCAATGTTGGTGAGTCTGTCATCCCACACCAGAGCATTGACCGTATGGTTGGCACGATGAATGTTGTGCGAGTCAAGAATGCCTTGCTTGTAGTCCGATGAGATGGAAGTCGGAGCTGGATTGTTGGAGCCTCCGGTTGGGGATGTCTGCGTGTTCGTTGGCTGGGTTGGTGCCGGTGTGTTGGTTGGCTGGGTTGGTGCCGGTGTGTTGGTTGGCTGGGTGGGCCCAGCTGTGTTGGTAGGACGTCCGGTGTTGGTGTTGGGAGGAGGATTGTTTCCATTGTTGGTCGTGGTGGGTTCTGGATCTGGAGTGCTCGAGGGACCAGCAGTGCCGCCATTCCCACCGCCACCACCACCACCACCGATGCCGCCCCAGTTGCCGCCGCCGTTGCCGTTGCCGTTGCCGCCCCATCCGCCGCCCCATCCGCCACCAGAACTGCGACCACCACCTTGGCCGCCGTTCCAATCGACCCAGGTCGAGCTCCAGTCATTAGAGCCATCGACATCGGTGTTGGAGTCGTCAATGGGCGCTGCGTCAGTGTTGGTGGGCGGAAGCCCCGTGACAGTGGCTGTTATGGTGACATACTCGAAATGGGTGACCAATGCACGCTTGTCAAATGGGTTGGCAGATGCCAAGGCGGCGCAGAGTCCTACCAGGACCAAAGGCGTTGCGCTTCTCATTGTCGATCTTCAAATGGTTTGCTGTGGCGTTTGTCGAGCTATTGGAATGTTGGATTGATTGATTGATGAAAACAAGAAAGAATTCAATGGTTCCTCAAGCCGTATTTGATACCAGATTGTGGCAGGAAACGAAATGCAGCGTGCACACAGGTTCGGCGAGTCAAGACCCGAACGACGAGGCTGACCAAGTTGGCTGGTAAACGCAATGTGCTCTTGATGGTCCGAGTTTCCAGGTGTTTGCACACCCGACGAGGCTGGTGACTCTGGTCAAAGAGCCGGGTACTGAGTGGTGGGCGGGTAGGTGTCGATGCTGTGGGCACGGACTGTTGTCGACGGGGCACAGACACGAACGCAGACTGTGCGGAGGTAATTTTGGGGGATAGGTAGGTTAACGAGTGACTGTCTTGTGCACCTCAAAGGAGTGAGAGGGCAGGCAAGAACAGGAAACAAATGAATGTACTGTGGCGATGGCCTAAGGATGGAATTGAAACGAGCGTGTTTGCGTCTGAATAGAGGACGTCGAAGGGGAGGCGGCGGCGGAGGAGTTTTGTACCAATGCCGATTGGGGTTTGGGCCCCTGCTACACTCCCTGATTAGCCCATATCTTCGGAATATTCATCTGCACCACCAATATTGTCCTCCTGAAGCCAGATTCCCGAGCCCGCTGACGCATCTAGACTCAGAGACGTGATATCAAAGGCTCATGTCAGGATTGGCTCGGCAGGCGAATCGAGTATTGGTGGAGCGATCTAATGCAGGAACCAACGTCATTTTGAGGGGTGTCTTAGGTGCCGCAGGGAGAGATGTGGTGGGACATAGGGGGGCATGGAGGACACGCGGTCGGTGCCGAGGGGGCTGGCCCTAGGCGGAAACTTTATTGGCGGGCCCTGGAACTTGGAAGACTGGGTGGATCTGCTAAGCGGCTTGAGCAATGAACATCAACTAACCTGAGATGGGTTGAAGCCTGCCAATTGAATGGACTTTAGGGGGTATTGGGTGGCGACGATGGAACAGAGATGGAAGAATTGACGCAGGTGGGCTTCTGTCGAGATGATAGTAAAAGGCAGAGATGGAGAGGAAAAAGAGGGAGAGTCGTGAGTGGACGTGGGCTGCACTCGAAGAAGTGAGTGACTGTTCTACTAAGAGTCATGCCTATGGGCGCTGTGCAGCATTGCCCTGTTCTATATCTCCAGTCAATGGTCACACTCAGGTGTGAATCTCACGGTCGATAGTCTACATTCCCCAAATCAAAACTTGAGACCTGAGACCTGAATTCGACGTTGCCATGTTTGTTGCTTCAGATTGACACCGGTCACTTGATACATTCCTGTGGTGCAGCTGCGGTTGGCCTTTGAATCCTTCTAACATGACTTGCATTTGGAACGGGCCACAAATGCAACCTGTTGGACAATGCTGGCCCTTACGGTCGGTATCTCAATGCCAACGGGCCAAGATCCCTCAACTCACGTCACCCATCAACATGTGAAACGAAGGCAACACAAGGGAACCTGGACCAGTGATCCTTGGCGAGATCGTGCCGGCCTCAACTGTAAACACTTTTAGGCCAGGACCAGGTGACATTGGAGCAGTTCGAGAAAGAATCATGGTACGCATGCGAACACTCATCCACACTCGTATTCTCGGGGAATTAATTGCAAGCCTGAAACTCCCTTTGGGCGGAGATGTTGGAGGCTGGAATTCCGCACAGAACCAAGTTCGTCGTCTAGCGGAGAATAATTGTCCAGGCCCAACGACGGTTGTCCACTCCTGTTTTGACGCGCAAATGGCTGATGCGCTGCTGCCTGGAGATGGATTTCACTGACGCCCAGATGGAAGGTGCGATGGAATTCATCCAGTACACCTTCTTAGAGACTGTTGCTTCAACCACAAAACAACATTAATATTCATTCTCGATGCATTGCCCGGTGTCATGAACCCTTCCACCCTCTTCCCAACACCAGCCTCGCCGTCGGTGGCTTCCAGGCAGTTCGCCGATACTGGCAACCAAGCTCTGAGCTCGTGCCATCCAAGAGCGGAGAATTTCGAATTTCTCGATCGAGACAATTATCATTCCAACCTCCTTGACAAGATGGAAGGAAGTCCAGCAATCCCCATCGTTCTTGCGTTTCTGGTCCCGCTTAACTTGCCGTGAACAAATCTCATCAACGCTGCCAATTGTCGTTCCTCTCCAGCCATGAATTTTCTGCCAACCTCAAATCTCTTCTGTCACACCGATTTAAGGAACTGATCTGAGCGATTGGGATCCTAAATTGGCTTCCCTTCCACCTGCATATATTCATCTTCGCCGATGTTCGTCATCGTAAGTGGTTATTCGGCCTGCCTAATTCACAACTGCCTACACCTTTATGTCGAGCCACCTGGCCGTACTTGGCCTTACAAAATATACGCAGGGGTTTGTAGCTACAACTAACCCTGAGTGGTCCGAAGAACACCAAAACCTATTCCCAAGCACTCTCAGTCTCTAGACCAGCCTCTCCACGCCAACGTAGGCACTGGTGACACTCCAAGATGTGGTGGAAGAACTTGAGGAACCTGCGTCGATTAAGCTCCTCGGAATAAGTTTCGGGCGTGTGTACGGACCAAGAGCTGGCTTGAGAGAACAATCAGGTGGCCTATGCAGCCACGACCCATCTCCAACCTCATCTTGAATGACATTGTCTTTCTGCTCCATTGTCCATCGCACTGGTACCACCCCAGCCATGCGACTTGCACAACGACACGTCAGCGGCCTGCCTTTGACGCCCAGGCTGGGAAATTTTCCCGCCTCTTTTCTCTACAGTCGGACTTTTTGTTGCCGTCAACCACGTGGATTACAGCTGCTAAGTGCCGTGGCCGAGTGTTGCAACCCTTCTCAGGACATCAAGTGCCAGAAGACTTAACAGCTGTCCGTGTCCTGCACCCACTTGGGGAAGGAAAACTCGTTGCCTTGGCCTTTGCTTTTTTCGTGCAACCACAGGATCGATCTAGCCTCGATTGTGGACGCTTTGCTTCAGTGCGGCTTCGCCTTCTCTCTGGCCGCAGACGGTACGATGTCAATCTTTCCCTTGGTTTCTCCATTCTGGCATGCTTCTCGTTGAGCACCGTTGACCACCTTCTCATGATACAAGCTCCCATCCAACAAACGGCGTACGTCCTCCTTCCTCAACACCCCATCCTCAGGCCATATCAGTACCCAAGCAAATCCCCATTCGAACATGGCTGATACCTGACCAAAGAAATCAAACCCCATCCTACTTCTCCTCAGCGCATGCCATAGTTCCCACTTAGTCAACCCTCCTTTCCCGTCCCGGTCAAACTTTTCAAAAAAGTCCTCCAACGGTTGTGGTCGAAAGCGACCCTCACTGTCAAATGTACCTGTCCCACTACCATGTTTATTCATGTATGCTCTTTTGACATAGAGGCGGAAGAAGGGGTCCGGAAGGATGCCGGGAACCGTGTTGTAAGACTGCACGGAATGCAGGAACGCCGTGAAAAAGAGCGAGGTGAAGATGTTCCAGTCGAAACTGCGACAGACCCGGTATGTGTCACTTGGCCAGATGACGCCGTCATTATCCGGATCAAAAAAGGTACAGTGCTGCTCTAGGACCTAGACAAGGTGGAAGATCAGTGCTCCATCACCAACTCCTACATTGCTTCCCGTGCTCACCGTTTGCTGCTGATGCTTCTTTGCCCACCCTTCCTTAATCGTCCCAAACGGCGCTTCTGACGTAGGCGCATACGTAGTATATACGAGACCAGTATTGACGAGACGGCTGTCTGCGGGTGGTACATGTGCTGGGTACTGTTCAGTGACAGGGGCTTCAGGGATGGAAACACAATGTCGCTCCCGGGCTCTTGGGGGATCTGCGGGACAATCAATGTAGGGCGACATAATTCACATCAATCTTATCATCACCGCGTTTCTCTGGAGACGATTCACAGTAGGTACTGACGGCATAGAAGAAAGAAGGGAGGAAAGGGTGGCCACAGGTGCCTACCTTTGTAGAAACAGGTAGTCAGGCTTCCAACATCTCATCAATGCGACCGAAAGCGAGACTGTGAGCTCGAATTTCAGGGCCCAGGGCCCTCGATTTTTAGCAGTGGGTTCCTATGCATGAACAAGCCTTGTCGAGCCATATACTGACATCATGGATTTTGTTTCGGACTTCAGAACCTGGCCGCGTGGTTATTCGGTTTCTGGCACGTGTCAATGAGCAGGTCCTAGTAGGGAACATTGACAATGTTTCAAATTCATCACTCAAGCAAATATTGTGCATAGACAGTTCATGAGTATATCTTTCAACCACTTTTCGTGGTGGAGGGTTGACTCTGTCTCTTTTTCTCCGGTAGAATAATAAACAACCCGTGGGATGATTCAACCGACCCCGCCATTTCTCCGACCTCGGTCTACCATTGCATATAGGATTGACACAATAAAAACAAATTCCATTTCAGTTTAATATATCTATAACAGAAACAGCAGTAAGGAACGGTAATTTCATTTTGATTATACCTGTAAACCGTAATATTCATATGGTAAAAAACTACTCCTCTGCATTTGGACGGAACCTATCATGGCATCAATCGCTTCTTCATCTCGAGGCGTGTCTGCCGCGCAAAGACTTCGAGAACTGCTCCAAGATACAAGCCGCATCATTGTTGCTCCTGGAGTCCATGATGGAATTTCAGCTCGCATTGCGCTGTCTCTTGGCTTTGAAGCGTTGTATATGGTGAGATAAAATCTGACCAGTGGGTACAATGGTCAAATCACACTCTGCTAACCAGCATTTGTCAAAGACTGGTGCGGGAACATCTATGTCAAAGCTAGGTTGGGCGGACCTGGGATTGGCGAATCAACACGATATGACTGAACAGGCGGAGATGCTAGCTAACCTCAACCCATCAATACCTCTGATTGCCGATGCGGACACGGGCTATGGAGGACCTGTGTCGATTGCACGAACAGTGTCCAAGTACGCACGATCAGGTGTCGCAGCGCTGCATATCGAGGATCAGGTGCAAGAAAAGCGATGTGGACACCTACGCGGCAAGGAGATTGTGTCTCGCGAGGTGTTCTATAGTCGAATCCGCAGCGCAGTGAATGCTCGAAAGGAGCTGGGATTGGATATTTTGATCATCGCTCGAACAGACACGAGGCAAAGCTATGGGTTTGATGAAGCCGTGGAACGACTGCGAGGTGCTGCAGAAATTGGGGCCGACATTGTCTTTCCTGAAGCCATGACTTCGATCAAAGAGTTGCAGGACATGGTTCGTCTCATGAAACCAACGCCTTGTCTGTTGAACATGGTTTCCAAAGGTGTCACACCCGAGGTCTCGGTGTCAGAAGCTCATGAACTAGGCTATCGAATAATGATTTACCCAGTTGTTGGATTTGGCGGGGCTATCAAGGGAATTACCGAGTCTTTGACTGAGTTGCGCAAAACTGGACGAGAACCCCAGGACCTGATCAGCGTAGAGGAGGCATTTAAGCTTTGTGGTCTGGATGATTGCGTTGAGCTGGACCAAAGGGCCGGAGGGCAGGCCTTTGCCGCCTTGAAACCCAACCAATGCTGATAGACATTACAACCCTGGAGTCCAAAACGCATCTTAGTGCACTTCATTCGAGCACCCAACTATTGCTCAATTGATGTTCTATCGCCTGCTTTTCTCCATAGACAATGGTCTACAGACCACCTGTAGACAGCCTACTACTGTAGTACTGTATTCTGACCATGCAAGGCAAGGCACGTGACGTGAGCTTGGCTGCTGGTGAGTAAACTCTGCTTGACCACTTACGCATTTCATGGACATTTACCGACAGGATGACAACGATTCCTAGTGCGTTCAGTATTGTCTTGACGTTGTCGGTTCGGATATTGGTAAGAAAAGGGGATGAATGATGGTTGGATGTCTCGAACGCCCTTCGTCGCTTTATCCGCATTGGGCAGTCCGATCGGCGGGGAACTTTATTGATCCGAGGGGAATGACATGCAACAAACAAAAAATCATACCATGTCAATATGTGTGTTTGAATCTTACTCACAGTCTAATTCAATATCTTAGAATTTGCATCTTCTTTTTAAAAGCAGGTGTATCTATCCTCTCGCCCACTTGATCCCCTGGTGTCCGTATTTGTGCACCAAGCTCTCACTTGACTCTGCAAACATGTCTACCAAACCATCCATCCGAGTCATTGGCTCATTGAACATCGACTTTGTGACTCTGACACCCAGGGTCCCCGGACCAGGCGAGACACTGTCTGCGACGTCCATGACAGTACATGCAGGAGGGAAAGGAGCCAACCAAGCGGTAGCATGTGGTAAAGCGGCATTCACGGCGCCTGGCCAACAAGACGTGTCGGTGTCAATGATTGGCGCCGTGGGTAAAGGCGACCCTTACTATGAATCGCTTCTGCGACCCACGCTAGAGAAGAGTGGAGTCAGCACCAGCCATGTCCAGGAAATCGAAGGCGTGCAAACCGGTACCGCCACCATCATTGTCGACGAGGGCTCGAATGGCGAGAACCGAATCTTGTTTGTGCCTGGAGCGAATCATCAAGTCACTGATGTGGGAAAGGTGGTTGAGGCCGCCACGAAGGACGGCGTGCCTGACGTGATTGTCATGCAAGGAGAGATTCCGAGGTCGACAGTTCTGGGGTTGCTTGAAACTTTTAACTCTAGCGACCACAAGACCGCCGTCATCTTCAACCCAGCACCAGTTTTTACAGAGGGCATCCCTCTTGCTTCGCTAAAAGACTTGGCCGTCTTGGTGGTCAACGAGACCGAATGTATCCTCGTCTTCGAAGCCGTACCGGAACTCAAGGGCACGGTGGCAGATTTGCCACGACCAGAGGACATCACACAGCAGCATCTGGACGTCATGACCGCAATTCTGCACGAGCGAGCAAACATTTCTATTGTCGTGGTCACCCTTGGTGCCCGCGGCGTCTACTACTCGGCCAACGCCGGCTCCCAACGAGCACTAGTGCCAGCGGCCAAGGTGCAGAAAGTGGTCGACACCACCGGGGCCGGTGACACCTTTGTCGGCTATCTCTCCACAGCTCTGGCTCGACATATGGCTACCCCGACCCCAGCTTTGGACCAGTTCGATCTGAAAGCCGCCGTCAACACTGCCACCCAAGCTGCTGCTAAATGCGTCCAGACCAGTGGAGCTATGGAGAGCATTCCATTTGGCTACGAATAGACTTGACATACGTTTCTGGGAACCTTGGCATCCACAACCACCCAGCGAGAAATAATGGCCCACTGCAAGCCAAAAGCCTCAAATCGACAAGTAAGAGAGACCGCCAAGTAAACCGACCAGTACAGAACGATATATTTTCATTTCTGCTATTCTGTGCAGTACGTGGATTTTGGAGAGAGAATCTACAATTTACTTGGTTTCCAGACTGGCTTCCTCTTCTCTCTGAAAGCAGCAAGACCCTCTCTGGTGTTTTCACCCGTCATGAGACCTTCCCTGAAGCGAGAGTCAACCAACTCATAACCACGCTCGACACTAGCGGTTTCCCATGCCTCTCTCAAACCGGCGCGGGTGACGATGATGGCATCGGGAGAGATGTTGGCGACCTTTGTGGCCAGAGCCACGGCTTCGTCGATCAAACTCGCTTGCGACTTGGAGATGCTGTTGATCAGGTTGTACTTGAGCGCCTCGGCTGCCGTCAATGTGCGGCCCGTCATGCTTATTTCCGACGCTAGTGGGATTCCAACATTGCGAACCAGACGCGGCAAACCGCCAGCGCCAGCGTAGATGCCTCGCAAGGCCTCTGGTAGTCCGAATGTTGCGTTGGATGATGCTACGACCATGTCACTGGTGGGGAAGAGAATCAAATGGTTAGCAAGAGAAGGAGAAGAAAAAGACAGTAGTAGCTGGGGTAGTAGATAGAGAGAGTGAAAACCAAGGACAGAATCAAAGAGCCATCAAGGTCCTTTGCCGTTTCAATGAAATGAATATAACTTACCAGTTAAGAACAATTTCAAATCCACCACCGAGAGCAAAGCCATTGACAGCAGCAATGACTGGTTTTTTACCAACACGACGACTGACGCCAGCAAACCCAGTTGGTGGATGCATAGCGAGGTAAGGCTTTTCCTCAGCCTCTTTGGGGTCACGGGTACCGATTTCGATGAGATCCTGACCGGCGCAAAAGGCCTTGGGACCCGCGCCCGTGATGACCGCCACACGCAACGTGGGTTCTCGGTCAAACCATGTGAATACTCGGTGGAGATACCAGTGCACTGCAGACGGGATCGAGTTCATCTGCTTGACCCGATTGATTGTCACCAATAGGATATGGGGTGCCGGGATCGATAGTATGACCGAGGGGTCGTCGGTGGTGGGTGCTGGGATGGTGGTTGCGAGGTTGGCCATTTTGATGTTGATGTTGATGTTGATATAGGTGGATCTTGTGCTGTAGTTACGAAAGGGTGATGAGGATGAGAAATACGGTGATTGCAATGATGATAGATCTTATTCTCGATCGTTTTGGGTGGTTTCTTAAATTCGCTTGATTAGGCCTCGGTTATACTGGTTGGTGGTAAGCCTCAACGTAAGCTTGCCTGAAACCTTTGGGTTCAATCAATGCAATTTGTGGTCGATAGGTTTGCTTCGATATGAGCTGATATAGACAATTGAATCAGATCTACGTTGAAGCCATAAGAAATCCTTCAGCAATGTGGTCATGATCAATCGTCAATATACAAATGGCTACCCCGTGGTGGAAATCCGACCTGGAGAAGCCGAGGTTGGCAGATTACCCCGACATTGCCGGGTCAGGCTCCTCGCCAGTAGTCCGCGGGATGGAGTTTAGCTCGAGGTACCCATTCGTTACATATGGCGGCCCTTGGTAATACTGTAAGGAGTTTAGCATCCTAATACATTTCGGAGGTCGTGTCAAACAAGTCATGCATTCGGTAATGAGGTCGGATATATACTCCCCCATGAGTCATAAAGTTATGATGAATGGCTACCCAGTATATGACGCATCGAGTATACTCTAGACCCAGCCCGTGTCCAAGACATGACAAGACAGGGACCAGTTCAGCGTGGATTACAGTTCCAACAGATTTACAAAGACGCCCCAAGCAAGACCAGCCAGACTTCCAACCAGCATTCGTTGCTCCACGGGCACCACCAAAAGGTTGGTCAGAGTGACAAAGGGCCAAAAGGCATATCCCGCCTTGAGCATCGTCCAGAAGTCCTGCCAGAGTGCCACTGTTAGCCGATAGTCCGTCTTGGTTGAAACAAGGTGTTTGATATACCCTTTGTAAAGCGTTGATAGTGTTAGCCAAACCTGCACCTCTCAAGAGACTGATGCCGACGAGAAACATGACATTGTTGACAACGGCACCGAATGTCTGATCGAGAATGAACTTTATAACAGTATTGGTAACAGAAAGACTCTGCGTCTCCTCTGTTGGAGGTCGTTCATCCTTGTCCTTGTCCGTTGTTGCAGGGCGCTTGGGAGGATAGCCTGGAAAATTGTTTTCCAATGCAATCTGCCATTTGTAGTTTGGCGGGGTTTGAATGATGGCCAAAAGTACCATATGAAGAAAGGCAGTATAATCGAATGAGTATGGGACTGTCGACTGATATGCAGTCAGGCCTTGTGCGATGATGTTGGACAATGCAGCAAGAACTGCTCCCTGAAGAGTGACAGTTACTAGGCGGGAGGACATTTCTAAGTTATTGGAGGATTCCCAAGACGGTTCAAACCCTGACCAGTGACCAAGACCGAGTATTTGACCGTGGCTTGAGTCGACCTGAATAGACAAGATTCAGAAGAAAGAGAAAATCGGGCCGTTGGAAGGTGAATCAGACAAGTTGGATGAATAGACGTCATAAATTGTCTTTGTGTCAGGAACGATCAGAGAGGGACAGAATCTTATAAAGAAAGAGCCAGTGACCAATTCAGGTCCAGCATTGTGTAGAGACTTTATCAACTCTCAAGAAACAAACCACATCGAACACGTGTCAAGAACAAGACCGATTGGTAATCTTCATCACCGTAGAGCAAGTGGGATGGACGACTTTCGATACCGTGACGCCTAAAGCTAGAAACATGACCATTTGGCTAGCGAGTCTGATGCTTTGGTGATACACTCTGTTGCCCCTGTACGGGGCGGCCTTTGGTCTCTTGTTCCGTTTCTGGTTTCTATAGGCGTCATAATCACACGTGATATGGCCTATCCCTCCTTGCATGTCTTATTTGACTTAGGCGAGCCAGGTTATAGACACGCTATACAACCAGTCACAATCAATGCGAATAAATCAAAGGTGACACCTATAAGCAAGTATGGCTACGGCTGTAATAGGCGGCAAGTGTTAGGGCTGGGGGTGCTCGGGCATGCAAATAACGACATTGACCACCCGTGCGCGCCCGGAATTCTACCCCGTAAGTCACCAGCCAACGCCACTGGCGGACAGTACGGCATGAATATAGATGTCTAGCAAAAGTGTAGGTACATATGTACGTTCGTCTTGACTCCCTTATATGCATCACAGACAACCTACCTAGCCTTCTCTAGATACAACATGTGATAACGTGTCATCCCCTGCCGAAACTTGTCTCCCTTGAGCCCTGTTGGATCGGCCTTCATCTTTCTCAGGCCCTGGTGCAGTCCACCCCGTGCCAGCTTGCAGAACCAATACACATACAGTCAAAATACCGCCAGCCAGGTACACGAGGCGAAGTGCCCGTTCATAACCTAGCAGCGCCACCTCTTTGTCGACCCCGTCTAGTTTCTGTACAAGTCCAGGTCGTCCCAGCAGTTGCCGAATCAGCTGCGAATTCCCAGTTATGCCTCGATCTTTGAATTCCTGTGTGAGAGCATGCTGAAGCGTGCGAAGAAACAAGCCTCCTCCAACCGACGCCCCAAATGACCCCGAAAGACTTCGAAACATGGCGTTTAATGGAATAACAATCACGTGCGTCGATGGCCTGGTCAAGTGCAGGACATGGGCAAGTGAATAATTGAGCAATGCGCCGGCGATAAACCCATTGACAAAGATGATGCCCAAGTAGAGATAGATGTTTGAAGTCGGTGTTGAGATCCACGATACGGTAAACATGGAAAGCACAAATAGCCCAAAACAAACCAAAACCGCCTGGTAGAAGGAACCCGTGCGACGAATGTGAAGCCAACCGATGAGGAGCCCACCGAGTCCAAATCCCAGATTTGTAGGAATTAGTGTCAACCCGGCACTTTCCTGTGGCCAGTGTCTCAGAGTCAAAACATAGGTGGGCGTGTAGAAAAGCAGAGACCAGCGAGCCGTCATCACTCCAAGCGTAGCGAAGCTCGTCAGCATATTGCCTCGAGACGAAAGGACAGCGGTGGGAATGATTGGGTTGACGGCCCAGTGGCGTTCCACCAGGATGAAGAGTGTGAGGGATGCCAATGACAGAATCACCGGGGTGACCTGGATTTTTGGCGCCGAGAGACTGTACAGGAGTAGCACGACCGACGTGATGAGGGTGACGACGCCAAAGTAGTCGATCTGGGCCAGCTTGTCTCTCAACGACTCCTCATCATCTGACTCTGTCTCCGAGCTGCGGCCGGTGACTTTGCTCTGAGGGATAGCAAAAAAGGCACCCACCCCGGCAGCCAACGCGACAGGGGCCTGAGCCCAGAAGACCGTTCGCCAACCGATACGTGGCTCCAGAGCACCGGCGATGATGGCACCACATGACACGCCAGTCGTGTACCCGGTGTTGATGATGCCGAAATACAAGCCCCGTCTGCGTTGGCTGACCAGCTCCGTGACCAGGATGAACGCCACAGGGGTGATGGCAGCACTACCAATGCCGCTGACGACTCGACCAGCAAGAAATCCTGTCAAGGACTGCGCTTGCGAAGTGAGCCAAAGACCCGAAGCCTGGATCATGACCGAGACAAGGAGATATATTCGGGGCGTGAAGATAGTAGACAGCCGGCCCGAGATGGGTGTGATGCTCGTGATGGCAATCAGGTAGGTTGATGTGAACCAGCTCACTTCGGTCGAGGCATCCAGGTCAATGGCAATCGGTGACTGGATCGTCGTTATCGCCGACACGTTTCCAGTCGTGACAAATATCAGTAGCCAGATGGAAAGACATATCACGATCCCTCGTACGCGCGATACTGTGCTCTTTGGATGATGCTCAGAAGTCACCACCGTACTGTTGCCATCTTCTGCCACCCCACCATCAAGCAATGCCGTTCGTTCCGTTTGTTCCACATCATGTCTGCTGGTGACCGCCATCGATTCTCTGATCGCTGAGTCTTGTCAGATTCACAATTATTGTTGATGATGAGTGGATAGCGACCGACATCCAATGTCACCCAGTACTCAAAACCTAAGGTTGAAAGCGAGAATGTCGATGACAAAGCACCATAAATTATACTCCAACCGTGGCATGACGCAAAGTCCACCAATCGGAACCAAAAGTTCCCGGTCACAATATACGGAGTACTCCGTACAAGAAATCGATCTCAGAGCTTATCAACACGTCCGTGATATATATATCTGTGTCTAAGGAATGACTACTGAGTTGAACCTAGACCTCAGCCCTAATCTGGTACTGGGCGATATGTGCCTCTCTACCTTGCTGCCGGCGAGCATTAACAGGAGCTCCGTTTACTCGGCAGCTTCGGCCTTTCTGGTATCATAAACCTTCAGAGCCTCCTCGGCAGCCTTGACGCCAGACAAGACCATGGCACCAAAGGTAGGTCCCATACGGTTGGCACCGTCGTACTCGCTCAATTCCATACCGCCAATGATGATGCCAGGCGAAACTTCGCGGGTACCCTTGACAATGGCATCTTCGGCACTGTTCATGTCGAGGGCACGCATGCCACCGAGTTTCTCAATGGCATTCATGCTCACGAGACGTTTTGCACAGAAAGCACCAAATGGACCATCGTGTCCGGTGGTACTGATGACGAGTGGTGCGTTAATTGTGCTGTTCAAGTCAGTACATGTCTAAGGTAGGGATCTGACTGTCCACTGCTTACTTGGGGTCCATGCAAGAGTGGTTGTCGTGGTGAAGTGTGACCTGATAGCGTGTCAATAGTGGCATCGTCGTAAAGAGTCAAAGAAACCCACCAGAGTCCAGTTAGTCACAACGCCAACAACACGGACCGAGCCATCGGTAGTTGGTCGCGTAATCAAGTCTTCGACACAGGTTGCGTTGAACAACTTGACATTGGGCAGAGCAAGGACCTTGCTCATGAGGGTGCTCATGAACAAAGCGGCGTGCTTGACCACGACATAGTTGCCTTCGTCCTCGAATGGGACACCGATGTCATTCAAGAACTCCTCGGCGGGCTTGCGAAGGACCATGGCAGAGAAGAGCTGTCCTCCGAGCCAGCATCCACCACCGGGCGAGACGGATGCCTCAATGATGGCGATTTTGAGGTCAGGTCGAGCTTTGCCCAGGGTGTAGGCAGCAGACAGACCGCAGGAGCCGGCACCGACGATGACGACATCAGACTCTGCGTACTTGTCGAGGTCGGCAAAGTAGCGTCGAGTCATGGCACGGGAGACTTGGGACTCCCGGATTGGGGCGAACTTGAAAGAGTCCCATTTTCCGCCAAAGTCGTCCAAGAGCTTGGTGTAGCTATCTTCACCTTTGAGGACTACTGTTTGGGTCTCAGGTGCACCCTTAAGGTCTTTGGTGGTTGGGGTATAGCCAGAGGCATACTCATCGAAGGTGGCAATTGGGGGAGACATGTTTCAAGGTCCTGCAAGGTGTTAGGGGGGTGTGACTGGTGTTAAGAGGAAAGAAGGAGAGGGCATGATCCTTTCGCTGGTATTATCCAGAGTCAAGTTCAACCGTATAATCTCAGAACGCGCTCTCACATCCAAGCTATCGTCTCCAACCCAGGTGAGGGTTGGGTGGACGACAGGTCATTGGCAGATTGCAGCGAACACCGGTTCATGCTCAGACATCCTCATGTCTGATATGATTTTTAAAAGTACCTTGACCTTGAAGGCTCGTGACCAAGCGAGTGGATGACATGTAGTCCTCCATCTTGTGCATGGGTGGGCTTTACTTGAGGCTTTCGATCGATAGGGACGAAGGGTCTATACACAAATTAGCTGATCCGAGCTAGAGGAGAAAGCTACAACAATGAAGTGGTGTTGGGGTGGTGGAGGAAAGCTTGTGTTATACTAACTCGAATGGAGACTGCGAGGAGTCGAAATATGTGTCTGGGATTGTCTTGAGAGTAAAGAAGTTTGCTTGAGCAGAACAAAGACAAGGTCAGAGATAGTGGGAGGACGATGGGAGGACAAGGGGAGATTTTATAACTGATAGGAATTGGCAGCTGCGGTTTGCAACGGCAAATGGAGTTCGAGGAAGGAGGGGCATGGGGATGAAGGTGAGGGGCACTCCCGGAGTGTTCCTTCCCTCCAATGTTATCGTCGATAGAGTAAGTGCGTGGGGTTGCACGGCGGAGTCAGCGAGAGTGGACAGCTGTTGAGCACCAATAATGAGCTTTGACGAGCTCGATGATTTTCTTGATTCGGCCAAGAACAAGACGTGATTGAAGAGGCCAACAGATTCCCACCAGTGCCACCACTCCTTGGAGGAAGGGCGGTGGAATGAAGCGCCAAGGGAAGAGAGAGCCTTCTTCCAGGCCTCCTTCAGAGCCCTTTCCCCGACATTACATGTGGCCACGGAGTTATCAGGAAAGAATTGAAATCAATATTGTTCCACAAAGACATCAAGAGGATCTCCATGTGGCATATAGTCGTACAATCCGACTGCAACAGGCTAAACTTCGGTCGACTCAGCCAGATTCAAAGCTGGAACGTCAAATCCCTGGGGTGAAGAATATCCAAAGAAAAACTCCGAGTTCAAACTTGGCAAGCCAATGAGGGGTGTTAATTTAAGATTCAATGACCCCGATGGTGAAATATATGTTTACATTGAGTGCACAATACAATACTATAGATGCAAGGAGAGCCAATGACGAGGATTGAAACTCATGTTGGACAGGATGCCAAATTCAACCCCAGATGTCTCCACGTTTTGTGTCAAGAGATGTTCCGTACGAGGCAGGTGCCGAGGTTGTCCATAGCGACTTCCTATGTAGCCCCTCACAATGATGACAACCTCGAAGTGACTTCATCTTTATATTCGAGGAATGAATTGTGAATCATGAACGTACTAGCATAGTTCTGGCAAGACGACGCTATCATTAAACTCCGATGTGTCTGTTTCTTTAGCACTCGGATGCAATATTATCAACATGTCAGATTTCAAGCTCTACTCGCAAGTGAATGAGAAGCGTCCTTTACCACAGGATCCTGTGGTTCGTGCGGATGTTGAACATGTCCTTGAGCACGGTTATGTGATTATTCCCAACTGTTTCACCAAGGCCGAGGCTAAGGAAGCCCGCGATGAAATAATTCGATTGTTGGGCAAGGAGCCTCTGATAGGGCGAAACAGTTTCGAGGGACTAAACACCAACCGGATCTATTCATTGCTCAACAAGACGCGAGTGTTTGACAAGTTTACCATTCTGCCTCGGGTTTTGGCATTGAATGACTACTTCCTTGACCCAGGCTATCTCCTGTCGGCATTCCACACCATCACCATCAATCCTGGAGAAAAGGCCCAAGGGCTACATCATGACGATGGCTATATTCAATATGCCCGACCTCGACCGCCGTTTGGCTCGGCGATTATGGTAGCATTCGACGAGTATACGGCGTCCAACGGTGAGTGATCGGGATTTAAAGTACCAGATGCATATGCAGAGACTGAACACAGACAGGGGCAACGCGCATTATTCCCAAATCACATCTATGGGGGAGCGATCGAAAAGGGAGACCAGAAGAAACCATCCCTGCGTTGTGTTCTGAAGGTGGAGTGGTATACTTCATCAGCACGCTTTGGCACGGAGGCGGAGAGAATGTGTCAGACCAGCCACGTCAAAGTGCGACGGTGCAATACTGCAACCCATACATTCGGCCGATTGAGAACCAGATCCTGGCGGTTGATCCACGCAAGTTGGATGAGATTAATCCGCGGATTGTGGAATTAATGGGATACAAACACATGGAGCCGTTCATGGGCTATGCTGATGGACTGGGCCCGCGGCGAGCAGCGAGGAGGATGGTAAGATGGCTGCAACACGAGGTGGACCAACATCCTCCAACATTTGCACATGAAGCTCGAGAGCCAAAATTGTGAGGATTGCTCTGATGATTGGATGCATGTGTCGGCGTGATGGATATGTGGAACATGATCAGCATCAAGCTCACGCGAATACGATGGGTGGATGATAATCTCCCTTACATATCAGTAGTCATGATGTACACATCAACGCTGAGTACGGACTCTTGGTAGTGGAGATGGCCTTGCGCGCCTTGTTCATCCTCGTGTCCAGAACATCTTTTCATGATTACATGTTTTGTTTCAGTGTCTCGCCTGGTGAGAGTAAGATGACGTCATTGGACCTTTGTGATTGATGCATGGTGAGGTTTGATCACATGACCAGAACGCTGAGGAGAAGAATCTCGCCCCTCAGGTCAAGAGCAGATGGAAAAAGCTTAGACTGATTCAAGGTCACTCAAGCACGGCGGCGTCAATTGTTTGATGGATGTCATTCTTTGTGTACTACTTGAAGAAGTAATTATTGCAACTTCAAATCCCAAGTTCAATCTCGTCTTGACCAATTTCTCTTACACTTGGAGGTAACTTGCCTCTTTTAACCAAGAGATGTAAAGGAGGCAATTGGCTCGCCTAAGGTCGGTGTTTGTCAATGGGCCAAATGTGACTCAGCAACTCCTGACCCACCAGCAGATTTGGTTTGAGATCAGAGCAACGATGGGAGAACTGGGAGGGTCAGGAGGGCGAACGGACGGCCGAGAGGCGCTGGAGGCGCGTGGGAGAGAGGTAATGAGTGGGAGGCAGGAAGTACTATGACGATTGGGCTTGACTAATCTTGGGGTTGACTTGTCCATCACTCCTGCCTTGCTTTGGCGCCACCAATCCTTTCCGCCTCCGCCTCCGCCCTAAACTTTTCCTGCAGTTAATCACTCGTACGAATACTCCGTACTGTATAAGCACGCACGGAGTACTTTCTAGGGCTGGCCTAAGTAAGGTAGTAGTGGACCTATGTGACCTACCAGCCTAACTTCGTACCGACCAACCTGACGATCGTCAAAACATGGTCATCTCTCAATACTGCAACATTCGTTCTTGTTTCTTGTTCAGTTGAGGCTGCATCTTGAATCTTCTTGCCTATCCGCCGTGTCCCTGCGTTGTTTTGCCATTTGACTTTTTATCTTGGACACTCAAATCGGTGGTTGCCCCATACCTATAGTGCTATCTGCGCGTGCTTCCGGCTGCGGGCTACACTATCTGACTGTTATTATTATTCCTCCTTTCGGTGTCTGGCTGCGGACTTTCGGGCTTCACCAAGAACCCAACTGCAAACTCAATCACCATTCACCATTCACTTCAACCATCCGCATCTCTATACCTCATCGAAATCGACGATGAACTAACTGCGATATCGATCTTGTTCATCTGCCAAGTACCATGGCTCCGTCGGAGCCAAATCCACGACGTGGAGACGACACCAACAACAGCCAAGTCAATACCGAACCATTCCCCTCGATCCAAGTGACCAGCGACAACGGTACAACTTCTACCACAACCACAACCACCGTCGGTCCTACCATCACCACCACCACAACCTATCCCTCCCGCGGCGGAAGACCATACACCGTCACCTCCTCGTCTCCCTCATCTTATGTCCCATCCCCAACGCCCGCTTCTCCCGTCATAGTCAGCCAAACCATCACCCCCGTCCCTTCGAACTCGAATCTCGCAGGCCCAGCGGCAGCGGCTTCAACTGCCCCCCCGCTTGTCTCTCGTCCAACGGTGAATAGGATTCGTCCCATTGGCATCAGACGATTGCCTTCTTCCAATCTAGTCCGTGTTCCAACAAACGGTTCAAACGGCGATGTCTCAGAATCTACCACCCAAACCTCTAGGAGAGGAAGAAGTTCCTCCGCTCCACAGCACTATCTCGGTGGTGCTTCGGGCACAACAAATAACCTTACCAGACAAACAACCAGGAACTCAACGTTGGCCCCTGTCGTTGAACATCTATCAACAGGGGACGCAACACCAGACCGGGACACTCTCAATGTCCCTGACAGCACGCCTAGCCGAAGGCGCAGTGTCAGTAACGCGGCACGGTCGGTCATGAGCAGGTTCAGCGATCGTTCGAGAGAACGGGATGAGCCCGAATATGACGATCAAGTCGTGGATCTCTTGGATGTCCTAGGCAAGTCTTTGAGTCTGGTCTCACGTGTCCCCGTCAGCGACTAACGCGTAGCAGATCCTGAGGTGTCCACCTTGACCACCCTGACCAACGTCCAGAATTCCCTGTTCGTGCCAGACCTAGGGCGATGGCTCAACAGACGGCCGACATACGAACTCAGCAGTCGACGATCGACCGTCAGCCGACGACCAGAACCTGGAATCCCGGAGAAAGACAGCTTCGGCATGAGCCCCATCCAGAGCGAGCCTACACACACGCCAGCGGAAGAGCAGGAACCTCTTGGGACCACTCCCAGCATCCAGCGCACCTGGTCCTGGCAAAGGAAGCCGCAGATTGAGCGAACACACAGCATTTCGTCAGTGGTCTCAGACTCGCACTATGCCGTCCTGCCTCATGGTGTGTCGCTCGAAGGCTGGAGTGACGAGGACAAGGAAGCCTTGGACGATCACGTCCGGCACATGTTGCACTCGAAACGATCAAAATTCAAGCAGAGAATGGTGGCCTTTGGGAAATATGTTCGGAAGCGTAAGTGACTCTGGCGGGGAAGCATGATCTATATGGCCAATTTGCTCACACATGGTAGCACTGGGATTCTTCGTCACGCTGTATGCCGTGCTCATCACCCTATTTGGTCTCGCGTGGGTGTTGTTTCTGATTGGTAAGCCACATCAAGCATGAATAAGACGGGCATTGGCTGACAGGGTACCCAGGTTGGATCTATGTCGGCGACCGGCAGCTGTACATCATCAACATCATTGACAACGTATTGGTTGCGCTCTTTGCGATTGTCGGTGATGGACTAGCCCCCTTTCGAGCGGTCGACACATACCATATGATCTACATTGCTCATTACCACCACTTGACCTGGCGGCTCCGCCGGGAACAGGCGCTGCCGACCCTGCACGATCACAACGATCTTCCCGCCAAGGTTATAGACAATGTCGACCCTGAGGCGCAAAAGGCTGAGGATGCCGAGTATTCAGTCCTGACGCTTCAGCAGCAGCAGAAGTTGGTGCACCACCAGGCCAAGTTCTCCAAGTCGCACTCTTTCTACAAGCCGCACGAGACGCCGACGCACTACGCCTTTCCCTTGCGTCTGTTGGTCGCCATTGTGGTCTTGTTAGATTGCCACTCCCTGTTCCAGATTGCGCTCGGCGCCTGCACGTGGGGCATCAGCTACCACTATCGGCCTGAAGCGCTGACCGCCACCATCCTATCATGTTCTATCACCGTCAACATCACCGCCGGCATTTTGATCAGCGTGGGTGACCGCAAGACACGCAAGAAGGACGTGGCCCTCCGAATGATGAGGCAAGATTTGACCTCGACAGCAATGAAAAAGGTGGAGAAGCACAAGAAGGACAGAGCGGAGCAGTTGAGAACGGCATCCAACCAGGAAAACTTTGAGGTGATCGACGAGGAAACGGCGGACCAGGTCAAGCCACGCTCGCCATGAGCATTGTGCGCTTGCACCCTCCGCAATCTTCCGGCGTCTTGATTGTCTTATCGAGCCGCAGTGACATGTGGAAAAGAGATGCCCGCTTGCACGCATAGCCCGCTGTTTTGAATATTAGCACCGGCGTTTGTTTGGCTGATGGAGGGCCCATGGCAATGTAATTTGGGAAAGTCCGGCTTAATCTGCCCACTATAATTGGAAAGTCATCATCGGTCAAGCCGGTGGTCGTTCGGCACAGTTGAACCAGAAGAGTAGCCTCGTCACATGCCGGGGCTTGCGAGCATGTTCGAGACCCAGATATCCCTGTTGGGCGCATGATTCAGACTTTAATAGAGACTTACTCGGATGTTGAGCGTCGAACAGCTGGCGCAGGACTGTTGGCATTGAGTATTGAACCTTGGACTTAACAAGGTCCGCCAGCGGACATCAGGCCCGTGTCACCGTACAGTATGTCCGCACAGATACACACGTCGACAGATGGAGCCGCGCAGGTCCTGGATCGACCGTTGGCCTATACTGTGATTTGATTAGGGACGTATCTATGTACAGTACGTTCACGGACTATGTTCCTCTTCTTTTCCGTGATTATTAAACTGCGTGAGTTTGGATGGACAAAGCCAAGTCCGGCGAATGAATTTCCTTTTGACAGAAGCGGGTGTGAGTCGTAAGGATCTGAGGGTGGGTGGCTGATGATGAGGTCGGGGCAAGTCGGGGGCACTCACTCCAGGAGATGCTGGGGGTGGGGGGTGGTGGATGTGCCGAGCTGAAGCCTAAAGAGTCACGAGAGTTCTGGGGAAGATGGTTGCAATCCTTCTCCCGTTCTTCTAGAAGATTATCACCAACCGCCCGCAGCAAGCTTTGCCTAGAAGAGATTAGGCTGCTGTCAGCCCTGCTTCTAGCGCCTGGGGACCTCCAGGTTTCGCCCGCCGCTCCTTCTTAGTGGTGCCTATCGATCGGCTATTGGGGCAGCCTTGGGCCGCCTATCGCACCATAGACGCCTATCTACTGGTCCTCCCCCGGCCCCCTCCCCCTCGCCCCTCCCATCTCCCCCATCATCAAGCCCCGGCCAAGATTCATAACCTCCATCTTGACCTCCTCCATCATCCAATCCCTCGTTTCCCCGGGCCCCGGCCAAAGCTTCCACCTCTTACTCCTCTACCAACATCCTGGCTCCACCACTTGTCATCTTGGCCAGACTGTTTCTAGAAACTCTATGGAAGATCATCCTGGACATTCGCTCTTCTGATGCAGTGCCCAGACTCCTATCTTCTTGTCTTTGATGTTGGAATTTACATACCCCGGAACCCTATCCCAGTCTTATCGCCTCCTGCCTCTTGCCTCTTGCATCCTCAAATGCTCTTTCCAGAGATGGGCCAAGTTGGTTGGTCGGTGGCTCCTTCCCTTCTAACTTCCACCCTTCCATCTCCGCTTCCATCTCCCACCAAGAACTCCAGCCGTCAAAGCTTCGTGTTCGCCTCAACTATTGACTTGTCATCAACAAGCCCGTCTCACGATAACTGGCGTGCTAGCTGGTGGGTCTCCCGCGGCTCTTGGGATAGACAACTCTTGGTATACCATCGTGGCGTCCCTAAACGGCCTTGGTTCCACGCCCCATCACTCATCTAATACATCATCGTGGGTGAGAGTGTAACCTTCCACGAGAACTGAAATGTGGGAACAGCCATAGTCCGCCATCACTGCTACACATGTCATGGCGGAGATCAGACATTCCTCGTGTCCGTTCTATCCCCCGTGCCCATAGCATTTGTCTTATCACTCGAGCTCCATCAAGACAAATGCTATAAAGAGACCCTCAAATCCCCAGGTCATGGACACTCTCTTCTCCAGACTCCAGACTCGTCGCCTTCGCTAACTTGTCCATCTCAACCCCGCGTCAAAAGAACCCTTTCCAAGTTGTGGTCTTGACTATTTCTTTCTGATCCCATCCGCTTCTCTTTCCATTTCACCGTCAACATCATGGCGGCCCCTCACGTCTCCAACCAGGGTTCCCCCATCAACGATTCCAAATTGTTCGTCGAGGTTGAAAAGCCTCGTGATCAGCAAAAAGAATATGTCGTCGACGAGGAAGGCAGGGCTATCCCCATCGATTACTCTGGAGCACACGAGAAGACCGACCCTGCTGAAATCGCCCTGGTCAAGAAACTTGATCGATGGATCATGCCCACCCTTTGGATCATGTACTGGCTCAACTATTTGGACAGGAATGCCATCGCTCTAGCCCGTCTCAACGACCTCGAGGAGGACTTGAACCTCTCCTCCACCCAATATCAAACCTGCGTTTCCATTCTTTTCGTGGGTTACCTCCTCGGCCAGATTCCCTCCAACATGATCCTTACCCGTGTTCGTCCCTCATATTACATGGCCGGGTTTATGGGTCTCTGGGCGATTGTCAGTACTTTGACCGCCGTCTCCCAGAATTTCACTGGTCTCCTTCTCACTCGCTTTTTCTTGGGCGTGACTGAAGCCCCATACTACCCCGGAGCTCTATTCATGCTCTCCGTCTTCTACACTCGCAAAGAGATTGCTACCCGTATTTCAATACTGTATACCGGAAATATTCTTGCCACTGCCTTTGCTGGACTCATTGCTCTCGGTATCTTCGAAATGGACGGCATGGCAGGGCTCGCTGGCTGGCGCTGGCTCTTTATCATCCAGGGTGTGGCCACTTTTGTCGTTGCCATCGGTGCTATCTTCACCCTTCCTGACCATCCCCTCACCACCCGCTGGCTCACCCCCGAAGAACGCCAGTTGGCTCATGATCGCATTGAGAGAGACACCGTCGGCGGCAAAGCCGGTACCAGCACTTTCGCCGGTCTCAAGGAAGCCGCTCGAGATCCCAAGCTCTGGCTCTTTGCCTTTATGCAGCACATGCACTTGGCTGCCAATGGCTTCAAGAACTTTTTCCCTACCGCCGTCGAAACACTCGGCTTCAATCGCACCATCACGCTCGTCCTTACCTGCCCTCCCTACCTCATCGCCGGCTTCATCTCTGTCTTCTGGAGTGCTTCGTCCGGCAAATACAACGAACGGACTTGGCACATTACTGTCGCTAAGGCTATCGCCATCTTTGGCTTTGTTCTAGGCTGTGCCACTCTCAACACTGGCGCCAGATATTTCGCCATGGTGGTCTTTGCTATTGGAACCTATGCCGTCAACTCTATCATTCTCGGCTGGGTGGGATCGACTTGTGGCCAGACCAAAGAAAAGAAGGCCTCTGCGTTGGCCATTGTCAACACCATCGCCAACTCGAGCTTCATTTGGACTCCTGTAAGTGGACTTGCACTCAGTTTGTTCCTAATCTACCTTACTGACTTTCCTGTCCTCAGTATCTTTGGCCTAAGACAGACGCCCCTCGCTACACCATCGCTATGGCTTCCTCAGCCGGCTTCTCCGTCGCCACCGCAGCCGGTGCCTGGGCCATGCGCCTCTGGCTCCAACGCACAAATAAAAAGATCCGCCAGAGTTCAGATGAAACCACCTTGTTCTACGCCTACTAAGAATTTGTTGTGTTTCTGATAAAGGGGTCGGGGCATGCTAAAAGAATATTGTCCTAGTTACGACCACAGGCTATTCCTGGCCTTTTGAAAGACCTTGAATATTTTCCCATGTAGATGTTTTGAAGAGGATCTCAGACAAGATGGAGCTTGAAACGTGAACATACTCATTAGCTGAGAAAGGAATGGATTAACGAATAAACGACTATCTTCAAATCTTACTTCAATCCCAAATCCAGACCACATGTCTAGTGTCTGACCGGTGTTTAGTATCTGACCGGTGTCTTGTGCAATGACCCAACGAAAAGGGAAACGCCTCGGACAGTGACTGCCAGAACAATTAGAGAACATCACCTGACGACCCCTTGCAATCAACGAAAAAGGCCCAAGTCTTCAAACCAGAACAAAGTCCTGCTGAAGAGTTTTCTCAATTCGTCGAAGTCCTCAAGTCTCATTTATTACCCATCCTTTCAACACAGGCTCAGCGTAAATTAGGTTCATTCCCTTCGAAATGACGCCTGATCACGCCAATCATGGTCAATAGTGTCTTTGTATATCATGTGATAGCTTAATGCTTCTTTAAGTGGGACTTGGAGGTTGAAAACTAAGCGACTTCTTTCAGATGAAGAATGGGCACTAGCGTAAAACCGCTGCATGTGTGAGACTCGCCTCAAATCCATTCGTTAGCATCTTTGTCATGCAATGTCGACCGACGCAACTATACAAATATGTTTCGCAACAATTACCAGTTTATAAGCGCACGCCTACGCATTGGAACAACGTTGAAATAGACCGATTGCGCTAATCCCAAACAATGCCAAATCCTAATCGAGAAGCCGCACCAGCACAAAATAGGACTAGCTGTTTTATGCAATGTGCTATACTACGTACATAATACTTCGTTCACTGGCGTAAATACAAATGTCCATCTATGGTCACACTTTCCAAGATCCTAGCAGTACACCACAACCGCTGTCACCCCATCGCGGGCCTCGTTGAGATACCTAGAGCTGCTTCTTAGTAAGCCTGAGCCTTTCCAGTCAGTTCATCGTGCGCTTGAGAACAAGATCTTGTCGTCAGCACTGCTTGGCGTCGTCGTGGAGTCTTCCGTCTCTCCTCTGGGTTTAGTCGGGCTCATTACTACCATCCAGCCTCAAATACTTACTCCCGATGAGGTATTTCTGACCGCCACAGGGTCCAGGTCTTGAGTTGCCACCAGCATTGCTTTACAACGGCCGTTGAAAGCAATGCCTCTGCCTGCTTTAGACCCCTCAGTCAACCTCCCCAGGCGCTGCAGATTCACGACATCTTTCACGGCGCCCCGATTCCGATTGTCCAATTTGATGATTATTAACCGCACGGCAATCTCCTAGATCGAATCCTTACGACTAGCCAACAATCTTACACTTGACCTCGGTGATCATCTTTGGCTTCATGTTTGCGCGCCTTCGACTCAGGCATGCGCCGCCTCCTCCCTCGCTGGCTGCATTTGTCTCTCTGTCACTCACTTAAGCTCTAAAGCCCCGAACTAAATGCCACCTGCTAGGAAGGCAGTTCCTAGCTTCGGTACATGACCTCGGTCATGGAATGTGATATTGTTTGGTATACGCCAGTATCACGCTTTGCTCGCTAATCTACTCAAGATTGATTTCTCTCTGTGTGTCTCTCCCCTTCAGAACTTGCCATTTTCAGCACATTTCAATTTTGGCTCTTCTTGAGAACGCCATTTCCAGCATCGAGCAGAACGAAGGTAGTGACAGGTTCGACTCAAAGACATGCCACATTCAGCCAGGCAAGCATCACAATCAGCGGCAGCATTTTCTCGCGCGGAATCCATCTCTGTTTGCCAAAGGGCCTTTCAACTGCATCCAGCCGCGACGAATGATCCATGGGTCAATGACAGCAATCTCTCCGCGCTACCAATGGCACAACATACCAGTCTTAATTATGATCCCATACCATTACCAGTGTGGGACAGGCAGTCGATCCCTCAGTGGCCTGACCATGTGTGCCCTGTCGAGCAACCAAACATCCAGCAACCATTTGAGCTTTCAACTGACTTCATGATACCTGAACTTCCGCCCAATATATACACCGGGATTCCTACTCTGCCGTACGATTCACACCCTCCTGCTATCTCTGGAAAATCTAGCGACGATTCATCTCCACAGAATGGCGTCCCTACGATCGATTACGTGTCCACAGTCAACGGCAAAAATGAAGCAAGTATGACCAAAATCAACTCTCAGACCCTGACTAATTCTGCCAGAAGCGCAAAGCCCAGAACAGGCAAGCTCAGAGAGCATTTCGAATCAGGCAGCAGGAAGCCTTGGATAATGCACACATCAGAATGCAGGCTCTGGAGACTGAGCTCCAGAGCGCCCTTACGGAGAAGAACCATTATGAAAGGCTCTTCTACGATCTCACCGACAAATATGAGCAGCTGGCGGTGAAATACAGGCAGCCGGCGACAGCAGGCTGCGATGGTGCCCCAGACGGTGCTGGTGTGAACAAGCGTCGCCGGGAAAATGCCAATGCGAAAATCTCCAATTTTGATTAGGATTGACTGTCGTCGACTCGCAACAGAATGAGTGTTCACTACCAAGCGCGTGCGCGTACATTTTGCTCGTACCTAGTAGTTGCTTTCCCGTCGGGAAAATAGCAGTATGGAATCTATTTTCAATCTCTCTAGCAGTGGTCGTTTGTGGTTGGAATTGACGATGATGTAAGGTAATCAAGCCTATCCTAGTAAGGGACCGGTGCCGAAGAAGCGTTTCGCTTGTCCACAGTCACCGAGCTCCATTAACAGTGTATTGGTCGCTTTGACTTGCCTTGTCGTGTCATTCTTGGCGTAGGATGCATAGCCTATTGACAGGACAAACCAAAGCTTTCCGCCTGGACTGCAAAACCATATGGTTATGGACGACATGTGTTTCCGTGATCCGAAGTCTAGAGTGTTTCGGAATCCGCAGGACCTACCTAGAAAAGCGCCGTAGACCTCTCATGCCTGATTCGGACACCTGATGACTGAACGTGAAGCGTTGTATCGCTTGCATGAGTTGCATCAGGCCAATAGGCAATGGATCATCGATCATTCATGAGATATCTCCTGGCAAGCAGGATTTCTACTGGTATCGGTGTGAACGCTGACCTAAGCCAGCCTCACGTGGCCATGATGTGGCAACAGGACAGACGCTTTGCCGTCTTTGTAACTTACTCAGTATGCTCCGATCCTATTAGTATACGTTTTGGTCGAAGTTCTCGCCTGATCAATCCGATATATGAGAAACAGTTTATGCGGAATTAGTTGATCCCCAGCTCACTCCAACTATTCCTTCGTGGTCTTTGCTCAGCCCCAACATTGTACTTGGTCTAGCGTCGTATGTAAGGTCTCAAACAAAGACCCACTGCCGTGATCACGAATCTTGTGCATGGGCGACGGAGTCCATCACCTTGAAACACCAGCGTGAGGTAAACGCTTAACCAATCAGGAGAGTGGTGATCGACACTCATGACCGTAATCAGTCAAGCAACTCCCCTCATGATCTACAGCAAGGGAGACAGAATGGGTTATACCTCCCCCTGGCGTGTAGAGGCTTTCCCGTGGGGTCACGTTCTCAGCAAAGCCCTGAATGGACCCTGCCTTGATATCACCCGCTAGGTCACTTAGATAAGCTGCTTCTGTGGCCCGACCCTGGTCGCCATCATCATTTCGGTGGGGAATCCCTCTGTAGGCATAGCGAACGATTGCAAGCTCTGAATTCCCTGGCGAGATCGTTGGTCAGGGAAAATCTGTACTTTTGAATGCGTACGTCAACCGACGATACGAAGTCTTGCATGACTGGCAGTATGAAACGACGAAACGTCCGACTCGGCTGATGTGTCACCTTTGGTCTCTGCCTCTCACTTGGGGGGTGCTGATCACTTGAATTACCTATTTATATCATACCGATACCTCTCCCAATTACTTATGGTAGATTGTTTGGCTCTTTGAACATATCGAGCTCCTGGTGTGCATAACCGTTGGATCACAATTGTGGTCGAAAACGAACACTTCCATGAGCCCCTCTTTGACTAGCATCACGTGCTAATAAATCACGTGACATAGATATCGCAGAGATGGTCTGTCACGTGAAAAGTACTACCAAAATCAGGAGCGAGTACCACGTGATTCAGAGCGGTCAAATCTTCCCCATCTAAGGGCCCCAACATGCCAACACTCTATTGGCCAGCCTTGTCTCCATAGCCTCGGTTGTGTGGTAAGTCTTGCGTCACGGGGACGGGGCACCGGGGACGGCAATCTCGCTTTGGACAGTCGACAAATGTCGGCAGTTGTGAAAATGGTCTTTCAGTCGATCAAGTAGCAATTTTGAGCGGCTACCCACACAATCATCTTCTTTGCCAAAGGCCCACCCTCTCAGCCCAGGCTGTCCGATGATCTTCCGTTGCCTTCCCTCCTTCATGACATATATGTCTCCTCGAGGATCATAGAATTGATTAGACAGATATCCTCGGAAGCCACAAGCACGAATCCACTGAGTCTCTGGTTGGTATTTCACTCTATTTGTCGGTATAAAGTTTGTAAATATTGTGTGATTCGCCTGAGCCTTAGCGGAACACGCCTTTCTCACCAGTTCTCCCAAGAAAAAGCAATTCTGGCAAGGCCATTACGGACCGAGACACACGCACCTTGGCTCTTTGTGAGAAGCTGATACCCTACACTTTTACCTTCCATCATGCCACTACCAGTGGGCATCTATCGGGCCGACCAAGTTGGATCGTTGCTGCGACCCAAGGAGATTCTTTCAACACGAGAGAAAGTGTTGGCAGGTAGTGCGACAGCATCTCAGCTTCGCGAAGTCGAAGATCGATACATTGCAGAGGTTGTTCAAAAGCAACTGGATGCTGGCCTTCGTTCCATCACTGATGGGGAATTCCGACGCGCCTGGTTCCATCTGGACTTCCTTCAGCATTTTGATGGGATTGAGGTTCAAGGCAGTTTGACGTCGACCAATCAATCCAAGGGCGGCGTGCAGCCTCCCCGTCTTGTTGTGACTGGGAAACTGGGGCATAGTAAACCTATTCAGGTCGACGATTTCAGATACCTTGAAAGCCAGATTGCCAAAGCGGGTGGCCAAGACAAATACGGCACGGTCACTACCAAAGTCGCGATTCCGAGTCCGACCATGGTCCACTTCCGGGGCGGGCGAGAGACCATCGACATGGAGGCCTATCCATCCCTGGACGAGTTCTTCGACGATCTGGCCAGAGTATACCAGGAAGAGTTGCAAGAACTGTACGATGCCGGGTGCCGATTCGTGCAACTCGACGACACCAATCTCGCCTATCTGTGCGATCCGGCCATGCGATCAGCCGCAGAATCCAGACACGGAAGTGACGCCAAGACGCTCGCCAGTCAGTATGCAGACCTGATCAATCGGGCAATTGAGAAGCGACCGAGCGACATGACGATCGGTATCCATTTGTGTAGAGGCAACCATCGAAGCCAATGGTTTGCCCAGGGAGGGTATGAACCGGTCGCCGAGGTCTTGTTCCGAGACCTTAACGTCGATGTCTACTTCCTTGAGTATGACGATGCGAGATCTGGGGACTTTAGTCCACTTCGACATTTGCCAGAGCATAAAGTCGTGGTACTGGGAGTCATGACGAGTAAACGTGGTGAAATGGATGATGCAGACACCATGGTGCAAAGACTAAACGAGGCGAGCAAGTACTGCAAAAGAGGCCTGGATCAACTCGCCATCAGCCACCAGTGCGGTTTCAGCTCGACAATGGAGGGAAACGAGCTAAGCGAGGATCAGCAGTGGGCGAAGGTCCGCGCTGAAGTCGAGATCGCGAAGAAAGTTTGGGGAGAGGATATATCCAAGTAGATTAAGGAACCGATGATATATGCGCCTAAGCTGCTCAATAAAGTCGTGAATATTCGTATCTACTGGTAATGATCGACATCCGACATTGCCGAATCCACCAGAGATTATCCTATGCGGATTCCCATATTATTCCCATTTTGTAAATGTCCTGGTCTGTAACCATCGGGCAAATCTGACAACGCATTTATCCACCCTGGTGAAGTAGTCGGCAAAGCAAATAACAATAATAGTGATCAAGATGACCGGGAAGGTGTAGGCTAGATACGAGTCGCCGAGATGAGTGGCCTGCCAGGGCAGAAACACAGGCGTGTAAAGACCTTGGATGAAGATGACGTGCATGGCGTAGAGGCCGAAGGAAAGATCGCCAATGTATTGGGAGAAGCTCCACTTGAAAGGGGTTTGGAGCATAGGGCACGAGTCGAGAGCCAAGATGACGAGGAAGGCACCCCAGCTAAGCCAGAAGGTGTAGTAGGCTTCTCCGTACCAGGGCGGTATCAGCCAGACGAGATACTGGTGGGGGAATACGGTTTCTGTTCGTCCCGGGTCCGGCTGGCTGAGCAGCATTAGTCCAATGATCAAGGCTATGCAAGAGCCAATAGTCGAAGTGACAGCCCGCCAGATCTTCCAGAATTTCGTCCTCGTGGACAGCTTCTCCTCCAGGACCTCGGTGGTGGGAAGTCGAGGTCCTCCCAGGCGTTCAGGATGGCGGATGAATGATAGTTCAGCGATGAACATGCCCATAAGGAACTCAGCCACGTAGACGGCTCTCCAGAAATAGCAAACCAGGACAACCACCCACAGAAAGATCATTCTGCCTCGCACCGACATCTTGGCCGAGGCCGCACAGAAGACAAACAGCGCGATGCTACCTCGATACTCAAGTGGGATGGTCCACATTTGAGCCAGGTACCGTGTGTAGAAGAGGCCTGGGTGCATCCATCCCTCGAGATTGGCAAATGGATCGCTGGTGACCAAAGCATCCAAGAACCAGTTCCAGATTTGGCCTAGAATAGTCGCCTGTTGCAAGCCGTCATGTGGATTGTACCAGCCGGAATACACCCAGAATGAGGCAAAAAGAGTGGCCATGGCCGTCGAGCCGTAAAGACGAAGCCAACGACGGAACGTGGACGAGGAGATCGAGTCTAGCAAGCGACTGCTTTGCTTCTTGTGCATCAACATTAACATCCGATAACTGAGCACATAACCCGAGATGATAAAGAACATGGCGACCATTCCGGCTCCGCCGTAGAAGAAGACTCGGATGATGGGAAGTTGTTGGACCCATGACGTTGGTTTCCAGCCATGGTAGAGAAAAACAAAGAAAGCCGCCCACCCTCGAACGGCGTCGAGGTATGCAGTGGGGGTTTTGCTACCGGTGGAAAACGCTTTGCGTCCTCCGGGCTGGATATAGCGAGGTAGGATGATGAGCAAGGTTGCCAGACATAGATACTCGGCTCGGAACCTTTCCCAGCTTGACTGGTAACGCTGTAGGCGGCTCTGCGGCGGTGTGCTGTCTGATGCGAGAACAAAGCTGTACTCTGGAGGGCTTTGCTCGTTGGGGTTAGGCAAAAGGGGGGCTGCCTGCTCCATGGCCAGAAACTGGGATCGCCCAAACTCTCGAGACGGCGACGAGATGAGAGTGCTGGTCAGAACCAGATGGCCGTGGGTGTGTACGTTGTCTGGCTCTTCGCACGAGGGCTGATCGGATTATTCAACAATGCCATTGTCGTCAGGCATGTCCCAGACTATATCATCTTTTCCAATCGAAGACAAACCGGTGGGAAGGTCCAAGCATCCAATCTATGCTGACTGGTCACATAAGCGAGAATATTGGAGTCGGCGCCACCCTTCAACGTCGTTTTGATCTGGCGTGGCCACGGGTGAGGGGGAGTTGCAGAGCGCCTGCGAAGCCAAGGTTAGATCTGGAAACTCGGGGAATCGCAATCCCAGCCAGAGAGTCAATTGGCTACTGTTAGGAAAACGCTTGGACTAGACTCAAATTCGATTTCGCTCTGGAGCCGCTTCTGAATTTCAACGCTCCGGTACATGGCAAAGACGGGCTGGGGAGTTCCACGGCAAGTCTCCAGAGCGGTTGGCTTGATGGACAAGATGTTGTGACAGGCATCAAACGGGAGTCAAAACTGGTCCTTGCCGCACAGCACTAGCCTATTGTATCAGAGTCCTATAGCAGAAAACGCTGCGAAATATCCTCCTTCCCTCGCACAAGGCCCCTACCGTGGTCTGTTACCACTTGGCAATCCATATCTTGGTAGCGACTGACATTGCTTCAGTCCATAAAGAGGCAACGGAAGGGCATTCAGGGGCATCCTGATTTGGTGGTCGGTGGTCATCTGACTAGGGACGATGGCCTTGGAAAACTACGTCCAGTCCACAGTCGAGCAATCCGTAATGGTGGTGGCTGCTGTAGACGGCATCGTGCAAGACTCAAATAGTGATCCAGGCATCTAGGGACGCGTAAGGGCAATCGACAACAACTTGGGATGCAAAAGTGTGCACGAGTGTGGCAAAATCCATGTGTGTGCGAAGGAGCGACCCCAAGCAGAAGCAAGTTTTTTGGACGGTTGCATGGGCATTGCACATTGAGTAAAAACGAGCCGTCGATCACTGCCTGAAACAAATGATGTGATGGTGGTACTTCTGACATGCCACTCTCGGCGGGTGCAAGGAGGATTGTGGTTTTCATGATATTTCAACTAGACAACCGTCACTATTCTTGGCCGCAAGAATACGGGCCGCTCTTAGCGCACGATGGACGATCTTTCTCAGGGGCATATGCTGCTTAGCGCGTGCCGTTGTGGTACGAGTGCGTCACTCGGCCTATACGAGAGTTGTGACAGCTGTCAAAACTCTACGGCGAATCTCGGTAAGAACCTAAAGAGCCGCACATGCGGTCGTGATCATCGAGAGTGATTTGGTCATCTCTTCTATCATTTCAATATTTTGTTGTTCAACGATCTTGACGCTGACGAGCCTAGCCTCACCTTAACGATACATCAAATCGCCCAGATATCTATCAAGGTCCACTGCAAGGCGGTCCGAGACGAGATTGAATCGTGCGCCTATCCATCCATCTGGCCTTAGCACAAAAACCGCGCCGGACCCTCTATCCACTCCGTATCGGACATTGACAGTCCCAGAATCATCATCAAAGTACACCTTGCCCAAAGGATCAGTCCCCAATTCGAACCATGCATTTCCCACTTTCCCAGGGAGGATTGTGAGATACTCCACTGGCCAGGGGTTTGGTTTGGCTGATTGGCCATTTGTTCCATTCATACCGGGGTAAGCCGTGTTTCGTTTCCTCGTGGTTGTTAGATTTCCGTTCTTTTGTAGATCTTCTTTCAGCCTCATGAAGGCCGATTTCGCCACCAGGTCTTTCCCAACAAAAGTCATGATCGTAAATCTGGCCAGATTCCTTGTCAGGGAGTGAAGCCATACAGGCTCCCATAAGGCAGGGCTCAACACCTGCACGTCAGGCGCTCGATAACCGGGAATTGCAGGCGCAGGAATGATGGATCGTTTGTCAATTTCAGTATCCGTCTTGTCAACTTCATCGACGCCGTCCTCTCTCCTGACCGCCAGATTTGGCTCGAATCCGATGGTCAGGCCAGTATTGAATCCTTTTGCTTCTTGAAGCACCCGGCCCAGGATTACGTTTGGATCTTCAGTCTTGTCGCCAGTGTATCCTTTGGGTACACGGCCTGTGACAAGCACACTGATGTCTTCGTCATACCTGATCAGCTTTCGGGCATTGGGTCGTCTTTCTGCCTCGTAAGTTTCCAAAACTTGACGCTTCAAAACTCCGTTCAGGACCAACGCCAGCTTCCAACCAAGGTTGACCGCATCATGCATGCCGGCGTTCATGCCTTGTCCAGCTCCACTGGAATGACTGTGTGCTGAGTCACCCGCGAGAAAAATGCATTCTTTTGTCCAAAAATTGTGTGCAACCCTCTGACCGACGCTGTACACACTGGCCCAATCAACTCTTTCGAACTCTATCTCAAACGGCTGCACCGCAACCTTGGCCTCTTCTACAAAAACTTCTTGATTCAGTTCCTGGTATCTTTGTCTTCGCTCCTGGTTGAGGGCGTACCCAATCCTGGTGGCACCGTGATCCAGTGGTATCCATAGTATGTTGCCATATATGGGGCTTTCGATTGCTCCATACGACCTGGGTTTGGGCATTGTCGTCGACTTCAGCACCCCGTCAATCCTGACCCATTTATCCTCGGTCCTATCCCCATCTGAGCCGATGCCAGCTGCCCCTCTGACGAGAGTTCTGCTTCCGTCACAGCCCAGGAGATACCTGCAGCTTACAACGTACTCGAACTCTTGACCAGATGTCTCTTCCCTGTGCAAGATCCTTGCTTTGACCCTCCCAATTTCCCCCACGGGGACAGCCTCGTCGACCTCGAGATCGACAAAGCTGCTATTCTCGGTGACTTGGACGCCTAGATCGCTTAGTTCAGCACGGAAGATGTCTTCGACGAAGCGTTGCCTCAAAACACTCGCGAACTTGAACCTCGTGTCTGTGATGCCCTCGAGGAAGCTCCAGCCTCGTCCGAAAACTTCATTTCCCTGTGCATCGTAAGCCGCACTGGACCGGACCGCGACACATTGCTGGGTGATCTGGTCAGCAAGGTCCATCTGGGCTAGAATCTCCATCGACCGAGGCCAGAACGTCACTGCTCTACCGAAGGTTTCTTGTACTGGCTTGGGATGCTTCTCAATGATATGGACAGAGATAGGGGTGGTACCGGGAGGTGCCACCGGAGGGAGAGAGAATCGACGCAGTTGGTAGGCTATGTTGAGACCAACAGGACCGCCGCCGACAATGAGGACATCGGCGGTAATAGTAGCTCCCTCGGCGGGTGATGCCATCGTGAAGGTGTGGGGATCAGTTGGTATGTGCTCTCGATACAACAAACCGCAGCCAAGGTCTGGCTTGTCAATTCAGTTGAACTATAGAGTCTTGAAAGTCGTGAATCCCCCCTGGATGACAATGTGGTCAATTCCTAGCCAAGTCGTCGTCGTCGTTGATGAGTAGATAACGTAAGTTAATCTCCTTCATACCAGGCCCAGTGAAGACTCTCAGCATTTGTAGTATTTGATTTTGGCTGATAAGTCTCTAGCAGTTAGCCAAGCACACCAAGAAGGAATGCCTTATTTTAAACCGTGAACCATTAACTTCTATTCTACATTCCTTTTCTACTATATTCTGGCATAACAATCATCTCCGCACAATTTCCTTATCTTCTCCAACCATACTCACAGATAAGCAGTTGCGACATTCTCCGGACAAGGGCCTCCCGTAGTATCTCGCAGAAGTCCGCATTTGACACAACGACAAGTGATCAGATGATTGACGACAAGGCGACGAGTACGGTTTCCCCGGGAAAGTATTACAGCGGAATAGACGTGTCAAGCTAAGAGTCAAAAGCAATAGAAAACCGGCGGGCCCTTGCTATTGAGCTGACCCATCGCCGAGTGTATTGCTATATCAAGCGGTGCCGCGGGAAGTCAATCAATACTTTTTGATATGAGAAAGGCCCCGTCTACTTATATCCGTGTCACTGGATCGTCATCGCCATTGAGATGACAGAATTGGCCTGTGTATTAAACGCCGTATGCTATGAAGAGGAACGTGGCCATCATTGCCAAGACAAGGGAGACCAGCCTTGCCAGATGTCCAGCTCATGGATGTCGAGGTTGCAAGGGTTTCCGAGCTGAGACACATTGATCTCGTTCCGATACTCGAGCTTACCGTGGGTTGAGATCCCGTAAGTATGCTGCTTCAACAAGGGTAACTTTTGGTGTGGAGAAGATGGGTTTGTGAAACGTGATAGCCATCTTGATGAGCGTGAGATGTTCATTTAAACCATCGAGTTCTTGAAAAATTATTTCACAAGGTGACTGTGTGCTAGTTCACAGATGAATTTCAGAGAAAGTGAGAGATCAATATGGTGATATTCGTTTTCTGTCAGTCTGATCATGCTGTTGCGATCAAAGGAAGGATCCTCCAAGAACCAAAGAACCACCAAAACCGAAAGCAACCAAAGATGTGACATGTCGCGATGACAAACTTGTCACTACTAATCGGTCATTCGCGCGTCTCTTGTGCCGTGTGTCGGTGGAGAAATCTGGAGAAGCACGTCAGGCCAATGCGGCAGGTCGGACATGGACGAGTTCGAGCTCGCCTCGGCGCCCTCAGTCCACAACCCACCCGCTCATGTCCGGGCCCCTCCTGGACTTCTCGGGACTTCTCCATCAGGGCCTCCGGCCAGTCAATGCTCATTGATATCTCCTGCTGCTATGCCTGTGAAGATAGGTACCCGACTGGGCACATGGGCACGATAAACGTGGTATTTCGAATGGTGGGGCATTGAAGAGTCGTTAAATTCTCACCAGACCAGTCTTCATTCGAGCAGAATGCAGGCTGTTGTCGTCCGAGTTTCCTAACAGCCATCCAGTAGTTGGCTTGCCTCAGAACCACCAGCAGGGGTCGTAATCTGCATGTTTACCTTCCATCATGGATACCTTTGACCTCCTCGTCGTCAACGGCTTAGTGGTCACAGCGTCTGATACCGCCAACTACGATATCGCGATCAAGGATGGCAAGATTGCTCTGCTTGCCCCGCCAGGGCTGTTGTCGGCCAAGAATGCCGCCAGAGTGATTGACGCTGAAGGTGGCTATGTCATGGTGCGATCCTCTCCCCCATCCTCGACTGTCATAATTCTAATGCCAGCAAACAGCCTGGGGGTGTTGACTGCCATGTCCATCTGGAGGAGCCTGCGCTCTTTGGCGGCAAAGGAAGAAGCTCAGACACGTTCGAAACAGGTTGGTAGATGCTACTTTCTTGATTCATCCATAAACTGAAATAAATACAGGCACAAGGAGTAGTATCTGTGGTGGAACAACCACAATTGTGTACGTATCGGGATCCATCTGAGACGCCTGGCCCTCGATTGACAATCGTATAGAGCATTTGCCCCTCAAGCCAAAACTATGCCTTCCCTCCTCTCCGTCCTCGATGATACCCAAGCACGAGCGCAAGGAAATTGTTACACGGACTATTCATTCCATATGCTCGTGGGCCACCCTGGTGAACAGGCACTCTCCGAATTTCCCAAACTGCGGGAGCGAGGCATTTCGTCTCTGAAGATCTACATGACTTATACCGCCCTGCAACTACGAGATGATGAGATCTTGGATGTCCTGTTGGCGTCCAGAAAAGAGGGTATCACAACCATGATTCATGCTGAAAACGGTGATGTGTTGAATTGGATGACCAAGAAGTTGGAGGAAAGACAGTTGTATGCGCCCAAATACCATGCGACCTCGAGACCACAGATTGTCGAGAATGAGGCCACCAGCCGAGCTATTGCGCTGGCCGAGCTTATGGATGCACCCATGTAAGTCTTGCAAGGTCACGCGAGTTAGAATGTCCTTCGCTTCTTTGTCGCAGGTTCACTAATCATATCACCTCGTTCATTCAGCCTCGTCGTGCATGTCTCCTCACCCGGCGCCGCCGCTCACCTTCGTGATGCTCAAACTCGGGGTCTTCCAGTCTATGCTGAGACATGCCCTCAATATCTTTATCTGACGCGCGACCATCTCGACAAGCCAAACTTTGAAGGTGCCAAATGTGTTTGCTCACCCCCACCGAGAGATTCGGCTGCGGACCACGACGCCATCTGGCTTGGCCTTACCAACGGCACATTTACCGTACTTTCCTCGGACCATTGCCCGTTCATGTTTGAGGACCACGAGACTGGCAAGAAGAGCGTCATCAGCCAAGAGTTTCCTGAAGGACGATTCAAAGCTATCCCCAACGGATGTCCTGGTATCGAGACCCGACTAGCACTGACTCTGAGTGCGAACCGTCTGTCACCGCAAAAATTTGTGGAAGTGACCAGCACCAACGCAGCACGTCTGTACGGGTTGTATCCACAAAAGGGCACCATCTTGCCTGGCGTCAGTGATGCAGATCTAAACATTTGGTATCCTCCTGGCAAATTAGCCCCCTTCAAGTTGACCAACGACATGCTCCATCACAATGTCGACTACACTCCTTTTGAGGGCGTGGAATTGAACCAGTGGCCAAGATATACTATTCTCAGAGGACAGGTAGTCTGGGATAGGGACAACGGTGGCCTTCTGGCTAAAAAGGGATGTGGACAGTTCCTTCATCGTGGAAAGAGCACATTGCCAGGACCAAGAAAGCAGGGAGACTGGGATGTCAGTGCCTTCTAGTTAGACAAGCGTCCGTTATGGTAGAGCTGATTTATATCTCCATACATATCCGGCCCGCACCTTAGAGTCGATCCACATAATTTCAATAAGGGACTCAAGAAGGAATTGAGCACCCGCTAGACTTATGTGCTGTTTTAACCAGATACCGTACGAAAAGGTAAAGCAGATCGGATTGGTAGGAGAGATAGGACGATCATAGTGGTTAGATTTTAGACAGGAAAATATCTGGATTACAGTTGGATCGAGCTTCGAGATCCAGCAGCAGCGCAAACCCCAACATCGAAGCACTAGCTCATTGTTTCTCTTCCGAATAATAGTCTTTGGTCCTCTGGGCGGCGGCGGCCAGTGCATCCTGGATGACGCTTTCATCGTGTCTGGGAATCAACTTGACCTTGAAATCTCTCGGGATGGCGACCAGCGCCGACTTGAACTGGTTGTAATCGACATAGTCGGTGTTAGGAGGCTCACTCTCACTAGCAACAATCTTATAGCAAGACAGTAACCGGATCAACGCCGTGTACAACAGCCGACTGGCAATGAACTGGCCTGAGCATGCACGAGACCCGGCCCCGAAGGAAAAATGCTGGATTCCCTGGCTGGGTTTCTCTTCCGGTGTCCGTGCTGATGGGTTGGATACAAATGCGTCGTCCAGCCAGCGCTCTGGATTGAAATCTCCCCCTGTTGGGCCGAAATGGTCGACGTCGTGGTTCGCGGCTTGGGCATTGATGAGAATCATCGTTTTGGCCGGAATCCGAGAGCCATTCCAGTCAATGTCCGTCACCGTCTTCCGAGGCAGCGACATGGCGCTCACCGTGTAGTATCGTGCGGCTTCTTTAATGATGGCATTGACGTATGGGACCTTTTCTTCCTGAAAACTGTTGGCCCAGATGCTGTTGAGGTCGGGGTAGTATCTCTTGATGTCCTCATAGGCGCGATCTTGGAAGATCTGCCCTTCTTTAGTGGACAAGGACCCTATGCATGAGGTTAAGGTGCCGGGAATGGTTTCAAAGCCCCCAGAAACAAGTGATAAACAGATGGACGATACCTCAACCCCGGTGAGTTTGGTTTCTTCGTCCTTTAGGATGGCTGCGCTGATACATGGTTTGTCTGTTCCCCTTTTGATCATCTCCCGCACCTTGTTGAGCAAGAAACTGAGATATTTATCCCGTCGGTCGCGCAATTCTTTGGAGCGCTTGTTCTTCTCATTATTAGGTAGGTATCTCAACACTGGGACATAGTCCTGATAATTCTCGGAAGCAGATCTGAGTAACGAAATGGCTGAGCCGACGTGGAGGATTTCGCGAAGCATATCATCGTACACGCTATCCATGCGGATGCCATAGCACAACGTTAAGGTGGTATTCAGTGCATAACGTTGAATGTACGGACGAACCCCGATCTCACTGGCTCCATTTTTGCTGTCGCAAAAGAGATCACGGACGATGCAATATGACTCGAGGTCGAACATGTCAAAGTATCCGCGCATTGCAGGGCGTCCAAGTGCTTGGCCGGCAGCTTTTCGCTTGTTCTTGCACGAGGTGTCCCAGGGACTTGACCCAATAGTAAATCCTTGAGTCGAGGAGATGACGCCGTGGAAGGTATACAGGGTGGGGCGATCAATGACTGCCGTCTGGTGGCCGATGAGCATTTGCCTGGCATCGTCAAATGAGCTGACCACCACGGCCCGAGTGTTTCCTAGGCGGATCTGGAAGACCGATTGGCGATACTTCCGCCACCATTTCTCGCAAACAGTGGCGTGGTCCTCTCCTAGTTGAAGCAGATGTCCAAATATCGGAATGGCGCCAGGGATCTCAGGGATGCCTTTGATTTTGGGGATGTCAGTTGATGTCGACCACTGTGTTTGAAGGGTCAGTCAATTCATGAGTGTCATTTATGCTGTTACCCACCCAATAAAGACCGAAAATGACAATGGCAACAAGAGCGATCCACTTGGTGTGTTCGTACTCCAAGACTTGCAGGAGGCCTGCAAATGATGGCGTCATAATAGGTAGATATCTATTCGTGTGTACACTTCTTGTCACTGGCTTTTCTCGTTTTCTCTTTGAGCGAGCAAGGATTCTCCAGTTGCAAGACGAGGAAGACCTCGGATGCGCTGAGTACGAGCACAAGAACTTATAAGTTGAATGCCCATGCTCCCTGTGGAATCAAGTTTGCATAGACAAAGCCATGAGGCGGCGGTGATCTGCGCAGGCGGGCGATCGGGAGGTGCCCCCTGTACACGGAGAAGAACGATGGGGCGAACAGTCCACGGGGTTCCCCGCAGAATCATGTGGCATTGAAAATGACAGTTTAAGTCTACAAAATTAGCATTCACGCGGTGTCTACCACGGACCCGTCATAGATTGGCAAAATGTCATCGCTTGCGGTTGCGAAGTTGTTCGGTGTCAAGAATAGGGTCGCTCTGGTCACAGGTGGGACGAGTGGGATCGGGCTGATGATTGCAAAGGTAGATATTCTCGACTAGGTACCATGTCAACATGGATGGCAGTGTGTTTGAAATATTAATTCTTCAAGGGACTCGTCTCTAACGGTGCCAAAGTCTACGTCACCGCCTTACCAGCAGATGATATGGATGGAGCTCTTGCTGAGCTGAAGGCTCTCGCGACAGAGCATGGAGGAGAGGCCATAGGGTAATGGCAAGCGAACCCTGAAATGCTGGCTTGACTAAGTTGATGATAGATTTACGAGCGATCTCAGCTCCAAAGAAGGAATCGAAGCAGTGGCGGAAGAATTGCAGAGGCATGAGACTCATTTGGATATTCTGTGCTCCAACGCTGGAATTAGGAGAGATCCTCCAACCATGTGCAATGTTCAAAGTGCATCCCTGGACGAGTTGCAAGCCTCTATGTGGTCGTCAGTACACTCGGATTGGAACGAAACGTTTCAGGTTAATGTCACAGCACATTACTTCTTGTCGGTGGCCCTGATAAAGCTGCTCGCTGCTGCCAGTGACATGGACATTGGCAATGGACGAAAAGGGCGGGACGAGGGCAGGGGGGTCATGATCATCACCAGCAGTTGCGCCAGTATGCACAATTGCACCAACATTGATTTGACTAGCTACGCGACCAGCAAAGCTGCCATTGACCATTTAGTGGCTCTACTTGCATGTAAATTTGCAAGATGTAAGTACCGCTCTTGTCCCATCATGTCAGAACATTATTAATACTGTGGGCTTAAGGGTATGTTCGAGTCAATGCAATCAACCCAGGGTGTAAGTTCCAAGTTCTCTCATTCGTTGATTGACATATCTGACCGTGGATGAGCTAGTTGTCCCGAGCAACATGAATCCAGTGGGCGACGGCAACAATCAATTTGCTGAGCTGTTCAAGGCAATGCCGGCAGCTCGTATTGGAAGAATGGAAGACATTGCAGGCGCCATCCTATACCTGAGTAGCGAGGCGGGAGTACGTGCTCTGGACCTTTACAAGCTATTACTGACATAATTCTTCCAGGCTTACGTGGATGGCCGGTGTCTATGTGTCGATGGCGGAAGGACATTACTTGCCAATGGGCAATGAACAGACATCGCTTGGAAGCATTATAAAACGTTCACAACGACACACATTGTCAGCACCGCCGTGAAGACTACGGCTGTCAATGGATTCAATTGACATGACATATGCCCGATGACGTTGGCGTTTGGGAGCTCTTGTAACATAACACACTGTCCAAGACAATGATGATTCGGTGTTCGATAGTATCACATGATGGATCTCCAACATGTGAAGAGCGACTGGGGAAATTGTAGCATCCTTTGGACTCTAAAGGACAGAAATGGTCACACTCGATGTAACAGCGATCATAGAGGACGTCCTACCCATCGGAGTTGGACGCTTAGTGCCTAGGGAAGCCTGAAGCCCATTTTTTGGCACTACCTGGAGCCTATGCATATGCGGACTTCTTATAGGCTGTTTCAATGCTTATGTCTACTTGGCATGGGCGCTGTGGGACATCCGAAGCTCCAAACCTCAACCTCGTCTCTTCAAAGTTGACTTCCCACGCTTCCCCAGGCGGAGTATGCCGAAGCGAATATCAAATCATTTGTTCGGTGTCTCCAATGAACGTTGTTGGATTTCATTTGAGGTTGTGTCTATTCCTGTGAGCGTCACTAGCGACCTCGTGAGCTTCTTTTGTGGCGATATCCAATATCAACGTGCCACCACCCTAACGGCGGGCTGTCGGCGCCCAGAGCATGTCAATAATGGCAGAAGGCTATGATCCTGGGAATGTGTTCAATCAACAAGATGTCGAGGCGACAGTATTAATCTTCTTCTACCCATTGTTGATTGCCCTCTGCCTCTATGTGATTGTGGGAGCTCTTCGCCAACAATCTGCTGCGAGGACTGTCTTGTTGATTCTGACGAGTACACTGTGCGGCCTTGTTATTGCAAGGTCAGTTTCTTGGTTGATCATCTCTCAGGCAAAAGTTTCTCAATAAAATTTAGGAATCTTTCACCAGCGCCTCATGGGTTGCGGTCACACGATACTGACCCAAAAGACCTGTACCCAGCTTATAACCTATCCGTTCCTGTTGACCATTTTCACAATGACTCGAGATACGAGCCCCATTCCAGCGAGACGTTCAACCTCCGTTATTTCTTTGACGCCCAATACTACAGGCCAGGAGGGCCGGTCATAGTCTTGCAAAGTGGTGAAACAGATGCAACTGACCGTGTACCATATCTTCAAAAGGGGATCGTGGCTATTCTTGCGAGGGCTACCAACGGCATTGGTGTGGTTCTTGAACACCGTTACTACGGAACCAGTTTCCCAACCGAAGATCTCTCTACGGAAAATCTTCGTTTCCTATCAACCGACCAAGCAGTCGCCGACCAGGCCTACTTTTCATCTCACATCACCTTCCCCGGGTTGGAGCATCTAGATTTGACGGCACCGAACACCCCTCACATTGCTTATGGCGGGTCATATGCCGGTGGCATGGTCGCCTTTCAGCGCAAGCTCTATCCTGAACTGACTTGGGGCGCCATTTCATCCTCGGGAGTCACAGTGGCACTGTATGACTTTTGGCAATACTATGAGCCCATTCGAGAATACGCACCTTCCGGTGTTGTGGAGACGCAGACAAAACTGATCAACATCTTGGACAACATTCTCGACAAAAATGACTCCCACCAAGTCGGCGAATTGAAGGGCCTGTTCGGATTGCAGGACTTGACCTTTAACGACGACTTCGCAAACGTCGTCTCTAGCAGCATGGGTTACTGGCAGTCCACTAACTGGGACCCAGAAGTCAGTAATCCCAAGTTTGGATACTATGCGGGCAATATTACATCGGACACTTTGTTGTGGCCTGGTCATGAGAATCGGACAGGGTCTGCTACCTACCTCGTCGAGGCTGGTGGATGGGGGAACGAGAGCAGTCGTCTAACGACTCGTCTCCTCAACTTGGCGGGTTGGACTGAGGCCCACTCGGTCTCCTCGTGCAAGTCGACGCTGGACGAATGCTATGGCTATCACAATGAGTCAGCGGCCATGTACGCCGACAAAAGTGTATCCAATTACAACGCTCTTTCATGGGCCTATCAGTATTGCACAGAATGGGGTTACATCCAAACCGGATCTGGAGTGCCCGACGATCGCCTCCCGCTGATATCACGGCAGTTAACTCTGGAATATTTGACACAGGTATGTCGATATGCATTCAACATATCGAGCCCGCCAGACGTAGAAGCAGTCAATAAGTACGGAGGGTACAACATTTCCGCCGAGAGGTTGGCCATTATCGGAGGCGAAACCGACCCTTGGCGACCAGTATCTCCGCTTGCTTCGTTGCCAATTCGCGATCAACTCAATAGCACTTGTTCGAGCAGAGAGCCACGGATTGTCATCCCAGGAGCTGTCCACCATTGGGACGAGAATGGATTGTTCGCGAATGAGACTACAACAGACCTACCACCAGTTGGGGTGAGAGACGCTCAAGCGGAGTTGCTTGAGGCAGTACAACTATGGTTAGCGGATTTTGCCCAATGGAATCAAACACGGTCGGCATGACAGCCAGCGGCCCACGGCATAACTTGACATGGCGGCCAAATTTAGAAATGTGACACCTCACACGGTTTGCTCAGCATTTGTTGAGCATAGACGCATAGAACCACAATTGGCAAGAAATGGCTGCGAGTGCATGCTGTGTGTATTGTTCCCTTGATTGACCACATGTTGCCAAACACGTAGATTCTGACTCCCACAGCGTCAGGCTGGCCCAATGTGATGAGAGATTTGGGAGTGGAGATACCAAGGCAACCGGGTTGCAGCCTTGGACTTGTGATACATGCGCTTGGTATTGACCTAAGACAAGTGTTGTTGGCACTCAGGCGAGAGCGAAAAGGCAAACCGTAACGAGAAACCAGGGTGGGGGGCTTCGCATCAGGACCGTACTTGTACAAGCGAAGGGGTTAAAATAGATGTGGAAGTACTCCATACGTATGCGGACGCATTTGTACATACGCGGAATGCCTGTGGCGTCGATATCATGAAGTGGGCCAAGCACTGGACACTACTAGAAGCAGTGGATATTGTGATGAGCATGTGCCAAAGCACTAGTATAAATTTTATGGACACATGGTCGGAATCCAAATCATGGTCCGCCAGACAATCAAATACTAGTGTACGAGTGAGTATGTATGTCCTTTATCCTCGATGACCCAATCATGCAAACGGACTTGTATGGCAGGTTACGTACAGTACTCCGTATATCGTTCATACATAGACAGAGCGACGGGGAAATGTATCTGGCAAACAACAATGGAATAGACAATCCCCCTCCCAATTATATACACGTCTTGACGGAGAACCCTCTAATTAATCATCTTCTCTTTGCACTTTTCACGATTGAAATCATTTCAGACACACTCTGGTCACAGAAATAATATAGAGCTTGATGCATACAGTAGAGACCATTCCTTTGGTTCACTCGCGGTCAAATATTGTGCCGTGCTTGTCCACGTCTGTGGGTCGCTTGCATCAACCGAGGTGGCGGTTTCATCCCCATAACCCAGGACATCCTCGATTACTATTCGACCACGAAAGACCACACTAAGTTTTGGATGGTGGGAGAGCCCTGTATGCCTGAACCAATGGAAATGACACTGTACCTGGAGAAGAACTCCTTGGTGCCCTGAACAGGAACCATTTCCATTCCCCAGAAGGCGTCATTCACCAGTATGACTTCGCACAGAGCGGACCTAGTACTCCGTAGGCCCCGTCCTCGTCTTGAGTTGTTTGCTCCTTTCTCGGCATGCAGTGTCTGAATTCTGCAGGCCTATCACGGCTGATACCCTTAGCCTCGCGGGAATTCTAAGCGTGAGGTTGGCTTGTCACGCTTGTTCAGTACGAAACTCATGAACAACACCACTTTCCACAATTCTCAACCTAGCCATGATTGCTACTCGTCAGCCCGCCTCCTGTGTTCAGCAACTGTCCAGACATCTAGTCACACACCGGGGATCTTCCTGCTTGTTGACTATCAAGATCGACCGCATTACCTCATCCAAAATAGGTGAGCTTAGACCAATTCTACAATTAACTTCAATGTTTCCTGCCGAAGGTGCCGTGGTCAAGCACTCCAAGGTAGCAAGCTCCGGCCATCAGTGGGGGTACGGAGTAGATGAAACGTTGGTCATTTGCAGACCCTTGATTCCAACCACACCCGGCGCAAGGTTGGGATCCACTCATGTTCAGATGGATCCTCCTCACACCTGCAGCAAATCTGCTGGCGATTCCCAAAATTCCCCGACTCGATAAGGAATAAGACCTTGGGATGCTGGCGATCCCTACTCTACCTGCACAACTCACCACTTTCTCTTGTGCCGTCGAGAAATTAACTGCTACTTCTCTTTGCTCAGTTTGTTTGACTTCAAGATTCGCTTTAGCTCTTTTCCTGATCAGGTATCAATCATCCGAGTGTGGTGGGTCCAACACTGGAGATTCTCGCCAAACTTCTGGCACTTTGCACTTTTACAGTAAGGAGTGGTATCCTGTGGCTTTGCCCTTGTCAGCATCCCAACGCCCCCAGGCACGATCTAAGCAAATCCAGTGTGCAAGCCTTGACGGTCAAGTCATGGTCTCAGCGCATTCGACCCCATCCGCCATGCTCTGGTGAATGAACCAGGGATCAGCATCGGCTGGGAACTCTGTTGCAGCCTTTGTATCATCGCGCGGGAACCTCTGACTTTTAGAGTTCCAAGTGACAGGTGCCTCCTACCAGCCTTTCTGGGGTCGTGGCAGCTGTCTAACGGCTACTCTAGAAGAATCTTTGTTTAAGACCGATTTTTTGTTCATCTCTGGCATCGCATTGCAGTGTTGACTGCCATTCTTTCACCTACCATCGACCACTTCGTCACCACCTGTTCGATTTCTCCAATCATGGACCAAGAATTGAAATCTCGCAAGCTCGCCTCAGCCTCTGCCAGACGGAAAAAGTTCCAGGACCGACAAGCCCAACAAGCTTTGGAAATCGAGAGACGACTGGCACACAAGAAGAGATCGATCATGTATGATCGCCCACCCAGCGGCTCCGACGAGGAAGACGGCCGATACGAGAGAGAATCATCGGTTGATACCACCTCTGATCGCAGTGTCTTGACTCCAGATGACTTGTGTTCGGGTCATTTGAGATTTGACAGTCAAAGTCACGCTGAGACGACACCACTGCCCTTGAAGATCCTGGTTCCGGAGCAAGATATGGAAAAAGACATTATGGAAGCGGCGCTGAACGAGGATTGCATCATGGTTCCTCCATCTCCAAGCCCAATTTTACAAGCTTCACTCGCTACGCTGTCGGATTTTCGTTATGATCGATACTCAGTCATGATCGACTCTCCCAATTCCGAAGCCCTAACCCCCGAACTCGACTTTGACGAGTCAATGTCACCCATCGAGACAGCAACCCATGTTGCTTACCAGATGCCAAAGTCTCGGCCTTCCCTAATCTCCATTACAACGAGCGTCTCGAGCAGAAGTAAGAGAAGGACCCCATCGGTACACAGCCCGCTCTCACGAAATGTCTCCCTGTCTCTGGAACGTCCTACAAAACGCCTGTCCACTTCGAGCGCTCAATCTGCATACCCCGCCGCCGAGGCCACTCTTTTTGAAGTTCCCGATCTTCCATCAAATGCATTTGAGATTATTGCCAATGCCAGTCAAGAATCACTTCCAATGACTCTGCATCTCAATAAATCTCGCACCGAACGGAAGTCAAGCGTTCCACGACTATCCAACACGTTGAGCCACACTCGGATGAGTAGCATTCAGAGTCTGATCAAGACGCCGACATCAACCACGCATAGCCGAACTCTCTCTGGCTTGTCTTCTAGTCATGCTAGTCGACCATCAACATCGAGTGTGTCGGGGGCTGAGGTGTCCACCCTGATGAGGCACGCCGTATTCAACGGAAGTACGACCGCGCTAGACCATTCCCACCGACCTCCGACATCAATGAGCATGAGATCCATAAGCTCAAACCACGGGCATATGACTGCACTACCCTCCCTCCCTGCACCAGTCACCGAGAGCAATCATGATCCTCTGGCTAATAAGCCTAGTATGGCGAGAAAAAAGTCCTTCTCTGCGCTCCGAAGAAGAAGCGAAAGTCTTGGACAAGCCATCAAAGGATTGAGCAAAATAAATACCAAGCATGATGTTCCGGTGCCGAGCCCGCCGGTCTTGACACCCAGGTTTGTCAAAAATCATGGACCAGCCGCTACTGCCTCCCCCACACCCCCTCTTCCATCACCATGTACAGGAAAGAGCGTTGTCGGTTCATATCCAACTTCGATGCCTAGAAGCAGCCACGGAATGATTGGTCTAGGGTTAAAGAGCGTAGAGGGTCTATGGCAAAGATGAGGACAAAAAGAATAGACGGGATAGTCTCTTTACGTGACAGAAGACATGGGGAGGAAGGGACAGACCATGAAACACAGCATCATCAGAGGAGAGAGCCTTGAACATCAAGAGTTCCATATGACTTAACGACATGATTCATTTACTAACTAGCGACATTGTACAAAAGCGGATTTGGGAGGGATATGTTCCCGAAGAAGTGCTTGAGGACTACCGCAACCGATCCTGGTCGATCGGAGCAGTGTGTCACTCGCCTCTTACCACGGTCAGTAGCTTGATCAGGACACATTAATATGAGCACATTTTTCAAGAACCAACTCGATCATTCCTAAGTAAGCCTTGCGCTTTTGATCTCCTTTAGACCTGGTACTCTAAGATCAAGTGCTCACTCGTCCCACTAGCAGAAATCTCATTCAACGACAATGACGAGGCTGAGGTCAAGGGCTGAATCGGACACATAGGGGTCTCAAGGCTTGGTCTGTAGGTTGCTGCGGATGTCCGTGGAGTAGAGATCCACGTTTAATTACATTAATTGGAGGATCATCGTGGAGATGACCTTGGCTTCTTCGTCCCTCGTTACGGCGTGCCAGCGATCCACAGACTCGATGGATATGTGCACAGTAAGTAGGATGATTGTCCGAGGTGGAGATGAAGGGTCAAGGCCGAGCAAGACCAAGCTTATTGATCGATTCATCTGGGCAGAAAAGGGAAACATGAATAGAAGTACGAGGGTCGTCGTATTCCATGATATCTCAATTCTGAGAAGTGTTCTACATGACTCATGTTTCCTTCAGTAGTGGTCAAATGAATGACTCGAGTAGTATCTCTATCGGGAATCTTACCCGAATGTCAATTCCTCCCAATCTTCATGGCGACGACGACGACGACCTTAACGCGTACAGAGCCACTCCGACCTCCTAACCGTGCCTCTTTCTCTCGTCATACCTCTATTAATACAGATGCCCCCTCAAAGTAGGGGTAGCTCTCCTGCGTCGCCTCTACCCTCCCCCCATAAGGGACAATTCTCCAAATCCAATACCGTCTTTCCATCATACCTAGAGAATCTGCCTCCTCCAACAGCCCTCATTCCAGGTGATCACCCTACTCCCACTGGACCTCGTATAATCGTGCCCGACCGAGACGTCGCTACTCCCACTCCGTCACCTCAACAGAGAAGAGGGAGGGCCTCTACTGCGTTCCAACTTGGTGGGGATGATCGCGATGGAAATGATGACGAGGACGAGGAAGAGGAATTCCCAAGGTTCGGTGACCTAGACAACGGTGAACAAGAGCACTCAGATGATGTCAATGGTGTCACTCTCACCGACGACGATTTCGAGTCCCATTACTCGCGCCAGGACACCTCGGAATCGGAAGATGACGACGAAGAACACGATGATTCGGAGGACGAAGATCACGAGTTGAGACGCGACACCGATCCAAACCATTCTAACGGCCTTGACAATTCGCCGACAGACGCAGACTATTTTCCATCGTCCTCGGATCAACCTGGGTCTCTGTCGAGAGTCCGCTCATTACCAGTCCGACCAATCTCTCACGGCCACTCCCACAGTGGAGGCGGGACGGGTAATTTGCATACGTCGCAATCATTTACATCGTTCCAACATGGCCATGCACCCCCTCCCCCGTTATATCCACCTTTCTACAATCGACCTCCCACCCCACTCCCTCCTAGTCCCAGTCTGACGTCTCTTTTGCGTCCACCGTCTCTTCTCAACCGGTCCGCAACCTCAACTCGTCCAACAACGCCTGATTCGTCTGATGTGGAGACTCCCAACGACACCGAGGCAGCGGTGGCGCACTCCGCCCGCAGAGCTCATCCGCTCCCTCCCACTTCACCAAAAGTACCGACGTATGAATATTACGGATTCGTACTGTACCTCACCAGCAGCCTGGCATTTCTCATGTACATTCTCTGGTCCTATCTGCCATCACCATTTCTTCATGCTTTAGGCATCACTTACTACCCGGATAGATGGTGGTCCCTGGCGATTCCCGCCTGGATCGTCATGCTGCTCGTCTACATCTATGTCGCGTTGCTATCCTACAACGTTGAATACCTGACCCTTCCACTAACCAGCTTGGAATGCATGGTCGACGATGCCGGGATTGTGGCCATTGTGGATGAATACGGGCGCGTTCGCAAGGGTGGCTCAAAACGCCTAGTCATGGAACTCGAACAGCGAGCCAAAATGGAAAGGGAGAAGGAAGCCAAACTGAAAGCCAAAGGCGGCAAAGGCAAGGCTCGAAAATCTTCAAAGTCTCACGGATCACCGAACCATACAGGTGGAGGAGTGGGAGGATCCAAGTCCAGGCGGAGGAGAAACTCGTCTAAATCAGAAGTTGACCCTTTTCTACATACGCCGAACAGGCATGCTCCAGAGATTCCGGCACGGTATACTTCTCCCACGGCAACTTCGATGTATACACAGCCCCATGCTCCGCATCATCATATCCATAACCACCACCCGGCGGCAACCTCCCAGACCCCCAATCTGATGACCGACTCTGGCTATCCCAATTGGAAACTCGTTTGGAATGAGGGCACCGATGCGGTCATGGATGTGCCAATCGGTGGTGTCTGTGAAGTCCTGTATGGAGATGGCGATCCCATCATGTGATTCACTCTATCAACGTGTGGTTTGTTGGTCACCAATGTAGCATATATATAATATTTCTGAGCGTTCATAGCGACGGTGTTAGGCATGACTACTAGTTTCACTTGACGTCTCAATTTACGATCTGATCTGAAGACTGCCCTGATAGTCTAATGATTATCGGGCTACTCAAATCCTAGAATATGGGGACTTCTGTTATAGTATTATATTCGTTACAGGAAGTAAAGTAATGGATACGAAATTTATATCGAGATGGAAATACCCAAATCGTTTGCCTTGAATCTTGTCCAGTCCACCCCAAGAATACTGTCCTTGCTATATCAAGTCCCATCTACATGATGAATGAATCTAGATCTACTCTACAAGTCTATCAGCCCACAAGATTAAGCTTTGGCATAGATATCCGAATCGAACGACAAATCATCAATCTCTTTTCTCCGCTCTGCATCACGATTGACCCAGACGCTCACACTGGTGGCGGAACACATAAACGTGCCGAAACCATCGGACCCAATCTCGACCTCGTCGCCTTGCCAGCCCAGTACGTCGGTCCAAATTTCGCCAGCGTGCATCTCGCCGACAAACATGCGTTTCTGGCCAGGGCCAGCATTGCTCAGCACGACGGCGCATCCGTCTTTCCGGTCGGGAGTGCCTCGTCGAACGAAACCTAGACATGTCTGTGGTGAGGAATCGTCGTCGCCGTCAAAATAGTCGTCTTGGTCGCCATAGGCAAACAGTTTGCGGGCCAGGACCAGATGGGGCAATTTATCGCCGCATGATGGTGGTTCGGGTGTGTCGCCACGCATCCCATACAGGTCTCCGTAAAAGATGGAGGGGTACCCCTGGGAGCGGAGGAGGATTAGGGCGTAAGCGATCGGTTTGAAGAAGCCCTCGATTGGGGTGGCGACGGTCTGGCCCGGTTGGGTATCGTGATTCATAACGACTGTGACAGCGGATTCGGGTCTGGCTTGGACGAGGGAGCCATCGAAGACGGTGCGAAGGTCGGCGTTCTCCGTGGTCGAGAGACGCGAGAAGTTGTTGAGTAACGGCGAGTCATACAGCGAGAACTTGTGCTCCATTCCTTCCAGGTACTCGAGCATCTCACCAACGTCCCCGGACCAGAACTCGCCTACTAGGAACAGTTTCCTGGCCCCAAACACCTTCTCCAGGTGTGATACAAACTCGTTGGTGAAGCGTTCAGAAAAGTGCTGACAGGCGTCGAAGCGAAATCCGCGCAGCTTCAACTTCTTCACCACCCACTCTCCCCAGTGGATCACATCGTTGATGACTTCTGGGTGCGAATAGTCTATGTCGGCGAACATGAGGAAATCGGCGTTGCCACTCTCGTCTCCGACAGACGACGACCAGTACTTGTGGTCCCCAAGGATTCGATAAATTCCAGTCTTGTCATTTCCCGCGTCGTAGTCGGTCCCAGAGAAGTGTTCCCAGTGGTATTTCTGTGAACTGTATTGATCCCCTCGCCCGGGGAAGTCAAACCCTAGCCAGGCTTCAATCTCAAAGGGCTCCCCAATTTCTTTGGTGCGGTCTAGAATTTGGACATGTTAGTGCCTTATCTGATGAGGGAACGGGTTGATATTTGATAAAGCAATGACAAGGGGAAAGGCCATTTCTCACCATCCTGGTTGACTTCAATGACGCGACACTTTTCCTTATTGTCAGCGCCTGCTTTATGGTTGAGCACGGCATCGAAATAAAGGCCAACGCCGACTTCTTCAGCCTTCTGGACGAGGCTATTCAGATCTTCCAATGAACCCCATTTGGTGCTTCTCGAGCCCTTTTGGTCGAATTCTCCCAAGTCATATAAATCGTAGATATCATAGCCGTTGGCATTTGAGCCTCCAGATCCTTTGCAAGCAGGCGGGAGCCAGACATTGTCAATGCCAATCTTTTTCAGGTCTGGGAGGACATTTTGGAGACGTTGCCAATGTTTCTGGTCGGCGGGAACATTCCATTCAAAGCCTTGGAGCAGGCAATAGTTTTCAGGGGTTTCAGGCATGATGGCAAAGGGGCCCCTTTGGCTTGGGCTCAAAGGCAAGGGCACTTGAGATTCAACGTGCGAAAACACCAACAAACAACTGATATGATTACAAGAGGAAGAAAGAGAAATGTATCAACAATAGAGTAGAGTGACGGTTTAAAACCTCATGTATGCGGACTACGCGGACCCACGTGTTGAATTGACACTCACCAAGACATCGCATTGTTTGTCTTATCTCAACAGACTCTGTGGTGGATGGATGCTATTTCCCGGTTTTTGGGTGGACGCCCATATGCAAAAACACATGTTAGTTACCTAGTGTCCAAGGAGGCAACAAGAGATGAGATCATGGCGTTGCGTCCTTATCCACAATTTCTAGAATCTCGATTCCACGTTTCGCCGAATGAGAACCTTGATGGGCTTGATTGCGGAAGCTACTGCAGAGTGACGTTGGAGGATGAAGGAAAGGCTGAGAAGATGGTGGTTTGTGCGTGGCATAAGATTCCGCCACAGAAAAACCGGGAATTCTCGTGCCTGAGAAGATAAATATGTGGCTTGTCTTGGTGTCTGTCATTGGTTCTTTCGTGACGACCAAACCCGGGCTACCATCGTCTTCTGCTTCTCTTCCTACTATTTCAAACAAATAGGTTTGAATGTGATATGTTGAATTACGTATATGCATTCTGTAAATACCGTGACACATCCCCAAAACGGATGGGCTCCGCTAGGAAACTCATCGCACAGGGGTCATAAACGAATGTGAAAAGCAATTTACCCAGGTGGTGGAATGCGCAAGAAATCATAGCCATCATTCTGTACAGCCACTTCTATTATGCCGTCGTCGCATCATCCACAACCTCGTCCGTCTTGACTTCTGTGGTAGCCTTGTCTTCACCAATCACGTCAGTAGGCGCATCCGCTTTCTGCCCTTTGTTCTTGTTGGAACTGACGACGGCGACGTTCGACAGAATATCCTCTTCGGCGCCTAGTCGGTCATCTGAAGCAGATGCATCCGACTTAGGAGACATGGGATCACCGGCGTTTTCCTTATTGCGCTCCGTCAATGCAGCAACAGCTCTTTTGAGGGCTTCGATTTCCGCTCGGAGACTTGCCGTTTCCGCAGTCGCGGCCTGTAGTTCGGCCTCTTTGGTCTCAACATCAGACTTTGCTTTGTCCGCCGCCGCTGTTGTGGCTTCTCGGAGGGATCCGATCTCACTCTCCAAAGTCTCGACCTTCTGTGCTGAGGTCTGGATGCTTGCGTTCAGTCCTTGGATCTCTTGTTCTTTGGCCTCGAGATCTTTGGCGGCCTTGGTTAGGGCGTCTTTGTTGCCCTTGAGCTCAGAAACCTCAATCTCCAGCACCTTCAGCCGCACATGAGAAGTCTCAACATCAGATTGTGAGGTCTGCAGTTTCGTCTCAATCTCTTTCAGACGCGTCTCGGCAGCTTCTTTATCACTTTCTGCTGCGGTGAGCTTCCCCTCGATTGCAGCAAGACTGGCTTTGGCATCGTCTTCAGCTTGCAACTTCGATTCCAGCTCTCCTTTGGCGGCGAGGATTCGCTCGAGTTCACTTTGGCTTGCTTGCAGAGCCTCGTCGCTTTTGGCTTTGTCATCAAGAGCGGCGTCTAACTTGGTTTTGATCTCAGCAGAAGATTCCAATTCCAGTTGAGCCTTCTCAAGAGCCTCAGCAGCTTCTTTCTGTGAGGTCTCTGCAAGAGAGAGCTTCTCTTCCAGACCAGCGACAGCAGATTTGTGTTCCAGGTCTAGGGCAGCAAGCTTCTCTTCGAATCCAATTGTGGCAGCCTTGGCATCTTCTTGGGATTTGGTAAGTTGTGCTTCCACAGCTTGGTGCCCTGCCACCGCTTCTGCAAGCTTACTCTCGAGGTCAGATGCAGCTGACTTTGATTCAGTCTGCAGCGCCGTCAGCGCCGCTTCGGCTGCTTCTTGAGCCTTGAGTGCTTCCTCGAGTTTTGTTTCCGAGACTTGCTGGCTTTCTTTGCTGGTATCTTGCAAACTAGCCAATGCTGCAACGGCTTCTGCTTGAGCATTCTTTGCATCAGCTAGCTCCTTTGTCAGATCATCCTGGGCTGACAGCTGATCTTGGATAGCTTTCAGTTGTTCAGAAGTCGAAGCGCTTGCTTTTGTCGCAGTATCGAGGTCGTCAACAAGCTTTGCGTTTGCATCCTTCAATGAGGAAGTCTCCTCTCCTGATGCGAGAATCGAGGCTTTCAGCTCTTCGATCTCTTGCCGTAATGCGGCTGTTCCGGCCTCAACCTCCGAAGCTCGTTGTTCAGCAGTCTCCTTTGCCGAGGTCATAGCACCATGACTCTCGCTCAACGTGCTAACTTCTGTCTTCAGGGTTTCCACTTCCTCACTCAATTTAGCATTGGCAGATTCGAGTTCTCCGGTACGTGCGGTATCTTCACCCCGCGATGCTTTCATCGTCTCCAACTCTTGTTGCAACGAAGTGACCTCAACCGCACTGGCAGCCACGGTAGCTTCGAGCTTTGCCTTCTCCGACTTCAACTCGAAAAGTTCGGCGTCAACAAGCTCCTTGTTCGCGGTACTCGCGTCGAGCTCTGCAGTGAGTTTTAGCTTCTCTTCTTCCAATGACTTTGTCCTCGATTCCAATGCCTGAGTTGAATCCTCAAAATCGGCGACGCGGGTAACAAAACCCGAATTCGTCTCTTCGAGTTCGGCTATCCTTTGCTCGGCTGACAGTTTCCCTTGCTCAAGCGACTCGATGGCTGCCTTGAATTGAGTAGTCTCTTCTTCTCCCAGTTTGGATTTCTCAGCGGCCTCGTCAAACGACTTTTGCAGAGTCTGATGAGTGGTCTCTAGAGCAGCAAGTGTTGCCGACAGCTGGACGGTTTCTGCCTCCAAGGCCGTGATCTTTTCTTCTGCAGCTCCCGCCCGATGTGCTGTCTCCTTCAAGGCCTGTTCAAGCTCGGTGACCTTGGTCTCGGCCGTGGCTAGCGTCTCTTTGACACCATCGACAGACGCTAATTGTTGAGTGAGTTCCGCGACTTGAGTTTGCGAGGTTTCCAAGTCTTTCTGAAGACTTTCAAGACCCTCCACCTTCAGAGCAAGTTCGGCAACCTTTGTCTCTGACGCTTCCAATGCAGGTTTCAATGCGACATAGCTTTCAAGTTCCGCATTGAGTTGTGAAATCTTGGTCTCCTGTTCTGAGAAATCATCTTTGATTCCTTTGTATTCTTCCAGGGTAGTTGTCATTTCAGCAAGCTCAGATTGAGCGGTGGCGAGGTCATTTTCCAGCACACTTCGGGCAGACAGCTCTGCCTCCTCCTTAGCAGTAGCCGCGTGTAGAGACTCGCTGACTTTCAGCAGTTCGGATTTTTGTGCGTCGATTTGAGTTTGCAGCTCGGTCCTCACATCGGTTAAAGTCTGATTGGCATCTTCGAGAGACTTGGCCGAGGAGGATTGAAGATCATTGTACTGTTGCACATGATCCGCGACCTTGAGGTCCGCTGATTGCAGACTAGATGTTGCTGCGGCGATTTCCTTTGTTAGAGATTCGATTTGAGCCTCTAGCTGGGCTTTCAGAGATGCAGTGGTTTGTTCTGAGTGTTCTAGGGCCTCTCTTGAGACCTGTTGAACCTGATTCAAGGTCTGAGTAGTTTCGACAATTGCGGTCTTTGCAGTGTCGAGATCGCTGCTCTGTGAGGCGAGCTCGGCACGCAGGGAAGAGACTTCAGTCTCGTGGTTGGCTTTGAGAAGGTCATTTGCTGCGCGAGAGTCATGAAGTTCTTGGGTCAGAATAGCAACCCGTTTTTCGAATTTGTGATGAACGGCTTCAACTGCGGCTTGATGTGTTTGTGCAAGCTCTTGTACCACGGCCTCTCGTTCAGCTTCCTTTGCTTCTCTGATTTGTTGTACGACGACAGTGACCATGCTCTCTTCCAGCTTAGCCTTCTTCTGTTTCAAGGATGCTTCTTTTACGTTGTATTCTTCTTCACGGGCCTTTCGTTGCTCGTCGAGCCGAGACAACTCTTGGTCTTGATTGACGAGCAATTCCCGGGCTTCCTCTAGTTCCTTGCGACATTGCTGTAGATCCTTTTGGAGGCTGTCGACAGTGGGAGTTGGTGGTGGCTTCGGTGGCGTTGATGGTTTCTTCTGAGAAGACGAGCCTTCCGAAGGCGCTTGTGGGTGAAATAAGTAGTTGTAAGCTCGGCGGAGGCTCGTTGATCGTTTGACAGTGCCAGGAGGTTTTGATCTGCTCTGAGAGAGTCGCCTGAGGCGACGTTCTGAAGCCATGGTGGTATGATGGGTATTCGAGGGTCTGTGAGAATGTCAAAAGTCAATTGTTCAGCGGTGAACTTGATCAATCTACTGTGCCGCCGAAGTGGTTTCAAGATTGTGGGGACTTTCTTTTTGGGTAAGTGACTTGTTGAGCGGTAAGACAAGGAAGCGCAGACTTTTTCAACGGGGAGGCAAAGAAGAAATAATTGTAGCACATGATGTACAAACCTAGGAGATGGTCACGATTTGGGAGCTCAAGCTGTTAGTGCATCATGACTCTTTGTCCCAAAAGCTTTGTGTACATTGATCACGCACTCATCGGGCAGCAAAATGAAAAAGGTCATGCATCGGGTCGAGAACGAGCAGTGAGCGGAAACACGTCGCACAATATGAAAGGCTCGCCAAGTGCAAGTTGAGAATGATAGGATGCTTCATTTATGAGGTACATGACAACGCAAGTAGCGTGCCACGGGAATTGGATGACCTTTTCCCGGCAAGCCGCGAGTGGGTTGGGAGACATTCGAATGAGAGAGCAAGAGAACTTGTGACAGTGATGATATGCAGGTACCAGGCACTGATACGAATGATGGAGTCACTCCATCGTTGATCGTTTCCCAAGAGGACACAGACACCTCTCTGGGAGCGGGCCGACGCCGAAGTCAACTTTGATTTTGTCTCTGAGATGGGCAGAGATGGGCAGAGTGGGTGAGCTTTGGGCTCTCATGGCCGCCAAAGAAGCCACAATGGCGCCTCGAGGCCCAAGCGTGCAGGCTTGAGGCACCCCACGGCCCCAGTGACTTTCAAGGTTAGCAAATGCAGCCTGAGGCGTCAATCCCTAACCAAACATATCACCCGTCCCCCAACGAGACTTCATCCCATCCCACTTCTCCTCAGTCTGAGCAAGCTCGAGCCTGAAATGAAAAGGAAGAAGAAAGAGTTCTTGGTTACAAAGATTCTCAGCTGATCAAAAAGAACCAGTTGAAGCGGTCAAACCTTAGTTTTCAAACAGCAATAATCGTGGCTCGGAGAATCTCCTCATTGCCCAAGATCTTGCCCATGCACTTGGATATGAAACAGAAAAAGTGCAATCGAACGGAGAGATCAAAGTAAATATACTTGGATCCAGATCAACCTGATGAGTCACGGCAGTTTCCTGGAAAATCTTTTCGTCCAGTGGCAGAACGACTTCACATTCAGAATTGAAGAAGCGACGCTGGTGCCTGGTTTCATTTGCAATATTGAACAAAATGATACTGTTGCCTGGACAGCAGCTTGGTTTGCAATCACTACTTAAACCCTCCATATCCGCCTGTCTCTACATATCTTCTCTCCATACTTACCTACCTGCGAAACTGGCAGTTCAAGATTTGTTGGTTTCATTACAGGCTCGCTGCATTGTACTGCGTGGTTGGAGCTTGAAGTCGGAGTGCTTCGGTGCTACTGGCGGGTTATTTTTTGGCCGTTGATTCTTTTTCATCATCGTCTTGAACGTTGGTCAAGGCTTTGGAGAAGAAGTGTTGTCATTCGTATCTTCCCACGAAATAATCTGTGTAGCCAGGACAAATATAATTCTCTTGTGCAGGTGCGACCTTAACAAATCCGACGCGTGGGCTCTTGATCTGGTGTGACTGATTGCATGACGTGAATGCGTGTTTGCTGCCTGCTCCTATTAGCCTCATTTAGACTAGCCCCGCCAAGACAATCAACACAGCAATTTTCCAACAACTACTTAGACTCGCTCTTCCTGACTTTGTTTCTTTCTCTCTCCATCTCAGTACGTCCTCCCCAATCCCACCCCTACATTTGTGCAAACACAATCAAAACCACTTCCCAGTCCTTGTTATCACTCAGAATCACCCTCATGTATCGTCAAGATTGATCTCGACGGTTTTGAGAGTTGCTGCAACTGCGTCCGTCAGTCTTGAAGGTTTCATCCCCTCCAAGATACTCTTGGTTGGGATTCGATGCCATTTCAATCCCTAGCTGTGTATCTCAAAGCTCAGCTCGAGACTCAACCTTCAAGCCTGTCGACAGGTCAAGGCAACTCCTCAACACCAGTCCCGATCTCTCGTCCACCCACACCCAAAGACCTTTTTCTATGCACATCACACAAGAGCTACTTGAGCATGAGACTAATTGATTGAAAAGGTGCAAGGGCATACGCATATCAGTGAGGATTCGTCCGAGATTGTGTTATTGCTAGTTGAAAACTATACGTAAGTTCATCTCCTGAGATACCCTCCTCCACATTGTCACTGACTCGAATCTAGTTTTGACTGCTTCAATTGGTCTTCGGATCGGTTGGGAATATTTGGAACACTTGTCTTTCTCTCTTAGAGCAAAGGACCCTTTTTTCATTACTGGCCGGAGCTTGCTCAGACCGTAGAGAAGAAGTTGGAACTTGGGACACCCTACAGATAATTCATTGACGGAATTTGATCCAAAAAACAAGATCACCACCTCGAGAATGTAGCATTGATGAGATCAACATTTCCGTAGACATCCCTGTCAGAAGCCAACCGACAATCTGTGCAAGGACAATGAGACTTCGAGGCCCCTCACCAAGATAAGTTGAGTCCCAAGGCCATCCCCTCTTCCACCTTGACCACCAAATCTTCCGTAGACTCATCAATCTTTCATCATCTCCTACACCTTCGACCATGCCACGAGCTCTTGTTACTGGAGCCACAGGTCTCCTAGGGCGAGCCATCCACTCAGCCTTTACGGGTGCCGGGTACGAGACGACAGGTACAGGTTTCAGTCGAGCTTCAGGCTCAATCCTGCGCCTCGACATCCAAGATGAAGCTGCGGTGCAGAAGGTGTTTGACGAGGTCATGTGAGCAACCACCAAGCCATGATTTACACACTACTACCATCTCCACCACCGTCTTGCTTCGTCTCTGTGCATCGTAGTCTCCTGTCTCAATCGCAAAGCAGTCGTTCCACCAGTAAGTCAAAGCAGACAGACAGCTAACTTGCTCTCCCCTGCTGGGGTTCAACAGACCAGATGTGGTGATTCACTGTATGTATTCTACATCAATCCAGACATCTAGCTCTCGTTTCAATCACCAAGCTTGAACCCTACCGACTACCTTCCCTCTTTCCGCGCTCTCACACGAGGATCTCACTAAAAGTCGACCTCAAATAGCCGCCGCAGACCGTTCCCCCGATAGCTGTACACGCGACCCGATCGCAGCACGCCGACTCAATGTCAGTGCCACCGAGACACTTGCCCGCGTGGCGTCACAGAGCAAGAATAAGACACTGGTAATATACATTTCGACGGACTATGTGTTTTCAGGAGCACAGGGCGAGGCGCCTTACAAGACGGACGCGGCAACGGGGCCGACAAATATCTATGGACAGACCAAACTCGAAGGTGAGACGGCAGTGCTACAGTATCCCGGCACGGTCGTGCTGCGAGTGCCGGTGCTGTACGGGGCGACGGAGCCCAGAGAAAACAATGCGGAAAGCGCTGTCAATGTGTTGCTGGACGCCCTGTGGAAGAGCCAGAAAGAGAATGTCAAGATGGATGACTGGGCCATTCGATATCCAACAAATGTTATCGATGTTGCTCGCGTGCTTGTCGATATCACTGAAAAGGCGAGATCGAGCCCGGGTGATGGCCAGGATACCCTTCAGATCCCCCGTGTCCTCCACTTCTCCAGTGAAGACCGCATGACAAAGTATGAGATTGTCAAGATCCTGGCTGATATCATGGACTTGCCCGTCGATGGTGTCATTCCGGATCGAGACGGCGGTAAGCCCGGCCCAGATGGAACACTCAGACCTTTTGACTGCCATTTGGACACGGCCACTCTGAAGGAGCTGGGCATCAGTGTCGACACTGTCAACTTTGTCGCTTGGTGGAGGAGATGGGTCGGTGCATTTCGACATTGATTGACCAGAGAAACTTTTAGATGATAGACGTCTCACCACTGGGCAAAAAACACATTTTACTTTTAAAGGTTCATTTGATGTTGACCATGCTAAAGCTCTATTGGCTGATCGAACTGCCTGTCTCGTGAAAAGCAATGCTCAGTATAAACACCTCACCGCCTGGAAATTCCACGCCTGCTGAGTCCATATGCTAAGACACCTGGAAATTCTCCCCTTAATAAAATGCCTTTTTGATCGCTTGGTCCAACTGGTCGCGATCTTTCTTGTTAGGCCTCTCTATCTGCAACGACTGCCACTTCAACCCACTCCATGCAAGCGCCAGATTGAAAGATCTCTCACGGTCGGCAGGATGCAGCAAGAGTGTCAATCCGGTGACAGATTCATCATCATCATCATCACCGGTCGGGATGTTGATGAACATGAATCGAATGTGCTCAGCAGCTCTGGTGCCTAATATGCGAAGGTTGTGGAATGTTGATTCGGATGACTTCAGGTCAAGCTTCAGGATCTCGTCAACCCTCGAGAAGGGATAGAAAAGTGTGGGGCTTTTATCGCGTGAGCCCTCGAACGCGATGCCACTGCGGCTGATGACTAGCTTCCCAAGTCCATAAAGGTCGTGATGAGCTTTGAACCAGTGACTCTCTTCACAGTCGGCTGGGGCGGTTTTGTCATCATGGCCGTGGTCTTCAGGGTCATGGTGGCCGTTCTCACTTTCCCTTGCCTCGTATTGAAACTCTTTCAAATCCGCGTCTCGTATCACAGCCTTCTCTTGGAGTTGCATAATTGCAAGCTCTGCATGGGTTGGAATATCCCAAAACACCCATCTCCACTGACTCAGGAGAAGCCGATACTGTGGGTATCTTGTTGCGATTGGGTAAGTGAAGAAGAACCCGCAGCCGATGATGAACCAGACCAACTTTACGCAGAATGCCATGTCGGCGAAAAGAGTGATGATGAGACAACAAGTGAAGAAGAACAAGGATGCCATGGTCTTCCTCGGTCTTTCGTGGCGATGGAAATTGATAAGAACTTCCATCAGATCGGTCAAATCACCTAGTTGAAGCTGTATTGTCGGGCCAAGTTGGTCTAGAAGGGGTTCGATCCAATCCTGATTGCCATGACGTTGAATCAATTCTCCCCATGCTTGCACCTTTGTCTCGCGATCCACGGCTCGGGCGACGCTTGCTCGGACTCTTTCGACAGAGGTTGGTTGGAATTTGCTGCGGACTGTGCGGTAGATAATCCAGAGGTAGAACGCCCCCACGACATGGTCGCTATACCAGAGAATAGCGAAGTAGAGCAGCCATTTCAATGTGGTACGTGGATACTTCCAGGTGTAGATTTGTCGCAACTGGACGACGAACGACTGGAATGGCGCACTCGTGATAGCCAAGCGTTCGATGATACGTGCAAGGTCTTCGAGATCGAAACGAGGAGAATTAAAGTGATCCACGTAGTGTGATGTAAATGCACGGGTATGATACAGGGCCCATCGACCAAGGTAGCGTTCCCACTCGAAGCGATCGCTTTGAAAATCCTGTCTCCGAGGGCGAGGGATTGGTCGGACTACTTTGACTCGATTGACATGACGACCAAGAACCCATGCTGTTTGAAGACTCTCCCTCTGAGCTTCCACCTGATGAAGTCGATCGCAGGCATCAACGATATCCTCATCACATATTGACGTCCCATTTGAAGCTGCTTCTACTATATCCTGGTGAGCATTGAGAAGAGCTTCGTCCCGATTCATCTTCTGGACAGGATGTCTAGCTGAACCGATTTTGGCGGCAGTGGATCGCGTCACGTTGGTTCGCATGGCTCTTCGTGGATGGGCCACGACATATTTAAAGTCTTTTAAGCCTGAGATGATGTCTTGACGCGGGGGCTTGGAAGTCTCGTGTGTGAACTTCTCGAGTGTACTGTCCGGATCGAAAGCAGGATCTTCGAATATGTCATCATGAGGAGTATCGACGTCGGCTTTGTGGAACAGGGCTTTTGTCTTGGTTTTGACTTTGTTTTTGAGGTGAATGGCATCGTCGACGATATTGCTAACATGATGTTCAGCCTCCGCTGTGTCATCTACTGGAGGCGGAGGCATTTTGAGAATGTTGAGTTGGTGTTGGGATCAATTGAACTTTGGTACTGCTAAGAGGGAAAAACATTGCGGAAACTCTTGACTGGGTCGTTGCTCTGAGGAGGCATTCATTTCATTAGGCAAGAGCGAAGGGAGAGGGAGAAAGGAGTGAAGGTAGCAATTTGATGATGGCTGTCCGCATCATTGGCGGTAACGGTATAACCCTGACTCGGAGATAGGTAGTGACTCAAAACAAAATGATATCGTTACCTTTGATAGCTGCAGATGGTTACCTACCTATGGTGAATGACTTGGCCTATGACGGTATGAGCATAGGAAATGATTGGCTTGGAACTTGTTGGAGCATGTCATCTCCGAGTGAATGTTCCATAGACCAAGAACGGGACAAGAAAAAACAAGATCAGGTGTGACGGGATTGATGGACCCTGTGTTGGTGTCATGAGGGAGGAATTGACAGAAGATGAGAGTCGAGTGACGCGACGGAGTTGTCGACGTCATAAAGTTGGCAACTACGGGTGTGGCGGTAGCGCCTTCCTTCCATCAAAGGATGTCAAATATGCATTCTAACAATCAAGGATCCACCGTAGTTTTAATACGTTGCGTCTTTCAACTGCTAGACGAAAAACTCTTGATAGAACATAGTCAACGTCGTACCATACCCATTAGTGCCTTATTTCTATAATTCTCGACACATCTCCCTCGGTTCTGCGGCTATTGAAGATTCTTTGGAGTCGTACCCATGTACAGCTGATGGACAAATACAATACTGAGACACTCCGCTGCTCTCCCATACCCTTGAATATCATTAGCAGCATGTCCAATTCGAGCATGGCAAGACATTGGACAATCTCTTGCGGCCTAAACGTTGATTGTTTATGGCCATTTTTCTGGTAGGTGAAGAGCCGTTGCCGGCAGAGTGAGATTATGGCGTGGATTAAATCTGCTGATAGCAGGGATATCGGTACTGTTCTGACCTGACCTGACCTCAAGTTTTGCACCATACCTTTGCATTGAGTCACCCACCTTTAATATTGTCCCCCCTCCACGCCCACCTCCCCATCATCTTCTTCTCTTTCTGCGCCCTTCATTGCAATGGACACATCTTTCTCTCTCTCCTTGTGATCCATTACTTCAGGCATTGTCTTCACCACCATTGTCCTCCGTCAACATGGATGAAGACCAACCACATCCACGGAAACGCTCTCGTTTCTTCGACTCTGCTTCAGGGTCTTTATCAGTTGGATCATCACCATCTAGGAATGTGACTTCTACCAGACAGTCCACTCATACTAACAACAATCCACCTTTTCACCCACAGCAATATCCATCCTTGAACACTGTCCTCTCAGACAACCCTCCTCAGTCTCCCTCTCAGAATACTGCCGAAACCCCTACCCACACCCGCCGGAACTCGGTGCCTGAGAGCGAGCAAGAAACCGATGTTGAAGACCATCGTGATGCTGACTCACAAGATCGATCTGCCGGTGGTGAAAGTGATCAAGAAAATAACAATCCTCAAACTGGCCTGAACAGTAGATTTGGTCAACTGACAATTCGAAACAGTCGAGCCAATCGTCCAACAGCTGTGTATGGGTATGGCGATCTATTAATCGCCAACTCAAACCATCGCAACAGATGGTCCAGCACATGCGATCAACCCCCAAGGGCGGAGGATGAAAGAAATGGGCCGCCCCTGATTGAGCAGAATCTTAGCTCTCGTCCTCCACAATTCACATTCCGTGCCGATCAACAGATTGCACCACATGCAATCAACTACAGAAATCCCAATCTCGGCCATGGTCTTGCTCAGATCGCCCAAGCCACTTATCATCGAGACACTGGTCCGTTGGCAGGATCCCAACGTCGGAACCCTCAACCCAACACCAATCCCCAATCTAAACCCCGTTATGGCATCATCACCGGCTATGTCGATATAGATCGTGATGAACTAGGGCGTCCTTTGGTCAGGCCTGGGCAGCCAAGGACCACACGCACTCTGCTCCCAGGAATGAATCCCAATGGTGAATATGACGAAACCCCTGATTCTTCAGGCTTTACTCCTCTCCTGCCTCACATGAAACGAGTCGTCAACCCAGACACTCTTGTTCCAGATCACTTGTACAACGCGCCTGGACGACTCGAACATGCGCGATACTGCGCCATCGTGTGCCGCAAACGGAAACGTTCTGATGTTCTGCTCCCGCCCCCAGCTTACGTCTATCAACGTACCAACTCGCCTAGCTTCGACATCCTCAACGCTTTTATGCTGTATCCAGAGCTGTTGTACGCTCTCGCCGGCCATCTCCCAGTCAAGGACCTTGAAAACTTGTACTGTATCAGCAAGGACTTCCACACACTGATCGATGCACGGTTCACGACAGTCATGCTTGCACAAGCACTCAACAAAGCACCAGAGTCTGCCAGGACATATCCATTCCGATGCTATAGGAAACTATGCCGGGATGATCCTGCAGCGAGGATCCCACACCCGAACACAGCGCTTGCGGCAAATTTAGTCCCACGATGTATCCCATCCTTCCGATGGCTGAAGATGATCATGTACCGAGAGAAAGTGGTCCACGAGCTGATGACGGTGTTTGCTGAAGACGGAGTTCCACTGCCACATCGATGCAGCCTGGCCCTGAAACGCATGTGGTTCATGATGGATGTACCTGACAACGCACGACGGGTTGGACTGGTCCATCAACGATCCTTCATGACCGATTTAGACCTGTACTTCCTGGCATGTTTCTTCGTCAAGCTGGACATGCGACTGAACGATCCAACACGGGGCGAGAAATCCACGGGCATGAGACGGTTACTTCTCAGCCAACGCAGTCTGACCACGATTCTCAAATTCCTCAAACGCGAAATCTGGACAACTCGCTTCGACGTCATGAAGGTATGGATCAGAACATTTCATCAACCACCACCGGATGAGGTTGGCCTATCGTTGTTCGGCATCCCCGCCGATCAAATTGGACGTAGCAGGCTTGAGTACTGGGGCATCTGCACTGAAGCGCAATTGAAGCGTAGCCCTAAAGCACTGTATCGTCCAGACACTCTCGTCGCACATGAATCACACCGTCGAGGTCTCAAATTTCAGAAACACTACCTACGCTTCTTACTGTACGGCTACGTACGTCCGGATACACTAGAAGACTATGCACCAAGGACATATGGGCGACGTATCGGTGCCATTCGAGAGGATGAATATGATATCGACGACGTGGTCGGCGGTGTCGCTGCATTGAGTGCCCAGGATGAGATGGTCGACCCTTTGTTGGATCTCGGTCGTCCTCGACTCGGAAGTGTCTTTACCATTGAGAAGGATCCCATCACGGCGCAGGAAAAGAAACTGAGGTCTGAACAGTTGAATATGGCACAGTTGTGTGTCGAGTGGTGGGAAAAGGAAAGTGCCGAGAGTGTGGAAATGGAAGGATGATCGTGATCGTAGGGGCTCTGTGTGCAATTGGGGGTGAGGATGGAACGGGGTGAGGTTGCTGTCCAATGGTCATGCTGATGACGATGATGATGTTGACGACGGTGCTGGCATTATCCACAAACGTGCGATTTGCGTTTCTAGATGTAGATGTATGTGGTGTATCTCTGTGTCTTTCTCTTCAAGTTTTAGTGATGAGACGAGGGAGCTTGGGGTAAACAATGAGGCATACCTGAGGTTTTCGCCAACTCGGTTTATGTTTACAACTGAGGCACACTTCATCGGTGAACATTGGCTCATTTCCTGAGAATCAAGTGCGTCTGTAACTGTCGGTGGGAGACGACAAAAAGTATCCACCTCATCTATTCATCAATCTATATATCTGTCCAAACCCATCACGGCACGCATAACCAAGCAGATACAGATGACGTATCACTAAAACCCAAGTCTCCGGCCTGAAATCTGGACAGAAGTTGCGGGTGAAACAATGTCTTCACTAGAAATGCCCGACAGGGCTGGGGTGCGCAGACGGTCGTCGTCCGAGCGATTGCTGCCATCTGAAGACTCAATCGCCGTTGATATGGCCGTGATTTCACTTTTGCCCTTCTCCGTTGTGCAGGACAAATCTTTTGGATTGGTGCTTGGCTTTCTTCTCAAGTCATCGCCTTGTAATTCTCGTCCCGGCCAGACATCATCACCCGGGGCCTCTACGGGTACCATGGCCTGTGGTGGCAACTCGACAGGTGGCTTCTTTTCCTCGGGGGGTAGTTCCGAGTACGGAGGTGCAGCAGCGGAGGAATCAGCCTCTACCAAAGCAGCCTCCATGTCTCGTTTCTTGCGGCGATTGTTGCGGATGGCCAGCCAAACAATGAGTGCGGTCAAGGCAATTCCGCCTATGGCGGCGCTAATGGCGATGCCGGCTTTGGCGCCCGCGGACAGGTTGTCGACACTGCCATTTGGGTTCGAGTCCGAGTCCGAGTCGTTATTATCGTTGGCTGCGGCGGTACCCGGGGCTTCGCCAGTGAAGATCTGAGGCTCATTGGATATGGCAACCGAGTAATCTTGACAGTCGACGGAGAATTGATTGACAGTGGTGTCAGTAACGCAATCGCCGAAGGGGGCAAGAGCGAGTTGGCTGGAGCTGCAGAAAGGAGGATTGGCGCCGTAAATGGTTACTATTTAGAGGTTATTTGTGTCAGCATGATTGTCCTGTATGGAGAGGCTATATCTGAGGGGGCGGAGGAAGGTACCTGCGCACGTCTGGTCAAGACTGGTGACTCTGAAACTGCCAAAATTGCTCGCCTCGGTCAAAAATTGGGTACAAGTGCCATCATCGGGGCCGTTCTTTTCCCCGATGACTGTCTGACACGAAGTGTCTGAATAGAAGGTGATGTTTGAGAGAGCATGGACGGGCAGAAGGGTTGAGAAGGTCGACCACGTGGCGAGGATGACAGAAAAGGTGGAATAGAATTGTCTCATGGTGGACAATGAGTAGCCTCGTGGAAAGAAGAGGTGATGATGTTGGTCGAAGTGTGCAACGGCCAACGGATGAATGCTCTGGGGTGAGGCTTTGCGGGAAGAGAACCCTTGAGGTGGTGAACAGGGTCGCTCAAAGTCCGACTTGACTGATGGGCCAGCGAAATAAAAGAGAGAAGAAGAAGGATCCGAGTGAGTCCGTCAAGGAATCTCGCCTCAGGCTGAGCAGGACACGGTGCCACAGGCAGTGCCAGTCATGATTCGGAGGTAGGACAAGGAAATCCGGTGCAGGTGCTGTACAACAGCGAACCGTGCTACCTGAAATGCAGGACAAGACAAAAAAGAGGCAGAAAGTATTCAGTTCATATGTAGTAGTGGTGAAGGAAGGGAAGTTGGACCCGCCAACGTGGTTGTGCTTAGGACGTCTGGGACGATGGGGTGGAGGTGTATCGAGTCGAGTTGTTAGTGGACGAGGGCTCTCGCAGGGAAGAGGAGGATGGAGACAGTGTTTATTAGCGAAAGAATGACACGAAAGAGGAAAACTGCAAAACAACAAGAGTCGGGGACATTGTGTTCCATAGTCCATGGAGCAAACGAGTCCAACGGGGATGCTTAACCTCACCGGCTAGGACTCAGCAAGCGACGCCCAGGCAAAGGCGAGGCTGCTTGCGAGTCTTGAGAAGTGTTAGCCATCCAATGAAGTAGAGGATCGAGAGAAGCGTGCATGTTGATCTCTCCAGGCGGTACGAGTGGTTGTGCAAGGAACCACTGCATAAGATGAGAGGGTGAGAAGGATTGATTGACACTCTGAACCGAAAGGAAGCGGATGTTCGCAGATGAGATCAGGTGTGATTTGGCGTGATTTCAACTGCCAGGATTGGGGAGGAGTGCCAAGAGCCAAGATTCTGGTGGGGGGGAAGGAAGAGAGGAGGAGATGCTGGTGGCATACCTAGGTAGGTAAGGAACAGGAAAAGGTAGATACAGGCACCACAGGCACCACAGGCATAAGCAAGAAAGCAAGTTTGACGGCCGAGGGGGGCCAATCTGCAGCACTCGTTCCTGCCATTGCAGCCACAATTGACGCCTAATCGGTGTAAGGAAGGCGGTATCCTTGGGCGCTTTTCTGCGAGTAGGAGCCCCTGCGTCTCCTGAGCCACTTGAGGGGCCAGAGCCTAGCTACTCCGTAGGTAGGTACCTTAGGTATCGTAATAAGCCCCAGGCACCAACCACAGGCACCAAGGCCCGACTGCATGTGGCTGCAACACCAAAAATGATTCTGACCAGACGCTTATAATCCAATAATGGCTTAGGGTGAAACACAAGCACCTCAAGTCTTGATGCAAGTCAACCTCTAACGCAACACCAAGGACCACAAGGACCACGTACGCCATACGCTATTCATCTGTCAACCTTGGGCCAGCGAGTGGTAGTCAGTTAGGCATCGTCAAGGCTGACAGGGTGCCATACCTGGTGCGCATGAGTCTACTCCATATAACTCGCCCAATCCTCCCTCACCTTCTAGTCAAGATCAGGATACCATTACTCGTATACTATTGGTCCCCAATACCAACATCATTATGCAAGCTGCAAACACCTACTATGTACGTGTATGGCCGCTTACGTTTGAAGAAATCTCTCAGGGGGCTCGCGGAAGTACAGTCGAAACACTCATCTGACTCCCAAGACCTTTGTACTGATGCCTCGACCGTCGTCAGACTCGGTCAGGATTGGGCCAAACTACCATGGAATTGTACCTACTGGTCTACTCGTACTGTTATGGATGCGCAAGCTGTCGGCACGTGGATTGTCCATGGTCCATCCTTGACTACCTAATCCGTAGGTACCTCTCCTGGTACCCATGTTCGTCTCATGGCTTAAATGTTTACCCTCGCTCTGTTCGCCATGCTTCTAACCATGAACGCCCAATAAGCAGCCAGTAGTTCAACCACTTTTCTCCCAACTATCCATTCAGTCACCCTCATGCTGCCACCGGGTATCGCCATCGTTGTCGCCTGGATGTTCCACCCAACGCCAGTAAAATGCTTCATATCATGCTTCGTACAAATACAAGCGCGTCGTCCTGCATAGGGGTCTACACCGCTCAGAAAGCAGCCAGATCCCCCTCCAGCACAACCTTGGCCAGTTGCGAGTGTCCCAAGTCTGCAATGTGACCTCCTATCACTTCCCCAATCTTGTCTATCAACTTGCTCCGTTGTTCAGCTGCAGATTCTTCGCTGTGTCCGTTCATCATTGGTAGGTCGTCGTCCACCAAGGTCCCTAACGCATTGGTTATTGCGTCTAGCATCTTCTGCACCTCTTCCTTTTTGCCTCCCTCCTGCACTCCTTCTTGTAGGAGTTCATCAAAGGCCTTGAGGTTGGGCAAAACCAACTGTCGCACCACCTCTGCCCCGCCCACCGCTTTCAACCCCAGCACAGCTCCGTAATGACTGCCTAAAGGCTTCTTCGGGTCTAGGAACGTCTTCAGACAAGACCGTGCAACTCGAGGTTTGAGGTTGTGCGAGTACTTTGAGTATTTGCCGCACAGATGACCAAGCAGGGATGCTGCCAGGTCACGCAGCGAAAAATGCTCGAGACCTCCTGACCCAAGATTTCTTCCGGTCAAGCATGTCAGAACTGGCGGGATCATCGAAGCAACCTGGAGATTTCACATTAGTAAAAGACCGTGTAGATCCCTTACAGAACATACATATGGAGTCAGATTCAGCTTGGCATTCCTCGTCAACGCCTCCGTCACCAACATCATCTGCGTGAGCACAAACAAATCACTCAGATTGTGTGTGACTTTTTCTGCCACAAACTGCACAAAGTAGGGCACGAGTTGGTGTAGACCTGGATCCTCTTTCAAACTCGCCAGACCGGCTGTTCTATATTCCGGCTGCGATTCGTCCAGCACCGATGCGCACACCTTTTCAAAGTATAGCTGTAGCTCTTTACTCAAGATATGTTTGACCTGCGCTTTGGTTGTCGTGTTGTCTGCACCACTCATGGCCGCCAGTGCGGGATTGGCGTTTGGACCTTTGGGTAGGAGTTCGAGGTTGCGCGCTTCGTTCGATGTTGGGTTCTGAGGGATAGACGGCTGTACACCTTCGACTGCAAGCCAGTGCGCTGCATGCAACTGTTAGAGCCATGCCCTCGGTCTATTCGATGCATCACTCACCAGTAAACGACACCTCTCTCGGCACCTTGGGCAATGGGGCATTGATCAACTTTTCAAAGTCCACCTCCTCGTCCTCAACGTAGAACAGCGGCTGGCCAGGTCCCAACGACGCTTCTCCGTACTTGAGCGGCCTTGTCGATTCATAGCCGTACAAGGGCTCAATATCCAGTAGTCGCAGCGCCTGCGAGATATCTTGCGACCACAGTATCGTCCGTCGAGCGTGTTTCATCAGTTTCAACGCTTCTTGTAACACTTGAGAGATGCGGTATTCCACATCGCGACAGAGAGCCTGGTTGACATCCTTGTTCAGATTCAAGATTCCCACCGATTCCGCAACGTCTTTGACCGTGTCTTGACCCCACAACGTCATCTTTCACGGCACTGAGATGAGGGCGTACACCAGGGAGATTAGCGTGGGTGTTGTCGTCGTATGAGTTGGAGTTGCTGGTTCGAGTTCTAGGAAATGAGAGTTGAAGTTCGGGCAGACATGACTCGAGTATTCAGGATTGCCAAGAGATCGTGAATCAGCTGCAGTCGTCTCGTGTATCACGTGATAAAAGTCACTCTCTGATTAGATTCTTTATCAAACGATTGATCTTCAGTTCTTCTCTCCCCTATCTGAAGAAACAAAAGATTTCTTATTTCTGGAAGTCCACCAATTCTATAATCTAACCACCACCACTACTCATCGTCAGAAACTCGCCAGACCAGTCTAGCACCACTGACTTCCTTGTTCCTCAACTTGGACATGGCTTTTTCTGCTCTCTCCAACATGGTTGCACCTTCGACAACCACTTGGTCATTGGCTTCCACAATCCCCTGCTCCAATGCTGTTGGCATAATCTCAGCCTGTAGCTTCTCTGCCAAAAAGGCATTGTCCAGGTAAAAGTGTGTGCGGACTCCCTGGGCATCTACCCCTGTTTTCCATTCCACGTCTTTTCCAACGTCCATCTCGTATGCCGGCCGAACTCCAGGTGCGGCGTCTTTGACAATCACGGGAAGTAATACAGCAACTTTCGCTCCTGGTTCAGCAATCCTAGCTAACGGTTGCATACTCCCCCTTTGGCTCCCGATGCAGTCCAGCACAAACGCAATCCGTGGCTCGTTGCTAGTCTGAGAACTCACATACTCGACAATATCCTCCACGACATGTGCTTCTCTGTAATCAAAACACTTATTTGCCCCATATCCAATCAGTTTTGAATGATGAGCCTTGCTGGCGATGGCGATGATGTGAAAATACCCATACCACTTAAGAATTTGCAGCGTATATTGCCCTACGCTGGAGCTCGCACCCCAGATCAGTATCCATTTATCCTTGTCCTTTGGCACGTATCCCTCTGGTTTTGGCCATGGGAGCTCAAATCCAAAATGTCTTGTCAGAGTGTGCCAAGCAGTAACAAAGTTGTTGGGGAGTGTCACGGCTTCTTGAAGGCTATGGCCAGCGGGAAGTTTCCCAGCCAAGTTCTCATTGATGACCAAAAATTCTTGGTGAGCCTTCTCGATCTGGCTTCGCCAACCAAAACCGAAGACGATGTCGCCGACTTTGAGCTTCGTCACATCCGGTCCGACTTCGACCACTTGTCCCCCAAACCCATCTCCCAATACCTGGGGGTGTTGGACCAAAAGTCCGCCATCTCCCTGGTGAAGATCCAAGGGGGTTGACGCTGTCCACTGTGTTCTAATGCGAACCTGGTTGCCAACTGGCTTCGGCGTAGGCACTAATAGTGTCTCGAGTGGTTTTCCAGCAGCGACCGTCACCACGGCCCGGTGACTTGCCATGCTGCACTTGATATCTGCTTTCTTCGAGGTGATTCTGGTCTCTCGACTTGCAAGTCCACACCACTTGTGATATAGAAGTGCACATGAGAAGACACGGGGGTCGAGGACTTTTACCTTGTCACAGCTGCTGACAAATTGGAATAATGGCGAATGCCTAACCATGTCAACTTTAGCACCCTTTACTGTCCAAACCTTGCGCATGTTCATGTGGGATCCTCGTACATCAACAAAGTGGGGTCGAGACGCCCAAATAGGTTTAGTTTAGGTAACATCTGAGTATGTATATTAGTCAGAAATTCCACTCCCACCAGATGTCGTATGTTGTCCAACATAGGCTGAATGAACAGACGCAGCATTTGCATGCGAGAAACATGATCTGGGCCAAGTGGCCTAACAAGGGTTAGGCGAAACATGAAGAACCAGCGCAGTAAGAAGACATTAGTCCACCACTCCTAACCATGTCTGTGCTGCCTCAGTCCAGCATAGTCCTCTGGAAGCATCTGTGTTGCAGAGCTGATATTTTATTCCACTGTTTGTGCCACGGAGGTTCTCGCTCGGTACTGCGAAGCCCTCTCAAAGGTCTCTGCAGCACGCGTTTCTGCCAAGTGCTGGACGCTCATGGAAGAGTCAAACCCAGGAATATCCGACGCCATTTTCATGCGTGTTGCTCCAATTTCCAGAAGGCGGTTCACGACCCATGTTCTTTCAGCCCCTGGGTCGAAGATCATCAGACATAGCCTCAGTGCAAAGGTGATGAAAAATGGTCCTAGAAAGGACGAAGTGAGCATAAATGGCGTCGCCCGACACACATCTTGTGCAATGTCTCGATTCTCCATAATGTAAAGACCCGTTTTCTCAGGATGGAATTCGTTGTCCGCTTCTTTCAGGACGATGTTGAGAAGTATCAGAATTGTCCAGTAGCCCACATTGGTCGACGCGATGAAGACATTCTGATATGTATACTGTTGAGGGAAGACATGGTCGGTGGTCATGTGGGAGGATGGTTCCAATCCACTCCTGCGCAGAGCGTCACGAAATCTGACATGAATGGATTTGATGGTATAACGGTGCTGACGGGTTCGGTCCAGGACTTTTGTCACATGTACCCTGAACTTTTTGGGCCCCATTTTGGCAGCCGCGATTGGCAGACGTCTGGCGTCTCGAAACGTGGCTGGGATTGTGACATATTCACGGTAAAACTCCTCAGCTAGATCAAAGAGGTCCAGCCTCTCGGGGGACACGCCATCCGCGCGGAGGTCTTCGTGAACTTCCCTCGCCATTTGAAGCCATTCGGGCTGAGCAAGGAAGCACTCTTCATCCCTCTGAAAGGCATCAATCATGATAGTGTGGCGATATGCGAGGTAAACATCCCGGTCAAGGCCATGCCGGTGCCTCTGAGGACCTCGAAGTCGCATCAGCATACCCGCACCTCCAGCGTGACTAATCCAGCCCAGATTTGAATCAGAAGCAAACATCTCATAGAATGATAGTAGCACGGTGGCAGATAGCGTTTCAGTTGCCATTCCCTTGCTTTGGTCTGTCAGTGTTTTATTCAAGAGCCGGAGTGCAGCGCCATAGAACTGTCTTGATTCATGAGCAAAGACTTCTGAGTTGTTGGTCTGCGCGATGTGTATCATTGAAACTGCACGAACAGCCGAATCGAGCAGTTGGGAGCCAAAGTGATCCGGGAGCTGAGTCAGCCAACGAGAGTGATTCTGCATTGCTGGGGGGAGGATGCTGGTTCCTTGAGAGGTGATACCTGAGCAAAACGTATGCAGCAACTGCTCTTGGAGGAGATAGGGGGAAACGACCCCGTGGTCAACGGTCACGGCCAGCGACTTGTCGAAATTGATAGACCCACCAGCGAGGAGACTGTTAGAAGTAGTCGCCATTGCGGTTGCTGTTGCTGCTGGTCGCAGAGGTAATTGGGCGTCGGGGCTGAACTCGTACTGAAACATGCCAAAAGTTGCGTTACTGGAATTGAAGTCGGTCGATGTTTGCCAGTCGGACGAGGGCACTTGCGCAACTACCTCCATCTCATCCGTCAAGGGATCGGTGGACTGACTGTTCGAACTAGTAGACGTGGCGGGGGACGAGGTGTCCACGTCTGTCTTAGAGAGGGATTCGTTATGTTGCCCGAACCGCTTTCGGAGCTTAGATCCCTCATCATGGATGCGTAAGTCGGCATCGTAGCCAGGGCAAGGTCGATTGCCCTTTGCACAGTTTTTGCCTATTTGAGAGATGGTCAGTTGTGACATCCAGAAGTCCATTAGGATGGTTTGACTACTGACATATTGGCCGAGTAAGGTCACACTTGATGCTCGTCAGCAAACCGTGTTGGACAATGATTAGGTCGTGATAGGATCATCCTTACCCTGACTCGTCTCTGGACGCATATCCTACAACCTTTACTTCGTGGTAACACCATGGCGCGCTATTTTTAGCGCACCATACGGTGTGTGGAAGGGTGGCGCTATCGATCGCGTCGTTGTCGCTCTCGGGTTGGCCGCGTGATATGGAGGGTCTGCAAGGCCGTAACAATATCAGATGTGCAGGTTGGATATAGACATGGAGCATTAGTCGAGCGCTGGTTGCGGTGGCTGATGCCTGAGTTGTCAGAATAGGCTACAAGATGGATGGATGCCTAAGCGAATGGCAGTCAAATCTTTCATTTGCCAGGAACCACAAGATCGATTGAATTGTGGGTTGATGACAACAGGATCATCGTGGGGTTGGAGGGGCCGAAGGGCCTCGGGCCAAGAGAGGTCAAGGGACGCCTGGGGGCGCATACGAGGGTTGCTCCGGGTGCCTCTCTGGAGCTTTGGGGCTTGGCCACATCTCTGGAGAGCCTCTGTTATTGGCGTGTGCATGCCTGGGCATCACTAAAGCCCAGCCCTATCGGCTACACTTTTCGCGTTTGCTTTTATTAGTGACCACTGGCCAGACACCAATCATCCCATTCCGCTCATGATTTTAATTGCCTGATACTGGTTTATGTGAGCCACTGCTAAAGGACCATTCGAGTCTCATCCTTCCAGCTCATTCATGGGGACATCCTCGTCGTCATTACCGACAATCGCATCCGCCACTTTCCACACCTGGATCAAATTGTCATCTGCAGCACTGCACAGAACCCAGGGGCTGTTCTTGTTCCATGAGAAGTCGCTGATGCGGTTCGTGTGCCCTCCATGCATGAACATGAGCTCGGGTGGTCCATCTTCACTATCCTCTGGCGCTTGTTCCTCTCCCACCTTGGCCAGGTCCCAGAACATGATCCGCCGGTCATAACTACTTGATGCGAGCACAGATTCCTCCATCGGATGCCATTCTAACGTTGTCACTGCGTCTGTATGACCTTCGAGAGCGTGGAGCTTGTTGTTGAGGTTTCGCAAGTCCCAGATCGCAATAGTCTTGTCCTCACTCCCTGTTGCAACCACATTGTCCGCTGCGAGATTGAACGCAATCGCATTGATGGCTCCCTTGTGCTGGCTCGTCGGAGATACTGCTGCGGCCCGTGTGGTATCTGCTTGTCGCAGGTCGAGAATGGCCATGGTGAGATCGTCTGACACGCTACCGAGTAGATTGGGGAGTGTAGGGTGGTATTGTACGTCATTCACAATTCCCGTATGATGGGTGTAGCATCGTGTCTCTCTCAATTCTCGCTGGGTCTTGGACCCTTTTGTGATATCCCACAATCTCACTGTTTCATCTTCGCTAGCCGTGGCCAGGTGACCGGCTTGGTGAGGGTTCCAACTCAGCCCATATCCCTCTTTTTCATGCCCTAGGAGCTGTAAGGTGGGATTGATTGTCTTTTCAGGGATACTCGGGAATTTGGACTTGTCCCAGATCAACACTCGACCATCTGTGCACATGGTTGCGATGAGGTTGGGGTTCTGAGGTTGGTATCTAGCTTTGTTGACTTCGCCAGGATGAAGGATCTTCTGCACAATGTTGAATTTGACCTCGAATTGAGATTTGCTGGTCGGTCCTCCACCATATCCACCAATTTCTCCAGTCTCTTCATTATAATCCTTGGCTTCTGGACGTTGAGGATTGGGAAGTTGTACATTGGCGATCTCAAGGTAGTTGTCTTTTCCTTCGGCCGTGTGGGTTCCAATCAGTAACCGATGCCGCGAGTAGTTGGAATTGGGAACTCTGAGATCTTGTCAGCAACTTTCTCTGTGTCGTTTCATTTTAGCCATACGGTGTGACATCTGGAAACCACTGCGTTGTCAGTGTTGGCCAGTCTAAGGCGGTACTGAGGATCATGTCATAGAGGAATGGCGCATTCTTCTTCCAGGTCTTGTATTCTTCGTTGATGATCTTCTGCGCCTGTTCTGAATCTTGTTGGCTAAAGTCATCGCTCACTGTAATGTGTCAGTGTAGTTCCAGATCTGAGAATCATTGTCATACTATTCTCTTCGTCGTCGGCCATTTTGAGTCTGATTGAGTGGTGTCCACTCTATTAACCAATGGGGGTGATCAGTCCAAGACAGTTGATGGTTTCGCTGTACAGTGACAGTTCAGTCCTTGTTTGTCGCATACGACGAATGATCGAGACAAGTGCTGAGGCAAAGTCACTGCGGTTTGCAGAAGATAACCCTCAATTCAAGCACTTGAGCCAAACGCGGGCGAAAGACGCGGTCGAAGACACGCGAAGAAGAACCTGGAGCTTGTCCCAATGAGGAATGGTCTTAAGTGGTTTCTTGGCACGGATTTTGCTGGGCAGATGCCACCTCGACCTCGAGTCATCACAACCATCATCACCATCATCAACATCATCGATTTCCTAGTTTTATACCCAACGGGTCTCGATCTTTCCTACCTACTCTTTCTTGTATCCATAAGGAAGGCCCTATCAACCCGCATTTTATGTGACCATTAGAAATTCGGTTCCCTCCACATCTACACCCACATTCTCCCTTCGGCCTACACCCACCGCCACCATGGGTGTTCCCAAGTTTTTCAGATGGCTCTCAGAGCGCTATCCAGGTATCTCGCAGTTGATTGCCGAGAACCGTATTCCAGAGTTCGACTGTCTGTATCTCGACATGAATGGTATCATCCACAATTGTACCCACAAAGACTCCGATTCACCTTCGTTTCGGATGACCGAAGACAAAATGTTCATAGCCATTTTCAATTACATCGAACATCTTTTTGGCAAGATCAAGCCCAAAAAACTCTTCTTTATGGCAATCGACGGTGTTGCGCCGAGAGCCAAGATGAACCAGCAGCGAGCTCGACGTTTCCGCACCGCTCTTGACGCAGAAAAGGCCCGTGAAAAGGCTATCAAAGAGGGCCTTGAACTTCCAAAGGAGGATCCATTCGACTCAAATTGCATCACTCCAGGAACCGAGTTCATGGCTAAACTCACCAAACAATTGAAATACTTCATCAGCAAGAAGGTATCGGAAGACGTTGATTGGCAGGGTGTTGAAGTTGTCCTGTCCGGTCACGAGGTGCCTGGAGAAGGAGAACACAAAATCATGGAATACATTCGTCAAGCGAAGGCTCAACCAAACTATGATCCGAATGTTCGACACTGCTTGTACGGTCTCGATGCGGATCTTATTATGTTAGGACTTCTCAGTCACGATCCTCATTTCTGTCTGTTGCGAGAAGAAGTGACCTTTGGCCGGCAAACTAGTAAGAAGTCTACCGAGCTCGAGCATCAAAACTTCTTCCTCATGCATTTGTGCATTGTCCGAGAATATCTCGAATTGGAGTTTCAGGAACTGGAAAAAGAAGGTGCTCTTGATTTCCCCTTTGACATGGAACGAATCATCGACGACTTTATTTTGATGGCTTTTTTTGTGGGAAACGACTTTTTGCCCAACCTACCAAATCTTCACATCAATGAAGGAGCGCTGGCGCTCATGTTTCAGAAGTACAAGCATGTTCTTCCGGGTCTTGGTGGCTACATCAACGAGCATGGCGTCATCAATTTGCAGAGACTGGGCGTTTTGTTGGACGAGCTATCTGAAGTCGAGCATCGATTCTTCCAGGCGGAATATTCCGATGCTAAATGGATTAACGCGAAACGAGGCGAGATAGCGGATGAACCACAAATCAAGGCGGCTCGTGGGCCTGTCAGAATATCTCCTGAACAGAAGAAATTGTTCAAAGGTATCAAAAAATACTTTGTAGCCCCTGCAAACAAAGACCCAGACACACAACAACCGTTCAACCTCCCCTCCACCCTTCCTGCTCGAGATCGAGCGTTTGTTCAACAACTCGCTACCGACCTCAATTTGCAGTGGTCGACACAGGAGGATTCCGAAGGCAACCGCTTCATCCAGCTGAATTTCCCAACAGTCGATGGCGAGCAAGAGTCCGAAGATGAAGAGTCACAGCTCGCAATCACACGAGTCCTCAAGCGATATGACAACGCTAAAGTCGAAGAAGCAACAGACGAGCAAGCTCAAGAAGATCTCAAGAAGAAATACGATGAAAAGTTTATCCAATGGAAGGACAAGTACTACCAAGAAAAATTTGGATGGGGAACTGAAAATGACGAAGGAATGAAAGTTTTGACGGAAAACTACGTCCAGGGTCTCCAATGGGTCCTTTATTACTACTATCGAGGAGTAGCATCATGGCCATGGTACTACGCCTCACATTACTCGCCTATGATTTCTGATGTGAAGAAAGGCCTCGGGGCTGATATGAATTTCCAACTGGGACAACCATTCAGACCATTTCAGCAATTGATGGGGGTGTTGCCGGATCGAAGCAAATCAATCGTGCCACAGATCTACCATGAACTGATGACTTCCAAGGATTCGCCCATCATCGACTTTTACCCGCGCGACTTTGTGCTCGACATGAATGGCAAGAAGATGGAGTGGGAAGCAGTGGTCAAGATTCCATTTATTGACGAGAAACGCCTTCTCTCGGCCATGGCCACCAAGGACCCATTGCTTACAGAAGATGAAAAACGGCGCAATGATTTTGGGGTCAGTTTGAAATTCACGTATTCGTCCGAGCTCGACTTTACATATCCTTCTTCTCTGGTTGGCATTTTCCCGGATCTTCCGCACTGTCATTGCATAGAGAATGAATTTGAGCTGCCGACCATGGACGGTCTGGAGCCTTTTGTCGGGCTTGTGGAGGGCGTCAAACTCGGGGCTGCCGCTTTGGCTGGATTCCCAAGTCTCAAATTCCTTCCATTTACAGCATCGTTAGGTTTTCACGGCGTCAATGTGTTTCAGCAAGATAGCCGGAATGAGAGCATGGTAGTCACGTTGTCTGACACTGAAACGAGGACGAAAGTGGAATATGCCAAGCTACACCTCAATCAACGAGTCTATGTTGGATACCCCTTTCTTCAAGAGGCGAAGATTGTCAAGGTTTCGGACGAGTTGTTCGACTACACACTCCCGGAATCAGGGCCTCGTCAGGTTCATGCCACTGAACACTCGGGGACTGAGATAGACCAATTCCACAAGAAGGCGGAGCGCATCGAGAAATTCTACAGCAAAAGATTGGGAATCTTGGTTGGTGAGGTGGAGTCACTAGTTCAAGTGGAAATGCTCAAGGGACTCAAGAAGTTAGACGATGGTTCTACTGTCAAGGAGTTTACAGAGCTGCCAGGACTCGAGACGGTGCATGCGACACAGCTGGTGGTGGACAAGATCATCAGCGAAGATGTTCGCTTCATCGAGCAAGCGGCGACGCCGATTGAGCAAGAGTTCCCTGACGGGACCAATGCATTCTTCCTGGGTGAGTACGCTTACGGGCGACCGGTCAGTGTGGTGGGCCATGAAAATGGCAAGGCCAAGTGCTTGATCGCACTATCCAAAGGACGGCAAGTGGAGTTTGGTCGAGAGATTGCGCGGCAAGCAGAAAAGCTGTCGCCGTATACTCCTTCATATCAAGTTGCACGAAGCCTGAACCTGAACTCGCTCGCGCTGGCCAAGATCACGTCATCGTTTTCTGTGCGTGTTGATGATGCCAGGGTCAATCTTGGGTTGAACCTCAAGTTTGAAGCGAAGAAGTTGAAGGTGCTAGGATATTCGAGAAAGAGCGAGAGTGGATGGGAATTCAGTCGCGCGGCGGTGGAACTGATCCAGCAGTACATGATCAAGTTCCCAGCCTTTATCGCAGGGGTTCACAACAATCCACAAGGCGACATGCTACCTGCAACAGCATACTTCCCTGGAGATGAAGCCGAGGCCAAGGCCAAGGTGCGGGAGATCCAGGCATGGCTCAAAGAAGGCCCAATGAAGAACTTTGAAAAGGTCCCTCTGGAAGCAGAACAGCTCGATTCGGAAGTGGTCAAGTTGATTGAAAAAGCTGCCGATGAAGCGCTGAGAACAGACGTCGCGCCAGAGAACAAGACGATCGGAGGTGTTCCACGCAACGGATTGTTGAAGCCATCAGATTCTCAGTGGCGCTTGGGAAGTCAGAAGTTCGCGTTGGGAGACCGAGTCATCTATGTTGCCGACTCGGGCAAAGTGCCGATTGCGTCTAAAGGGACTGTGGTCGGACTTACGCAGACTAGTCGGGACACATGGCTTGATGTGGTATTTGATGTTTCGTTTATGAGTGGAACTTCACTGGGTGATCGATGCTCACCTTTCCGGGGATCTACAGTGCCGACGTGGTCGGTGCTGAATCTCAGCAACAAGCAAGTGCTGGCATCATCAAAAGCAAGCGCCAGTCGACAGACGAACGGATCCAACATCAGGCCTCTGACTGTTTCTGGCTATGGACTGCCAGGCGTTGATGGACGGGGTCAACTTCATGCAGCTAGCGCGCCACCCCCATTGCGAGGATCATGGCGTGGAGCGGTTGCGGGACAAGTCAATGGACGAGGACATTTGAATGGCATGTCACAAGCTGGACAGAGTCTGCCAATTCGCAACATGTCCAACTCAGCGACCAGCGGTCCTCGTGGAAACGGTGCCAACGGCCAGGGATCTGGTAACCGTGGTGGTCGAGGGATGTCAACACATACCACACGAGGAGGGTATGCGTCTGTGGATCGAGGTGATGCATCGACAGGAGTGGTACAGAACAATCCGAATTTCCGGCCACGACCACAAAACAAGGTACCACCACCAGCCAGTCTGAACAATCCGACGTCTGGGTCTCGAGGAAGGGGTAGAGGGCGGGGCGGATCCCGGGGTGGCCGAGGTGGCAGTCAGCCTCAAGGGGCAGCCTGATCCTGTAGATGATGAGACCAAGCATGTGCAAGGACGCCAGTGGTTCCCGAAGCAAATTCAGGAGCGGATGGTGTGGCTGTTAGCTTAGGGTCCAACCCAAGGGCTAGGGTGCGACAGTATGCGTACCTTTGATATTTATGAGTCAAGAAGGTCAGTCACAGATGATGTGCATCTTATCGGTCAACTGTGGGGAGGACGATAAAGGGATTTCGAGTTGAGGTGCGATTGGCTGTTCAGGCTAGAGGTTAGATACGACATTGAACGGGCGCCCCGCAGTCGGGCATGAGATCCACCACGATTTAATTTCTTGATCCCGCTGCCAGGTAGAGGAGCAGAGACAGAGAGAGCACATGGATGTCTGTTTTTCTTGTCAGATGGACAGATGTGATGATTCCGTCCGTGGCTGCATGAGGGTCGGGACGCAGACACAAGTCCTGCCCAGGCGCAGGCAGTCTTGCATCAGACAGGACAGGATGTGGTTGACGGGTTGACCAATGGATGGCACACAGTAGACCAGGCTAGGGTGGGGTGGAAAGGAGGCTGTCGGGGCGTCCTTGGCTCGGTGGATGTTTGAGAGGACGAACATGTATGGGTATGCGTATGTGTATGCGTGGTGATGAAGTTGATGGAGAGAATGTGAGGTCAAAGTGTGCATCTCGTGATATGCATGTCATTTTGATGCAGCATGGGATGCGCTGGGAGGCCAAATGAGCAAGAGCGACTTCGACTGCCACGGGCCCATCAGGCAAGTGCGTGCAAAGAATCTGATTGGCCATGCCTCCATTTTCAGGTGCAAGTGGAAGGAACCCTGGTCGTCCGTCCCCACCTTCCCATGTCCCTCTCTTTCTGTCCCTCTTTTTGGTCCCTCTTTTTTCTCTGCTTGTGAGCCTCTTTCTCGCATTGTGTCTGTTCTCTCTCTCCTGGCTGCCATCCTATCCCCTAATCTTCTCTTCTATCTCATAATATTAATGCCGAGTGTCATTGCCTATCGCTTCCTCGCCAAAAAATCAAAATTTGTCTCAGCCCGTCCCATCCACCCCTCCTCCACGCCAGAATATATTGACTCCTGCCTCGTGCCTTGACTTGTCCTTTCAGGTCCCATGCACGTGTTCCTGATGTTCTGTCACGCATACCCTGTCCATCTGCCCCGTCCTCTTCCCTGTCCTTTGCCCTGTCGTGCCTGTCGAATTGACTGGGATCTGTTCAGTCCCCCACGCTAGGCATTTGCTTCCTGTGTGGACCGACGATCGCTTCAAGTCAGCATGTCGAAGCCAGCCCTCGTCTGTCTCCGGGTTCCTGATGGGAGATTCACATGATTAAACGCCATCGCCATTACGAACGACAGATGTGTATGTGTGTATGTGTATGCGTATGCAGTGTTACTGCGAGTTGTTGATAGTTGCTAGTGTGTGATTTGACATAAGCCAGAACCAGAACCCCCAACCCAAAGCGATCCAGAACGGCTTCTACTACTATTATATTGCCAAACCCTAGCAGAAAAACTCTAGAATCCACTTCCCACGACATTCTCCGTCGAACCATATCCATCACCGGCTTGGAATTCCTTTGTTTCCTTAATTGTCTGATTATCTGCGTTGGTCTCGCTTTCGAGTGTCTGCTATAGATATGAATCGCATTGTCGTGCCGTAGAAACCCGAACGTTCTTGCTTGTTCGGCGACGGTCCGATCCATACACACAGGCCTTCTTTCCTCAAGTCTGATTCTGATTCTGTTCACCTGACCTGCCTACCTCCTTCCTTCGCGAGCTGTGTCTACGTCAGACTTCATCACCACATCTCAATCTTCATCTCTCCATCTCCATTCTCCTGGTCTTTTCTCTTGTCGAGTCAATGATACACATAGTCAAGCCGTGTGAACAAAAGACCCCTCCACGACCAATGGCACGTCGGCTCTAACACTCACCAAACTCTGTTGGCGCAAGCGGACTCGCCCAACCCATATTACGGCCATTCTTGGTAGTTGAATGTGACTCAGTTGCACGCACCTAATCACATCTTCCCTTTGCATGCAATGGATCATTCTATGAATCTTATCTCTGCACAAATCGCTTTTGTGGTAAGTCACTCCCCTGTGTCGTGTACTATCTATGATGAGAATGGCCTATCCCCGTGCTCGAGGTCCCCCGTCCAGAATTTTCATCCTCTCCTTCTTACCATGTTGTGGGGCCAGTTGAGGTCCATCAGAGGACCAGGAAAATATCATGCAAGCTCCATACTAATTCGATCCACCTCGTTCAGGATTGCCAGCTTGCTCTCATACACATTCCAATCGAGCTATATCCTTTCTGTTTGCAACCAATCTTGCGTCTCCTTTTCGGAGAAGACCACGACCAAGATGCTGCCAAAATATCTTGGACGAATCGACACGACTTCCTGAATATTTCAATTACTCCCATTGAATGTTCTATCATTTGCTCTCGATATCTGGCCGATCGTCTGATCCGTCCTGTGGCGGATGTTCTCAACAAAGCTTTTGGGTTTAACAAAGCATCCGGAGCAAAGTCCGAGGTCCAAATCAGTGATGAAGATTACATTGTCATCCAAGTGGACGGGTCAGGCCTTGAAGCAGGCCAGAGAGTATTGGAACTCACCTGTCCATTGGCCATGGCAGGAATGTAAGTATTCGCAAACCCCACCGCGGGGCCACTCGGCTACAGCCTTGCCTATGCTCATTCGTCTACAGAAGCATTTTCTTCATCACCACATACTTTTCCGACTACATTCTAGTCCCATCAAAAGCACGACGAACCGTGACAAAAGCTCTACAGCAACGAGGGTTCATCTTTTCCCAAAGCGCCGATGCATTCGTTTCTCAACTGTCGCCAGCCTCGCCGCACCCAACCCAGAACCACGCCGGCAGAATCACGTCACCATTCTACTACGACAACCCAACTCCTACCACTCCTCCGGCACGAGACATCCCCGAGCTTCAAGTCCGCACCTTTACCAAACTCAAACGTAACAACATCACCCCACAAGTCGACCAAACAATATCCCTCGTCAGCTGTGCAGGATCTCGTGAATTCGATGTTCAAACTGAGCAGCAACTGAAAAATGACCTTCTCCAAGTCCTTCTTTCCACCACGAGCCTCGCCGCCCAGTCCCCGCCTTGGCCAAGTCAACGACCTGACAGGGAGATAAGCCTCAACACAGACATGGACATTGATCTCGAACCTCCAAACTTTGGCGCCAAGTTCCTGTCTTTGACCATCACATCCAGCGAACCGATCTCGGTACTCCTAGAAGACCGACTCCTGCCACGATTAGGCGATTCATTGCTAGGTGCCAAGTCCGAAGAAGACGCATTGATCCCAATCATTCTAGACCTGCGAGATCTGCCTCTCGAGGCTACGGGTATCGTGTGTGGGGTTGCGGGTCGGCTTGCCCAGGGTGCCAGTGAAGAAGGCGAACAATCTCCTTATCATGATGAACCCTCCACCAAACACAGTCTGACATCATCGTCATTGAATAACAACGGAAACGGTTTCGCTACCCGCACCATCGACATCTCCTTCTTGAGTACCGCTCGTGCTGGCACGGTCATTGTGAAGGCAAGTCAGTTGGAAAATGCGATTGCCGCTCTTGAGTTTGGCATGAATAAGATTGGCCAGGAAGATTAATCGCTTGGAAAAGATCAGTCGCTGGCCGGCCAGGTAGGTGCAAGAGGAATTGCATTGGGGGTATAATTGCATATGACCGGCAGTTGCATGAACGGATTCACGGACCTAAAAAGAGGGGAGGGTGGTTGGCCGATGCAGAGATGTGTCCAGGCGACGATTTGCATCTCGAAGACATGGTCCGGTATGCATGACAAAAAAAGGTGGGGTGTTGGAAAACAAAATCTAGCGAGTTTATCGTTTCTTTGGATCTTATTTCTCTCCATTTCTCACTTATTCTCATATGTTGTCTTTTTGACCTTCCTAGCTTCACCCGTCAGAGTATATCCTAACGATCCCCTCTGCACCGCCGGCAGCCAATAACCCGCGCCTGGCCTGAGCCTGGCTGGCCGATCGCCACTTGACGACACTGACGACCTTTCCGGTCTTGGTGTTGACATTGACAGTGCCAACCGATCTGCCTGACAAGACGTCCCAAGCGTATACCTTGCCATTGGCTTCACTGCCACTCAATACTAGTCTCTCGTCAACGGCGAAACAGCTCCGTAATCGTAAGGAATCGTTTTTATATCCATTGACATCAACATGGTCAAGGTCATGGTCATGTTCTCCCGGTGGTGGCGGAAACGTCCGCAGACAAGATCCATCAGCACGATCCATGAGCCGGATCATACCATCAAGACACCCGACCAAAACGGAGTTTGCGTCTGCACTGAGGTCGAGACTTGTAACAGGACCAGGCTGGACATCGACGGTACAGGCCCCCATACGGATGTCGTAGGCACGTAGTCGACCATCGATACTTCCAGCCAGGATCTCGACCGGATTATTCTCCGGGATGGCCAAACACGAAATCCCATCTTTCGCGTCGTCCAGAACCATCAGAGGTTTGGGATCTCGACTCTTGACATCCCACAGCCGCATCGACCTGTCGTCGCTGCCGCTGACCAATACACTATCGCTTTCTCCTCCAAAGGCCACACACGTGATTCGTCCTGTGTGCCCGCCGCTCGTGTTGCTTCCAAACCGCCGGACCGTTCCTGCGTTGTTCTGAACGTCCCATAGAAACACGCTGCGATCGCCCCCTACGCTCGCAAACGTCTGGTTGTCTCTTGCGACCGCGATATCCAATACCGCGTAACCATGCGCAGCGTATTTCTGGATTGGCGTCGTCGTTGTCGCCGTTTCCGACGATGACCCGGTATGATTGTTGTTATTGCCATTGCTGTTCCGCTTCGCCGGTTCGCTGCGTGATAGGTGGATTTGTCGGTCAGACGATCCTGTCAGGATGTATGTCCCGCCGAGCGAGGAGAATGTGATCGCATTGATGGCTCCCGTGTGGGATGAGATGGTTGTCGTAAGGGTTGACGGTAGTGTAGCTGTGCGAGATGACGATGAAGTCGCCATATGGCTGATCTTGTTGTTGTGTGTCGCGTCTGTTGGGATTGTCTCGACTGCGCTGCGCTCTGGTGTGATGCTGGCACCACAATGTCATCATGGACTTACATGACAAGACAAGGTGAGACTCAGAGGTGAGTCGCGATTTTAGCTGACTTACCGTCAACAAGACATCATCCTTGAGTTCAGAGGGAGTAGGGTTTGTTCAGGCACCTTCGGCGTAGTACCTTTGATTGAAATACGAAGTCGATTCATCTACAGCATTTGCGGATTCGAGATTCAGCAATTTGGAGAAGCCCAGACCGTGCAATACTCCACGCTGCTTTATCTCCACATGGCAAAGCCCTCGTCGCCGCTTTAGTATCACTATCCCTATCAAAGTTGTCATGATATGATGCGGTTAGTAGGGTAGCTGTTTACACTCTTTATTCTGTATCTATGGTCATGTCTAGAACAGGATGACTAAGAAAAGGGCTCATTGGATTAGCTAGGCGAAATCCCGCCACGTGATATATTGCCGGATACGTTGCCGGCGATCCTGTGAAAGGGTAGACAAGCAGGGTAGCCCATTCACCCAGTCATCATCTACCACTTTATACTGGCATGGCTCCTTTATTCTCATCTTGGTGGTTTACCTTTGCCTTTTATGTTTGCTTTTCCTTCTGCATCGCTACTCACTCCGCTGGCCGTGCCGCTGTCTGTTCCACCACCGGCGAGTTTCTTCTTCTGCCTCAAGGTCTGTCCCTGTCCCTGAAACCGTGGTTTGGACTCGTCTGGGGGAATCGGCTCGCCATTTTCGTCTCGTTTAGGTACAGGTTTGATTTCATAACCGAAGAACAACTTCCCCGGTGGTAGTCGAAGCGGCTGTGGGCCGTTGGTCTTGCGTAATGGTGGTCTTCCAGGCGCGTTAGTCGACGTTCCAGCTACCGGAGTAGAAGGATTCGGGGTCGGTGCTTTTGATCCCTTCTTGGAATTGAGTTTGTGCCCTGAAGAGAGAAAATTGGAGGAAAGATGTCTGGCGCCGGCAGCTGCAGCGTTGGAGTTTGGCGCGATGCTTTCATAGTTGATGGACTGAGCCATGGTTCCTTGATAGTGCACTGGGCCGCCATGGGGCTTGCCAATCCCACTCCTTGGTGTGCTGGTGCCACTTGTCCGTTCAGGCGGGACATATCCAACTGGCGTGGCGAAATCCACCGACAGATCTGTTTCCATTGTCACAATGGCATGAGAGTCTGTTTCAGGCTTGATCTCCAATACGGCAATATCGTAGGTCTGATCATTGTACTCAAAGGTGAAAATGTCGCCCTTGGTGAGGCACGAGAAATTTCGGAATGCGTTTTCTAGGACGGCACGGGGATCTGAGATATCAAGAAAGGCTGGAGATTGGGGTTGTAACTTGATGAATTTGCCTGGTGGGAGATCGGTAGATTTGACTTGGAGTAGGTCGCCAGGGTCGAGGTCCAAAGTCTTCATCAACTATGGCATTGTTAGACCTGACACAAAGCCCTTTTGCAAAGATGGAGCTTACCCATTGTGGTAGATATATTCTTCCCTCTTCGGCGATGAACTCGAGAACACCGGCATGTGTCTGCTTTCCGGCATTTCCATTGATTAACTGAAACAACATGGGGTAGGCAATGTGAAGTCGTGTTAATTTGTCGAGGGCCGAAGGGGGTAGCAAGACCTTGCCACCATAATTGACGCTTGTTCTCTCGGGCCCGTTCATCATGACGACAGGATAGCACCGGTAATATTCGTCGAATTTTTTTGTAGACATGCCGACAGGCGGGGCGCCGCGTAGGAAGGATGGGTAGCCCATCATATCGCCTTGGTAATACGACTGCAACAAGATTAGCAACTGCGCCCCGAGGTTAAGAGAGAGTGACAGGTCTTACCATGACGACAGAGCAACGGCCAGACTATGGCCAGGGCCCTTGATCTGTCCTTCTTTTCTCAAGAGTGAGAGGGGGGCGATGGCGTTGTAAGTGGGGATGAGTTCGTATCTCGCCGCTGGGGAGGGATGGGCAATTCGAGTGGGTGGACTTGAGATAACGGGTATTTGATCCTGAGATTGAGGCTATGAGGGGGCTTCTTAGAGGATCTCGAATTTATGCTCGAAGGGAGAAAAGGTGATACAGCGCAGGAACAGGAGATGTTGGGTGTCAGCAAGTCGAGGGAGTGACATGCTAGAAGGTGATGGTCGATTCTTGCCTAAAGACTTCAGCCTTGTTGTGGCGTCATTTCCCGCAGCCTGATGTGACTCAAACAAGGCTGAGATTGCAAGGCTGAGGTATCACGGAGACCAGATCACGTGAATTGACTTGTCCACTCAGTGAAATTTCAGAAAGCTATCATACTACAGGACACACATGAGACTGCCGTAAAGAGTCAATTTTTACGAGAAGGCACACATGGCCCCAGTGTAGAAGCGTGAGGAACACCAGTGTTGACGCCCGGCGCTATGGACTTCCAAATGTCGTAATTATCCTGTCTCCCAGTTGGCGATCTGTGTCGATGATTACCAGGATTAGTATCCCTTGAAGGTTCGAGCCAAATGTCCCCCCTCCCCGTCGATGCCTTCTACAGACCTGCCTGTCAAGGTTGGGAAACGATCCCATGACTCCCGAGGCCAAAATGTCTCACCAAATATGAATTGAACCTCTCCACAAGCATTACATAAGGTTTGTGAATTCTACCCATGGTTGTTGGTAGACAGCTATGCCTCTGCACCTCGCGTACTTTTCGCACTTTCTATAGGCAATATCAGGTCTCAGGCCGCTTGATGGAGGAAGATTTCAATCGAAAAACGGCTATATCAGCCACACAACAATACACTGACACCAGTTGCTTGCAGAGAAACCGGAGATCGAAAGACTGTGGATGATGGGTGCACTGCTAGGTCGACTTGGGGCTCCCGAAGACTTCGCAGCACCAGCAATTTTCCTACTGGGTGATGGCAGTTCTTTCATGATAGGAGCCGATCTTCGAGTCGATGGAGGACACTGTGCATCAGCTTGAGAGCCGTATTGCCGGGAAGAGCGTATGCAAAGATATCACTTTGGGCTTTTTCAAGACCAGTATCCCATTTACATGTTACTGAGTCTACACTGTGAAGCATAATGCAACAGTAATCCCACTACACATCGAGATTTCATGTCAATCGGACTTGCCCTGCCCGAAATCTATGGTGAATAATAGTTTCCTTTTTTTCTGGTTATGTATATCTCTATGATTGAGTGAAGAAGATCTTTTTAATGCGACGATTTTATAGTATTATTTGAGTAGAAACTTGGACGCTTATCCTTTGGTTCCTTGCTCGCCAGCATCTCGCCACAGTCAAAGGCAACATTAGGGTTTATGCGTATAGTAGTCTCCCCGTTGACTGACCATCAATTGTGGTTGCCACTACCACCACCATTGAGAGATCTTGATCGGGCATATTGAGCGGTCTGATGAAGTCATCCACAAGGACTGATGTGATCTCTGCAGTAAATGTGAAAGAGCCATCGTCCGCTACTGCAACAGCGCCGACGCTCTCTCCGTCAAGGTACACCTCCAGAGACTCAAGACGTGTGGTCGACACGGTTCCTGATATCTCAATGGTGTCTGGACCACTTCGAACTGCGTCTGATGACAGTGTTGGTGGCTGCCAGCCTCGATACGCCTTCTTCACGCGCTTCTTCGAGATAAAATCGGTCGGAAGCTCCGGAGCTCCTGGGGGTGCAATTCGAGCTTGCCGCACTTTTTCAAAAGCATAGGCATAGCTCAAGAGGGCACTATCATCGTAAGCCTTGGAAGCAAAGGTGATATCGATTGGCATCTGGATATCGCTGATAATGCCCATAGCGACGCTGACAGATGGAACTCCAAACTTGCGGAGTACATTGTTACCGCTAGATCTGGCCACGCCATTTCGCCATCCTAGCGCTGCGCTGGCGTTGTTGACTTCCATATCTTCTGGGCCAATATCTCCATTCGCTGGAAAAGCAAGCATATCCAAGGAATTGGCATCCAACCAATCCTCAAAGTTCGTCTTACGTAATTCAGTGACCTCCGTCAAAAGTGTCTCAAGTCCTGGCAACTCATATGTTGGGATTCTGCTTTCGTTGATGAAACCAACACTTCTTGCGTAGTTCACTGTTCGATTGCCTCCGAAAACGTTACTGTACCTGTCCGGCACCAACCCGGGAAGGTTGGGGAAGATGAGGGAGGGATCAGCATCGGCAAGAGTAGTTATAGTGTTGACATCATTGTTCATTATCAAGAAGTCATCCCAGGCATATGCGGCCAATTCGGGAGGAGTCGGTGCCCCTTGTTCGGCTGGCAAAGGATAGTCACTTCCGACCGTGTTTGCCAAAGGTGGGATTTGATACCTCGTTGCCAAGGGAAAGTCAACCTCGACTATAGTCGCGCCGAGGCTTTCGAGAACTGGAACTACCTCGTTCCAGAGTTCAAGGACAGTGGGACGAATATAGACAGGTACTGCATCCGGATCGTCGCCTCCAATGAACATCTTCGGAACTCCGATGGTTTTCCCTCGAAGAGCGTCTGGGTATGCAAGCGATTTGAACGTTTTCGGTCGCACATCCTCAGGAGCAGGAATCGGTATCCAGGGTTGGCCGCGCCAGAAATCACCCACTGTTAGATCGTCTGTTGCAACGATCACATCCAACAGAGACATCATATCCTCAACAGTTCTCGTGTAGGGGACCACGACATCGAGCGCCGGCTGGAGTGGCCAATTACCTCGGATGGACAGCATGCCCCATGAGGGTGTATAGGCCACCAAACCGTTGTTTGACGCAGGGCTTCGGCCAGAGGATACGGTTTCCTCTCCCATGCCAAACATAACTAAGCTTGCGCCGACTGATACACCACCCCCGTTGGATGATCCAGATCCCATAGCGGCTGGCAAAAAGTTCGGGTTGTAAGGGCTCATTGCCTTGCCGTGGACACCTCTCTGCATGCCTCCATTTGCCATGGGTGGCATGGTGCTCTTGCCAACCACAATACCCCCGCCTTGTTTAATCCGGCCGACGGTGAAGGCGTCATGAGTGGATGTTAGGTTTGCGAATGCAGGCGAACCCGAGGCCACGGTGACTCCTTCCAGCATGTAGCTGTCTTTGACGGAACAAGGAAGACCATCAAAATCCGAACGGATTTTGCCTCCACTTTTAGCCCGTAATTCATCCGAACGCTGTGCTTCGTCGAATATAACAGGATTGATTATAGGGATCGCATTCAGACGGGGGCCTCGACGATCATACTGTGCAATACGATGTAGGTGTTTAGCGAGTAATTGGACCGCATTGACCTGGCCAGCACTGAGAGCACCTTGAAGGTCCTCAAATGTCGCTTCGACTATACTTAGTCCCTGGTTGCAATGTCAGCTCAACGACCCAGAGTATGAGCCAATGCTTCGTCTGAGATCTAAAACGTACCGTTGATGAACAGGTGAATAGAATGAGAAGAAGAGTCAGGGCATTGAGGGTGCTTGACAAGCTTCTACATGCCATTTCGGAAAGCATCTTGGCTATAGACGTAGGATGACTCTGCACAAAGGCTCCTCACTTCTCCCACTAAGGTTTGCAACAAGGGTGTCCTTTGGACAAAAGCAGCCGTCTGCTGCAAGGGCAGTGCCTACTTATAGACTCAGTCGAGGCATGAAATTACACCATCGCCTTGTTGAACGCTCGTCCCGATAGATTGGCCCTTCCACGCGATATATGCTTGCCCAGCCTCTCACACAGCCGGTAGACAGACCAAGCCAAGGGCCAAAAGGAGACGTTCCTTGCGAGGTGAGTACATGTTGAACTGTACTCGTGGCTGACGCGGCTCTTACAATCCACTGCCCAGTCGATCCACAAAATCCAAGTCAATAGTACAGCTGTTGAAGTGTTGGGGGTTTTATAAAAGCCCGATGCAGTTCGAGGAGCACTGCAGACGGCACAAGAAACCAAATATCGAACCAAGATACCAGCCGTAGGCGCCCCATCGTTCGGATCTATCGGCATGGCTCAACAACATCAATGTCTGGATTTGGATACGTCATGTTGGTTGGTGTGTCGATGACCTTCGGAAAGGCCTTCGCAGGTGTATTTGCTGAAGTAGGCACCATTTTGGGACAATGGCGCGAATGCAAGGCGAGCCAAGCTGGTGAAGATGCCGTGTAGCCAAGGTTTTTTTAACAGGCTCGATGCTTCTATAGAGTTCGGACGACCCAATAGGTGCTAGAGAACATGATTGGGCAGACTGCGACAGAAAGGTCCACGATCAACCCATTGATTGATTGACTACCAAGTAATTAGTATCTAGCAAATGCATCTCATCTCAATGCTCTAGCAGAATGGCATTCTGCCCAGACGTACCATTTGTATCCATCCTTATCTCCGCGATATAACCCGTTGATCTCCACGGATCTGGGCGCACGGCCTTTCATCTTATCGGAGCTTTTCGAGAACTGACAAAGCATCACTTCCTGGTGAAAAGATGCAACAGTGTGAAGAGAAGAATCTTATCATGTCTAAGCCATCGCATAGGGCCCAGTCTCATGTCCCTGTTGAAACGTTGATCTCTCAACTTTGGAATTCTTTGGCTCCAAGTCCTCACATTACCCTAAAGATTATACTGTCGTAATGTAGCGACTTTCGTCGATGTCTCATCGAAATGAAACCCCTCGCGACATTCTGACATATGCGCTAATTGCGACACTCGGAGGATATGATATCGGAGTTCGGAATGTCGCTCAGTATCTGATGTAGATATTTCTTGATAGCTGAACAAATAATTGCCCTTATCTATCTGCCTGCCTAGTTAGGTAACGTTTGGTTCATCGCGGAGGCATCTTGGGCGGGTGGGATTTCTTGGCACTTCGGGGAGCGGGGATTTGTTAAAGCAGCATATATGGAATCCGGGGCAGTTTTCCCGGGACTTTGGAGTAGGAGGAAACGTGACCTCCGTCAGAATACTGAAACACTCTCAACCTCTTGTCTCCTCAGATTGCAAGCCGCATGCCTTGTAGTTCTTGGTCGCCATGTGACCTCTGTTGTTCACGGCATAAATTATGTCGTCCATGACCTCAGAGGATGCCTCGAGCAACACAAGAAAGACCCGTGGTCGATCTGGCTGCTTTATTTGTCGAAGGCGAAGAAAGAAATGTAGCGATCGACACCTATTCCAAGGTGCACAATCTTACGCTGGTTATAGGCGATGAGAATAAACCTGTCTGCCGCAGATGCCAAAAACTGGTGGATGACTGCCAGTGGCAGCCTGCATATAACTTTCGTCTCAAGGCTCTGGACGCGGGGCATCCTTCAACGTTGCAAGCTAAATCTCGCAAGAGAGGCAATCAAAATGGCACAAAGGGATGCTGGCCCCTCCTTCGTAGTGATATAGCGCGTTAATTTCTGAGCGTATCAACAGATAGTTGATGTGTCATTCACTGAAAATGGCTCGAAACGAACTAGACGAAGGACAAACTTGAGGTCCCAGCATGAGTCAGACCATCATAAGGAAACCAACATTGACACACAAATACATGAAGACGTCGGCCCTCCTTCTCCAGTTGACATGGCTAAACTAAGACTCACTCCCATCCAAAGCAATGAGGCGGATTCAGGGCGTCACGTGCGAAGAGACATCTCGACGCCTTTGAACATACTTGAACAAAGATATGTACGTACACAATAGATACAATGGCCAAAATGCCTCGCTGGTGATGGTTCAAGGGTTAACGAACACTATGATATACCACTGTAATATTCCGTACCACCCAGGCACACCTCCGGGTTAGTTCAAACTTCCAATTGTATTGTATAACCATTCATGTCAAACGACCACCGGTTGAGTCAAGTCGACCCTTTCCAAATCGACACCCGCTTCAGGCCAGCTTACAATCTCATCCTAGCATCTCTCTCCTTATCATTATCATTGATCCACTCAAAATCGTCGCCTAGGTATTTCTTGGCCCTTATATCGCCGGAACGAGCATGACCTTCGAACTGTTCTGCACGAGCGGCCCGCCCACACAGACGACCGAGTTCACCACTGGCCTTGGTGGATCGCACTTCCTGGTATGTAGCTGTGCGCAGGAATTTGCCAACCCACAGGCCACCAGTATAGCGACCAGCTTTCCTCGTGGGTAGGACGTGGTTGGTGCCGATGCACTGTGTTCCCAGCAAAATCAGTATCATGTGGAATGACATAACAAGAGGAAAGGGGAGCTGAATAGTTACAACATACCTTGTCGCCATATGAAACGCAAGTCTCCTCTCCGAGGAACAGAGCACCATAATGCTGCATCTTACTGAGAGCCTGTCTGGGGTTCTTGGTCAAGATCTGGACGTGTTCGGAGGCATAGTCGTCTGCCAGGGCAAAGGCTTCATCTAGGGTGTCGGTGACAGCGACGGCGCCAAAGTCCCTCCACGAAGTGCCAGCGAGATCTCTGGTGGTGAGATTCACCAACAGCTTGTCCACCAGCTCGATGCTCTTCTTGGCCACGTCTTCCGAGTTGGTGATGAGGACTGCTGGCGTGTCAGGACCATGCTCGGCCTGGGATAACAGGTCGGTGGCAACGATATAAGGGTCAGCGTGTTCATCTGCAACAATGAGAACTTCGGTCGGGCCTGCGAAAAGATCGATGCCGACTTCTCCAAACAGCTGACGCTTGCCTTCGGCAACAAAGGCATTGCCGGGCCCCGCGAGGAAATCCACGCTGCGGATGGTTTCTGTTCCTACAGCCATGGCGGCAATTGCCTGCACGCCTCCAAGAATGTATATCTCGTCCGCGCCGGCGTAGTGCATGGCGGCAATGGTCGCATATGGCAGCTTTCCCATGATGGGAGGTGTGCATCCGATGACATTGGGTACTCCTGCGACCTTGGCTGTTAGGATGGTCATGTGTGCTGATGCTAGCAGTGGGTAGCGTCCTCCTGGAATATAGGCGCCGACACTCTCAATGGGTTTGTTGGTGTGTCCGAGAAAAACGCCCGGCTGGATCTCAATCTCGATGTCCTTTAGAGCAGCTTTTTGTGCTTCAGCGAATTTGCGTACGTTGGCTTGGACTTCTATGATATCCTTGATGGTCTGTTCGGGCACCTGTTTCAGCGCGTCCTGGACATCACTGGGTGATAACTTGAATGATGTAGGCGACCATTTGTCGAATTTTTCTGAGTATGTTCGTACTGCCGAGTCTCCTTCCTTGCGAATGGTGTCGATGACGTCCTTAACGATGCTGGCGACGTTGTTTGAGGGTTGGTTTGGTGTTGCGGCCTCCTTGGCAGGCTCTTTCAGATATCGCGGTGCCATGGTGAAGCGGATTTGGAGTAAAAAGTACCAGTGTTATCAGTCTAAATTAAATAAATGTCTCTTTAGAACAAAGAGAACATGAATCGCTTATGTATGCGTCGAAATCAAATCACCGTAATCAGGAGAGGATCGGTTTGATGGCCACCGGAAAATGATATTATTTTCTGGGGAATATGACACCAAAGCGACACAAGGATTGCCATGTATCTCCATTATATAACTATCAAGCCTAGAAGTAAGCCCAAGCCTGATGAAAAGTGTCTTCGGATCCGCAACCCCGCGTTTGTAACCCAAGAGAATCGAGATGCATCCATGTCGGAAGCAATATACATCCAATAGCCACTGATCTGGGGATGGAGACAGGGACCGGACCAACGAAAGGCTATATCAAAGATCTTGTGCGATTTCTGTTCAAGTGCCGAGGCAAAATCCCCACGTTGTTACGGACTGACATTCTCCAGACGGGAGATGTCAACACGGAGCTTGAGATCTCCGCGCACGCCGCCGTGCCGCGTCTCCGCTCGATGCCATGCCCATGGAGCCTTGGAGCCTTGGAGCCTTGGAGAGGTACTGGGATGCTCTCCACTGTTGACGTTATCTGGGCGTTTCACAGCGAAGGATTGATCGGACTTGTTACCGGCGCAGCGCGTTGGTGGAATATCCGTGCTGGTGACAGGGCATTCAAATGTCGTCAATCTGAAAACCCGGTGGATGTCCTTATTGAGAAATGCCATGAACAAGAAACCCTTGGGACCCTGGAAGGTCGAGGCCGCGATTATTAAGGCTAATGCATCTAATAAAGGTCGGGGTGGGACTGCTTCAAGTGTTTTATTATTGTCCCATGCTGATGAGAGTTATTTCAAAGTCTCGCTAGGGCTGGATGATATTACAGGGAAAGTGTCAGACAAAAAAGTCCAGAATAGGCCTTGTTCCTGTTTATCCTCTAGCTGTGGCCCATAGACACTGAAAACGGCGTCCAATGTGTTCGTTCTACTACATATCCTATTATAAAACATTGCCATTGTTGATAAGTACAGTGTTGACGGTGACGCGCACCATGAACTTGTCAGCCCATTGTCATGTTGCGCGATAGCCCAATTGTTCCTCAGACACTATTCTATATGAAAGAACTACGAGTTTTCTATGACGGTATGATGTACATGATGGACTAGAAGGTTTATCTTTGCTGGAAGTCGATTCCATAAAGTGCCATTACCCATCAAATGCTTCACTGAACTCCCAATGACGTACTTTGCAGTAATTTATTTCCAACGACGCCGGTGCCATCTCCACTGCATCGACTTCAACATTAAGCCCCTTCATCATCACCTCGTCTCTACAAGGATAGAACGCGTGTTTTCTCTCCTCCATTCCATTTTGGCTCGACGCTGAAGGCCATGCGTCGCAGACTCAAACACTGAATCTACAAAGTACCACCAGAACTCCAGCTGCGCATTCCCAAAATCATCAAAAGCTATAACCCCCTCTCCCTCCTCCAAAATGTCCTCGTATCCCAAATTCACGAAGTCAAACAAGCGGGCGCTTGCCGAATCATACATCCAGCAGAGTCAATCTTCCAATGCTAAGAAACCCCGGTTCGACACACGCAACCCATCTGCTCTGGCGGCGGGCCCCGATGACGCGCTCGATGAAGAAGATGAAGCGGTTCTCGCAGCGGATGTTATCGGCCCACGAGGTCAGCAGGTTCGGCGTGGCGCAGTCAACATTGATGGCTATGACTCAGACTCGGATAATGACAACTTCAATGCGAGAGCTGATGAACGGGCTAGAAAAAGCAAGGCTGAGGAGCAGGCGGCTAAAGCCAAAGCCAAAGCCGAGTCGGACGACGACAACGACATGTTTGCAGATCTAGAGGAGGACTTCAAGGACGGAGAACGCAGTGGAGACGGAGACTCGGACGAAGATGGATTGGCCCCGAGGAAGAAGAAAAAAGCGGTCAGGTTCCTCCAGGCAGACCAGATTGTGGGACAAGTTGAGACTTCCAAGAGCGGAGGCCACGTTTCGGCGGATTTCAGCCTCAGCGCCACGCAACGTGGCAAAGGTAAAGGCCGGGCTGGAGATATTGAGGATCAAGAGGTGGAGAGTAGTAGTGAAAGTGAAGTCGACGATGCAGTGCGCGCAAGTGTCGAAGATCTCGATCCGGAGCTCGGTGCAGGGTCGAAAAAGACGCACGCTCCGAAACTCGATGCCTTCAACATGAAGTCAGAGCTTGAAGAGGGTGGCTTTGACGATCAGGAGAATTACGTCAGGAAAAAGGTGGACCCGGACGCCCAACATGATGTCTGGCTTGAAGGCTTGTCCAAGAAGGAGATGAGAAGGGCAAAGGAGGCAGCTGACCGAAGAGAGATTCAACGCCGGGAGCGTGCCTTGCAGGACGACGCCGTCTCGTCCAGCCAAGTCTTGGCCACGTTGATTCCTTTACTGGAGAAAGGCGAGACCATCCTAGAATCTCTTGCACGTCTAGGCAAACGCAAAGATAAGAAGCCCAAGTGGCAGACAAAAAACAAGAACAAAAGGCAGAATGGCACGACTACACAACACCAGTCTCCGCCCGAAGACGATGTCGCGGACAAGACACGACGACAACAGATTGAAAAAATCACCGAAGCCGCCGATGCCCTCCTCACACGAGGTCAACCCGACATCTACGACTGTGAAAGGGAGTTACTCGTCCGTCAGTACAAGAGAGAAACTGGTGAAGATTGGATTGACGCTACACAGCCCAGCGTTGACGACGACCTCGAACCCACTGAACAGCTCTGGGAATACAGGTGGACCGATGCTCGAGATGGTGGAACCATTAATGGTCCGTATGATGCTAATACCATGCAGCAGTGGAACAGTGCTGGTTACTTTGGTGACGGCGTCGAGTTTCGTAGAAAGAATGTGGGCGACTGGACCAGAGTTGCAGAGTTCGCCTAATTTCAATGTCCCATATTCCGAATAATTGACTTCCTAAGCATGGAATATTCCAGCCTCAATCCGACCTTTGCCGCTCAATGTGGATGCCTTTGTGTGCTGGAATGTCATGACGCGCCAGTTGAGCTCCCTCCTCCAGAAGAGTCCATAGGCAAGATTCTTTTCCCCTGCTTCAGAAGTCAGACTGCCACTTCCTTTCAATCGATTTGCGAGAACACAGGCTCGGAAGCGTGAATGAATCATGGCCATGCCGCAGCACACACATGGTTCATGCGTGAGGTAGACATCAAGTCCACTGCAGAGGTAACCCTCATTTCGAGGTCCAGACTGCTTGCTCGGCATATCCGTACTGGCAACATCGGCGAGAGCCACGTTGCCAATGCCCGCGGTGATGTCTTGCAATACTCCATCGTCATCTTCGTATTGCTGTTCGATCGGAGTCAGAGCCTGACCGGAAGGAGTTTCGGTGCAGGTAGCCAGGAATCTGGTATGGGTTCCAGCCTTGATGCGGCGTCTTAATTCCTTGTTTGCTACCATTGCAATGACCCTCATGAGGGCATGATACTCGGGTCTTCCTTCATGATTTATGGCTTTCAGTTCGTCTCGAGCAGCGTCGTCGACCGTTGCCCAGCGTGCGTCACCAGCGACAGCAACCACGTTGCCAGTCTCAGGATCCACGACAACAGCACCAACAGCTCTTCCATGACCGCCTGCCTTGGCCTCTTCAGCAGCACGAATTGCCAGTTTCATGTACTTGTCAGTGTTGGGAACTTCCAAGGCAGTCCGGATTTTACGCAACTGATTGATGGGTGGAGCATCTTGGAGGACCTGCGCTGCCGGGTTGTAAATGGTGGGCCAGTAACGTTCTGTCCAGAGGCTGGCTTGCTCAGCATTGAGAGGGGCAAATCGTGGGACCACGGCATCAAAGCAACGTGGCAGGCCAATGATGTCAATGTGGGGTTGGAGAGTGGCTTTGATATCGTCCCATGACACGGTGGTGTTGGGTAAGATCAGAAAGGAGGTTTGAAGACCATTGGAGTCGTAGTCACGGCGCCACGCCAAATCAATAGGCAGGTGATTGAGGGTGCAAATGCGTCGAAGATGGCTGAAGGATGGGTGCTTTCCTCCCGATGGGATGATGGGTTTGACGATTCTAGAGGGGATCAGTATGACGATGTTGACGGCATGATTGGGATGAATTGGGACGTACCCTAATGCCTTGCTGGTCAGCTTGGCTGGGATCTCAACCACAAAGGCTTGAACTGGAGAGGTTGTTAGTTGTTAGACTCCGCGAATCCAGATTCAAGAAGAGACTGACTGAAGACTTCTGTAGATCGATTCTCATGGAGAGTCTTCAGAGGCTCGAGAAACGAGGGTTGGTCGATGATAGTGCCATTGTTGGAAGACATTGTGATGCGTGACCCGATGGTACACAAAGGGACGTGAGCAAGGCATCGATGAGGAGGACAAGAAAGATAGAAGAAGATGTTTGTTGAAGAAGGCTGATGGGGTGGAATATCTTCCTAGTGGATGCGCCTTCCTCCTACTCAACCTCAGAGCCTTACAGGGAAGGAGCGAGTGAAATCTGCCTCACCTTGACGCCAGGTAGTCACGTTGCTGGAAAAGGCTTGGATGCTACCGCTTCAATGGCGGTGGCGATGATGCAAACACGGAGATATAGGAGCAAAGACAATATCCACCTACCATCTTCACTCTTTTTCAGGTTTCTGTTGTATGTACAATTGTTGCACCGTTACAAACATTACTACTGTGGAGGTCGACATTAAGGTAGTCCTGCTCCCCTTCGTTTTGCTAGCCTCGCACGTGCCTTGCAAGGTTTTCATGTGACAATGCGTACCCAGGTGGTCTGCCGTAGTGAATACGGTTAAGTGCAGGGGCAGAAGAGTCGTGTGCATACAGGCTATCAAGGCACATTTCAACGAGCAAAGGCATCAGGCACATGTGAACTAACGACGATGGTCATGTACTTGAACATAGATTGGGAGGCATCTACTACATCGTCTGTTTATGGGACAGGACCAAAGCCTGATTTCCCACCCCGAGGCCTGAAAATCTGCAGCAGTCACATCTTGGACATGCTGCAACCATGAAGCATTGTGCTTCTTCACCCTTCATCGAGACTTCAAATTGCGTCATTCACTTGCCCCTGCCGGCTTGGTGAAGCAAAGTTACTGTTGTCCACCTTCTGTAGCCTTCATTCTGTGGTGTGACGAATAAAGTCACATCAGTATGAGCGGCGCTGGAAATGTCTCTAGGCTGACGCTGATCGATCGATCTGAAAAAGAATTACCTGAAATCTGCTGAGGCCTTGGTTGATCTGGCCAGGTTGGAAGACGTCATATGCCAGCATGGCATGCTGAGGGTGACTGCGCCGAAGGTACGTCTGGCACCATTCTGCTTGAGCGACAATGGGCTGCACCTCGGGCAATTAAAGTCGATTTCGTAGCCAGCAGTTTTGGCTTGTTTGCAAGCTGGTTCGAAGGCCATTGAAATGAAGATAGTTTCCCTCAAACTCAAGAGAAACGTTGCTTGATTCATATACTCATGACTTCCTAAGCGGCACTGGTGTCCATAGCATCACCAACGACGCCTGCTCCATTGGTCACACTGGTGCCGTTGGTGCCATTTTCATTGACCGCAAAGCTCACCTCCCCACTATCACTGATGAATTGCTTCTCGAAATCAGTGACTAGTTTGATTGATCGCGCGGGGTCATAAAACAGGCGGTAGCTTCTTTGCACGTCGTCAATACTGACTTCTTTGGCCTTTCGCTTCTGAGACAGCAAAGTCGAAGTGGCGATGATGTTACTCGCATATCTGAGACCTGACTCCTGCCCAATCTTGGCGAGCAGAGCGAGTGCGTCCGGAGAGAGATCGACTTCCTCCTCTTGAGCTCGGATGGCTAGAATCTGAGAGATTTCTTCGGGGGAATAAGGCTGTGTGCTAATGATAACGACACGGTCGAGGAAGTCGAGTGGTAGACCGTGGGGGGAGCGGTATGAGGTTCCGCGGATGCGGGTATGGCCTCGATTACTTGCCATGATGACAATGGGGGCGAGGTCGGCTTCCAATGCACGGTTGATATAACTGTAACATTCGATATCGAGCATGTGGACTTCATCGATGAAAAGAACGCCGGGGATAATGTCGGCCTTACCCTCTTCCTTCCACTCTCCAACCTTTGTATTGATTTGGTCGCGAACCTCGCTCCTGATTTCACCCGTGTCGCCGGAGAACAAGGCGAGGAAGCCTTGGGTTCTAGAGTTGATGACGTCGATTTCATGCAGGCTCACTGTATGAACGACTTCTTTGCGTACCTGTAGTTCGCCTTCGGGGCATTGAACGAACTTGGTGTCGGCGCCCATGGCATCGTAATCTCGTGATCGAGTGTAGGAGCGACCGAGTTTACTGATCTTGCCTGATGATTTGTCAATGGAAATTACGTCGCCAGCCATGACCTTTTCCTTGGTCATGGAGTCGATCATTTTCGTGCCCATGTCGTAGATGGTTTCCATATCGGTAGTCTTGATGGTCAATTTGCCCTGCTTGTTTCCCTGAAGAAGAAGGCGTCAGCATCAATGTTGAATTTTTGATTCGGAAACTCAGCTGAAGGTGAGCCAAAGATGCACATACTCCTGAGACACTGCGGTCGATTTGAATCTCAACAACCTCCCCTTCGATGATTTCGCTTTCCTCTTTGATTCTGACGCCAATGGACTTGCGGAAAGCTTGAGTGAGGGCTTCTGTCTTTGACATTTCAAGTGAAAAGATCTCGGAGGCGGCAAGCATTGTAAAGGGAACGTCGGGGCCCAAGGATTGTGCCATAGCCATGGCAAGGGCGGTTTTCCCAGTACTGGGCGGCCCCGCAACTAGCACAGCTTTGCCAGCGATTTTGCCATCTTTTACCATCTGTAGTATCACCGCCGCAGCTTTCCTAGCTTTTGTCTGACCAATTAGGCCTTGAGACGTGCCCCGGGGCTCGAGGGTGGCCAGGTCAACACCTAGGCCCCGGATATGAGAATGCGCTGCGATCAGATTGAGGCCTCGGACCTCGCGGCTATCGGAGACAGTAGTGATGGCCTACAATGTGTCAGCGTGGTCATCATACGAGACATTGAAGCCATACTGCAGCCATGTTTGGCGATTATTGCGAATGAGGGTGGCGAGAGAGTGTTGGCGCGTGGTGGGCGCAAATCATGCGCAAGGATCGAGTCGGGACTTTTTATAGCCAGGAGAATATGCAAAAGGTGACAAGCGAAAAGGTTAGAGTGAGAAAATGAAGGAATTGAGGTGTTGAAAACAAAGGGTGGACGTGTGAAGAATGATTGAAGTGGTCGAGATGGATTCCGCAGAGAACCAAAACCTCAGAAATGAAATTCGATTCTTGCACAGAAGTCGCGTTCGCGGATTTTTGAGAAGCAGGAACCAACCACATCGCATGGGAGGTAGGAGCGTACAGAGTACTCCGTAGGAGGACAGGACAAGCACGACAAGGTATCTTTGTGGAGAGTTCTAGGGCAGACAGCGCCTATTGGACGCTAAGCACGGGCAATCATGATCCCCGGAAGCTCGCCTCATCACCCAACCATTGGCCTAATTCATTACTCCGTAAGGCAGTTACTGAGCCAAGCAGAAGGCTGAGGTGTTCCCACTAGAGGTGTGGGCTAACAAAACACCTGAGGGCCAAGGGCCGAGGGGGTTTGTTCAAAGGAGCATTCTAGGCAGTTGAAACGCCTAAAGAACCAAGTGCGGGGCATAGAATCATCACTATCAGACGAACAATAGCGGCCATTCCCACATGCATTTGCTGTACTTCAGGTAACGACGGCCTTCTAGGAATAGATCAGTCAAGTGGAACTTGATGTTGTTTATCGTCCATCACCCCTACACCGCAAAAGGACAGTCGGTAACCATTTCAGAGTGACCATCACACCAACAAATATCCCCACCATCCTCTTCTTCTACAGATCCTATCTTGACGACTCCTACCCTACATCACCCCTGTCTTCCCTCTGTACGAGGTGAATTGTTGCATTTCCCAAAACAAAAGCCCGGCCAGGCTACACAACCTTCTGCCACCTCCCCAATGAACGCCCTCGCCCACATCGTCTGTGCAGCCTCGTACGTCCATGCGCAAATCTTGACGCCACAGCCATGTCGTCTGCTGATCCACGGCTGAACCGTCGAGGTCAAACTCAACAGGCCATTTCCAAGTCGCAGCCATCCACAGCTCACCCACAACAGCCCCTAACCGTCGCCCCCAGCTCCGATGTCGTATTGTCCCCCAGTCCCATCACCGGCATCTTGGTCACCTTGATCAACAACACAGTCGACGAATGCTTCGCCCGCAAGAGACGCGACTTCCTCGTCGAACAGTCCAAAATTGCCTCGGCTGGCCTTGATCATGCCCAGAAAAAGTATGGATCTCACTTTCCTCTCGCTAAGGAGCAGGCGGAGGAAAAGTCCAGAGAGGCCGAAAATGCCCGCGACGTTGCAGAGAACACATACCGTGACCAGGTCAAGACCAAAGAGGCTGCCATTCAAGATCTCCGCACTATTATTCACACCTCAATAAATGCGATCCAACATGCGAATCAAGCTCGACAACAAGAAGATTCCAATACTCTTAGCCACCAAGTTCAAGAACTACGCCAAAAACATGAAACGCTCGAGATAGAACATAAAAGACTTCGTGACTTTAGCAACCAACAGGAGACCCAGGTCAAGGCACTTGAGATGGAGGTGAAATCTCTCCAGGCGTCCCAGAGACCGACTCCAGTACCAACAACGGATCCAGATCTCCTGACCAAAATTGCCCATATTGAGGATACACTCGAGCGGCTGGGTGAGAATGTCAGCCAGTGGGAGAATGTGAAGAAAGCGCTTAACCTTAAGATGACGAATCTTGAGGAGTTGAGCAAAACCTCCGACGCTGCCATTTCTCAAACCAAGGAAAGCCTCCGGTCATTGGCCACCAAAGATGACCTCCAAACACAAGCTAAGAAGATTGCTCTCTTTGAGGCCTTCCAAAGCGTGACCATCGCAAGACTTGACAAAGTCGAAACAGCCGAGCCCGTTGCACCTGCCAGTGACTCGGAGTCTAGGGCACTAGAGATTGAAACGGTCAAGTCGGAATTGACCGAGAAGTGCGAATCTTCACTACTACGCCATAGAGAGCACGTGGAAGGTCAATTGTCTAAAATAGTCCAGCGGCATGAACACCAAGACAAGAGAATCTCCTTTGCCGACGCACGTTCTCGAGAGCTTGCCGAGATAGTTTCGAGCCTTAGTCAGACATCACTGGATGATCGCCGCAAGCTTTCAGATGCTCAAGCACACATCAGTGCGCTCATGACTAAGCGACAATCCGATACCACGTTTAAGGAACGTGTGACGGAGCAGGAAAAGGAGATCAAGAGACTGGTTCAACAGCTCCAAAAGGTTGACACTGACCTGAACAAAACACTGAGTTCATGGTGGGCAGAGTTCACTAAGACGGTCCCGAAAATCGAGCCCTTTGAGGCAATGCAGGCACGCATTTTGTCTCTGGAGGGCTCCATGGAGCAGCTGAGCGCCATCCAGAAGCAATTGGCCAAGCTGGAGCACGGCCTACGGGAGTTTGGCAACTCACAAGCAGCGAGCACGGCGGCTCTAGCAAGCCACGCCAGCATCCCAGATCCCCGCACGCGTCAACAACTCATCGATGAGACAATACAGTCAGCTTCCGGCCAAGCGTCTGCAGAAAACCAAATGGACAAGATCTCATCCCGGCTTGACTCGCTGAGAGCTGCATTGACCAACCAGAAGGAGCAGCTTGATCAAGTTGATCGAGTTGCTAGTGCTGCAGTAAGGGCCGGGCTCTCAAACGAGGAGCGTAGAATGCTTGAAAGTACCAAGGGTATTGACCAAAGAATGGAGAAGCTCGAGCATGTCCAGCAATCCCAAGCAATCCGGTTTGATAATTTGACGACCGAGTCACTGATGCGCCGTATGGTAGGATACCTCCAGCCTGTTCTCCCCAAATTCGAGCTGGGCCTAAAGGAAATGGACACCATAGCAGGCCAATTCAAATCCTTAGAGCAGAAATTTGTCGACATCAAAGACTCGCATCAGGAAGCAAATACCAGATATGATGGTGTGGCAGAGCAATGCAAGGCTATCAAGTCTGGCCTCGATGAGGTCCAGCAAAAAGTCGAGCGAGTCGCAAATGGTCAGCTTCAGAAGGATGAGAAATTGGACCAACTCGACAAAGCAATAGGCGAACACGAGACGGCAGCCAAAAAAGCACACGATGATCTGGCCAAAAGATTTTCAGAGACTCGGGATGAAGTTGTCGAGAATCTTCGCGGATTGACAAAAAGCCAGGAAGCGCAGAGGTCAGCCATCTCTGGCCTTGAGGTGACGGTCAAGGCGCTCTCGGTCTCTGCAAAGGCGGCGACTAAAAATGGGACAGCGCCGTCGTCTCAGAGTATCAGTTCTCCATCACAGCCATCGTCTCGGCGAAGCACGCCACTCTCCAATTCTAGCAACAACTGGCCACGAAAATCCAAAATAAAAACCCCCCGAAAGGCTGCCGGACGGAGGGTCATAATAAGTAGTGACGAGTCTGAGTCTGAGTCTGAGTCTGAGTCTGAGTCTGAAACCCACGAAGAGGAACAAGAAAATGATGACGACGAGGCAGATAACGCAGAAAATTATTGGGATGACGATCATATTGGACGAATGATCCAACGCCGAAGTCCACTGCGAGTGCCCCAAAAGATCAATCCCCTGCCGGATACCAAACTTCGCAAGACGCTGGCGAGTGGGAGCTCCGACAAATGGATGTCCACTAAAATACCTGGACCTAAGCGTAAGAGGCCGGAGACGGTGGTTCAAGAGGAATCGAGATCGCCGGCAAGACGGCGTCGGAAATGAGTTCTAGGCCAAGGTGAGCAAGGGCACGGGAAAATGGATATGCAAAGACATGGTATTATGATTTTGAGTGATGGACCCGGACCATCGGTGTGCTGAGCTCACTTATGCGATTGTGAACTTCAAAGGACTATAGTCATCAACAGCGACAGCGATGGAGCTCGGCGTCAATATGGTCTGTGAGGATTGCTTGGTCTTTGCTTTGGGACATTGATCTGAGGTACAACGATGGCGGTGGCGAGTATGGTTAGAGTATGTCTCGTTCTGCCCTTCTAGCTTTCACGAGATACCCATGAATGAATGCATCTTATTCTCTCGATTACAATAGGCATTCACTAGCAAATGGAGAAGATGAGGCCTTGCAGAGAATGGCTTAAGGTTGGATATATACGACGTTCCATCCTTACTCCGTATTCATGATAAACCAATACCAAGCCGGATGACAAAGACATTAAGTTTTGATGGTATCTACTTCAGGTTAGCGAATAATTGGCACTCCAATCAGAAGCTCACACAAAGCGGGTCATTGTAATCAATCCACATGTTTAATTTAGCCTCTCAGGCGCCCAATCCTCCTCCGTCTTCACCAACTTCAAAATCCTCCGGCGTCGCTTTCATCTGGAGTTTTGGTGGATTTATTCTGTATGCCTTCTCGTGACTTTAGCCAGGCGTTGGTCTATCCCTGGTACGCGTGAGATCTGCAACATCATCAGATCTAAGTGATATCTTCTTTAGACGGATCCAAGTATCTGACACCGCAAGATCTCAAGTGACCCACCGCCAGCCGGGATGACCTCGTCCCCCGAGACAGATCCCAAGGCTACGAGCGGGACCACGACACCCAGCAGTCATCAACATGCTCATCATCATTTCCATCACCCGCATGTCAGACGATTGACTCAATTCGTTCATCCGCACAATGGCAAGACGGTCCATGTCTGCCATTCACCGGAACACGCTGGTAAGGCTATCAAAAATAACCCCGGGGTCCATCCTTTCTGGTTGACTCGCTCAAGGATATACCCACTGACAGTGTGGCATAGAAGAGAAGAAGCGAGAGCTATTGGAGCAGGAAAAGGGACTCACCGAGTTCGACATTGTCTTGCAGGGCTCTCCTGATCATGTAGAGGTGAGCATTTGTGGTCCCAATGAGCCCCAGCCTGTCGTGGAAATTCACTCACCATCTTGGTTTAGGCTGTCAAACAACTCCATATGCACCATGAAAAGCGCAGAGATGACCTCAAGGAACGTCATGGCGACATCTATTCCGACATTGAAAATGTCAAGTCAGAGCTCGATTCCTTGTCTGCCGAACTCCATCACCTCACCACCCACGCTGTGTCTCTGGATGCATCTTTTGACCGATATGGCTATTCAGCTCATCTAAGAACCAAGGATGAAGACTCAGAGGTTTCGTCACTGCATAGCGACCATCCCTCTGCGAGCGAAAAACACGCTGATCGCTCCCTCGAAGCATTAAAGTTCATTCGTCGCCCCGTTGTACGGCAGTATTTCCACAAAGGTCTCCTATGGAGGTCCTCCAAAGCCGGCGAGGTCGCGTCCTTTGAATTATTTGTCGACCTCGTCTACGTCGGTGTGATCGACATTGTCGGTGAAACGGCCGTCGAACATCCTGGTGGACTTGCCCTATTGCAATTTGTTATTGTTTTCTCTATTGGTAAGGGTCCCCTGCCCGTTCATGTGGCGTGTCGATGGTTCTGATGTATGTTCCAGCTTGGAAGATCTGGTCGGATTTGACCATGGTCATTAACCATTTTGAGATTGACGATATCGCGCACCGGCTGGTTGTTGTGTTCTACCTCGTCTGTCTGTTTGGGTTTACTACCGTGAGTAGAGGCATTGGGTTATCAGTACAAAAGTCTCATGTGTGTCTACCAGAACATTGCCTACGCATTCGAATCTACTTACACGTCATTAATCGCCTTCTACATCACCAATCGTATGTTTGGGGGTATCTGGTATCTACTCGTGGCCATAGCGTTACCTAACATCCGAGGACCGATGATTGGCATGTCGATCCAGATCTTTTTATCGGTCGCGATATGGATTGCCAGTATTCACGTGGAATGGCCGAATCAATTGGCGCCGATCTTCATTGCTTTGATATTGGACCTGTTTGGAGGTATTTTCTTGGTCTATCTCTTTCGCCAAGTTACCACCAAGGTCCATTTCAAAAGCATCGCTCGCTGGTTCGATTTCATGCCGGCCATCAACATCGAACATCGTGTTGATAGAAGCAATGCTTTTACTTCACTGGTAAGAATGAAGGGTACAGAAGCAGAATTAGAGGTCATTCTAACCATTAAACCTTCTAGGTCTTTGGCTATTCGATTCTCACCATCCTATTCCAATCGAGCGCCTCGTTCGGCATCAATTCCTTCTTTGGCAAAGGTGCTCTTGGTCTGATCCAAGCATTTACCTTTAATTGGTACGAGCAAATCTCCTTCCGCTTAGGATCAAACCTCCACAATGATCCAAATCATGCCCGTCCTAACACTGCAATAGGATCTACTTTGAGATCGACAACAGCAATATACACGTGCACGCGATCCGGCGACATTGGTTCAGCAGTTCGGTGTGGGTCTCGGCGCATCTACCGTTCATCATGGGATACATACTTGCGGCATCGACATTGTCGCAACTAGTGCTTGCTCACGACACTGCAGATGCAGATGAGCACGACCTAGGCCACCACTATGAGGAGCGGTCGGTAGGAGAGATCCCCGTGGCGCTTCGGTGGTTTTACTGCGGAGGATTGGGCACCGCGTTGATTTGCATGTCTATCATCTCGTTCACGCACATCCACAAACGACTGGCACGATCACGGTTGAGGAAACGCCCTCGTCTGGTCATCCGCCTCGGCGTCGCTGTTATCATCATCTGCTTGCCCATCGCCCGCTCGCTTACGTCGTTGGAACTCATCGCCATAACCACCTGTCTGGTCGCCTTCGTCCTGATGCTCGACTTGTTTGGCAATTCCTGCCAGGGTGACCGTTTTTGGACGGGTGGCTGGTGTGACGGGGAAAAGAAAAAGTGCAACTACACGGCAAACATCAAGTTGGGCCGTCGTCGGAGAAAGGAGTTGGAAAAGGCCTTGATCCAAGGTCAGAAATTGTCCATTGCTGACTTGATGAAGAGACATTCTAGCATGAGTAGTTTAGAGAGTGCGCCTAGTCGGGATGAGGAGTGGCAGGGTGGACATTATTAGGGGTTAGTTGTGTTCTTTCTCGTGTAGAACAGGTCTATTGAAAGCAGAGCGAAAGGGCAATCCTCAAAGGGTTTGGATCTCCTGGGTATTGATTGGGACATGTATGACTGAGTGTTCAATTGGAATCTTGTTTTATAATCCTTATCTTGTGTTGATTTTGACTTTGCCGTAACTCCTGATGAGGGACATCCTTCACACGCGAAGCTGGTCCATCCCCTCGTATTCCTCGATCTCCAAGTGGGCACTCGTCGCCATTCCCGATTAGGCATTGGAATCCCTACACCTATCAAAAACCAGGTCACCGCGGATGGCATGGTGCACACCTGCTGCTGCTACCTCGTTCGAAAGTGGCTTATCGGATAAACCTTTGTTCTCGATCGTGGTGGGTTTCTCTAAAGAGATGAGGGGGTGAAGAGAGGGGGCGTGGGAGATGGCTCCGTCGACCACCGAGGATCAGTAGCATAATGGACTATTGAAATAAGAACGGATGGGAAGAACGGTTTACATAGAGTTTATCTTGACCACAGATGGACTACTTAACGTGGTTCGACTTCGACATTTGCCCTTTTGAATATCAAGTTCTCATAATCCGTGCAGCGACGTATCAACCTATCTTGTATTAGTCTTGGTCAATCCTTGAATATCAAAGTATTGGTTGGTTCACTAGTTAGTCGTTTGCCTCCTCGTGAATCCCAGGTACCTTTCAACTCTTCACCATGACGTCGCCGCCACGCGACACGACCAGGGGTTTAGTGCGAGTGTCAGCGACAGACCCGACAACGACAGCAGAGAAAGTGATTTCCATTCTCAAAGACGACGGAGCCGTCGTTATCAGGCACTTGATCCCCTCAGCGGCTGCACACCAGATCCACTTGGACCTCAAACCACACTTTACCAGCGATGCTGGGGATCAATCCGGCTTCTTTCCAAGCACGACACGACGGGCCACTGGACTGCTGTCAATCTCGCCGGGCTGTGTGGACCTGGCTTTACATCCGCTGTTCAATGCAGTGGCGGAGCATTTTCTCACCGATACATTCACGTATTTTGTGGGCCAGACTAAGCATACGTCGGTATCCAAGCCCCAGATTTCCAGCACGGTAGCGTTCCAAGTCAACCCCGGCGGTAAGCAGCAAGGTCTGCATCGTGATGAAATCGATTATCATATTCGCCATGGCCTCGATCGGCCCATGCTAATCGGGTGTGTCACGGCTGTGACCAAGACGACCAAGGAGAACGGCGCCACTATTGTGATTCCAGGAAGTCATCGCTGGGATGATGAGAGAGTGCCTCTGGACGAGGAGGCCGTGCCTGCCGAGCTTGAGCCAGGTGATGCCTGTCTATTCCTCGGCGGTACGTACCATGCCGGCGGTGGCAATGTGACTACGTAAGTTTGGGGCACCTTGAAAGAATGGCTCAGAAAAACTGACATGAGGCAGGGACCAAGCCCGTGAGACAGTGGGGATATTCCTCTGCAAAGGCATGTACCGGCAAGTGGAGAACCAGTATTTCATGGTTCCCCCAGAAAAGGCGAAAGAATTGCCAGTCAAAGCTCAACGATTGTTGGGATACGGCATGTCTCCGCCATTCTGTGGGTTTGTCCAGTATAAAGACCCCATGCAGCTGTTCTTTGGAGTGGTGGATGAGGAGACAGTGGTGCTGTAATGGAGGAGGAATTGATTTGAGGTTGGCCATCTGTGCTGGCAAAGGACGGATTGGGTTTGAAAATATCGCCAGTCAGAGTGAATGATGGTCCCAGTCCAGCCCAATCAAGATTGGTCCCCATATTTTCTGAGCAGACCCTTCAAGATACTCATAGCACCGCTTCTATATCCACCACCAAATATAGCCCAATGATTTAAATGGTGATACGACTCGTAGAGGCTGACACGATCGTTGTATTCAGACACAGGCTCTGTCTTTGGAACGATATCGTGGTAATGAGACCAGAACTGGGATCCAAAGCCACCAAACATGTTCATGATCCCAAAGTCATATTCGTTATGACCATAGCAAGCACTGGGGTCAAAGACAACGTCTTCAATGGCGTCACCCTGCCCTTGCTGATCCCTACCGAGAAAGATTCCTTTCCCTTTGTTGCCCGACCACAGATCGCCATGGACCACGACGGGGATTATGCCGTCTTTACCACCGAGATGACCATCGCCCAAGAGCCTGGGAACGACTTCGTCGACAGTGCGTTGGACGACGGTCCGCAACTCAGGGTCACTTCCATTAGATTTTTCGCCCCTTTCCAGGATCATAAGAAGACGGCGATTCGCGAAAAAGTCTGCCCACGAAGAGGTGAAAGTGTTGTCTTGGGGGGTATCGCCGCAACAGGTGGTGACGGGGAAACCGAATTGTGGCCTGTCGAAACCTTGTGGAATCGGGGCTGGCGACGAATGTAACTTGGCCAATTTCTGCGCCAGCGATAGACCACTTCCACTTGAGCTTCCCGTGGCCCTGGACCTGCCAATGCCACCACCCAGCTCGAGGAATTCTGTCGCCAGGAAAAAAGTGCCTCGAGACCCTTTGGCAGGGGACACCTCACCCCACCCCAAGGCCTTGGGGGCTAAACTGGGAACTGCGTCGTGAATGGCATTAAGTGAAGCATGCTCCCCCTGGAACATGACGGCAGCCCCAGATGATGAGGACGTCTTGACAAAGATTGTGTTGTTTGGGGTAGTGATGCGGAAAGTGCTGGCGAAGCCAGATCCACCATGAGAGGTGATGGTGGCGGATTTAGCATCGAGGGACAGGGCGCGCAGAATAGTGGTAGGATCAACTTGGGAGGGCATTTCTGGGGTATTTACGGATGGACAGATGTACGAGGTAGTTATAGAACAAAGATCTAGTCCATATAGAGGTAGGGGGAGAAGGATTACAGTGTTTACTTACCTATGGATAGTATGGAGTTCTGTGACGACCAAGCCTTTCACGTGACATATGTTGATGTAGGGAATTGCAGTTGTGATCTCTAAGCCCGCTCAATTGAGAAAAGCGAAGTACGCGAGCCAGAAGCGCAGGTTTGGACGCGAACATGAGGAAAAGATCCAAGTCTGCCTTGCCTTCTTGTTGAAACATCATGTGACCTGGTTCGTCTCCGGTGCATCCGCATTTGATTGATGAGCATAAGTCACGCAGATTGTCCAAATTGCAGTATGGCGACTTCAGTGTTCTTATCAGGGGTGCACAGTCCTGATCTGGACCCCTACTGCTATTATCCAAGTACGGAGTATGCATTCGGCGTTGATTAGTCTTGCTTACCGGCTGATAAATGTACTGTACATAATTATGTAGTAAAGCCCTGAGAGGGAAATTATTTGACATGATGTTTGACCGACGGCGCGTGAGCGAGCCGTGCCAGCAGACAAAAGGACAAGGGTAATCATCATGTGCTGGGTGGAACCGCCAATTGACGATCAATATGCCAGAAACTTGAGACTGCTGCAGGAACCCCTGTTGAACGGTAGCAAATGGCTCGCCTGGGACAAATTACGCGTGACACTGGCGAGCCTCAGCTCATGAACTCGACACTGTACAACGTATCATGAGCCGCTGACCAGTGCATAGTGACTACGGCCCACGAAGCCTCAGCACAAGCCAGGGCGCCGCCCTGATCAATCGCAGTCCCGAGTCATTATGGTCGTGCAAGGAAAGACCAGATCCAGTACGCGTAGACGTGTTATTAATAGCGAATTCCAAGCACGTACGGAGTAATATGACCCGCCGGTCTCTGCTGTCACTATGCTTGGCATCGCGACAGATTGTACCTCTTCATTTTTGAAAATTGAAATTTCTTGACGTTGGTCCTCGATACTTGTAGTTATTATTATATGCGTCGTCAAAGCAAGGCTGCACCCTGCATCAACGCCATCCATGATGGATGTCGACATGGGAGAAAGTTTCGGAGCAACGAGTTAAGGTGAAGGAACCGCAGACGCGCCGAGACATAAAAATACGGGGCAGTGGAGGAAGTGGGTGTGCAATGCCTGTCGTGATGACATCAGCCAAGAGTCAGCAAGCCTCAGGCGACACTGTGGAACACGTGTCCTTGTCTTGTCCTTCTTGTCCAGTCTTTGTCCCTTCTTGGCCAAGCGTTTCAGCCTGGCGAACGCGAACCTGGCGAACCTGGCGAATCTGGCGAACCTGTGTTTTCTTCTCTTCGTCTCCTTGTCTCTTGTCTCCTGGCCTCTCGTAAGACTAGTCAATAGCTAACACACCGGCATGCCAGTCTGCCATACCCGTGCAATGAATCCTCTTTTAGCCTACCTTCTTATGCACCTATTTCCCTATCCAGGCACCCAGGTTGCGTGGGGGGTTCCGGACCACTTCAACCTCCGCCTTGTCATTGTGTCCAGCCCCGCCGTTTATGGAGCCTGAAAGCTTTCATAATCTCAGCATGGCTATTCATGGTTGACTCGATAATAAGCCAAACAGCATTCCGGACTTTCCGACCCATTGCCATGACCAGCTGCTCCCGTCACATGAGGCCCTGAGACACTGGTGCAATGCTCGCATTCATTGGCACTTCTCGGCCGTGACAATTTGGGCACAATAATATGGGGCAAAAAAGTCATCCAGACACCCAAGAGCAAAGCGAAGTGTGGTCAAGCCTTGTCCATTGTATTATCAATGCTAGGCAAGAGGCAGCCTGAACTCCGATTCTTCCGACTCCAGTACCTAGTACCTACATACTCATCAATCATGTCCGCTCTCCATCCCCGTCTCCATCTGTGAGTGTGTGTTTCCCAGTTTTGTTTTTTGGTCTTGTCCTCGATGTCCATTGCACCTCGTCTTCTGTCATCGTTGTCATGAAATTCTTGTTGCTTTGCGCTGCCTTTTTTGCGCCCTGGGCGACTGCATTCTCCTTCAACTCTTATGACCTGGGCTTCCATGGCCTCTATCCACGTCAGCACTTCCACTCGGTCGATTTGGAGCCGCCCGCGCCCAAGATTACGAAGTGGGATTCCCGCTGTGACACTGGCGGAAGCCTCCTCCTCACACCAAGGGGCCCATGGGTGACAGGTGCAGCACGGGGCCCTGTCATATTGGATCCCAGAGGCAACTTGGTATGGATGGGCAATGGTCAGTTTGAACAGGCCATGAATTTGAACGTCCAGAAGTACAAGGGCCAAGACTATTTGACCTTTTGGACCAAAATCAAGAAGAGCCGCAATGCCAAGCACTCCAAGAAATCCTACGTGATGGTATGCCAATGACATCCCTTGTCCTCAATGCTCATCAGTCTAACTCGTGAATTCTAGCTTGACTCTTCCTACCAAGTGGCTTATAAGATCAAACCACATGGTTCCGGCCTCAAAGCAGACTCTCACGAGTTTCGCATCACTCCTCAAGGCACGGCACTTGTCATCATCTACCACAAACGCCAAACCGACTGTACCGAGCTAGGATTAGGCAAGAGCTGCTGGATCCAAGATGGCGTTTTCCAGGAAATCGATATTGAAACAGGAAAGCTCATTTTTGAGTGGCGTGCTACCGACCACGTCCGCATGAACGATGTCTTCAGCAGCCCTTGCCGAAAGGATGGGTACGGCACATCGAAAAAGGATGCCTTTGATTTCTTCCACATCAACAGCGTTGACAAGATGGATAATGGTGACTACATCATCTCCGCACGCTACTTGCACGCCGTGGCCTGCATCAGTGGTAAAACAGGTGAAATCTTATGGCAGCTCGGCGGCAAGAACAACAACTTCCAAGATCTCGATACCGCCACCGATTTTGCCTGGCAACATCATGTCACGTGGCAGGGCAACAATACGCTGTCCCTATTTGACAACCATGCCAACAGCGTCATTCATGGTCCCTCCCAACACAGTAAGGGCATGATCATTCGACTGGACATGGACAATATGACCGCCAGCCTCATCCAAAAATACGTCCACCCTGACAAGATTCTCAACGTATCCCAAGGCTCAGTGCAGATTATTCCTGAGAGTGGCAATGTGCTGGTCGGATTCGGTAATTCGCCAACCTACGTTGAATACACAGCAGACGGCCAGGTACTATGCAACATGCACTATGCGCCCCACATCGCTTTTGAGTTGGTCGACTTTGGCTTGGCCAAATCCTACCGTGTATTCAAGAGTCCGTGGGTTGGAAGGCCAAAGACAGTACCGGATGTCAAGATTAAGAACGGAAAAGCCTACGTGAGTTGGAACGGAGCAACAGAAGTCACAGGGTGGCGATTACAGACGGCAAAGACCCTTGCAGCAACCGATAACGAATATGTGACGGTTCAAGAGTTGCAGCGTGATGGATTTGAGACGAGCTTTTCGCTTGACAATACCCATGACTATATCAGGATTGTGGCATTAGATGCCGCTAAAGACGCCATGGCATCCTCCTTAGCCGTGAAGACGCCTGGCGGTCGGTCGGTAAGTTCTATTCACGATCCAACTTTCCATTGTTCCCAGCTCACTCCAGCCAGGTCGCACTTCAAATTTTCCTGTTTCTGATGCTCTGCTTCGCATTATTGATATCCACCTTGGCCGTCTCCTTATTTTTTGTCCGAAGGGTTCCCGCATTTCGCCAGCTTTCCAAACTATCCGATTTTAGAGCCCGGATGTACAGGGCCACGAGGAGGAATCGGGAATATGACTATGAGACCGACCCTCTCCTCATGAATGACAGAGATGATTGAGCTTTTCTCTCTGATTGTCTTGTTCTGCATGTGCATTGCTCAATCAGGAGTTGTGTGGAAAGGATCAGTTCCAAGGAATTTAGCCTATGCAGCCAACGCAAACGGTCAGATGAGGCGTTCTGAGTTCTAGGGATTATTGAAAAAGGTCGAACAGTGTACCTCAATAGTATCATCTGACCTACCCAGGATTTTTCTTTTCGCGGTTACAGGAGAGCCATGCAAGTTTCAATGCGAGAAATCTCTTGACACGGAAATGATATCCTAATCCGAATTATCTAAGCCAAATGCCTACAGTGACAAACATCCTCTTGAGTACGAGGAGGTAGATTACATAACATAGGGATATACCAGGTATGTATCTGGAGTACTCCATATGAAAGTTGATCTTCATCTTACCTTGAGTGCCTTCCCTTTGCTTAACCTTTTTATCTCATGTTTGGAAGGTGCGACCCCAATCACCAATTCATGAGGCAAATGACGTCATATCCCAAACCTCGGATGTAAGGCCACAACTGGTCGTGTTGATCCTTCTGACCTTCTCACTGCTGCTGCACGGTTGGTAAGCACCAGATGCCCAGGCCTTTGATATTAAATATCAGCTGGGCTCTCAATCCCTCCACGCTAGCATCATTCTTCTGTTCACAGGTATCTGGCCTCTAGTCTCAACCCCCAAAACCTCTAGAAAATGGCAGCTTCCACCCGGGTTCTGGTCTTGGGAGGCCATGGTAAAATTGCGCTGTTCCTTCAACCAAAGCTCCTCGCAAAGAACTGGCACGTCACCAGTGTCATCCGCAACCCCGAACATGAAAAGGAGATCTTGGCCCTAGGTAAGAATCAACCGGGCAGAATTGATGTCTTGATCGACAGTCTGGACGATATTCAAGAAACGAGCCAAGCCCAAAAAGTGCTCGACAAAGTCAAGCCAAATATCGTGGTCTGGTCAGCCGGTATGTACATTTCCCGATCCAAACATGCTTATTGCTTGTTTTGCCTATGCTCTAACTCGACATCCTTGCACAGGAGCTGGAGGAAAAGGTGGCAAGGATCGGACAAGGGCCGTCGACGAGGTGGCAGCCAAGGCATACATTTCAGCATCTCTAGCTACCCCAACTGTCACCAAGTTCCTCATTGTTTCCTATATCGCTTCAAGAAAAGGCTACCCGCCCTGGTGGACTGACGAAGACCGAAAAGCCGCAGACCGTGTCAATTTCGAAATCCTCCCTCACTACTTCAAAGCAAAGGTAGAAGCGGATGAACACCTTGCACTGTTGGCCAAGAAACGGTGGGATAGTGGGGACAAGACATTCCAGGCCATCAACCTTCGTCCTGGTACCTTGACCGATGATCCAGCCACAGGTTTGGTCTCTTTAGGAAAGACCACCGCCAGGGGTAATGTGACCAGAGAGGATGTCGCAACTGTGGCCGCCGCTCTCCTCTCGCGATCTGATACAAGAGGTTGGTACGACTTACTGGAAGGAAAGGACAAGATCGACGACGCAATCGATGCTCTCGTCAAGAATAATCACAATGGATTAGAGGGAGAGGATATGGAGCGAATATATGCCCGCTCCGAGTAGGCACTTGGTTGACGAGTCCAATGCGGAACACCACACGGGTAGCAATAGTGGTCAAAAGTACATTTCATCGAATCACATGATCTTTTGACTGACTCGACTCGCATCCTGTCATCCTGTCATCCTGTCCTCTGTAGAACGAAATAACCGAAGGGAAGACAGCAACTGCCATTGAGCATACTCTGCACGTCCGTAAAGTGTAGAGGGAAGTTATGAGGGAAGTTTTGAGACTCATGCGCCGTGCTTTCCACAACCAACCTCAGAACTCTGCAAGCATGCAACGAGGGGTGAGCTCAAGATCACAGTCTCTGTTGGTCTGGAAGAGGGGCATCATTCCGTTGAACCCTTGTCAGGTCAAGCTAAGTCCGAAGAAAGTCTGGTCCCATTAGTCTTCGGTCGAAAGATGGCCACTTCCAAAAGGCCTCTACTGGCTGATGATAGTCTCCTCCTATCTAATGGATTTCTTCTTCGCTTTCTGACTTCAATTTTCTTCTACATGAATCTGCCCAGCCATCGAAAATCATGTCTGGAGGGTCGACTGTGAGAAAATGTTGTCATAGACGTGGCTTTGAAGCCAAATGCTCCTGTAAGAGCTTTATTGCACCTGCAGCCATGCCCCTAGCGATAGGAATAACCATAGAAAGTCAGTAAACGACTCATGTTGCAGCCGGAGGAGAGACAGATTCAGAAGGGGAAAGACATGGTGGAGCAAGATATAATAGGACACAGACATGTACGTACCACGAGGATTGATATCCTGCTCCTCCTGCCCCATAGTTATGCACAAGAATGCGTCCGTGGTGACGTTCTAGTTCGACTCGAGCGCCCCCCTTTCGAGATGCTGTTGAGTAGAGAGAGTTACAAGTCAGTAACATCTTCCGAGGCGGGAAAGTGGAAGTTGCGTAAGAGGATTGCTAGGATGTCGACTTACGTCTCAAGCCAACATTGTGACTAATGACCAGTAGATCCTTCGGCTGACCCAACTCCGGTGCAATCTCACAACAACGTTGCTTGATGCGTTCGGCGAGCTGCATGTCTGGTTCAGCGGTCCAGTCATCGTCACGGCGGGTACCGCCGATGATGACACCTCCGCCCAAGGGCCGAGGAAACACATGCGCAAACTCATTGCCCCATCGTCCAGATATCCGGATGTACATGCGCTGCAGCGGCTGTGCCGGCTCCGCCACCAGAAGCGTCTGCCCTTTAGTTGGGTATACCAGTTCATCGGCAACGCCGCCCAGCAGCCTTGCTCCTAGCCCTGTGCAGTTGAAAACCGCTGTTGCTTGTGGAAAATCATCCAAGACGGAGTCAATGTGTGTATACGGCTTGCGTTTCAAGATCGCTTTTAATTGGAGTAGTTGGTTCTGGAGCCTGGATAGTTGACAAAGGGAAAACCATGGTGTCAGTATCTCTTGGGCTCTATGAGGGTGGGTGGATGGTGTGTTTCTCTCGAGGACACATTGCAAAAACGTACCAGGATAGATACACGACCGTGTTGATCATGAATGTGACCATGTCGACACCGGCGCCTGCGCCAAGGGGCAGCTCACTCTTGGGGACCTTGGAAATACCACCGACAAGATCTGCATACCAAGGATTCTGCTTGATGTCCTCCTCGCTGTCATAGATGAGTCGTAACGGACACGGTTTGATCCCGCATTCGGGTGATTGTTTCGCCAGTTTGGTGAACCGTCCGAACGTCACTTCGTCGTACTTGGCATATTTGTTGTATGTCGGTTCAAACGTGTGCCAGTTCGCCCCAGCCCATGGCGATGTGTATTCGGTCATGGATGCCGAGCCCGGGAAGTGTTTCGCAACCACCGTCACCTGGCTATTGGGATAGATCTGCTTGAGTTCCAGCGCCGTCGTCAATCCCGCAATTCCTGCACCGAGAACGACAAATTCATGCTTTTCGGTGGATGGTAAGGATGCCATGATGAATGAGTATAGAGCGCCTTTTGACTTCGATGGGTTCTGCCTCTTCTGCTCTTTTTAAAACGGTCGTGCTCGCTAACTTGAATAAATACTTGAAAGTTGATGCTGCAAAGATATCTGAACCGGCTCCTCCGCCCTATGACAATCAACGCAAGCAACAGCTGAAAACGGCTTTCACAGTCAGCGCATTCAAGGAAACCTGTGGCCTGATCGAACTGGGAGACAGAATTTCTAAGAACGATTTCTTGCGTATTTTTAAATATATACTTGATTGGATGATGGAGTATTAATCCTGCGGCAGGCCAGCTCAAGGGTCTTCTTCGTCGATGTCGACCTTATCGGTCTGACCGTTGAAAGGAAGCAATCCATAGCGGGCACCAGGGCAAAAAGCGGCGTGAGCGGTAAAGTCCTCACATATAAATGCTGCCCCGCCCACGTGACTGTGGAGGAGAGGATTGCGTCAGTTTCGAGATGCGAGTATCCATAAGAGGGTTGGATTAGCAATGTCCCATCAAGACTCTTCTCAAGTTGTTATATTATTGTCTTTGAGCATTTGAGCAATTTTTATTCTGTCAGACATTGGCAGTTCGCAATGGGTACTCATCCAGACTCTGACATTTATCCTGAGGCCACTGGAGCAGCCTCCAAGATTGTCGCACAACACCAGAAAGATGAACCAATCACCTTGTACTCTGGTTGGTTCTGTCCCTTTGTTCAGAGGTCATGGATTGTCCTAGAAGAAAAGAAGATCCCGTACAAATATGTTGAGATCAATCCATACAATAAAGAGCCCAGGTGGGTACTTGCATGACTCGGCTGGATGGACTATTGACTGATATTTGAGCGTCCAGCTTCTTGAAATTAAACCCCAGAGGATTGGTCCCAACTCTAGGTGCTCCCCAAGAAGACGGGTCTCAGAAACCTCTGATTGAATCAAACCTCATCTCGGAGTACCTGGACGAATCATTCCCAGACCAGAACCCACTCTTCCCCAAAAGTCCGTATGAGAAGGCTCGGATGAAAGTCTGGATCGATCACATCAGTACTCGAATCTTACCAGCCTACCATCGGCTCTTGCAACACACTCCCGACAAACCATACTCTTTGGAATCTGCCAGAGAGGAATTCGCCGCATCGCTCAAGACATGGATCAAGGAAGCAGATCCCGAGGGACCTTATTTTCTCGGCAAACAATTTAGTTACGCTGATGTCGCTTTAGCCCCTTGGGCAGTCAGATTGTGGGTTCTGGAGCATTTCAAGGGTGTGGAACCTGTTCCGCCACGCGGAGAAGCGACCGAAGACCAAGAACTCTGGGAGCGCTGGTACAAATGGAGTGATGCAATTTCGTCCAGAAAATCTGTGGTCGAGACATTGAGTGATAGGGAGCATTATCTCCCATTATACAAGAGATATGCCGAAGATCGTGCACAGAGTGAGCTAGCCAAGGCTATTCGAGCAGGAAAAGCTGTACCATGATTCATGTGTGTTGATGTCTCTTGCGGCAGAGAATAGATAGGATGGCACTGATGGATACAAAGTTGATATGAGGACTGCCAGATATCATAATATACTCCACCGTAATTTCCTCACGCGTTTCGACGCGTTTTCTGATTTTCTGGCCAACCACGCAACCCCAGAATTTTCTCAGTGACACACTGGTTGATCACAACTACAACATTGTGGACTTTGTGGTGCACAGATGAGGTATGGCCATTCGAGGTGAATATTTCTTCATTGACAGTGGTTGACAACACCTGATCGGCTCATCACAAAGATGCCCCGCGCACCTCGTAGAGCCGCCAATCCGGGCAGAGATGGCACAACGACCACACCCACAAGACCAATCGCAACCAACGCCATCACCGCAGCCATTCCTCCTTTCATGCTTGAGACACCGCCACACGCGGCCTTCTTAACCACTCCCATACCCCCGTCCAACAATCCAGGCCAAGTCGCTGCCACCGGAACGAACGCTCCTCCTCGTCATCACGGCCAACGCCATCAGACACCCACCGACAATGACAACGATGGGCTAGAGACCTCACAGGTCTCACACAATGCGTTAACGGCAGCTACTTCAGAGACGGGACATATAGATGAACAGTCATATCTCGAGTCGATTCAACATGACGCTGAGGATATTAAGCAACTTAAAGGGTTGAGGGACATCTCATCTTTGGCTACATGGACACTTTCATCGGCAAAACCTGGTTGTGCTTTGGCCCAGCTGCGAAACCCAAGTCCGACCACCTTTTGGCAGAGCGACGGCCCTCAACCTCACACTCTGACACTACATTTTTTCAAATTGGTGGCCATAGTCAAGATGAGAATACATCTGGACTTTGAGTTGGATGAATCGTACACACCGACCAAGATGAAATTCTTCGCTGGCATGTCCGAGGGTGGCTTGGTGGAGTTTGGGTCGTGGGAAGTCATAGAAACTACAGACCCTGAGACCGGTGAAACTCAAAGCAGTATTGAAGGCATCAGGGGTTGGATCGACATACCATTGAAAGGCGTTGGAGGGAGAGAATCACGATACCATGAACACGAAGCTGGACTACTAAATGATGACCTTGATGGACAAATGACAGATCATATGACCGAACCTAGGGATGAGCTCGCAGGGGGCGATGTGCTCAAAGCCATGGTGGTACAGGTTCGCATCTGCGAGAACCATCAGAATGGCAAAGACACCCACGTCCGAGGATTTCAAGTCTTTGCTCGTGACACGAATAAGAGTGGAGAGATCCGGACTGTTGTAAGAAAGCCAAGGAAGAATACTAGAAAGTCAGAAGGGCAAGATGGAGAAGAAGAGCGAGTAGTGGCATTACGGCCGGCAGCCTGGATGGATGATCCAGAGATCCGCTAGCATCATCATCAGTGAGTGATACTGTTTACACTTGATCTCTACTAGAAGAATATAGGTAGGTAACAATGACTATGACGAACTCAACGTTCAGGCCTTTTGCCACTGCGTTATTGATATTCCACAATCAAGATCTGGGAGCACGTGAGAGTGAGAGGAAAATGCTGATCAGGAGGAAGGTGTGGAAGATCTATGGCATATCTAGTAACCACGACCTTCCTGAAGTTCCTCACCTTCCTTCATTTCACTGCACATCACTTACTTTATTTTTCGCTTTCTGATCACAACTTCAGACCCAAACTTCAAGCTCTTCGACATTGATCATTGCCGCAATCAATCATTTCCTGAAACTTATCCACAACATCTCTAGGGATACCATGCTCAGCCTCCGATGGTCTCTGCTCCTTCTTCTCTCTTCAGCGATATCCTTACCATGCGTGGTCTTGTTAACACAAACAGCCCCTAGTCCGTTGTTCAACTGCGTCTATGTCCACGAACATCACTAACGCGTTCTAGGGCTCCGAACCCAGCAGCAATGTCAAGATCTCATGAAACATGGTCGATGGTCGGAAACTCTCTTCCACAGGTCCCATCCACGCACCTGGATACCAAAAAACTGTATCCTGCATACTCACACTACTCCCGATACCCAAACCTGTCTCCAGACCCACCAGCTAGCCTTTCTAGGGGACTCTACCGCCAGGGAGGCATTCTGGGCAATAGCGAAAAAATTGAATGACACACACTTCCAAGAATTGAGTACTGGTGTTGGAAAACACCAAGATATCACCTTTACGTCCGGTACAATCATTCTGAAGTTCTTCTGGGACCCTTTTCTCAACAACACCAACTTCATTGAACATTTTCATGACCGGCAGCCCCCCCTCGCTGGAGGCAACACATCTACGTTCATTTTGGGTGCTGGACTGTGGCATATTAAGCATCTCGGGGCTTCCTATTCCTCTTCTTTCTCAGAATCTCTGCTGCGATCTCTGTCATACACGTCATCTCTGAGTGCAGAGACCTTACTGCTTCCCATCTCTACCTCGACCAACCTGCAGGCCGTTGGGAGTAGTTTGCAAATCTTCGATCCAGCAAAGATCAATGAGCTGAACAGTGCCATGAATAATCTTCCCCGCCATACATATCACCATCTTTATGTCAAAAGCCTTCTCGGCGTCAAGAATGGTGGTCCCTGGGTATATCAGGAAGATGGAATGCACCTAGTCGATCATCTTGCAACCTTGCAAGCAGATATTCTCCTCGGCTACATCTGCAGAGGCCCCAATCACAACTCACAACTACACCACCGACAGTCCCGATGTTGCATTCCACCCCCTTCTCCCTCTACCACACAACAGTTCATATTATTCACAGCCCTCGTGGTCTTTATTATGGACATGATGCCGAGAATTTTGAGTCCACTGCGTCGAAGACACGATTTTTTCGCGGCCTCGCTTACAAACCACATTCCTGGGGAAACCATGCAGGGAGGTGCACTATTGGCCTTTGTTTTGCTGTACTGTTTCGTGGCTGATCGAACAACGTTCCTGGCTAGTTCGCCCAAGGTTATGGATAAGGATGCTTTCATCACCCTGCTACTCACGACTTTCGTCCTTGGATTCGCAACGATGACACAAGATGTCTCGAAGGCCAATCCAACTGGCAGTCTGATAGCCGCCCAGCCCTATCAAATTCTGAGCCGAAGTCAAACTGACGAGTGGAAAGGATGGATGCAGACGGTGATCCTGTTGTATCACTTTTTTGGCATGTCGAAAGTCTTATGGTCATATCAGCTTGCTCGACTCCTAGTGTCATGCTACCTCTTTATGACAGGGCATGGTCATGCAAGCTATTTCATTCGAACTGGCGATTTTTCCCTGCAAAGACTGTTGACAGTGTTATTGAGGACGAATCTCCTGAGTATAATGCTTGCTTTTGTCATGGATACTCACTATGATCTCTACTACTTCCCCGTCCTGACGAGTATTTGGTTTCTCATCACATACATCACCCTGTTTCGATCTTCGCAGACCCGCCATATCAGAGACACGGTATGGCGAATATCAATTTCGTGTCTTTGTTTCAGGACAGCTCTTGTCATGGAGAGCGAGGTTCGAACGATTGCCGAAAGACTTGTTCCTGCAAAGCTTAGCCTCCTGCACATCAACGGAAGAGAGCTTGTGTTCAGATTGAAACTTGACGCCTATGTCGTTTATGCTGGAATGCTTATGGCAGTAGTACAGGCCAACCACGAGCTTTTCAGAGGCCAATCCTTGTTGAATAGACTCGGACTCTTCTGTGGGTCTTTTATGCGAATAGTGCCAAATTCCCTGACCGTGCTGGGACTATTAGGTCTATTCATGTACAGCATTCTCTGTGCCTGCTTCAAGGACAAGTATGCTTACAGCCGGTGGCATCCGATGCTATCACCATTTGCTGTCCTGTCATACGTTGCACTAAGAAACTCTCATCAGAAGATTCGCAATCATCATAGCCGAGTCTTTGCCTGGTTTGGTCGTTGTTCACTGGAGACTTTTATGCTGCAATATCACATTTGGTTGTGCGACGACACTAAAGCGCTGCTTCGCTTGAGGCCGCTGGACTTGCTACGAGTACACGGGTCAAGTGGCATTGGATATTGGGAAGATTTGCTCGAAGTCGTCATAACAACGTCGATATTCCTGTGGACAAGTTCGGCGTCATCTCGTGCCTTGTCCATGATTGTGGCCAAGACCATAGGGACTGCAGAAGGCTGCATACCGAACACACAAGATAAGAAAGGTGGCCATGTGATGCATCATCTGCACCAAGTCCTGGGGAGGGACAGTCGTCGCCTAAAGTACAACCTTGTCGTTAAGTCGGCGGTGGCATTGCTGTCACTATGGCTGCTAAACGTCATGTACGAAATTCTATAATGTGTGGAAACATTCCGCATGATTCGTCCAGCAGTCCAGGGGTTTTTCTCCAACTCCTGTCTGTACAGGGTATAGTCGTGACACATCAAAGGAAATGGTGCGGAGATGAACGCGATCATCGACATTGGAACAAAATACGGTTGCAATAGATCTGAAAATAGACAACGGAACAGGGATTGGAATGTCAAGGGCATCCTGATGCACGACATCCGATCTCGGGCGTTTCATCAGCCTTCCCTGGTTCTCAGGCCCATCACGCCTGTCTGGCTACAAGAGTAGACGTGACAGGAAAGAAGCATGGAAGCCTGAAAATGAGTCACAGAAGTCACATTCTAAGGCGGGGAAGATCAAATAGCCCTAAATCCGAAGATCCCGACCAGACCCCGACATGCCAAATAGGCAGAGACTCCAATCACGCGAAGGGGGTCGTACAAAAGTTGATTATCGATATTCAGTGAAATACCATGCTCCCGAGTTCGGCTGGCTGACGATTGGACCAAGAAAACACGGCAAACCATCAATAGAACGGGCCGGCGCTGGCGAAACAGTCAAACATGTAATAGTAAATGACGATGCGGAGAGGAAGCTCCAGGCAAAGACGGCATCTCTTTCCCCACAGAATGATCCACGGGCTAACCAGGTACGCATACGCGTGAACGAACAACAGACAGCAAGACCCCGTAATTCCATAATTCCAAGGTGCACAAGTCCATCGGAGATTTACAGCAGTTTGAGATTGCTCGCCTCTCTCACTTTTGCTTCTCTTTCATTTCCAACATGAATGGCTTCTCTGGGCTTTAAGTACTCGTGGATGGCACAATGAGTCCAGTGGTTCTGTCTCTCACAAATCAGCACTCCGGAGGTGCTTTTGATCATTCAACACAATGGGCTCGGGAGAAAATTTGGACGACACAGAGGTGGCTATTGGCACTGAGCCAGGGGCCATCGCCATCAATGCTGTGAGCGAGGACGAACCGGCGTATGGCTGGGTGGTCTGCATGTCGATGCACTGCATCAATGGCTTTACGTGGGGGATCATAGCGGTATTTACAACTCTGCCCCTCAAGAACGGCTTTCGATAGACTAGCAGCTCACTCATTCAAATGGGCTAGTCCTACGGCATTTACCTCTCATACTACATCAGTAACAACACGTTCGAGGGAGCCAGTGATCTGGGCTTTACATTTGTTGGAGGTGCGAACTTTGCGACCGCCATGGCTTGTACCCCTCTAGTCAATTTGTGTATTCGAAAATTCGGAACCAATATCCCCATGTATTTTGGGGCTGTCTGTTTTGCCGGCGGTTTCATTGCGGCTTCGTTTGCCACCGAGTTCTGGCACTTGGTTCTCAGCCAGGGCATCATGGTCGGGATTGGGACTGGGTTTATCTGGATGCCCGCGGTATGTGTCCACCACAGTCGCTAGGGACGATTTCTCTCTTCGTATGCAGACTCCGGCTGACGATGACATTACATGACAGACACCGTTACTGCCTCAGTGGTTCAGAAGAAACCGAAGTTTGGCCCAGGGCATCTCTGCAGGTGGTTCTGGGGTCGGCGGCATCATTTGGTCCTTCTCCACAGTGCCAATGATCGATAACTTGGGCCTGGGTTGGGCGCTCCGTATCACGGGCATGTGCGCTTTGGTGGTTCTGTTGACGGCCTCGTATCTTGTACGAGATCGCAATGAGATAATTCGTCCCCGGATTAAGCCCTTGGATGTCCAGCTGTTGAAGCGGCGGCAGGTCTGGATGTTGATGGGATTCACTGCGTTCTCCATGCTCGGCTACATCGTACTGACCTTCACATTATCTTCGTTCGCTCTGTCACTTGGACTTAGTCAAGATCAAGCTGGGGTCATTACGGGCATGTTGAATCTGGGCACCCTTCTCGGGAGGCCTTTCATCGGCGTCCTGAGTGATCATTTTGGTCGGTTGACGATCGCCAGCCTTTTTACCTTTCTCAATGCAGTCTTCACCTTTGCCATCTGGATCCCAACCAACTCATATGGGCTGTTGATCTTTTTGGCTATCATTGTCGGGCCGACAGCGGGTGTATTTTGGGCGGTAAGAGTCACTGATGCTGGTTGTGTCTGAAAGTATGGGTCAATCGTCATGCTAACGCTGTCAAAAGACAATCACGCCGATTTCTGCCGAGGTTGTCGATCTGAAGGACCTGCCGTCGACTCTCGCAATCATGTGGTTGACTGTCATGTTGCCAGCTTTATGTCGGTGGGATCCATTGAATTCATAGTATGATGATGCTGACCAAACGCAGTCTCGACAGCAATTGGTCTGGAACTCCGCATGCCAGAGTCATCGCGACCTTACCTTGCGCCACAGATATATGCGGGACTGGCCTATATCATTGCGACGCTTTTCCTACTCGAAGTCAAGCGACACAAAATGGGGCTTTGGGCACGCGAGAGACATCGATGATGAATGAGAAAATGATAGGGCTAGGCTTGTAAGTTATGCGCAGATTGGTAAGGGTTAGCAACTTGTCCCATGGGTGTATACCATACCTATGTACTGCACGGTCAGCACATGGAGCGAGAGACGTGCCATGGCTTGCAGCCTCGGCTGTTCAGTTTATAGACTGAAGAGTATACATGACTACTAATCAATAATGAATATGTAGATTCTCATATGGAGATTCCCTGATGCTGTGGCTGCAGATCCACAAGTGGCAAGGCTCGAAGGAAGGACCAGTCAAGATGAGGGTTGTTCCTGCCTTTCTTCCCTCTTCCAGTGCTTGCCTTCTGAGGTGCAGGGTCACATTTCTTGGCATTCGCACTTTTTCGATTTCCTCCATTCCACTTTTCGTCTTCTCCGACACTAAGAGACGGGCCAGTCCACTCCAAATCCATTGCTACGGCCGAAGGATCTTGAGACAGCGTGGACAGTAGAACTATCAAACAAAATGGCGGTGTCTCAGGTCTGAAAAAGAAAATGATTCCACCATTCTCAACATTTTCACACTCAGACAAGCTTTCTCGTCTGAACAATCAGTAAGTCGTAATATACGAGATACGAAGTCCAACGGCCCTGATCTAAGCTATCTTACTCCACCGATCTGCTGCCCTCAGCACAGACATGGCGGTATATCAGCCAGGCTCCGAATGGCAGTTGGTCCGATCCTAGCCACATGGCATCCGTTTATCAGGCACACCATGCCAATTGACGAGGCATACGGAATTAGTGTCATCCGAAGGGCCGCGGTCTTGACTCTTTCTCAAAGTTTGCATCTTTGCCAAAACTCCTGAAATGGTTGATTAAAATATCCAAGAGGTAATATGTACTGTTGAATGTCTTGTTACGCCACGGGGCAACACCTTTGCGTCAATTTTTGATATGCTTTAATCCTACAACCACTTATCAACTGCAATTCTTTGCACAAATCATTCTTCACGATACTCATCCATCCCACGTCCCGTACTCATCATGCTGTCGTTTCTCAACCCATTGCCATATCTACCCCCATACAATGGACCGCATAAAGTGGGCACCACGGTGTATGAAATCCCAATCACATCGCTAGGGTACGACACAATTCCAGAAGGATTCCCTACATCAACGATCAAGTTTCGAGTATTCTACCCTACCAGCCCAGAAACATCAGATTTGCCATTTGCAAGCTGGCTGCCGGAGCCTCAATCAGCGTACGTGGACGCTTATCTCAAGCTTGCTCGTGTCGGCCCGTGGCTGTCAAAACTTCTTTTGTCCATTCCGCTTTATCTCCGGTCAACCAAAGTCCATGCCTACGAAAATGCCCCATTGAAATCTGACGACCAACCGTTCCCAGTCTTAATTTTTTCTCATGGGTTGGTGGGGGGCGCCAACACTCATTCCTATCTCCTCGGTGAACTGGCATCTCGTGGCGTCATCTGTGTCGCTCTCGAGCATCGCGACGGGAGTGGTGTGCTGTCCCGGGCCAACAACGACGGGGCGAAGAAGGGAGCAACCGAGCAGCCTAGTGAAGTCACGTCCATCTTCTACAAGTCAAATTCTTTGAAGATCCGCCCTGGCGTGTGGGAGCAACGAGACCACCAAATCTCCATTCGACTATTTGAGCTGAGTGCAACATTTCAGGCATTAGAGTTGTTGAACCAAGGAGTTGCATTGCCTAATGTTGCAGAGGGATCTGCTGGATCCAATGTCATCCCAAAGTCCTCTTTAAACCTCCAACCAGGACAAGTGACCTGGGCGGCGCATTCATTTGGCGGAGCAACCATGGTGCAGTTCTTCAAATCACTCTACCATGAGAGCCGAGTCGAACTTCTCTCCGGTGTTAAGCCCGATGACCCACTAAAAGAAAACTCGTTGTTTCTCGTACGGCCTTCCAAGAGCTTGGTTAACCACCTCACGCCATCCACACCACTGATCCTGCTCGACCCATGGTTCATGCCTCTGCGGTCGCCGCGGAGACGAGAATTGTTTGATAAACCTCTTCCAGCGTTTGAATCGACCCCAGCAGATGCCAGTCACCAGGCAAGCACGATTGCGGTGCTGTCGTCTGAATGTGCGTGGCACTGGCCAGAAGTGCACTCGCACATGCCCCAGATCTTTGCGCCAGAACCGCTGAGGGTGCAAACCCAGACTGAGGAGGAAACGACCGAGATATTCAAGGCGTTCAAGAGCCCGCGACATTTCATGAACGAGTCTAAAGCAAAACATGGTGCTTCCAAGGCTATCGATCCCATCGACGAGTCACAACCTCAACCGACCAAAATGTTTGTTTTGCACAATACGACCCACGTAACGCCCTCGGATTTTGGGATTTTGTTTCCTTGGATCACATGGTGGTTTACAGGACAAGAGAAACCGGTGTTGGCTACTGTCAATATTGTTAAATGTATATTGGATGCTGCAGGGTTGAGCAAATTGCAGGTTGAGATTCCAGGATTTGACAGCCCAGAGGACAAGGCACAACTGGCGCGGATTGCATGAGGGAAATTACTGTCTTGAACTGGGCATAGTGGGGGTGTAAATGAATTACAATAGAAGGACAACCAGGATGTGGTGATAGGAGGAGTCTGTCAGGACCGAGTGTTCTTTGAGCCTCGACATGTATATTACTCTGTGCTCTCCCCTAGATGCTTGTGACTTGGTAGTAGAAGATATCAATCTCTGATCAAGTGTTCAATGGTGTTAGCAAGACTGAATGATTGTCTCCTCCCCAGCCTTGCGGCCTTTCGACAAGGCTGAAATTGGTGAGACTGACCAGATCCAAGAGTGAAGCTTGACAGCGCGACGGGTAAATCTCCTATTGAGTCGGTTCCCATTTCCAGATGCAAGTCTCTACATGCACGACAGGTCGATGCAGGTTGTAGTGAAATTTCTCGTCCGAATTTGACGGTTAGTGCTGCTGCTTTTGGAGGCTTTCTTCCATCGATCCATGATCTCCTCCCCCCCAGTCAGTTTCGGATCTTAGGATCTAACCAAGTTCAACGTAGTTTGCAAAGCCGCTTTAGAAATGCTCTCAGAGAGTTCAAGGGGATTAGCCCCTCGGCCCCTTGGCAATCGACATGTGCGCACCCTTACCATCCAACACTCATTCAGGTCGACTACTCCGTACTTTGGTCAACATTGTCCAGCGCGCTACGATTTTATGGACTCGCATGTTTACCTGTCCTCCATTCTGGTTCGCTACGTTGCCATGAAGTGAATCTATTGCCAAACCAGAATCGCCTCGAGTCCACAAGGATCGTTGTCCTTCGACTCTAGGAAAGTTGCGCCGAAATGGCCGGGTTGACGCAAACCCCCCCTGATCGGCAGCCCAATTTACCTCCATTGCTCCGATACGAAGACTACACAGTGGGGTGGATATGTGCGCTTCCAGTGGAGGCCGAAGCTGCGTTGTACATGCTGGATGTTCGACACCATGGCGTGTTTCCTTCCATGCATGGTGACGACAACCAATATACACCAGGCGAGATCGCAGGGCACAAGGTCATAATAGCTTGCTTGCCGAAGAACGCAGTTGGTACTGTCAACGCGGCTTACCTCGTTTCCCAGATGCGCCAAAGCTTCTCCAACCTCAAATTTGGCCTAATGGTGGGCATAGGAGCCGGGGTGCCTGGCCGAGATCTGAAACCAGATATTCGCCTCGGCGACATCGTAGTTGCTGCTCCTCTGGACCAATCCAAGAGTCCTGTGGGGGTTGTTGGCTACGAGCTAGGGGCGGAGACTGTTGGCGGCTTTGTCCCGAGAGACTGGCAAGCTCCGACGGATAGGCGCTTGCGAAATGCCATTGAGTCGATTGAGAGAGATGCGCAAATTGAAGATTCGCACGATTTCCTACAGCATCTAGCCATCTTTGCAAAACGGAATAAAGGCAAACGGTTTCTGCATCCAGGAGCAGAGAAGGATCGACTGTACAAAGGAGATCAAACCAACGATCTCGTTATCCGCCCGAATCGACCATTCCAGGGCCCAGTGGTTCATTACGGCCTTGTTGCATCCGGAAATAAGCTCGTAAAAACTGCTGCACTCAGGGACGCCTTGAGAGATAAGTATGGTATTATTTGCTTTGAGATGGAGGCGGCCGGTATCACGAACGCTCTCCCGGTCGCTATCATACGAGGCATCTGTGATTATGCCGATTCTCACAAGAATGATATATGGCATCGTTATGCCGCTGCTACAGCTGCCGCCTATGCTAAAGGCCTTCTCACGGTAATCGGACCAGATCAGCCCACCAGAAACGGTAAGTACCGTCAGTTCTTAAGTCATTGACCAACTATGATTTAGACCTTGCTTCCCCAATTTGCTGTCAGTCTGTGGGCCATCTCTCTGAGTATACATAGGTGGGGTTGCATTTGCATTGAAAGGGCGAGCAGGGATTGACCCTTTGCGGCCTCGTTGTGACTCGATTTCGAAAAAGACAACTAAGCAGCTTCCCGATCGCCGCGCTCTTTTATAGGCCGATAAGATTCACGACAGTCCGAGTGCAGTACGAAGGAACGTGTTATGATGTAGAAAGATGCTCTAGAAAGATGCTCCTTTCACACCTTACTCATTTTCCAGATCGATATGCGAGAACAATCCTGGCTAACAATCATTTTGCGTAGCCAACTTCGCTCCCGAGGTCAGAGATATCACAGATGGTATGTGGGCTCATCGCCATCGATCGCCATTGACCAAAGTGATATTAATGCGAAGGTAGTGATATTATCCAGTCTTCGGTTTGACAAAATGGACGACCGCTACGAAGAAATCGCTGATGCCCATGGAGAAACATTTGGGTGGGTATTCGACCCTAACTTCACCTTTGTCAAATGGTTACAAGACTCTTCTCCAATATTTTGGATCTCGGGCAAAGCAGGATCCGGGAAGTCGACGCTGCTTAAACACATATTTCAACACCCTCGAACAAACGACCACCTTCAGCGCACTGGCACTAATCAGCTTTTGCAAGGCGGCTTCTTCTTTCGTAATCGTGGGACACCGATCCAGAAAACGCAAGCAGGCTTACTGAGATCAATACTCCTCCAAATTCTCGACGAAGAGAGAGATCTGATCAAGTTCGTCGTGCCTGATAAATTGGAGGAACTAAATCTTTCCATTCAAAGATATGGCCGTCCACTTTGCACTTGGACACTGCCAGCCCTGAAATTAGCTTTCAGGAGTATCATTGAGAGTGGTGGACGGCGCAAAGACTTTTTCATCCTGATCGACGGCTTGGACGAATATGAAAGTGATGGAAACACAGAAGAGGGCTATGAGGAAATCGTGCACTTCATCAAATCTCTTCAATCGCCTGACCCCGACAAACGACGAATCAAAGTCTGTGTTTCTAGTCGCCCACTACCTGTCTTCAGATCGGCACTGAAAGACTATCCACATTTGCAGCTTGAGGAAAAAACCAATGATGATATTCACCAGTACATTGAGACCGTTTTAGGAGGGAATGAAAAGATGCTGCAACTCAGAGAAATATATCCCAGTGATGCGCAGCGATTGATGGACCGAATTGAAGATAATGCTAATGGTGTATTCCTATGGGTAAGTATTGTCGTCCAGTCCCTTATCAGAGGCCTGTGGCGGGGCGCAAGGCTCCCAGAACTTGAAGCTCTTCTCAACAAACTTCCCACGAGGTTGGAAGAATTGTTCAAACAGATGCTTGAGAATATTTCCAGCGAGGATTTCAGTGAAGCTTGCAGGATGTTCAAGTTCGTCCATGCGTCTATCAGCCCGATAACTCTTTTGGATCTTTCACTTGCTAGCGATGGCCCAACAGTCGCTCTCGAAAGTGGAGTGCAGGAAATTGGAGCCAAGGAGAGACAGTATCTTCGTGATACCATGTCAAGTCGCATTGTGGCCAAATGCTCTGGCCTTCTCGAGATTAAAAGGCGACGAGCACCACAAAGTGCTTACATGGCAAACAAAATGGCCCTTCCGCAGGTCCTCTATGAGGAAACCATCCATTTCACTCACCAGACGGTCAAAGAATTTCTTGAAACGCCAAGCATATGGAAATTGATAGAGTATCATGCTGGGAAAGGAGGGTTTGATGTTTATGTGTCCTTGTTGAGTTCCTGTCTACGGCAACTCAAATGCATCGTCCATCCTGAGGATGTCCCCAATCTTACCATACGCAACGCGCTGGGCTATGCTTTTCTGGCGGAGCAAAGCACCGGACAGTCACAGTCTGAACTTCTGGATGAACTTGATATTAACGCTCAACGCATATACAAAGCAATACTTGAGATGATAAGAAACCAGAATGCTTTGAGACCAGGTTCCAGGACTCCAAGCATGAAAACGTCATCTCTCGGATCAGCCAAGATTGGGCATTGGAGTCGATACTCTCGCTCCATGATGACTGAAATTAGAATGGAAAAAGGAACTCAAACCGTGCTTGAAGGGACGCCGCATTATTGCAGGGATGATTTTCTATCCATTGCTGTGGCCTACAACCTTGAAAAGTATGTTCTCCAGGTCTTCCAGCAAAGGGGAGCGCAATACTCAAAGAAAGGGCGTCCACTGCTTTTCTATGTGAAATGGAAAGGCGGTCCATTTACAAACCGTCGGATGGATTATCAGAAGCAATTTCGCCTCGCTACACCAAGAATGGTTGCATTGCTTTTGAAAGGCTACGATGACCCAAATCTAACCTTTTGCGATAGCATCCGACTCAGTCCAGGTGAGAAGGGCAAACTGCAGAGCCCGTGGCAAATCGCAGTCCGTATGGAAACAGAATTGGAAGTCCTTCACATTCTCCTGACGCACAAGGCAAATCCTAATGCCATGGTGGTGGTACCAACTGGTGTGACCAAATGGGGAGCTGAGAACAGCCCGAGCTATGAGATTGTCTATGAAGAGTGGTCTACTCTACGGGTTGTTGTACAATCCTATCCCGGCGCGAACAAGTACGCCATCGAAGATCTCCACAAGTTCCAAGAAACTCTTCTCAAGCGCGGGGGAAGAGTCTTGACAGAAGAAATCGAAAAGGACCCCGTTTTATTTTCACTAGGTCCACGGCATCTCCAGTACGCGAGGAGGACAACAGAAGCATTGAACCAGGTGAGGAAGAAGATGGAGGGTGTTGAACCATTAAGACAGGGTCTCCTGGCGCTGGATTATTTTCGAGAAGGCCTACAGACGTACATCTACTACCGAGCTCGAATTTATAAATCAGTCGGTTGATTACTCTGTATGTCGTGGGTAACAATACAAGGAAGGGAAGTATACGGATATCCAATAGGAAGTTAGGAGGAGAGTTAAAACGAGGGACGACAAAAGCGGCGCACCCGCACCCGGCGTTCGACCGAGGTCCCCCACCCAAAACGGCAAGACGGCTAAACCACCAGACCGCGCAGTCATAGACAGTGTCACTTCAATACTCTGTTCAGTGTTAACCCCTCGACATTATTACTGATTTATAGTCTCTTAATCCACTGATCGCATTCGATTTCCCCAGACCTACGCTGTCTTTACCCACGCTGCGGTCCCTTCCTCTGTCTCAACAGTTCCTCCACCTCACTATCCTAGCCTTATTGCCACTTCCCTCGGCTCTGGTCTTTGGTGTGTTGTGCGCGTCGCCCAAGTTAGAGAACAATGCCGGTCAAAGAAATCCTCCTTCTGCGACATGGTCACCGGCTTGCGTGGCAACTCGACCCTACGACCGGAAAATACACTTCGAGCCACCGTTTTCCCAGCGGCCTACCTGCAGATCCACCACTGGCGTCCCACGGGGTCCAACAAGCCGTCGAAACTGGTGAGCACTTCGCCGACACTTTAGGTGATCTTGTGCGACAAGACCGCGTCAGAATCTACTCTAGTTTATTCTACCGGTGTTTGGAGACATTACGACCAAGCATGGAGAGGTTACGAGAGATTCAACAACAGCACAGAACGCAAGGTGGATTGAGAGACGGCGTGGAAGATCTCAAAGTCAGAGGCGAGCTCGGGATCGGTGAATGGTTTGGGCGAGCCTGGTTCAAACAGCCGCGCCCAGCGTCGCCGGAACGGTTGAAAAATACATGGTTTCCTTGGGTTGACGATCAGTATACGTCGTTGGTGGTACCAGATGAACATGGCGAGCGGATTGAAGCGTTGCATGACCGAGTCGCCAGAGCGTTGGAAGCGGTCGTCAACGATGTCGATGAAGAGTATGCGCGGCAAGGAAGGGCAGACGAACAGGTTACCCTCTTACTCTGTGGACACGCAGCTCAGATTATCGCCAGTGGAAGAGCTCTCACGGGTGTGGTACCTGAGGATCTCGACGAGGATGATTTCCAGTGTTTTACATGTGGCATTAGTCGGTTCGTCAGGAGGGCAACGACGACGACAGCGGGGGAGGACGGCACTGGCGACTGGAGAGGCGGTGTCGGTGTTGCAGGCGGCTGGGACTGTGTAGCCAACAGTGACTGCGGACACTTGCAAAACGGAGAGGAGAGAGGGTGGCATTTCCACGGTGACGAGAGTTTTGATTCATATGGTCCGCCAAAGGGCGAGGACATCAAGGTAGAAGATACAGGCGAGGTTCTGGTGGGAAAATTATGAGGGAGAGGGGAAAGAAACATCATGACGATGACGATGACGATGACGATGATCAACTATGAGGATATGCTACACAGTGCATATGACCATGAGACCATTGCAATGGTTGGGGGGGCACTGATCGAGGTTTGCATTAGACGGTGGCTACGATGAGGATAATAGATCAGAGGACGAACTGGCCCTGGGTCGGATGGCCATGTATACCCAGATAAGTAGAAACACTCTGGCGGTAATTGTCAGAGACCTGAGAGAGTCGCTCACAAAGGCTTCCAAGCCATACGTTGGGTAAAGCCCATTGCTTGCCTAAATGCCCCCCCAATCATTAGCCCGAGGGCCCGAGGCCCTCCCTAATCATCAGCCTGTCGGCCTTCGCCTTCCCCTCTCCAGCAACAATGCCCGGGAGGCCCCTCGGCCCCTCCGTCCCCAGCGGCCCCAACCAAACTCCACATGGCCACAACCACCCCTCGCGCCTATCTTCGCCCTCCCGTGGTGACCTTCCATGCCCCATATCATTAGATAAGGTGACCTAACATATGGACATCCACACATCTGTCCATCTAACCTCTGGTGCTTCTGCATCTCCAACCACAGCCCACGCCGCACGACTACAGCCAGGGAACATCCCATCGGATCTGACTCGTCACCACCAAGAGATCAAGGTTACAGCACCTCCACCACAGAACTCTGCCTCTCCTCCCTGTCGCTTTCATTCTCCTCTCAAGTTCTTCCTCCACAACATACACACCTCTGACGAGCACCCAGCTCATCAACTTCTCCCCGCCACCTGGACAAGACAGCATGTCTCTCCCGTAACACATCTTCAACAATAAGCTGTTGTGCTATGGCGAGCTTCACGAGCTCCCTCTGTCGTCATGTCCCCTGGCTGCAGAGCGATGCGGCCTTCGTCCGACTGCTATTATGGTTAGTCTCCTGGTTGACCTCACAAGTGCACCAATATACTGACTAGCCCACCAAAAGACCTGCTCTGGACTTTGATTAGACAGACTTCCCCACGCACGCAGACCAGGTTACGAGACCAATCTCGATACATCTGCCAACGACGACAGTTTCATGATTACTTTGTCACCCACCTCCCGTCCTCCTCGCTACATCCAGACTCTCGCTCTCTCACCGGTCTTGCCCATAAATTCCCCAGGAAAGACACCACCCCTCACACCCCAGATGGCAAATCTGCCCCAGCTGCCCACCCGTCCATCAGTCGAGACACCACCGTCGTCCGCATCCCGCTGAGGAGCGCCAAACATCACTATGGAGTGTCAGTCTCAAGAGGTAGTCGTCCCTACAACGAAGACAACCACCAAGCTGGCATAATTGAGTTGCCTGCCTTTGCGAAGAAACCTCCTCGCTCCGTTGCCTTTGGAAATAAACCAAGAGAAGCCACCTCGGCCGACAACACCAGTGGTGATCCACAGGTCTTTTACTTTGGTGTCTTTGACGGACATGGTGGGGCGGAATGCAGCGACTTCTTGCGAGAACGACTGCATGATTACGTGGAGAAAACCGCCGTCTCTTTTGAACTTCGCTCGAGTATTAAGCCAAAAGGCGTACCCTCTGAAACTACTGGTCCTGCCCCTGGTCAGTACGAAGGAGACCAGGAGAGTGTGAAGCAAAGCAAGAAAGCGCTAGCATCAGTCAAGACTACCAAGGAAGCCCCACAATTAGACAGTCAATCAGGTCAGGACACAGAAGGTCAAAAAGACTCGACCGAATCACAACCTCCAACCCATCCTGGAGACCCAGCTCTGATCCAACATGCAAACGAGGAGAACATAGCCACTCTCGAGAAGAAGCTAGTGCGAAGCTGGAGAGATCTGGTCGGGGGATACTTTCGGAGGTTCAAACCAAGTTATTTTTCTATCTACAACGATTATCAAACCGGGAAAGATGGGGCGGCCTCAGGAGCTGCCATCGAGGAGGTCATGACCTATGCCTTCCTCAAGGCTGACTTTGATTTCGTGGCGGCCCAAGCGGCCAAGCAGTGGGAAACTCGCGACAATACACGAGCGGAGAGGCCCTTGAACGAGGGTGATATCTTGGGTGAACCGTCCAAAGTCGCGCCACATATTGGCGGCGTCAATCGGTTTAAGGGAGGGAGTACTTGCAGTGTTGCTTTGCTATCGACACCTTCACCAGCCCCATTCTGGAATCCCGCCACAACCTCGAGCTTACTGGTTGCGCATGTGGGAGACACCCGGATTTTATTGTGTTCCACCGCATCAGGAGCAGCCGTACCGCTGACCACCAACCATCACCCTTCTTCTCCCGTCGAAAGCACTAGGTTACGACGATATGCTGCCACATTTGTGACGGATTCATTTGGCGAGGAGAGGATATCTGGGTTGGCCAACACGCGTTCTTTTGGAGACATTGCGTCAAAGCGAATTGGTGTTAGTGCAGAGCCAGAGATTAGAAGAGTCGAGCTCGGGGCAGCGGAATATTCCTTTATGGTCCTCATGTCAGACGGGGTATCTGGCACGCTCGAAGATCAAGAAGTGGTGGACATTATCAAAGAGGCCAAGACTCCAGAACAGGCCGCACGAGACGTGGTCAACTTTGCCACAGAAGTCACCTCTGACGGAGACAATGCCACATGTTTGGTGGTACGCATGGGCGGCTGGGAAAGACGCCAGGAGGGTGGACATGGTAGTCTCAGAACGAAGGAGGCTCGAGATTATAAACGTCAGTTGGCATCAGATCCTCGAAGCAGGCGTCAGTGAATGTCGGGTTGTATATAGGGTGGATGGTTGAGAACAATGCACGCGAGGAGGTTAATAGCCGTAGTATAAACACATAGATACCTAAGGAAGATACTTATGTATATGTACTCAGGTGACCTTTGGTGACTTTTGGGGTGCATCAACATTGTCGAGTGAGCTCCTTCCTCCATGAAGGGTTCTGCCCAGACTTCGGCAGACGGAAGCTGAAATCATCCGGCTTCCCTACGGCGTTATGGGAAGGTGCCGAAGATGACAGCCCGCGGAGCACGGATTGACTGGTCCGAGAGCCTCCAAGAGAAACTTCCCAGGGAAACTGCAACTGGTTCCTGAATAATTCTGGGCCCGAGCCCCCTTAGCCCTTCCCTGGAGCCCGACCCAGAGCCCCAGTGGTTCCTGCCTCGCCTACAACTTACTGTTTGCTTCGCCTACAACTTACTGTTTGCAAGGCAGGAATGGCAGTTTAGTAAAAGGTCAGAGGTCAACCTGCACTCGAACTGATTCGACTATAACCACCAGCGTTTGTTGTCCTCAACCACCTCCCATCACATCTTCTCGTCCTCTCATCTTGGATGAATCCCTTCACCCTCATCACACCCTTGATCTTGCATATTCAAATCCATCAAACAACACCAATCCTACCACTGAAACCCAAACCCATCCTCTTCCGAACCCTCCGCCCAATAAATTTTGGCCGTTATCGCGTCTTCCTTATCAATCACCTACGCCAGGTCTAAACTCGCCAACCAGCCTCGATCGTGTCCTGTACCCCTTGCCTCCCATTCTCTATCTTACCAATCGTCAATCCTCAGACGCCTCGGTGCAGTATTCACACGTTGATTCTCTGCGACTGCTGGGTTCACCCGCGTTTACACCTCAAAGCAATGGCGGGAAGCCGGAAGGGAAAAGACACCTTGCTGGCGAATGGTCATGCGAAACTCAACCAGGCGGTGCAACAGATTGAGGAGGACATTTACCAGGAAGAGAACATTTTCTTGTTCCTTCCCAATGTCATTGGTATTCTTCCACCCACTTTGGGCTTGTCCGGGCCAGACCCCATCTAACTGGAGCTCCAACCTCAGGTTATGCGAGAGTCATCCTCGCGATCGCTTCCCTTTACTACATGCCCCTTCACCCACGGACATGTTCCGGGTTATACAGTATCTCCTGCCTCCTCGACGCTGCAGATGGAATTGCCGCCCGTCGGTATAACCAGTCAACCACCTTTGGCGCAGTCTTGGACATGGTCACTGATCGATGTACCACCTCCTGCTTGCTCGTCTTCCTCGCTTCCGCTTTTCCACGCTGGAGCATCATCTTCCAAGGACTCATCAGTCTTGACCTCGCCAGCCATTACATTCACATGTACGCCACCTTGACCATGGGAACCAGTGGGCAGAGTCATAAAAAGGTCGATTCCAGCAGGAGTTGGATTTTGCATCTCTACTATACCAACAGGGTAATATGCACACACATCCATATCCCTTGACCAATACTGACCCGTGGCAGACCGTCCTTTTTGCATTCTGCGCCTTGAACGAACTCTTCTTCATTGCCCTCTACCTTCTCTCTTTCTCCTCTCCACTACTATCCCCTTCTCTTCTTGCCGCGAACAATAGCGGAGTCGTGTCAACCCAGCCAGGCTCTCCTGCCCACCCCAGACCCAGCACCCTGTTTTCCAATCCATGGAGTGCCGGAGCTTTGGAGATGGCTCGTGCGAACAAGATGGACAGCACTGTCCCGTGGATCCTAGCCGGCATTAGCTTCCCAGTCATGGCTGGCAAGCAAGTCATCAACGTCATCCAGTTGATCAAAGCCAGCAAGTGGCTCGGCGAAGGTGATGTGGCCAACAGAAGGAAAGCATTTATTGCCGCGGGCAAGAAGAAGGCCTGAAGACAATAGGCAAGAAAGCCGGAGATTGAGAATTGCATGTTGAGCAGTGCTCAGCGTTCCCAATGAACTCGGTCGGCAGCCCGTGTGCCGACACACGCCGAGAGGAAGAAAGAGCTTCAGGGGACACGGTGCTTGCTCCTCTTCCGGAGATTCAGTCTGACACCGAGGTCATTAATTCACGACCGGGCTGTCACCTGGAGACGTATTCGTCCACGGCGTTCTAGCGTTGGCTTTGACTGTCAGAATAGGCGCAGAGCATGACATTGGTTCGAACGAAGCTTGGAAGCTAGGATTATCTTTCAAGTCTGGCGCCATATGGAGTGAGTGTTTTTCAAGGTATGAAGGTGGCCTCTGGGCAGAGTAGATTGGGCGGTGCCATGGTGTTGCGAACAACTATGGCATTATTAATGTGAAGTATGGTGGTTATGATATGCTCAGTATATTAAACACGATAACATTGTGAACCTTGCCATGAAAGATGAGTTATCTTGACATGACTTGTCTGATAGATGCACATATAAAGACCATTTTGGGCCATGTGAAGAACAGGCGTGTTGATAACATCCCCAATTGTCATCCTGTCCCATCCCTCATCTTTCATCCATCACCGGCATCCTCTTCCATCCTACCATCTTCTGACCCCCTCATCAACCAATAATGATCTTGGGCTCAAAAGTCCGATCCTTTGCAGACCGGTTCCGAAATGCAGAATTATGAGCAAGGGAAAGGTGACGATCATGTAGCACTAATTCAATTGATATATAAGATCTACGGGCAAACCTAGCGTCTAATCCAAGCTTATTTACCTTGGGTATCAGTTCATGATCTGTGAATGTTTCTGTCGAGACACAGAATTGAATAAAGGAGAACTGATGAACCCAGCGACGAAGCACGTCTCATGCTGAATCATAATTCCTCCCACATATCCTTCCTCCGTATATCTATATCGACCCGTCGGCCCAACTTCGGCACATCCCCCCACATTGACACGTGCCACCCACCAACGCGTCTTTCACTTGTGAACGCGTCTTGCACGCGTTCTTCTCCAAATCCATTTACGACAAACGACCACCGACCACCGACTATCGTGCCACCTTCAAATAATTAACCACAAACACAGAGTACGCAGTACTCTGTCATGACACCAGAAGATTAATTCCAACATCCACCACACACAGCAATCATGCCAGATCGACCTCCCTTTGCAGGTCGACCTGCTCAGCCTCCCGGCCCGACTTATCTTCAGTACTCCCCAGATGGAAAGAGATTACTTGTGGCCGGCTGCGCCAACTTTGCCCGATCATTCAGAACCAACGACAATGGAGAGCCAGACATGTTGCCCGAGGTCCACGATGACACCTACGCCATTGCTGCCGGAAATGACTATGCAATCCTCGGTTGTGAGGACGGCACTGTCTGCGAATATGACGTCCCTTCTGGAGATCTGAAACAGATGCTCGTCAGGTCAACCCTGCCCATTCGAGACATTGCTCTTTCAACGGACGAGAAATGGGTTGCTGTATCAAGCGAGTATGCATTGTCTAATTCGGTTCCCGTTCGATATACTCACAAATTATAGTGAACTCGAAGTCAAAATCGTCAACCGACAAGACACTGAACAGATCACCATCCTCCGCGAACACTCCAAGCCTATCAAACATCTCACCTATGACCCTCTAGGCAAATATCTTGCCGCTTCTAGTACCGACGGTGTCATCTACCTATACTCTCTCAGCGGCCCTGAGCCACAGCTCTTTCGGAAGATCGACGGTGTCATCACGCGACTCGAGACTGCCCAGGAGGCCACTTCAAGATGTGTATGGCACCCTGATGGACGAACTTTTGCCTGCGTTACCGCAACCCGTGACATCCAAGTCGTTTCAGTTGAAGATGGGGCACATCAACGGACATTCTCTGGTGCTCACAACAGCGATATCACTTCACTCGCATGGTCATCCAATGGTGCATTGTTAGCAAGCGCCAGTGCCGATGACAAGCTGGTCATCTGGGACACCAAAACTCAAAAGATCCTCAAACAATACAACTACGAGAAAATCCTGAATCTCACTTGGCATCCCGGCAACGAAAACATATTCAACTGGACAAACTCAAATGGCGAGGCGTTCATCATCCCGGAATTCCTCAAAGACGAAGATCATATCAGGTTACTCAAAGGTCCCAAAGCGCGATCTCCGTTCTTCCATGATCCTCTGGACAGCAAGGCTGCTGCAGTCAATGGGCGAGCACCCCATGTCAACGGACATGCCAAACCTCGAGCTGGAACTCCTGACAGTCTGGACCTCCTTCTCGGACCAGATGACGATACAGCAGCGAACGAGAATGAAAATGACTGGATCGAAGACGACGACGGGGCGGGTTATACGAACGGACACGTCAATGGGAATGGCAAGCGATCTGGACACCATCTCGATCCCCTGACTGGCCATCTCCTAAAACGAAATCGACAAGAAATCTGGCAAGCCGAAGTGCACGAGCCGTTCCAGCCAGGTGCCACGCCCTGGCGAGGCAATCGCCGTTACTTGTGTCTCAATTTGATTGGATTTGTCTGGACCGTCGATCAAGACACACACAATACCGTTACCGTCGAATTCTACGACCGTGACATGTACCGAGATTTCCACTTCACTGACCCCTTCCTCTATGACAAGGCCTGTCTGAATGAACACGGAGCTTTGTTTTCGTCTCCTTGTCAAAACGATCAGCCAGCAGTGATTTTCTACCGCCCTCATGAAACATGGACATCCCGTCCCGATTCTCGCATCACACTTCCAGACGGAGAGGAACCAGTCTGTATCGCCTTGAGTACCCGCTATATCGTCGCCGTCACTAACAAAAACTATTGTCGCGTGTGGACTTTGCACGGAACACCAGTGCGGATATGGCGCATGAAGAGCTCCCCTGCAGTAACGTGTGCTGCCTGGGGTGATTACGTTCTTACCGTCGGTAATGGACCCGTGGGCGCCGATGGAGCCACACAGCTTCTATATTCCATCGACAACGTTCGGCTAGACGAAAACCACCAGAACGAAGATATGTTGTCACTCGGCCCGTTGGATCCTGATGCTGGAAATTTCGATGACGAAGATGGAAACACATCTCTCAAAACGGTGTTTTGGAGCGATGTCGGCGACCCGTGTATCTACGACAACGCCGGCGTATTGTTGACACTCTTACATTGGCGGACGCCAGGCCAGGCCAAATGGGTCCCACTTCTCGATACGCGACAACTAGACCGATTGAAAGACGGCAAGAAATCGGAGACCTACTGGCCTGTGGCAGTCGCAGGCGAACGATTCCACTGCATCATCCTCAAAGGTGGTGACAAGACACCCTACTTTCCACGGCCATTACTCACAGAGTTCGACTTCAAGATCCCCGTATGTCGAGCGGTCGACAAATCGGCCAATCAACAAGACGAAGACGGTGATCAAGACATGGCCGCCGAAACCAATGCTGCCGCCGCCGCTCGTCTCGAAGAAGCATACGTACGATCATCCGTTTTATTGGGCCTAGTTGAAGATCTCGTCCAGGGATTAGGCGACCGGGCCAGCCACCGCGAAAAGACCGAAGTCATGAGACGTGAGATCGAAGTAGACAAATTGTTGATCCAGTTATTGATGGTCGAATGTCGCGAAGGCGAAGAACGGGGCATGAAGGCTCTGGAACTAATCCATCTCTTCAAGGACACGAATGGCAAAATGCTCGACTCGGCAGCAAAGGTCGCATCTAGATTTGGTCGTTCGGTTCTGGAAGACAAGATTCGTGATATTGCTGAGAAAAGGCTCATGGGAGTGGAAGACGAGTAATGTCATGGTATGATAGAATGGGATATCATGTGATGTGTGTATGTCTATATATTTATAGGGTCTCTGATGTAGCAAGCGGTTTTGTCCATCAACATCCATCTCCTTAGAATGATTTGGTCACTTCTCTCGTCTTTCTGTTTGACTTCGATCAATCCAAACATTAGATTTCCCCCTTCAAGTGGATTGGATCTCAGTCTATGTGCTCTATCATATAGAAGAGACTGGGGATCAAGGATTTATTGATCCATTGTTTCAGAAGACAACAACCTTCACTTGAACTGAGATACGGAAATGTCATGATTCTTCATATTGAGTAAGATTTGTTTCTTAAACCTCGCTTTTCCCTTCGTCATCCTCAAAATTCTGGATGCCACTCTCTGGTCATCATATAGGGTATTGTATATCCGTCATATCTATTTATTTATCTCATCAACATATCCAACCTCGCTGGCTCCTAAGACCCCTTGCGTTTGTACATAAGGGACTTATCGCTAGGACAGACGTCGTTCAATCATGATATAGAAACAATGCCTTCAGAACTCCAGAACTTGGAATCCTGGGCTCTCAGCACAAATGACTTTTCTAAATCTTCGTTCGCAGATTCTGGGACGCGACAGGCTTGAGATCATCTCCGATCAAAAGCGGTCCTGGTTGATCGTCACTTGGAGGTGGAAGGTTAGTGGCGTTGGCGTTCTTCTCACGGTCGAGTTGTTCAATAGTGGCGTATTCAGAGGTGGCAGGGGTTTCGGAAAGCTTGCGAGCGTTGCGACGACGGCGGATAATGTCATCCACGTATCGAACAATGGCAAGAGCAAGACCAAATGCCAACACGGCACAGGCCACGCTAAACGCTCGTCGGTATCTGGGACGATCGTCCGATCGGAAGATCTGAGCTCCGTAAATACCGGCAATATTGGCACCCATGATGACCCTAAGAGGAAGTCGTTAGATACTGGATAAGACTGGAAGTGGAAGTAGAAGCAAAGAGGTCTCTCTTACATGGCCATTGCGAGTGCTCGTTCTTCCGAATCCGTGCAGGTAAGTGACATCCAGGTAATGTTCAAAGGATGGGAAAAGGTTCCAAAGATTTGAGTCCAGATGACACCAAAATATCGAACACCCCGATTGTTGATCTCGGTGAAGATTCGGTTGAAGATATAACCAAGAAGATGCATGCTCAAGCCAGCAATCACAGTTTCACCTCGTTTGTTACTAGGTAGAGTTAGTCACTGGGCAGTTCTAAAGAACTTGGAGTTGGTTAGACTTACTAATGATCTGACACCCAGCTGAATGCAAAAGAGACTGGGATCTGGCAGAACAGACCGACGGAGGCAAGGGCATTGGAGCTCAAGGCGCCGAAGCCAAAAGAAGTCACAATAGAAGGAGCATAGGTATCGAAGGCGCGCTGAGGTCCGTTGTTGGCCATGGTGATGAACACGTGAGCCCACATTCTCCAGTTGGAAAGCTGAGATTGGAGTGTTAGCTTGGATCAAAAACATGAAACGAAACAAACATGACATGACTTACAGCCTTCTTGAATGCCGGACGACCGATGGTCTTCTTTTTCTTTCCCTTCATTGGGTCATCGATCAAGACACGGGTGTTGAGGATATGAATTTCACGATCTGAGAAGATCTTGACCCGAGGCAAAAACGTGCTATGGGGGTTTTTGAACGAGTCTGGCAGGCAGAAGCCAAGAACAAATCCACACAAGACGGTGAAACCTCCCATGAGGACGAATAGCCAGAACCAACCGGACTTGCCTCCAACGCCTCGCATGTGCAGAATACCAAAGGCAAGGAGTTTTGCGGAAGCCTGACCAAATTGATTGCCAAAGTAGAAGATCATCACTCTCTTGGCGGTCTCCCGTCGAGTGTACCAGGTCGACAGAGTCCAGAGCCCGCCTGGGATGAAGCCGGACTCGGTGATGCCCAGCAACAAGCGAGTGCTGATAAAGGAGGCATAGTTTGTCTGGAAGGCCTGGAACGTGCTGACGGTGCCAAAGAGAAAGAGTTGTAAGGTGAGCCATTTTCCGGGTCCGACACGATACAAGATCATGTTGGAAGGGATCTCAAAGAGGACAATGCCAAGTGAGAGCATCTGTTGCCCAACATTGAACTGGTTCTGTGTAATGCCAATGTCTTCCATGAAGTTATCGGTAATGGCGTTTGCCATGTTGCCACGATCAAGCTCTACAAGAGTCTCGGTCAGCCATAGTCCCATGTCTAGGGGTGATCGGTCGGGTAGTCCTTACGTAGACAAAAGAAGCCCAGGGTCAGGAGGGGCATGATGATGAGATCCAACCTGCGCAGAACGACTTGTCAGGATTCTTCGGCTCAGGGACAGATCTTGGGAACTGCGAATCAACTTACTTGCGCTTGGCCTTTACTTCCTCCTGGTGAGTCCAGTCGGCCACAAGAAGGGGCCCGTCACCATGGTCACTTGGGCCAGCAGAGCTGTCCTCAATATTCACTATCTTTTGGTCGTGGTCGGCCATCTTTGTGGATATTTAGGACGGCTTTTGGTGAAGACAGAGTTGACTCTGAATGTCCCAGCCCAGCAAAGAAGAGCAGAGAGATGGATCTTATAGAGAACCCCATCATGTCCAGGCTTTCTCGCGCCAATCCGTCTTGGATGTAGGCCATTCAGGTTTGCAACTGTGGATTTACTTTACACCTCGGATTTTCCTTAAACCTGGCGGCCAAGTATTGTGACCGCATGGTGGATGTTTTAACGTCGACGCCGAGATCACCTCGTCTTGGTGAGGGTCTGCCATGCCTAGAAGGCCATTAAGAGGGAGTGGCTTCCGAGTGGGAATCTCAATGGCCGGATTGTTTGGTAGACGGAGGCCCAGAGGCGCCCGGGCGGAGCCAAGGCTGACTGCCAAGACGTCCTTGGCATTTCTTGTCCTGATGGCGACATTGATACAATGCATCACGCAATCCTACCATATCGCTTCTCACTCTGGCAAACCCCAAGACACCTCCTGATTCATCAGACCAGTCTCCCGTCATCTAAGCAGGTTACAGACAGAGAGAAAGACCACGTTGGTGTTGGCTATTGGGTCAAAGAAACAGCCTTTGATCGGCCTCGCGAATCCTCCCTCGAGTCATGCTTTCCGAGGCGTCGCTGATATGGTTGGGGCGCGGATCTAGGAGCCCCTAGCACCTCAATGGGTTGAGAAAAATCATCATCATTGCTCTCAAATTGGTATCTTGGCTATCCCGCCGCATCGATCATGTCGTGCTATCTGGCTTTCATGAGAAATCCCACCGACCGGTCGAGACAAAGTCTCTATATCCTAGACTGTTTGGATGGTTTAGAGATCTTTGTCAGAGATGGAACTACATCCCTACGGACATCCTTTTGAAGATCATGGCTATGGTCATCCACCCCTGTCGCTCGCGTGTTCGAGACCATGTCGACCAACTACGGATCTAACTTGGGAATATGGATGCTGTGGACCGGAGAACCCTGGATCTTGAAGTCTCTCCGATCGAGATGAAGCTCAGACAAGAGATTTCCTGTCGATCTAGAGACAAGTTTTCAATTCAAGCGACCCAGGACTCTGCAGTCTGGGTTCAGAAAACACACTGCCCCTCTTGGCACGAGTCTAAGATCCTGGTCGCGCCATCACCATCTCGTAAAGGGGTGGGGGTTTGCTGCTCTGTCACTTGATACATAACACATTCTAGTCGCATGGCGAATTTTCCTGCGCCTGAGTTTGACTGTTCTCGCTCCGTCTCGACCTCGGACAGCCTATTTTATCCTTGATTATTGATCCACCGACTTCGGGTAGCATGAAAAGGAGTTGTTCGTGAGCTTCGACCACATGAATCCAGCAGCCACGGAACACCCAGGTTCACCTTCGGTTGCTCAATTGATAGGTCACCTGTTAGTGGGCCGGAGTGATGATCCCAACCCCAGTGCAGATGTGGTTAAAATCATTCTGTTTTCAATCACTGGCGCCATCATTGCTTTCTTTTTCACTCTAGTCGCTCTTGGAAGTCTTCGAGTTTACCGCCATCCTGAGAGATACCTCCCACCGCAAGTGACGACTCAGCCCAAATTTTCTCGCGCCAAAGGCATCACCCTTGCCATTCTTCACACAATGCCTATTGTCAATTTTGCCCAGCATGGCGAATCTTCAAATCGAGATCGAGATGTCGAACTCCCACAATCGTCAATAGAGGTTGATGATCGGCAGCCCAAGCCATTTGATGCAATTGTGCGGCCAGGTCACGCAAGTAGTCAGGGTGCTAGAATAGAGACGACTGCCTTTGCAAAAGATGACAAGATCTGCGCCTTGTGTATGGAAACCTTCAGTGTTGGACAGAAGGTCCGGTTACTGCGGTGTGATCATTACTTCCATCCTGATTGTATCGATCCCTGGCTTTTGAACATGAGCAGCACTTGTCCATTATGTCGAATTGATCTCGACCATACTTCACCCTTTCAGACAAAACCCGAACCCCATTGATTCTCCCGTCGTCGATATGCATGTCCAACCAATTCCTGCACACCGTGCCAATGGATTCTAGCCTTGAGTGTTCCTCGAGCCTTACCAAGCTAAAAAGACTTCACTCGACTCGAGCTTCGGACAGGTTCAGGATCATCTCTCGGTACCATTGATCCCGTCTGCGAGTCATGGTTTGCCCTGATGGTCATGAGACGCCAGAGATACCACAATCGAACAAGCTCGTGGAAAGCTAAGCTATTCCTTCAGGAAAGGGGCTGAACAACTGCGAAATTTTGCCCTGTGGAGCTTCATGCCGTTCACGCAGAAATGTGTCCAAGCATCGGAGGAAGTGTCACGTTGAAGACGTGTTATGAGATTGCTGTGACAGGGGAAACCCCGGAGATCGGGATCTTGAGCAGAAAATCCAAGGTTCAAAGGTCAGAGTTGATACCTGATTTCATCCAAAACAAACTGTCCCAACCCCAGTGAAGACATTTCCTCCCAAGGACAACCACGATAGCTCCCACACATGAAGTGGACGGATGTTTTGTTCTGTTGGCCCCAAGAGGCAGTAGAAAGCAACGCCTCCCTGCCCTGATTTCTTCTCTTTTGACTAGAGGGTCGATATGTTTCTAGCACAATTATAATGTTGGATGGAGCCGGATTTGGAATTTAGGATTGCCATTTCTTGTCTAATCTCAGCTTCACCAATACAAGAGACCTATTGTGTAGAGTTAGCCAACGTAGGGCATTTCTCTCATCTTCAAATGACGCTTTCCAATCTCTCGATGCAGCCTATCTTATATGCTGCTGATTGCCATGCTATCATCTTATCATCGCTTTACAAGTTCATTACATCTCAATCCACAGCTCCCCAACCACCTTGGTCCGCTCTTGATAAGAATTGTCGTACTCTCCTCTTTATCATGCTGGAAACATAATTATCCCACTTCTGCTTCCTCCGCTCGAGTCTCATTCTTTGATGCTGCAGTTTGTGCATGCGAATCATGAGCTGGGATGTAAACCACCGCTGTAGAAGATGGTGGTGCTGCCCGGCAAGGCGGCGAATGTGGATAACTCTGGAGCTTTGGGCACGTGGATGATTTCGACTTTCGCCCCCATGGGCAGCATCCTGAACCCTCTTCCTCCTTAATGCCATCCGATGGTCGCGCTGCAAGAACTTTTGACGCGTGCGATCGTCTAGGTGCTTGAAACGTTGTGCCCAGACCCTTATCCTCTCCTTTCTCCGCGCTCGCAACAGATGATACCGGAACCTGGACTGAACAAATCGTATCTCGTTGACATGGACGAGGATAGAGCCGCATCTCACCACGGAGGCGTGCCCCATTTCGCACATGTTCGTTAGATATCTAAGAAAGAAAATGTTCTGGGATATGAAACTCTGAGTCGATGATTGAAGTTGACAAATAAGAGCTGTGGTCAGCTGCTGGCTCCTGGTTCTATCTCGGGTGAAGGAACATAGAGACATAGGAATGAAGTATCGATATTTAGCAAGGAGAAGGCCGCTGGAAGTGCGTTGTTGGAGTCGCCGGTGACTATCTATACAATGTTTGACATGGTTTCTTGCACCAAGGCAGGGATTTGACAATTGTCGTGGTGGCTTTTGGCGGTTTGCGAGTTGCCGTGTGTACGAGGTGGACCTTCTTTGGACTTTGTGGACTGTGGGCAAAGACCAGGAATCAAAGCTCCTTTCTGTCGCCATGTGTCACAAAATTGTTCGCCTTTTCATGTTGGATTGTGTCTCATGGTCCTGATAATGAAGCAATAATGACAGGCAGATGTTCAAGTTACTAGACAAGAAACCAAATCGCATCTGTACTTTTTCAAGACTTTGTCTTGTCCATTTGAGGAGGCTTCAGGTGAATAAGGACAATCAAGGTGACGGCTAACATTGCAGTGCCTCCGATGGTGTATGCTTTCTCACGGCCTGCCCACCAAAAGAGAGTGCAAAACAGCAGGGGTCCCAAGGCACGCCCAAATTGGCCCCAACTTCGCAAAGAGCCCAAGACCTTTCCCCTGTTGGTGGCTTTGGCTTCAAAACTGCCCAGGCTGTTCAGACCAGTGACCACGGTTGCAGAAGTGACAGCCAGCAAAGTACCTGCGCCATACAAGCCAGTGGATGTGTTGACGCGTGCAAGCAGGAAGAAGGCGAGAGTGCACGATATCACACCAACCTTGACCACAGTCACAGGAGGTAATCTTCGGACAACGGAGCCTTGCAAAAGGGAAGCCACCAAGCCAACAAATCCGAGAAGTCGTCCATTTAGTTTGGACGGAGAGGGATGATCGGGGTAAAGGACCGAGGTGATCAGGAATGGGAGGGAAAATTCCATGCCGGAGAACGGGAGAAGGAACAAGAAATGAACGATATTGAGTAGTATAGGGTTGTTGGTGTGGGTGAGCGGCTTCGACATGGAGTGCTTGGACTTGGCTTCGACCTCTCTTTCCTTTGGTCTCGTTTCGGGAAGCTGTCCGTAGAGATAGACCGTCTCGACAACGATGAGAAACAGGGAGAATCCAGCTGCGGTGGCAAAGGGATTGGCGGCAAAAGTGGTGATGTTTGAAAGAGCGGCTCCAAGGGCAGGGCCAAAGGTGAAAGCGATACTGAAGCAGGCTCCCACCAAAGCCATTGTCGACCCGCGTTGTTCGTCTGTGCTGATGTCGGTGGCGATGGCAGTAGCTAACTGAACATTTCCTTCGCTTAGACCACCCACAACACGACTCAGGAGGAAGGTGCGGAAGTCGACAGCAATCGTCCACAAGGCGACGCTTGCAATGTTTCCGCACATGCTCCAGAGCAATGCTTTCCGCCTGCCATATTTGTCCGAGGCTGCGCCGATGATGGGGCTCGCAATGGCTTGTAGCAGGGAGAAAAGCGAGCCCAATGCTCCTCCCAAAAGAACGATGTCATATTTTTCATTGATTGGAACAGCAAAGGACTTTTTGTAGGCGTTGAGGTAGTGCAGGATTGAGTTAAGGACGGAAGAAGGGTGCGTCTCAAGGCCTCGATAGAATGCGAGGAGGGAGGGGAACAGGGGGAGAATAAATGTGAAGGAGATCTTGTCAACGTTAGTCGATTCCATTCCATTCGAAGATGCTGGGTCATGACGGCACATACCAAGTCTAGGAGCAGGGAGATAAACAAGACGCGCAGGATCTTCTTGCGCTGTTGAGGTCCGACGGGTTCCATGTCGCTCGGTTGAATACGAATATGTTACCTACGCTGGTTCTGAATCTAAGGAATGCCAGCGAAAGTGGACGGTTCCGAAGAGTGTTGATATACCGAAGGGTAAGGACATATAATGTCAAGAAGGATACTGTGTCCAAACGGAGACAAATAAAAATATAAATGTCAAAGTTGACGAGGGCGAACCAGCGCCCTGAAGTCTCGCTTCGCTAAGCCAACCACAAGCAAGGCAATGCAAACTGAGAATAAGCGACAAGCTGAAATGGATCGAAGTGCAAGAGACTAAGGTGCTAATAGGAGTAGCATCTTGATCGTGTCGTGTACGTACTCAGAGAGGAAATTTGACGACAGCTAAAGTGAGGGCGTTGAGGAATTGGTGGTTGCAGTCGAGGAATGTTTCCGGATTGGGAAAATTGCGGAGGAAGGAGTGGGGGACGAGTCTGGCCAGTCTGAGACTTGAGACTTGAGAATTGAGAATTCAGAATTGAATGAAACCACAAACATACAGTATACTGTCCTCGGAGGTGTTTGAAGATGTTGGATCTACTATGAACTTATGGTCACACGGTCGTGGAAGTAGATTTCGTGTCCAAACAGACCAAAAGGGAAAACTTGCTCACATACTTGTATTTTACTTGGGATTCTCACGTGGTGAGGGGTGGTGGCCTCGGCCCCTTTTCCATCAGCCTCACTTCTAGACGGAAAGCGTTTCTTGTTGATCCCACATTCAATTATTAACATCCATGTCATTCGCAAGTACAACAATCATATCGTCGTATATCTGTTCTCAACCACCAGAGCCAGAGGCAGACATGGTGGTCTTGATCCTCCAATCCTCAAAACTGCCCGCCCCAGGCCCATCACTCCCTGCACCTCCTCCGCCTCTCTTCTTGACCTTGTCCTCCCAATCTCCTTCCTCTTGGGCAATTAGGGCATGGAACTTGCCTCCTTGGCCTCGACCAAAATAGACTGCTCCTTCTTCCCTCTTGGCCACCTTCTCCGTCACCAGGACGTATTTGACGCTGCTGCCCGGTACTTCGAACATGGCATCCCCAAGAATGGTCTCCAGCTCGGTCCGTAGAGCCCGGGCCCCCGTTCCCATGGCTAATGCATTCGAGGCGACCACGTGTAATGCAGGGGTGGTGAAGCGGAGCTCGATTCCCGAGAGAGAGAAGAGTGTTATATATTGTGCTTGCAACGAGTTTCGTGGTTCCGTGAGAATGCGGAGCAGAAGCGAGTGGGTCAGAGCAGATAGCGCCGTGGTTGTGGGAATTCGACCGATGAGTTCAGGGATAAAACCATAGGATTGGAGATCTGCTGGTGTGACCAAGTCCAGAGGATTGAAATAATTCGGTTCTGGAGCCTGCCCGTCGACGCTGGGTGATTCCGGTGCTGAGGACGGCGTAAAGAATGGAAGATGCTTTTTGTATAGCTGTTCTTCTTGTGACCCAGGTAAGATAGGTACTGGTGCCGCCATGGTAGACTTTTGGTCTCGGCTGTACGACGATACATTGGAGCTGGATCGAACGCTGGCCCCAAAGCCGATGCTGCCTTTGGTCAATCGGTCCATTATGTGTTTCTGCAGACCGACGAATGCCCCACTGAAGATGAACAAGATGTTATCGGTCCGAATATTGTAGACCTCACCTTTGGCCGGTGATGGGGACGGCGGAGACGGTGAGCCAGACGAGAAGCCCTGTCCTAAGGGGCTATTTGTAGGATAAGTCTGTGACTGGCCACCTGCGCGAGGAGCGTTGCGTTCTGGCTTGGCTTGGATCTGAATTGTTGTTCCCTCGATGATCTTGAGAAGGGCCTGCTGAACGCCCTCTCCCGACACGTCTTTCCCATGGCTGACTTTGGCGGTAGCAATCTTGTCAATCTCGTCCAAACAGATGATGCCGCGTTCAGCACGTTCGACGTCGTAGTTGGCGGCCGCAAGCAACCTGTGCACGCAGACCTCCGCATCTTCTCCTATATAGCCCGCTTGTGTAAATGGAGTGCAGTCAGACATGGAGAAGGGGACTGAGAGCACGCGGGCCAGGGTCTTGGCCATCAAGGTCTTGCCAACGCCGCTAGGGCCAAGGAGGAGGATGTTGGATTTATCGAGGGTCAGCGGTGAGGTATCGACTAAGACTGGACTGGAATGACTATGCTGGCCACTTGGTGGCGAGTGTGTATGAATACGGACAGTCGCCTGTTGACCGGGAAATTCGGACTCGACAGGATGTCGTTCTCGACGTTCTCGTTGTGCTAGCAGATCCGCCTCTTCCTCATCTCTGCGCTGTAGCTCTTGTATGCGCTGGTAGTGGTTGAATACAGCCACACTCAAGACTTTTTTGGCCCGTTCTTGACCCACGACGAACTGGTCAAGATGCTGCTTGAGCATTTTGGGAGTCAGGCGAGGGGTGCCAAAGACATGGTTACCACCCAATGGACCAGAGGTTGGTTGACCCGGCTCATAACTACCGGTAAAGGGTTGGTTGGCAAAGTCGGAGCGATGGAATTGGGACGAGGACCAAGTGGTGGGCGTGGTCGATAGCCTGCGTCGTCGGCTCAAGGCAATGTAGCATGACCTGACGCTGCGGGGAATGGTAGCAGCTATCCGCCCACCGCTATCGAGAGCAGGACAAAGATAAGCTGGGATGGACGGGGTGATGAGGGTCTGCATCTTGGGCGAGCAATTTTGAGAAGACTTCTATGCACTGGTTATATCATAGCATAGTCGCGGTGATGGGGCAAGGTTGATTAGATGTGGTGGTGACTGTTCTGCGATTGATATGAGAAGCGTACTTGGGGTCAGCCCGTCGATTGAGTCATCTCTGAATATGGGTTAGCGTAAAGCATACCACTACTTAGCTGCGGAGTTGCTTTGGCGTCTCATGCTGCTTTACATATTGCAGGTCCTACCAATATGACTTGTGACTGCCTCATCTTATCAAAATATACGTAGCGAGTAGCAGCTGCAACTAACGCTAAGTCGCTTACTGAGCTCGAGAAATCACTCCTATACACTCTCTTTAGCCTCCAGGGCACTCTCTCCAGCGCAGTCTCTCCAGCGCACTCCGAGATCACTCGGATAAATTCAGAGAGTTATTCAACCTACTCCGCTTCGCTCCATAGGTCTATCGTTGCTGTTATATTAATGGCCTTCCCTCACTTGCCTCCTCTGCTATAGATCTGGTTGGCTCGTGGTGATTACGCAGGCAATGAGTTTGTTTAGCAAGAGCTGACCGTGGTTATCCTTGAGTTGCGAAAGTGAAATGAAGATTTGGAAGGCAAATGGAATAACAAGTACTCTTGCTCTACTGGCATGACTGTGTAGGTACCTACCTTTACCTACTACCTACTCCGTACCTACCTAGGTAGGTATGTATTTTTGCTCGTCGGTTGCATCTTCCCCATTCTGTAAATGTGTCACTGCCTTTTCTCTGCAACGACGATCCGATCTTGTGGTTGGGGAAGAATCTCTCAGCCACCAATCAGACTCTATCACCACAGAGGATTTCCCACCACTTATATGTTGGCTTCATCCCATCATAGGCTTAGCTTCGGAAAAACATACGGAATGGCGGGCTGCCCGGCCCTTTTCCTAGACAGAGGGGTAGATCTGGGCGGCTTGAAGCACCTGTGGAGGTACTCTGCTCCCTAGTTACTCTACGGAGTAGGTAGATACCTACCTCTAGACAGCCGCCCCCTCGGCCTATCTCCAGGCACTGTGGCACTTCAATGCTACCCTCAGGAGACATTTCCTGGCCACCCTGATCTAAACAGATTGCCCCTCCAATCGTTACCCACAAGGCGCCACATTCCCTCCCCTCGTGCCCTCCTAGCCTAAACCCTTGGACTCAACCCTCTTGGAAACGCTCCATCCAAGCTCCTAAGCGCTCCTATGGAAGCTTCCCCACGTCCCATCGACGTCACCAGAACGTAAATTGTTGGTGCTGCATCTCATCTTCATTTCGCCGAAGACATGTGTGCAGCGGGCTTCGTAAACGCCTCATACCTGACCGTTGTCTGAGCTCCAGCTTTTCAAAACATCTCAATCTTGTACACTTTGACATATAATTTCCTCTAATTCTCCCCATCACACCTGAAATACTTGCCCCAAACTGTCATTGATTCAGACATAGGCTGCAGTGCCATCTTTCCACACCCTGCTCCCGGTGCACCCTCCCAGCTGTCAGAACATGTCTCTCAACCAAGCTTCTGAAAACTCCCTTTCAGCAGCTCCTGCCGGCCAGGACACTGCACCAGATGGCACAGGTTCGCAATCAATCACCAATTTCTTCAGACTTCGCTAACCATTTCCCAGGCGTCGTACAGCTAGATCCCTGGCTATCTCCATTCAAAGACGCTCTCAAGTCCCGTTTTGCAAAAGCTCAACAATGGATCAAGACAATCGACGACACAGAAGGCGGACTGGAGAAGTTCAGTCGCGGATATGAAAAGTTTGGCTTTACATTCGCTCCCAATGGAGACATCGCCTACCGAGAATGGGCTCCAAATGCACAACAAGCCTCCCTCATCGGTGAATTCAATAACTGGAATCGAGAGGCAACCCCGTTGACTAAAAACGCATTTGGCGTCTGGGAGATCACGCTTCCAGCTAGAGATGGAGTTCCAGCTATTGCTCACAACACAAAACTTAAAGTCTCCTTCGTCCTCCCCAGCGGTGAACGCATTGAGCGGATACCAGCCTGGATCAAAAGAGTCACCCAAGAATTGAGCGTCTCGCCTGTATACGATGCCGTTCTCTGGAACCCACCACAGTCAGAACGTTACCAGTTCAAGAACCCTCGCCCTCCCTATCCCAAAAGCGTCCGCATCTACGAAGCCCACGTTGGTATCTCCTCACCCGAGCTCAAAGTCGCCACATACAAAGAATTTACCCAGAACATGCTCCCAAGAATCAAATATCTGGGCTACAACGTCATCCAGCTCATGGCTATCATGGAGCACGCATACTACGCCAGTTTTGGCTATCAAGTCAATTCCTTCTTTGCTGCAAGCTCCCGATACGGCTCTCCTGAGGATCTGAAAGAACTCATTGACACCGCTCATGGCCTTGGCATCACCGTGTTATTGGATGTGGTGCATTCCCACGCCAGCAAAAATACCCTCGATGGTCTCAACATGTTCGATGGTAGCGACCATCTTTACTTCCACGAAGGCGCAAAGGGAAGACACGAACTTTGGGATTCGAGACTTTTCAATTACGGCCATCACGAAGTTCTGCGATTTCTCCTTTCAAACCTTCGCTTCTGGATGGAGGAGTATCAATTTGACGGCTTCCGATTCGACGGCGTCACTTCGATGCTCTACACCCATCACGGCATTGGGACTGGCTTCTCCGGAGGCTACCATGAATACTTTGGGCCTTCCGTCGATGAAGATGGTATCGTCTATCTAATGCTGGCCAATGAAATGCTCCACAACATTTATCCAAATTGTATCACTATCGCCGAAGATGTGTCGGGAATGCCCGCACTTTGTCTGAAGCTGTCACTCGGCGGAGTTGGCTTCGACTACAGATTGGCCATGGCCGTCCCCGACATGTACATCAAGCTGCTCAAGGAAAAGTCGGATGAGGATTGGGACATTGGCAACATTGCATTTACCCTTACAAATAGACGACATGGTGAGAAAACCATTGCATACGCCGAGTCTCACGATCAGGCACTGGTCGGCGATAAATCTCTGATGATGTGGCTCGCCGATGCCGAGATGTACACCCATATGTCCACGCTGACCGAATTTACACCCACCATCGAGCGCGCCCTGGCTCTTCACAAAATGATTCGCCTGGTGACCCATGGTCTGGGTGGCGAAGGATACCTCAATTTCGAAGGCAACGAGTTTGGCCATCCCGAATGGCTCGACTTTCCTCGTGCAGGAAACGACAACTCATTCTGGTACGCCCGGCGCCAACTCAACTTGACAGAAGACCATCTCCTCCGCTACAAGTTTCTTAACGAGTTCGACCGTGGGATGCAATGGTTGGAGGAGAAGTACGGCTGGCTCCATTCACCCCAAGCCTATATATCACTGAAGAACGAGCAAGACAAGGTCCTTGTTTTTGAAAGGGCAGGTCTGTTGTGGATCTTCAACTTTAGCCCAACCCAGTCTTTCACCGACTACCGAGTCGGCGTCGAGCAAGGAGGAGTATACAAGATTGTGCTCGACACCGATGCTCCCGAGTATGGTGGTCTGGGACGCAATGCCAAGGACACGAGGTTTTTCACCACTGACATGCCGTGGAACAATCGCAAGAACTTTACCCAAGTCTACATTCCAACCAGAACTGCTTTGGTAAGTCAAATCTTGGTTTCATCCCCATCCACAGCGCATTAGACACCATCGTGCTAACTTAATTTCCCAGATTCTCGCCCTCGAAAGCACTATCTGATTTAATCACATTCGACGTAATTACTTGACGAAGGAATGGATCGCGGAGTATATTGTATCGTTTAAGTCAGGGTAGTACTTGAGAATTATCGGTGGCCTTGAGGAAGTTTGGATTTTGTCGATGAAGTTTAAACCCAGCAATTTTAACGACAACGCAAGCGGTGTTCAAAAGTCCAGATTAATGCATCAAGTTCATCGCCAGCCGTATCACGTATGATTGCGTGCATAGCTATTGCACTTGACAGTTCCTAGAATCGTCGCGTATAACAATACTGCCCAAAATACCCACCCACGGTGCGGCGACGGTCAACTAGGACGGAAGGAAATGGTAATAGGCTATCCTGAGTCAGAGATATCTGGTAATATAGTAGAGTACATTAGTTGTGAGAGGAGGGTATCGCTACAGTGGTGTTTGTTTCGTTCATCAACTCGTGATCATTGTCCGCATTCGCCTCCTTTCCTGGACAACCCCCTCGAAATATTCCACTCCTCTCGACAGACCCTCATGGCGAGGCCTGGAACGAGATCCTGGTCCTTTTCCTTGTTCCCCCATCTCGCCTTTCCTAATAACCAATCTGTCAACGTTACCACCTTATTGGTTTTGTCAAACCCGTTGCTTTCATCTGCGTGCTCGATGGTGTGGCTCGCAATGCGTCCGCGTGAGTCGAACGTGAAGATGAACAATCCAGAGAAGCTGTCGGATTTATTGATATTGAGGATAGGAGAGTCGCCACCTAAGAGTTTTGATAGCCCACTGTTGATCTGAGTGGTAGAGGACGAAGATCTGGCGCTTGCCGTAGACTCTGAAGGCGGTTGAGGGCCGGTGCCATTTCCACTGGCTTTCGGCTCAGTTTTCCACCGAACAACGAGTTTCTCCTCACTCAAGTCGGACTCATCGACTGCCTCGGCAGGAACAGCGTATGCATAGCCAGTTCGGACAATCTTTTCTGAGAGTATTTGAAGCTTGACATTGCCGACAATAGGCACACATCCCCATGCCACAGGTGCGGTCCAAAGGGCCGCTCGATACGCGACTCTTCCCTTGACTGCAGGAAGATGTGGGTGCGTCGAAGGGAATAGATGTAGAGAAATGGCCGGTGACAGAATTTCTTGTGGTAGAGGAGATGTCAAGATATTAGGAAGAAGCGGCGACAACGTTCGTAGGGCTACATCAATACGGTCAGTCAATGACTAGGTGAAGGCAGCTCTTGCTTGCATACTCTTGCCTAGCTTGATCAACCTCTCATCAGGAGGTTTGTGGTCATTATTTCCATTCCCGACAGGGCCTTCTGTATTTCCAAGCAAATCATCTGCGGGGCCGAGACGTGGGGAGGACGAGGTGAACCAAAGTTCGGAAATCGGTTCTGGTCTCACTTGAGCAAGGTGTCTCTTTGTGAGGACCTGGCGTGGGTAGATGTTACTGCTAGCTGATGTAGCCCTATGTCTCTGCTGGACAAAGTTGCCAGTGATTTGGCGATTGACAAGACCACATCTTGCAGGAAAGCCAGCAGCAGTGGTGGTGGGAGGCAGCTTGCGCATTGGCCTGAAGGTCATCTGGCGTCAATCACCATTCTTGATTGGAGGTGGAGGAAAGGCAGACAGGACCAGGGGTGTATTGAAAGACACTATGCCTCCAGAATTGGTGGTGAGTGGAAGTTGAGCGTCTGATGGAACGAACAAGCAAATATCCAGTGACAATTGAGATGTTGTCAGAGGATGTCAGAGGATGTCGTTCGGAGAATCGGAGAAATGATGCCAGGTAGTTGTTCCGGAGGAAGGTTCGAGGAGTGACAGAAGTGACGCTTGTTGTTCTAAAGTGTTGCCGTAGAATATCCGCATGCCAAGATAATACGGTGAAGGCTTCTTCTCCTTTTTACATTTCATTCCACCCCGCCCTTTGATATGTCAATAATACTCCGTAGGTTGTTTTCTTTCCTCTGCTTCTGTCACCCTCCACCTCTCGACTACCCATGTACGTAGTAGGCAAGCCATTTTGAAGCTACTTTTGTTCCAACCAATCATGCGGCGCCCAATGAAATGTGCATTGCCCTCATGATTTACACAGTTGTGAGTGTGAGTTCCTAAAATAAGTCTACACATGGCGTCGTTCACTACTTCTCGTTTGAGCCGCCTCATGACGCCATACGCCATTGCCTAGGAGTATTTGAAAGGGCCAATCGCGATGGCCATGACACTAACATCTCATCCGAGCAAGACATGTCGCTCATGGCTCATGGTTGGCAGCGGACAGCAGGAATGCCACCCATAGCCTCCCACGTCGTGGTCATTGTGGTCGTCGCTGCTGAGGTCGACGTTTCTTTCCCCCACAACATCAATTGTAGGGATGTGATTGCGATTAGTCGTGACACAACACTCTTATACTCACACACCTTCTCTACGGAGTAGGTGGACAGTTCTGTCTTCCTGCTTTCGAGTCTGACCTGCGGATCTGGTGGTTCGCGACTTTTAGCTATGCCGGCCTTTGACTATTCATCCACCCTACAAGGCTTCAATTCAATTCAGCTGAAGGGCTCGAAGCCACCATCAGTAAGTTTATGCCCAGCCATACCACCTAATGTCAAATGCCTATCTCATCGTCAACCGGCTGGAGGAGGCGATAAGGCAATCCAGCATATGCATCCACCGATACAATCGTGGCCGTTCTCTGACTCCCAGCCTCCTCATCCATGAGTCATGTAGCTAACCTTCTCATAGACAACTTGACAGTCCAAAAGCCTATTCGTCCTAGGTCGTGAGCAATTATTGTGTGTAATGGTTCGGTCTTATCAGTTCAACACCAGCGCCCTAAGCTATTGAAGCTGCCAAGAACCCATGCCAAGAAACGCTTGCACGTCTATCGAGCATTGGCATCGATAACGCTGTTCAACCATCCTTATCTACCTACGATACACCAAGTACCAACCTTCCAAGTTGGGTACTTACAGAGAGCTTCCATTCGGTTACATCCAAGTTAGTTAATCCCTTGCAAGCGGATTTGAGCGCTACATATCACTTGAACGCTCGTAACGGGTCCCAAAAGTCCGCCAGATTCCCCACACTCCACCTATGCCCAGCGTTGTTGCATAAACGTCGATTTCCAAGACCTGAGATAGCAACAACTGACCACTGATATCTTACACCGCAGCTCCCGAGCAATAGCCCAAGCCGTTGGCAAATGAACACTAGCAGGTACAATAGCTCAAGCCGCCGGCAAATGCATTCCCGCAGGTACAATAGCTCTCACAAGAGGGCCCAATCGGGTGCGGTAATGACCTGATGTATGGAGCTGTCTTCCTATGAAGCTTGCGGCATTTCACGTTATCTTCCCACATGGTTTTCCATGGCTGCCACGAACTCGAAATCTTGGCAGCAGGCCCCGCCTGTCTTTGATCCAAGCCTGTTCGGAGAAGGGCATCCATTCCTTTGGTACAGGATTTTCGGGGAAAATGCACAGCATGAAGTAGTCGCTCGAGCCGGACTAGGACAGTCCTCGTAAGGATAAAAAGCCGGGTCTCGCCACTGTCAGCCATCCTTGCAAGAGAGAGCAAGAGATTTAGACAGCGTGTGAAAGAGGATTTCGGTGAAAATGCATCTCAAGTTCATCGCTCTTGGAGGTCTTGCCACTTCAGTGGCAGCTTCTGCTGTCCCGGCACTGGGCTACGAGCGCAAGCTTCTCTTGGACGCGCTTGCCAAACGTCAAACTTCGACAAGTGGCTGCTCAGGCGATGATGCTCCGGCAGTCGAGGCTCCAAAGGCCAATGTTTGGGCTCCCATCAGCGCACAAGACAACTTCGATGTCTGGACCCTCTTGCATGACCCGGCCACGGGTCTGAACTTGACCGATCCTGCCGATGCTGTTGTCACCGACAACTACGTCTTCTGGATCGACACTCTACCTGTCAATAAGACCGACGTTCTGCCGTACCTTGACGGTGACGGCCCCCTTCCACCAAAGTATGCTCGTGCAATCATCTTTGAGGGAGGCAAGGAGGTTCCTGACTCCCAAGAATACTACATTGGACCCCTTCCTGTTTCCAGTGAGACGACAGTACAGAAACTCGACTACATATACAACGGTGGATCTGGTGGTTCAGTCCCCTTCGATGCCCGATCTCTCGACGGACCAAAGAATGCTGTCGTCAACCCACTGATTGCTTCTGCCATGGGCAACATCTCCGATATCACTGAAGCTTTGTTCGATGGCGCTGCTTTCTTCGGAGCGGGAAATAACCGAACCACTTTAAGCTATTCCGCGGGCACTCCAGTCTCATTCGACGGAACCCAAGGCTTCCGAAACATCATGTTCCGATATGCTGGTTCGGGTACATACTTGGTGCCGATCGATTTCTTTCTTCTTCTTAACTGTTCCGGAACTGATCCCTCTCACTATTCCGTCAGAGGCTATGTCACCAACTCGCAATTCTTTCCCGATGAGGCTTCGCTCAGAGAAGCCTTTGAGGCTGGTACTCTTGCTCAAGAGTACACCCAAACACGAGATCAATCATGGACTCAAGTCAACCACAAGCCTGAGCAGGGGACCCGCGAGCTCGAGGAAAGATTCGCCCCTACCAGTCTCGAACTGGGGGGTAAGCGCTATGCGATCGACGCAGAAGCAAAATACGTTGAATACTTGGGATTCTCTTTCTATGTCTCCTTTTCCCGATCATTAGGCATTATGTTCTACGACATCAAATTCAAGGGAGAAAGAATCATCTACGAGCTTTCAATGCAGGAGGCTTTGGCCCAATACGCAGGTGAGTCCAACAAGACACGTGACTAGGGTCTGGTAACCCTGGTAACCCTAATCACAACCCTAACCCTAAACCTTGACTAACGTTTTTGGGTAGGCAATCAGCCTAAGGCTGCAAATACCGTGTATCATGATACATACTACAGCATGGGGACAGATCTCGCCACCTTGCTCGAAGGATTCGATTGTCCGTATGGCTCTACCTTCTGGAACGTCTCATTCCACACACGCAATGCCACAACTGTCAATCAAGACGCTGTCTGCATTTTCGAACACGACACCGGTTATCCCCTTTCCCGGCATCGCTATGGCAGCAGTGCTGGTAATTACCCGTTCAGCGCACTCGGGGTGGTCAAGGGAGCCGCTCTAACCCTTAGATCTATCGCTACTGTGGGTAACTACGACTACATGTTTGATTACGTATTCATGGGCGATGGCTCTATTGAAGTTATAGTGCGCGCTAGCGGTTTCCTACAATCTAGCTTTTATTATCCGGATCAAGGGAAATTCGGACCTCGGATTGCGCCCGCAACACAAGGATCCTTCCACGACCATATCCTCACGTGGAAAGCCGATTTCGACATCATAGGCGTTGAAAACAGCTTCGAGAGAACTGATCTCGTTGTCGTCAATCAAACCCAACCCTGGTTTCCGCACCTTGGTGAATTCGAGCAAATGGAACTCAACGCTAGCTACGTTGAGACGGAGACTACTCTGGATTGGGCGCCAAACAATCAAGCAATGTACTGTATCGTTAATCAAGACGAAACCAATATGTGGAACGAAACCAGAGGCTATCGCGTCATTCCAGGAAAGTCCAACATTCATCTGTCAGTTCAAAATTCACCATTCTCTCTCAAGAACAGTGAGATGGCCAAGCATCATCTAGCAGTGACTCGTCAGCATGACAATGAACCATTTGCCAACTCGGTCCAAAATGTCAATCTGCCCTGGGCACCTCAGCAAGACTTCAGCAAGTTCTTCGATGACGAATCCATTGTACAGGAGGATCTTGTCCTTTGGTTCAACCTTGGCATGCATCACTTCGTTCGTGCAGAGGATGTTCCTGTGACTTTGTACACAGAAGCTGTTTCCAGCATTGTTTTCGCTCCTCAGAACTTCAACGACAGGGCTCAAGATGGTGACCTCCTGAACCGGAGATGGGTCACCTACAACGCGACCACGGACGAGATCGCCTTCGAAGATTACGGAGTGGAGCTGCCTAATTGCCCAATCGAAATTACAGAGCCCGTCTCCGGCATCAGTCCGACAGTCGAGGAGCTGGCAACCCAGACTGAGTGATTTCCCCTCACTGAAGCAGTCTACCCAAACAGGACGGCCTCCAGCCCTCAAAATCACGTTAATTTTGCATCCTACCGAGGTCAAAAGATCCGGTGTTTTATAAAAATGATCATGAGAGCTCTAAAGCTCCTACACAGCTCAACGCCAATAGACACGCCCGCATACCCATTAGAATAGGTAGATGTGCAACCGGGCAACCAAAGTTGCATGAATTGCAGAAAATTACATCTACTTCCACTTCTTGCTGTACAGCTGTCCGTCTTATGACCCAAGCCCATGTGATTGTTCAAGGAGGAATTTCGTGTCATGCCATGTAGTTAAAGTCATCATAGGGGCTTACATCTGAGAGCAAACAACAAAGTCCATAAGGGAAGATATTGTTGCTCAGTGCAACTAGTCCCAGGCTGCTCCTTGTAAATTCCCATTTCCCTATATCCTCATCATCAGGACGTTGTGACTATTAGCTAAAATACATTGTTCGACCCTCAAGACGAACCCCACCGCTAGCTCACAATTGCTTTCAGCTGCCTTTTGCCGCTTCATACATTCAAACGGTACTTTACCTAGTAAGAATCCATACCTCAAGACTCTTCTCCCGACTTGTGATCTGAACTTAGGTCTGCCAAGTGGCTTACCATCCTCAGATTCCTCATTTACGACGACCAACGGCGTCATTCGCCGTGCCTTACGGAGACCTGCTCTTCGGCCTACCATTTAGACCATTTTAGTTGTGATCAACCTCCTCTATTGGGGTTGTGCTGCCAGTTCCCTGGGGCTGTAGCGGCATATGATATTGGGGGAATTGGGGGTAGACTAGAAGGCGCGGATGAAGCACTCCTCCAGAAGAGAACATATCCCTCACAGGATCTTGGGAGCCATGTAAGTACTGTGGTGGATGAGACAGCGACGATTGGTGATGGGCAGAAGTAGGAAGGCCACTCATGGTTGCAAAAGGAGGAGAGTTGGAGAAAGACTGTGTAATTGTCGAGTATGGCTCTTGGAATTGAGTGCAAACATGGCCGTTGAAATGTTGTCGTCTAGGAGGCAACCCCCGAGCCGGAACTTGGTCATGTTGGACGAGATCTTGCAGGGCCACTGACTGCGCTTGAAATGTACTCTTTTCACAATGAGGGTCTGTATCAGCCACCAGAGCAAGTAGAGAATGGGTAGGACTGTCTGCGACCACCTCACAAGGAGGCTTAGGAGAACAAGAGATAGCAGTGATGTCAATGCGTTTAGAACCTGTCCTTATATCTGGTCTGGCTTCATGAGCAGGAGACGTTGACTTGGATGAACATGCAGTCAAAGACAGATCTTGATCTAACTTCCTCTTCTTCGACTGCGATGTTGTCGGCTGTTGTCCATCGTCTTTGGCTTTTTTCTTTCTTTTGGTAGACGGTGTCAACTTGGGTGAAGATGGTGTTGCGATCAAGCCACCAGAAGGATGGATGCCATTTGCTTTCAAGAGTCTCTCGTATCGTTTAGCCCTAAAGCTACAGGTCAGCACCTCTTCTATATCGCACTCGATCAGGTGGTGTTACTCACGCAGCTCCCTTGCTAACAACTTCACATTCTTTCGCCACCTCAACAAAATCTACCTACGAAGCATTAGTATGAACTTGCAAACATTAAGGAATTAAGTATTGTCTGGAATGTACTCACCTTTCCGTTATTTGAATAGCGAACGCAGCTGAGCAAGAATCTCAGTTGTTCGTCGGAACTGATTCGGGACATGGTAAGAGGGTGGAGAGGTGTAAGGCTAGGAATGGATAGTTTTAGACACTGTATCCAAGAAGAAAAGGTTGAGCTGAAAGACTGTGCGACACAACTAGACGGTAAAGATATTCAGCCTGTCTTATTGCTTATAGCTTCTCCTCAGTACGAGTGATGTAGTGTGGTCGTGGGTGTCTTAGAAGGGTGTCTTAGTTTGCCAATTAGACTGTCGCAATTCACTGTTTAGTGGTTGCAAACCCTCCCATTCTCTATTGTGACGCTTTGTTCACGTTGCGAGTGCAGTAGCTGGGGCGGCTGGAAGGGTTTGTCTTTTCAAACAGCATTCTTTGAGTTCTCTACAACAGGAGTTTTTAAGAACTGTGATTCCCCTGGCTATACAAAGACATCCCCGTCCAACTATGAGGATCAGAATTGTGGAGGTTTCACAGATGCTCAGAAGCATTGGCTAATTGTTGGCCACGGAAACAGATGCATTGAATCAATAGTGCAGACAGATGGCGAAGAAACAAGGAGAATATAATCACATTTCAAATGATGTGTCCTTTTGATGGCTGTGACTATGTTATCTCCACTTAGGCGCACGAATGACACAAGACGTAAACATTCATTTAAGTCGGCGGATCTTCAGATTTGTCTCTAGCTGTTCTCCGTCCAATGGGCGCACATGACAGCAGAACGGAAGGGGTTTTTGTCCGAAGCCACATTGAGTCTGGTGGGTACTGAGTCCGATATCCCTTCCGACAAAGGCAGTTGTGAGATTCTGTAGCTTCTGGGACTAGGCAAAGCTTCAGTTCATTTTGCTAATGATTATGACTTGTCGCCACAGTCGATGACTGGATTCCACTTTGCTAGACGATATTCTGCGTCAACCTGAGGTCAACCCAGACGAGTAAGGTAGGACGTGCCAACTTGCCTAATGGTTATTGTCTGTCTTCCTATGATCTGTTGGAATCTCAAAGTCGCTAGATAGTCCTGTGCAGATTCGCTGGTCTGGTTGTCAAACTTTGGCTTATATGAAGAGTCGCAGCGTAGGAACTGAGATCGCATGTTACCATTGGGTGACAACTTCTTATTCTTTGCAGGTTCGGCACTCCGTAGGGATTAATGACCCGAAAATGGGAATTCATCTCGGTCTCGGTCTCGTAGCACTGCAACCGGCCGGAATAACCAACCAGGTGTAGGGTACGCATCCAAGGGTTAAGTCTGTGAAATTTGTATCTAGGGGGAGGGGAGATCCGAGAGATTTATATATGCGAACACGAGCCACCCTCCCAGAGGCGTTACTCGCTTCAATCTGTGTGACGCGATATCGTCGCAAGCCTAGGGAGCAGTGAAGTAAACACGCCATGGGAGATGAGATAGTTACTGCCAGCCAAGCTTGGACAGTTGATGGAGGCGACGGCCGTAACTTAGATCCAACTTTAGCATTCCATTCAGTTATACGCGTATATATGTACCTGTAGAGCTATAGGATAGAAGACCTGTAGGTATATTGCAATGTTTTATAGAATGATAAGATTGTTGACGAGAGTGTTCGAGGTTGAGGTTCGTGATGCTCCGCAGACGCCAAGAGTCCATCCGATCTAAACCCCATCAGGCAATACCGGAGACAAGATTTCCCGTTCCGTGATTCGGCGTTTTGATCTCGAAGATTCTCCAAAATTTTTGTTGCTCTTCGTCTTCAATCCTCCGTCTTGGTCGCCTTTGCTCTCAATTGTCGTGTTCCTTTCATTACCTCCTCTGAGTTCTGTCTTCATCACCATCTCTGTCTGCCTCTGTTTCCGATCCCATCGCTCATCATGCAACGCGCTCTCACTTCCGCGGCGCGGTCGTCCCTCTCATCTTCTTCCCCATACTCTAGAACATCCGGCAGGAGTTTACAACAACTCCGCTTTGCCCATAAAGAGCTCAAGTTTGGCGTCGAAGGTCGTGCAGCTCTCCTCAAGGGTGTTGATACCCTCTCAAAAGCCGTAGCAACAACCCTCGGTCCCAAAGGCCGCAATGTTTTGATCGAATCTAGCTACGGTTCACCCAAGATCACAAAAGGTAGCTCACATCCCACAACCAAGCACTCCACAGCAGTCATCTAACATCACTTGCAGATGGTGTCACCGTCGCGAAAGCTGTCACTCTCCAGGACAAGTTCGAGAACCTTGGAGCCCGCCTCATTCAAGATGTTGCCTCTAAGACCAATGAAGTCGCAGGTGATGGCACCACCACCGCTACCGTCCTCGCATCCGCCATCTTCTCCGAGACCGTCAAGAATGTCGCAGCTGGTTGCAATCCTATGGACCTGAGAAGAGGTACCCAGGCCGCTGTTGAAGCTGTCGTGGACTACCTCCAAAAGAACAAGAAGGACATCACAACCAGCGCAGAAATTGCCCAGGTCGCCACCATTTCTGCCAACGGCGATACTCACGTGGGCTCTCTCATCTCCAATGCCATGGAAAGAGTCGGAAAGGAAGGTGTCATTACCGTCAAGGAGGGAAAGACTATCGAAGACGAGCTTGAGATCACCGAGGGTATGCGATTTGACCGTGGATTCACGTCTCCTTACTTTATCACCGATACAAAATCTCAAAAGATCGAATTCGAAAAGCCATTGATCCTCCTGTCAGAGAAGAAGATCTCGGCTGTTCAGGACATCATCCCTGCTCTCGAGGCCTCCACCCAACTCCGACGACCTCTTGTTATCATTGCTGAGGATATTGACGGCGAGGCACTGGCCGTCTGCATTCTCAATAAGCTCCGTGGACAACTCCAAGTCGCGGCTGTCAAGGCTCCAGGCTTTGGTGACAACCGCAAGAGCATCCTCGGCGATATTGGTATCCTGACGAACGCCACTGTCTTCACCGATGAGCTTGAGATTAAGCTGGAAAAGGCCACACCCGACATGCTCGGATCCACCGGAAGCATCACCATTACCAAGGAAGACACTATTATTCTCAACGGCGAAGGTAGCAAAGATGCCATTGCCCAGCGATGCGAACAAATCCGAGGTGTCATGGCCGACCCATCCACATCTGAGTATGAGAAGGAGAAGCTTCAGGAACGTCTCGCCAAACTCAGTGGTGGTGTCGCCGTCATCAAAGTTGGTGGTGCCTCTGAAGTTGAGGTCGGTGAGAAGAAAGATCGTGTTGTCGATGCTCTCAATGCCACACGCGCTGCAGTGGAGGAAGGTATCCTTCCCGGTGGTGGCACTGCTTTGATCAAAGCCTCGGCCAATGCCCTGGGTGGCGTCAAGCCTTCCAACTTCGACCAACAGCTTGGTGTCAGCATCATCAAGAATGCCATCACCAGACCTGCGAGGAAGATCGTTGAGAATGCTGGTCTGGAGGGCAGCGTCGTCGTCGGCAAACTCACTGACGAGTATGCCTCTGACTTCACCAGAGGCTTCGATTCCGCTTCTGGCGAATATGTGGATATGCTTTCCAAGGGTATTGTCGACCCCCTCAAGGTGGTCCGCACAGCTCTTGTCGATGCCTCTGGCGTTGCCTCGCTTCTTGGAACGACTGAAGTCGCTATTGTGGAAGCTCCGGAGGAGAAATCTGCTGGACCTCCTATGGGTGGCATGGGCGGTATGGGCGGCATGGGTGGAATGGGCGGTTTCTAAGCTCCCAATTGGGTCGATTAGTCCTGCCAGTTCCAGCCAAACCGCGTCCCCCTACACTTTTCTTGCGATTGAGCGACTTTTCCTGCCATGCCTTCGAGCTCCTTCAGGTTGACCCACAGAACTTCGACATATCTCGGAATCCAACCATGAGTCAAGGTCTCGACATACCCATACGCTGATCTCACATACACACCCATACCATCCTGTGTCGACGAGTCACGCATTCAAAATCATGCCATGCTACTCTGTTCTATTACCACTCCACTCATAATTGTTTCCAGTGTTGAAAAAATCGTGTTTGTTTTATTACGAGGCCTGATTTCACTCGGCCCCTCTGCTTCTCTACATCCCCCTTCAGAGTTCACTCCTCGGGTTGAGAAGACAGAGTGCTCGGGGAAGGGCAAAAATATACGGGGCAAGCTGCAAGCTTGGCCACGGTGCCGGGTCTGGGGAGGAGATACGGCATCATTGAAGCGGTCGCTGAAGGAGGGGGCATGTCAATAAACGAAGACGTTTAGGGAGCAGAGGAGGACAGAACCGATTTCAGATTGATAGATATTGTCCGGGTTGAAACGCTTCCCGGTCATATCTGGGGAGGTGGATGTATTTCGATTGTACCATAGCTAGCGTGGCGGAAGCAGGCAAGGTCACTCGGATTAGCGGAGCGACAGATTACTTGTAATAAAACACAGATGATTCGGTATACTTGCAAGAGTCTTCTGTGGCTAACAGGCTTCGACATTGATGCACACCATGAAAGGATCCCCGGGTTGCAGCATGATCCATTTGGCAATTTCCACACTATGATCACAAGAAGTAAGTATGGACAGTCCAGACTAAACCTGAGCGACGATGTGTCTCCTCCGCCCCAATATTAACCGCCCTATCACAGCGTATAGATGAAATCTGGCCTAGAGATGATATTAGAAATTCGGTCGAGAACGTTGGTTGGAAGCTCACCTCTTGTCACCCATCAGCCGGATGTCATGTTCAGATTTTCCCTCAAGAATATCGCTCCGAGCTCCGGACTTTCGAATCTGGTTTTCTCGACGCAGCAAAAGGTATTGCAAGATCGAGCCCCCAAAAAGAGCAAGTCCGAGATAGCCGAGAACAACAGCATGGCCTGTAATGAATCGTGGAGCATCGGTACCCCGGTAGACATTGCTGATGACCACGCCCTGGAGGTTTGCCCAACCCATGGCAATCCCAAGTGTGATGCCTCGTTTGTACACGCCTTCGGTGTTGTTGGCCACCCAAGTAACTGTGTTGGGAATACATGGGTAGATTCCCATGGCGGCCAGGAAGGTTGCTGCGTACTTTGCACCGACTGGCGCGTCACTAATGAGGATGCCAAAGCCGATGATGCCCAAGGACGAGACTAATATCGCGAATAGCCCTCGCTGTCGTGTCTTGTCCGCGATGAACCCGATTCCAATAGTCAGCAAAGCTGCTGCGACATACGGCGGGACCGACATCAGCTGTGCCGTGGTAGTCCGGTACCCTAGCTCAGCAAGAACTGTTCATTTTGGTCAGTAAGGCAAGCTTTACGAATCTCGAGCATGGCTTACTGGTAGGAAGAAATAGACTGAACGCATACAATCCTCCTCCGGCGCCCATGTAAACAAGACAGCCTGTGTATGTCTTCCAATCACGCAGGCTTGCCATGACATGTGCCCATTGGAATGATTCGTGCTCTGCACTCGATTGTTGATCTTTTTTCAAATGATGATAGACGCGCAGGCGATCCTCCTCAGAGAGGAAGGTTGCTTCGTCGGGGAAATCGTGAACCATCCAAATAGATATGACACCAATCATGATCGTGAGAAGTCCCTCCAAGATGAAGATCCACGCCCATCCCGGCTTGCCACCTACGTCGTGCATGTTTGTAATGGCCGCAGCCAGGAGTCCGCCAAAAGAACCGGCAATAGCTGCAGCACTGAAGAAGATAGCAGATCGAACACCAAATTCAGACCGCCTATACCAGCAGGAGAGGTAAAAGTTGCAGCCTAAAATTAGAGAGGGCATATAACCGGCATTCGTAGGGCGAACTTACCAGGGAACAGCCCAGCTTCGAACATGCCTAGAAACCATCGAGCTGTTGCCAGCCCGGCAAAGTTGTTGACCAATCCACAGCACATGCATGCAATACCCCAAATTACCACACTTTTAAAGATTCAGCAGCAAACGTGAAAGTTTCTCGCGCCACTTACATGGTTGGGATGTACCTGCTGGGACGGAATTTCTTCAGCAGTACATTGCTGACGGGTTCAAATACGCTGTAAGAAACAAAAAAGATAGCCAGAGATGCATTCCATTGCCCATCTGTCATATTCAAGTCTCGTTGCAAACCAGCGATCTTGGCATTTCCGATGTTGGTCCTGTCCAAAAATGAGATCAAGTACCTGTTGTATGGAAGAGTAGTTAGTTAATGGCATTATTGCAAGATCTATCGCAGATTATGTATGGTCGAGGTGCATGGGGTGCGCAAAGAATCAAAAACATTCTATCGGCTAAAGAGGATCACAATTTCTTACAGGAGACAAAGCCAAGGTATGAGATGGAGGTCAAGTTTCCAAAGTAATTGACGGTCCTGACAACCGCGATATTAGCCATACGCAACTATGATGGACATTGAAATGGAATGGAATGGAAAGGCACACCTTCTTTTGCCGCTCTTGTTCGCTCAAACCGGCATCAGGGTCGACTTCAATGGCTAAGGCTTCTGCCTTTTCACCAAAGGAGAGTGCTTGAACATGAACACTGTCAGGTTTGTCCATGGTTGATGGTATGTTCAGAATGATTGGCTGACAATGGGGGAGAGAATGGTGATAGAGTGCATGATATGAGGGTAGAAGAGATTCGTTTTATGATTTTCCCTGTCGGAGTGTGCCCGCCTCGCCTGATTCATATGTCTACCTGATACCCCACGGGGCAGATTCCAGGGATCGAGCGCATCCGATACAGTATCGGATGGGTGCAATGAAGACTCAAGTGGAGATCCGTACGGGACCGTACGGATGAGGCTTCTCTAAAGATTGATCAGTAGATGACCATGTTCCTGCGATACCTTTTCCCACACAGAAGATTGGCCGGAACTCAATATTCGCTTGACAAGAAAGTCTCCCCCAGAATGTCACGTCATCAAACGTACACCGCAGCGTCTAGACTTAACATCTTGCAGCGCCACGCGCGGGGCTCGGAGATAAGTGCCTCAATGTCGCGATTGAGCTCGAGAGAAACATTGAAAGACGAGGAGCTTCTAGACAACTTTGGGATGTCGAGGAGACGGAGCGAGTGAAAGGGGCGGAGGTACGGAGCGCAAAGAGCGGACAGCGGAGGACAGGCTGCGCTCCTCCGCACCTCGGATGATTCGATCGGTGACCATAAACACCTGCGAAGGCTCCACATCCTGGATTTACTTTTGGTCAAATTGATTTCCTCAAAACGGGGCGTGAGTCTTTGAGAGGGGTATGTGCTTCAAAGCGAGGTAGCGATTTGTAAAATGTACAGCCTGCTCTTATGGGTGATGCAGAGCCTTCACCATCATCACCGATGCTTAGAAATCGGTGGGAAGATAGGAGGTTGAGTTATGTAGACAAATACTTAGTTGAATCGTTGCCATAATCATGCGGTCGATATGTTAAAGGCTTCTAACAGAATTTGAGCATGATGTCGGCGATGAATCAAATTAGCAAGGTGACTATCATTGGGGTATGTATGTTCCCAGCTAAAACATTGAAGTACTCCTTCTCACCAATCATACAGGCTTCTGGACCCCTCGGCACAATTGTTCTTCATGGATTTCTGCGACTATCGTCTTTCAAGATTACGGTCTTGGTCAGAAGCTCAAGCCCTGCCTCCTTTCCTCCCCAAGTCTCCGTTGTCAAGGCCGATTACAATTCTGAGTCAGAGTTAGTGAAAGCATTTGAGGGTCAGGATGCTATTATCAGTACCGTTGGGGCAGCCGCCTTCCTTGACCAGAAGGTCCTTATTGATGCTGCCATCAAGGCCAAGGTTCAACGTTTCATCCCCTCCGAATTCTCCAGCAATACACAAAGTGCTGCGGTCTGCGATCTAGTGCCAGTATTCGGAACCAAGCTGGAGGTCTTAAATTACCTGAAAGAGAAAGAACACACGGGCTTGAGTTGGACTGGATTGGCTGTAGGTCCCTTATTTGACTGGGTATGTTTCTAGGATTGGTTCTGTTCGCATTTCACACTGACAGCGTCCAGGGCCTCAAAAATGGATTTCTCGGGTTTGATATCGCTAGCAAGAAGGCCCGAATCTGGGATGAAGGTTCAGTTCCATTCTCAGCTACGAACCAGGACGACGTTGCAAGGTCATTGATAGCCATCCTACAGAAAGCATCAGAGACAGCAAACAGATATCTCTACGTTGAGACAGTGGCGGCGTCTCAGAACCAAATCCTCAAATCCCTTGAGCTGGCGTCAAAACAAAGCTGGTCCGTGGAGAGAGTGAACACCTCTGATATGGTAGAGGAGGGAAGGAAGCAGGTGGCCGCGGGTGACTTTACAGGCAACTTCCCACTCGTACAAGCATCTATATGGAGCAACTTGGGTGGTCTCAGATCGAATTATTCAGTCGATGAGGACTTGTCGAATATGTTGCTGGGTCTGGAATCTGGTCATCTGGATGCCCTCCTGGATAGTATTGTCAATTCTACTGGGAAACCATAGGTCAAGTCTGGAGATATTTTTAAGGCAATCAGGGCCACTGATCCTAGAAGTGAACAATATAGATCATTCCGAACATAGCAAGTTGGCCCCAAAGCCTTAATTTGGCCTGCGCATATGGAAAGTGAAGCAATTATAGTGGCTAGATGAATTCTCTGTCACTTCTATGCGACCGTTCCTAACTATTTCGCTTGACAATGTCCACAATCCAGGCTGCTGTTTCTGAAGAAGCAGTAAAATTGGGACAATGATCAGCGTTGATTTTGGTAACATGCACTTTGTTCCCACTCGCCTTCTCAATGATGTCGATTCCATCCTGCTGAACGTCGGGGGGAATACACTTGTCGATTTCACAAAAGAGGTACGAGACGGGTACGTCCTTATAGCCTGGATGGGTCAAAGGATTGGTAAAGCTGACGGCTGAGTGTTTTGGAAACTTCCTGACCCAGCTAGTAGCAACTTCGAGCGGCTGTGTCTGCATGATAATGGCAGCGGTGATCTCAGGTTTCCCTTGTGACATCCAGCCGTCGTCCTACAGAAACGATCGATGACAGGTCAGCAAAGAAGATTCGATAAGCAAACGACTCATTCACGGACGATGCTCAATCTAGTATAACAACAAAAACGACACATGACGACGTCAGATAATATTGACTCACCCCAATGTTCATCGGCGTCTTGCCCTCATCCGGGACTTTAGACAACACATCACGAGCCGAGCCGCCCACTGCAGGGACCAAACAGGTCATGTAACCAAGAGCGACGAGTCCCCCTTTCTTCCCCTGTGTCTTTCTTTGATCCTTGCTCAAACCCTTGGTCGACTCAGAGACAGGTACACCTCCATACGAGTGACCCAACAAGATGACGTCGCGGCCTTGATCAGCTAGCTTCTCCACCTCACCCGCAATATACGCTGCATCATCGTACATGGTCGGTGGCGCGACATTAGGTCGGCCCTCGCCAGCACTTAACCCTACGGTAGGACTGTGCAGTGCGGTGATCTCAACTTCACCGGCACGGACTATGGCGAAGAGGTCATCATAGAACTCAGGTAGAGCAAAGGAGCCAGTTACGAGAACGACGACTGGCGGAGCCATTTTGAAAGTTGGAGACTTTGCCGAGCGATGAGAGATGAAGATGAAGAAATTGATAGGTGTGTAGAATGAAGTAACCAAAGTCAGTTATGGATGTGGGAATGTGAACTAAGATTTGACTGTGGGAACATTAATAGTTTTATATTTCATCTATCACTAAATGCGTCAGAAGCCCCTCGGCTGTCTTCAAGCCCTTCCTGGACTTTATCCGGCCTCAATTTGTGGTTCATTGCGTAACTTTGGCACTGAGTAATGATGTTTTGACGCGAGTTTCTGACCGTCAGAATTTAATGAGGATGATATCTGGGGTGGCCGAGGGGCTTTGGTGGAGAAATGCTGGCCCGAGGAGCCCCTCGGCCGTAGCCCGACAATGCCCTGCCCCTACCAGCTCCTTAGGTATGCTTCTCTGTATTTCTAATGCTTCTGCGAAGCGCGGGGAAGTATTGCTCCTTTCCAATTTATTTGACAGGTACTGTCACACTGTATACAGTACCTTACTCATATGTAATGGTTTCTCTCCTCTCACAATCACTTCGTCTACCATCTCGACGGATCAGCCGCAAGCTTCGATCCCTGAGCGCGCGTTGACTTTTAAGCTGCCATTTTAATGTGCTGTGGGACTATCTATGCTCTTAATCACTCTCTAACTTTAGTAAGCGCTGAATGGGCATCTATTGTTAGCATATTTCTACAGAGATGTCGCCGACTGAGGTAAACCCAGTCCTTGGCAACTCCCGTCTACCAAGGGTTGCGCCAGGACGGAGCTGCATTGCCTGTCGTAAGCGAAAAATCAGATGTGACAGGATTCAGCCATGTGGCTACTGCACCAAAATTCGCGTTCAATGCGTCTATCCAACTCCAGAACATGAAGTCCTCAAACCTCCAGCTGATGACGTCCTCGCGAGACTGCGGCGTATTGAGGCATCGATGGCGAGGCTAGAAGCCAGAGGTGCCATTGAGACATCCCCAGAAAATCAACCTACACCGGACCATCACCTTATCTCAGCACCAGGCAACGGAATGAATAAGAAAGAAACCCTCCCGCAGAGTGGAAGATTGCTCGTTGAACAAGGTGATACCCGGTTCGTGAACGGGAGTTTCTGGAACGCTTTAGAAGACGAAGCAGAACTACAAGAACTGCCATCCGAATCATCGTCTGTCCAGCAGGCAAACGCAGCATCATCTTCCATCCCGCTGACTGCCCAGCCTAATGAGAATCTTAACAATCACTACCAACGCTTCATTTTCGGCATGAGCATTTCTCCAAACCCAGGTGGCCTGGCTCATTTGCACCCACCAGAAGCTAAAATCTTCAGTTTGTGGCAAATCTATCTCGAAAATGTTGATCCACTTCTGAAACTACTTCACGTTCCAACAACCCAATGTCAACTCCTCAGAGCTACGGGCCATCTGGCCGCTATTCCTCCTCCAATGGAAGCTCTCATGTTTGCAATATACTATGCTGCAGTCACCAGTTTACAATGCCCGATGGCCTCCAAATCCCTCTTGTTCGAGGAACGCTCAGTCCTCCTCGACCGTTACAGGACTGGTATCGAATGCAGCCTAGCGAGAGCGAATTTCATGATTACTCCAGATGTGCCCACTCTACAAGCTTTGACTCTTTGGCTCATATGTGCAAGACAAGCTGTCGACAAGACGTACGTTTGGTCCTTGGTGGGCCTGTTACACCGCCTAGCAACCAAACTTGGCTTGCACCGTGATCCCGCGACTCTAGGGCTCCCACCTTTCATGGCAGAGATGAGAAGGCGATTGTGGTGGCACATCTGCATACTCGACGTTCGCACAGCCGAGGACAACGACATGGATCCCTTGATTTGTGAGCATAATTTTGACACAAAGTATCCTTCCAACGCTAATGATAGCGACCTCGATCTTGACATGACCAATCCCCTTGGAGAAAATCATAATCGCACTGAAATGCTTTTCTGCTTCACAAGATTCGACATCAGCTACGCAGCAAGGAAGGTTGTCTTTTCGCAAAAATTCACGGTTGACAATGGCTATGCAATTTTGAACTTGGCTGAGAAAACGTCCTTTATCGATGCTCTTCTCAAGGAGTTGGATGACAAACATCTCAAATATTGCGACAAAAAGATCCCAATATGCTTTTTGACCTTGACGGCATCGCGCTTGATTCTCGCCAAGATGAAACTCACGATTCATCGCCCCAGTCGCAACAATTCATCAACATTAACTGAAGAGCAAAAAGAAGATTTGGTCAACAGTAGTATTGACATCATTGAATATGCGCATGATCTGAGGAGCAATGACAAATACTCTCGTTGGGTGTGGTTGTTCCAGCAATATGTTGAATGGGACGCCGTCGCCTTTCTCCTCCACAGCCTCGGTGTATCGCGTCGACCATCTCATGATGGCAGAGCCTGGGCCGCGATCGATGGCTTTTTCAGAGACTGGAAAGATCATATTCCCAACGGTCTTCGTGAACGAAGGTGGCAAAAGCTCCTGTCCCTTTTAGCCCAGGCCAAGGCCAATCGCGGAGATGATTCTGAACGCGGCATTCCTTATGAACCAGGTGTCCGTGATTCTCCTGTTGCACAACATCGAGTCAACCCCACGGACATTCCAGATTCACATCTGACTCGATCCCAAAGGCAGAACTACATGCCTGGCGTGGGGACATGGGAATCATCGATGCACATTTCTGATAACGATCTCGTTCCCCGGCCGACCGAGGGATTGCTTTCATCGAATTTCAACCAGGCAGAACTCAGCGTCCCGCCTTCGTCGACAGACAATGTTGCCGTCGATTGGAATTTCGATAACATCCCATACTCGACCCACAGCCTAGTAAATTGGGAGATGGACATTGATGACACTGGATTCTATTCATGGCTATAGCTTGAAATGGTCCTAGTGTCCCTCTAGTGCCTCTAGATGGCTCAAGTTTCGACCAGCTGGCTCCTCAACATATGCAGCCTTGACGAGGTTGTGACGATCCAGGAAGGCGCCGTTCTTCATCAAGTGAATCCTCACATCGGCTGCATCGGGATCCGCATTATTCATCGCTCTCAACGCAGCTGCTATTCCTGCGGCCTGACCTGTTGCCAAAGCCGTTCCCATCACTCTGAATGCGCTGCTAGCAGCCCTGTCTCCGTCGATGCAACGACCAGCACAAAAGAGGTTGACCGTATCCTCACTCCATAGTGATCGAAGCGGGATATCAAAAGTGCCGCCAGGAGGAGCTTGAAAAACGATTGGCCAGTCCTCCTTCGTACTATCATGCCACTCCATGTACCAGGCTCCGATGACCACGGCGTCTTCAAAGTTCCGCCCTTCCATGATATCCTTCTCGGTTAGCTGGTATCTACAGTTGATATGCCGCGATTCTCTTGTGCCAAAGTTAGGCCCGGTGGATGCCAAATACATCTTTTCATGCCCTGGAAGCCTCCGCAGTATGTCAAGATAGACCTTTGCTTGTCTCCGACCTTGTCGCTCCGCAGCCGCGATACTGGCGCTGTTTGTGGCATCATATTGCGCCGACGCCATGTATGTGCTGATGTCACCCGAGCCGGGCATCTTAATGAGAACCCCTACGTTTCGGGGAATGATTTTCTTCAGGTCCGGATTGGCCTCTTTTGCTGCGATGATCGCGTCACGCCATAATGCTGATGTTGGGTTTGCATGCTTGAGGCCTCCAAATCGAGTGGCAAGTGAGCCCATGTTGACATGGCCGTGGTTACCATATCGCGTTGAAGCACCTCCGTGAAATGCCAAATCACCATCTCCAGAGCAATCAACAAACGCTTTAGCAAAGACCTTTCGTCGACCTCGCCGCTCTTGGACTTCAATGGCAGTCATTTCGCTGTGGTCACGTTGTCCACCAACAACGCTGCAATGAAGGAGGACATCAATGCCATATGACAATGTCAAGTCGTCCAAAACCCGTTTCAATCCTTCAGGGTCAAAGTTCTGTGGTTTATCAGCGGAACGAATAAAATTGACCCCCAAGCATTTCATCGCCTACCTGGACATAAGCGACGATTCGATCAGGAGTATCTGCTGCAGCGCGCTCCTCAACTAGCCTCTCATGAATCTCAGCCCAGATACGGCCAATGGCTCTCCTGGGCTCATCCTCAACGCTATAAATTCCACAAAAGGACAACACTCCGCGATGTGTTGCAGCACCCCCCAGACAACCCTCAGACTCTACTATCAAAACACTGGAGGTTGGTGATGCTTGTCGGGCACCAATTGCTGCTCCTATACCTGCCATCCCGCCACCAACAACGATCACATCATATTTGCCGATGTCAACGCCCGCAATTGAGGAATGAGACCCATTTTCAAATCCAGTGTCGGTTTCATCGAGTGGGGTCCCATACGGCATATTGAATGAATCACGCGGGAGTATCATCCTGAAAGCTCAGAGGGCAGATGAATCCGGGGTTCGAAGATGTGAAGGTGATTCTATCCACTGGTTATAATTCCTGAGATTTGTCCCTTGCAAGTCATAGGAGCTAGAGGAAACACTATGTACTTAGAGTAGCCTGTATGGCTGTAAGGCGACTGTCGGATCTATTCAATGTACGACCACGTGACCAAATATTTGCCTTGGCCACGATCAGGGGCTGACCGGCCGGGGCGGCTCCGCCCTCCGCTCCGTCCTCCGCACTGATGACCATCAATTACAGGCATAATCTGGCAGATGATCATACTCCATGCCTGTCGTTCGGGTCCTTGGGACAAGATGGTATTAGAATTTGCATCATGCTCGGATAGGAACGATTGGCATCGGCAAAGGGAGCTCATCTTGCGGGGAAGTATCATTCTAGACGTAACCGCCCAACGAGGCCTCTCTGGTTTGATGAACTTGGCTCAGAGATCCAACCGCTTGGGCAGGCATGGGACGTGATTGCAATTGTACTTGAGGATCTCTTGTTCTTCAGCTCAAGACTTGAAATCAAAGATTGACGCTTACTCCTGCCATCTTAGAATCATCATTATGGCAGTTTTAGCAAGCATGCTACCTCTGCAGCAACTTCTACCCATGACCAATGTCTACCTCGCGCTGGTCTTGATTCCTGTGTATGAAGTCTTCTGGATTATATACTGTCGGTTCTTCCATCCTCTGTCTGACATTCCAGGCCCGTTGTTTGCATCCTTCTCCCGGCTTTGGATGGGGTTTTCGGTCATTGGAGGGCGAGCAGAGTATACGCAACGGAAGCTTCACGAAAAGTACGGTCCTCTGGTCCGTATTGCGCCAAACGAGGTCGCCGTGTCGGATCCCTCCGCGATCAAGATCATTTACAACATCAAATCAGGCTTCACCAAGACGGATTTCTACACGCCACACGCCCCAAAGATCAGCCCTCATGGAGATCATTTCAGCCAGTTGGACGAGGTTCGACATGCACAAAGGAGAAAATATGTCAACTCAATTTACTCCATGTCTACCATCTTGGAAAGTGAAAAATACATCGATGCCTGTAGTGATGTATTTATGGAGAAAATGAAGGGTTTCGCCAACAAGGGCGAGACTATCGATTTGGGAGAATGGATTCAATGGTAAGTGAAAAATATATGATTTATGACGACGAGAGCGGCTGTTGCGGTAAAAGAGTAGTACGGAATCTAACGTCGTAGCTAGGTACACATTTGATGTTATCGGAGAGCTATTCTTTGGTCGACAATTTGGCTTCATGCGCGACGAGCATGACTATGGCCAATACATCCAAAGTCTTGACACTTTACTGCCTACTCTGACGATTTCCTGCATTTTACCGTCTTATCTCCGTGTTTTTCATTCCTTCATTGGTCTCCTCGTCCCCGCCATTCGAAAATCTTTCAATGGTTTTGATGATATCCGGAAGGCCGGGAAGCATTGGACCAATGTTCGTAAGCAGCAAATGGAGACACAGAAAGCTGGGCGAGTCGACTTATTGGATAAATTTTTCAAGATCAAGGACGACAAAGAAGGATGGGACATCCCAGACATTCAAAATGAAGCTTGTGTTGCCATGTGAGTGTTCGTTGAGATAAACGGATCCCTTGGAGAAAATCAACTGACCGGGCATGAATTATAGTTTTGCTGGGAGTGACACGACTGCCATCGCGATTCGCTCAATCATCTACCATTTGTTGAAAGACAAGAGGTGCATGGACAATCTTGTAGCTGAGATCGATGATTTCGACGCACGCGGATTGCTAAGCACTCCCCACATCAAGTACAACGAGGCCACCAAAATGCCGTACTTGGTCGCGTGCTGCAAAGAGGGCATGCGGGTTCATCCCAGTGTGGGACTTGGAATGCCACGACACGTTCCCGAAGGAGGCGCCGTGATTGCAGGGAGGTACTTTGTCGGAGGAAGCCGAATCTCTATGAACGCTGCCGTTGTCCAGTTTGATGAATCGGTCTTTGGTGAAGACGCTGGGAGATTCAATCCAGATCGATGGATCGATGGCAATGCAGCGTTTATGGACCGTCACATGTTGCACTTTGGCGGCGGATCGAGGACATGTATCGGAAAGAACGTAAGTTATTCAAAGAAGACCCTTCAACTCATCCCTCATGTGCTCTTCTAACGGTGGCAGATTTCTCTCGCTGAGATGCACAAGCTCATCCCACGGCTTCTTCGCGAGTTTCGGATTGAACTGGCTGATCCTACCCAGGACTGGAAGACACACAACTTCTGGTTCAACAAGCAAACTGGAATAAAGGTCAAGCTATCTGCTAGGAACAAGTGAGACTATGGGGGGCCATCATTCAAGCTCAAACGGAGATAATAAAAGGGCAAGTATCAATTGGTATCTCGATGGTTAAAAAGAGAGCTAAGACAGAGACCAATGGTTCAACAATCAATATAGAAATGCAAACGGCGAAATGCAAAGAAACTTACAAATTCAGAGGAGAAAGGATATCTTCTGGTTTTGTGAAACTTTAGTCTAGCAAGTCATGTTAAATTTAGGCGTGTAGACTCGAAATGCGGATACCAGTAATACATAGCAGCCCCCATTATCGATAAAACGCTAAACAAAGCCCGTGCAGATCTGCCTTCGCAGTTCGTATATCAAACACGGATGTTCAAATACTGCATCATCTCCCTTCTATCGCTTTGGCCAAGTGGGCCAATTAGGGGCTGAAGCTGAGCACGTGAAGAAGAGCCTCGCACGTGACTCCACAATCTAGATCTTGTCATCTTCGCCATTCACCCATCAACAACAAGACGAGAACCACCTCAATTCTGGTGCTTCCTGGAGGACAAGATGAAATCTTCATCCACTATTGGCCTGAGTAGTGCCTTGTCACTCCTCTCACAGTTAGCATTTCCTGTATCGGCGGCCGAGCCAGCCACATCGCCACCTTTGACACCATATATTTCAACGTTGCTGCCACCTTCTACACCAGCTCTGAACCTGGAGAGCTGGCGTTCGCAGCTGCAACTTGACGCATCCCCGCTACGGCCAAGGATCCACCGGATCTACCTGTCAGGTCGCTTGGAATGCAACGGGACTGTCAATGTGTGCGAGAGCTTCGACGAGGCTTTCGCCAAGGGATATCATGTTCTAGAATCACAACAACAGTCTCCGCCCAACAACTACGATAATGGTCAGTCTAATGACGCTATATATCAGCCACCAGTTTCCATATCATATATCGACTGCGATGCCGAACCGATCCTATGCCACTCGTGGCTGCTGAAGCCACCTGCCATCATGCACATTACTGTGACACCTAGGACCGGGGAGGACGACAAGAAGGCCATTCCTATCCTGATGCGGCCTATCCGTCTGGCGCCCAGCAACCGTAGCAGAGTGGTTGACGACGACGAGGGCGGTGGTGACAACAAGGACGACGAGCTGTACAGTTCGATGACGCCGATGAGGGCACAGCAGCGACTGATCCCCATCATCAATGGGGCACGGCCGATCACGTCGTTTCACCCATGGGATGGCCTGATGAACCCGTTCACGGGCAAGTTGGGCAGATTGGGTCTTAATACAAAATGGGGCTGGTTGACGCACCATTATGGCTGGCTGCCCATCACTCGGCAGTCCTTTTTCATGTGTCTGCTTGCGCTGGCAAGGCTGGCCATCTGGCTTTGGGGTCCGAAGCCGAAGCAGCAAGCCGGTAATTCTCTCGCCGATAGAATCGTTCGCCCGGGCGCGTTGGGTCACCCATCGGATGGAGATTTGCCTTTGGATCAGGGCTCCGGCGAGGGAGATGGCCTTGATTCTGGAAATGGGAAGCAGATGGGCATTGCCGAACAGGAGGGGAAGAAGGATCGTTGACCTCGTTTGCGTCTCTAGTCAAGTGCCCTGGATGGTGGGCGATATATTGGACATGATGAACGTGGTAATGTGAATGCACGACCGCATGCAACTACAAAATCGTCTACAAAGACCACACTGTGGGAGGAATTACGGGAGCATTGTGGCCTGACACCGTAATGCAGAGAAGATGGCATGTAAGATTGAGTAAACAGATTTTTCTCAAAGAGGATTCAATGTACAGGTTGGCTTTGTCGCAACGCTCCTCTCCGACCAATCTCCCTTCGAGCTTGGGCACCATCTTCTTGGACGCAACAAAGGAGAAAGATTTTGGACCCGCCCCTTGGACACACATGGTTGCTGCATCACAATCTATCTGAAGACTTTGGTTCCATCTATGACTGTTCGAGTTCTGCCAAGATCTTCTCACCCTTTGCGCGAGCGCTCTCAAAGTCACCAACCATGTAGAAAGCACCTTCAGGAAGATCATCGCCTTCACCGTTGATGATCTTTTGGAAAGAGCTGATGGTGTCCTTGAGATCGACAAGCTTGCCCTCGATACCAGTGAAAACTTGGGCGACGGTGAAAGGCTGGCTCAAGAATCTCTGCAGCTTACGAGCACGCTCGACGGTCAACTTGTCTTGTTCAGACAACTCATCCATACCCAAAATGGCAATGATGTCCTGGAGCGACTTGTACTCTTGCAACATCTGCTGAACTCGGGAAGCAGTGTCGTAGTGTTCTTGGCCAACAACACGAGGATCCAGCATACGGGACTTGGAATCCAAAGGATCGACAGCAGGGTAGATACCCAACTCGGAGATACCACGAGACAACACAGTGGTGGCGTCCAAATGGGCAAAGGTGGTGGCAGGAGCAGGATCGGTCAAATCATCAGCGGGCACGTAGACGGCCTGCACTGAAGTGATGGATCCCTTTTGGGTGGTAGTGATACGTTCCTGCATGAGACCCATGTCGACGGCAAGAGTGGGTTGGTAACCGACGGCAGAGGGAATACGGCCCAAAAGGGCAGACACTTCGGAACCGGCTTGCGTGAAGCGGAAGATATTGTCAATGAAGAGCAACACTACCCCATGTTAGTGAAAGTCTGGTGTTCTGAGCGCATTATGACCACATACCATCCTGTCCTTCCTCGTCACGGAAGTATTCAGCAACGGTCTAAATTGACATGAATTAGCCCCAAAGATCGTATCAAACACACATGCCAAAGTTCAACACTTACCAAGCCAGTCAAAGCCACACGAGCACGAGCACCAGGAGGCTCGTTCATTTGACCGAACACCAGGGCGACCTTAGACTCGCCATCAAGCTGAATGACGGAGGTCTCTTGCATTTCGTGGTACAAATCGTTACCCTCACGGGTACGCTCGCCGACACCGGTGAAGACAGAATAACCACCATGGGCCTTGGCAATGTTGTTCTGAGACAGGTTAGTATTTGTAGCAAGGCTGGGATGTGGATATGACTGACAATCAGTTCTTGAATAAACACAGTCTTGCCGACACCAGCACCACCGAAGAGACCAATCTTGCCACCACGAGCATAGGGAGCAAGAAGATCGACGACTTTGATACCAGTAACCAACACCTCAGCAGAAGTGGCTTGGTCAACGAATTCAGGAGCGTCAGCGTGGATAGGTGCGAGTTTGGTAGCCTTGATTGGTCCTCGCTCGTCGATGGGATCACCAGTGACGTTCATGATACGGCCCAAGGTGCCAGGTCCGACAGGAATTCGGATGGGATAACCGGTATCTGTGGCCTTTCTTCCTCGAACGAGACCTTCGGTACCTTGGTTGACAGTCAGTAGGCAGTTTCCAAGTCGTAGTAGTAGGCAGTCTCACCATCCATGGCAATTGTTCGAACGACATTTTCACCCAAATGTTGCTAATCTAGTCAGTCCTGACACAATGATCATCTTTCCTGTTCAATGTTCGTACCGCGACTTCCAAAACCAATTTTTGACCATTGTTGTCGGTTTCGAGGGCGTTAAGAATGGGAGGAAGCTGATCCGAGTCGAATTTGACTAGATGAATGGCATCAGTATCAGTATATAAAGGTAAAGGGGAGGGATTATGTGTTGCCGAGCTTTGTAGGAGCTCCAATCCGCAGCTAAGGAGAATTTTCTTACCATCGACGACGGCACCAATGACCTGATGAATCTTGCCGTCCTTTGCAGAATCCGTCGAGGCCCATCTCTGTGCGAGGGCTGGACCAGCTTGTTTTCGTAGAGGTTCGAACGCGCGTCGAGTAAATGAAGGTCGGGCAAAGGCAGACCTGCCCAAGCTACGGGCAATGCCGCTGTAGAAAATTGTCAGCCAGTGAGCCAGGAGCTTCAGTAAGCTCAGTAAGGACGAGAGCAGGAGCGGACTCACTTCTTGAGCATGTTTGCAGATGGCGAGAGGGTTGGAAATGAAAGGGTAGAGAGGAGAGTGGTTGAGGTTAGGAGCAAGAAGAGAAGGATGCTTGCAATTCAATTCGAGCTCTGGCTTTCCGAAGCAAAGAAATCTGCTAGGCCTAATCGGGAGATCTAACTGGGTGAGAAATGGGTGAGCTGACAAGTGTGAACCCGAGGTCGGAGCGGCCCATTTGGTCGAGACATTGATGCCAAGATTACCGTCAGACGATGAATAACTCCTCCGGCTCCAAGATGCTAGTTTTTGTGCTAGCAGAGCATCATAACGACATCCAGTCAGTAGGAACTGTTTATGCCAATACAACACTGAACCTTCTACACACATGCATCTACCTCGACATGGCTCTGTACCCCAATACTACTTACTGCTCATCAAAGCTATAACACAAGGTAGATGGGAAAGAAAAAAACGACACGTTGGGTTAATTAACCTATTTGTGCGTGCCTATGTACAATCTTAACAGACCCTTCAATGCCACTTCTGTCACAAAGCAGCCTTCAAGTTGGCGGTTGAATCTTTCTGTATTCACAAAACTTGGGGCCTCTCCCTTTCATCTGATACTAGTGACATTGTAACTTCGATTTGCTCTCAACTTGTGGAATCCCATCCTCTCCACCCTAATTGTCTATTCAGCATCAAGATCAATGCCCCTCTCTTTAGCTGATTTGCTCTGAACATGGCCCTTGCCCTTGTATCCTTCGCTGCTAATACCGTAGATGGGATTGCTCTTCTCGCGCTATAGAAGGTGCATTAGTATAACCAGGGTTGCGGGAGGACACACTGGTTTTTGACAGTGGTGAAGGATGTTTGAGGACACTCGTACCTTGAGATATTCGTTGGTGGCTTCTTGCCATTCCTTTGTCATGGTCTTTGGCTCTGGTCTGGCAAAAGAGTGCACGATGGCGAATAAACCAAGTGAGGTGAGGATACCAATCCCCGTGTATATGAATATCTTTGTCCATTCACCTGGTGGTGCCTCAGCTCGAGGTCCATGAGGTCCAAACGCAATCCACCAAGCTGCAAATGGTCAGCATAAATGCGCATTATACCGGGACAGAGGGCATCAGGCTGTGCATGTTCCACGGTGTGTGTAAAAACAACCGAAAACAAGCCAGGCGCGTCTGTTCGATTGAGAATGTTTCCATACCAACTTTCTTCTCTTGCAGAGTCAATTCCTTCCAGTCGACCTTCATACGATCTCTCAATTGCATCCACAGCTCGGCCTGGTCCTGAGGCGGGAGGCCTTCCCACCGCTTTTCGATTCCAGCCAAGGTAGGATTCGAGATGGCATGGGCGGACCGTACCTGCGACTGGCTGGTGATGGGAGCTTGGTGCATAGCGGTAAAGGCGGGAGCCAGTGAGCTCGCAGAAGATTGGAAGCCTCTGACGGAGCAGACGGTGCTTTTGGAGCAGGATCTAGCAACGGTGCTGGAAGCACGAGCGGCACGGGGTAAAGAGTTGAGAAACATGTTGTTTTGACGTGTCGAGGGTGTTTCAGTACATGCAAGATGGATGGAGGCGGGGAAGCAACGAAGCCTTGAGCTCCGAGGCCAGTCTTGCAAGGAGTTGAGGGTGAAGTGAGCTTGATTGAGATGCAACAATGGGTGGTCGGAAGTTGATAGACTGCAACCTCGAAGTCGATGAACCAGAGGGAGCTCAAGTCTTGGCGCTGGCAAAATTACCTGCAACTCATAACCCTTTCGTCACACCACATTTGGATTTCTGCCCGCTTGCGCCGTAATTTTCCGTATGGATACGTTTCGTGATACAAATCCACGTCTCGCGATTGGACTGTTGCTGTGATCACTGCATTTCGGTCAGATCCATTTCAACCCATGTCCAACCAGCATTACAACACCAGTGCCAGTCCGGCGTACCGAGCTCTTGAACAGGGCCATGAGTGAGCAGATGTCCTCTACAATGCACGTTAAAAGGTATGAACGAATGGGGTCTCATAGATCAAAGACGCTGCAGGATAGCCACGGGAATCAAATGCGCAGCAAAACACCATCACCGCCAAACGAGCCAGCCATCCTTCGTTTGTTTGGTTGTACCTCTACAAAGACAAATCACTGCGCATAGATATAGCCCATGCGTCAAGGACATAAAAACACTTGGGACTTTCCGAGACCATTGACCTTATCATGTTTGTGTGGATGCTTCAAAGTTCTATCATCGTCATATGGCGCGGGATATTGAGTGCTCTCCAAGGATGCATCCTCGTTGAACGAACTGCTACCGCTTTGCATCAGGGATGGTTGACATGTCTCATTCCACCACCTGTTGGAAACTTGCCAGCTGGCGCAATAACTGGTGCGTCGGGGTTGCCATCTGGTCGCAGTCGGACTACATCTGATCAGATCGTGCCCTTGCCCTTGCTGGCCTCCTTGAGCAGATCGGCCCATTCCAACTCGCCGGGGTCGTTGGCCTGCCAGTTCATGGCAATGCCGTTGAGAGCATTCTTCAAGGTCTCTCGGGAACTAGCATAAACCATGCGGGACTTGGGAGAAGGATTAGTGTCATTGTTGAGGATGGAGGCTTATTTCCGTACCTTGACTCCGGTGGCATCCTGATTGATGTAGGTGATGAAGGCGATTTTGGATCTGGGATGTTGACTCAGTGTCTTAGACCTTGTGACGGCCGCACGTGCGCTCCCTGTACACTGGGCGGCACTCACCTCTTGCCTTCTCCACCCTCGAGTTCGAATTCGACGTCGTAGACGGCATAAGATGGTCTGTCTTTTCCAGATGGCTCTTTCTTGGCGATAAGCTTCTCTCTGAATGTGTCGTAGTCGGGCTCTTTGCCCGTCTCGTCTACCACAATTTCCTTCTGATCATCGGAGATCTTGTAGATGATGTATTTGGGGCCACCACGGCCGAGTTTGAGCTCATTGAAGGCAGAGACGCATTCCGGGTTGACGGAAAGTCTGGTTTCAGAGGACAGGTCAGAAAATAGGAGGATTGGGAGGTAGTGGTCGCATGGGGACAAGGACGTCCAACATACCCAGAAACAGGCTAAAGGACGATTAGCTCGTGAGACAGGAGAGACAATAGAGGGCGCTTACCATGGCTGTGATAGAACAGAGGTACTATGCTGATATTTGGAGGGAGGTCTAGAAAAGAGTCAGTTGGGCGGTGTGTTTGCTGTGGGTGCAAAGTGGTGCTCAGAGGGGTGAGACGTAGATGGAAAGTGGACAACAAAGAATGATCTTAGTGAGCGCGAAGGGAGAGAGAGGTGAAGCAGGCAACACTGTGTCAAGGAGTGGCGCCATGGAAATTACGTACCTGGATTGCGACTTGGGTGCTTGAAAGGAATAGCAGGCACAGCGTCAAAGTTGTGATGTTGAAGGTTTACTTCAAAGAATGGGAGGAGGTGGGAGGACTTAAAGAATTGAGTTTCGCAGTGATTGCGTACCTACAGATGATTAGGATGGTGGGGTGTTGTGGGCGTCTGAGTACCTAGGGTGAGTAGGGTGAGCAGGTGCGCATACATACAGCCACGACAGGGTCTGGAGAGTCACTTGTTTTGACACGGTAAGTGGTAAGTGATGCAGTGTGATGAATGAGGGGCGCTTTGATGGCAAGACTGTCAGCCTCTCCGTGGTGGCTGAGTACGGAGTAGTACTAGGCACTCTCACACTGCACGGCACTGCGACTACGGAGTAATAATAACTCGTAGGTCACAACTAGCTGGAGCCTTCATAGCCGCTTGACCCGCAGCTGGGGGGTGTGTTGGCAGGGAGATGTCGCTTCACTTGCCTGAATGTGCCACTAGATTTACGTATGGTGACTGTAGCCACGGGACCGAGGGGCCCTCGGGCTACTTCGTATACCTGTAATGCCACAAATATGTAGTTGGGCTGCACCTGCTGAACCCTGCACCCCACCGTTGACTGCACTACGGAGGGCCATCTTGCCATCATGACCACTGGACAACTCTTGCTCCCCTTCTACCCTGTGTAATCAACCTATAATGTGCACTCTCAAATATCTCCTGATCACATCCGTGGGGAATTGTTCCAGACCGAGAGAATCAAACCTATTGATCTGGCCAGTCAACAAGCCATGTCATAACAACTAGAAGCTTGTGATGACTGAGGTCCTGTGGGTGGGCATGGAAAGCATCACATTTGCCCGAGAAACTCCAATATGATTTCCTATCTTGGATTCTCGAACGTGAGAGTGCGGAAGGACCAAAACGACAAGAAGACTGCCCGACGGTGAGAACTTTGACTTTTTCACTGCTTTTCTGCCATCAATTTGCAACCTCGCCTCACTGTCGAGCATTTTCAACCTTGGAGGTTTGTCTTGCCTTTCCTTTCCCTTGCCATTTCCAACAGCAGGTTCGTCAAGTATACACTTGAACCATCTCCCAGATATCTGAATTCCTCTCCTATCGTCGACCAGAACCGCCAGTGTCCCGCAGATAATCCAATTGACAACATCATCCACGACAAGAAACATGTCTGCCGTCTGGAATGAGATGACCGAGAAGATCCTGCTTCTTGCTGTGATTGAATTCCCAGATGGCGTCCCTAGAGCTCGTTTCGAAGCTGCAGCAATGAGACTTGGTGGGGCTTTCACTTGGAACGCTTGCCGGTGAGTGCTACATGTTTCCTTCTCTCAATCCCTTCTATTTTCTTTCAACCTCCCCGCGTGACTTGGTCTCTTCTCTCGATATCCGCCTCATAAAACCCCCAATTCTTCGCATCAACACGCCCACAGCACCATCTCCCACACAAACACCCTTATCCCTTGTTTCATTCACTATGCCTGGCCCTTGGAACGATGCCACTCACCAAAGACTTTTGCTGGTTCTCATCGACCCTGAAAAGAAACCTGATTGGAAATGGGTCGCTGAGATCATGGGTCCTGGGTTCTCTGATGAGGCCTGCCGGTATGTTCTTGACCCCAATACCCTGGCTCCATATTCGCTGCTTCACTTGCAGGCTGAATCAAGCTATGTCGCATACCTTCTGTTTTCCAAAAGCTGTCACATGGTTTGCTGCCCATTTCTGCCGCCTTGCCCCCGACCTGATCTTCCACAGATCTCAAATTCATGCCCTGCTCATTCCCCAAGCTCTTGTTGATTTTTCTTTTCGCTTCGTATTTGTTCCATCGCCTCAACACCTGGATGTTCCCCCATCAGCCATCTCTGTCAACCTCCACTCATACTCAAATCCAACATGCCTTTCAAATGGGACTCGGAGGCCGAGCGAAACCTTCTTGTGTTCACGCTTGCCGAGATGAGTGCCCCGCCAGCTACCACATGGGCCAGAGTTGCTGAAAAGCTTGGGCATGGATTGAATGGCAATGCCTGCAGGTACCGCGCAGACCCCTGGCAGTTATTCACCTTCGCCATCTGAACCACGTTGAATGATGATTTCAGCCATTAACTTGATCAGTATTCAGCCATTGATACACCCGCTAACTCTTTCCACAGTCAGAAATTCTACAAGCTCAAGAAAGAGTCTGAGAGAATCTTAACCTTTCCAAGTGTTAACGACACTGATGCCACTCCCTCTACCCTCACTACTCCAAAGCCCAAAGCACCCAAAACTCCAAAGACCACCGGAGCCAGCGAGAAGAAGCGCAAGCGAAATGCTGCAGCAGAAGATTCCGACACCCCTTCCAAGAAGGTCAAAGAGGAGGATTCCGACGCTAAGGCGAAACTTGAAGATGGCACCACCAATATCGGAGAAGCTTGAACTGACAACACCAACCAGATTCGACCAGCACAGGTATGGTTATTGATCTCTATGAACGGGCTGTAGCAGTAACTAACTTCATCAGCGAGCTCACAGGTCGACAATCTCACGTGATTGACACTTCTCTACTCGACCAGACTATGACTCTAAGGCCAGCGCCAGCTGGAACAAGGACAGAGTGCTAGATTTACTATGGATGAGCAGTGGGCGGCATCAATCGTCAGTGAAGATGATGGAGCTCTGAACGGGTACAACGCAGTAGCTTCTGCCACAGAATCATGAGAAATGTTGCGGGCTAGGTAGTCAATTCTGAGGTCGTTGACGGTTTCGATACCCATCAGGCCGAGTCAGGATATGGGCTTCGAGATAGATTACTCGCAAATGCATTTCATGTGATTCGACATGGCCTCGTTATCTTCCCCTTGCTACAATTCCCCAAGCCTGGTGGTGCTTAACTTGTAAGGTGGGTTCAAAATAGATTCATCTTCTTGAAACGTTCCCGTCTTGTCAGTACAGATTGCGATAGCATGCTCGTAGCCGTGGTCATCCCTCACTGGAGAAAGAGCAGTCGAACATGTTTGTATAGTTCCCTAGTGTGGCACACCTCATTTGCAGATACGTTGAACTTTCGCAGAAATAAGTGCCCTTGTCAGCTTGAGGGAATCTCGAGAAGTCTTTGACTTCACTGACTGAGGGTCATTCACCATCCACTACGTTAAGTACCTAGATTTATCTCTTCTATTCTACAGTACAAGATTTGGAACCCCGAGAATGGGCTTCTGAATTGTTCACGGAGGACCTTGTAACCTAGTTGGGGAGGAGGCTATCATGATCGCTGGCCTCTAACGGCATCGAACCTTTGGCGAGGATCGTTGTCCCCCCATACCCGGTATGACCAGGTCGTTTCAATTCAACAACAATTTTCCGGTTCTCTAGATCTGTTGGACCCAGATCCGGTTAGCTGGATGGCCGATGAAGAAAAGGGCATCTGCCCTCCATCATCTAGATGGGTCTGATTCATCACACGGGCAGTCAAGTAGGCCTCACCTTGACCAGTGTGTGGAGATAATTCATCCAAGATACCTCTGTCCTTCACGCATGCTGAGGCCACTCTTCCTTTTTTTACTTTCCTCTCAATAAGATGCCAGCCAAACATGTATTCCACATGCGAAATTGGCTACATAAACTCTTGGTTAGGCTTAATCTTGTAACAAGGAGAGCGAGGGCAAAGATGGTCTCTAGACAGCAAGACTTCTGGAATGGTTTGAATGTTCCTAGCTACGTGAGTCAAGGCATACAATTAAGCCCTTCAATTACATCGCCGTAGTCATCTAAGCCTAGACCGTTGGATCCCAGCGATGACAAGTTGTATGGACACGGTCATGATATGTTCTGCCCGCTTTGGGGAGAAAAGACTTCCAACGCTCCTTTTCTGTCCCCAATTCTGACCTGAACACACTGATGCTCTCATACTACTTGAACATTGTTGGAAATTAACGCACTGATTCAAGTCTCCCATTCCACATAGCATGCGTAAAACATTTTCGTAGCTCATGGACTTGGAGCAGAACCGTGCATTTTACAGCCAAGATCAAACCTGGAGGGCTTGGAAGCCGTGATCTCGATTTGTAGTCATCGACATCCAGTAAATCATGGAGTAGGAGGGGCATACTCTGTGTCAGATTCATCATCTCCATCGCCGCAGAAGGGTCGTCTGAGTTTGTCTTCCTCGGTATCTGACGTCTCAGGGGGTAAAGTTGTCTTAGACGCAGCCTTTCGCTGTTGCCGGAATATACGCTTTGGAGCCGGGGTTTGGGGTACATCGTTCTCAGATTCATCAGAGGGGTCAAGATCGTCCATCACATTATCTTCATCGGATAACATATCTCTTGTTCTCCTTCTTTTCCGTGAAGAGAGACTCTTTGGGGTGGTTGGCTTAATAGGTGCTCGCTTTACTGGGGTGTGATTGGTGACGACAGTCGCTAGAGCTGTTAAGAAGATAAAAGGTTAGCGAGAAAACGAGTTTTCAGAGTGAAACCACATCAGTACGACCGTTAATGGACTCACCTTCCGATTTGATCGAGGCATTGAAACCCTCTTGCTTGCTCTCTTTCTTGAAGGATTTAAGCGTAGCTTGATCGCTGATGGCCCTCATCATGGCGTTGAACGTATCGGCGATGGCACGAGGTGTCGGGGCTGGATCATCACCGACTATAGTTGATTAGTGTCCTTTCTTGCTATTAGATCAGATAAATCATACTCCAGTGTTGGTGAATAGCATTCTTGTCAAATTTCTGCCGACCTGTGACCAGGATATGGGTTCGAAGTAACTAACAGCCGTTAGCAAGAACCCAAAAAAATGGTGATGTCGATGGCCTACGTCCAGCTTTCTCGAATCAGTCCAGGGCGCAGAACTTGGAGCCATGGTGATGATGAACGAGAAGAAGCGAAGAAGTCGAATCGAAGATCGAGGGGAACAAGGTTGCTGAGTATTGTACGGTAGACGTCAACTGCAACAAGGACAAGGACAACAAGTGGATAAACTTGATAATCTGAGACGAACACAAAGAGTGAGAGAATTGACAAGAAAGATTAAAAGATGAAAAGATCGAGAGATCGGTTACAATTCTGAAAAAGAGCAGGAGCAGCATAGTGCCCAGTCTTGGCACGTATCATTTCCAGCCTGATCACCCCAAGAGACTGGCTCCTGCTTCCAGAGCAGCAGCTGGAAACAGCTGGAACATGGAGATTTCACGTGCCAAAAGCGACTTCTGACCAAATATGATGAGCACTGTCAAAACGAGACTCACATACAAAGGTTGTACCTATCGACCGAGGCGGGAGAGGGAGAAGTCGTTTTCTCTGTCATCCTGTCAAATGCTCGGGGACGGTTGCTGTAATGTCTGAACCATTGGTGGCGGCAAACAGCTTTCTGGGCCTATGAAGCATTAACCTAATGTCGAAAGTGCTGGCGCTTGACCGACTTTCGCCAGGGTGTTGTGTATGTTGACACAAGCAATCCCAATCAGGCTGGTCACGTGCTCTGAGAAAGGGGTTGGCTAGAAACCCGGGGTTGTGCCGATAACCGTCAACCGTCAGGATTGTCAATGGTCAATGACCAACGGGAGAGGAATGATGGACTGGTGATTTGAATGATGAATCTATACCCCAATACGCGAAGAGACGCACCTTCATGCTATCATGTATCACAAAAATCCATCGCTCAACCTTCCTCAATGCTTTACCTCTAGTTCACCACATTACTCCTCCTGTTGCTATAGGAGAGAACCCCTTCTTCTCTGCCAAAATCTGTATGCATAAAACCCCAATCCCATGGCAGCAAGTGCCCGATACGCCAAAAAGACACCGATTGCAACATTGATGTTATCATAATACCCTGCCATGATCTTAACCATAGAGTGCTTCGGATCTGAGCCAACACCCAACCCCCCAATCCCAACGCGGTGTCGATCCGCATCGGCTTCGTCGGTATTCCGTGCAGGAGCAACCGTAACTGCCGCAATGGGCTCTGCCTCAGTCACCGTCGCCGCCGTCGTAGCTGTTGCCTCCGTCGATGAGTCCACTGCGGTCTGATTTGGCCAACTCCCACTGGACACAAGAGACGCTGTGTCTCTCCTCATTTTCCGCGTGAAGAGGTAGACCAGGAACCTCAGATCCGGTACGGTGAAGGTAGGATATTTCCACAGGGCAACGGCATTGTAAGGCGGTAATTGGTCCAGAAGATCCGCCAGTACACCCAATGTCAAACCCCACAGAAGAATGGGCTGCTGGAAAGCCAATGACTTTGACGACTCGGGGACACCGTAGGGTGCTTGCGCCCAGCCGGACACGGTGCCAAACGTATCGCCGCCCTCGCTTGGAATGAACCCTGGAATTGAACTTGCATACACAGATTCGGACGGTACCAGGCGTACAGCGCTGAACATCATTCTGCCCATTGTGAAGCGGAGGATCTTGTGAATGACTGGGCCGACATGTTTCGCCATGCGACTGGATATATCGACGAACTCTCGCGTGCGGAGGGTCGGGGAGAGGAGGGCACGTAGCGAGACCCAGTGTAGAGCGGCGACCTCAGTAGGTTGGGGTTGTAAAGCTGGCGACGTCTTGGATGTGAGGACGAAGATGTATGGGCAGAGCACCATGAGAGTCTCCTTGCCCCATGCAGTGGAGACGAGACGGTCAGGGAGATTTCCTGCGTGCAGACAGCCTGCGGTATCCAAGTCTAGGCCAGTCTCTTCCCTCGTCTCGCGAATGGCAGCAGCGAGGTCATCTGCATCTTCTGGATCCCTTTTCCCACCTGGTAGGGCTGTGTGACCTGACCATCGATCACCAGGACGACCGGCGCGTTTGATAAAGAGCAGCTCCGGGTCGCCTTGCTGGACCCATTCCTGGGAGAAGAACTCTTCGAGTGTGGCAGGGGGAGAAGAAGACGGGTTCTCGACGTCAACGACTGACCCCGAGGCGGCGACGACGGGCGCGAAGGCAGGTCGCACTCGTATCACAGCGGCGACGCTGGCTCGCTTCTTACAATTCTCGGGGGTCGGTACGTGGGGATAAGGGTGTTGGGATCTGTGTACAAGGACTTTTTGAAGTGCCTGCACAATAGCCCTCGACTCGTCCGACATGGTCAAGAATTGCACGTGGGACGTGGTCACATGGGCTGCATGAAGTATAGAGAAGATGGGAGATGAGTCAATGCGGAGTGTTGGATCTTTATAGTTTATTTTATATTGGAGATGCCGAGGCTGGGGTTAAGTGAACGGTTCTGACGGCCCAAGGCTGAAGCAGTCCGATTGGCTGGTGGCAGCGAGGATAATGCTCTTGGCATCTAGCCTCGCAAGGCTTCGATTCATCATTCCGTCAGGGGTAAGACCAGAGAATATACCGTATATCTAATACCGATCAACGAACGCAGGGCAACTCATGCGCAGCCAATAAGAGAACTGACTCGAATAGAAATTGTTCAATCATGATATTAATAGTATGTATAAACATTCTCCATACCTTCATGGAGGTGTAACCCGTATCTCTGGTCCTGTATTCATGACATCGTCATCCTCATCTAGAGGTCCATATCGATCCGAGTCGGTGGACAGAAATCGTTCCAATCCTGGACCTCCTCCGATCCATTCCCATGGCCGTTGTATCCGGATTCTGGTATTGATCCAGCTCTGCAGCTTCCTGCCACGGCCCACCACTATCTGTTCGGCACAATCCGCCAGCTCGGCGTCAAGCCGATCGATATGGCGCTTGACCCCATCTTCATCGATTGCGACCCCTGAAGGGTCGGGATCAGGGTTGTGACGGTCGTCGATGGCTTTCTTGACGAGCTGGAATTCCACCGTCGTCAGCAGCCCGCGGTGCAAGGCTTCGTCGAGAAAATAAGTCGTGATAATGTCATGATGGAGACGAACCGAGTCCAAAAACGGGGACAGATCGTTGGGCCCGGCTGCAAATGGGTTGGCTCCGAAGAAACACAACACGTGGATGCAGCCCGTCCGATGCGAGACCGTGGCAATCCTCAATGCACTTTGGAGGCCCTCAAAGAACTGTCGAGCTCTTTTGGCGGTATGATGCCCACGTTGCAATCGTTGTTTTGCTGCCAGAAACAGGTCGAAAAGGATTGCATCATGCCCATGAAGAGCGGCTGCTCGGACAGGCGAACCAAGCGGACCTCTTTCCAGCAGAGGATCTGCACCGGCTGCCAAAAGGTCTTTGACAGTGGGCTGTGAGCCTGACAAGACAGCGGCAGTCAGAGCAGTGCCCCAAGGTCCTTGTTCATTGTCAACAAAACGGCAGCGTTGTAGCCTCTTGGACACATCCTGGCCAGGATTCAAGACTGCTTGATAAAGATCGGTTTCCTCCTGGACCCGAACTCTTTTGAACAAGCGCATCTCCCCTGTGTCTTGGACGCTCTCGTCAAATGGATCCTCCTCTTCCTCGTCTCGTTGTCGTTTCAAGTCATCTCGAACTTTGCTCCAATTGACCATGACTGATCCCTTTTCCGAAGTGGACGGTTCCACCGGGATAGAAACCTCGTAAAATCCTTCGGCTGTTCGAGGAAGGTCACGTCGAACTCCAAGACTATTGGTCAATCTAGCTTGAGAGGTATCGACAGCTCCGCCGTCATACGCGGCATAGAGGTTGAGAGAAGGAAGGGTAGAAGGAGCCTTGAGGAAACCGTCTGCAAGTTGACGACGCTTGGAGCCTGGTCCAAACTGACGGAGCGAGGAGGCGTCCGCTTCGATGTGAGTTTGATCCAGCTTTGTGTACGATACACCACAACTGCGACACTGCCATGAGCGGCCGCCGTCGCTCAAGAGGCTTTTTTTGCAAATCGGACATTCATTCACCGAAATGGCTACGTTCTGAAATTTGATATCCATGGTAAGTTTCGACCGAGGCTTGACGTTCTTCCAATTTTGTCCGTTGAGGATAAAATCGGGTGAGTCGACCATGGAGATGCAGAACTGGTCGGAAGCGATCTTTTGATACCCCGGGTGGCCTTGGAATTGGTTCTTGATCATGGTGTTGAAAGTATTCCAATCCTGAAAATACTGGAAAGGCAGGCTGTGATTGTTATTCGCGGCGTCTGTAAGAATGATGTTGTCAGAAAGCAGCATCGACATTGGGCGTGGGAGGCTGTTAGCAGCTTTGACCCACGACGACACTTGGCTATAAACCCCTGACTGCTTCACATAGCTCACCACCAAGTTATGCAGTACAGAAAAGGCCTGCAATTGGAGTTGTTTGTAATCCGAAATAGTGGTTCCGGGCCATTCTTGCACGTCAGTTGAAAGCTCGGATTGCTCAGGTAGTGGGTCACTAGCCGAACCCGTGAGCTCGAATACGAAGCCGAGAGGCATCGAATCCCTAGCGATCGGAAAAAGCCTATTAGAGGCGGTGCGATTGGCCTCGGAAATCTCTTCCCGCGAGTCGCTGTTTTGAGGGAGCTGAATAGATGGGATTGAGGGCTGACTAGTTTGGGATTCGTGTGTCGAAGCGACATGGGAAACCCAATCGGTGACTGCGTCTAGTTTCTTTGGAACGCTCATGACTAGGTCAAGGCTAGCTCTGGAATTCTGCTCCTCGTAGGTGGCTACAGTGTTAATAAGAGCCACAGTCTCGGAGGAGAGCTGCGCTTGTATAGGATTCATGTAGTGGAGAACCTCTTTTGCGTAAGCGGCAGCAGTAAGTGCCGCATAATTCTGCCATGCTTTGTTTTTATGTGAATCAGCATAATCGCAAATGCCGCGGACGACTAGTGCTGGGCATGTTTCGTATAGTCCGGCCGTCTCCATCTCGAAGCAAAGAGCTTGGAAATCTGAGCCAAGCCGGTCTCTTTCGAGAGCATCTCGCATCAAGGTGTTGCCAGAAAGAACATTTCCATGGTGGACCTGTATCCGAGAATGTGGTCTGGGGTTGCGGGTCACCCTGCATAATGCATTGCAATGATGGCACGAAGTCGAAGGTCTCCCACGATGATTGTACGTGGCTTTGAACAGATTGTCAGGATGTCGGCTTAGGTCTGGTCGTCCGAAAGATGGTACCCTGGCGGCAGCAGCATCCACATGCTGGGTGATATTGATGGAATCAGACATACTCAATGCTTCCATCGTTGACAAAACACCTAGAACCTTTTGAGGAGGCCGGTTCAGCCATCTAGACTGGGCAAACACGCCAGCACTCTGTCTACCGAAATCATACTGAATGACTCCACCGTGTTCTTCCTGTGGCTTGGCAATAACAACATCACCAAGCCGTATATCGTGTTCTTCGGAAGGGATTCCCCCTGCAATACCGACAATCAAGACGATGCTAATGGGGAACGTTCGCATCATATCGCGAGCAACTGAGGCTGCGGCATTGGTGCCAGTACGAGACGATGGCAGACATGTGAGTACCACATTATGGCGACCGATGCGACCAAAATGATAGTTCTGATCGTCGCGGTAAGGAATTAGAGGAGCTTCATGACGTTCGTCGAACATCAAGAGGGAGGCGGCGAGTTCGAGTGGTAAGGCGCAGACCCATCCGATAGTGTAATCGGTGAACTTGGGACGTGTGGAAGACGGCATCGTACTGAGTGATGATCCTCATATTTCCGGTGTTGGTGTATGGAAAGCGACTTTGGTTATGACGGGGGCATGGTGACGCTATATGCGAACAGAATGACAGTTCAGCCTTGTTGACCATCAAGGGGAAAGGATGGATGGGTGGATGGAGATATATCAGTGGATCCACGGGCGTAGCCGCATGGTCTGTTCCTATCTTAAGTTCTTAATTGGGATCGAAGAAGATGGCACGTGGGAGGTTGGAATTGCATGCGCAGCTTACATGCTTCTCCGTCACTAATGTCCAGCGGTTAGAGTACTTATACTCCACGGCATCTCGAATCGTTGACCACGGGGAAGGGACGACTGGTTTGATTGGTTCTTTCCACCTGTAACCTCATCCAGTCAGACTTGTCACGGCAGCCACAGCCCGGAAACTCTGATGGAATCCAGCATCTTGCGGCGTCCACCAACAGCTCTGTATTGGAAGGAAGAGCTTTGAACTTGGAAACAAACCTTTTTCTTCCTTTCCCACCATGTCCCTGTGTTCTTTGTCTTTGAATTCTTCTTCACCTTGCTTTACAGGCTCCTGATCGACGTGGACATCCATTATCCATGTATCATTGACTGCATCAGCCCAGCCCCCTCCTCCTATACCCCAATATGCGCTTCGGTCAAACCCTTTCCAACGCTGTCTATCCTCCATGGAAGGACAAGTACCTCGAGTACGATAAGATCAAAAAGCTACTGCGTGAAGATGAAACATCCCCCCAGAGTCGAGGTGGTCAGACCGGCTGGACTGAGAGGGACGAGGAGAACTTTGTCCATGAACTCACTGTCGTCCAGTTGGAAAAGGTCAACCAGCACCAAGTCGACACCTTCAATGCCCTAAGAGATCGTGCCGCTGCTTTAGAGACCAGACTGCCTAGTCCGGACAATGAGGAGAACAGTCACTCGGAGCAAGAGTGGAAGACGGTGGCAAAGGACATGCTCACAGAGCTGGACAACATCTCCAAAGAACTCAACGAGCTTAGGAAGTTCAGCCGCGTCAATTATACCGGTTTCCTAAAAGCAGCAAAGAAGCATGACAGGAAACGAGGTCTTAAGTACAGAGTTCGACCCATGTTGCAAGTTCGACTCTCCCAGACTCCCTTCAACCAGGAAGACTATTCTCCTCTTCTTTTCCGTTTGTCGGCCATGTACTCATGGGCTCGCCAGAAGCTCGGCGAGGAAGAGGGCAGTGGAAAAGAAACAAATTCCGATGTACGCCAACAAGATTCCTACAAAGCATACAAGTTCTGGGTCCATGTCGACAACCTGCTCGAAGTCAAAACCTATATTCTCCGTCGCCTTCCCGTTCTTGTCTACAATCCTCAATCCGTCAAGGTCGTTGATGGCGCTCAAAAAGATCCCACTCTGACCTCCATCTATTTCGACAGTCCCAACTTCGACCTCTACCAGGGCAAAGTCGACAAGGCTACCTCAGGCGATTCTGTTCGTCTCCGATGGACCGGTCTTCTTGATGATAAACCTGAAATTGTTCTGGAGAAGAAAACAGTTGGCGATGAAATTGACAGCCGGGACATCCGAGTGACTCTCAAGGAAAAATACATTGAATCATTCCTCAAAGGCGAGTATAAGCTGGAGAAACAAATTCAAAAGCTGGAAGATCGTCTTGGCCCGGATGCTGATGAGGTCAAGACCTTCAAGGCAAATGTCAACGAGATCCAGTCCTTCATCAAGGACAAGGCTCTGGAGCCTGTTCTGCGCGCAAGCTACACGCGGACAGCTTTTCAGATTCCTGGTGATGACCGAGTGCGAGTCTCACTTGACACCGATCTTGCTTTCATCAGGGAAGATGCTTTGGACTCGGATCGTCCATGCCGTGACCCGGAAGATTGGCACAGGTCTGATATCGATCAGAACCAGCTCGAATACCCATATCCAACCATCAAAAAGGGCGAAATCAGTCGTTTCCAACACGCCGTCCTCGAGATCAAAATCAAAGAAAGCAAACGATTCAGCAGGGGCAATAGTTGGCTGGACGATCTGATGAACTCGCACCTTGTCAAAGAAGAGAAGAAATTTTCCAAATTCGTACACGGGGTCGCTCTTCTTTTCGAAGACTATGTCAACAGCTTTCCTTTCTGGCTTAGCGATCTGGAAACCGATATCCGGCGGGATCCTGTGACCGCCTTCCACGAGGAGCAGGAGAGAGAAGCAAAGCAGGCCGAAGACGAGATGGCGGTCGGCAGTGTCCTGGCAAGCTCAAAGCTATCTTCCTCATTCAAAGCCAAGACAGCGTCGCCCTCCAAATTTCCGGAACGTCGGATCTCGGGTCATCTTCCACAGGCTCTACAGCAGAGCTTGCGTCAAGCTGATCAGCTTCAATCCACGGCCGAAGAACCCGATTCTGATGACGATGGGATCCAAGGAGGAAATGGGACTGCGCCTGGTCCCAGCGCTGGAGGGCTGCGGGCATACCTCCCTGCATTCTCCAATTCACGGTATGCGCGTCGTCATCGACAGGGTGCCGCCTGGGAGGACGCACCGCTACCACCGGGTGTAAAAGACCCGGGTGTCTGGATCAAAGACCAAGGTCCATTAAAGGTGGAAGCCAAGGTGTGGCTTGCCAATCAGCGCACATTCATCAAGTGGCAGCATATTGCTGTGCTACTGGCCACTCTATCTCTGGGGCTATACAATGCCGCAGGCGTCGATAACAACATCGCCCGTGCATTATCCCTGGTTTACACCGCATTCGCCGCCTTTGCAGCAATTTGGGGTTGGGGAGTCTACATGTGGCGGAGTCGACTCATCACGGAGCGAAGCGGCAAGGATTTTGACAACGTGGTGGGCCCGTTCATTGTCAGCATCGGTCTTGCGATTGCCTTGATTCTGAATTTTGCTTTCAAGTATAATGCCACCATCATGCAAAGCCACCCGAATTCGACGGTCGTGACTCAGTTGGCCACACAGCCCCCCCTGGGTAGCAATCCTGAGGGACTATGGGTGCAAGAATTGTGAGCAGGCTTGACAGCGGAGGACTCTTATTGTATATACCTAGCCAATTGTGACTGCGGGATCCAGAAGGAGCCTATGAGCCATCACACATCTTTCACAAGTAGTAATGTATTCATTGTGGGCAATCCCTTCCTAAGACAACGAACAGCCTGTGTTTACCGCCTCAATCTGCGAACACTGCTGAAACCCTAATGCCTTTTTGAAAACATTGTCCTCTACGGTTCCAGCCATCTCTCAATAGCCAGCTGATACTAACACCGTACCCTAATCGGCGAGACAGGACATGCCACGCGCCATGGTGCAACCCTTGTAGAAATGAACACCCGTTCGGCCCCAGCCTCTTGGTCTATCTCAATCCCTTTTGGTTCTACAGCCGGACGCTCAGTTTCTAGTCTTGCAGAGAGAAAGGTAACGAGTTGCCATCTTTCATGTCCCAGTCAGGGCACAATGCTGACTGTGATGAAACCCGCAAGCATAGTCCCAAATGACGGCATGTTGGCATATAGTCCTCGAATGATGGTGGAGTCTGTTTGGGAGACAAAGAGAGCCGCAGACTGGCGAGGCCACAAACTTCACAAGGAAGGACGTTGTCCAGATTTTGTCGAGATGTCCTGAGCCGTCCGGGCTTTTTCTAGAGTGGATTTGAACTTAGATCAATCCGGGGAAAGTCAGGTCGAGGATCATCGGCAGCATTCATGTCGGATAAACAGATCCAAGCCACTTTTCAGGCAGACTATCTACTACAATGGCCTATGGCGGGTTATGGCCATACATGGAGGCAGTGGAGTGAACCTTTGAGACTAATTGGATGAATTCTCTGGATACAAGTCTGATGAGTGCGTTGATTGACAACTCCGTCCTCTCAGAAACACCGTACTATGGCTCTCTACCATCAACAGACAGGTCTTGCCAATGAGAATATGTCCTTCACTCTTCGACCGTAATGACCTTGTAGAGAAGGCTATCACCGTGGACTGCCATACACAAGCAGCCGTTGTTGTCGATGAAGTAGACGACTTCATTCGCTGCTCCTTGCAAATTGCCACTCTGGATCCATTGATCCTGGATTCGTTGCAAGACCTTGAAATAATGTCGACGAATGTGGTTCAGAACACCAAGATTGGCCGCGATAACATTGGTGTATTCCCCCTCAACAACAGAATCAGGGTTGTTGATCGGTTTGGACAATGTCAAGGCGTATTTGACATTGGGGTTGGAGTTTGAGTTTGAGTGCTGTGAGATGGCATCGTGGGCGCTGGTGATGTACTCGCGAACGTCTGCTGGAATCAAGTCCAGGACATTCGTCTGTCGTTCAAGTTCTGCTGCGATTGAGTCCCTGACCACGTCCCACGGTAGATGACCTGGGGTTGCTTCAATTGTTAGTTCAATGTGTTCCTGAAGAAGAGGTGGTGCTTACGAGGAGGTGGAGTGCCTTCGTATCCAGAGCGCTGTGGCTCTTCTGGAAAAAACAACAACTCTTCCTCTGGGATATTTGATGACATGTTGGAGCAGGGACAATCTTGACGTGGCTATGTTGGGTGACGCTTGAGAATGATTGGGAGAAGGGTCAAAGAGAAGAGTTATCGTCTGTGTTTGTCAGGTTGAGGAAGAAGAAAAAGAAGAAGAGTGAGTTCAAGTGATGAAACGAGGGGGAATGAGAAATTAGTCTCATCTAAAAAGAAGATTGTGGTAGAACGCCGAGCACAATCATGCGCATCATCTGGACAAATACTCAGCCGCGTGGCTACCTAGTGTTTGCTCACAGGAATTCACACACAGACATGAGCTGACAGTGGCATCTTCTGAAGGCAGTGAAATGAGAGATCACAGACAGTACAATGGCATGTTTGTCGACAAGCCATGAGACATCTTCTGGTGTAGCCTTGGCCGCGGGTGAGAAATCCAAGTCTGTGTCCCTAATACAGACCAAATATTTCTGTCCTGTGTTTCTCTCTCAATTCTCTCTTTTGGCACCGTTGTTCTTCCCTTTCTGCAACTTTACCTGTTCTGCTGCATGGACATACTTCTTCATATCTCGAGACCGAAAGCGGTTCACCACAGCAGCCGAGATACTTGGCATCCGCTTGCGTATAGAAGACATTGTCGAGGCCAGAGTCAGAAGTCCCTTTAGTTCAACGACAACGACACGACAAGATATGGGATAGTAGCGAAATCAGGTGGGACGTGTTTTGCGAACGGTTAGCCCTGAAGACTTGCTGGCGGTGGAAAATGATGAGCATAACGCTGATAACGTTGAGAGAAATCGGTTGGTCTTATACATGTCCTCCTGCCGTCCCATCTTGAGGCATACAGTCATGTGGGCGGGCAACAGAAATAATGGGCGACCACAGATCTGTTGGCGTCGAGGACCTCATCGGCAGTCGAAAGGCTTTCGACAAGAATCGAATAGTTCCCACTCGCATTCAAGGCTTAGCGCTTTCAAACATATGGCCAGACCATGAAAATCGAATCAGCATCGCAAATAGCGCCAAATCCGAGTTTGTTCTTGAACCTTCTCTGCATGGACAGGGGCAGGCTGCCACAAGATCACCCAACCTGGAACCCATTATGAGCTTTGTCGTCCACCATCTCTTGTCTGGATCAGGCATACTCTATCACGGAATCAGAATCGCTGTCTGGCACCGTTTAGACTCTTGGCTAGCATCGCAAAGCTGCTCCTCAAGATGAGCAAAGATTTCTCATTTCCCAGATTACTAAATCCTACAAATGGCAAGCCTTGTGTCACGTGATATCATCGCCCTCCCCTCTGGGTCTTTATAACCAAATGTGCACTAGAAATACTGAAAACGACTTAACGGACAACGACCGTATAAATCGCAACATTTCAATGGATGATAGCTGCGGGGCATGCCACATTTTATATTACTCCGTATGTATCTTGTTGGCAGGCCAAGATGACAATCATTACCTATTTAGCCTGCGTGAGAGATCCACACAAGGTCAGCAGCAACAATAGCCATCGCAATTAACGACATCTTCTGCCGCCTGACCATCTCAAACACCCTTGGTTCAATGCCCCGTTCCATGAATCAATGTCGCCCATTGGCGCGACTCCATCTATTGGCGAGCCTCGGTAATCACTCCCTCGTAATCTCTCGTCTTGATGTAGTCCAGCGTTCGGAAGAAGTGTCGCTTGGGGTTCTCCATCGATTGGGTGTTGCCGTCGGTATTGGTGCTTGACAAGTTCGAATGGATCAACTCAATGAGGCCATTGAGGTATTTTGTAGTCACCTGTCCATCTGTTAGGCCAAGCCACTTTACTATAGACGAACCTTTCCCAATAACTCACCGTTTCGTTTTGCTGATCAAAGTAGTAGACGTAGCGATTTAGAATCTCAACAAACAACTCCACTGAGACAGCCGTATCCATGCAAGCATCGGCAACCCGTAGTGCCCTCTGAAGACATTCGAGTACGCGCTTACCATCGCGGTAAAACTGTACGCACCGTTAGCTATCGCCGTCCTGGCTTGAAACCCATGTTACTCACGTCTTTAGCGTCCTCCTCCTTGCCTGCGATTTCGACCGCCCACCATAGATGACTTGCTAAATAGACTGCACGACACTGGTCCGGCTTCTTCAACAACTTACTTCCATGCAATGCCGCTTTGGTGATTAACGTGTCGTAATTCTCCTTTCCAAACCCTCGACTGGATTGCAAAGCCCCGGCGATGATGCAGACCGCTTGAAATTGCGCTCTCGAGTCACTGATGCTATCTTCATAAATGGTAAAAGCTTGCGCCAGATACTCGTATGCAAATTCTTCGAACCCATTTTGATCAGCGACTTGTCCCGCGGCTACGAACAGGCGTAGCGTTAGCTCAGCAGCACCAGGATTGACCCGCGTATACAGCTGGGACAATGTCTGATGGATAAATCGGTAGAGCGCAGATGATTGTGTTTGCCAGTTGTCGTCAAAGTGTTCGCGCTTCTTTAAATTGCGGGCCAATTTCAATGAAGCAGTGATGATGGCTGGTGTGGTGTACTTGATTCTTTCGTTTCCTGCTTCGTATGCTTTTCTGGCTTGTTGCAAGAGTCTCAGCTGGGTGTCGTTGTCCGCACCTTGAATGACATGCACTATCCGCGCCAGCCAACCTTGCTCCTCCACTGTTTCATCCGACTCTCCGGCCCTCTGGCGATTCAACCCGGGGTACCCGCCTGGTTGCTGAATACCTTCTTTGATGAGGACCTTGAGGAGAGACAGGACGCCTTCTAGATGTTGTGAGGTAGTAATCTTGATTCGATTTCGAAGAATGTTCTTTGCAACTTCACCCGCTACTGCGCGCCGGGTGGCATAGGTCTGGGACTGGTAGAGTGGAAGGTAATTGGGCAAAGCGAGGGCGGTGAAGAGAGAAAAGTATGTCCTAATCGGCGAGAGGAGGAGGTTGAGCATATTGGCTTGTGTCGCAGCAGAATGGAGATCGGCAGAGTCCATGAATTCGGCCCCCTTTTCCCGGGCGTATGCCAATATTTGGTCGACATATTCTAGTCTGTCGGGATATATGTTTAATGCCAGGTTTGCGAGCGACGTCAGTAAGGCCATGGTATCTTGGATGGGGAGTCCTCGCGTCTTGACCAAGCTGATGACCTGTTCATAAAAGATTTCAAAGAGCTTCACATCGCCTACGTTTGCAGATGACTTCTCCCCATTGGTAGCCTGCGTGTTTGTTGGCGAGTTCGGTGTATCTGCCTCGGGTTGAGCTGGTAGACTTGCTGAAGGCGACTTTGGCTCTGTTCCATTGGTTTTCGAGGCATCAGCCTCGTCCACTGGCTCAGGTTTGGCACTTGCCGAGAGGTCAACTTTCTCGAGAAGTCTGATGGTTGCTTCTTCTTCAGCTTTCTGCTTGTCTTCTGCGGAAACTCCGTCGGTTTCCCTTTGGGCATAGGTAGAAAGACGATCCATCAGGCCAATGACAATCTTCTTCATATCAACATGTGGATTGAGGCGGGCTATTGCGGAAAGCATCTGGTCCAAGGTGTGTAGATGGTACTCATCAGGAAAAACCTTTGTGATGACTAGATTTGTTAGCAGAGAGACGATTAATCACAGGACATATCTTTACCTTCGAGCAGGTACTCTTGCGCCAAGACATCACGGCACTGCACGACCTGTTCCAACAAGGGCGAGATAATGGTTGACTTGTAGGTCTCAAGGTCGACGAGCTGGCTAAGCCTGACGAGATTGCTCCCGACCAATAATTCCAGCTCTCGGCGTTCTTGAGTCCTCTGTTCTCTTTCTCTGGAATGACCTTGATGCTGCCACCGTACCCACAGTTTGTTCATTTCGACAAAGTTGGTGAGGATAAAATTGATCGAGTCCTGGATATTGCCTTGTGGGCCATCCTCTTTTCCCACGGGAAGGTGATCGCGTGCCTGGCCACTCAAATAGTACCTCAGGAACAAGCCGCGAATGGGATGCTGCACTCCACGACTCATTTCCATCATGTCTTTCATGATTTCTTTGACCGGGGCATCCTCGACGGCCATGTAGACAGTTCCGACGGTGATCATGAGGTAGAGGCGAGGGATGATGTTGCCAGCATACTGGACGAGTTCGTATAGGTCGGCGAGGTGGTTGACGGGATGGGAGTCGCGCAGATAGTCGGAGAGGTGTCGCAAGGCGTCGAAGACAGCCATGTAGAGTTCATAGTACTGTTTGGGGCCGAGGGTTGGTGTCCTCAACTCGGAAACCAGGGTAGATCTATGTTGATGGACGCAAGTCAGCGAGTGCAGGCAGAAAGAATAGAGGACTTGTGGTCTGGTACTGACCCGCATTTTAGGGCATCCATCAGCTTCCCTGGCGTCTCCAGACATCTTCGCATCTGCACAGCCTGCTGTCGAACGACTCCCAGGGCCTCTTCTAGTAGTCGGCCCTGGTCTTCCTGGGTGGGCGGGCTCGTCGCCATTGCGACGGAGGTTCTATGGTGCTGCCAGCGATGAAGGCTAAGGAGAGTAGTACTGGGGAAGACTGAAGTGGAGGAGAGTGAGAGAGATGGGGTAAGGTGTCAGTAGACCGTGTTGGTACTCAGCGTGGGATCTATGTGAATGAAGATGGTTGCAGCCTGCAAGTGAGCATTTGAGTGGCCGACAAGCATGGGACGGAATAGGGTAAACTGCCTGTAGGTGGCACGGTAGTAGTACGTTGGCTGGCAGAGAGTCCATGTCATCCACGCATTGGATGCGAGATGGCGAGGCGGAGTTCTTGGCATACCACGCAGCCAGGTCACGTGCATCGTAAGGACTATACATATGTCTTGGGCTTTACGCAGTACAGAGTCAACAGAATAAATGAGGTGACGACAAGGAAGTAGAGGTATGAATGATATGAATTCTGCATCCTGCTGCAGGCTATCTTTGTTTCAGTTCTGTAGTATTCCTGAATATTCTAAAACATGGCCATCTCGCTAAGGAGCAACCTGCTATTGAATCGTTCCATGCAATATATGCACCACAATGACCACCAGCGCCTACGCTTTAAGCAGAATAAGTAATAAAACAGGATAAAAATGGAAGCCTGTTGGATCATGAAGTTATCCAAAGGTTTCACGAGGGGGTATCAGTGTAGGAAGAGAAGACCGGTGCCTGTGGGTGGGGACGCGGGAAGGTAAGCTCTAAGCTTGGGGGAATAAATCAAGAGGATGTGACGGCGGCAAAGGGTTCCGACGTAGTTGTTGGGATGCCACCAAACTCGATGGTCACGACTGGAGTCACGGAGGATTGAACAGATCCATCGTTGGAGAGAGGAGCACCCCAGAATTGAGATGACCAGACAGTGCTTGTGGACGAATAAATGAGCTCCGCAGATGACGTAGTTGATGGAGCATCCACTGCCTTGCTGGACCAAGGAGTATAAAACCCAGAATCAAACTCAAAGGTTGACGTGGTTGTCGAGGTGCTAGGACTTGAAGTGCTCTCGAGGGCGGTGTCGGTCCACGCAGGATATGAAGTCGTGGTGGTTGTGGTGGGTACATAATAGGAGTCTCCATCGACATCATGTACTGAGGTTGTTGATAGACCTGGAGCTGAGCTGCTCACTGTCGCATCTTGGTCCCATAGGCCTAAATAGGTTGTCGTCGAAGACTCCAGAGGCTGTGTTTCTGAGGGCAAGGTAGAAGAAGCGGTCGAGGAGGAGCTGCTTTCGGTAGTAGGTCCCTGCCAGGCAGACCAAGGAGTGGTGGTTGGGTGAAAGCTCCTCGTTTCCGTAGTAGTTACGGAAGAAGCGTCGGTGCTTGAACTTGTCTCTGGCTCGGCGGGGACCTCAAAGTAGTAGTCGGTGTGCCACATTCCATCATCATACTTTCTTGAAGAAGGCGCATACTGTGTGACTGTGACTGTTTCTGGAGCAGGAGGCGGAGGTGGAGGACTTGATGAAGACTCTGGCCGACGAGATCGACTGGGCTGGACAGTTGTCTCGGGTGAAGGTTGGCTGGGCTCAGCAGTTGTCTCGGGTGCAAATGTGACCGTTTGTATTAATGTCGCAGGTTCTGCTTGTTCTGTGATTGTGGTGGGCACTGCAGAAGTGACAGTGACCACAATGGTTGTGGGAGTTTCAGACTCGGTGATAATGATTGTGGACAATTGTGTGTGAAGGATGGTCTCGGTATGGACAATGGAATCCGTGACAGTCGTTGCTGATCCATCGGAGCCAGAATTGCCTCCATCAACAGCAACAACGGAATACGAGACAGGCTGTCTTCGTTCGAGGAGATTAGGTAGGACAGGCCATGCGGTAGAAAGGGAGATTAATGATGAAATCGACAAGGCAGTGTTGACACTGTGTACCCTCATGTCGGCGGATTCAGGTTTCTTATGAGCCTAGTGAGACGGTGAGATGTGACGATGTTGTGATTAGCAGGGTGTGAGATGAAGATGGAACCAAAGAAGAATGATTAGCGAAGGAAACAATCTACAACATTTACCTATCCATGTTGGAGGAGGCTGGTCATTCTTTGAGTATACGTTTGCAGCACCTGAATGAAAATGCATGTGCACCCAAGGTGGTGAGGTGACCAGATACAAATTTGAGTTGTTTATGTCAAGGTTGGAAGAGGTTGGAGAGTGTTACAGACCAGGTGAGAAGTCAACAGACGCGTTCGTAGTGGCCAGTGGGGACGCTAGAATAGAGCTTAGCTTACTAAGCCGCTGTATGGTTGGTGGAAATAAAGTGGCAGGAAGCGCCACAGCGGTGGCTGGGCTCCGTGCACTGTCGCCGCTGTTTGAGCCATGCCTAGCGCAGTTCGCGGTCCACCTCGAGCCACGTTATGGTACAGGGCTGAGCATCCAGACTACGCAAACATCGGTCTCGACCCTGGAAGAAGACGACAGAGTATTCGATTTCAGGCTGCGGTGACATGCTGATCTGGAGATTTCCGTATATCCACTTGCAGAACCGAATGACCTGCATGTGATCTGCATCAATATCCTAGTTTGCGACTCTTGCCTTGGGCTTTCGGATGGTGATTCTGTCTCCATCCCGGATCCAACCCACGTCTTCCACCTCAACTAGCTGCTGCCAAGTCCATTCGCCTCCTGTCGCACTATCCAGGATCCAGTTCATATCACAAGCCAGGTAAGAGCGGCCAATGGCCTTTAGGGAAAGCCTTCGAAGGGTTTCCTCGTGCCAGTACAGAATGGCACGGACATACCCATCGACTCTCCTTCGATTTCGCCAAAAGGTGACCCAGTCGTTATTGACGAATGACCTCAAAAGCTCGTCGGTGATACGACTATCATACCCAAACTTAGCACGGCTGTTGTACCTCAATGCATAAGCACTGGAGATGTCGTTCTGTCGAGTGGCGAAATCAAGGATCAGATAGGTAGTCATCTCGACAAGCTCTGAGCGTGGGAGTGGATATTCTGGGGTGTGAAGAACGAAAAGAAGATGGAGCAAGGAAGCGTGGTATGAGGGTGGGTGGAATGCGAGAATGGCCACACGGATGTTGAAGACGTGTACTCGCTGAGAGAAGATGGGAGAGGGAGCGCTACGAGAAGTGGCAAGTAAGCCTTCTCTGAGCTTCCGTAATGCGGTCAATATGGCCGATAGCTCTGAAGATGGCGCTGCAACTCCTGAGCGGACATGTTGTGGTGGAGGTGCAAGTGGCGGGCCATCTCGAGGGGTAGATGCTGGGCCATTGGCCGTCGGGGGTATAGGCCGAACTGGGGGGTTGCGAGCCGAGTCTGAAGAAGAGGACGGACCTTGATCCAATGATAAGGAGGCAAAAGCAGTGTCGAGGTCTTTGGAATAGTGTGTGCAGAATTGCATATAGCGAGCAACAATCTTGTTGTAGAAGGTCTCTTGAGTTTTGATATCGAGAAGTCTAGACATGTGAGGTCAGTCGAACTTTTGGTGCGAGATTATTCGAGATCAAAGATACCTATTGTCGCCCTTTGAAACGAAACCCATAGCTTCTAAGGGGTCCTGTTTGACAGGACGGAGGCGATCCCATGGCGCAGACGACTTTCGATTAAGGGGGGGAGGGGGTTGTGCCATGGCGTACTCGGCAGGAAGAGATGATATAAAACCCTGTAGGAAAACAGCCAACGAGACTAGCCCTCTCTCACCCACAGACAGTCATATTGTTTTCTTAGTTGCTCCGTGCGCTGGCTAGGCTGAGGTTGAGGTTTGATTTCTTGAGAGGCACTTCTATACTTACACCTTCCCTCTCGCGCCACAAGTCACATGCAGGGCAACATTGGCAGGAGGGTCAAAGAAGGGAAGGAAGGAAGGAGCGTTGGAGTCTAACAGTAGCAATGACGTTGGGTTGGGGCTTCCCTCAAGCGGCCACTCAGAGGAAGACTTTGACGAACCACGAACCACCAACGGGCCGACCCTAACGTAGGAAGACTGGTCCACACCTCTTGCAATTCCCAACGGTTAATGTGTCCTTCTAAATCCTCAAATCCTTCTTATATCTGAAGAGAATTCACCATCCTCGCGATGGCCGACTCTTCTACGTCTGTTCCGCTGGCAAAGGATGGTGATAAATCTACTACGGCATCAGACAAAGCCGCCGATTTATGGCACACTCTGGTTCAGTGGGCGGATTTGCCTCATTGGCAACAAGACAATCAACACATCCATGGAAGTTATCGCAAAGCATCTTACAGCTATTCTAGGTCCTTTCAGAGCATTTTGCATTGGCATAACGAAAGTATCAATATTTGGTCCCACCTAGTTCCGGCCACCCTGAGTTTGCCTGTCGGCTATTCTCTTTATCAAGCTCTACAACCCCGGTACGAACAGGCGTCCAAGGCCGATGTCATCGCAATGAGCTGTTTCTTCTTTGGGGCCGCTTTCTGCCTGGGCATGAGTGCTACCTATCACGCCGTATCCAACCACTCTCCGTCCGTGGCCAAGTTCTGGAATCAATTGGACTATGCCGGCATCGCTATTCTTATCGCCGGGTCCTTTGTGCCTAGTGTCTACTATGGGTTCTGGTGCGACGGTCCGCGACAGGTGGTATATTGGACCATGGTCATACTCCCACCTTATCCATGTTGAGCTACCACTGACTTGTGTCCCAGATCTCTCTGCTCGGCCTCGCATGCACCGCTGTCTCTGTCTTGCCCCAATTTCGCACCCCTGCTTGGAGACCATATCGCGCATTGATGTTTATCGGCATGGGTGTTTCGGCCGTCTTCCCCGTTTTCGATGGGCTGAGACTGTTTGGATTACAGCAGATGCAGAAGCAAATTGGCCTATTCTGGTTGGTGTTGCAGGGCATACTGTACATTTTGGGGGCAGGACTTTATGCAGTGAGTTTAATGCTGGACTGAAAGACATAAATCTGATATCGACAGGCACGAATTCCCGAAAAGTGGTTTCCAGGAAAAGTTGATACTCTGGGGAGCTCACACCAAATATTTCACGTTCTCATCGTCCTGGCCGCCCTGTCGCACCTCAAGGGTCTCCTCAACGCTTTCGATCATCGTCATGGTGTGGTGGGATCTGCTTGTAGCTGAATAGAGTGCATCACATTTTGAAGTCGGCATTGACAAAAGCTCGAGGCTGAGCAGCACCATTTTGATGCGAAGCCACGTTGGACACGAGAGCCATTTTCAAGTCTCTCGCACGGTCCGATGTTAAATCATAGATGGTGGCCAAATTGATGGTCAGGGTCTGAAATGAGTGTCCTTGGTCTACCAATTCCTCCAGAGTCAACTTGGCTTTCTTAATCTCGCCATTGTAGAGATAAGCAACGGCGAGGTTCTGTCGGACCAGGGCACTGACCGCAGGATCGACAGTTGGGTCGACCTGGGAAAGGAGTCGAGCAGCCTCGTCGATCCTCCCCAGGGATATTGCTAGCAAGGCAGTAAGCATAGATTTAGCCGGCTCTTGGACTTGAGATGCATTGAGCAGGGACTGGGCTTTGGTGACATGACCCATTTTTATTCGAAGCAAGATCATTCGGGCCTCCCATGTGGCTATATGATCTGCCTGAGACGGCTTCAATGTCCCCAAGGTTCTTGCCGCGCAATCAAGATCTCCCATTTCAATCAGAGCATTCACCACGTGAATTGACACTTGACTTAACCTCTGTGCCCACAGTGTTCGCTCTTCTGTGGACGTGAGTGGGCTGAGTAGATGTTCCCTGCATTCTGCCGCGGTGTCGTAGAGTGTCGAAACCCCTCGCCTAGGATCGGAGAAGCCAATGCTCTGAAGTCGTAAAGCTTGGAGCCGTAGCGAAAAGGGCATGACATGGCGTGGTATCGGCTTGGACTCCAGGGAAGACTCAAGGCTGGGGCCTCCCGCCGACGTGGCCGGGTCATCGTAATAGAATGCTGAGCTGATATCCTCCAAAGCCTTGGCCTCTTGGGCGGCGTAAGCAAGGTTTCCACACAGCTCAAGACACGAATATCGGATCTCGAGCAGTTTGAAGATGGTCGGTGCATCCGTTGGCCTGACGGTCCCCGAGATCAAGATGGCGCCAGCAAACTGTGCAGCGCGCAGAAATTCACATTCTGACAATAGCCTATCGAGTTGGGCAAGAGATTTGGCTAGCGAGGCTGTCTTGGTGGGTGATGGTAAGTAGGGTTTCCGGAATGGGCCTGGGACCTCGACCTGCGACAAAGGATGGTAGAGTGATGGATCAAGGAGGAAAGAGAGATCTCGCTCTTCTGCTGCAGGGTCCTCGGTCTGCTGAGAGGGCCCAGGGTTCCCTTGAGGTAGTGATGGTACATGGGAAAGGCTGTCTGGCTCTGACGTCTCGGCGACGGACGGATCGGTGAGTTCATTCTGAGGAGATTGCGGCAACGGGGATGGAGCAACTGATAGTACTGATGGTGATGGTGTTGCAGACAGGGACAAAGGGTCGTCGACTGCATCCAAAGGTCCTTTTGTTGATCGGCGGGGGAGAGCAGCCCTACTCGAGGCCTTTCGATGATGGTGGGTGGATGAAGACATGTTGAGTCTAGGGTCACTCAGACTCTCTGTATATAGATCTGGCTCACCGCATCGTTGAAGCAGTCGATACCATGTCTATTGATCCTTGTCAGGGCTTTTCGTGGTGATAATGTCGATTGTTGAGCTGAGGATTTGACGTTGGATGGATGTCATGTTGGTGTTGAATTACGCCCTAAGAGGAGGGTCTGCCAGCCCTGAAAGAGGGGCGGTCATGCCTGGAGTCAGACGCCTAAACTGCGGCTTGCGGCTCTGATTTAGGGACGTAAAGGCGCCTATTAGTCATCTTAGGCACTTCAGCGTCAGTGGTCGAGCCCCGAGAAGTGGGTCACAAGAAATCGACGCGCCGCAAGAATTGAACGCATCTCATATTCACCGCGTCGTGAGAAATGGCCAGATTCCAGATTCCAGATTTCAAGATTGCCCCAGATTTTTAATTCCCTCGAGATATTGAAGCATAAACTGTTTGGTATTGATGCACCACACTTTGACCACCTGTCGATAGTCGCCTTCTCATCCGCTCTCCTGTTTTATCATCCACACACCCTCTCCCCGCCATCATGCCGCCGAAAGGATCCAAAGGAGGCGACAAATACTCCATCATCCTCCCCACCTATAATGAACGACAGAATCTCCCTGTGCTAGTGCAATTGATTTCAGATGTCTTTACCAAAGAGTGAGCCGGTCCATGGACCTCAAACCCTTGAGTCGACCAACTCTAGCTGACACGTGTCTGGATGGTGATCAGGAAACTCAACTGGGAAATCATCATTGTGGACGATGCCTCGCCCGACGGCACACTGGATCGAGCAAAAGAACTACAAAAGTCGTTTGGATCGGACCACATCGTGTTGAAGCCACGAGCAGGCAAACTCGGTCTAGGTACGGCCTATGTCCACGGCCTGCAGTTTGTCAATGGCAACTATGTCATTATCATGGACGCCGACTTCTCCCACCACCCCAAATTCATCCCCGAGTTCGTCAAGACGCAAAAAGCTACAAACGCCGATATCGTCACCGGCACTCGGTACCGATCGAGAGACAACCTGATTGGAGGTGTCTACGGCTGGGACGCCAAACGGAAGCTCACCAGCTGCGGCGCCAACATTCTAGCCGACTTCCTCCTCAACCCCGGTGTCAGCGATCTGACGGGTTCCTTCCGCTTGTACAAGAAAGAAGCCTTGGTCAAAGTCATCACCGAAACCCAGAGCAAAGGATATACATTCCAGATGGAGATGATGGTCCGCGCCAAAGCTATGGGGCTCAAGGTTGAAGAGGTTCCTATCACCTTTGTCGATCGACTGTATGGTGAGAGCAAGCTTGGAGGTGAAGAGATTGTCGAATACCTCAAGGGCCTGGTCTGGCTGTGGTGGTCAGTTTGACCATGACCACAAGAGATTCCCGGCGCTGAACTCCCTTTCTGGCGTTGGATTCCGCTATTGTATAAGAGGCTTACGGCCATAGAAATACACAGACTTTGTTTTACAGTCTTGATTCATGAGCCAATCTTGCGAGTGACAAAACCCGCTTACACCCCACCATATCTCACTTGGTATCTCTGGCGACCTTTTCCGACAGAGCGGCACTACTAACGACAACAAGTTTCTCAAGGTCTTGGCTCAGCGGAGCAAAGATGTTCAATTCACCCCTGACGGAGAGACTTTTGAGATCGGCCGCGGCATAGACGGCGACGACATCTCCGGAACGATTGTCAGTGAGACGGTAATTGGCCGAGGAGAGTTTGCCGGCAAGGCCATTGATCCCATCTGCGCCGCTGTGTGTCCTCTCCCAAGTGAAGGAGCTACCGTCGTGCTCAAAGACGAAGGACTTGCGAGTCCGTAGCTTGGATGTGCGCTCCATCTGCAGCCACATGACGCCGTTGGGGTCATTATCCGGATCGCCCAGCCCTAGTTTCATGTGCAGTGACAGTCGGAAGAATGTGACCGCCACCACGGGACCAGTCTTGTCATGGCCCAAATGCAGTATTATGTCTGGCGTCCTGGGCGTGAGCCGGTGCGTTTCTGCAAAGTAGACAGGTGTCCCTGCACCCGATCCCATATTGCCTTCCTGAATCTCCCTCACTCCTCCTCTCGTCTCCTCGATGATCATGTCCGACCGAAGCATGCTGCTCCGGTATACGTATGTTTTAAGCGGTTGCATTGCGCCAAACGGGGATGCTTGCATGTTTTCTGGTTCAAGCCTAGAGGTGGTTTGTTGATTATATTTGGCCGCTCGGAGTTGTGTCCTTGGTTGATAGTCACATTGGTGGAGATAGAGATATAGACAGAGACTCTGATAGAATGTCTTTCAAAAATGCTACAATGAAAGTATCTAATATCACGGTATACGACCAAGTTGGAATACAAACACATATCGCCAAGTCGAGCGAGACTTGAGGCTTCTGATGACGTAGAATTCCAAGATTCCTTATTTCTTGGACGCAGCCTCATGACTAAAACATGGAGAACAACACTAGGGACGAGGGACTAGAGTCTTTGAATATCATGCCATGTATCTGTGTTCCTTGTTCAAGGGGGGGTGGATCATTCTACGTTGTCGGGGTTGCTCAATCGGCGTGTGAATGTTTGTATGCGGGTAGCGTTGAAGATCATCTTATGCACGATGATGTATTCTTCTTATCGGTGTTGTTGGCATCGGCACACCACTTTGTTCAATCGGGTAATTGGCTAGTAAGCGGTATCAAGAGCTACTTGGAGCTCCCTTATTCTATACATACACTATACAATAATTGGCCACTGATCTGTCGTGTTTGTCCCGGGCCTGCTTTCCGCTTGTCAATGGACCCGCTGATCCTCTATTCCACCCCGAACGCCTGTTTCTATACTACTCGACCTCGAGCTTGTGTTGGCGGAATCCAATCGTTCTGATCTCCCATCTAATGGGCCCTCCCCCTTATTCATGCGGTCGTCTTTGTCGTGGATCTCATGTACCTTCATATCTATTCCCACCCAGAATCGTCTCTCACGCCAGGTCACAGTGACTCCGCCCCATATCGCCCACGTCCAGATTAGAAGAGCGAGCGACTCTCGCCCCAGCCAGGCAAGAAGCCAACTAGAAAAGGGCCGACGAGGTCCACCGTCGCCCGCGGGACGAGCGAAGAACGGAATTCGTGGCACTGGCTGATCTTCCATAGAGCCAGAGTCGTGCAGATTACCACGGTCAAGCTGCTGCTGCTGAAAGTCAAGCGTCCTTCCAGAATGCAGCAAGATATAAACACATCGGTCTACACTTGCCCACCCCACCAGAATAATCGAAATCCAGACCAGAAACCATGCCCAGGTGTGCCCAAATATGTCTCGAGTGTAGGAAGAGGTTGTCAACCCCCAAGCCCCATATGCACTACACAAAAAGCTTTCTGTACCGGGCTCAACAAGAGTGGCCACAGGAACGGTGAATTTTCGTACTCTTAGCCACCGTACCCGCCGTGCAATGTAATTCCCGACAGTCATCCCCGAGACCGGTTGAATCGCCAGATCACCGTAAACAAGGCCGTGGTTGCGAATTTTGGTGGGTAAACCAGGAACTCGCGAGGATGGAGACTTCCACAACAAGTCTCCGATGAGATGATCCTCGCAGATATTGTGTGAGAAATAATCAATACCCGTTCGAGCAGATATGGTGACCGCGTCAACGGATGGGTCTTGGTGGCGTGCCGCTTGACTAGTCAGGTAGTCTAGGTGAGACTTACGGAACATGTTGGACTTGCCTACGATGCATGGAGCGACTGCCACAGCATTGATTGCCACATACATCTTTGCGTGGGAAGATGAGAGGAAGAGCTCTTCGAGACGGCCGCCATGTCTCAACAATGCGGATATCTGGCCTGAGGAATGGGTAGACGAAGATATGAGCGGTGTGGTGGGGGTATCGTGACTGAATCTGCTTGCTTCCCGGTCGTTGCTTGTAGCCTCGACGTCGATAGAGATGGGCAGGTGGTGGACTAGTTTAAATGGCCTGGCTGGAGACTGGCCTGGTGCTGTAAACCCGCACAATCGATCCACCATCTGGCCACACACGCCACGGTCAACCCAGACATTGCAGTCGATAATCCAGATCAAATCACCCTTGGCTTCTCTGTATGCTCTGCTCATGTTTCGAATCTTAGGATTCGGGCCGAGGTGAACCCTGATATGCTGCTGGTCCGGGGAAGTATCGTCCTCCTCTTCGACAAAGACATGGGCATCATAACCGGAATGATCTCGGACGACTCGTTGAATAACTGGATACGCAGGGTCCTGTCGAGAGGAGACACAGAAATAGACGGACAGTTTGGTCCGAGGGTAGTTCTGGGAGAATGTTGAAGCTAGGCATTCGTAGAGGTAAGGCTCAAGTCCTTTACATGGGCGGAGAACGGTGACATGGGGAATCTCTTCCACAGGCTTTGAAAGGACTGCTGCACGAGGAGGGACCGACCGATAATAACGAAATCTGTTCACCGTGTTAGGAACGAACGACTGGCCATGGGGATGCACCAAGTGGATGCTCACAGGAAAAAGTCGCCAATCGCACAGACACAGGCTATGAAGAAGGCCCATGCGATGGCAACCACCGCAAGAACCTCGGTGAACATGAGTGAAGCATTGCGAGGAAGAAAGGAGAATGCAAAGGAGCGGCCGATTGGAATTAAGGCGAGTAGTGGATGATGGTGTCCTCAATGGCAAAGAAAGGAAGAGAGTGAGGGAGGAAGTGAGGGAGCGAATGGTGGGAGTGGGAAGGATGGATCCTCCTTGACATGATATTGATATTGTTGGCCCACATATAGCGGCGATAGACACGCGGTGGCCTGTGGGATTTTAAAGGAGGCTTCCCTAAAGCAGCAGGAGTACAAATCTTAACATCCCTGATGTCTGTCTTTGATACGCGAATTTGGTCACCGCGTCTCCTCCTGTCCACAGCACGATCGAGGCATGCACAACTTGGTGATTATAATAAAAAGTCATCTAAAAAGTATGACAAAGGACATTCTCATTGAGCATGAAATCCAAAGATGTGACGCCAAGAATGGAAAAGCATTTGCACATGGGGCCAGTCATAGAACCCTGCATATCCAATTCGATTCTACGAGCCCTGTCATGCTGTCGTTGATGTCGTCCATTTACCCAATAGCCAGAATGCTTCCTAATCCCTCAGCCAGGCCCTCCGCTTCTCTTCTTTCTTCTCCCTGCGCTTCTCCTTGAACGCCTTGAGCTCAGCCTTTGTCAGTTTTTTCCCTGCCCTTTCTGCACGTAAACTTCGGCCATCATGACTATTGGCCGCCGCATCCACATCAAAGAATGCATTCATCTGGCGCCGGCTCTTTTGTTCGTCGCTGTAATTCTCCGGGTTGAGGTCGGCTCTTTGCCACCGGCCGGTGAAGCGATTAAAGCTTGCTGTCGCTGCATATACATCGGCAGCGTCAACACTGTGCGCATTCCGGTCTGCATCGTCTTGTGCGGTTGTCGAGTGCATCTTGGCATAATCGGCGTTGGGGTCATAGTCACCATGAATGGATGGATCGTAGCCTCCTACACGTTTGGCCGGTGGCGCCTCGGTAAAGGTGGAGTGTTGGTCATTGTCACTTGTCCCTGGGGCACGAGCTCCGTTTGCTTCAGGGACCCTGGGGTTCTCCCATTGCGTGATACGGGTAAATTTGTTGTAGAAGTAGAAGGCTTGTGCTTGGTCGTCCCACACAGGCTCCCATCCATCGTCCACTGGTTGAGATGGAGGCTCTTCGCTGGGCAGGGGAGGTGGAAGTGGCTCTAAAGGTAGTGGGGGCTCTGCTACCTTGGCGTCGTCAAGTTCCACAGTCTGGGGGTGTTGGGACGATGCGGAGGCATGATCGCTAATTTCACCGTCTTCTTGGCCCAGTGACCGAGGACTCTCAACTCCGGGTGGCATTGAGGCTGGGTTTACTTGCTGGGTGTTTTGTTCGGGACTGCACGTAGACATGACACATTAGCAACGAGATGGATAAAAGTGAAAACGAATGGCCTGGTGGTCAGCTACAGCATGATGGATTGGGATGATACAGAGGGATACTCATGTACCAACCAGCTTGTCGCACATGAGCGCAAGGCAATCTGAGTATGTCTTGAGTTGACACGTCCCGTCAACAGCTGCGTGATGACAAGAGCAACAGACAGTGTGAGAAGAAGTGGAAGAGATCCAAAGCGTTGGCTGGGGGAGTGGAAGGGAAAAGATTCGAAGCGCAGTCAGAGACGAGAAAGCGCATGAACAAAAGACGGTGTTTCTATATAGGCAAGTGAGCCGAGTGGGCCAAACAAAATGTCTTGGCATATCCCTTCCTCAAGGCTCTGCCTTGTTTCTACCACATACACTACTATCACTGAAGTCACATCCAAGCTAAGGTAATGCCCAATCACTGGGGCTTGATAAACGACTACGTGGGCCAGCCTCGACAAAGTGCGTCTCGCAACTGATACAATCCCCCGATGGCACCACAAAGGCCGTGGGGGGATACGACATGACAGGAATCCCACTCCAGATTTCAAATGGATCGTGGTAGTAATGAATGGATTTGGTCTGCCCCTGTTATCTGCGCATCCACTCATCCCCTTAATCGTTGCCTTCCATTGTTCTGACGCTCCAATGCTTCGAGTTGATGTTGATAGTCGTACGATGACGTCCACGGGACTGACACGGCGGATTGATTCCTGGAGTGTTTCAACATTGCAGAGGTCCTGACGTGTTGGCCAAAATCTATCACTCCACAATGCCTTCGAAAGTCTCTCATGGTGGGCTTGTCGTACTCGGACCGCTTGCGCGGGCGATGAGGTATGGCGCGCGACCCCTGTGATGGTAACAAGTCCTCAGTTTCGGCATCGCGTTGAGGGACTTGGGTCATCAGGGAACAACTGCGACTGGGCTGACTTGATTGATCAAGCTCCGGAGGCTGCTCAAAGGAGAAGGTGGGAAGATGCGCCAATGGATCGTCTAGTGGCTCCTCTGTTTCGACGCCAGCATAGATGACGTTGCGTTGATGATGATGAAACAGCCGTTCGAGTTCTTCCGAGAGTTCATCAGTGCCGGGAATTATTGACGGAGTGACGATATCATTGTGTTGCAGCCACGGACCAGGAAGAAGCCACAGGGGTACATGATTGGGATCTTCGGACCGTTCCAGGATACTCGTTGGCATGTCATCTTCCTCTTCCTGGTGTTGGCTTTGGTAGGAGAAGTTGATCTGGACTGTCGACTGGGAGGCTAGGTGGTGATCATTGTGAAGTTGCCGTCGAGAGTCGTGATCCATACCGGGAAACGAAGGGAGGTTAGATAGTCTGACCGAGAGAGGACAGGGCCCATGGACAAAAGCCAAGATGAACAACGAGCGCCGGTGATGGCTGAAAGGAGAGGGATGAGATATTAAATAAGGCTGAGGATGGAAGCAGGATTCGTAGCATCGTATTGGGACACATGGTTGGCACCGTACTATCTGACGCCTTGCGTTGGACATCCGAGAATACAGAGACCGGTTGGCTGTGATTCGTGCGGTGACCGATTTGTCCTAGCGGAAGGAGGCAAGGAAAGATGCAATTGGCTGATATACAGGGGGGATTTGACGTGCTAGTCCTATTTAGGCAGTCTCCTAGACCGGTACCCAAATTCCCGTGATTTCAGATCTGGACATCGCGTTCCCTCCAATCCCTCATCCTCACCGGCCAAGTTAGTCTGGGTTTCAGTCCCACACGGGTAACACAGGACGAATCTACACCATGACTCGGTGTTGGGCCAACTACCACAATATCACATCCTGCAACTCAATCGTTTGCCACCGGGTCCCAGATCTGTCGCTTGGGCATGGTTGACCGGTTGGACTTGGCCAGTCAACTGGCGTCCGCTCTTCCCAAAGACTTGGGCTTGACGGTCTATCACATTTCCACTCTCTCTAACCCGTCGCTAGCCCTGTTTGCGCCACTGCCGCACCAGCAGGAGGAAGAAACCACGTGCCAGTCACATTTTCTTGCTGTCTCGACACCGCGGTCGGATGAGGCCAAAGAGGTCTTGGTGTTTGCCGTCGAGGTCCTGATCTTCGCCTCGCCCTCGTTGACTACTTTATTTGTCTCAAAAGCCGACTCTACAGGATTCTCATCCCGGCTAGGCGTGACCAAGGGCTCACCATCCCCGATCGCCACTGTTATTTCTACTTTTCTCCATTACCTGGTTAAACCACGGCTCAATGGGACAAGGGTGGTGCTCTCATTGTTTGCCCGGGCGCAAAATCAGTATCTATTTCCTGGAAGCAGCGAGAATGCTGGTAAGCATATACTGAATGATCGCCAACTCATTAAATGGTGGGGACGAGTTTTGGACAAGGTCCTGCGACGTCGCGCTGAGATGCCCTCCTCTGGGCCCAACAGCACAGTACACCTGATCGTGCCTGGATGTGAAAAGACAGAAACAAGGTCATTCTTCCCGCCTCTGGCTCGTCTCGACCCGCCCACAGACCCGCGATGGATTGATTCCTACCCGGTAGATCTTCTCGTTGCTGACACGAAGCAACCGATCAGGTCATTAATACCCCGGTTTCCGGATGATCCCAAGGCTCGGTTTTTGGAGGATCTAGATGGCACAGGTATGGACGAGCAGGGAAATTGGCGCAGTGTCACAACGCTGCACCAATTCTGGGAAATGATGTCGTACAGACAAGAGTGTTCCGCGGGCCGGCTGGTTGGATTCTTTTGGATGGTATTCCCACCGAGCCAGAGGGAGGGCACGTCCCTGGCAGGAATTGACGCTCGTATGCCTTTGCCACAAACGAGAAATCTTGACCGAGCCAAAGTACACGGCTTTAGCAATGCTGTGATCCAAATTGACCCGGAACCATATACGAGCGTCTCGAACACCAGTGACCTCGCGAAATCATCAACCCCGACAGAACTAAGCCAAAACGGTCCAACTGAGCCGCATGGGTTAGAATACGAGGTTGTTGGAGACCGTCCTCGCAAAGATGAATCTACAGCAAAGGGCGAGTTGGTTCTGGATGGTGGACAGTATCAAACCTTGATGGATTATTTGTTGCAGACCGACTTTGCAGGGTCGGAGCTTGCAGAAGAGCATACCTGTGGATGGATCAGCAAGGCTCTCGAAATCTCTGGGGCACCCAGATTTGGGCAAACAATTCATGGAGAAATGGCTCTGAATGCTTCATCTCACATCTCGGCTCCAAACAATCATGTGACTCCCGCGGTGAATATGCTCACTGGCTTACGGAAGAAAAGAAAGGCCGAGCAGGTCTCTGAGATATCTGAGGGCGAAAAAGAGGTGTCACAGTCAATGGCAAAGACACTAGCAACTGGACTGGTACGAAAGAAGCCGAAGAACTAAGCGTGGACTAGGTCGCATATCTCACTACGGTACCCGTCTACATCAAGGCTATGCACATAAAAGTCCCCTTGGCGCAGGCTTGACAAAGAGAATCTCACCCAGACAGAAGGGTGGCATCATTTTCCTCACACGGCCTGATGACAGTCGGGGAGTTTATCATGATTGGCTGTCGCTGGGGAGCAATACTTCGTATGGGGCTAGATGGAGATGAGAAGTTGCTGGATATTTATGGCCAAAGCAAACTCATAGGGCACGTGATAAACTACTTGGCCATTTGTCAGATCAGACGCTCTGTGTTTCCATTCTTGGTGTTGCAGTAAAGATAGCTATGATAAAGACCATGAGGTACCCGGTAGATACTCATATGCATCGTCTAGTCAAGCATGTCAAAGCTGGTTGACGCCTTGTCAGCGCCAAGACCCAACCAAGTTTCAGGCCGCCTGCCCAACCCGTCAATGTGGTAAATCTGGTGATGGAAGTCGCGCGCCTCGACTGGGGCGCGGCTTCTATATTTGGGTATTGGCCTGACAACCACCAGTTTTCGCGGCAAGTGCAACCAACAAACCAAATACAGACCTGACAAACGGCAAGAACGTCCACTCGACGTCCACTCAACATCATCCACCTCATCCACTTCATCCACCTCATCAGATCGACCTCTATTTTCTCTATGACCTTTCATCATTGGCATCGTTTCCCATTCGCACGCCTGATCGCCTGATCGACCGACAGGGACATGCTTCCGACCCAGACCCCATTCATTCATTCATTCATTTGAAATCTCATGTTCAAGGGTACCAGGCTGGCCGTGGTCACTCTTCACTCATTTTGGACCACGCTGCACAAACCCGGCCCGCCACCTCTCGTAACACCATGACTCCGCCCTCGCCGCCTCTCAGAGTGCGCCGTTCTCAAAAAACCTTTGACTTCTGAGGCGCTGCGCATCGCCGGCCAGTCTGGCTATCGTATCAGGTCGCACCCTCACTTTTGTAACATTCTCAACTCTCTTTCTCTCCATGTTCAATCTTCTCTTCATCCGCCTCATCTGGCCTTGGTCCCAAGTGCAAATGCTCTATTTCCTTTGCCCTTTTCTTCTGTTGTCTTGAAAATTTCCTTCCCCGTCATTGTCTCTCCGATGATCTAACATTTGGCACCTCGTATCGTGACGATCCTCACCCTGTTGAATCGTCATCTCACTCTCCCTCGTTCACCTTCATGCCATGGCCACGTCTGCTTTAGCAACACTGATTCTGCTGTCTCTGGCCTCAGCACAGAACCAGTGTCATCACACTCCGATATATCTCGACTTTCATGATCGGAGGGTCGACTCTGACAGAAGTTTTCAGTATGGCCTCTTTGCGGGCGTGGGTACACCTTCTCAAAACCTATCCCAGTGGCCCTCGGTGTCACATAACGAGATGACCATTGCCGGTCCAGACTATTGCACCGACAGTCCTTTTGAGGATTGCATCAACCGAGCTCATGGAATCTACGACCCTCTAGCCTCCGATGATCATCGTCCTCACGATTCATACCAATCTCTTGACAATGCTTTAGAAATTACAAATGCTACTGTCATCAACCAGACAACCGACACCTACAATCTCTTTGTCCACTACTACGACCCATCCCCACCTACTGTAACTCATGTTCCTGACGTCCCCATTACAGTATTGTCAAATTATACATCTGATCAATCACCGTGGTTTGGCCCTGCTGGTCTTTTCGCCCTGGGCCCTTCTTCCACCATCTTAAGTCGCCTCCTCGATTTGGACCTAATCGCGACCCGCTCGTATGGCTTGTATATGGGGACCTACTATGAACCCGTAAATGGCCTCATCAATGGCTCCCTCACTCTTGGTGGCTGGGATTCTGGTCGATTTGAAGGCCAGCCCTTCTCTCACCAAATTTCAGATCCAAACCCAGATTTTGATAATTCTCCTCTGAGAGTCACAATCTCTCGGATGACTTTGACAGATAGCAACGGAGACGAGGCTCAACTCCTCCAACAGTCACAGTCTCTCGATGCCTATCTCACCACCAGCCAACACGAGATCAATCTCCCTGAGTCGATCCTTGATCGCTTCGTCCAGGAGACCAATGCCGATGATTCGGGAAACGTCTACAGCCTCCCTCAAGACTTCAACTCAACTCTGACCATCTCATTCAGCTCAGGATTGAATCTGACCTTTGAATCTGAATGGCTCAGGAATGTCAGCAACAACTCTCCTATTTCAACCACTGTTTCAGGCAATAGGACGACGTCTGATTCCGAGAGCAGTTCGCTTGCCTTTCTCGGTTCCGCTTTCTTCACACATGTTTATTTGATGGTCAATTATGACGCACCAACACCCACCTTCTATCTTGCTTCCGCCCTTCCCCATGCTCCCTACGTTATGACCACCCCTTTCTGTACCGACACTGTTCCCACACCAGCACCTCCCACCGATATCTCCAGCTTCGCTGCTAATGGAATTGCCGGTGCAGTCATTGGTGGTGTAATTGGAGGAATTGGCTTGACATTCTTCATCTGGTGGCTAGCTCGAATATGCATGCAGCGCCAATCATGGCGTGCTCACCATCGAGAGTCCATAAAAGGCAAAGGCGTCCAAGGTGGCAACGTTCCAATCTCAGCTTTCCCTTCGAGTCCCAAATCATTTCATTCGTCCACAACTGTCGGAGACAATGTCGTCGACAATGAAATGCAAATTGACGAACGAACCCGGGATGATAGCAACGAGATGCAATCCTTCGCCGCCTTGAATTTCAACAACGGCTTTCCCTCTGGATACTCCGACGTTCCGCCTTCCTCGATGCAAAGTTTTGCTCCAAATCACGCCCAGTATCAAGGTCGCACGGATTCACCGGGCAGTGTACTGTCTGAAGGTTATGCCCGACTCGGGACTGAGGTCAAACCCAACGTAGTCCAAGTCCAAGCGCATCATCACAGCGCAAAGCCTTGGACGGCCATTGTCCACGATGCCAATCATAGTGCTGGATGCATGACTCCCGTCACTCCACTCACAACTGAGCCTTACTTCCATAGCTCATCTTCTAATCCTCACGCAGTTCCAGCATCACGACACAACGTGAACATTGATGACTTGGTCAGTCCCATCTCTCCACCAGGTCGTCCGATGGCCGATACGACGTTTTATCAGACACCCCATTCCCCCCATGTGGATACTGAGTTTGCGCCTCCACCCAGGAGTGAGAACAGGTAGAGAAGTGGAACTACTAGAAGATGTTGTCGAAGTGGGGAGTAATCGAGAGGATGAGCTCCCCAACATCTGTACATGATGTATTGAAACCACAGTTGTCCTCAACGACGAAGTATAATTCATCGTTTCCCTCTCAACTAGAGTCAGGTCGGGCGCCTTGAAGGGAGATGTATAATCCTACACTAAGCCTTATGGCTGCATGATGATACGAGACAATGAGCATCTACTTTCTGGTTCACCTCTGTGATCAGTTCCAAAAGTGAAAACGCACGAGGTTTGTCCCGGAAGAACAATGTAGACATGAGTTTGTCAAGGTTTTCATCTGGGTTCGACTATAACATGAATCTAACATATTTGAACGAAACCTTTGCCCATTGTAAACACATTTTCTGGGGCGCATTCCATCAGGAGATGCCCCTCCCCTCTGGGTTCGATCCGGAATTCATCCCACATGACTGACGTGTGTCCCAACGTCTCATCACAAACATCACAGACGTAGAGTCCTCTGTAATCGCTCCACGACGGCCTCGAGGTCCGCATTCCGGTCCTCGAGCGCAGTGGCTTGTTTCTGTAACATGTCTTTCTCGCTGCGCAGGGCCTGCATCCGAGTCGCCGTCTTCTCGCGTTGCCGCAGGCTATCTTCGAACATGGCCTCGATGCGCGCGATCAACTGCCCGTCGGCCAGCAGTGGGGATGAATTCGTGGATGTTATGGCCGCCGAAGATGAAGATTGTACCATCGTCGTCGACATGGATGGCACCGACAGTGTTGTCGCCGATCGAGTGAGCTGGTCATGTAATTCCTTGTTGGCAGCTTCTAGCTCCAAGACCCGCTGCTCCATGGCTGCCGTCCGCGCCACCTGCCACAGGTAGTCGCTCTGTTTCATCGACAGCCGCGCCCCGGCCGTTGACGCCGTCGTCGGGCTAAGGTTGCCGACGGCACCACCCATGCCCATAACGGGTACTGCTATGGCTGGTCCTGAAGTACCTTCGCCAGTGGAGTAGGCGTTGCCGGTAGCGAACCCCGCTCGCGAGATCTTATAGTTGGCAATCGCGAGCTTCTCTCGTAGTACAAGCACGTTGGCCAGGTCGTCGTCGCGGAGTTTGATCATGGCGGCGTGGTCACGTCGTTCACGCGCCAGCAAGTCGCGAACCTTGATCAAGTTTTCCAGGTCTCCGGCCCGTAGTTCGACCAGCTGCAGGTACTGCGTCGTTGTACGTTTATGATCTCGTTCCAGCTCGGTGAGACGATCCTGCAGCTCTTGGTGCTCCGTCGACATGATGGTCGGAGTCGACCTTTCCAGGCTTGAGATCTGACCCAGTAATGTGTGGAGCAGTTGTGACATGGGACCTGTCGCGATAGCCGCGTTCTCGCCAGCTGCTGAATTGGGTGAGAAGGTCGACGCTGGTAATAAAGATCCCTGGTCGTGGCCTCCACGACTCAGATCTGTCGCAAAGGCTAGTTTGCGACTGACCGCCCGCGGCGTCTTTAGCTCTCGCTCTTCATCTTCCTGGAGGTCATCCTCCCCACCCTCAGTGGGAGGTGTGCTGCCGTCCATGCTAGCTGAGTCGTCTAGGTCTAGGGCTCTGCGCCGCAGGGACCCGGAATGAGTGTCTGTCAATGGTTTTTTGGGCGCCCACAAATCCATGTCGTGTTCACTGGGTGTCGTCCCTGGAGTGTTGGTTTCGCTTGCTGCAAAACTTGACGTCCGACTCAGCCGTGAATGGCTGCCAATAGACGACATGGAGCCTGCAACACTATGAGAGTATGAAGGTTGACGACTTAGTTGGCCAGGCGACCACATGATCTATGAAAGTATGATGTGACGCTTTGGTTGGTGGAGGATGCAGGAAATACCAGGTAGACAGCTATGGAAACCCGCAATAAATTGCTCAGAAAGTCGCTCTACAGGATCAAAGAAGCAACAAAGGCACGCAAGTTCAGGACCTGACTAGAAAAGCCAATTTGCGACGACAATAGCGATGTGAGAATGCGAAGGAGGATGGGATATAGGGGTCACACCACCTCAAATCAGGTGGAAGAGGAAGTACTTATCTTACCAGTAGCGCTAAATGGCGAGGAGGAAAAGGGAGGTGAGCTATCCCTGACGAGTTCCAAGGCGCCAGGAGGGTCGACCCGTAGATGCAATTGTATCTTGCATCTTGGATGCTTGGAAATGAGATCAACGGGCAAGGCTGGGCATGAAACACAAACTCACACATATACAATGCACCGTGATGTTTGACCTGATATGTCTGAGACGACACCTGAGACACAGTCGCCTCAGACTGGGACCAGCTTGGTTCAGTGCGACGTCCGGTCTAGATCTTGCAGATCGAATTGGAGATTGATGTTCAGGTATTGGGCCATCCTGTAGATAGCCTATCATGGTTGCTCTTCCATATCGCCTTGAGCGCTTGCTCCCAAAAGCTCAAAGTAATGAAAGCATGCGTAGAACCGAGACAAAACAAGGGGGTGGTAGCGGACTCGACTATTTGATAAGCGAGAGGAACCGCCAAGGCTCGGGAGACTGCTCACTGCAAACCCTGCTTTCAGTGTACGGAGCAGAGTGACGCTGCCCTGTTATCACACCAGTATCATGTCAGCAGTGTTAGATCACCCTCGTGACTCGCCTGGGTGACAACTGAGAAGGAATGTCGCTGAGCCTTACGAGGGTCATGTCGTGATAGGATGGACAGCGAGAGCACTGACCGGTGAGGCTCGCTGTCCACCTTAGCGCACCCTCCAGTGTCTCGTTGTCTAACTATAGTGGGAAAGGCTCGGTCGTCACCGTCACCGTGGTGGAGATGGCACTCTAAAGAGAACGAAACTACCGTTGAGGCTCGTGAGGCTCAATTCCACGTGACACACATGTGCACGTGCACACCAGTTACAAAAGACTTCCCGCCAAGGCTGTAGGCTCTTAGGGGCAAAATGATAGCCATGTGACATCACGTGTCCGAGTCGTTCTCGAACTGGTTTGTTGCCTCTGCTAGAAAACAGGTCGAATTGGGAATAATGATCGATTTTGACTCACTCGATGGCTCAATAGCCCCCAGGTGTATCTTCGCCGCAAAGATGTCATCTCCCATGAAGTCACCCAAGTCCAACACCTCTGAACATACTGAAGCTTTGAGAGGGAAGCGTACTATTCATCCGAGAGCCCAACTTCAAGGAGAGCTTGTACGAATATGGAAATACTCTGATATAGATCGGGCAACAACTGGTATTTCGCATCGTGTGTTGGACTATGAAAATCGTTATGGTCATAAACACATCAATAGAATAGTTGAATCTGAAGGTCCACTCTTCACACGGCCAGACCACCACTCCCTCATATTGTGACACAGTACGAGAGCAGACAGCATACGGATCGGATCATAACGCAAGAGTCATCAAAACGACATGTAGTAGAAGAGAAGACAAAACGTGAAGAACGAGGAAGGAAGGGAGCAGAAAGTTGATAAAACCCACAAACAGACCCATGGACCCGCATGCCTGAAACATCGTCATCCTTCGCCCTCTTACATGCATTCGAGACGTGTAGTCTCATTGCGTTTGGTACTGACGAGCAGATAGAGCATCGCTCAACTGAGCATCTCTCCATATATCCCATTTTCCCAGTCTTTAAGAACACGTCCACTGACACCACCGTCAAAGGAGCAGATTTCAACTATGATGCCTCTTTCAAGGACGCCTACACCCGCAATGTCAATACTTCGTAGCCAGTCAATAGCTGCTTCAGCAGTGGATGGCCTCACCTCGAACCGGTCTCAGATCTTGATTCACGGCGTACTGAGTGCTGTTGAGGTGTCTTCGAAAGGTGGTGTCAATTGCTTTGAGCATGTTCTCCTTCGTATTCGCAGTCGAAAGGACAATCAATCCAATGATAATGGCGAGGTCACCAGCTATAGTGCACTCCCGGTTGGCCGTAGATCGTGATGCATATACAGGAGGGAACAGTGTGTTCAACATTCTCGGGGGCGCTCGGTAAGGCAATTGAAAGTCTTTACCGTGGTACGCCACCAGCACCAAGTTCGAATTTCCATAGATGTTAAACCCTAGCCGTCTGTAGGGAGAATCACTCCTGTTCAAGTCCATCTCCAGGCAATTTTCAGGGCGATATGAATATGCCTGTCTATCAGGGGCCCAGAACATGGTGCCTGTTCTGTGGACTTCTCGGCTGCTCAATTCTGCGTCTGATGGGGTCCGCAAACGTGCGTATGGCGCCTCGCCCTGATGATAAGGATCCCAGACCCACCAGCCAGTACTGTAATGCACACCGAAGTTATCTTTTCGCTTAGGGGGTTGCCAGTACCCGTCATTAGTGAGCCTCGGCGCTGTTGGATCGTGCCTATAGCTGATCTGCGTGACCTTTACAAGGAAAGGAAAAGCGCGCGGTGTCTGGGAACGTGTGGCCATTTGGAAGACTTTTCGAAATGCAAGAGTGCGAAGAATGAGCGGACTCAAATGTTGGAAGATGTTGGAGGGATATCAAGATATCATGGCTCAAGAAAAGCATGCGTCACACTACGCTTCCGCACCCCAGCCCGGCTGCCATTCGCCCGATATCTTCCAAATCCCACGAGTTTCCTTCAGAGGTGCATTTGAATGCGATTCACGTCGCCTGCAGCGATTGGTCCACGACGCATTATATCATCATCATCCAAAGCGGCTCGAAAGGATATCAACAAATGAACAAGAGCTCGGCCAAGATAGGTGTAAGTGTTCTGGGTGAATGACAGGGTCTAGAGACCCATTTCTTGCGAACCGGTGACGCTGTTGGGCCGTTAGTGAACACTGTATCAATCAATGACCTTAGTCCACGACACCCGGGATTTGACCAAACCCCTGCCCCGAATTGCATTGAAGAATGCTGCTGCAGCCTCAACCAGGTCCATGACAAAAGCAGTACAAGACTGCCGACGGACTATCCACTGCAACCAGCCCGGAGAAGTCTAGTAGACTATCGCGCGATTGGTGACACTCTGTGACGGACGGGCCCTAGTAAATGCGAGAGAGTGTGTCCAGCGGCCAGTCTGCTGAGCAGTCGGACCAACCGACCCTGGTGGCAGAGGGCATGCGTCGCCAGAGAGCCACCCTTCAAAAATAGCCAATTGGCGAAGGGCAGGGCGTCAGCGTGGATGAGCGTGGCAACGATCCGCGCAGGACTTGAAAGGGCCGATGGTTTCCGCTTCGATGAGGCTCTGCGTTCGGTAGTTGTCGGCAAGTCCTCACCTGGCAGAGAAGGGCAGTCGCCGGCGAAGACTATGGCCGCGGGCTGGAGGTATGATCAAACTGTGAGATAGCTGAAGATTAGCGAGCCAGTGAGGAAGCAGAGCCACGCGGCCAAGCCCTGATTCTCTTTCTCACTCTGTGCAACGGATCTCATGGAATAAACCGAGAGGATTCGAAGTAATAGAAAAGGCCGCAACTCTCAGAAAACTTTCTTGGACGTGAGCTCCTCTTTATAGTCTCGCCTCTGCAATAACTTTACTGTATCCGCTACCAAAATCTTTTGTGGTCGACACAGCCTCCTTATGCTGCCTGATAGGTGTGAAAGCCGCATTAGCGGCCTAGTTGCCTTGTTCGCCTTTCTGCTCTAATCAGCAAGTGGCTGCACACGACTACTGATGTTTTGATAGTTGGTCTCGCGGATGCGAGGTTCGGCATCCGGATAGTGGCTCCGCAGCATTTGGGTGCCTATAACATAACCTCGTTTGGCTCAGAAAGAGAAAAGGAGACATGCGAGATGCAATTTCATGCTAACCGACTCGCATGTACATGATGTCTCGAGAAGACCTTTGTTTTATTCGTGACCAAGGGCGGTTGGAGAAGATCTTGGTCCCAAGGCTGACAAGACGCCAGTCTTGTACTGTACAGTGGCTACGTGGATTCTGAGATCAGCGACATGCTCACAAACAAGGTTAGGCACGTCGTGATTGGGTTGAGTGGCCATTGTTCGGTCTGGTGATCTTCCGGGAATCTCGCAATTTTAAACGTCAGTCCTTGAAAGTTGAGGTCCGACTCCACGGCGGGTGCCAGAAAACCTTGACTTGACAGTGGCTCAACGGGGGCTTTCGAAGTCCACATCATCTCCAAGAGCAGCGGACAAATCTATCTCACTGATTCAATGTAGGGACATTGCAGGTCAATTTCAGTTTGACTGATGTAACCTTGAAGAAATGCTCCCGATCCATCATGAGAGGGTTTTCCAGTGGCATCATTCTACCTACTACTGTACATTCTTGACCCAGACCGTGTGCGTCTTTGTCGCCATATGCAATGTCTTTTTGCATGCTTCAACCAGTCCACCGCAAATTCAACAAAGGAGAGTATCGCCATGTGCCGCCCAGCAGCTGACATGCCTTGATTGTCGTTCTGCTTGGGTTCACGCCATGCATTGACCATTCAACGAGGTAGACCTTGCCTTGACGTGTCCAGAGAAAATGACAGGGCGGGCAGCTCCTCGGCGCTATGTCGAAGCTCTTTACGAATCAAAAACTTTACTCCACATTCAGCTTAAAAAACATTGACGCAGCCCCAGAAACGCTCCACGCCAAATTCACCGGGCTCTTTCCATGGCTCATCTTCGTAGCTCAGGAAGACAACCTGAGCGCCTACAGCAGCTTGAATACCTTTGAGCGCAACAACCTGGTTCTCTGGGCTAGGAACAGCGGCACCGTTGGCTTCGCCGGCATGGGGCCATCCGGATTCCAGGACATAGATGGATTTGCCAGAGAATATGCCGTTGAGTTCGTTGATCTGGGCCTGGATAAACCCGCCAGCTTTGTCGGCCGAGATCTGGGCGTTGAAAAAAGCGTAGAGGTTAGCACCAACGACATCCATGACAGAAGCCAAAGCATCAGAGTTCGTCTTGTCACCCCAGACGGTCAGTGGTTCAGTGGTGGTGACTGGGCCTTCATATCCGGCGGATCGGAATGCCCACTTGCTCTGAGAAACAAAGTTGGCCAGGTCTGATGCTGAGGCGATGTTGTTGAAGATAACTTCATTTCCAACCACAATCAACTCAACGATGTCCCATTTCGCCCATGCGACGATTTCATCCACTTGGGATTTGGCAGCTCCAAAACCCTCAGAGTCGACCCAGACACCGATGATGAGCTTGAGACCATTGTCAGCAGCTGACTTGCCAATGTTCTCCAAGGTGCCGCAGTCGGTGCTGTAGACACGGACAGTGGTGAATCCTTTGGATGCAATGATGGCGAGATCCTTGGCAACGGTAGCAGCGTCCTTGCATCCACTTTGGGCGGTGTAGGGAGAATAGGTCAGACCCCAAGAGTTGCCATTGGGGGTGATGCCAGCGTAGTTGCCGGTAGGTGCTGGCCACGATCCTGTATGAGAGGTCTCAACGACAACAGACGAGCTGGCGGTAGATTTATCACCCCAGCCTCCGGTAGGTGCCGCTGATGACTCTGTGCTAGTCGTCCAATCGAGCCAGTCTGATTCTGCTGCAGAGGAGGTGGGCTCAGCAGGGACACTGGTTGTGGATTCCCAGTCGGCCCATGTTGCTGACTCTGTTGTCGTCTCTTCGACTGGAACACTGCTGGTTGTAGATTCCCAGTCGGCCCATGTTGCTGACTCTGTGGTGGTATCTGCGGCAGGAACACTGCTGGTGGTGGATTCCCAATCGGCCCATGTTGCTGAGGTCTCTGTTGTGGTTTCTTCAGCAGGGACACTGCTGGTCGCTGATTCCCAATCAGCCCAAGTCTGGGATTCTGTGGTGGACGCATCCGGAACGGGGTTCCCTGTATTGATTGTTATTAGAGCACGTAGAATGTGTCAAGACAATAGGTACTTACATGTCGGAAGACCGTAAGAAGTGATGATAGAAACAGCGCATTCTCCGGCAGGGACATCCCACGCAGGACCAAACCACCCAGCCGAGGACCAGCCTGGAACAATGGTGGACGTGATGACGCTGATGACTGGGGCAGAGGTAGTAGGCTCCGCAGGGACAGAGGTGGTAGGCTCTGCAGGGACAGAGGTGACAGCTTTCCAATCTTCCCAGGAGGCAGCATCTGTGCTTTCCACTGGACGGACCCAGATGGTTTCGGTGATGGTAGATTTAAGGGTGATGGTCAGTGTGGGCTCGGACCAGTCACCCCAGGTTTGATCGGGATCAACAGTGGTGGTTGGGACGGGGTCAACGGGGACAGTGGTCTCCCAATCCGCCCATGTATTCTCGTCGGTCGAGGTCGCGGGGACACTTGGGACACTAGAAGTGGATGATGTCCAGTCGAGCCATGGCTCATCGGCGCTGGTTGTAGATGTGAGTTCAACCGGCGTGTCAGATGTGGAGCTTGAAGCCCAGTTCAGCCAGGATCCTTCTTCGGTGGAAGTGGTGGTAGCGGTGGTGGTGGGGTCGACGGGCTTGCTAGAGCTGGTCGACGACTCCCAGTCGGCCCATGAATCCTCGCTGTCAGTCGTGGAGGGAGAGACGGATTCGCTGGATGTCGTGGTCGTCTTTGGCCAGCCTCCCTGAGACGAGGTTGTGGTAGTAGGAGCGACGGGGGTGCTGCTTTTGCTTGGCTCGGTCCATCCTCCATTTCCTTTGGTGCTCGTGACAGGCTCAACCTCTACCGAAGAGCTGGTGGAATCCCAGTCGGCCCAAGTGTCGCGAGCGTGCAGCTTCGCATGCATGTGTTTGGCATGGCTGGCAGCATTGACCGAAACGATGACGGCTGCACCAGCAGCGGCGAATGTGACGGCTCTCATAACTGCGAAATCTTTGATTTGCCCAAAACGTTGGAACGCTGGCTTAGTCCTTTACTGGGTGTGAATTTTTTTTAGTATTTGGGGTTGTTGTATAAACGAATGCCCGCGAAAGGAGTGGCGCGGTAGTGGGAGGGAAAAGAGCGCAAAGGACGAACTGATGCGTCCACGACGAAGGAACGGAAGTGTCGAACTACACAGAGCCTTGCGGAACAAGAGGGAAGAAATCAGGTGGTGAGGAGGGCCATGATCAAGTGCATATAGGCACGAGCATGATAGACGCCAAATCCTGGGGGACCCGCTCCAGAGGCATGATGGAGAGAGGCCAGGGATCCACGAGCCCACAAGGGAGGGAGCATGGCGCTAAAAGAGATGCAGACGTGGCAGGCTAGAATTGCCCCTCAAAACCCAAGAACCATGGCAAAGGAGAATTTGCCGCGATTGGAGGCCTTTTAAGTTGCTGCATGGGTGGGTTGGGATTGGATTGGACACGAGATCTCACGAGCATTCATGAAACGGTGTGGCTGCAGATTTCGCCATCGCTGTTGTCCAGCAACATTGGCTAGGACATACATTTAGCGTATAGGCCAACGGGATAAAGGACTGACAGGCGAGCACCAATAGTTCGCCCAGCATCATGTCTACGAAGTTAATAGACGATCACGAGGCTGTCAGTTGCCGAATTTTGACGTCTCAAGCCCGTAAAATGACGTCCAGTCGTAGAAGAGCCGGTGCCCATGGTCGTCATTGAGAGTAGCAATTCGACAAGCAACGAACAGGTTGTCAAAGTGTCCCGGGAAGAGACAGCGGACACTGACAGGAGACGGTAGATTGGAACTCTAGGGGCCATTGGCACCCTTGGACTCCTTGGAGAACAGGGTCAGGGTGAGTGGCTGGAGACAAGGTGATGAAACCAAGCCACGGAGGAGACCCAACTACTCACTCCTACCACTCCGTACTCCGTACTCTAAGTTCGATGCATACCCATACAGTCCAACCTACCAAGATGCCGAGTGACAGGGTTTCGTAGACGCATGCAAGATGAGGTGCTGTGAGGGGCCAACCAGTAAAAAACGTCAAGGGGGCAATAGCATTTTACATCTAACCAAAGACCGTCAGTGGTTAAGTAGTTAGAAGCTTGAGAAGGGCTAATTCTATCGAATAATGAGGACAATGATCGAATTGGACATGGGACTGGCGGGCAGCCGAAGGGGAGAGGATGGAAAAAGGGGCAGCCGGAGACATTTAGGTCCACACACTAAACCATAAACGGTTAGAGCCCAAAGCTTGGTTTGACGCCATTAAGATTGCAAGTCTCGCGTGTCTCTTCAACAAGACGACCAACGCGCTCTATTCACCCAACCAGACACTTAATCTGGTGGATATTGATCGTTCCAAAAGCCAAATGAACCCAAGGAGGCACAGAATTTGTTTGCTCCTCGATTCAGTTTGTCGCCCCTGAGGTTTTGCGCCGCTTATCCACCACCGAGTTTGACTCCTCGGCGGATCCAGTCACGGGATTGACTTTTTAGTTGCGGCCATGTGGTGACACCAACTCGATCCAGCTTGTTCCACAGTTGCTTGGTCAAGGTGGCACCTGTCTCATCCGCGTCACCTCTCACCTATCGCCGGTGGCATCTGTCATACATCTAATCTCCGTCGACCCAGACTCTGGGTGCACCTGGACTTGTCAAGTGGGCGATGGCAATCGCGATGGCACGTAAGGTACCACTGTTTGGCTGGAGTGGCACACTGGTGAGCTCAACCAATACTGATGTGTTTGTCCAGCCATGGTTTTGATCGACATCTATCATCCTTGCCTAGACTTCCTGGTTGGTAAGTCTCTATTATTTTTGTTGGTGTGATCAGCACAATTACTGCCTCGGAGGAGATTTGTTCTCTTGTAGGGGATCGTCCACCCACATAATGCTACCGATCGAGACCTTGATCTTTGCATGCTGTACTCGTATGCGTCATGTTACACCGACGATGTTCACCGACTGCTTTAATGGCTTCTGTGGATTCTGCAGGTACAGATTTTAGAAAGTGTATCGAATCGGAGTGAAAAGCGAGCGGGAAGTGCCTTGTGCACGGTGCTACAGCATACAGTACTACATCAAGCTCCCGTCTCCTCAGCTAACAATCTTTGAGTCGCGCTTCTAGAAAACCGCGCATTGGGAAATGAATCATGATGAATTATGGGCCTTGCTCTTGGCCACGTCATCGCCGTTTAGCTGACCACATTGCGTGTGCTCATTATCGCAGCCAACGTCTGTGGTCTGTGATCACGCAGATTTGATTGATGCTATCGCGGCATCCAAATCTGACATCTGCCGGTGACATCTGGCAGTCAGGGGTCGCGACTCGTCCTCCTTTGGAGCCAACCCATGCTTGGCCGAAGCGCAATTCTAGAACAACGAGCATAGACATGTTTTTCTGATGCTGAACTGATTTGTCGAATTCTGGGCAGGTGTACAGAGCCTAGTCAGAGTTTGGCGAAACCTTTCCTGCTCCAGGCCTCTTGAACATTTCTACTTGAACATTTGACAATTCGACGGACAGTTCCATTTCTATCGTCGATCCGGCACGTTTCCTTCCAGCCAGGTTTGCACGATCTGCGAGATCCGCGTCCCGCCAGACCACGTTGCGATTTGCGCAGACGAGTACAGGTTCACGGTTCACAGTAGGAAGACCAGGGGTTTGATGGACTAGGGCTGTAGATCATCCTATGGTAAAAACTACACAATCATCCTAGCAACAGATAGCCGTCCACAATACAGTCGGTAGCCCATCATGCATCAATCCTCAACGCTAATCGTCAAACTCGAAGATGCCCTCCCGAATGCCTCGCTCCCACGCCGCCTTTCGACGTTCCACATCCTCCGCCCTCTGATCCTTCATCCACGCCGTATTTCGTACATACTTTTCTCGAAACTTTTCGTTTTCTTCTATCCGACCTGGCTCATACACCTTGCCAGGCGTATGTCCTTCTGGGTTTTCTCGTACCCACCCGAAATCATGATGTAATATCACCTTGTACGAGTCCGGGGTAACGAATGCAGTCTGCTCGTCAAAGTGCTTGAGATTACCATACACCTCATCGTATGCCGTCTCGATCTTGGCATTCTGAGGAGCAATGTTACGTCGCAAGTAACTGGGTCGTAGACGTCCCAGATCCACCCCCTCGGTCGCTTCAGTCATGGTGTACGATGCAATGTAGTACTGCCAGCGAGCCTCGGGGCTCAGGCTATCGCTGTCAAATGTCGCTTCGTCCTGAGGGAAGAGACGGACAGTGCAGGTCCGCGAGCGGGGTGTCTATCTATGTTAGCACATCTCTCAACGTCTTGGCTGCCACAAACTCACATAGCTGATTCGATAGACCTCTCCATCCTTGGAGAGCCGTTCAACTTGTTTTCGATACTGAATTTCCTGCTTGCGAGTCGTGTCGGGCCGCTCGCGATCCTTCAGAAAGAGGTTGGTAATGTCGACGCTCTTGTCCTTTGCGTCACCGCCGAGAATGTTCATCACAAATCGTAAGATGGCGCCCACGAGCTTGTCGACCGTGTATAGCTGCCAACCGGTCTTGTTGTAGTATCTCCGTAGCGTCTCCTCAAGGTGAGCCAACTCGCTGGTGTTGATCACCGCCTCCTCGCACATTTGCAACATCTGACCGTAGTAGTTCTTATTTCCGTCAATGTTGGGAAAGAAATATTCGGGGCCCTTGTCAATCATTCGCAAGTCGATGGCAGGCTTGACCTTGCCGTCAACTGGCCGATGACGGGCAACTGCTTGCTCAACGTTGGCTTCGTTTTCTTTGATTGGCAACAGCCGACTGTACAGCGTCTCAAAGAGGCGGAAAAAGCAATAGATGTTGGCATTCGCGTACAGGTTGAAAGTTTCATGCTCATACGGGTCATCCAGAGCAAGATGTCGAACGGACTGGTCGTTGTTGGCCACGTTGATCCACGGCTTTTGAATCTGCTCCACGAGGTCGGACCCGGTAGTGTCTTCATCCAGCTCCATTTCGCTGCCGGCTCCGGGCATGGGAGTCGACTCTTTGCTGGCCGAGGCAACACTGTCCTCTTTACCATGTCGTCTCTCGAGGGCTTGTCGGCGAAGCCAGTCAGATTTACGGCCCGCTTTGCCCTTGGTCACTGGCGGAGCATCACTCTCGTGGTCGTCGGGAATGTCATCGTGGTCTCTGTTTTTCAGTGATTCGGCGTCGATCTGTTCGTGGAACTTTTCAGGATCGAGACCAAAGAACCGTGGGATGAAGTCGGTGAACCATGCTCGGATCTTGTCTTGCTCAGATGGATTGTACTGGACCCGCTCCGACTCCAGCGAAGCGAGCACAAGTCGAGCCGCATCAACAATGACATCCAAGTCGTTAAAGGTGTACTCAAGTTGATGCTTCTGCTGCGTCAGGCCATTGTCGCGATTCTTCTTGCCTTCTTCGTACTTGGCTTGAATCTCACTGGTGAGAGACTTTGGGAGAAAATTCTTCTTGTCCTGGTTCCGGACATGGATCCCTTGGTGATCCAGGCTCTTCCAGAATTGTTTATGAATCGAATCACGCCAGACCTTCTCCCATTCCCTCTGAACTTGCTTCCACTCTTCCAGCTTTTGTTTGAGGCGGCTGAGGACGATTGGCAATACTGCGGTTGGTCTGGAAAGCATTTCGTTCCACACCTTGCCCCCAACCTCTCGGCCGTAGACCTTCATGATGATTCGCTTAGGGATGGCTTCACTCGCACCGCCTAGCGTGGGGCTCAGATTAAAGGCAGCTCTCTCTGCGTCACTCATGATCCCGATTTGCTGAACGATTGGCTCCATCAATTGGGTGGTTCGCTGGCAAGATTCGATGTGGAAGTCGTAGTCGTGGCGTTCTTCTTCGATGCGATGGAGGGATTCTTCATACTGATTCTTCCGATGGGCAATAAAGCCCGAATCTTCCGAAGCCCATGTAGGATGCGATGCCCAGACGTCGTTCAAGACTTCGTAGCACATGCCATCGCGTCCTTTGCATGTCTTGTTTTGTTCCCGCTTGGGAAGGTGGCGATAACTCGGACCGAGGGCATGGCAATGGGCCAGATTGACACGACCAGGATCGGGTCGAGCACGTGCCTCAATGACTTCCTCCTGCTCTTCGATGTTGAGAAAAGCCTTGAACCAGGCCATCAATTCCTGATTGCCTCCAATAAAGGAGGCAACACGATCGACCAACGTGTATTTGTCTATCAGATCCTGGGAGAACAGGTTCACCAGCTTGAGGAATTCAGCATAGCTCGTACGATGGCCGATTTGCTTCTTGACCCGTTCGAAGAAGTTCATCTCCTCTTGGGTTGTTGATAAGTTGGGGAAGGGAGGTAGGGGTTCTGGAACTTGCGGAACCAATGTGGGTGAAGTCATCACCACTTCATTAATCACAGGTCGTTGGTTGCTGAGTTTGGCACGCTTTTGTCTGGTCAGCGACATTTGTCTGCAAAGATCGGCGGGAAATACAACATACCTTGTTAGCGACGCCAACCTGAACGGGGCCTGATCTGGAGCCTTGAACGACGTTGGATTCTACTGTAGGCACGACCGAGGCTTGTGCTGTGAGGGTCGAATTCGCGTGACGACGCTTCTTGTTGTCCTTGCTGGTGCTTGGAGGGTCGAACTGACCCATCGGCGGCATCTTGGAGGCCGGTCTCGGGGTTTGGACGACGGGAACAGAGGAGGCTGCGTTAGCATACCCAGGTTCCCCACGGACGTTGCTAGTTTCCTCTTGGGCAATTGCTCGTTGGGCCTGGGCTTTGCCAGAAGCAGCTGATTCTGGCAGAAATTGCTTAAAGTCCTCGAGAAGATCTGGTGCTGAATTGAAAAGAGTAGTAACTTGAGCATAGACGTCCTGGATGGGTTTTGCTTCGCGCTGGTAGGTTTGCAGGATTTCCAAGAATTGCTTATAAACTTCTGGTTGTTGAGCAAACCGGTTCTACCTCAGATTAGTACCAAAATGATCCACGACAACAACGAGCTGCAGACTTACTTTGATCTTGTTCACGTAGCTGATGGCATGGTTGAATTCGACCGGACCTCCACGCTTCAATTCTCCTTGAACATTGTTGAAGGCGGAGGATTGAGGTGGCCCTGGAGACCCGGCAATGGCCGGACGGGCTGAGCCATTGGCGACAGCAGTGACTGCGTTTTGGAGTTGAGACACCCCACGTTGGTCTGGCTGGTTAATGGCGGCCGTGACTTCGTCGACAGGACGATCAGAGGGGCCAGATTTGTAGCCAGGAAGTTCAGCTGGACGAGGGCCGGGGGAAGTTCCGAGAGGCTGGCCCCAACCATGTCGAGTTTCAAAGGCATCATGACGCATGGGTGGTTGATTTCCAGGGCCGCTGGGTTCGATGCTTTCAAACTGAGGACGCCCTCGTCTTTGCAGAGATTGAGTCATGGTCCCGCTAGGAGTGGTGACTCTGATTGCATCGGGGTTGTCGTCGGTTCCGCATTCTATACGATAGCCAGGAGGAAGAAAAGTGTTGAAGCCCGAGATCAAGGTGGGATGGCCGTTGAAAAGGTTAGAGACGCGTTCAATGACGCCCGGGGTATCGATTGCCTGACTCTTGAAGTCTTTCATGATGTCGAGGAACTTGTTGTAGACGTCAGGCTGGTCACTGAAGCGGACTTTGACTTGATCAAGATAGCTGAGGGCATCGTTCAAGATGGGTTGTTGGCCTTGGTGAGCTAGCTGAGCTGGAGCTTGCAAAGGGGAAGGGTTGGGAAGCATGGGTTGGCCAGGATGTTGAGGTGGGCCGACCTGCTGGTGATACTGAGGTTGTCGTTGAGCGTCATGCTGAGATGGACCGCCGAACAGATTGCTTCCTGGTGGAGGTGGGCCGGGGTGCTGGGGACCACCTGCACCTGCACCTGCACCTCCGTTGGCAAGGAGTCCATTTGGTCCGTGGATCGAGTTGGGCACCTTGGATGCCACGGGCTGGTGAAGAGGGATTGCGGCATGGCTCTGGACGGGAGGACGTTGAGCGTGTTGCTGCTCTCGGTTCATACGGTCCAGCTGTTCTCTGTGGGCCTCTCGATCTCTCATCATCATCTCCTCCTGTTGACGAAGATGTTCCATATTTGTACGTTCTCGATGCTCGCGTTCACGAAGTTCAAGTTCGCGGTCGCGCATATCTCTCAGATCCCTGTCGCGGGGGTGATACTGGGGGGAATGTTGAGGCAAGGGGTGGCCAATGGGGCCGAGCTGATGATTCTGGGGTTGAGGAGGTGGGGGTTGGGTGTTGTACTGGTGACTCTGCTGATGGCTTGGAGGACCTTGAGTCAAATCGGCGATGGACAGGCTATGACCTGTTGGAGGTTGGGAATGATGTTGATGATAGGGAGAAGGTGGAGGAGGTAGGACGTGCTGGCCTTGAGAAGGGCCGGCCGGACTGCGCAAAAATGAGTCAGTGAGTAACGTGAGATCAAAGATGGATGGATATTCACAGCCACGAGGGGCTCAGAGTGGGTGACATGAAGGATTGAAGACTCAGAGTGGAGGTCCAAGGAGAAGGAAGCAATCTGGAAGAGATGAACATACCCGAATGTGCCGTAAGGTCGTGGTTGAGACTGAGGATCACCCTGAGGAGGTCCAGCAGGCCCACGCCAGTGATCTGGAGGATTCTGATTCATGATGAGGATGGGGCGAGGTCGAGCAGGTGATGGAGGAGAAGGTGTGGCAGAAAGATGCAGGTGGTTTTGCTGGCTCGCGGGCTGGCGATGTTCCCCTCACGTGTGTGCCTGAAGGAGACTACAACATGGCAGAGGCGCAGGAAGACGAGATGTTGGTAAGTGGCGGGTCGGGCACGACAAAGGAGGAAAACGGTGCCAACAGTGGTGAAGCAGAGAGAATGATGTTTGGCACCACAACGGCTCGAGAAATAGGTGAAAAGATAAGTGTTGAAGTGGTGGAGGACGAGGTCAAAGATGTCGAGTGTGAATGAGTTTGGTTTTGATTTCTCCAAGAAAGCTACTCCATGACCAATAAAGATGGGGCGAGACCTTTGAGCGTGTGGGAAAGAGCCACAAGGCATCATCACACTGCAGTTTCGCTGACTGGCCGTGCTGGCGCACTGCAGGTCCTACCGGAGGTGCCTCTTTGGCGATGGCCGCCCCTAAACTGAGCTGGGGGAGGGGGTTCATCTACTGTAGGTCTCTTAGGCCCTTGTAAAGACAGCCATTAGCCAGTCAAATTGCGGCTTTGAGGGCTTAAGTTAGCTTGTCATGCAACATTATTAAGTGCACCGCAAGAGCCCTCAGGCAGGTACCCAGTCGTGCCAGTCGCCCATCCATATCGAGACTAGCGCCCGGTTGAATCATGCGACCGCTAAACCTTCCTTGGATGGTCAAGGAGACCTGCGAAAGACAGTCATGAACACAGGGGGACAGAATTGCATCTCTTCCCAGACATGTCGGATTTGAAGATTTCTATCGACTTCTTTCCCATGGTCTGCCTACTCGTACAGCAGGGCTCGAGTAGGCATATATAAAAGTACCTAGGTATCTCTGGGTTTTGGTGTGCGATTGCCTGCCTGTTGTTCTCCCTGGTACAGTCATAGCTCTAATCATCCTCGCACGTCTCGCATCCTCACTCTGTTGAGCCCGGATCTCTCAACGAGTATGTCCCATGTCTGAGCCATTACTTTAAAAATTTGCTGGCCATGTCCATCAGTCCTCCAGCACTTGCCCCGCCACTGCTTCCTCCACTACTGCCACCGCCACCCAAGAGTCCTCCAAGTCCACTAGCGAGTCCCCCTCCACTCCCGCCCCCCAAGTTCTTCTTCAAGTACATCTGCAAAGCATATTGTGCCGCCTTGTTGATGACTGATTGTTTGTCCGTTCCGCTTTTGACATTGCCCTGCTGCTTTTGGTTGTCGACGAGGCTAGACGCTTCCTTCATTGCCATTGCAATCATCTGTGATTGGGATCCTCCAGACCCTCCAGAGCCCCCCGAACTAGCGTTGTTTGACCCACCCCCGCCGGTGAACATTTGAAAGACCTGCATCGCCGCTCCTGCACCGAGGCTTGAGGCGTCGTGCTGCTGATTCTTGCCTCCTTGTTCATATAGTTGTTGATGGCTCTGTTGCAATTGGTTCTCGTCCACATCGTTCGCATTTGGCTGGTTGTTTCCCAGGAAACTCAGTGCGCTGGAGAAGAGGCTTTTCTCGCCCGATGAGCTGTGTTTCATCACTTCGTCTTGGTCGAAATCGGCACTGTTGGAAGGGTTACCAAACCGCTGGCTGTAGCCTCCATCATTGGAGGACTGGCCTGAGCCACCCATACGATCACCGGAGAAGGACATTGCTGGAATTTGATCTGTTGAGATTGTGGACCAAAAGGAGGCTGCGTTGAGAGGACAGATGATGTTGCTTTATGGCTTGTAACTCCGGCTTTTAAAGAAACAATAGACTCAAGTACGGATGTGTACTAGGTGACTAGGTCTCGGCATGGGCCTCCTAGCTTGACTTGTCACACCCTCGTGCTTCCAATGCCTCAAGGTCAAGCCATTCAACTCAGCTCAACACTCGACAGATGACGTCAGCTTCTTCACGTACACGACTTGGCGGGCCGCGCTTACCAAACCAATTCTGGAAATTGTGCCTGACGCTAAATCTCTGAGTGGCCAATGACATCCTCGCACTGTGCTGTCTCTTGAACTCTAAACTCTTAGAGCCTCATGGAACTCTCACTTCCGCTCCAGACGTATACCAAGAGTGTCGTACTAACTACAAGGCCGTTCTCCCTACATTATTGTTGTCTTATGTCAGTTGGTGCGACTTTTTTTTCATCGTTCACGACTGAATCCACTTTCCACGCGAGGGTGACTCGCCCAACTCTCCTCTTCATTATGCCAATCTTCCAAACAAACCAGTACGACCTGACTTTCAAACGGTACGCTAACTGCACGCTGCCCGTCATTGCTCCTGAGTAATGCCAGACGGGGTTGGAATAGCATAAAAAGATGCATGTTGTCAACTAAGCTTTGACTAATCAGATCACGCCTGAGCCATCAGCCTATTTCTAGGGTGGCTCATGCCCCCTGAAGAGTACAGTGACGCATATTACCATATGGTCCTGCATATGAGGATGTCGTCCCAGCACTGATCAGAGTGTAGCGCCGCTGAATGGATGATCAGAATAAACCTGCAGGAGGTTTGGATCACGACAGTATCTCCGCTGGCGCCGTCAACGACAGCACGGGCTTTCAACGCTTTCCGCGATTCGTCGAAAGATCGCCCAACTTGACGGCAACTGGCTAGTCTTGTAAGGACACGGCGCAGCAATATCTGGCGGTGAGTAGACACTGTATATTTGGGACGATCTAAATGCACGAACAAGAGAGGGAGGTCTCATTGGTCATTATGGAGTCAGCACCATACCCATGCAACTGAGGATGTTTACAGAAATAGCCTGGAGCCCGATGCAGGAGCTGCAGGATCTGGAGACGCCATTTGTCTGCAACAGATAGAGATGAGGTACAGCGTAAAAGACAATTAGTCCTCCATGTCCTTGCCCTTCAGTTGAGAAGGATCGCTTTACGATCCTCGTCTTTGAGGGAGCGCTGAACGAGAAGAACGCAAGCACTTGGTATGGTTTCCAATCCCTCGAAGGCGTGGCGACTGCCGAAGGTAGTCCTACTATACATCTCGGTTACACATGAATGAGCTTCAAGTGATCTCATCCAAGTATTGGTAGGACCCATGTAGATACAAACACCTTGTGGTGTCGAATCCTATTCACACGGCTAAAGCGGCGGAACGGATGATGGGCCGAGGGGCCGGAAAATCCACAGCGCCGAACTCGGCGGATGACGTCGAATAGGCATAATTTATTCCAAAGGACCAAAGTCTGAATATTCTTCTCCATAATGATGAGACTGTAACATCCACCCATATCATCATTGCTGGTAGCCTGCGCAAGCTGCATACTGTATCTCAACTTCCTTTCTCTCTACTGAAGCCTACATCCACCAGGCCCGCTCGAACCACAATGGCGCCTCCAGCACCGACGCGACAATTACTACGACATCTGCGCCGACTGGCAGCCGCTCCGGAAACGCGTAGGACATTGTCCAGCACACAGACGCAACGATGGAAGCCGTGTCCGCAATTGCAGTCAGTCCACCGTCCTGCTCAGACCTCCAAGTCCATACCTTCACGCGCTATAATCAAACGGCCGTTAAGCACGAGCTGTGCCCATCGAAATGTCGGCGATTCCAACCCACCAGACTCCCCACCTACCGCCACCAGCCTCCCCGACATCACCAACTACTACACGCTCTTCCCACAGACACTGCCGTTAGGACCGCCTCCTAAAGGTCCATTTTCAATTCCGCTGGCGTCACTGAAACGCGAGTTTCTTGCGCTGCAGGCCCAACACCACCCAGACAAATACACGGGGAGCGCGACGGCGCACACCAAGTCGGTGGCCTTGTCTTCGCTGCTCAACACAGCGTACAAGACGTTATCGTCGCCGTTGCTACGGGCCCGATACCTGCTGCAGCACAACTATGACATCGACATCACGTCCGAAGACAATGCCACCCACCGAGGTGTCACCGACCAAGAGACTCTGATAGAGGTTATGGACGTGCAGGAGCGCGTCGAGGAAGCATTCGATCAAGAGGTAATTGATACCCTCAAGACCGAGAACCGAGCCCGTATCGCTGAGACCGAGGATCTGCTGGCCCGTGCCTTTGAAAACGCCGACGTCGATGCCGCTAAGAAGGAGTGTATCCGTCTCAATTACTGGACCAGTCTGCAGCAGGGCCTAGATGATTGGGAGCCAGGTAAAGACGTGAGGCTGATTCACTAAGAGCCTAAGATCATCAACTTCGCTGTGTTTTATGAAATGAAGGTCGCTCCCAGACCGTTGTTCCTTTTTCATGATCAAACGCCGACTGAGTTGGTTTTCAGTCAGGCAAGAGATAGAGAGAAGTGAATGACATTGCTGGCACTTCTTGCCACACTACCATGTTGCTGTTGCACTTGAGTGCATGCCATCTTGGATTACAATCGTTTTGTCTCCAATCTATCCTTATTTTGCCCCTCTTGATACCATACACAATTGAAATATGCCTTTGGTTGTGCTGACCATTTCCTAATGTGCCTAATGGGCGACTCATCCACTGCCTGCCGTTACTCCCTGCTCTGATATTGGCTGAAGTTCAAACTTGATACCCGCTTCAGAAAGTCGCAGTTGCCTTCAAGTTCAAACAGCCCGCTCTTGGAATGCTTCTTCATATGCGCAGACAGAGCATTGAGGTCCGCCATGACTTTCCACCTGGTGTTCTCCAGGCTCTTGACTTGTCTTCTGTGAGCTTTCAGCAGGTCTGAACCTGCGTCAAGGCTGTCTTGACCATGGCCAGACTGGTGCTGTGGTTCATCATCTTGGACTGCTATTTGCTCTGTCTGAGTCGTCACCCCTTCAAGCTCGGCCGTATTCCGATTTGGACTGATGCCGACGCTCTCCTCCCACTTGTCAATCTGGCTCTGCGGCCAGGTTAGACTCACAGAGAAGACCTCTCGGCCGGGATCATCAAGCATCGGGCTCCGGCCGTGCACAGGTCTGCTCAACACCAGCCGATCAAGGCCACAGAAATCTTCGGTGAATCCCCACGATCTCGCCTTTCCTCCTTCAAATTTGAAAAAGTTGACACCGAGCCTGGTCCAGGTGTGATCATAGTCTTTATCAGGGGTAAATACAATGTCGGACATGATGTTGCAAAGCCACTCTGGAACATGGAGCACATTTTCGAGTGTAATCTTGTGGCCTTCGCGGCTCCTAGACGCTTTGCGAATCTTGATCTCCACTGAGCCTATTCCTTCGACGGCAACTTGTCTTTGTTCTGCAAAGGTGAGCACATAAGACTTGAAAGGAGTGTATGTTTGAAAAGAAGCACGGTCAATGGCCACGTGCGCATTGGAGGCAGTAGAGAAAACCCAGTCGTGGCACAAGCTCTTTTCGGGGCTCTTGACTAGCCTTTGCTTGTTTGTTGAGATTGATCGTTGGTGTGAGAAGTTGGAGAGACTAAGGGCTGGGTGCGAATAGTAGGAGCCTAGTGGGAGGTTGCCCCGTGGATTTGGATCACGATCCATGAGCCTGGTGTCCAGAGGTGTTGGGCCTATTATCATTCAGAAAAGTGTCCCAGCACCGTATATTGATATCAGATGATAACCACCAAATGAGTGTAGACCGGGAAGTACAGGGAACGCCTGTGGAGACGTGGGTGGTGAGAACCTTTGAGTCAACATTGTAGACTGCGGGATAAAGTGGGCATTGTAAGTTCTTCATCGTTCTGCGCCCTCTGCTCCTGCTCCTTCTGAAACAACATCATCTTTTCACGGCAGGCGTGATGATTTGCTCGAATGGTGGGAGGGAAAGAGCGTTGGTCCTGCCTTCCGCTGCATCCGTATGTAAAGAGCCGAACTCACATGATCTCCAGTTGTGGCACTTTCATGACTTCATGTCCTACACTCCTTGGGTACGAACCATGGCTTCTTTGAAGTCTCAGAATCATCATTCAAATCTGCCCGATGCATTCACATCGCTAACCACCTCCAAATGCCAATTGCCTATGTTTATCAACCGGGAAATACCTTGATCCTGTCTTGATGCTCGATTATATCCTCTCGAGCCCAATCTTCATCACTCAACATTTCTATTCGCGGCACAAGCCAACACAATGAGTACCCGAAAACTGTCCAAGGCAAAAGATCGGAAAAGCTACTTGAAACAGCCTGTCCGAGACCCAAGATCAGATTCCTCAAGCATCAAAGACGACAGCAGTACCATTCGCTCTTCTGTCGAAAAGGCTCCAATCAAGAGACCGGAAGGCGGGCCACTCAATTCACATCCGCCCGACGGGCCTCCATACTGGGACGCTTCCAGAAGGAAACAGACCGGTGGTGGCAATGAAGATAAACAAGCCTGACGAGGGATTTCCTTTTGGCGCAGCCTCTTCGAAAGGTGTGGGGTAAAAAGTTGTTGTAGCTGGTGATGGAGGGTTTAGACACTTGCATTGCACCCTTTAGGAAGACCTTTGAGGTAGCCTCTGGGTCCGAAAATGCCAAAAGTTGCAGGATCTGTTTGAACCCCTCCTGACTTTCGCCCTCCTCTACTATGTCGAGAACACGACTTGTCCGTGGGAGCCTTGGTCGTTGGTCTCACCTCTGATTTTCTTGACAAAGCAACCTGTATTTTTGACAATTTGCAACCCACTGTTCCCTCCGCCCTGTGACATGCATGAACCTGAAAGTCGAGGGAGTAGATGTGGTTGGCAGTGTGCGAAAATCACGCAACTGCCACTATCCATATCGGTGACAGTGAGCTACATTTGGGCTTGAGCAGCAAACAGAGCGACTTGGAGATAGAGTGTTGGGCTAAAAACTCACCGCATCATCCCACCATTAGTCATAACAGGACTCAAGCCCGAAGTGTCGTTTTTGAGGTGTCACACCTGGCCACCAGCAAGCGAAGTCACAACAAGAATCAGCTTCGAAGTTCAGGATGCGGAGGATTTGTCGCTCCCGAGCTCCGAATGACACATCGAGACCAAGATATGGGTCTGACTTTAGTGCCGGTTGGTTCCGCGGATACTTCCAATCCCACAATATGCTTTCTGGCTGAATGCTGAGATCCTGGTGTGTTCATCCATGCAACTTCATACTGCATCAATTGACAGATACCAAAGGAATCAGTATCTCTTCAAGGAGGAACTGTCTTATGGCCCATCAGCATCCGATTTGGTGGCAGCATGAACTTACAAACCGTTGCTAGTTGGGTAGATGCCGCGCCGCGCCAGTTTACTATGGTGGCAGCTCTCTTTGCAGTATATAATCACCACAGTGTCTATCAATATGCTTAAGCAACTCTACAACTAAAACCAAAGCACTTTACGTGAACCCGCCCTCCCCAAAAGTGATCATGCCCAAGACAAAGATACTCCTTACGGGTGCCACTGGATATATGTATGCTACCTCTGTAGACAATGAGCCATGGTATTTGTACTAACGAATTTGCCAGTGGTGGATCAGTGTTGGCCGCCCTTGTCAAATCCAGCAATGGCATGCTTGAAAACACGGAAATCACTTGTGTTATTCGTAATTCCAAATTGGCTGGTAGCCTGACCGGCGTTGGGGTCAAGGTTGCCATGTTCAATGGGCTCGATGAGACGGATGTTCTGGCGGAACTCGCAAGCGAGCATGACAGTGAGCATCTCTCACTGGGTATGATCGATGAAATTTTGCTGACAGGACGTTGAAGTCGTGATTCAGGCTGCTTCGGGCTTCCACACACTGTCAGCAAGGGCATTGGTTCTCGGTCTGGCACAACGAAAGAGGAAAACTGGCAAAGATGTCTACTATATCCATACGACAGGGACGTCTAATGTTGGCGACCGCCCAATCACGAAGAAATACATCGAGAATGCCTACCCTCTTTCGGACAAGGATGACATTTTTACCTACATCAAGCAGCGAGACGAACAGGTACCTTATGCCCAACGAACGTCAGACATTGTGTCCATCGAGCTTGGACTCGAGTATGGCGTCAAGACATACCACATCATGTCGCCATCCATCTATGGCATTGACTCCAGCCCCTTGCACGAGTTCTGCCATGTTCCTGTCATGATTCGGGCGGCATTGAAATTGGGCCAAGTGCCAATCGTTGGAGATGGTTCTGGCATCTGGGACCATGTTCATGTCAAAGACGTTGCCAGCCTCTATGAGTTGATCGTTGATCGAATCCTCAAGGGACAACCCGTTCCATATGGAAAAGATGGCATCTTCTTCGTTGAGAATGGCCAGCATACGTGGCGACAAATCGCTCAAAGAGTTGCTGACGCTGGCGTAGCTTTGGGTGCCATTTCTTCTTCCGAGCTGAAATCACTTTCCCTCGATGAAGCTAAGGACTTTTATGGTCAGGGATGGGCTTTGCTCGCCGAAATTGGGTGGGCATCAAAGTATGTGAATCATCACCCTAGTCCTTGCCTCGTTAACCTTTGCTAGTTCTTGGACCAGGTCAGACAAAGCGCGAGAATTGGGCTGGAAACCGCAAAAGACGGAAAAGAATTGGGAGGACCATTTCGTTGAAGACTGGGAGGCGATACTTGAGTCGAATGGCGCTTCAATGGACTAGGCAGTTCAGTCAATCCAGTAGAAGCCTGGTCTTTCTCACAGCCTTGATTGAGGGATGATCGTCTTCTTCCTCAATCCGGGAGATCTTCGAGCCTTCACTAAAATTACTTCTCTGGTGCCTAATTTCAAGCTGTATAAGCCAAGTAGCTCAAAAACTGTACACTACTCCGTATACAACATGGTTCCTCGGCAGCCTGGTCACGACCTTGACTTTCACGTAGGGAAATCCCGGGTTGGGAACAGGAGCCAATTTGATTAGCTAGTGAATCAAATCAAAAATGATCTTTTCGTACCAATCATGCTCTAATTGAGATAGTAAAGCTTCTACAGATGGCGAGGACGAGAAACGGGGTAGGTTCCTGTAAATGTTACAGGCTGAAGTTGGCATCACTTGACCAGAGGTTTGAAGGTTTTGTCGTTTCGCATCTCTCTAAGTCGTACAGGTCGGCATGGAGAAAAGCCCATCCCCCGTAATTCAGAAAGCTCATGGTCAACATATCTGGAGGGAATACTGTTATGATTGATCAAGTTATAATTCAGATACAGGAATGCTTTGATCGACAGAGTAAAGGCAAGAGAAGACCATGTCGGGTCAGTCCGGAGTGAATGAAAGGAGTATTAATTCTGGATTGGTTGCACAGGGCTCTCACGTCCCCCTTGGGAGCTAACCAGCTAAATCAGCTAGGATACAGTCTACGTAAATGCCCAGCTCTTGTATCAGGATGTCAGCGGTTCGATTAGTTTGATCATTTCCAAGTACTCCGTAGGGCCAAGGCTACCATGTGGTCATGTCTGAACATGGTAGTGGCTCTTTCCCTTCTTGGCCATTCTTGGGCACCTTCCCCCACTACGGAGTACGTGGTACGAAATACGTGTGAAGCTTCACCGCTTTAAGCTCATTGTTTGCTCCTTCCTCGTGAGCCCAAGAAAGCCTCATGAGTCACGAGTTCGCAACCTCGCCTCCCACTTCCCACTTCCCACTTCTCGCTTCTCACTTCTCACCTCTTCTTCTCGTTGGATCTTCACCTCTTATCCGCCAATCCAAAAGGCCCCCTCATTCCACCGCATTTGAGACCCCGTCTGACATGACCTAAGTGTTTCCGAACATCGGATCTGCTTTCTCTTTGCAGCCTTCCCCTCTATCCATATGTAGACAAGTCACGCCCCGACAATCAATCCCCACCTTCAAACAGTCTACAAACACTTCCCCTGAAAGCCCGAGTTTCACATTCTCTCTTCCTTTTCAAGGTAGGCCAAGTATCTTCGAATCATACACATTTTTTGGACTTCCATTATTCCACCACATTAAGATTGTTGGCCACAACGCGGTGAGTACCGAATCACGCCAAAATGGCCAATATCCATGATGCTGGTAAGGCTGGCGATACATGCTGCAAGGCTTCCACTGCTTCAAGCCTTCCAAAATGTAGCCCAAAAGCGACCAAACCAGCTCCAACTCTATCTTCTACTGTCAAAGCAAATTCTCTCCTCGACAAGGAGGAAGACATGGATGAAACATGCACTTCTGGCTGCTGCTCGTCCGGACCTGCTCCAGTCTCTGCAGGCACGGCCTCAGCCTGCCCTGAAGACCGCGACACTAGTTCTACAGGCTCTCAAGCTCAGGAACTAGATGAAGCGTGTGCTGCTCCTTGCTGTGCCAGTGCACCCGCTGCCGCGACCAATGTGAACGTCACTCATGCCACAGCGAATTCCGAGAAAAACAATGTGGAACAGCAGGTTCCATGCGGCAATGGATGCTGTGGTGATGATGCAAGCTCCACATGTTCCTCTTCGGCTGAGACCACCAGTACCATCACGTCTTCTTTCTGTGGTGAGACTCAGAAATGCGATGGCAAGTTTCCTTCCACATACAGAGATACCTAATTTTGGCTTACACCTAAATTTTAGAGAAATGCATCCAGGCAGCCGCTGCACTTGAGTGCAAGCTAGCTTGCGAAATCGAGGAGAAGGAATGCTGTGCCGACGAAGACGAAGCCGAGCAACAGGCTGGCCAGACTCACCATGACCACAACCATGCCCACGCCCACGACACTACTCATGCTCACAAGCACGATCAAAATGGGAAGCATGCTGGCGAGGCCTGTACGAGCCATTTCCAGTCGGCCATGGAACGTTATTCTTCGTACCTCGAGTCGGCTCGCTGCATCTGCCGCAGTGTCATCAAAGCTGCCAACAAGATGGACAAGACCTGCTCTTCAGCTACTCTCCTTCCTTGCGATCCAACGCCGCAGGCTTACTCCACAAGCCATGCTCGCCACGGCCACGCCCATGCCCATGCCCATGCCAAACCTCAAAATACAGTCATACATCGTCACGCTCACAAACATAAAGATAGTGGCAAGACCAACGCAGCCCAAGCTAAAGGCGGGCTTCTTCATCGCGACTGTCAAGATGCTGTCTCTGAACGTCATGACTACTCACCTATTGAGAGTTCGCGCACAGGAAAACCGCCGGTCAGAACCAAGGCAGTCGACATCGAGAAGGACGCCTCGGCAAACCACGTCCTCCTTAGTGTTACAGGTATGGATTGTTCCGGTTGTGCCAATAACCTCACCCGCGCTCTCTGCAATATTTCAGGCACACGTAATGTCAATGTCAATTTTCTCACCAACACTGCCGAGCTTGACGTTGACTCGGCCACCCAGGTGGAGGAGGTCATCCGCCTGGCTGAGCGAGCAACTCGCTACAAGCTCGTTCCATTTTCGACCGACACACAATCGTTGGATATGATATTGGACCCCGAATCTGCCAAGAGGTTCCAAACAAATCTCCCATCAGGAGTCGACACCTGCTTAAAACTCTCTAATACAGTCTACGAAATCAATTACGACCCGTGTGTCATTGGTGCTCGAGACATTCTCGACCAGCTCCCGGGATCAAAGCTTGCCCCGCCCCGAAAGGACAGTACTCTCGATGCAGGCAGACGCCGACTCGTTAGGGTCGCGACTCTCACTTTGATCTCATTCATCTTGACTATGCCTGTCGTCGTGATGGAGTGGGGAGACTTCACCACAGTGCCCCACAACACAGTACTTATCATCTCGCTCGTCCTCGGTACTTTTGTCCAAGCCATTGCTTATCCAGAGTTCTATAGACCTGCAGTCTCAGCTCTCGTCTTCAACAACGTCTTGGAAATGGATATGCTCGTCGTCATCAGCATTACTGCCGCCTACGGTTACTCCGTCGTTGCAGCCGGACTGTCTCTGGCCGGTAGATCCACAGAAACCGCTCCGTTCTTCGAGACGAGCACCTTATTAATCACTCTGGTCTTGTTTGGCCGCCTTCTGGCTGCTTGGGCACGAAAGACCGCCGTGTCCAGGGTTTCAGTGAGATCCTTGCAAGCTTCCACCGCATTCTTAATTAATCCCAACACTGGCGACGCTGTCGAAGTCGATGCTCGCCTGCTTCAGTATGGGGACAAGATCCAAATACAACCCCACTCAAAGATTGTTACAGATGCCAAGGTTACTGAAGGATCCAGTGATGTCGACGAGTCAATGTTAACTGGTGAGAGTCTGCCAATTCTCAAATCTCCCGGCTCTTCAATAATATCCGGCACCATCAACGGTCAGGGGACATTGACTGCACAAGTGAGTCGTTTGCCAGGTAAAAATACCATTACCGATATCGCCAACCTCGTCGAACAAGCTCAGGACTCCAAACCTCGGATCCAAGACCTTGCCGATAAGGTTGCGGGCTACTTTATTCCCGTTGTGGTGGCAGCTTCCATCATCGTCTTCATTATCTGGCTCTCTGTCGCTCTCAAAGTCCGACATCAAGCCGCCGGCTCCGCCATTGGCACCGCCATTGGGTACTGTATTGCAGTCCTAGCAGTCTCTTGCCCCTGTGCTCTTGGTCTTGCTGTTCCAATGGTGCTTGTGATCGCAGGGGGTATAGCTGCTAAAGGAGGTATCATCATCAAGTCGGCACACGTTACTGAGCGGGGTCATAAGGTTACCGATGTTATCTTCGACAAGACAGGCACTCTGACACAAGCTCTTCTCGAGGTGACGGAAGAATACATATTGCCTCTGGACGACATATTAGGTGGCATCGACGGCTTCTCGCTCGTCAAGGCGATGGTCAAAGACAACAATCACCCCATCTCTCAGGCTGTGACTGCGTCGCTCGAACAGAGAGCTTGTGCCCCTGTGAACATTAGAGATCTCAGATCGATTCCTGGCTGCGGCATGGAAGGAACCTGGAATGACATGACTGTACGCGCTGGCAATATTAGGTGGCTTGGGCTCACAGAGCATCGTCAAATCGTGGAGCTAAGCAATCGAGGCATGACCTTCCTTTGTGTCACTGTCAATGATCACCTTCTGGCTACTTTTGCGTTGAAGAGCACCCTACGCCCAGAAGCTGCACAAGTCGTTCAAGAACTCCAGAGGCGACAGATCAAGGTTCATATTGTCAGTGGCGACAACACGAGTGTTGTCCAAAATGTCGCTGCTAGTCTGAACATCGATTTGGAGAATGTGGCAGCGGAAAGATCGCCTGCACAGAAGCAAGAATACGTCCAAGCATTGACAAATAACGGCAGATTCACTTTGTTCTGTGGAGACGGAACCAATGATGCAGTGGCAATTGCTCAAGCCGACATTGGCGTTCAAATCGAATCATCGTCCGACGTCACTCGCGGAACAGCTGATGTCGTTCTCCTAGGAAATCTAAATGGTGTCATCTCCCTTCTCGACGTCTCCAAGGCTGCCTACCGTCGAATCTTGTTCAACTTTGGCTGGTCTGCCACTTACAATGTCCTAGCTATCCTCCTGGCCGGTGGTGCTTTTGTGAAAATTCGCATTCCACCAGCATTTGCTGGTTTAGGCGAGATCGTCAGTATAATGCCAGTCGTCATTGCCGCTCTTACAATGCCAAAGGTCAAGCGAGCGGTCTAGGTCATTCGACGAAGCCATGACATTCTGTCAGATGCACCGACACGGTATCGTCTCAAGCATCAATCGTGCATCAATCATGACAGTTGTCTGTATTCCAATCTATACTCGGAACTACACCGGTCAATCGCTTCGCCGTTATTGCGCACGCAATCAACACGCATTTCTTCGTCGGACGACTCAGTCTCCGCTGCTTCAATTCTTGCCTGGCACAAGGTCGACTGGGCCATCTTTATCGAATGCTTTTTCTCTCATTAGAATCTCACCACGAGCTATGGCTCAATAGTCACTCATTGAATCAATATTTAAATCGACAATTACATTGTGCCACACTACTTATGCTTTAAAGAATAGGCTATCGTCACAAAGTAGGTTAGAGGTAAGCTTTCTACGTGCGACTTCTCGGGCACTGTTCGTAAGGTATAAGTTTAAACACCAGTTGTCAGGTGTGTTGTCAGGCAGTTGAAAGCTAAGGTATCCAGCTTATCGATCGCCATTTGAGACAATTTGCCACCTGCTCAACTGTTCGATATGACTGATAGCACCACCTTCCGCATGGGTTTGCTAGGTGAAGATGATTCACTATCTCCTGAGTCAGACATCTTCATGACAGTAGACTTCAACCCTGTCATCACAGGCTGCACAGTCATGATCAGCTCTGATTGCCCTGGCCCAGTTTGTATGAGCAAACTGCTGAGACTGGAAACGGCACGTCAAACTATAAGCAAAGTTATAAAGCGGTATTTGAACACACTCCATCCTTACCAATCAATACCTTTATTACCTCGATATCCAAGATTGCCGTCCAAGGCGGATTCAATAGTCAGTAGAGTCGTTCCTCGAGGTTTTAGCGAGTCTTTGAATTGGTATATGCGCCCCAGCTAGACTTATAAACTTGCAACCCCCGTCGATCGGGTCGAGTCTTGAAACATCCATGTCCTTCCAACCAAAGTGGTGCACTTACTGCGGTGCCAACACCCACAACACCGAAGAGTGTCCCAACAAGAAAGCCAAAGCCCACGAGACTTCAAACGACGATAGTAGACAAAATCAAGATCTCCAGAATTCCAAAGACGACAACACACAGCGTCGTAATTCCAAGGCGAAGGCGCCCATCATAGCAGGAATACACACTCCTCTGCCGCAATCAAGCCCGTTCGATAGCTTTGACGATCCTCCAGGCGAGGGATCTCCTACGATATCCACTGTAGGAACCGTTTCGGTTGTTGATTCGGATACACCGCTATTGAACAAGTATACGGCTCGTTCTGACGACCAGGCTATCACCTCGGCAGCCGGAGGTGGAAGTAAGCAATGACGCAGTATACGCTTCCAGAGCTTATAGATCCCCCAATGGTAGAAAAATCTGCACCTTGGGCTATAGGAGACCAAGGTCAAGGTCAATTGCAAATGAATCTCGGGAGCGGATTTCAATCCTTTGGACAAAGAACATGCTCTCCGAACAACTGCAGTGGCGGATCTCGTGCCCTGGCAGAGTGTACGAAATGGATGGCTCCAGTAGGACCTTGTCGCTGGGTACGTTGTGACGCCCATCGACCCAGTGAGTGGGTCACGGTCACTAACTGCAAGGTCGGGGGTCTGGACTTGGCTGCTTTGCTGAACTTGTCCAGAAGTAGCTTGGGTTTGACGAGTTCTTCACCCAGCCCCAGTCGCGGCTCGATGTATAGAGCATCGACGCAGCGAGGCCGGCGGATTGCCAGAGGAGCTGGGAACTTGAATCAGAGAGCGAGGGTGGCGGCGGCGATAAGTGCATCTTTGAAGCCGACAGGCGTGACAAAGCCCACCTTGAAGCGCTATAGTTGATTAGGCCATATTTGATGGATGCATAGGGAGAAGACAACGACTTTGTATGCAATCAGATAGTCGATAGATTCTACGCCATGTTTGGTCAAACAGAAGAATTGCCGTCTCCCTGTCGTCACCTTATCTTTTCTTAGAATGTCAGTCAGTAGCAGCGTCGTAATGTCCCTTGTTCTGTGTCCACCTCACCTGCTGTAGTCTGGCATCAAACCGTAGGGCGACGGGAGGTTGTAAAGCGTAACCAATTTGCCATATTTTCAGCTCTAGACATGGTCATCTCGTTTGACTTACAATTGGTGATGACCTTTCGTCAGCATCAGCGCCATTATCAGGACCGACAGCCAGATTTCTGACTAGAAAGACTTTGCAGTCCCAGATCGAAGTTTTCGGTATCCAACGCAGGGGACTTTGACTTTATCGTCCATCCACGTCCACGCCAAATGAGTGACGAATTTATACAAACCATGCGTTCACGTCTGCCTACAAACCCTCTTTGAGTGTTCCTTTCTTTTATAGACAGAATGATCGACTCTTTACTCTTCCATCCCTGCGCCAGACAACTATTTCTCGTCTCAAAGTCAAGATGGACAAGCCCAAAGAGAAAACGTCCAAGCCAAACGTTAAGCTTGCCAAATGGCTCGCGTGCACCCCTCCCTCCTCGGAGCTTCCCTGGGGGTCCAGAGAAACTTATGAGAGGGGTGGCATCATATATGAGAAAACCACTGGGCGAGCCCTGGGAAGAATACGCGCCAAGACAGGATCCCGGGGAGTAAGCCCTTCTCGCCATCTAGACAACGCAGGTGAATTCCTCTCATATATGCTAGTTGCTTTGTGGATTCTGATACCATAGGCTCCATGCACATTTGATCTGTTGTGGACGCAACGAAAGCGATGCATTCAGACCTACACACATTGCTACAATCAAGGCTTTGTAAGTTCATTGATATGGTGCACAGAACTGACCTTCATTAGGACAGGCAGGCCAAACGCCCACCCGGTAGGGCAGGATCAGGGGGCAGTTCCGTCCGGACCAGAAGCTCAAGAGCCGGGACGGTGGCCTCAAGTCAGGGCGTTGATGACTTTGAAATCACAGAGGGTGGTGGTGTTGAGGACTTTGAAATCACAGAGGGTGCTGGTGTTGAGGCAAACGCAGATGACGACCCTGCCGAGACAACTACAGATGAGCTTGTGGCGCTAGATTCCTCGGGAGAGGGGGCAGGGTGAATTGTAGGGTGCTGAGTCGAGGAATGGGTCGTATTAGGTGAAGCATTCCACATGAATGAATCACCAAGGAAGGTGACAAGAAATCTGATGATCCTCTGGAACCAGGCTCAACCCTTGAGGGGCATTGTGAATTGGGATATAGCGTTTGCTGGGCCGTCAATGGCTAAAGATTTGTGATCTGATGGCGTGGAAAGAAGAGCATGACGGATGACTTCAGCAACTTCCTAGGCAAGTGATGGCATTTGGATGTTCCGGAATGTTGATATCGTTCACCTGTAATTGCCATCTTATTGTCTGCTGTAGCAATAGAAGTGTCGGTGTCCATGTTCATTCGTTTTGCATGCCGCTCGTAAAAACAATGTCACTGAGCTGTAAACGATCCTCCAAGATTGTCTCCATCAGCGACTTGTCCCTCCATTCCCTCTGAATGCGGGATTCGAACGACAACACGGGCACCAGAAAGCATATGAGTGACAGCTTTATTCTGTTTGAGAAAGGCAAACAAAGTTGATATACAAAGTGGGCATAGTAAGAAAAAATTGCGAACATGAAACACTTACTCATATTCGATCCAGGCCGTCAAGCATCTGTCAAAAACCAACAGCCTATTTCTCACTGGAGAGAAACCATGTTCAGCTTCTTCGGGAGACCAGGAAAGGGGGTCTACGGAGAAGAAGTGATTCGGCGGGAATTGATTATCGATGGTATCGTGTATGACATGCGGACAGGCAAATGCCTGGGGCCAGATCGTGGACGGACATTGCGACGATCTCCAAGTCCCGAAGCAAGGATTGAGGATAACCAAGACCAGCACAGGCACCAGAAGAGTGCATCAAGACACCAAAGAACAGAAGAAAATAATGGAAACAGTGCAAGAAAACACAGTCAGCGACATCATAGTCATCAATTTGGAGACGATACGGACGAGGTGGTTTTCACCCGTGAGTCAAAACACCAAGGCCGTATCAAATTAGGTAAGACCAACTGTTTGATTGAATACTCCTCCATCCGTGAACGAAGGCGCACGAGATATTCCCGGAAAGAGCATGGTGAAGGGCTGTCCAGAGGTCCAGAAGGCAGCAGGCATCAGGATGCAGAAGCTTCCGAGACACCATCGGCATCTGAAAGAAGGGCAAGCCCAATCCCTGTGATCCCTGCTGACACAGGCACTGCATCTGCAGGCCAAATGATAGCTGGTGAGTGGGACATGTCATTTCCGCCAGGGATAACAGGGCCAGATGAAGATAGAGCGCCCGCTAAAGAGAACCCAGGAACGCCAGAACAAGTGCCCAAAGGAGAGAACCCAGGATCATCAGAACAAGTGCCCGAAGGAGAGAACTCAGGATCATCAGAACAAGTGCCTGAAGGTGAGGACACAATCGGATCAAATGATGATAAAGAAAACAAAGCCTAACACGGCAAAGGCACGACGAAAGTCCGATCCGAGTAGCCAGACGGGCTAGTAGATGGGGATGGAACTTTTGAGTGTCGTTTCATATTACCTGCTGGATATAATCAATCGAGTTGAGAGGTTCGTTGAATTCTGATGACCTGAGTGTATACCTGATGAGCGGATTCAGGTGCTGGTAGATGTCATTTTACCGGCATGTTTTCAGATTCGTATTGGACTGCATAAACGTGACGCCCTCGACCCAAATTTAGTACTGTAAGTGATATGATTCGATTTACAGGTTGTGATTGCGAGTGTTGAAGTTGATATAGAGAAGAGAGAGGAGGAAGAGAAGAGGGATGTCGTCTCGATACTAGCGTCCTACTAATTGATATCCACGCTAGCCTGTTACAGCCCCAACGCCACGCTGCTTGAAATGTGGTCCGATGCCATCATCCTTCCTTCCTCCAAACTCCAAATCTCCAAAGCAGACAATTTGTATTTCTCAGCATCTCGCAAGCATCCTCGCACCTCAATCATCTCAACCGTCAACGCCCTCAAACATAGACAAAAGCAGGACTCAACTATGGGTTGGTTCAGTTCATCGCCGACTCCGGCACAGCCTGCCACATGTAAGTACCTCGTCCTGTCCCACCCTCTGTGCGGGCGCAAGCTTTCCACCGAGCCGCAACGGAACTGACCCGACCTCCAGCAATTCCGCAACAACCATCTACACCAGACAATCTAGCCTGCGAATTGAAACCTGCGAGCGCCGAGAAAGTAAAGGTACTTAGATGAAGTCGAGATGAGTAGTAGCATGTGTCTATCATGACATGTCTTTCTGCCCCTCTTGACAACCAAAACCATCCACCCCCCGCCGTCCTCTGTCACCTCCCAGTTGGCTTGTCACTGACACAATCCCTCCTCTACACAGCCTTGCTGCGTGTGCAAAGACGAGAAATCACAGCGCGACGAGTGCATGCTATTCTCCCGGTCGGACGATCCCCAAGAAGATTGCAAGGGTCTGGTAGCAAAATACAAGGATTGCATGGCTGGCTATGGCTTCAAGATCTAGCTAGCCTGGTAGCTAGACTGGACCGGTCCCATCAGCTGTCCTCCGCCAGGACTTCATCCACGAGTCGATGTATACCGCAGCGGCCACTCTACCCATCTCTTCTATCCGTACTACCAGTGAGCATTGTATCATGGTGGGTTGGTCAATTTGCCCAGTGACATAACGATAGAGTCACATGATGGAAGAGATGACGAAGAAACCCAAGAGCCCAATGGCTCGCCAGCATGGATACAACGTCGCTCAGAACGAGCACATGTACATAGAGATCAAGAAGAGAGTCACACATGGGAAGCAAAGCATGTCATCAGGGTATCGGGTATCATTGCAAGCAAGCATACAATGGAATCGCCACTCTTGGGTATATCTGGCAAATCGGCCGACAGCCATCTCCGCCACGAATTGTATAACAAGCAACTTTATTTATACCCCAGATGCGTCATACTCATTATTATCATCATCTCAAAGTGAATGCAACAGACTCTGCATCCCGACTTCCATATAGTCATCTCGCTTGAGAAGATACGGGCGCAAGTTTTCTTTGCCAATGTTGCCCAACACCTGACCTCGCAATCTCTCCTTCAACGCATCCGGGTGCAAGACAAAGACGCTGGCCAACTCGGCCAGGACCTCGAGACTCGATTTGAAAGCATCGTCCAGGTTCCAGGACCGCAGCAATTGAACATAGCGGCTCATGTCCCGCGCCAACATGACTCCGCCAACTCGATTGACTTGGTGCTTTTTAAAATGATCCACCAGCTGTGCCCGGAATCCCACGGCCACCTCAGCCAGAAACGCGCTCAGATTGGCCCCATCCACTGACTCCGATGCAGTGTCGTGGAAAAGGCCAAGGAACTTGCACACGCTGTCACAGGTCGGCGTCTGCGCTTGCTCCAGGGAGACTACTTCCGTGTCGGCCCGGGGTCGAAAGTCGGTGCGAGCCTGATTGTTCAATAGTCGAGTGGTCCAGTTCAACACAGCGTCCACACTGGTCTGCTCGATCGTATTGATCTGATCCTCGATTCGCACGATCGCCGTCCTCATGTTCCTCTCCATCTCTCGTTTCGTCGTCAGGCTCGAACTAGCCAACGGAATGAGCAACGTGTTCATACAGCTTTGGACCAGATGAGTGATGTGCACGGCAAGGCCTAAGCTGCTCAGATATGACAGATCGGGCTCCTTTTTCCCACTTTCGGCGGTGGTCGCCGCATCCGCAGCTGCCTCCAGAGACACTTCGACATAGTCCGTCAAGAGGTTCTTCAGGATCAGGTTCAACAGTGCTGCCACGTCCCTGGGTATCTCCGACCCTCCGCCCAACTCCAGGCCCCTCCTGACACCTTCCGCAAGCCATTTGAGGATTCTTCTTGCAAACGCTACATGGAGCCGTCCATCTGCTTCGGAAAACTCCACCTCGGGTTGGACTTTGTTGTCCGAGCTGTTCAGACCAGCAACCGAAAGCAATATCCTTTTCTGCGTCGATGACATTTTCTCCAGATCCAAGTTCTTAACATAGGCATCTGTAGCTTCTCTCGCTGAGGTTAGTAGTTCCTGCCCGCGATTTCGTAACGACGCGAGGTACGTCTTGGGCTCTTTCCGCCGTCTTGAGTGGAAGAGTTGGAATTTGAAGAGGAGAGACCTGTATAATTCTTGCAGATTGTGCTTTTCCTTGTCGATATAAGCCGAGCCACCAACATAAGGGGTAAACAGTTCGTCCAATTGTTGATCGAGCAGTTGACTGGTCTGCGAAGTTACCGACTCTGGGTGTTCTGTCAAACCATGTGATTTGAGATCTTCCACGAGAAGACTAATGTAGCTTCTAGCCGCCTGTAACGATCGGAGATAAGCCAGTGTAGACTCTGACTCGGCCTTTTCAAGCACAAGTTCTAACCGTTGTTGAATCGACTGTTGAAAGACTCTCTGGACAAACTTGCCCAGGACCTGCTCCGGGAAAGGAAAAGCTCTTTTGATAATGGCGGATTCTTCTTGCACCACCACCCTCACTTCATCAATGAGCGACTGTAAGCCTGGTTCGACACCGGGTAAATCGGCGTCTGGATCTGACAATCGGATCCAAGTATCCTGGTCACCCCCAACTTCATCTGTCACCAAATTGCTGCGATCGATGAAAAACTGATGCTGATTGACAAATGCAGCCTGGACCGAGGCTCCGCCATTGAAATCCTGCAAGACAATAGCGCAATTCTTCATCTCCTCAAAGTTCTGCCGCCGATAGAAGTCGTCAAACAGCTTGAGCATGTCGTTCTCCAGAGTCTCGATGAACTTCTCAATGACTTCCCGGGTGTTGAACTTGCTACCGCTGGATACACCGTTGGTCGTGGGGCCGTTTTGCTTGACGCCATTAGGCTGTCCATGGCTTTTAGGATCCAGCCTTTGGCTGATCCTGAGCAGCTGTCGCGCAATACTGGCTGATCGGATCTTGCCTTCTCCGGTGCCGGACCTCCGCAAATTCTCGAGTAACGTTACTTCGCCTCTATTGCTGACTTCATCCCAGCATTCAATGAGGAAATGTGCGTCTAAAGCCCTCCTTCTCTGTCGGTCCAGCTCTTCCAAGCGCCTTCCTGTTTCCACGGCGACATTACCGCCCCATTTCTCGCCCCTGTCTGACTTGAGGGAGGTGTCTAGTTTCTGGAAACTCTGGATGGTGGAATTCAGCTTTCTGCCCAAGGTCTCTGCGTTATTTGCGTGTTGAGCCTCGGCCCTTCTCACTGCCGCCGAATATTCGTTTTCCCGTTGTTCGAGTTCGCCGGACAGTTCGTCGAGGCGACGAGCAGCCTGTTCAAAGGTACGAATCAAGGGTTTGGGATCGAATGGTGCGGGAGGGCCATGCGAGCGACGATGGGAGGATTGTGCACTTTCTGTCAAGGACTCGACAAAGTCCTTGGCTATAAAATCTTTGTTGGAGAAATCATCGAGGTTGAAGACGGGACCTTTGGGGAATATGGTTCGGCCGGCATGGTCAGTTGGCTGTGCAGTGCCATACGATTGGGAATCCATGTCGTCAAAGGGTGGTGTTCGGCATATCGTAGTGACTTTGGCCTGGCCTGCGGGGGTTTTCCAATCAGGCAATGATGATTGGAGGTAGGACAGCTGTGTTGTATAGAAGGCAATTAAGAAGTTGACTCGTATGAGCCTACTCCGTACACCAGGAAATCCAGAAGAGCGACGAGGCGAAGCCGCAGGCGTGAAACGCGACAAGGTGTGAGGTGTGGAGAGATGCGACCTTACTTCTTTTGGAATCCAGCAATCGCCGCTCTTTGGACGGATAGCCTTAGAGCCTTGGCTATCACTAAATCTAAATGATGTGACTAGTGTCCCTAGTGTTACGATTGAGCATTGTTTGAAAGTTGACTGTACCAGTACGAATATGTCCTACGGCATCCTTGGCTGAGAAGGGTTCTGTAAAATTGTCGGCGGAAATGGCTGATGTGTAGCATGTCTCGACAAAGGGTCTCTTCCCGCTACCGCATTTAGTGCAGTTCCAGAAACGGAAGTGTGAGCTGCACTCTGAAATGTGAGCCACTCCAGGGTCACATCAAGTCCAGAGGTGTAAGCGTATTCATGCAAGCCACCAGTCTAAGGAGGATAATGGCTTCCCCATGGGGAGAGACATGCCCGCATATATTTTGGACACTTCATTTTGACCTGTACGGTACAATCCTGCTTTTGGCGCATGCCTGTCTGGTATTGAGCCTATGGAAGGGTTCTATCCATGGATATCCCCACTACTACTTGTGTTGGTCGAAAGAGCATAACCGCTAGATAGCTTCTGGACCTACAATATGAGGAATGAAGTGACCAGCTAAGTGAGAGAGGATATTCGAGTGAGCCACTCTTGTTACGTGGCTTCACTCAAATGGGGGTGTAATATAAAATATAATAATCAAAGAACGCAATCAAGGTCATCTTCACTCTGCCAGAAACGGAATCTCCTCGCCGTCAACACCTTCGTTTACCGCGGTCTAGTCTGACCATCCTCACATCACCGATGCCCCCAACTACTACGACTGATAAGCTGAGTCATATAGACAACCATCGAGTGTAAGCCAGCAAGTGGTGAAAAGGTTATTATGACGCAGTGCGAGCATGGTCTCTCTATGCGCCGAACCAAAAGAGAGTGGCCACGATTTGACAGAGTTGGTAATGCGGGGGTTTAGTTTTCACAGGAGTCAGCAGCTTATATTGTCAGTAGATATGCCTATATAACACCAGCAATGATATGCTCATATGTCGGCCATGCTACCATTGCGATTTCAATCAGCAAAACACAGCAATCTGAATACTCTCAGACGATGGCCCAAAAAGTCAAAAGCCCATCTAAGTTGGCGCACGTAGTGCTGCGCACGGCAAACTTTCGAAATATGGTGCAATACTATAAGGATTTCCTGGGAGCAGAGGCGAGTTACGAGAACGACATGCTGTGCTTCCTCCGGTATGACGAAGAGCACCATCGAATCGCCCTCATTGCGTTTCCAGGGACACAGCCCAAGGTAATTGGGTCGAGTGGATTGGAGCATACCGCCTTCACGTTCGACACTCTCGAAGATTTAATGCTGGGATATCAACAACGTAAAGCCTTAGGGATGGTGCCATCGTGGTGTGTTAACCACGGCCCCACGACAAGTCTCTATTACACCGACCCCGACGGCAACCAGATCGAGACCCAGGTCGATAATTTCGACACAGCCGAAGAAGCTAATGAATTCATGGCGTCTAAGGAGTTCGCGGAGAATCCAATTGGTACGGATTTCGACCCTGAGGATCTCATTCGCCGTCTTGCTTCAGGAGAAGACGCTGCATCCATCAAGAGGCGCAGAGAGATCGGACCCCGTGGACTACCATAGAAGGCGACGACAAGGACGACGATGAGGACGAATCTCTGGAACTCCAATTCGACGAATGCATTGGGGTGAGATCGCTGTCCTGACGTTGGTCTTTCTGGCTTGCTGGCTCTCTGGATTTTGTGCTTTATCATCGAGAAGAAGATATGGTGATGTTGACCGAGAAATCACTCGTTTTGTGCCCTGTTTGCCGAGCTGGTCCTGAACTTTGGATGACATTTGATAACCGGTCAAACAAGCTTGAGGGTTGGCTGTCGTCATCACAGTTGGTATTCATATAGTCTGTCCTCAAAAGATCAACATCAGACATAGTATTGTGTACATCTACAGAATCATGTCATGTACCTAACCTTTTGAGAGGTATCTGCAGTGTTTAATAGGTCGAACTTTGAAGTTCTTGAGCACAACTGAACCGGCTTGAACTTTTCTCCTCTGAACTTCTAACACGCCTTCCTCGGCTGAGATCAAAGTATGAATACCGCATTACCCGTCGCTCCATTGTGTGTGTGGTTGTGGCTATGTTGCCACCGAGTGTATGGCCTCTAACCCCCACAGAAAGTCATTAGCTGATCTCATGTATCGGCAGGCGACTTCAAGGCTTAGTCCGACAACCAGAAAACTCGTCATTCGTCGTCATGGTCATAAGAAAAAACACCTAACAAAAAAAAGGATCTTGTCGCAAACCAGCTGATCCAAGTACTGTTACATTTCCATCACAACGTCTTCCGCGCTGGATCGTGAGACTGCCATGGTTAGACCTTCCAAGGTCTTCTCACTCGGTGCGAGGGTGTTGTTGGTGTGACGAGCTCCGTCGACGGGCTTTTCCCCAGCCTTGGTGGGCAGGAATGGCGGGGTCTGTGGCTGTGACTGGCTGTGTGAGCTAGTCCTCCGGCCCAGTTTCTCACACCAGCCCTCGGCACTGACCAAGGTGTCGTTGACGACTCGGCTGACCTGTGTCATCATGTCCAGCCCCTCCTGTGCTAGAAGCATGACTCGTCGACCTGATTTTGCCGCTTCGGAGGAATTTTCGTCTCCATCCAAGGCAAGGTCCTGGTCGTTGCCAGCCATGTTGGCAAGGCTGAAGCGTTGAGGGAGACTGACAAGATGACGGTGGACCAGGTCTCGTGCATTGGTGGGAAGAGCACCTCCGGCATAACTGGACACTATCCCTACAACGTGCTTAAGTGTCTGTAAGACATCGGCCTTGAGGGCGGCAATTCGAGCAGACAAGGCGGCCTGACGGCGTTCTTCTTGGGTTTGAGTCATGTTAGCAACCGACATTGGCCCAGGTTGTTCGCCAGGAGTGAGACCTTCGTCCCATCGTTCGAGCAAGTTCTTCAGATTCTGGATGGCCTCGCCAAGATGACCATTGGCCCAGCGTAGCCAGCTGAGACAAAATCGCAGACTTCGGATGGATTCATCACTCATGGCGACACCGAGGCCACTCGTGGAGATGACAAGTTGTTGACGCCAGCCAGGTGGTGGTTGGCGATCGCGAGATCTTGCCATGACTTGATTTTCTGAATAAGGAGGGGATCTGTCACCGGGGTTGTATTCAGGAAGACCTTCTGGAAAGGAGTGGTGGGCAGAACGATTTGTTTCGGCGGGAATGACATCGGAGTAACCTTTCTCGACGTCGGGTGATTGAAGGCTGTGGGACGATGTCCTTCCATCGCGCTTGGGTTTGAGAGCCCATCTCAGGCTGCTTTCCACACCAGAAATCCTGGCGACAGTGCCGGCGATAGGTAGACCGACATTTCGTTCCGTCCATTCGGCGCCTGGAATATACGACTGCGTGGTTTTGTATGCGGACAGCGAGCCATTAAGGAGACTGCCTGCCAGAGGGTATTGGCTGGTGAAGAGTCGAAGAAGGGGCTCGGATTGGTCTGAGTCGAAAGTGGTTTGAGTCTGGACAAGGGTAGGAGGATTCTGCCTCGGAGGGTGGAATTCTGCAGCACATGTCAGTCAATGGAATCGGTAAATGCGCTCAAGCAAACGGCATACGGTGCTGTAGGCTGTTGAGGGTTTCTGCGGCCTCCATGTCCTCGGCAGACAAGCCTGACAGAACAGAGGCGGCTCTTGTAGAACGCTCATGATCTGCCATGAAGACATCGACATCGATAGAGCCATGTTTGGCGGTGTCGGTGGATGATCGGTGAGCGGAGAGAGGAGGTGAGAAGGGTGGAGGGGCGCCGTAAGGAGGGTTTGGAGACTGTGAGTCCATATTTGACTTGCAAGAATAGGAATTATGGCCTAGAGAATGACTGTGTGGGTTGTCAAGTGTGGTGGCCGAGGAGGAGGAGGTGTCGGTGAGGCGCAACTTGGGGGTTGACTGAATTCGAGGCGGAGGTTGTGAGGGCGAGGTAAGGAGGGACTTTTCAACAAGACAGGCTCGCGCATTACATGATGCGGGAGATTTTGTGAGAAGAATAGACCCTACGAAGAGGGTGAAGTGAAGATGAGAGAGTGATTTGGAAAAGAGGGTGTTGAAGTCTGGAGAAGTGGTTTAGAATATTGCTTGAGAATAAGAAGAGGTGTGGCCGTGGGTGGGTGGTGAGGAGTGTGAAGATGCCTTGGGGGCATGAGGATTGGGACGCCTTTCGGGGGGGATGGGGAGAGGGCAGGGAGGCTTGGAGCCCGAGGGTGATGCAGACAGTGGTGATGGAAATGCCTGTGGGTGCTTGCCAGTGCCTGCCCAGTACTTACGGAGTAGGTACTTACACGGAGTAGTGCCACATGATAGTCAAGTAATTAATAATAAGTGCAGCCTGCAGGTGAATACCCATCATGGTGGGAAGACAGACAGGCAGGCAGGGGGTAAGGAACAGCCTGGGGCACCACCACCACATTTCCACTTTTTGACCAGTCGCCCAGTCTGCTAGTCTTAAACACCCATTCTCAAGAGTCTCACACTTCTTCCCGGTGTTCTGCATTGCCAGTGAAGAACAGTGCGTGCAGTTCTGGCACAAGCCGAGACCCAAAGTCAGTCATGATCTTCTGGAAATGAGAAATGATCACATGCTTGATCCATTTCTTCCCTCCTAGCCAATAATCAGCCTCCGATTGGTGAAATTCTGGAGACCAAGCTCCCATGCCCACGTCCAAACTTGAACCCACGAGTCATCACCCATGCAAGGATCCCCAGGGTTTGACCCATCTCATGCACTCCCTCGGTACGAAGATGCCGGTTTTCCACACGGCCTGGTCAGTGCCCAAATTAGTCCGTCATAGTACCGGTACCTGTTTTCTGGTCGGGACTCGGGAGAGTTGGCGGTCCCAGGTGACAGGTTGGGTTGATCCAAGGAGCATGGACAGTAGGAGTAGTTTTTAGTTCGTAGGAGAACCATATCACTGGGTAGCACTTGCTTGAAAGCAACATGAAAGCGACTGCCCACTTGCCAGATCAATTATCTACAGTACTCCGTAGGCAGGCAGCGATTTGTAACTCAGAAATCAACTGCGTGGATGGGTTGGCTAGTTCGATGCAAGTGCCATCTTACCAGCTTGCAAGGTCTTTCCTTCCCAAAGTCACCAAAATCCCTTGCTACACACAACTCGTTCCTGCCTCGGGTAATCCAGGCCATTCAAACCAGGCGTTGAATGCTCATAATTGATGAAATGCACGGTTCACATTTACAGGTGATCCAACTCGGTCCACGAGGTTCCCATGATTATAGCCATCTTCTCTTTTGGCAATGCGGATCCGGACTTTTCTCGATTTCTTATCTACGGATACAAATAGTCCATTTGCATGTGCGTGTGTGATGTGTCCAGGCTAAGCATGTGAATCTCTGGGAGCCATGGCACCGCTTCTGAATACATGATTATGTAATAACGGAGCCCCGGTACAATGATTTTCCGACGCAGTCGACTTCACGCCTTCAAGAGCATATCATTCTCTCTCTCTCAGTGAACCCGCGGCCAATGAGAAAACCTCGTTTCTCGCACCTTGGGTAGTCATTCCCGTTGTCCTTGTCCTTGTCCTTGTCGTCAAAGTCAGCAATCAGGCGCTCATTTTGACTGTTGAGCAATCCTTGAGGACCGGCTTCAACCGACTAGAAGCGATGGTCATCAGAATTGGGTCAACACTCTTGTCTTCCTGGTCCACGTAGAACAAAGGCTGAAGACGCAATCGTTTTTGGACCACTTTGCTATCTCCCATTCCAGAGCTAGTTGCCTCCAGACTGGATCTCGCTTTTGTCATTCGTGTAGGAATTAAAATACAGGCATCCAAGCACCTCTGGGAGCTCCAGGAACATAATCACTCTGCAACCCGCTTGGGCAAACGTCCCTCGTCCCTCGTCCCACGGCACATGTTGTTGTCCTCTCGCAATGACAAAGGGCTGTGCTCATTCTTCTCCAGTCTGCCCATCAAAGCAGAAACCTGTACCGTTGTGTCAAACTAAAGCCTCATGAGCTCATCGCTTCCGCTTTCTCGGCTTGTCGTCGTCATCTCCAGCGCCATTTCTTCGGTCTTCCTTTTTGGCTTTGGTTTCCATGTCGTCCCAGTCTTCGCCTTCGTCACTCAACCCGCTGTCGGCCTCGCCCTCATCATCACTCGCGCTGGCGTCGTCGTCAAACTCGCTTTCGTCCTCACTTTCAGATTCACTCGCCGCGAGATCCGAGTCACTCATCTCAAACGCCGATTCCTCCTCCGATTCTTCCGAGTTTTCGTCGTCCGAGTCCGTGCCTAAGAATGACCAGCCTCCATCCTTGAAGAACTGGTGAGGGTCTGTCGTCACCGTCTTCATAATCGTTCCCCACGCCAGATTCAAAGGTCCTTCCGTGTATGCAATGTCAACACTGTCGAGCCATTCCTTGACCCGGTCCAGGGATTCCACTGGGATCGTATTGATATGCGTCGGTGGTCGTGAGAAGTCTTTATGCACAAACACCATGTCAAAGTTTTTCAACCCAAACTGTCCTGCCTGTTAGACAACATTTCTCCTCTCACACAAGTCGACACTTACCTGGATTCGTTCCAGATGTGCAATTTCAATCTCATCAAGAGTGATCACGGTAAATGGCGGTTCCGTCAGTTGCACCAACGCGTCCGTCGTGGGAGCCATGAGCACGTTGCTGCGGAATGGGACACCATTGAAGCTCAACTCTCGGAAGGGGATGTCCACCGCAATGTTGTATTCTCTGGCCGCATCAGAGATCTTCTCCGCGAACCCTTTGAATAGACGGTCGAGCTCCGCTCGTCGTCGCCTCTCTTCTTGTTCTTGTTCAAATTCTTCATCATCCCCATATCTGTGTTTTCGTTTCCGGTTGCCCGTCTCGTCAAACGCCATGTCTGTGGCCTCGCGATAGAATTGAACGTCCTTGCTCTTGCGCTTCCCAATGATGATAGGATTCTTGAGGTGCACGTGAATCAGCACAATGAGCTCACCCACGCAAGGTTGAAAGAACAAATGTTTGACGTTGGAAAACACCACGTCGACATGCTCGTTACGCAATGGCGACAGGTAGCGAAGACCGTTTTGGTGAATTTCTACCTCACCAGGCACACGTTTACCGTCTTGTGCAGGTCGGAGATAGACGTCAGAAAGCTTATGAGGCCGACGGTTGCGGATCTCGATCAACTTGTCTTGCTCCACCACATCTTCCATCTCTTTCTTTTCCTGTTCGCGCCGAACAGCAGATTTTCGGAGCTCGGTGATTTGCGCCGAAACTTCTGACAACCGATCTTGATCCTTGGACCGAATGGTCAATGAACGGATGAAATGCGCCGTAGGATCTTCAAATGGCGAGTCATCCTTTCGTCCCACCCCCTGGCCCGGGGAGAGAAAATTGAACCGGAGGTGCGTGTACTCGCCTTCATCCGACTTGCTGACGTTCTTGATGGTGTTGATGTGAAAGGGGACAGGCCGGCCCATGATGGGTAGGATGACAGTCGAGGCCTTGAGGTCCACCCATACGATCATGTCCTTGGCCCGTGGAGGGAGTTGCCCATCCCGCTTGTACGATTCAAACTTCTTGAACTTCTTCTCTGAATCGCCGTTGAGGTTTCCCGTCACCTCTGCATATTTCTCTACGCCTTCTCGTTGCTTCTTCGCCGCCAGCTCCTTTTGATGTTCACGGCGTCTGGCCTCCTCTTCCTCCTTTGAATTGTCCGTTCGATTCGCAGCCCGCAATCGGCTTGACTTGATATTTGCAGTCACGATTGCGCTTGACCCTGGCTTCTTTGCCTTTTCTTGTTTGGGCTTGGTGTCTTCCTCATCGTCCTTGAAATAGAATTCAATTGAATCAAGATCGGTGGGAGCCTCTTTAGTGAAGATGACTGGGTCACCACGAGTGACTCTAACGGTATCTGTGATGACCAGTGTGTAGAGCTTGCCCTTGCTGTCTTGAGGCTTGTCGTTGGTAAGGTCGGTAAGGCTAGTGGTGATGCTGAGGGTCATGCCGTCCTTCAAAGGCTTGGTATTCTTGCCATTAATCAACATTTTGCTGTCCTTGACCTCGATACCAATAGCCCCTCCAATGTCCCGGCCAAAGTGCTTCTCAAGATCGGGTCTTTTTGCCTTGAGCACCCCAAGGGATTTGTTGTACACGTCCTTGGGTAAAGCTCCGTCCTTGATCTCCTTCAATGCGGCGGCATGGGCTGACATGAGAAGCTTGTAATTGGCAGTCTGCGACTTGCTTGGGTCAATCAGATATGTTCGAGCGAGGACAGAGGCATAGGTTTTGTATCTGAAGCCTAATCCAGCGACGATACAACCTGAATGTAGGTTATCGTCGTCGGCTTGTGCGATGTATTTCAGATCGTACTTTCCACCGCTTTCCACGATAGGCCCGTAAGCCCAGTCCAACTGTTGGTTGTCGAAGTCGCCAGAGAGCTTGGCAACATTTTTGAAGAACTTTGTGTCGTCGATCTTGCCTGACAGTTTGTTGGACAGATTTCGATGGCTGACTTTCTTCTCCGAGTCGAGGACTTGTGACATTTCGTCGACCCAGTATTCGGCAATCAGGGCGCTGCCCGCGCGAGCGGCAGTGCGCATATTGCGCAGCTCAGTCTCATCTTTGAGAGCGAGGACAGAGGAGATGGCACTTGAAATGTCGACTTGTTCAACGTCTTTGGAGATATCACCCAGCGTTTTCCACCATTCTTCTGGGAATGGCCCGTGGACTTCAGGTGACTGTATGACGCCAACTTTTTTGCCTGCAGTCTTGATGTGATCGATGATCTTTTCAAAGGCTTGAGTTCTGCTTTCCGGATTCTTGGTGGATAGGGTAATGATCTCGATAGGGATTTTGCCATCTTTAACGCCAGACAGATGTTTTGCTAAGCACAGTTAGAGGCTTGACAGGTTGAGGTCTAGGTGGGGACCATACCTTTTTTCTCCGTAGTGACGACGTACAGCACGGCTTGCGTGAAGAGCATGAGGGTCGCAGGAAATTCATAGCCAAGAAGCCAGAACTACCGGGGGATGGTTAGTGAGTTGTTGAGATCGATGTTGCGGGAGATGGAGACGTAAGCTAGGGAATCGCTTACATGAATGGCATTGTTCTTGTGATAGACGGTCTCCTCATCAGGCTTGCCCGTGATGATGGCTAAGGAATCTGCACCAGCGAAGGAGCCATCGGATGACCGCTTATCGGCTTTCCAAGCATTATAGAGGGAAGCGAGGCGGTCGTGAAAGTTTTTGGCATTGATGACGATGCCGTCGGCCATGATGATTGGCGCCTCAGATCGAGGCAAAGGGGGAGGATGGCGAAGTCGATCTAGGGCGGATGATCAAGGCGATTTGAGTGACAAAAGGATGGATTGCGGCTAGGTTTGCGGGGAGAGATCAAGAAGTCAAAACGGATAGGTCAAATATCAAGAGAGGTTCGAAGGAAAAGGTTGTGAAGAGATAGAGGGGGAAGTTAACGAGGGTAGAAGTAGACTGCCCAAGTTCAAAACAGGACGCGAGGAGTGAAGTGATGAAGAAGAAGACGATAGTCTCGACGTGGTTATTACCACCTGAGTTGGTCGCGATCCTGACCTCGCAGGCAGAGAGAGCGTGGGTGGAATTTCTCCATTGACGCGTTGGTGGCACGGTCACGTGAATGACTACCTGGTGTTGCTGCTTTAATTATCTCGCTCAACCTGCCCTGGCGGTTTCACTTTCGCTTTTGCTCGTAGTTGACGCAGACAGTCGCACCCTATAGAAGCATTCACCGCGGACCTCTTGAAGTGCATATGATCATGTGTGAGAGATCACCCCACACGTTCATCTATCATCATTCTGAGAGGCTAACTCCCCGACTGGAAGAGGTACATATGGTACTTTGTGTGAGCGGGTTGACAAAACTCATCATAGTTCAAGTCAAGAGGATATCATAACCATCCTCGTTAATCTTAACCACCTCTCCACTCAGGCCGTACTTCCTTCTGACCAACTCAAATATGATCAAGCCGGCGCTGGTACTCGGCACCTGGCGGATTGTAAACCACCAGAAGCCTCGAAAAAGCCAACGCGGCAAACCACCAAATCGCAGGGCCTGAGAGGTGGCTTGTCTCCAGGTCTCCTGATACGCATGATAATAAGCCCGGAGCATCCGACCTCTGCTGGGAGCCGTGGACAGGTGAAGTTGGGCTGCTTTTTGGTCGAGTACCTCGAGTCTCTCATAATGTAGCGTTTGCAGGGTTGATAGAGGAAACAAAACGAGCTGCTGTGTGACCGATGCGGTGATACCTGCGAGCATGAGAAACGCGGGTTCCAGAGCGTAGTGTGGGCGGATGGTGGCTGTAGGTTGGCTCTCGCTGGCAACAAGACCGCTCTGCCTGGCCAATTTGTCGACAGCCGGTTGCTCCAGGGCGCCATAATGCCATTTTACAAATCTGAGATAACCTTGTGCTTTGATATATTCAAACGTGGTAAAGAACAAGGCTGAGCCAAAACTGTCCTTGAGAAAAGACAATCCCCAGCCAGCGAATATGCCTCGGACTCCGATCTCGTGCAGCTTACCCCGACTATATTGCCACATGGTCTTGTTGTCATATGCGGGGCCTTTTCTGTCAAATCGGACTTGCAAGGCATCCAGAGGAGCGGCGAGGACGCTTTGAATAGAGCCAGCAGCAAAACCTGCAACGAAGGTATGAGTCGGAGGTGGAGGAGGATACACGGTCTTGGTAGCATGGGCCGAGGGTGGATGTAGGGCTGCGAGGATCTGGAGATAGGAAGTATAGAGAGCGGCACCCACGGCAATATTGGCAGCCAAGGGTGGGAGCAGTTGTTCCGGGATAAATTTCCATCCATAGTTTCCTATGGCATTGGCGAGGAGACCAGGCGTAGTCGTGCGCCAGGAAAAGGCCCCTTTCTGCAGATCTGGGCTTATCGACTTTGCATATGCCTGCAAAAGGGTCAGTCTTTGGGTTACGGGCTATGCAGTTGGAGCCTCCTACCAGATAGTCCACACGTGTGCGAAAGAAGGCCTTGACAGGAGCCCGGAAGTAAAATGCTACAGCCTGAGCTGAGAATGCCCGGACACCGGCAGCCGAAGCCCCTGTGGCAGCATTGCTTCTTGGATCCTTGAGGACGGGTGGTTCGGTGCCAACAGGCACGACTGGCAGGATGCCTAAGGAGCCGTCGAAATCTGTAGGATCATCATCAAGGGACATAGTATTACCCCTATATCCATCACGTGTCCTTGCTGTTCACGCACAAGTCGATTGGTGCGGGCGACGATGGGTGTTGCCAAACTGGATCGAAAACCAAACGATGTTGGTCGGCTGCGAAAGGTGGAGGAGAGAAGAGTTGAGGGCGGAAAATCATATTTCCCATCCGACATTTCTGGGGAGCTTCCTTACCTAAGGTCTTATATAATAATTGTCGCTACTGTACTGGGGTCAATGACTGATAAAGACGCCTCTACATCCTTGGCCCGCTTACAAGTGCCAAAATTTCCGAGGCCGACGCAAGGGCTTTCAGAGCCTAGACGGTGTTGGAGTTCCCCCCACAGGTAGGCCGTCAAGCCTTGGACACGGGGCCGAAGGTCTCCAGCCAAGCACCCTAGGGGGCATTACAGAAGGACCACTATCAAGTTTATATCCCCGAGGTACTTACGGAGTACTTGTGGTGGGCTTCTCTTTATTGACAGTCCCGCGACTAATATTCACGAATCAGATGGACCACAAGCAATTTTAGACACATGTATTGTGCATTCTGTAAACTGAAGCATTAGTATGGTTAGGTCCATGTCTTTAGCAAATATTGTAGGCACATGACGGTGATCATGTCTACTGGCTAACAACCCCAGTGGCATCTCCATCCACCACCTCGCTATGCAGATCCTCGAATATCAATCATTTTGGGGTATCATATCGGAATGTAGTCCATCCCGCCACAAACGTCAGGCACCAAGTTCCTGTACTTTTGGATTCGGGCCGTCTGTTCATCTGCCTTCCACGCAATCGATTGGGCCACGTCCGAAATGTGAACGTCTTGACCCCAAACTAATCATAGGTCAATTCTGGTCTTCCAGTCAATCTTTTCCTGTTCGGCCCATTCCTGAAGAAACGCCAAACCATATCGCACTGCTTCAAAGGCCGTTGTGTTGACATCGAGAGGAAGATAGTACTCCTTTGGGATGTGAGTGCTGGTCGGCTTGTCTTGCAAGCGTTGCGCCGAGTCCTTGATTCTCTTTGACCACGTGGCTGGGAAATCACGCTTTAAGATCTCATGCGGGAGAAGGCGAGGTCCGTCAAGCCATGCGGTCTGTAAGCAACGAGCATTATGCACGAGCTCATCCCGAAACCTGAGGTACTGCTTCTTGTATCTTTCCACATCCTCATTCGTCTTGGTATTGCCATCACTTCCCGGCGTCGGCGCAGAATTGCAAAAGTCCTCAGGCAGTGGGTCTCGAGCGAGTCGGTCCATGTCGAAATTGTGACTGAGTTGTCGACAGACTGCTCCGAGCTGGACAACCAGACCATGGACGCGAGGGTATTTCCGAGAGGCTCGAAAAACGAAAGTGTGATAGGGCATGATGGTCGCCCATCCTGCGTCGCTTCTAGGCCTGGCCTGAGCCTGGGCCGCAGAATTTATCATAAAACATAACAGTGCCTCAACAAGTAGAGCGAGTGATTTGGGAGAATGGCCGGTACTAGCATCGTCGTTGGGGGATGGTGCGAGCGAGGTTCCTTCATTCTTAATAGTTCGACCTAGCGCAAAGTACTTGGTGTGCATGTTCACCCAATGCTGACGTTCTTCCTCTCGGCTGACACTGCTGGTGAGAGGCTGGGGTGAAGGCTTCGGGGCAGCCAAGGGTGTCGACAGGCGCCCTCTTTCGCCGGTGGGAGTGGGGGCATCCAGACCGTCGGTGGACTCGACCCTTCGCATGGCCGCTGATCTGATGTCTCTTTTGGGCGTAGAGAATGTGGACTTGGAAGTCGCTGATGGTATCTTTCCTGTAGACGGGTTTGGAGTGGACGGTCTTTTGTCACCCTCGGCCTCCATCTTGACCTTTTTGATGGCTGTAGGAGGGCTATCGCCTCCCCTGCGCTTCTTGTCGGAACTGTTTGCATCAAGTACGTTGCGTTGTTTTACATCCCTCTCCACGCGAGACTTTGTCTCATCCTGTCGCGCCGGCTGTGTCTTTGGCTTGACATCGGCATGGTTCACGCCATCGAGCACATCCCGCGCTGGCAGATCCTTTCTGGGTTTGGCGTCCAGGGCTCCCTTGGAAGGGACCTCCTCATTCTTGAGAAGAGCCTTTTTCGACCGAGAGGCAAACTTGAGCAGTCCCTCGACCCACTTGCGATTCTTCTTGCCGTACTTGAGGACGACAATATGTTGCTTCGGTCCCGGGCTCGGTCGAGCACCGTTCGAAAGGGGAGGTTTGGAAAGAGGTTTGGCGGGCAGCGCAACCTTGACCGGCTTTGCGGTTCCGACAGTAGAGTCTTTAGTTGACTGCTGGCTATCAGACCGAACTCTGTTGACAGAAGGCGGGAGACCGTTTCTCAAGGCGGGCGAACTGTCGAGATCGGCGGACGCAAGGATGGCCTTGACAGGATCTGTACGGGTCTGAGGGTTAACGGCGGGACTACCCAGGGACAGTGTGTCAGAGGGAGAAGACAGGGCCAAGGTGAGGGATGCGGGCAACAGCGGCGATAGGAGATCTGGCATCGCCTTGGAAGTGTCAGGGGAGGGGAGAGTTGGGGACAAAAGGCGTGGCATTTTCAAGATCTTAGACTGAGACTCGACCTGTGTCGGCATCTTGATTGGTCGGTTGTCCTCGAAGGGCGGCGATAATTTCCTTCGTTTTGCCGCGTTAGGAGTGTCTGATGTGCGCAATTCCTGAGAGTTACGATCGGGTCGTGTCTGAGATTCGCGCTGAGCTGACGGCTTTGGGGAAACTGCCGCTGCTGAGTCGAGCTTTAACACCGGGGCCGGTGTCACTTGGTTCTCTGAATCGTGAGGTTTGCTTTCCGGGAGCGGGCTCTTGGTATGAATCTGGGGAGAGCGAGTGGCAGTGGGAGGCCGGGAGGAGTCCGGGGAGCGCGCCTTTGTCTTGTAGTCTTTGAGACTGATTTTCTTGCGATGAGTCGACGCCGCCGGGGTGGTTTCGCCGGTATTTGGAACGGTACGAGGGGAGAGGTCCTCGTCCTCGATGCGGTTGCCGTAATCGTCGGCCCAGGCGCCTTCAACTTTCAGCAAGGTCTCGTGGTCACCCTGGTGAGACAAGAAACTGATGTATTGCAACTGTTCTTCTGATGGATCGAAAGGCGTGCCTTCGTACCAATTACTGATGAACCTCGAACTGTGTCTGTAAGGAATGTCTGAGGGGACGGAGAGGAGGTATGGTTGTCGGGGTAGAATAGAATGGGTGAGGTGGGAGATGCGATGATCTAAATGGGTGGTGATATCGGTCGACGAGTGTTTGAATGTTGACAGACGGTGATGAGTTGAAGGTGTTGTGTTCATACCGCTGGACATTTTGTCGCAATGGCCCACGCTAATGGTCCATCGCCAGACCGTCAGGGCAGCAGTGATGGAGGTGTTGGAGGGCCGATAAGGCAGGATCGGTCAAGTCATGCGCAAGACTTGGATGAAGCCATCCCAGCACTGCGCCTAGCGTGGCCCAGGGTGCGAAAGCTGCAGTGACGACAGTGGCCTAGTCTAGTCTGGTTTGGTTTGTCGCGGTGTTTGCAAAGTGTTGCGTCGCTGGGGAGGAATCGCGAGTGGTGAAGGTGTGCGGGCGGCAAGACCGGTGATGGAAATGCGAGGAAAGAGCAAGCGCGGAAGGACACAGGCGCAGGCCGCTGAATCCGACAAGAGGAAGACAAAATTCAGCGAAAGTATGTCTTTTTGCCTGTAGAAAGAGAGGTGGTCTCGCGCAGACGAGGTTAGAATATTGGTGGAGGATGTGGCTTTGTTGGTAGGGTGAGGAAGGCTGAGGGATTACGATTGGGATGATGGTTGGCGACGGAAGGGTGATTGGCCCGTGACTCCCAGTTGTGTCAGATGCGAGATGAAATGCGAGATGTGAAATGTGGACACGGCAGAGGATCAACTTGAATCCTGATCTGGAGCTTCGACTCAAAGCGTGCAAGTGAGCCAGCGAAACAAAGAGAGGCTGCAACTTTGAGAAAGAGAGAGTGCTTGAAGTTGGGGATCTGAGGATCTGAGGATCTCAGGATCTTAGGGTTGGAAAGATGGCTCTTCCTCGACAATAGTGCTGAAGGAACAGGATGGCACGATAGATGGGTTTGCTCAGTTAGATCGACGACTTCAGAGGATAGCGTAGGCAACTGGGCGCACTGATCAGTTGGTTCATAGGGATGGCAGTAGTTGGTTGGTGGAATGAAGGGTTGGCTGGTTGGTTGGCGTGGGTGGTGTGTGGTGGGATGTGATGGAATGAAGAAATGGGGAAGCCCCAGAAACCCAAAGCAGCAGGAGCGCGTCGGAGCAGACAAGAAAGAGGAAGGAACATCCCTACTTATTAGACCGCTGATAGGCGCGGACGCGTTCGACAACTCAGTTAAGGCGAGGCACCCGAGTTAGGCGTCCGTAGCACCCACTAAATACTGAGGCCCTCAGACGACCGGGGTCCGCCAATAGGTACCTTACCTATCTACCTAGGTAGGTACTACCTACCTTAGGTACTCCGTACGATAGTTTGAGCCAAACTTCCCTACTATAAACAGTTTGAAGAATAATAGTTCCAACCAAGAAATCTCTGAGCGAAATCTTGAAGAATGTCAGGCAACCGCCATAGATCATCTGTGATTTATCATTCAGACCTACTTCGACTATGCTATGTCGGGCGAGAGAAATGATGAGAGGGTCCGTAACCCCAAAACCCTGATTTGGGGGGACGCGGGAGTCTCTCTACACTCTACCTCCAGGCCCTTTATGCTTCGTCCCTAGTTTTAAAGTCACCTGACTCCAATGAAATTAACACCTGCGCCTGGCCTCATCCGCCATAAACCAATAGTGATGAGGGAACTGCGAGCATGTCGATGCCCCAAACCTCTCTCTGGCCATGGCCTACCCTCTCGAGGCTTTCCCTCAAGTCAACGCCCGAAATCTATGTGCATTTTTGACTGGGGCATTTGCGCCCGAACCGTGTGTCTCTCTAGAAATGGCCCCCGTTCGAGATTGACAATGTTCAATACCCAACTTCTCTCCGACTTGAACCTTTAGTCTTCGTCTTGTCCCACTTGTCCATACCGACCCCGTGCTCTGCTACTGCTGTCTTGCCGGTTCCGAGACACCATTCGGCCAATCCAGCCGCCTAAGCCCTCCTTCGCGTCGCTTCGACCGCGGATGCGGCCTTCAGGATCGAGTTGAACATCCGGAGGGTCGATATCGAGCCCTGGAATGGCTGAGTCGGCGGAGAACATCCCAGGCTGTTGATATCCACCTCGAATGTCGATCGAGGAAGGGGATCCGACCCCCATCAGGGAGCCTCGCTCGGCTTGAGTAGCAGGGGTGGGCATAGCCGTCGTTGCGTCTCCAAAAAGGGCATTCATGTCTTCCAAGCGGACATTCGCAGTTTCAGGATAAACAAAGTATACTGTGGTAACTCCTGTTAGTATTGCTTCATCACATGTCCGGCTTGTGACTCACCAAGAACAAAACTGACGGCGCAAAAGAATGCGTGCACTAAATAGAGCCTCCAGGTGATAGCCTTTTGTAGCACTGGAGTAAGTTCCCCCACCAGGAAATTAAACGCCCAGTTGCTCGCGGTGCTCAAACTGGCCCCTTTGGCCCGAATACTCAAGGGTAAAATTTCGGGAGGGTAGAGCCAGGGGATGGGACCCCAACTCGCTCCAAATGAAGCGTTGTAGATCATGACAAAGACCACCACCATCACGGGTGTCCGCTTGACATCAATAAAGATAAAGTACGAGATGAGTGACAAAGAGATAATCATAGCCACGGCTCCTGAGAGGAGGATCGGTCGTCGGCCCCACCTATCTGCAAGGTACCAAGGCGGGATGGTGGAAGCCAAATATGTGATCGAGTTGATGCCAGTCATCAGGATAGCATCCCGTCCCACCCATCGGGCTGACTCGAACACTAGTGGTGCATAGTAAGAAATAACATTGATGCCATTGAGCTGGGCAAACGCTTGAGCCGACATGGCGATGAAGACTCTCTTATAGTAGCGCCTGAACATGTCCGTGTACGACCGCTCGCCCTCTTGACGTTGGATGAGGACATTCATCTTGATCTCTCGGTATTCTTGTCGTGCTTTGGCGTTGTGGATATCGCCCTTGCCATAGAGGTTGGCAATGACAATGATGCCTTCTTCGTCGTGGTCATTGTCGAGAAGCCATCTGGAGGTGATGGTGAGTTGCTGGGGCAGATGAAGGAATGCTATAAGGGGAAGACTTACCTGGGGGATTCACAGATGATTAGGCTACCGAATCCGAGCAAGGCACCCATAACGCACTGCATGAGTAGGGGCAGTCGCCATGACATGTCGCTATCAATGTAGCTGCAAAAGTAGTCGACCCAGACACTGGCTGCGTAGCCAGTGATGTTTCCTGTGAATTCTATGCACGCCAGCTTGCCCCGATTGTGGGGAGGGCTGATCTCCGACTGGTAGACAGGAACGATGGTTGAAAGCGCGCCCACACCCAAGCCGGCAATAAATCTTCCGACCATCATCATGGGCATGCCATTGGCAAAGGTTTGGCACATTCCACCCACGAAGAAGATCATGGCGCCATAGAGAATAGTTCTGCGTCGTCCGATGATGTCGCCAATCCGGCCGACACCCAAGGATGAAATCAAGGCCCCAATCTCGAGAATGGCCACCATGGTCCCGACCTCGGCGGGGCCGGGCTGGTTGAAGTAATCTCTGAAAAAAGGGCCGCTGTGAAAGGGTCAATTGAGAACGCAGTGGATTGCGGGGAATGGCATACGTGATGATTCCTGACATGACACCCTGATCATAACCAAACAGAAAGACTCCTAACGAAACAAAAACACTTGTGAAATATCTGGGCAAGCGGTTAGTGAATGCGATTGATCAAGTTTGTTGTGGTGTTCGTACAATAAAGGTTTGCCCACGAGGCCCTTGGTCCGAGCCGACTCGGGGTTGTTGGGTGCCATGATGAGGGCGAGGAGTTTTTCAGATGTTGGGATACGCCTCGGTGGAGGCTCTGGGATGTAGATGGCTTCTTTATCAATAGCCCCGGAAGAGTGTGGGTGTTCGAGATTATCAGGTTGAAAACCAACTCTCTTGTTCTTCCGTCCCCCACCGTGACCTTGACCTTGGCCTCTCAGTCTCTGACCTCCTCTAGTTAGAGGATCTAGCTCAATGCGAAGCGGATCCTCGTCGTTGGCGAGCTGTTCAGCGATATCTCCTGTGTCACTCCAAAGCGAAAAGTCGTCGGAGTCTGAGGCAGAGGAGCGAGAATGTCGCCGGTAGCTTTCGCCTTTTTCGTTGACTGCGGAGGGAGGCACGTTGGAGGACTGGCCCGCAAGTTCGGAGCGAGAGCGAGAGGACTGGGATCGGTGGTGGAGGAAGGATTGAGGATCGGAACGAGGAGAGGGAATTTTGGCGACGTTGAGCGGGCAGTCTGATGACCAGCCCTACGTGCAAGTGTGGTGAGGGAGGACGGGGATGGAAATTCAATTCGTTGGATGACGACGGCGGACAGAGAGTGAGCAGGCTCTGGAGACGGGTGGGTCAGCTGCTCTACTCGTACAGTATCTACGGAGCCAGATGGCGCGTTGGCTAAGCCGAGGAAGAGGACGATGGAGGGACAACACAGGTCGACACCGTTGGGCACAAGGAGTGAGGAGAGGGCCAAGCGAGCAACAATAGTTGCGAGGGCATCTGGAGCTTGTTGTTCGACCGTGGTTGAGATCAGAAGGATTTGAGGGCGATGATCCAAGTATCGTACATGTGCACCAAGTTTGGGTTTCTGTGATGTTGGAACGTGTGCCAAAGGTTCAGGTTCAGGTTGAGGTTCAGGTCACGGGAAAAGCGGAGTCGGTAGTTGGAGTTGATCTGATTTGGTAGAGAGAGAAAGGTATCGAGATAACGATTAAGGCGGCTGGTGGCGTTGAGTCGGCGTGACGATTTACATGTGGCTGTAGATGTTGATGATGTCGAATATCTTGTTGCAAGGGGTTGACTCTGGAAGAGATGAATTGTTAGGTGTCTGAAGACGGTGAGAAAGAACACGTCGACAGTTCAAGGGGGACATGGAAGTGATAATAACCTGGGACTGGGACTGTCCATTCATATGGTACTACTTAATCAGTCCCTACTACTCCGTACTGTGCCTCCCTATGCTCCTCCTTGTTGTGGTCAGGCTAGGCTGTCCTGTCCTGCCTGTCTTGCCTTGACAGTTTTGTTTAGGGGCCACTGGGGGCGTTGACGGTGATTTGCCGGGCTTGGCCTACGACATTTGGTCAATGCAAGGCTGCAAAAGCCCTTGTGACCCTCAGTGTCTTCTCGGCCCTACCAAGGTACCTATAGGAACGCTGAAGTGAGTTGAGCCGGCGTCAGGAAACAGCATTCTTACGTTATCTTTCGACCTCTTCTCATTTTAAGGTGTTTGACTACCTAGGTATGACTTATAGGTGTCCAAGTTGGGAACATTTCCATTAGGTACTATTATTGCAGCGTCCCAAAAGAGACCGCGTTTTTTTTTACTTCGTAGGCCGGCCTTTGCGCTGCCTCCAATGCGCTTGCCTTCCGCAGGTTGAACAATCACAATCACCCTTGGGCGAACCCCACGGGAATTATAATTTCATTTTCTGCTTACACCATGATAGTGACCCAATATTTTGAATCAAAGATGTTGGACAGAGACGCAGCTTCTCCAATTGTAAGGACCATATGCGCGTTACACCTTCCTCTTGTCACTCGTCTGGCTCCTGCCTCCAACATCACTCCCACATCATCGCCAAGACTTGACGGGTCAAGCTTTTTTTGCGGCAAGGATCTTCGACCATCTTTTCTATTGCCTGTCATGCCATTTGATACAGCCCAACGACTTCAATCAGGCCGTATACCTTTCCCTGCTGTGATATCCAGTTGTTAGCTTGTCTCGACTCCTTCGTCAACCATGGTACAAGTTCGCTAGGCCTCTATTTGCATCATCTTGCCTCGTCTGAAAGAACTACTCCCCGCACTCAAGGGTTCAGATCAACCATGGCCAAACCAACATCTCAGGTCGCTGTCATCCCTGGCAATGCGGCCTTCTCTTCCTTTCGTCGACAGAATTTAGCCTCTGCCATTGGTGCTGCTGATGTTCAAGGCCAATACATCCACTATGTAGACGTTATCGGGCCCTTCGAACCGGAGCACAAGGCCCTTCTTGAGCGACTATTGACCGATGGCCACCACTCCAGCGACACCAACGCCGATGCATCGGTCAAGACCTTTTACATTTTGCCTAGGCCTGGCACTATCTCACCTTGGAGCTCAAAGGCCACCAGCATCGCTCATGTTACCGGCTTCCGAAGGATGGTTGGAAGGATAGAGCGAGGCATCAAGATCACTGTCAGTCTCCAGGACGGTGTATCGATTGACCCGGCATCGCTGGATGCTCTTTACGATCGGATGACGGAGACTATCTCGGAGCAGGAGCCTCAGTGGGATCAACTGTTTGCGCATCACGAACCGGGAGCTCTGGGTACCTATGACCTCTACGCGGATGCACAATCCCCCGAATCAGTCCTACAGCAATTGAATGTCCAGCTTGGTCTTGCCTTGGACGCCAGCGAGATCACGTATCTAGCAGAGGCTTATGCCAAAGATGGGCCTGTCCCTCGAAATCCCACAGACGTCGAGCTGTTCATGTTTGCCCAAGTCAATTCTGAGCATTGTCGACACAAGATCTTCAATGCCACTTGGATTATTGATGGCCAGACCAAGCCCAATACCTTGTTTGGGATGATCAGAAACACGCATAAGGTCACCCCAGCTGGAACCATCAGTGCGTACAGCGATAATGCCGCAGTACTTCAAGGCAGCAAAGGAAGTCAATGGGCTCCTGACGACTTCACTGGCATCTGGAAAACAACAAAGGAGGACGTCCAATTTCTCATCAAGGTGGAAACACACAACCACCCGACCGCGGTGTCTCCGTTCCCAGGCGCTGCCACAGGTTCTGGCGGAGAAATCAGAGACGAAGGTGCCACTGGACGAGGCTCTAGACCAAAGGCCGGCCTCGCCGGCTTCTGTGTCTCTGATTTGCTGATCCCAGAACATCGCCAGCCCTGGGAGCTTGACTATGGAAAACCACACCACATAGCCAGCAGTCTTGACATCATGATTGAAGCCCCTATCGGGAGTGCCGCATTCAACAATGAATTCGGCCGACCATGCTTGACCGGATATTTCAGGACCTTGTCGGTTGAAATGGCTACCGCAAAAGATCGAGTTGAGGTCAGGGGCTATCACAAACCTATCATGATTGCTGGTGGTGTGGGCACAGTCAGGCCACAGTTTGCACTCAAGGATCCCGACCTCGTCAAAGATGGAGATTTCCTGATCGTCATGGGCGGCCCAGCCATGCTCATTGGCTTGGGTGGCGGCGCTGCGTCCAGCATCACCTCCGGCGAAGGCTCTGCAGATCTTGATTTCGCGAGTGTGCAAAGAGGAAACCCAGAAATGCAGCGACGTGCCCAAGAAGTTATCAATGCTTGTGCAGCCCTGGGTAGCACAAACCCTATCCTCTTCATCCACGATGTCGGTGCAGGTGGCCTGTCTAATGCTCTGCCAGAACTTGCCAAAGATTCAGGCCTTGGGGCTCATTTCGAACTACGCGACATCGACTGTGCTGACAAGAGTATGAGTCCCCTACAAATCTGGTGCTGCGAAGCTCAAGAGCGCTATGTTCTCGCAGTGGCACAAGACGGCATGAACAAATTCCGCTCTATAGCGAAGCGCGAACGATGCGACATCTCGGTCGTCGGCAGAGCTTCAAGCAAGCAGAAATTGAAACTTACGGACCGAAACAACCCCGCATCGAGTCAGATTCAGGATCCTATCGATCTCCCGATGGATGTCCTGTTTGGCAAACCACCTAAAATGACCAGAGACGTCACATCACGCAAAATCGACCTGCCGGGCTTTGACAGTAGTCTAAGCCTCTATGTCCCCCAAGCGTCAACCGACGGACTTCTAGACGAGGCCATCAGTCGCGTACTGCAAATGCCTGCAGTTGGTTCAAAATCATTCCTCATTACCATTGGTGACAGAACTGTCAATGGCTTGACCGCACGTGACCAGATGGTAGGTCCATGGCAGGTTCCTGTTGCGGATGTTGCCGTCACAGCGACTTCCCTCACCTCTGGTGTCGTCACGGGCGAAGCCATGGCAATGGGTGAAAAGCCCACTCTTGCCCTCATCTCCCCAGCTGCCTCTGCACGCATGGCGGTGGCCGAATCCCTTCTGAACCTTACTGCTGCAGATCTTCCCGATCGTCTTAGTCAGGTGAAGTTGTCGGCCAACTGGATGTCTGCAGCAAATCATCCGGGTGAAGGCGCTGGAATTTATGAGGCTGTCGAGACCTTGGGCATGGATTTATGTCCGAAACTAGGAATCGCGATCCCGGTTGGTAAAGACTCCATGTCCATGAAGATGAGGTGGAAGGATGGCCAGGAAGCCAAGGAGGTCACTGCACCCTTGTCTGTCAACATTTCTGCCTTTGCTCCAGTCCTTGACATCAAAAACACGTGGACTCCTCAGCTCAAACGATACAGTGAAGTCGGCGAGTCGACCATCTTCTTCGTCGACCTAGGCATAGCCCACCGTGCCTTAGGAGGCTCTATTCTTGCTCAATCATTCCAACAGATTGGGGACCAAGCACCTGATATCCGCTCTATCAATCTATTCAAAGACTTTTTCGATGCTACACAGCAACTCCATGAACAAAATCTTGTGCTCGCCTACCATGATCGCTCTGACGGCGGGCTGTTCACCACTTTGGCAGAGATGTCCTTCGCGGGACGATGCGGCATAGAAGTTATGATCAACGATATCTGCCCTACGCCAAATATACCAGACGTCATCGAATGTCTGTTCAACGAGGAACTTGGTGCTGTCTTCCAAGTCCGCAAAGAGGACGAGAACCGCTTCAAGGCATGTTTTGCTACATGTGGTCCCCCACCCGGTTTGATCCACAAGATTGGTCGCGTATCAACCAAATCGACTCAACAAAATATGGCCATCTATCACGGTGGAAAATTGATTTACCGAGCTAAACGCGCCGAGCTACAACAGAAATGGGCCAACACGTCCTACTGGATGCAGCGACGTCGTGACAATCCTGCCTGCGCCGACGAAGAGTACGCCAACATCGCCGATGACCAAGACCCCGGAATTTCGTATCACCTAACCTACTCCCCCAAGGAGAACATCAACACTTACAAGGCCAGCCTCTTGTCGTACGTGTCCCCTTCCAGCCGCCCGCGAGTAGCCATTCTTCGCGACCAAGGGACCAATGGGCAGTGTGAAATGGCGTTTGCATTCGAAGCAGCGGGATTTACTGCTGTTGATGTACACATGTCGGACTTTCTGGACCCGCGAGTCACTCGCAGCAACCTTGGCGAGAGACACGACCTGTCCGACTTTGCAGGGCTCGCATTGGCCGGCGGGTTCAGTTTCGGTGATTGTCTGGGCGCAGGACAAGGGTGGGCCAAATCAATCCTGTTCCACGGTCCGACGAGGACTAAATTCCAAAACTTCTTCGCCCGCAAGGACACGTTTACGCTGGGTGTGTGCAACGGATGCCAAGTGCTAAGTAAACTCAAGGAGCTGATTCCTGGGGCGGAGAAATGGCCAAGCTTCGAGCGCAACGAGAGCGAGCAATACGAGGCACGAGTGGCTTTGGTCAAAATCTCGGACCCGGCGCCGACGGCATCAGAGGGCGGCCTACCGCAGAGCGTATTCTTCCATGGGATGCATGGTTCTGTCCTCCCCATTGCCGTGGCCCATGGCGAAGGTCGAGCCTCGTTCTTATCCGTGTCAAGTCCCAATTCCAAAGCTTATGACTCGGACCTTGCACATGACTTTGTCACCATGTCCAATCTGGCGCCAATCCGGTATGTCGACAACAAGACCTTGTTGCCGACGACCAGATACCCCGCCAACCCAAATGGCAGCCCCGAGGGCATTGCTGGAGTCCGGAGCACCGACGGTCGGGTCCTAGCTCTGATGCCGCATCCAGAACGCACTATCCTCAGCGGAGTTGGCAGTTACATCCCCGACGGCAAAAGTGCAGAATGGGGGGAGTTTGGCCCGTGGGTGCGCATGTTCCAGAGCGCAAGGAGATGGGTTGGTTAGTGAAATAGGAATAGGACTAGAGGGACGATAGAAGAGGGACGATGGACGATAAAATCATGATTTGTGTGAATGTCATGAACGGTTCTGTTGATTTCTTAGACACGGGTGAGAGATATTTGATGGACCTGCACCCTCTCAATACCAGGCTGCAGATTAAGCTGTCTATCGCTTTGGATGGTCTTTAAGAGGTGTTTTGGGCATTGGCGATTGACAAAGTCTGTAGAACGCAAGGTGGCATGTTGCAATGAAACATTCCCTATCAGGCCGCCGACTGACTCACGGCCTGATGGGCTACAGGTAACTGATGGTATGCAAAGTGCCACGGTGGTGGCAAAAACCGAGACCGAGCGCCTCGACACAGGTAGCGTTTTTGGACACTTTGTTTTGTCTCTGGATATATTTACTACTGAGCCATTCTCAGCACTGGCTCAACCCCTTTTGCTGGCGTAGAGCCTTTCTTCCGCCTCCTCGCCTGTCTTTCTTCCGCATTACCGTCGTGCATTAATAAGTGGTAGTATGCATCTAGTTACACACATGAAGCAAAATCAAATGAGACAAGCACAGATGGCGCGGTGGGTTTGACCTGAAATCCACCGGCAAACATGCCGCCTTGTCGCACCCCATATAAAGTACATTGTGCGAAAGCGCCAACTGCTGGCAGACGCTCTCGAGCAAGCACACCTCACTCATGTTCCGCCGCCGTTCAATCGCTGATCCGGCCAAGATAGAAACTCTGAATATTTCGCGACTCGATTTAGAGGTCTGTGACGTGTGGATCCTGGCAGGCAATTGAGCTGCCCAGAAGTGGACGAACAACTCTCTCGACCCTGTGTTCCAGTGGCCAATGCGGGTAAGACCTGGTCGTCGAAACGGTCGTCGACACCAGCTGCCTAAGCCTTTCTTGACCGAGTGGTGGGGCCGCTCGATCGACCAGTGGCGACGGCGCCATTGCTCTTGTGGTCACTGTGGGATGACTCGGGGATTTTATGTGGGTCGGGAAGTGGCAGATCCTTCATGGCGATGAGAGCTTCTCTTCCGGTGTTTCTTCTAGGACGACCGGACACGCCTTGCTTGCGATAAGTGGCCAGGTAGAATGAGATGAACAACAGCAGGTAAGAGCTCAGAATTCCCATCCCAGCAAAGGCGGCAAATTCCTCGCCGGCACAGGAACCGGCATTTGGCAAGTGAGGGAAATAGGTGCTGGTAAAATAGGTGTACGAGGCAAAGTAGACGAAGCCAAGATCGATGACGAATTGGAGGATTTGGAGCATGGTGATATACTTCTTCCACCAGATGCGGATACCTCGGGCTGATTGGAAGTAGTACCTAGAAACAGTCAGTATGGTTGTGAGTGGTATTGGAGGAAGTGGGAGGCTGCACCAATACATGACAACGTGAACGGTCAAGTTGAGGGTGATAGGAACCCAGGAGACGGCGGTATTGCCAATTAGTTGAGTGTAGCAAAGCAAGGCAGTGGCGCCATGGTGATAGGTGTGTAGGAAAGTAAGCGGCTTCTTCTTAAGGACAAGGAAGAGGGTGTCGATAAGTTCGAGGTACTTGGTGAGGTAGTTCAACTAGTCAAGTCAGCAACAATTGGTCGAGGGCGGTTGGATGGTACGGACATAGTATAGAACGACGAGTTGCCTTGTCCAACCTCCATTATACTCGCAAATGGCGTGGAAGATGCCTCCTCGAACCACGGTTGGCAGAAGTTGTTCAATGAAGAGAGCCAGAAGAATGCCAGAGATGAGAGTCAGGTAGAAATTGTGAACCATGAAGGGGCCATTGAGCACAAAGGCCTGACGATTCTTCATCAGCTCACGGCCACCAAAAATAATGACATAGTATGCGACGAGTCCAATGGCAGTCTCTTTCAAGGTGGACATCGGGGTGACCCCGGAGACGAATAGAAAATTGTCGGCGGGGTGGCCAACAACGCGCTCGAAAGCCTTGTTGAAGATTGGCCATAGGGCGATACCAAAAGGGCGGTCGAGGGAGGGGGGAGAGATAGATTTGAGAATGTCGGCCATGGTGGCAATAAAGTGACTGCGCAGAGGCAGAGGTAGATGTAGACGCGAACAAGAAGGAACAAGGAGTGATGTGTTGAAGGGAAAATGTAAGAGTGAGACAAGGATCTGAATGAAGGGTAGATAAGAGAAGAAGGAGGGTGAATGAAGGGACTTTGAGACACAGGAGAAAAAGATCAAAGAATTGAAGAGGTCAAACAAATGACGACCGAAAGGAAGATGGATGATTTATGAAGCAGATGGTGAAGTTGCAATCACTGGGAGAAAAACGGTGTTTGTGACCGTGTCCAGAATCCAAGTCGCCAGGTGCTACTGTGCACTTCACTTGCCCCAACACGCCCAACTCTTTTTCACCCCATGAACGCCTAATAAATCACCCAGTACAAGATACGCGCAGTCCTCGGCCCAAGGCCCATGACCAACGACATCATCCAGGGGAAGCGACCAATGTGTGTTTGCCATCGACCAGCCCGCTGTAGTAATTCAACCAATCAAGCATGTCTTTAATCTACCAGTACCCGCGAAGATCCAGTAGAATCCTGCTGCCAGCTTGTGCGGTCCAATGGGGATGGCCGGCTTTGGGTTGCATCTTGGCACTGTTGGTCTGCTCAATTTCCGCTACACTCAATCAACACCCTCACCGAATGCGACAGCCGCTCGTGTGCCGTATCTATGCGATAAGCGATTAGCGCGACTACAGGTCTTGCCATACAAAGCGACATGGCCATGAAAGACTGAAGGAGAATGGAAGAGAGAGGGGGGGGATGGGGGAGAGAATCGTGTATGCGAGAGAGTCAAAGAGCGCAGGGAAATTCTTTAGTTATTTTTTAGAGGATTCAAATTTGGCGCTAACAAATTGCTGGGGACTGTCAAGAATGAGGTTGTAATGAGAGGGGAAAGGGTATTAGGGGCATTGTTGACTGCCTAGATACAAACTAATTGACTGTGAAATGTGCAGCAGGAGAAGCACTCTGGTGTCTGAATATCCATATCAAAAGGTCTGGCAGCCACAGCCCGTAGACAAAAGATGGATGCTCTTACCTGCTGTTGGCGCCTTTGCGTACTCCGTAGGTATGGAAGGTGCAAGCCATTTGTGTGGCTGTTCCTGCATCAAATGAGGCGTGGCAGGCCAATCGAATCCTGCGTAATGTGGAAAGAAAACTCAAGTGCAGGACGATTTCAATACGCTGAATTGGCGAGTGTCCAGCTTGGCCTGTCGTGTCATTTCAACCAATCCAAAGTCTTCTGTTTTGGCCTTAGCTCCAGCTCCTGCTCCAATTCTCAGGTGACTTTCAATTCTCACAGTGTACAGCAGTGAACACCAAGCACGAAACCGCCCTCATCTAGACCTCAAACCTTCCTCATCAACCCGGCATATCCTGCTTTCACGCCTCCGCAACACCTTGACCCATCCACAAGGACTCTCTTCCCCCTCCTCCTCGACCGTTCAGCCGTTGCAATGGCTTCCCTCGCCATGTTGCGTCTTTCTGTTCGCTCCGCAACCTCGTCATTCACCAGACCTTGCATCAGGAGAGCTCCTGTTGTAGCTCAGACAATGGCCGCTCGATCTCCTTTCAGCTCTTCTGCAACTCGCAAGAGCGCTGGACACGAGGAAGAGACCTTTGAAGAGTTCTCTGCCAGGTACGACCAGCACCGAGCTTCCAAGCACCGACCTCCAGCCTGCTTTCGCACATATTCGAGGTCGGGTCAACGGAAAAGGAAGACTTGTAACTGACCAAAAACATCTAGATATGAAAAGGAATTTGATGCTGTTCAGGATGTTTTTGAGTTGCAGGTACCGTCGTGTCGACTGCCTTCCATCTGCCGTTACTCACAACCTTTTAGCGCAATCTGAACAACGCATTTGCCTACGATCTTGTCCCCTCCCCCGGTGTTGTAACGGCTGCGCTCAAAGCTGCCAGACGCGTCAACGACTACCCCACCGCCGTTAGAATATTTGAAGGTCCGTTTTGATCAGTCCACCAAGAATTTTCAGCTCTAATGGCAGGTTATAGGGATCAAAGCCAAGGTTGAAAACCAACAACAATACCAGGAATATCTGGAAGAATTGAAGCCTCTGAGGGAGGAGCTTGGCGTCAATCTCAAGGAAGATCTTTACCCAGATGACACCGACAGTCCATTCCACAAGGCATGAGAAGCGTCGGGCAACCCCAGCACCATCATTACCACCATCGCCCGCTGATCCCACCAAATCACTTCCCGAATTGCCGGCGAAGGCACATGTTGCTTGGACAGGTTTGTCGGATGTGTGCGCCAGCTCAAAAGAGAATTGAAGAAGGCTCACGGAATGACGCTCCTTCTCCCACGATCCATCTGTAGCTTTATATTGCAAGCAGCAGCAGTAAAGACTACCTACGCAGTAGTAGTTCCAATGTACAGTCTCAGCCCTACATTTTTTGGTTCTCCCTTGAATGGTTTTCGGTTTCTCATGACTCACTGGTGCTGCTGTGACCAGGCCCAAAACAGCCTGAAGAGCAACCTCAATTTCCTTGATCGCGGTTGCCCAGTGCATCTCAGTCCTACCTTGCGACTCCCACAAATCAACATTCCGTGTGAAAAGTCATTACACAGCTTCCCTTATGTCGATCATCCGACGACAAGGTCCAGGCCGATGCGCCAACGTCGCTGACGGTCAAACCAGCCATTTCAAGTTACCTACACCAACCGTCAAATTACAGTGATTCCTTCCAAGACCGGGCATCATTAAACCAGTAGAGAAAGAACAACAGCCACCGAGGATGGCCTACCTTCTCTTTCCACAATCATTCATTGCCATTCTTACATCGTCATAACATCGTGCTATGTTGATACCGATGTCTCCACTTGGACCTGGTAAATAGTCGTCGTTGGTCTTGGTTGAATTAAGGCATGCCGGATCCACGGGCAAGAATGGGAAAGGGAATACTGAAAGAGGACAAAAGAAAAACTTCTTTTCAAGTAATAAGGCTCTAGAGTACTTTTCAAGCCTCTTGCGCCGATGGCTCAGAATCCATCGTGGCCGGCCTGCTGGCTCTGAGCCATGACGAGGTCACGGATCGCCCAACGCCAGCCGCCATTACCATGGGGATCCTCGTCGTCCTCGGCTTCAGCACCTCGCCTCAGCCACTTTTCCACCTTTCTCCTCCACCGTTCTTCTTCATTACGTTGTCGCCGCACAAACTCGGGGCCGACGTCGAACTCTTCACTCACACCCCACTCATCACCACTGCTGTGCCCTCCGTCTCCGTCGCCAAACGAGTCGCGCGACTGTCGCGCGCTGAGCACATTCTGCAACGTTCCACTACGGCTTCGAGTTTCATCCTCTTCTTGCAGATCTTCCAGTCCTGCAAACACGTCTTCCTCTTCCTCGACCTGCACACTTCCACCTCGGATATTAGTCGTGCTTCCTTCGCCCTTTTCTGCAATTTTGAGCCATCGCATTTGCGAAGGGTCAAACACCATACCACCGACCACCTGCACCCCTGTGATCGATCCAACGTTGGAAATCAATGCCAGGTTGCCTTTGGATCCTGGGCTTCCTTGTCCAGGCGCAGGTGGACTGCCGCCCCGAGGATGGAAGTCAGGTATGTCAAATGGAGCCAACGCGTTCTCATTTCCTTCCCATCTATAAAGCAAGGGGTTGTATTGCATGCCTTTCTCCGTCTTGGGTCGATTCATATCATTTCCCAGCGGTTTGATGAGATGTGGTTTCAATTGAGCCTTGTCACTTTTCTTTTTCCGCAAGCTTCCTTGGAGATGACCTGGTTGATTACCGCGAGCGGCAGCAGCAGACTTCCAATTGGTAGAGATTGGTTGGAGGGGTTCACCTCGCATATTCTGGAACGTGTTTGAGATTGTTCGTTGCTCCCGAGCGTTCCGAGATGCAGCCGTGTCTCGAGCAAATCGAGGAACATTGGTGGTGTTCAACGCTGTAGTGGGGAAATCACTCTTGTGGGGTGTCAAAGGTGTGCCAGGAACCGGCGTGTCGCTACCACGGCGAGTGCTTGACAGTGACGAGGTGGACGGATTCAGATGGGAAAGACCCAGTTTGCTCCGCAGACTACGAGGTGCTCCACGCCCAATAGGGAGCTTGGTGAACTTGGACTCGAGAGTTGCAGAAGTGGGAAGATCGTCAAAGATCTCAAGCTCCGTGCCATCGCCATAATTTCGTCGCCGTGTGGGCTTCGTGATGGTCTTTTTGGCTTGGGCTGCTAGTTCGGCTGGTGTCAGAGTGCTACGACCACGACCGGGTGTTTCGGGTCTCCCCAACCCTGCCAGCCGCGACAGCGATCTCTGTGCAGCTGACATGCTGTCCCCCGATGACCCGTCTGACCCTTGGCCGCGATAGTGACGGGAGGTATTGGTCTTGAGATTGATGTTGTGAGATTGGCCACTTGGAGCACCGGCAGGAAGAAATGGGATAGATCCCTTCTTCAGCTCGCCCATGCGTGATTCAACGCGGTCGGTTGGTGTTCTCGGCCGTACTGACAGGTTGAGACGACTGCCCGTCTCGGTTCGAGACGGAGGCCTGACGTACGACGATGGTTTGGTCGGTGAGTTGAGGTTTCGCATGACGGGCATTGACCTTTTTGCACGCAGAAGCTGGGCGTTGGTTGTAGTATTTGCGGTGGGCTGTTGATCATAACGAAGGTCAGGGCGTGACTCGGTCGCGCGAAGAAAGCGCCTGCTTGGAGTCGAGGGGGTGGAAGGTGTTGAGGGTGCTGGAATAGCTGAAACCACGTTCGGGCCAGAATGGCTACCAACTCTGGAACCAGGTCTTTGATATGAAGAAATGGGGGCTCCGGTTTCCGAGACAGGTTCCAGATGGCTTCGAGCACGCTCATGTCGATCGTGGGTGGGCTGAAACCTAGGTAATCTCGAGATCGTGCCTTGAGTCTTTGTACTCGTGAAATTCAATGTTGTAGCTGTCCTTCGTGAAGGACTTGTGGTTCGAGTTGTTTTGTGCTTGACGTTGCGATTCAGGGTTAATTTTGCAGAGTCAAAAACTTCTCCATCGCCGATTTCCAAGCCCGTGAAGAAATCATCTTTTCCAGAGAGTCTCTTTAGATCCGATCTGATCTGATTGGTTTCGTTGGGTTGGTTTGCCGGTTCACGTTGACGCAACTTGAGCTTGTCCTGAAACTTGATTGGGCCATCAGGGAGCACAAGACCGTCCAAACCTTCATCCTCGCTTTCGGCAGTAAATGCACTTGAGACGCTGGGACTCAGTGCTGACGCAGAGGAACTCCGGGCAGATCGACCGCCTCTCGACTTGCCTGCGTTTCTGGTCCCGAGACTGCCCTCAGCCCATTCAAGATCGAAGTCATCAATCTGTTGCGGTGTCCTTGGTGGAGGCTTTCTGGTTGATAGCTTTAATTTACCATCCGTGGGGAATTCCAAATCTTCCTCGATACTGTCCATTTCGGGTTTCAATGGGGTTGGTGGTTGTTCAAACAACAGGGGCTGCTGTGTCGACCTATTCTTGGCGACCTTGATAGTAGGAACATCACCAAAAAAGCCGTCGTCGTCTGTGTCGCGGAAGGCATCAAGTGTGATGGGAGTAGGGGCAGTACGGGACTTGGGGGATCGAATGGTGTGGTCAAGATCCTGAGTATCCGGGGATTTGGGGGAAGTGCGAAAGGCGGCGGAGATCTGACGCAAGCTGTCGGACAGATCTTTGTCGTCGTGCTTAGCAAGTTTCAGAGGACCATCGGCAGAGGTGAGGTCAAGATCTTCGGACCAATCATCGGCGATGGCCTTTTTGACCTCCTTGCCTTTGAGTCGTCTGATTGTTCCACCTTCCAAGGCCGAGCGAGGCACGTTGGATGGTAAAGGGATCCCCTTGCTCTTTGCTAAAGCTATAGCGTCTTTGATCGGAGCTTGTTCATCGACCAGAACATCCCAATTTTCATCGCCATTGTTCGAATCGGAGCGCATGGACATACGAGATGAGGCTGAATCTCTGTGGTTTGCCTGGGGGTGTGAAACAATAGATGTTGCGGTAGAAGCTGTGCGAAAGTGGACATCGTCGAGATTGTCAAAGTCATCGTCGTCCCAATTCTCGACCTCTGGACTTTCGACAGGGGCTCGGGGTTTGAGGACGAGCGGTTCCATGGTGCCGGCTAAGAGCCAACTGGGAGGATGGAACGCAGGATGTGAGTTGAGATATAGAGAAATAACAGGTCAAGAATTTGAAACGCAAAACATCTTCAAGTCATCAAGCCATCATGGGTTCGTCGTAAAATGAATGTCGAAAGGTGCTGGTTGATCTCGTGCAGATAGACGAGCCTCGTAGAGAGGAAAACACCGCCACTCGATGGTGTTCGAGGCAGCTCGAGAGGGTGATGTGGAGGAGATGAGGTCGCGAGGATAGGGTATTGAGGTGATGCTGAATATGCGGTGGGCCAAGTCAGGCTGCGTACTGTGGTATCTTGCAGGAGGTTGGGCGGTGGGAAACTTGTGAACAGACTTATTAGACCTGGTTCTCACTTCAGGTGGAGTTCGGAGAGCGGATGTACTCGTAAGGTGTGAGGAAGGGCCGCAGAGGGTGCAGAGTTGACCAAGTCAAGGGCCAAGTCGAGGTCCAACCATGCGAATCGACCAACGCCAACTTGATCGGATGGCTGGAGCGCTAGCCTTGCTAGCTTGAATTCTCTCATTTTCATTGGCTGTCTCATCGCGCGTCTGTCGCGTTTTCTTGGCATACTTTTTTCAGAATTATCAAACGTCAGACAGAATCAACAAGCCTACTCTGCTTGGTATGTCGCACCAACTAGATCTCGAGCCTCGCGGTCAGACATCTACCCGCTTCTCCTCGACGTCAGGCTGTCCCACGACCATCAGGCTGGAAACTGGAGAACTGCGGGCACAGGTTTGACTTTGAGATCTTAAGTCTATCCACCACGAGTGTGACAGCTTCAGTGCCGATCCTTCTTAACGCCAATTCTTCAGCCTTGCGTTGGCTTGTGCGGGATTGTCTTTGAGGGAGACATGTCGCGGGTCAGCACGCGCGACGTAGGCCATGGCTAGCGATTGGATCATACGTCTGTTTCAAGATGACAAAGACTCCAGTCCAATTCTTGTCAAGATCTCTCGCAAGAATGGTGGTCATGAATTGGACCTTGACTTGCTAGCCACGGATGGGGATGCTGCCTATGTTGGCAAAGGTACGCAGGATTTGTGTGACAACATTATGTGGTTCGACTGACTCACATACCAGTACGACAACGAGGTCTTAAGAAACTCCGAGCCAAAAACTACGATGGCTCCGACGACGATTGGGCCGCTATCCTTGGCCACGTCTTGATTTCCGCCGCACAAGCATCTCTCACGGCAGAACAAAAGGGCACACTCAACGTCATTTGCTCAATCACCGGCAAGAAAAAGGATCGCACGCTCACGATAATCTTTCGCAATGACATCGAGGGCATCATTCAGCGCATTGGGGCGATCGACCTAGCTTTGACCGACGAGACCGACGATGTTGACCTTTTCGGATGGACGACACAGGTGATTGAGCAACGAGACCGGTTGGAAGAGGAGGCCAGAAGATATCAAGAAAAGGCAAATGCCGAGGAGAAGATTGAGGCAACATTGCAGCAGCAGATGTCAGATCTAGTCAAGGCCAAGTCGGAGCATGAGTCGCAGTTACTAGCCAAGTTTAGCACATTGCTGAACGAGAAGAAGCTCAAGATCCGGAATTTGCAGAGAGTGCTCCAGACCGCACAGGTAGATCCAGAGACGTTAAAAGAGCTACAGTCTACGCTAGCTGAGGCAGACATGGCGGCCACAGACCGTGGGAAAAAGAGACGCGTAGATGACGAGGGGCAGGATGAAGACGAGAGTGATGGATTTGAGACGATGGACGTCTCCAAGACGGCCAACGAGGGAGCTGATGACGGGCAATCAGACTTGTCGGATCAGCAACGAACGCCTTCGCCTGAAGAAGACAGTGATGAGGAAGTTGAGGACCTCGACACTACTGCAAGCCTTGAGCCACCTCAGACACGATCGCGAGATAAAGGAGCCAGGGAGTCAAGTCCGCTCCCACCCCCAAGACAACTTCCGTTTCAGCAAAGATCCGGTCGCGGGGATAAGCAACTGGTGGGACAAGAACCAAGCTCGAGGGCTCCTGAGTCGACGTCGATTGATGACGAAGCTGATGAAGAGACGGCCAGCGAAGACGATGAGCTATGAATGGGCCAGGGTTCCTCAGACGGAGTCAAAGCATCACAGTAGTTGATGAATTGGTCTATCTTGTTCCAGTGTCCAGAATACATTTTCCCCACGGTCTGTCAAGCCAACAATGACCACATCTTGATAGACCCAAGGCCTGCAAAGTTCCGATCAAGTCAAGTGGGAATTTTTTTTTCAAAGAGCAGGTCATGATGATTGTACACGTCAAAAAGCCCATTCACATGTGGTCTTGCCACAAGCATCCTCAACGCCATAGATTACAGGCTCATCCTGTGCCAACATATTTGAACCATAGGGGGCGGCAATCTTCCCGTTGCAGCCACGATTCTCCTGCGTAGAACTTGCCCGGTTCACAGCCGTGGCACTTTGGCGAGTTGGGGCAATTGAGGAAGGGGATATGGTTGTACCCGATATCTTTGAACCTATAGAGATGATCAGCTACGATAAGAGAGACCGGGCAGCGAGGGGATCAAACCAGTGAATATTGCGAGCATCCTCGAACAAGCCAAGAGCGATGCTGTGTACAGGAGCATCGCCCCATCGTTCATAGAAGAAGCCACCGGTGCGATCGAGATGGGTAAAGTAATCTTCGTATTTCTGACTGCGCCAGAAGGAAAGGTCGGCGATTTCAAAGTTAGACCAGAAGTGGCAAGTGCTATACCCGTGGGCTTTGATGTTGTTGTCGGGACGGCGGGTGCTATCAACAAGCCAGGCCATGGCGTTGTTTTCATGGATGTATTCAGGGTGAGCCGCGAGGAATTTGATGGTCTCAGGCCACAGAGAAGGGATAGATTCAGGTGAATCGAAAAGGTTGATATTGAATCCGTAAGTCTTATTGTTGTCCTGCATGTATCGGAAGACGTCGTAGTCGACATCGCAGAAGAACTTGACATTAGGCTCTACACGCCAGTAGTACTGCATGTTGTCGAGGGCTGGATGTCGGTAGAACATCCCACTGTTCCAACGACACATCTGGTGGTAACTGACCTTACCAGCATACTGGACGTTGTTTTCTTTCAGGATCTTTGCAGATTCTTCATAGAGCTCCTGGCTGACCCAGCTGGGCATCTCCCAGTGCTCTTTGGGGATGATATGATATTCACACTTTGCAGTGGTGACCTCCTGTGTGCGTTTCTTGAATTCGTCGGTGAAGGGGACGTCATTAAAGAAGGTCCAGGGGTAGTTGTACTTGTGATTCCAGGTGGCCTCGAGTTGTTTCATCGTAGGGATTAGTTGGCCGAGTTCTTCGTTTCGGACAAGGGAGAGGAGGGTGGCATTGATGCGTGGGGAGTTTGCATTATTGGGGCTATAGTCGTGTTCAGTGTGGCGCCATAGGTGACCATCAGGTTCGCCGATGGCTATTGGATATGTCAGTTGAAGGTGGCAGACGTGATTGGGAGAGGGACACACGGTCTAGCAGAGGATCTCGGTCCATGGACTCGATCTTGTCGCCATTTCCGACGACAACGCCAGGGGGAGGAATGGTTGGGGCAGGGCGCAGATACTGGAAGATGAGGAAGAAGGCGAGGGCGACGCAGCCGACGCCGAGGAATCTGATGGGTCGTGCGACAGCCATTTTGCGTAGAGCGTATCACCCATGCGCAGGTGGAGGGAGTGACATTGCTTGCCGTCAACAGGATGGGAAAAGTTGAGTTGTAGATTGCGCCGGGTTTAGAAGCATGACATTGATGAGGCTTTGAAGAATGGGACTTTAATTGTGGACCTGGTGGCTCGTGGCTCGCTGGAGCAAAGGTCGACTTCTGTGGTGGCTTTTTGGGATTGGGTGGAAACGAGATGACAAGCATTGGCTTGCGCGGCCCGTTGGTTGAATTGAAGGCAAAATGGAAAGACAGGAAAGGAAAGACACGTGACAGAGTGCGACTTTCTCAGGCGGGGCAAGAAAGTTGGAAGCGCAATACTGATGAAGTAATCATCGTAATAAAGGAGGAATGCGGATAGAGGCCCCTGGGCACCTTCATTGGGTTGTTGGAATGAGGAACTTCTTGCCATTCAATCACACCAATACTGCTGCTCCTATGTCTACGTTAGATATCTTAGGTAATAGGTAAGCTTGAATGAATGCGGGTGGGAAAACACTGAGGACTGTCTAACTGTTTACAGGGAGTATTTTCGTCTTCGACCCTAGAAGCCAGTTCATGCTCATATCGATGCGCCTGTCGAGGCAAGTGTGGCTGAAAAACAAACCCTCGTTGAAGTCAACCAAGTTGCACCTCAGGAGACTAAAGAAGCTGACCAACTTGTGGAGAGAGCATGAGCGCAGGCATAGTAGGAGGAAAAGAAGGAGAAGGCTGCATCTCATTCTCTGATCGGGAAATACACTCTCGTTAGTATTGGTATTGCTGTGTTATGTCTAGTCTGTATAATCGCTGTTGATGCATCATATTGATAGAGAAAGATAAAAATCATACTACTTGGTCTTAGTTCCATTGGTCATTGAATATCTTGGGAGATTGTCCAATAACCAAGTTTATCTGCGGTGAGATCCTGCAGAGCGCGTTCCGCAGGCTCTCAACCTGCAGACGGCGCTGTACTTGAAGAGGTGGAACCATGGGAAATACCTTACTTGTGGAAGCGCTGAAGGACACCTCCAAGTCTTGGCATAGGCAAGGCTGAGGTTTGAGGGATGAGGGATGAGGGATGAGGGATGACTTATTGGTGAGCCTAGTCCTAATTCGTTCGGAATTCTGGAGGTGGACATTGATGATGTTTTCCGACTGGTAGCATCATCGTCCTGAATATATGCTAGAGTCCAGACATTTCTTGGTTGTGGCAAGGGAGGAGATCAGTTGGTGGGATATGATGTAGATGCCCCAGAGGATGTCCTTTGTTCCCATGACCTACGGGTCGGGCTCCGGGATTTCCGAGGTCCAGGATGAGATTCTATGGTATTCTATAGTTTTTAAGGCAGAGGTTGACTCTCTGTGATCGCAATTAGGAAGAATGGATAAATAGAGTTCCTTCACCGTTGGTTTGCAAGGCCAAAGACATCAAGTAGAGGGAGCAGGTTCTCTGGCGGATTTTCTCATTATATGTTGAAAGTTAAGGTTTGAATGAATCGGAAAGAGTGAACTCCAAAAAACCAACCAAGCCCATAATACTGAGGACTTTTTGACAATAGATAAATCCCATCTCACCGATGAGAATCCGTAAAGACACATTGTTGCTGCATGGGCATTCTGTACACAAATAACGTAAAAAGAAAAAAGGAGGAACAATTCAAAAACAAAAAGAGGCAAAGGACCGAACGTGGTTCGAACACGTGACCTAGAGATATTGGTGTGCAAACTGCAATCTCTCGCTCTACCACTGAGCTATCGATCCCGTGAAGTTGGTAGAAAAGTCTTCCCCAATGGGGCACGAGAATCTTAGATATCTGGGGCAATTTCGGGGTATTAATGTTATTAGTTAGAGATTATTTCTGCGGGTTTGGGCCCTATCTCTTGGCGGACAATGGGAGCTTTAGGTGCCAAGCTAGGCCTTTAACACCCAAAACCCAGCTAAAGGTGTATCGGCTCAAGCCCCTGATGGGTATCCATAAGCAAAACACAGACCAGGAAGCCTTCCCACGCCAGTTGGACTACTTAGGATTTCAGTAACAATGTGATACACCGCTACGTACGAGGCCAATCCAGACCCTTGATCCTGACAGGGAACGGATCTCAGGCTTTTGGTCCAGAGAACGCCTTTATAAACAGCGTTACATCCTGCAATCGCACTTACATCTGCGGAGAATGAGGTGGCCCTCTGTGCATCTCACCGTTTCGTGCTTTGGGCTTCGCGTCTTCGACAAAGGGTGAGATAGGAACACGACCTGAACCATTAATTTAATCGACTTGTCCTAGCCAGACTGGGTGTTCGACTGGCCTGAGTTCGCACCTATTTGGCTTGCCAGGACATCGCCTCCAGCCAACACAGTATGAACGCCCATCAGACTTGCCAGCTCGAAAACTTGGATGACTTCGCCAGCGGTGGCCCCGTATCGGACGGCATTGCGAATGTGAAGTTTCAAACCGGGTTGGAAAAGATGTGTTGTAGCACAATCGATTGCACAGTAAATCAGCTCTTTCACTTTTGGCTCAAGTCCTCGAGATTGCTCAACTGAAGTATTCGGCTGGCTAGTAGGATCACGTGTGCGAAAAGGGTAGCCCGAGAATTCGGTGTATGCTTCGAAGAAGTCAGGGTCAAATTTCAAGACCCTTTCCCAGCCGGCATGCCAGTAGCCCCGCTTCTTGATAAAGTCGTCTTTGATAGCTTTACGTCGAGGATCGGAGTCTGAACTCTCTTCTGCCTGGTCATGAGTGACGCCTTCTTCTTGGAGAACCTCTTCGAGAAGCGGTACACCGACGCTGATAGCGTGGATTCCTAGGACGGAAGATAGTTCTAGGACTTCCAAAATCTCATCTTTGGTGGCACCAGCTTGCAGAGCCCCCATGGTATGTGCACTAATGCTTGGTGCATACATGGTTGTACATGATGCATTCAGGCTGAGCAGCACCAATTCCTGGATCTTCCGTGGCAATCTGTTCTTCTTGAAAGAGGCCGAGCGGAGCCGGAGGTAGGCGGAAACATATCCTGGGTCCAATATTGTAAGATTCTCCCATGAGGATGACCAGTACCCGCCCTCAGATATAAAGGCAGCTTTCAGTGCCTCTTGTTCAGAGGACAGTCTTGGAGCTGTTGATTCAGAAAGGCCCGCCATTGTATTAGATTTGTATAAAATAAGGTGCCTACACGCAGGTCGGTGCGTTCGTGCCTATGTGGTTATGTGATGTGGTATTTGCATATTTTTTATGACGATCTAAAAGTCCTTCTCATCTCCTCCCTAGGATTGACGTCAGTTATGAGCAACGACCCCTCAGCCTCGGGCTTGGTTTGTCGCCTGAGATTGGAGTCAGACTTGGACTGCAATTCACCAAGCCTCGGTTATCCGTAGAAAATGAATTGGTAGAGGTTGAAGTGGTATCCATACTGTTATGTCGTAAATGATCAGAGGCGATTGACGTCCACGTGACGAGACTGCGCCAAGACAGATCCCCCGCACGCCCCCACCGGATTATCAAAACACCGAAAACCCCAAGAAAAAGATATCAGATGCAACAAAGTCGTCTTTAAAAAATAGAGGTCTGGTCTCGCGTGTGGAAGATCCATGACAAGTCGCGTCTGTTTTTCTTCTTCATTCTCACACTGCACCATTAGCCTCCCGCTGATTAGGTACCAACAACTATGGAGGTCTTGCGTCAAGCCCCGAACCCTTCCTCTTTCGTCCCCTTGGTAGAGCATCATTCAGCCACCCCGGCATCATTTTATGAAGGTCCTCCCGTGCTGCACTACTACAGCGATCGCAGCAAACTCATTGTTCTCGACAGCGAGAGCGATGTTGCACCTGGTCTGGCCTCTCTCCTTGCCGTAGCCAAGTCGGAGACTGAGGCAAACGGTGCTGAAAGCAACGGCGATGCTCATTCATCAAATACCCAGAAGGTGGTGGAAGATGTGGATGTTTGGGTGACTTCAGAGTAGGTGACTCCACACTATACGCTCTTCCTGGCTGACGACTGTCTAGTAAACTCTTCCTCTATTCCAACGCTGCCTCGTCTGGTGTTTCGATCCCCTACCCCAGCATCTCTCTCCACGCCATACAAACCCTTCCCACGCCATCTTCTATGGAGCAACAGGGCGTCTACCTGCAAATTATCACATCGTCCGAGGACGCAGGAGACGAAGATCTAGAGCCCGAATCCATCTCTTTGACAATTGTGCCCACCGCAGCTGCGCCGCCGGATGTGGCTTCTGAGCGGGACCCGGCCGAAGACAAGCCCGAGCAAACTCCAGTGTCGGCCATGTTCACCGCTCTGTCAAACTGCTCCAATCTTCATCCTGACCCTCATGACTCTGACGAAGACGAAGATGGTCAAGGCAGTCGGTTGTTTCAGGCGGGCCTCGCTTTTCCAGGCACAGAAGACGGAGGTTTGCCTCCTGCCATGCCTGGCAGTGGTGGCTGGATTACTGCCGAAAACATGCACGAATTCGTCGATGAGGATGGTAATTGGATTGAGACCCACGACGAGGAGGGAGGTGAAGAAGAGGAAGAAAATATCCCTCTTGGGCCCGGGGCTGGCAACATCCGCACACGACAAGAAGATGAGGCTGAAACCGATGAAGCAAAATGGAGGAGAACTTCGTGAGTTGTGGTCTTGCATGCTGGGTGACTATCAAGCTACGCATGTCTGGGTTACAACTCCAGGTCACATATGTGAGTCTACAATGTTGCCTTCAGGCCCTGGTGCGTCCACCGTGGGCCTAGGAGCAGTTTCGGTAAGCCGATATCCCCAAGACAGTACACCACTCTTCTCTCTAGTAATTGAAGTTTGGTTGCTGGTACTGCTGTGGGTCGTACTGATCGGCATCACGATAATGTTCGTCATATGCTTCGTGTGCACGTCTTTCGGCGTGTCTCTTGGCCTCGATACGATCATACTCATCCAAACCCTTGGTCTCGGCCAACTTGTCCACCTCGGCACCGACGAATCCTGCCAACAACTCCTTAGCAAAGCCGTGAGAGACTACCTTGCCTTTTGATCATGTCAGTGGAAGGCTGCGTTGTGCCGGGGGAGAAGATCAGATCGTGTACCTTCACGTCGTTGACGATCCTCAAAAAGTTTCATGCCCTCGAAAGCGGCTGCACCGCCGATAAGCTCGTGAGAGAACTTTGCTTCGTGCTCACCCCCGCCATAGACTTGTTCGTGGGCATCACGGTTATCGTCTGTTCTTCGGTCAATCAAGACGTGGATGCATCTGACAGCGTGCCAATACATACCGAACCAACCCATAATGACGGTAGACGAGATTTCTTGGTGACTGATGATTGAATGTTCACAGACTATGGATGGGGGTAGAGCGTTAGGAAGGTGGAAGATCAGAGGCTGGATACCAACGACTAAAAGATGGCGTAGGTGAGAAATATATACCTCTGCTTGTATGGAAAGTCTCGTCATCGACCTAGACCTATATCATCTGCATGCAGCTGCACCTCGTTACCCCTCGCTCCTCTTTGGTGAGCCTAGTGAATGATGGACCGGGACGCGTGTACAGGGCTGACCCCACCATGTGTCGACTCTGGATGGTGCGGCCACACTTCAAGCTTGACAATGCCATGATGTTGATACGGGATGTGTACTGGTGCGTTATGAGACAATCAGGGCTACCCCTGGTTCATGACCTTGCCCCTACGAATCATCTATTATCCAGCTGCTCAGGACTACTCCGTACCTAGGCATAAGGTGACCGTGACCTATTTGACCGGGTCTGGCAAATACAGTTTGGTAGCTTGTTACGCCTCTAAGTTCAGCTCGGTTGGACATTCAGGGTCAGGTCCTTCAAGGAATCCAATCTTCGGCCAGTGAATTGGTTGGAGTGGACCTTTCAGCATCTCCAGGGTATGATCCAGGGACCAGGGCTCGCATCGCCCCTCCGATGCATGAGTGCTTAACTGCAAAGCCAAGTTTCCATGGGCGGAGCTTGTTTCTTTCACAACCAAGCCATTATCGACCAACGACAAACACGTCATCCTCACTCGACTTTTCCTTCATCTCCAATGTTTAGTCCAACACATGCTTCTGTGAACCAATCTCGCCGCAATCCAGATCACGCTCGTTTCAAGTGGGACTAACAAGTGCCCGGCCTCTCGTCCCTGTTGATTTGTCTGTTGGCTCCTTCCACATGAGACAATAAATAAATGGCCCCCACCAACCTCCACAGTCGCGACTTCCCTTCTTCCATCCAGCCTGTAATCCATCTCCCTCCTTCTCAGCAACCAACCAACGTTATTTTATTTCTGCCTGGCCTTGGAGACAGCGCAGCCAACTTCTCTTCTTTTGCCAAAGCCCTCAATCTGCCAGATGCCTTGACCATCACCCTGAACCCTCCATTCCCCTTCCCGCTTCCCCTGGGACTGCCCGGCCAGCAATGGTCTCACGACGTCCAGATCGACACCTCCACCGGCCAGATTGACCCAGACAGTCCCTTGGAAACGGCGACAAAACTCATCGCAGAAGATGTCATCTCCAAGACTCTCATTGGAAAGTCTGGCTACCGCCCAGATCACATCCACCTCTTTGGATTCGGACAGGGTGGCTCTGTCGCTCTTGCTGTGGCCCTTCACCCAGCCCTGTCCAAGATAGCGCCTCTAGGTGGTGTCGTTTCCATTGGCGGCCCTGTCCCGATTTCGATCTCAGTTCCCTCTACAAAGAATAGGACTCCAATTCTCCTCCTGTCAGGGTCCAAGTCGATTCTTTCTTCCACTGGATCGAGTCCATTGAAGCGGTGTCAAGACTCCTTCCAGTTCCTCGAGTTCCACTCTTGGAAAAAATCCGATGATTCGATGCCAAAGAACAGAGATGAAGTCCTACCCATGATGCAATTCTGGGCACGCCGCTTGAAGAGCCGAAGAGGTGTCCCAGATGACGCTGTTGAGCTTAGTTGAAGAGAACTCATCTTCCGCTCAAAGCCACTACACACTGGAGTCAAGCTTGTAAGAGCCGTGTTCAATTTTGCATTAGATTTATAGTCATGCTGGACATGTTGAACATCATAAGAGCCAATTCCGTTTCTACAACATTATTCTCCCCCTATCGAAAACTCCGCTGGAACAGACTTTAGCAAGGCCACATCTACCACATGACATGACGTCTTCTTGGCTGGGATGACCCTACCAATTGATACACGTTGAGTCTGCTAGGTCCACCGCAATACTGGCCTTTGTTACCATCACACAACATGGAGCAATCTGCATCTCCACCAGGCGCCGGACTTCCACCGTTAGTAAGGCCTATATTGTTACAGAAACACTCCCGAGAATATTCCACACCCGCCCATGAATATCCCTTCGCAAAGCATGCCTCAGCACAGAATTCAACAGTCATACTCGAGCTTGCGGTCGAGTACGACCCAGATCCGCCAAGCGAGCGACCTGAAGATCCTTCTGTGAAGCACCCCTTGTACGCATACTGAGCATTTTGTGCCGAGATATTGACCAAAGCTGGGTTGCCGGGCTGAATGAAGCCTGTGTTCTGGAAGAGGCTCAGTGCTCCAGGTCCACCACAGATCTGTGTGTCGTTCCCTTTGCATTTCATGTTGCACCCACTTGAGGAAAGTTGGGAAGCAGATTCTCGAATACTGTTGCCCGCAAAGCATTCGCCAGCATATTCCAAGCCAAAGTACTTGTAATTGGCAGATTGCGCAGTCCGAGCGCAGAGCTCAAGTGTCATTTTGCTGTCGGTAGTGTAGCTTCCACTAAGGGTGCGACTACCCCCAGCGTCGGACCAACATCCTAAATAGCTAGCACCATCGATGGAGGGGCCAGTTGGGGTCGACGACGGTGAAGACACGGCAGACGAGGTTGATGATGGGGTGCTTGTGATGGTCCAGACACTGAGCCTGTTCGGTCCTCCACAGTATTCGGTGCGAGCTCCGGCGCAAACCATGGGACATTCGCTCTGGGGGGCGCTCGCCGACGAGATGGCACTACCGCAGAAACATTCTCTTCCATACTCTGTACCAAAGACAGAGAATCCTTTGGACTGGCAATATGCGCCACAGATCGAAGTCGACATGGAATCGTTGGCATATGACGCAGCCGATAGTGCTCGACCCCCTGAATTATCGACATAGCACCCTTTGTATTGAGCCACACTCCCAGACGAGATTGTCGCCGTTGTTGTACCTGCAACCGGTACTGGCCGAGTTTGCCCGTCGGTGTTGGTGACTGGGTTCAAATTTGGCTGAGTCGGACAGACTCCTTGAGGAGCCCGTGCCGGTCCTGACGTTACCTCGTTGCAGCCTGGAAGTTTCGACAAGACGCCTTTGACTTGTTCGTTGACGAGAGGGGCCTGCTCGGGGCAGTTGGTGCCAAAATAGTCGTCTTGAGAAGCCGCCAGTGGAGGGCATTCTGAAATGTTGCCCGACTCAACGTCATTGATACATGCCGCGATCGCGTCGGTCAAGACTTGGGTATCCCATGCATTGAGAAAGTCACCGTGGAAACCATAACCTGTTGTGTCACCGTTGGAGAATACAAACCTGCCCCCATCTGAGGTGTCGATCCGGTTGGGAAAGTAGTAAATCTCATAGAAGAGGTGGGGGAGTAGCTTCGGATGGGTGGGAGGGCAGACACCATTGTCGATCTGTGACATATATGCGACGTGCGATTGGTCAGCCTTGTAAAGATTCACCCCATCCCAGCAGCTGGGGAATTGGATCTGAGCACGAAGACCGTTGGGACAGTTGGTGTTGGCCATATACGGCGTCTCTGGCGTGGCTTGGGCATAGTTGATGCATGCAAAACTGACACGGTCGGCCACCGGCCTTGACCGGTATCTCCCAGTGCTATATGTCATGGTCTCATTGTCATATGATCGCCTGGAAGGGTCTCCAGACACCACTTGGAAACCTGGAGGAAAAGGGACAATGTTGCGGCGATCTTCGCCTCTTCCTAGGTAGTATACGACTGTGCCGTCATTAGGCACATTAATGAAGGACCCATCCCCTCGCTGGTAGTACAACAATGGTGTCCAGTACGCGCTCTTGTCTTTCTGGATCGAGCACGACGTGCATGAAGCGGCGGTCAACGATTGGAACGTCGATGTCGTGTTGATGTCTGATATAATCAGCCAAGTTGCAAAACCTGTTACTATCTGTGAGGCTTCACTCACTACTCGCTCCCGACAACAGATGTACGTGACCTGAGATGGCATTCGGGTTGATGATAGGATCTACACGACCAATCTGAGCGATGCCACAATTCATGCGCCAGAATGCGTCAACACCGGTGAACCAGCAACTGGCGAGAACGCCGACTGAGGTTGCAATATCGTATCTCATCTTGGTGAATGGTGCAGGTGATTGGTAGCGTCGAGGACAGTCTGGAACAGCCATCGTCAGGTATTATACAGGCACGACAGGGCAGAGGGCCGGCCCTTCCAACGGTGGATACTTCGGTTAGCTCCAAGGTTCGAAAGAGTGACAGCTGTCAGAAGTGGTGCTGGTAATCTCACATGGCGTTCCTGCATCCAATGCATATACGCACGGACCTCAGGTTCCTGACGTTCTGGCTCACATGGAATGCAAAAAGGAGTAAAAACGCGCAGAACGGGCGCGTAGTCAACAACGCACGGCTTGATAAGGCCACCCAAAACTTCCCTCTGCCATGGAAAACGGCCTTTGGCGGTCCATAATATGTACGCTAGGTGCTTCGGGAACTGCCCGATGTAACAAGCCAAAGGGCTTGGGCACGGAATCACTCCTTAGAGTCCCGCCTCCCTTTGGTATAGGGTACTCGGTGCCATCCACTGGTAAGATTGCCGCGAAAGTTGTAGTGCGGTTCGTACGACTCAGGTTGGACATTGTACCCTTCGTCAACGGCCTTGACGACAAACTGCCTGCCAGCCAAGCGTTTTGGGACCAACCATCGCCAACGTGTCCATGCCCAGGATTTGGACCCATGGGCTTCATCCGGTAGCAATTCAGCTTGATGCCAGGTTCGACCATCATCGGGGCTGATGTCGACCCGCACGATGCGTCGCCCACCTCCAGCAAAAGCATAGCCTTCCACTTCTACCGCATCTTCCTCCATGCCATAGACACGAAGGAGTTTCTGGTCTTCGGCGGACCGTGGCGACGCGTTACGAAGCGACGTAATTGCGCTCTGCACCGGCATCTCCTGGATGGCGGGTGCCGAAGACCAGTCGACATCTTGCCCACCCTGATTGGGTCCAAAACATTTGTAATCGCGTTGCTGCCATTGTGATTGAGACTCTTCATCCGACAACGTGATCCGCTTCAGCCATTTGACGCTCCGTGCCGCTACATGACCTGGTACCAAAGCTCGGAGAGGAAACCCATGATCGCGTGGTAGAGGTTCGCCGTTCATTTCGTACACGAGCAGAACATCTTCTCGTTTTCCAAGGGCCTTATCAATAGGGATCGACGCGCCGTACGCCTCGGCTCCTTGGAACTGAACGTGCTTGGTTTCGTTTTCATCGAAGGTATCAATGTCGAATCCTGCATCGGCAAGGACATCTCTAAGGCGGACTCCGGTCCAGACAGCATTGGAGATCGCTCCAATTTCCCAGGGCAGACCACTGGTGGATCGCGCCTCGTCGTTCATATGTTGACGTCGGTTTCCAGAGCATTGGAGTGTGCAAGTGACCTTTGTTGACCGAAACTGCGACATCGGACTTCAGTATTGTGCAGACAGGAGAGGGAAAGAAAGTCAAAGTTGGGGTACCTACCTTGGACTTGAGGTCCTTGATCGAGTACTCTACTTCCTCACCATCGGGTAGTTCAATCTGAACTTTATAGTCATCCTGACTCAGGGATGGGACCCAAAGGTGGTGTCGGATATAGAAATTGGAGTTCGGGGTGATGTAGGATTTTAGGTCCTCCGGCGCAGTTTCGGCGTTGAACGGTCGGTCGCTGTGAACAATGAGGTCTGGATGCCGGGCGGGATCGTTCTTGAAAGGATCCTCAATGTCATCAGAAGGAACCCTTCCGTCGACAAGATCACGGGGATCGAGGTCGCCAACATAGTATTGCTCGAGGATATCATAGACATCTTTCTTATTGTGGATGGTGAAAATTTCCCAATAAGGATCAATGACGCCGCCAACAGCACGAAGAATCACCTCACCACCAGGATGATTTGGGATCCAATCAGTGATATCGTAGACCTTGGTTGACTTGACGACCCAGCGGCGAGTTGCATTGGCGCCGTGCTTTCGTACCTCTGCCAGGCGAATGGTCTTTGCCGGAGGGGCTTCCGCGTGGACGGTTGAATGGCTGTGTGTCCAAACAGCAGACACGAAGCCAGCGATGAACACAGCCGAGAACAAAGGCTTAACAAACGAGATTGATTGAGCTCCCGACAATGGTGTTTGCAACGTCTGACGGTGGGAGTAGGCACGAAAAGACTTGGTTGATAGGGCTCCAAACTCAGCGCGCCGAGCAAATAACCTATGAAGGGAGGACTTCATGGCCGTTTCGCCACGTTGTGGTGGACCTTAATTAGTATGCCACTGCGGGATGTGGAATACTTCGAGTATGCAGCTATGCTGTGGCTATGAGGAGCGTTCCCAGCGGTGGCATGAGTAGATTCAATAAGGGACGTTGATTGTCTCCATGTCTGCACGTCTAGTGAAGTCGAATTTGGAGTCAGAACGCGTGGACCCCTCGCGTCTAATTGGCTCAAACTGACATCTCACGTCATAGCCCCACTTGTGCAAAGAGGAAGGAGGTGCCCATGTTATGTAGACTGATACGCCTTTCACTTCGTATACAAGGCTGAAAGGCTGAGATTATATCTATCTATTGAGAAACATGTCTAGATGCTTGTGGGAAGACCCCTTCCAGGGCGTCTGCAAGTAGTTCAAACAAGTCTCCCATTTCTCCCGAGTTCCTGGCCACGCCTCTTAGTCCTGCTGTCAGGAATGCAACATGCTTTTTGAAGTCAGCCCTTATTTTCACCAGTTCGTCCAGAATGCTGGTGTCTTCGTCCAGGATGAAGGTTGAATAGCCCTCCCCTCCGTCACTCGTTACCTCTTCATCTGAACTACTTTCCGACTCTACTGCACGTCTGCGTTTGTGGTATCGCTGACTGTGTGCCGAGAAGAACGATCCGGCTTCGAAGTCATCCGAGTTCCGTCCTTGGGTTAATGGAGAAGACACAACATCTGTGAAACGAATACACAGGTCCATCGTTGACACGAGGGCTTCCCGGAGAGGTTGTATTCGCTTGCTACACAAGCAACCATGCTCCAGAGCCGAAATATAACTGGCGTGCACCGCAATCATTTCATCGATCGTCCCAGAAAGTCGTGCTCGAGCCGACGATGTCAATGAGTCAATCACGCACCCAGTCAGGTGATTGTAGACAGTATTGATGAAGAAGGACAACTGAAAACATAATCCTTGGCCCAACTTCTGCACTGGTCCTGCTCCGAGTGAGACATTCTGGGTGCAGAAATATGCGCGTCGTTCAAGGCTGAATCTCACACGCCGGAGTTGACGGAGGAGCAAAGCAATCTTTTGATATGATGTAATCGATCGGGGAAGTATGACGTTTGCGATTGGCCAAAAGACTTCATAGGACACTGTCAAAGCACTCAAGATTTTGACCGAGCGTCGGCGGCTTTCCATCGTCCGTGAGGATGTATAAGCAGATCGAACCGTAATGAGCTCAGGATCGATGCTGTCAACACTGGAAAAGGTGTCGACAAGAGCATCGGCGCAAAGAAAACGATCATTCCAGACCTCAACACATCGATCAATTTGCTCGAAAACCCGGCATTCAAACTTTTGCCACACGGCGCCATTCCTACAAAGAAAGACATGCTCAAGCGCATCGAGGAGACGGCTGAAGCCGCATTCTTCTTCAAGCAACATTGTGAGCTTAGCCGTCGTATTAGCGAGCGCAGTTGCCAGATGCCTGTTGACTATCATGTCAAAAATCGCACAAAATGAAGTTGATGATTGTTGTTGCGCGAGATCATACGCCTCTTTGGCTGAAGTGGCCAGGGGCTCAATGGCCTCGAATGCTCCGGGACCAGCCTGCAGCTGAGCCAGAAAAGCCGCGGTCTTGCCAATTGTGAGAATGTTCTGTGCACCCTGCTTGAGAAAGGTCGGTACCCGGGTATCGTCGTCGGCAGTGATGTGAAACCAGTTATGCCACAGTGTCAAACGTTCCACGGGATGAGGATTCTCGGAGATAAATAATCGTATGCCATCTTCCCTGATACTCCCAGTGGAGATCCAGGTGTCCAATGGTCTTGCGTAGAGCTGAAACGCTGCGATAAAGATCGAGAGTGCAAGTCCGTGAGTTTTCTCGTCGTGACAACAGTAAGTAGAATCTATGAAAGCAAACAAGTTGTCAAGGGCAGTGACAGGGTCATTTGGTGGCAACAATGGGAGAACTTTCAGCATACTTCGCAACGGAAGACTTGTCGAGCGGGCCACTTGAAGAACCTGGAGGAGGCTTTCGATCCCCGCAGAAGGCAGTCGTTGAAGAACATGATCCTGCATCGTCGAAAAAGAAATTTCAATTGCAGAAAGGCTCTCTCGAATGCGGTCCTCGATCAACTGCATGACATTGCTTTCCTGACTGAGATGAAGCCAGCTCCGAATCGAATTGATTTCGGAACCCAGGGCTGCAACTTCACATAACAAACTTGAGGAGGCTGCTGCGTCGAGATGCTTGAGTCGATAGCGCGGATCTGGTTCAATGGCATTTGGAAGAATATTGAAGACTGACGTCTGGATTCCTTGTAGCATGAGCAAGACTTCTTGCATTGCTTGCGTTTCCGTGAGACAGACTTCGGGGCCCGGCAGTCTCCAGAACTGAATGTCATTCAGCTGAGAGACCGTGGAATGCAAAGATGGGCCTAAGTCGTCCAAGACGCGTGCAGAAAATTTCCCGCCCAACGCTTTGTTTCTCAAGGGACCGGGAGACACAGCAGCGCTACTCAAGGACCCTCCATCTGCCTCGTCCTCGTCCGAACTTAAGTCACTATAGTTAGGAATCTCCCAAATTGAATCTTGGCGATCGATCGGGTCATCAGCCTCGATTTCCTTCCATGTGAGCACTTCGGGGCCCTGTTGTGCAAGCCTGCCGGCGGCCACATCGCCAACGCGAGTACTCTTGGCTGGGTTATCAGACAAATGGAGAAGAAGGTCCAAGACGTCGGGAATCCAGCGATCATCGTGAGATCGCAACTCGACTCTGCAAGAGTAGAGTTTTGCTGCCAAGTCATCGAGGTTAAAGGCCTGGAACTTTTCTTCGAGCCCGGTAAGGCGTTCGTTGACCTCAAACTGGTTCGTGCGCGCGTAGTTGTGATTTCTGATGGTACGCAGGAAGTTTTCCTTTAGTTTACGGACTTGCAACGATGTTGATATTGAAGGGAGAAGTGCGACTGCGAGCTCCGCCATCCATGTGGTCAAGGGGGTCGTCGAAGCCATGCTAGCAGCTCGAATCCCTGACTGCAACTTCGCATTATCTATAACCAGGCTGGTCCTAGAGTTCAGTCTGAGGGCATCATCCAGAAGGAAATGATTCTTGAGAAAGCAACAATGGCTGGATAAGAGGGTTGAGTCAACGAGGAGAGAACGGGACCAGTTAGAGAGCGCGTCGTCAAGATTCGCGGATCTAAGTGACTTATGATCCCCAGTAGTATATTTGGGTGGAGCATATAGTCGCGCAATGGAAGCATCAATTCAATGCGAGAACCAACTTTACATCCTTCCACTATCTGGGCACACAAGACCAGGATATGCGACGATGAAGCGCCCTATACGCAGTTTGCGGGTCGGACAACTCGATCACCTCGTTGACACATTCTTCTTCTGTCCCTCCTGCACAACAGTGCGCCTAGCTCAACCTTCGCGACCCTGTGTTCCGAAATCGCTTCCCTCCAAACCCACTCGCAGATGCGCCTCAACACTCAGCTCAAGAACAGCTGTGAATGCTGTTAAGAACATACCTACACGCTATCAGGGTCTCTACAAGGCACTCGGCGACGTTCAAAAGAATGCTTCGGCCCAAGTCAACCTGAGTAGGTTACGGCTTGCTCTTCAGGGCCTAGAGTCGGAAACCCCCACAACTCGTGTAGCAGTTTTGGGGCTTGATACACAAGAAACTGCGCGGAGACTAGTCCGACTTCTTCTAGCCGATGCCTTGGTTGATGAAAGTCAATGGGAGAAAGAATTGACAAGCAATATACAAGAGCTTGGGCCAGACGTGGTCATTCGTTATGGCGATTCTCCCAGTCCTAACCTACAACCCTCGAAGTCGGCTGTGCCAGTCCTTTATATCCCCTCAAACGTGCTAGAGATCAACAATATCGAAATTCTTGTTTCATCCATCAATTCACTCCGAAACGGCGAGCTCTTGCATGGCTCTGAGACCATCACATCAGATGCATTCCTATCGCCGTCAGTAGGAACCCCCACGTCAGCATATGGACGCCAAACGACGATCGGCCAACCCGTACATAGCACGCTGCTTGTCGCTAATGGACTGGACGATCTCCTAGCCTGTGCAGAGCTCCTTGCTTCTACAAATTTTGTGGCGAGAGAAGATCGTGAATCAGTGAGGATCGTCGTCAATCTCCAGGACCTCAAAGAGGGTTCTCAAGCTAAAGTCCTCATTGTGGACGCGCTGCAGGCTGAAGAAGGCCTTTCGGCAATCCGCCGTTCTGTGCGTGAAGCAACCACGTACGAGCATAAATGGGTTAATTCAGGACTTCCAGCACTGTCTGACTGGTTAACCCAATCCTCAGCTCTGCATAGCAATAAGTCAATGCCACCTTCGATAAGGTCCTTAACATCTTCTATTCTTTCAAATGCGGCGCGAAATCTCGAGACTCAAGCAAAAGTTGATGCACAATCTGACACAGCAAAGCGTTTGAGCACCGCTGCGCAAACTAACTTGGAGGCTAGCATTGATGAATTCTCACGAAATGGCCATCAGGAATTACAATCGGGATTAGGCTCGGCATGGAGCTCTCGTAATTGGCGCAAGCTGGCGTGGTACAAGCTTTTCTGGAGAGTGGACGACGTTGGATTGATCATTGCTGACCTGGTCAGCAACGCGTGGCTACCCAAAACCGAAAGAGCCGTGTATGAGTTATCAGGTCGGCTGTCGCAAGTTGGAATAACTCCGGTTGAAGCTTCGCCGCCCATCACCAGCTCTGAAGTCCTCCACGAATCCGATGCAGTGGCGACTAGTCCAGCTACGCCGGGAACGATACTACAAGCCCAAGCAACTTTGGCCAGTGATGGTCCACTGGAGGCGGTGCTGGAAAACACCAGGGGGACCACCAGCGTTAGAATGATACCCATGAGACAACCATCGCCTCTATCCCTCTCCATCTCGCGGTCTCGTGCGCTGCAGATGGACGCGGCGATCGCGGACCTGACGTCGACCGCTCAGCAAATTGTGCTCAAGTTCCTTTCAATCAGTGGTCTGTCAGCAGGGCTGTCGACGCTTGCATATCTCAGCCTGACACCGGGAAGCGTCTATGAGGCGGGCACCATCTTTGCGCTTGGGACCGCGTACGCGCTCTGGCGAATGCAAGGCGATTGGTACAAGGCCACCAAGGCCCTGGAAGACCGCCTCCTCGATCAAGGACGCACGGTCATTCAGCACATTGTGGCAAGGATGAGAGAATTGGTCAAGAATGCGGCCACTGTCCAAGTGGACCAGGTTGAGCTCCAGACTCGCCTCGATGCCGAAGCCGCCGTGAAACGAGCAAGAGAAGAACTCGATCAGCTAGATTAAAGCCGCATTGGCTGTAGCTACTCGCGATGGCTGAGTCGTTGTATATCAATTGTGCGCTCGTACGAATAAAAGTCATCTTACAGCTCCAAAACTAGCAGCGTCTTCCATATACATCCGCGAGTACCTTCAGAGGTCTCATAATGTTCATCAATTGATGGGACGCTCCGGGCTGTCAATGGCCACTATATTATTGACCTACTGTGGTAGGTCTATCAGTTTGGGATTGACTTGAGCTTTTATTGGGACGTGTACCCTACTATTCTTCGAAATGCTTCCGTGGCAGTCGAGGAAGTGGAATATATCCTTGTGCACTTTCAATATCCACGGCTCCTTTGTAGACTGGAGTTGGCAGCTTCAGTTTCTCTACTCAGGAATCCTCCAGAAATCACTCCAAGTTGCTTTACGTGGTTTTGATCTTGATTGCAATTGCCACTTAGACCCAAGGCTCAACGGCAAACGTCTTGACTGGACATTTCCTAAGTTTCCAGATAGGCTTTTTTGACTCTGTCTATCCTTCTAGTTCCTTCAATCCCTCAACCATCGGTTGTAAGTCCTAGACAAAGACCCCATAAATCAACAAGATTCCTTTGGCCCATCTTAGACAAAGAAAAGCCACTTACCGCCCATCCCTGGTAAAGCTTGAGCCGATGCTGTTCTCCAAATGAGGTATCGATGATAGCACGCGCAGCAAACTCCGACCAGGCAGATTTCCCGTTGCTGAACCACCAAGTACACTTTCCAAGGATGAGAATGTCATCCCCAGCTTCATCACATGCGTAAACCTTGAATACTTCGTGCAGGCGCTGTGTAATCCCTTCCCATGAACCATCTCGCGAGTGTAGAATCTCTAGATTCCATGGCTTATGTCAATGACGAGATACGTTCTACATTGAGTGTTATAGCTCTGAGGCAAAGCAACCAGATCATACCTTTCTTGCCTCTAAACTGGCGCCTGTTCACAACGATCTTCCCATCGGATGTGAATATATCCTCGGCATATTGTCGACCGACGTCATCCGACTTCGTATCAGAAAGGCGGTAGAAGCGATTCAAGAGGTCCTTTGTTGGTTGAGGTATAGACGGCGTCGAGGGCCATTCCGCTGCATCAGTTGCCATATCTTGTTCTGTGTATAGCTTTCGATAGAGACTTGTAGCTTTCTTCGTGTCAGGAGCCTTGTGGCTGACCCTGAGGACTCCAATTTAGATTGATTTTAGAAATTTATTGCGTCTTCTCGGTAGAAAGGGCTGCGTCGTGATTCCTGATGGGTACGGACCTGTGTTACCTAATGGACCAAGGGGTTCCCTCTAGATGTATAGAGCAAGGTGTACCAGGGCCCCCGGCAAGACTTGCGGCGGCGGATCCACCACCCTATCGAAATCTTGGAAAAGGCCCGACCACCGGTCCGATCAAAGATTCGCCCTCCGGTTTGACGGCTTCGTTATGTGCGTGTGTCGTGCCAAACTCGGCGAAGCCATGGCCTACGAAGGTGAGCAGATGAGCAGCCTCGAATTGAGATCTAATGACAAGAAGTGCATCATTCCTGTCCAGCTTTCTTCTGCATCGCTGATTACAAATTCGGGTCTTTGAGCGACCGCGGCCTCGCCATACGCCCCACAGACATTGTTAATGACCGAAGGCTCTATAAAAGTCACACGATTGTGTATGATAGTATGGCATCCCACAGTCAAGTGCCGACCGTGTAATTGGTCTCTAGACAATTATCTCGAAATCACTCTTATTGGACGTCAGGGATCATGAAGTCAGCTTTTGTCTTCGCCAAACCCGATGGGGCCGTCGAAGTCCGGATACAAGATATCTCGAAACCAAGTCCACAAAGAAACCAAGTCCTGATCAGAGTCGCTGTGGCCGGGACCAATCCAAAGGACTGGAAAGTACCAATCAAGATTGCGACCGAGTCCGGCACCAATACAGGGGACGATGTGGCTGGTTACATCGAGGCTGTGGGCAGTGGAGTCACCGAGTTTAAGGTCGGCGATCGTGTCGCCGCATTTCATGAGCTGCGAAAGCCGTATGGTGCGTTTGCTGAGTATGCAATTGCTCCTGAAAACACAACGTTTCACCTTCCAGAGACCACATCTTTCGAGGAGGCAGCAACCATTCCTTTGGCTGCTATGACTGCCGCCGTCGGGTTGTTTTGCCGCCTAGGGCTTCCGGAGCCGTGGGTTGGTGATGTGTCACAGGCTCGTCGAGATGCACTTAAAGGAGGCGTGCTTATATATGGAGCGTCGTCAGCCGTTGGTGCTTTTGCGATCAAGCTACTTGATCGTGCAAACATTCATCCTATTATTTCCGTTGCCGGGAGAGCGGGGTCGTTCGTCGAAGGATTGATCGACAGGTCGAAAGGGGATGTTGTGATCGATTATCGCGCGGGACACGAGCAAGTGGTATCCGCAATCCAGAAGGCTATACCAAAAGGTCAAAGGCTTCGATATGCGTTTGACGCAGTGAGTGAGAATGGGAGTTATCAACAAATTGTTCAAACCTTGGACCCAACTGGACATATAGCACTTGTCCTTCTGGGGAAAGAGTACGATGAAATTCCGAAAACGATGCATCAGAGCGTTACAAACGTCGGGTCCGTACATGGTATTCCCGAAAATTTGACTGATTTCGGATATGCCTGGTTTAGGCTATTCAGCTTGGGTTTGAAGGAAGGATGGTTTAGTGGACATCCATACGAGGTTGTCCCTGGTGGACTCGAGGGTGTGCAGCAGGGGTTGGAGAGCTTGAGGCTTGGTAAAGCAAGTGCGCTTAAATATGTGTATCGGATCGATGGGGGAGAGAGAGCTGCGAACACGAGTTAGAAGCATATATTGTCGCGAACGCCTAGGAATGTGGAAGGGTTGATACTTACCAATAGGTTGAGACTTATGCATTTGTTAAAACCCAGACGAGACCGAAAATTGAGGACATAGATGATAACTAGTCTTGCGTAGATCAGCGACAAGAAGACGTTGCGTATCGTGCGCAAGCTACGACATAGAGCGGCTCATAACCCTAGCTCCGATATTTGCGCAAAGTTTGAGAACTCATAGCCCATTGGCGCCACAAATGTACAATGAACCATCACTAAGTCCAGTAGCCATGATCAATGCATTCACCTTAGCGATTATGGAATCTTGCGGACTACTGGTAGCAGGAAAATTTCCCATACAACGTATCTCTGCGTGCCGCTGACTCACTACAACTCCTAAGTCCAAGAGAATGCTGAGAGATCAAGTCCATGATCCCAGTCTCGACCTAGTGTGGTTGGAAACATGATCGACTCTGTCAAATTCATCCCTTCCTCGTCAACTGAGAAGAGATCGTCTCCCAAAGGAACCGGCAGGATCGGTAGGCTACCGAAGACGTCGTCTCTCGTGGTTTCCAAGCCTTGTTCAACCGATTCATGGCGATGGTGTGTGAGTGAGAGGTCTGAGTCTGCTGCCAAAGGCGTCGAACCTACATCAATCTCTGTGTAAAACGGCACGTGGGGTGTGTTGCCGCCAGAGTTCTGATTTTCAGGTGCTTGTACATGGGAATCTTGTGCCATCTCCTCTTCCTCAGAATCACCGCCGACATCCTGAAATGCCGAAGAAGATCGTCCAGAGTCAAAGAATGTACGAAATATAAGGGGATTGCTTTTGTTCTTTATGCAGCTAGGACATTCAGTGGTATCGCTGCAGAGGATCCCAGGCGAAGGGTCCGCCTCGAAGTCGGAGCTTGCAGGAGAACCACGCATGAGCTCTTTGACGGCGGCTTGTTGGACATCCGAAGAGCTCATCGCCTCGCCATGTAATAGAGTTTTGAGCTCTTCCCACTGAATCCCAACGGGTCAGTCTTCAATCTCGTTCGGTATAGGGTACACGCTTACCATGTCCTGCAACACTGGATAGTATATCTTCATCTCGGTAAGGAATATCAGGCATACAACGCCATTGGCATGCGCAACTGAGTTTTCCCTTTTGAAGTCTGCGTGCATCATATGCGCATGCACTGAACCTGCAACGAAGGCACAGTATCCGACAAAAGTTGGAACTTTGCCAAGGTCTGGAGATGTTGCCAGAAAATCCCTTGCTAAATCGGCAAAGGAATTTGCATAGCGAATAACGGAACTTCCGCATGTTTCGGAAAGGCTGGAGGACACATGCATAATGTCGTGGTTTCCAGAGAGCCTCGGTATCAATGAAGAGTATAAGTAGATAAGGCAAATGTAGTATATAGAATGTAATAGCATCGAATTCCTCTGGGACTTTTCCGAGTCAAGGCAGGAGGTCGACATGAGGATTCGGGATTTGAGGTGATGCGGAATCGTTTGGTACACATCATGAAGCTTGCACTCCCACTCAAATACGGACTGAATATATGACGGCGAAGTCCTCCTGTGAGGAGTGCGTACGAGTAGTCTTATCTCCCTCCTGTCCAGATCTCCTTAGTTCACAGACGTGGGCAGGCCTTAAAAATGACGTACCATATACCGAACAGCTTCAGAGTCAAAAAGGTGCTGTTCTGCATGCTCATATTTCCATGGCCCCAACTCATCCAATCGGTGGCACTAGGTGACAGATCTACAAGTTCAGGCCAAGTGGCTATTTCACTGTCCGAAGGCACGGGAGGAGCAGGGGCCAGATCGCTGATTTCCTGGTTATCATTGATCGCACCGTCCATGATACATGCCTTTATCCAAATCGCACAGCATATGCGATGCAAGTCTTCACTGACTTGAGGCTGTTCGAGCTGGGCTGTTTTCTTCTGGGCTTTGAAGATTTTTGATTTGTGCATAAGAACGCGGCACGATTCGCGCGAAATACCTGATATTGATCAGAATGTGAATCTTGACCCTGATGGGCCAGATTGCACATGGGCCCCTTGATTCGAGGGAAGATGGATACTCACTAGCGTGGATTGCAGACCGATCTAGTTCGCCCACAGCAAACCAGTAGATGGCGAGAATTTCGCATGCCCTGATCTTTGCGATGGAAGGCTTGTCCGCCCTGATGAGGACAGCCTGACTTGCTTGATCCGCCCAGGCCTTGCCCTGCTGACAGATACTTTCAGAATCTCCTAGGAGTACTGACCTCTGAAACAGAAAGCTTGCGCCTTTGCGAGCAAACCTATGCGCTTTCAGTTCACCACTACGGGTCGGAGGACACGGGAAGTTAACGTACAACGAACCAAAGGCACAGATGCTCAAGACGACGTAGTCGGGGACCTTGTGTGCCCGGTAATCTCTCGATAGAGTTGAATAATCAAAGAGTAAGGATGCAGTGAAGCAATGGCTAAAGTAGATCTCGATGAGATAGACTACCAATTCAGGTTCTGGATTTCGAGTCTTGATGGGATGTCTCAAAAGTGGACTGGCTAGTGTCGCAGGGCGGGTGTCGGGGGGCATCTCCTAAGACGAGATAAAGGTCAGGTCAGCAGCTATTGTAGGAAATATTCTCAGAATGTACGTAGCAGGCAATGTGCAAAATTGTTTTCGATTTGCTCACCTGAAATGACGGGTTCAAATATCGCGGTTCGACATTTCGTGGGCGCGCTCGACGTTGAGCAATGTGCTTACGGTCAGGAGGCTCTGGATACAAACAGACAGTTTGTCGCTGTGTACAACGGACGCAGGAGGGGCGTTCTCTGGAACATCTTATCTTCGGGCCACAAATTCAGTTGCACTCTGATACGCGTTGGCTTGGGATAGCGAACCTTTTGAGTCCGACATCGTACGCAAGCAGTTTCTGAAATATAGCTGCTTTTTTTGGAGGATTGGTCTTGGGATGCGCGCATCTTGCCAAGAAGCGTGTAAAGAAATGTTCTACGATCTGTGCATACAGAAAGGAAAGAAGGACAACGATGGATGCAGAACAGCGTCGACGTTGTCCAGGTGTAAGATGATGTCTGTAGAATCTGGAGATGGAATCTGGGGACTGGGGGCCCGAGGAAGTGAAACCCCCCCCGCACTTATGAATGGCATTCCAGCCGACGACGAGTTAACTGAGCACGCTCTTCCAGCCCGTTGCCACCCGCCGAACCCTCGTTTCCTCCCTAAGATCAATATACAGGTCGAGACGTTGGCATTTCAATAAACAGTGTCATCTTATCGTTCTTACTCGAGAAGGCAGTAATTAAGACCCTGAGCTCGCGCCATTATTTCAAAGGTAAACGATGTCCTTGAGGATGGGAAGTTTTTCCACCGGTGTGTCTGGACCCTGTGGCACCGTAGCATCAACCCAGTTCGCTCGGATTTGGATCGGCTTGGGTCTCACGTTCTGTCAACCACTTCACCCGCACCTCTCTAGCTAAGGATGACTCTCTAGGTTCTGTTTTCAAGGCACTTTTAGTTTTGTTTTTTGGTTGCCTTGCTGGAGAAATAACAGAATTGATTGAATCAAGCTATCTTTGAATTGCTCACGGAGACTACACTTTGCCTATTTAGTATTGAATAGGGTCTGATGTAAACCCTTCTAGTGTTGATCCCCCACAAAAGAAACACAGTTGACATGCATAGGGAAGGCATCCCTCCTTGTGGCGTTGACAAGGATAGAATAATCTGATAACATGGTCGAACTTGGGTGCACTTGAGTTGCATTCAATGACCCTCGTCATTTGTCAGCAGGAGAAAGAGAATCAAAAATAGTACTTCGGAGAGATCGCCGCGTTACCAGGTCAAAAAAACCAGAGACCCAAGTAAAGGCTCCAGTCATCGGTCCAGCAACACGTCCGTCTACTGAGCGTCAACTCCTCGAGCTTGACGAAGGCCGAGGGGCTCCACAACTCAACGGGCCGTGTCATGTGACTCGATTCCAGCAGTTGACATATACTGTCATCAGGCCTTGGATTCGGTACGGAGCCAGACTACCAAGAGCGACAGCGTGAGAAGAATTCAGAATGCCTGACAAGTCAAAGTTCCGCATAGTGGTGCCTGACGGCGAACTGCTGACATACCTATTGCCGCCAGAAGACCATGGCGACGGTGATCAAAGGTTATGGATCGACGCCGAGGACACAAGCCGTTACATTACTCGACTGGGTACACTCCAATGGGTAAAGTCATTATCAGTGGCGTTTCAGAGAATGGGCGTCAGGGTGGGTGATGTGGTATTGATGTTCAGCCCAAATCACATCTATGTCCCGCCAGCGTACATTGGAACCGTTGCACATGGAGCTGTATTCACGGCTGCCAGTCCAGCCTCTACAACTCGCGGTACGTTGAAAGAAAGCTCATCGTACCACTCAACTGATGGTTCTTCCAGAAGTCACTATGCAGCTTCAACAAACAAAGGCTAAGGCAATCTTGGTTCACCCAAGTCTGGCTAAAACTGCTATTTCGGCAGCCAATGCCGCCGGATTGCCTCTGGATCGGCTGCACCTATTCTCAGATCGTCCATCAAAGCCTGTCGCCGGTCTTGAGGATCTGTGGTCTATTTTGGGATGCCCTTCGGAGATAGAAAATTGGAGAGCGCCGGAGGTTAACAGGGATCAACGCCAAAGACAAGTTTGCGTGATAAATTTTTCATCCGGGTAAGCTCGCACCCTCTATGATGCTTGATTGGTACTGGCTGAGCGACAAATCTTTCAGAACGACAGGGATGCCCAAGGGCGTTTGCATTTCACAAGCCAACCTCATTGCAAACTCGGAACAGAGTATTTATGTACGAAGCCTCGAGAAAAACGTTGATGCTCCTGATCAATTATCCGATAGATGGCTTGGATTTCTCCCTCTATACCATGCGTTTGGCCAAGTCTTTTCCATCGTGCTCTCCTGTAGGCTGGGAATCCCCGTCTATGTTATGAAGAAGTTTCGTTATGAGAGTTTTCTCCAGCACATACAAAACCACTCTATCACCGGTTTTACCACAGCACCTCCAGTTCTCGTCATGTTGAATAAGCGCCCAGAAACGGCATCTTACGATCTGAGTAGCTTGAAGGAGATTGTTTGTGGAGCCGCGCCGCTGTCGAAGGAGCTTCAAACCAGTCTTTCTCGGAGACTCAATGTCCGTATCAGGCAAACATATGGTGGCACGGAATTGACCTGTTCATCGACAGGGGTACCGGGTGGCATGGATGATATAACCGGCAGTGTGGGCGTGCTGTACCCGAATATGGAGTGTAAGCTTCTGGACAAGGCTGGCCATGAAGTAGGGACTGGAATACCTGGGGAGGCTTACATGAAAGGACCCAACGTATGCCTTGGATACTGGCAAAATGAACAAGCCACTCGTGATGCCATCGACCGGGACGGCTTTTACCGAACTGGGGATATTCTCGTGAAGGACGAAAGAGGGATGTATTATGTCCTGGACAGGATCAAAGAGATGATCAAAGTCAATGGGCTCCAGGTGGTTCCAGCCGAACTTGAAGCGGTCCTTTTGCAAAATCATGATGTTGCCGACGCTGCTGTGGTTGGCGTTCCCTGGTAAGATTTTACAAAGTTCTCCAAAGGTACCATGACAACTAACCTTGCTGAGCAGGAGTCAAGAGGAGCGTCCGCGTGCCTATGTGGTCTTGAAACCGCACGCAAAGGGTAAGATCTCAAGCGTCAACTTGAGAGATTGGGTTGCGAAGCGTGTAGCAAAGCACAAACGACTTGAGGGTGGCATAATTTTCGTCGATGCTATACCCAAAAGTCCGACCGGAAAGATTCAAAGAAACCTCGTTCGAAACTGGTCTCGATTATGACTCTCCGGTGGCCTCAAGAGTCGCTTTTAGATTGCTGTTTAAGAGTAGGATCGCTACAGCTCATGGCTGACACATTTCATTGCATCCACGTTTTTGCCGACTAGAAATCTGACCAAAAACGAATCCGAACAAGCTGAAATAAGATAACTATCTCTTCACATATTTTATCAATTCGACTTTGATGTGAATATGTCCCTGGACTGGGGCAATTTAAAAGTAGACGTGCATCTCAGAACCAAGCTATGTCCCATGCAGTCTGAATCGGCTTCCCTGATATTGGGAAAGAGTGCGAAAATGCTATACCTAGCCTGCTCAACTATATCGTTCCAGACGCCTATGACGATCGTCCTCCGAGCCGCCACATTCTAGGGTGATTAACGTTATGTTCTAGTCACCAACACTGAGCAGGGCGGATTAGAGAAGTGAGAGGACCGAAGCCCGCCTGCGTGCCGTCTCTAGCTCGGAACCATCCTTCGATAGTCAGGCGGTCCCCATCCTCCAGCCATGACATCGGTTTGCCCCCTACCTCTGGAAGAGTGTTTCCCAGAGCAAAGACTTCTGTCAAACACCCATTCGTCGCTGGGCCGCGATATTGAGCTCTCGAGTCGTGCTGCTGATAAATCTGTTAATGATTTACACTCAAGTAAGACTTATTTTTTACGAACAGGAGAAGAAATTGTCCCTGTTGAGATCAGGTCGCCGGTTTTCAGACCGCAACCGTTGAGTGAATGATATGCCAGCATCTGGGTCAGACTCCAGTACTCATCCTTATGGTTGGATCTGGTGATCTCTACACCGAGCCCACCATTGCCTAGCGACCAATCAGCCAAAAGATCACTGAATAAATATGAAAACCTACGCGAAACTGTAGCGGGAAGATCCACATCAAACATCCCTGTGTTCTTATCGTCACAGCGCAACATGGGGTGAATTTCGGTCAAGTTGGATGGTGGTGGGGGCGCCACACAAGCCTGTAAGGCGTCCAAGGTTACCACCCACGGCGAGATGCTCGTCGAGAACGATTTTGAGTGGAAAACGCCTAAAGGGGCCATCTCAAATTTCTGGTGATCACGAGCCGACCAGTCATTGTGAAGTACAAGCCCAAAAATATGATCAGATGCCTCTTGAGCTGTGATCGTCTCACCTTTCTCCACTGGCTTCCCGACAAACATACCGATGCCTATCTCAAAATCAAGTTGACGTGAGGGCTGGAGAATGACTTTGCCCGTGATAGGGTCAGGGAACAAACCGCTGGGTCGTATAATGTCATTGCCTGATACTTCAACCCCACCCGTTCGCCCGTTGTAAGCCATGGGGTAGTGAAACCATGACTGTGGCATTGGGAAGCCAAATGGTCCTAGAGTCTTCCATTACATTAGGCATTTCTCCCGTTGTAAATGTTGTTCTTGAAGCTCACATTGTTTGCATGGATGAGGGAGCCAAACGAGTCAGAATAGTCTGTTATGGCCATCGGAACATGCATTGTCACGTGATCTTTGAGGATGAATGCCTTGTTGTTAAGCTCGGCATTTTGGAAGAGCATCGATTCACTCTGACTGAGCAGATCGATTATTAATAGTCTCACCCTTGCTCGGTCTGCTGCCGGGAGCGCGGCAAAGCTGTTAAGATTTGGCTTTCGTCCACCAGTTTAGCGTGCACATTGAATAACAGCGGGAAACAGACTGGCTTACTCCTGAGAAGACATTCACTGAAGATCTCGAGATGCCAACGGCCTCGAAGCCTCCATATTGTGCCAAAGTATGAAGATCAAGAACAAAGTCCCCGATAGCGCTACCTGCTCTAAGCGTGCTCTACCTCTTTATTAGTTCCTTGATACGCACAAAGGAGACTAACCATCTCACCTCCTGATCTTGGGTGTCCTCTAAACTGAAGATTCCAAAAGGTATATTTTGAAGGGTGAATGGACATCTTTCGGGAACAGTGATAGGATAGCGGACGCCCATCGTGAATTGGTCTTAAGACTGTGTAGTGGACAATAGAAGGCATCCCTTGCAAACATCGATGTATTTACTGCTCGGCGGGCTTTATTGCGCTGACGATGGATCTCGGACGTGCCCAGTTTCAGCGGCCCGATGGAGTCGGGCGTCGGGCCGTTGGAAATTGATGTTCGTGGTGAGCATAGTCTTCACTATAACTACAAAGCCTCGTATGCCTTCATCTATACGTGTGGTTCACACCTTGTTCTACTTCCCAGACTTGATCAAACTAGCAGCATGTCTTACAAGCAGAACTCACCACTGCCCGACCCAACCTCAGAGAGTGGTTTTGTCAAAGTGACGGCATTTTCGACCTGTCAATTCCAATGTCCAGCTTCTTTTGCTATAGAAGGTCTCCCAGGTACCCTGTTTTCAGACTCGTATAGATTTCTGATTCAACACGAAGCAACCAAGACAACCCTATGGTTCGACTTTGGTGTATCATCAGTACGTGCTTCTTGCATTCGATAAGGTACTACTGCTAATGAATGATCGTGATAGGAGCCCTCGATTTATCCTCCTCATATCCAGAGTGCGCAACAAAAAATCTACAACCTCATTCCTGGGAAAAACACGCCTGCCGATGATGCAAAGTCTGTTGGTGTTGACCCTACGGATGTCAAGTACATTGTTGCCAGGTATGTAAAGTTTCTCCTCCGGGATGTCGATGACCACTGACGGCAAGTGCCACCACAGCCACGCCCACTGGGACCATATATTTCCTGGCGGGAAATACCATCCCAATGCGACTATACTGTGTGGGCGGGGCACGCTGGACTGGGCCTCGTCAATGTGGCCTCAAGTGAAAGATAGTACGTTCGACGCCCACGTCTGGGATCCAAAACTGCGGGACCTACCGGTGGAAGAGCTTAAGTCGCCTCAAGAAGCGCCTGAAGAATATCAGCAAGTTGGACCTTTTAAAAACTGCCGTGATTTCTTTGGAGACGGCAGCTTTTGGATAGTGGATGCTCCAGGGCACTGCCCCGGAAATCTCGCAGGCCTGGCAAGAGTAAAGGATAAGACCGGGAAGACTAAATGGGTCTTTTTCGGCGGAGATTGTTTTCATTGTCACCACTTTGTCCACCACCCGGAAGCTCCGTTTGGCAAAGGGGTGAAGGTCACCCCAAACGATACCTTTCACGATGACCACGAAAAGGCCAGAGAAATCATCCGCCAGGTGGCCGATCTGAAAAAGGGTGAAGGCGAAGATGCCCTCATCTGGATCGCGCATGTGGACACTCTGGAAGGTGTTTGGACCATGCAGTAGACATAAAATAGTGAGATGGTTGTAAAATGGTTATGAAGTCTGATCTTCACGCCAATGGAGCTCCGAAAAGCCCCCTCACCCCTTCATGAGTGGATTTATATCAATCTTTGAGGAATGTAAATGACATTTAAGATCATTTTGGGCGTGATATTATCCCTTTGTAGTGGGTGGCATAGAGATGGCTTCTTGAAGACGTCGATGCGTATCCCAGACACTCCAGCGTAACCAGCGGTGGTAATTTAAACGTTGGCGGTTGAGTACTGCCCGATGTCATATTCTGACGATGTTCGTCCGCAGAGTCCGGCACCTGGCCGATAGATAACTCTGTCCACTTAGTATGCCGTCTCATTTGTTGACTCAGTCCTACCATCGCTGATATGAGCCGAGTATTCGTCCGTGATTCGAGCAAAGCAAGTCACGACTGGTTGGAAACGAACGAGTTGTTGTAACTAAAGCTATTTACCAAGTCAAGGATGCCGTCCAACGGGCGAGAATCTGACCTTCATAAAAGAACAGATGGGCAATCAGTTCAAATTCAGTCTCCGCATCTCGACTTATGCTTGATTCAAGGTAACCGTCTGCGGTTGAGTCCAATCCCAGTAGATTTACCTAGGTACTATTTATTCTCGGGGCGCTTCTCTGCGTAGGTAACATCCTCCTCTGTGTGCTTACCGATCGCTTCCTTCCGCGAGTGAACAGCAGTGTGGTTTGTGAAATAGGGAGACGGGTCCACGACGAAGAACGAAATCAAGCAAGCGATCACCCCGAAGGGGATAGAAGCGAGCCAGACATAAGAGAAGGCGTCACTATATCCCCAGCGAAGACCCTCTGCTCCCAGTTGAACCACATCTGATGGGAACTCGGCTAGTTGTGCCGGGTTCCTGGATCCTAATGCTTGGATCAGCGCCGGTACCTGCGTAGTATCAAAATCCAGTGAACTGATCGCGTCAGTGACCCTGTTTGGGACGTCGACTGCCACTCTGTTTCTAAGAATCGTGTTGAAGATCGTAGACCCCACCGCGCCACCCAGGAACCTGAAAGATCCAACCAGGCCATAAGCCAAGCCCAAATCGCGTTGTGCGACGTGCAAACCTGCGGTCAGGTAGCAAATAAGCGTGAGCCAGCCAAAAGGGGTGCCCGCAATTAGTTGGAATACCAAGCCCATAGGAATTCGATCCGGAGTAATCAAAGCAAGAAGGCCACAAAATATGGTTTGGACTGCGTTGCCCACGAATAGCTGTAGAGGAATTCGCTTCATCTTATGAACATAAGCGCCCAGAATTACGCCACCAACGACACCAGCAAAGCCATTGGGGATGTTGTAGAGACCAGCCTTGATAGGATCCGTTGTAAAAGTGTAACTGATCTCCTGTGGGACATAGACACCTAGGGTGATGTGCGCAAGACCCGTTGTAAAAACCACCATCAGTAACAACAGAAACTCGCGATACATCTTGAAGAGCCGTGATGGAAATAATGGTCTTGCTGGGCGACCACTGAACCCCCATAGAAAGCTGCAAGAGAAGAGTACTACACCGATGACGAGAGGTGTAATTACCGCGGCGCTGCTCCAGGTATATCGAGTACCGGCCCAGCCAAAAGCGAGCAATATCAGTGTGACGCCAACGGTATACAAGAATATACCAAGGTAGTCCAGCTCCTTGAAAATTTGTGTTTTTGAGCGATCTGCGAAAACTCGATGTGGCGGCTTGTAGAAGATGGCGCAGCCGGTGGTGGCAATGATGGCGCAGATTTCGCCAATGATGAATATCCATCGCCATCCTAAGGCCGTGTTTTGAACCAAAGCACGCGCACACAATGGACCGAATGTGCTCGTGAGAAGGAGCTGTAATTCGCAGGAAGCAAGGCCGTACGGACGGTACTTGTTGGGGAGCAATTCAGATATGCTCGCAAATCCCCTTGAATACGATCAGTCACGACATGGGCATGTGAAATTGATTGAACTCACACGAAGGCCGTTCCTGTTCCAGCCCCAAGAATGGCCATGGCAGCAAACATTTGATTAATGCCTTGAGCTGAGGCTCCGATAAGGTGTCCGAGGATCAAGAGTGCCTGAGCGGCTCTAATGATATCATTTCTCCCAAAAAAGTCGCTGAGCTGCCCGGCCACGGCGAAAGAGATGCTGCCAGCAAGAGACCACCCGGCACTCATCCAGTTGACGTTGGCGACTGACTGTTGAGCCCATATTAGCTTAAGTCGGTCAAGGGTCAAGGTAGTGTCTCAAAGCGTGAGGAAAGACTGTCAAAACAGAACTTGGGCAACTTACGCCTTGCAACTCGACTGCGATCGAGACGGAAACTGGTATCGCACTAAACAGAGTGCAACTGAGCGAAGCATGAAATAAAAAGCCAAGAAAGAACACTGCCGCCCAGGTGTCGGGTGTGACTTTAACAGCGGCATTCGCATTTTCAAGAGCGGCTCGGTGAGGGTCTCCATGGTCATCATGAATATGAGAGTCCAGCACCTCCTCACCAACCCTGCCCTTGGGTTGGATCGTATCGATGGCGGAGGAGTTTTCCACCTGCTCGTCCTCAACTTTTGTGGTGGCCATGCTTTGGCGAAGGGATATTGTTTTCGGTACGCACTCTGAGCTCTATAATCTAGAGAGCACAACGATAGAAGTAGGTTGATGATCTTTGACAAAACCTCGATGAGAAATTTCCGACCATGTCTAATAGACAATTTATAGGAGGCGGGTAAAGATATAATAATTTTTGGCCCTGTACCATCGCATAGCTGCATACTCATATTTTGCGGGGCCAAGTCTTCCAATGCCCAAGCACTTTTCGGTCTGGGGTAGTGCACTTTTCGGTCTGGGGTAGTGCACTTTTCGGTCTGGGGTATTGAAGCATTGATACAAAAGGTACTACTCCGTAGTCATGAAATCTCGGCCCGGTTGGTCGGAGGGATCGGTGGTGGAGTCAACATCTCAAAGTACCCCGCCAATGGGATCGAACGGGCCAGCCAGCTTGTGTCCGGGGTGTAGTAGCCACTACTCTTAGGTGAGCCTGAAACCGAGAGAGTCAGTCAAGAGGTGGTGGATACAGGATGCGGAAGTCCCTGTTCTCGGGAGGGACAGCACTATGCAAATACGTACTGGAGAAGGAAGACGCCGGGGTTCGCCGTTTGGATATTTTCAGCCTTTCACGCAAGACGCCATGACAATCGAATATGCCATGTTTTAAGCTCCTAGCCAAGAACTGCGACTTGAGAAGCAGCTACATGAGCCCAAGAAGTTGCTGCGTGGATCTTTCCACAGATTAACATTAGGTGAAACCCTGGTCAATGAGGAGCTCAAGGTATTCCCCCGGGGAAGTTTCAGACGGTTCGATTGTCTGCTCTTTTACTTGGGTGAGACCGTCAACTAATATCTCTGTCGTATTTATCGACATTGGCACAGCCCGCAACGACGAACATGCCTTCAAAGGCCTCGAAAGCATCCACATAGATCAGCGTCAGACAGTGTTCACCTCTACGACACCAACGCGGACGAAGAATTGCCACAACACATCACTTATCACTACCCCTCAAGTGTCACATATTCCGACGACCTAGAGCTACTAGACTATAGTCGCCGTACCTAAAAATATTCATCTACTTTAGCGTACGGAGCTTTCAAAGAACCCTTTCTATTGATGTGGTGTGGATCGTACATAGTGGACAGCTAGCAGTGTGAGTTGAGTGCCCAGATTGGAGACGGGAACGCTCCCACGAATTGGTATCTTTGCGCCAGGGTCACCTGAATGGAGACAATCCGGGGAGTTAACCTTCTTTGAAGAAGTGGGCTCCCCAGCTCCGTCGACTCGGGTGTGGTTGAACGTATTCTATTCTCTTTTCTGGTATATACGGAATTCTCAGGTGATGGCGACGCACTGGAGAACAGCTAGAGAATCTTGCCCCTTTCCACACTTCAAGCATGGTCTGATCAACGTTCTCGAACCTGCTCAATGCACTCTTCAGTTCCGGCTTGAGACTGGTCCTTCGCTGGTATGTCAGCGTGGCGGACATGCGCAGGTCTCTCGTTAGCCCCAGCGGAATCGTGCATCGATGGTTTGGCAAATATTTGATCAATATCTTCCAACGACTTCCCGCCAGTTTCGGGGCACATAGAGTATACGAAAGGCACAGCTGCCGCGCAAGAGAAGAGAAACCATAGCATGTGAGCACGAAAGCAAGTACACTTCATTACCGCTGTCACTGCAGCAGCTGTATCATCTCATCATAATCCTTCGCAACCCAGACAGATATCGTCGGTCGCGTTCATGTCCAAGGTCCTGAGGGTGCGCCCCACGACGAAAAGTTGTTCATTTAAAGGGTGTAAATAAAGTCGGGTCTCTTGTCGCCGGCAACCCAGATCTGGTCGACAGTCTTGCCCTCGAACATGTTGTCTCGCTGTCCGGAGAGTCTCTTTGAATTTTCTCTTCTCAAAAGGAAATGCATGAGAACGCTGCCGCCGAGGAGGAGGATGCTGAGGGCGGCGAGGACGACTCCGTGGCCGATGTAAAAGTGGGGGGCGTCTTGCTTAAGGTAGATATTGGAAGAAACGATGCCGTTCAAGTTGCCCCATCCAACGACGATGCCGATCACGACGCCTCGCTTATAGACGCCGTCGGTGTTGTTGGCGACCCAGGCGAGCGTGTTAGGGATACAAGGATAGATTCCCATGGCGCCGAGGAACGTACCGGCATATTGAACCTGAGGATTTTGAGAGCCGATAAGCATGCAGAAACCGATTATGCCAAGTGACGAAATAGCCCAATTGAAATAACCTCGCAAGCGCGCTCGATCAGCTGTCCAGCCGACAAGGATGGTCAAAACAGCAGCGCAGGCATATGGGGGAACGGAGAGAAGTTGAGCGTGGGTTCCAGTATAGCCCATACCTCGCAAAATAGTTGGCAGGAACAGGGAGAACGCGTAAAGCGGTATCAGACAGCCCTGGTAGATTAGGGCAAAAAGATATGTCTTCCAGTCCTTCAGAGCGGCGTAGATATGGCGCTTGTCGTACTCTTCGTTAGTCGAAGCTTGCTTGTCTTCTGCCAATCGTCGGCGAATTCGAATCCTATCCTCAGGGGTGAGGAATCTAGCGGTGTCGGGCCAATCAAAGACCATCCACCAGCAGAAGATGCCAACAAAGACGGTAGCGATACCCTCGATAATGAAGATCCAGGCCCAACCAGGTTTCCCACCAATGCCATCCATAGTGGCAATCGCCGCAGCGAGAAGGCCACCGAATGAGCCAGCAAGAGCGGCGGCGGAGAAGAAAGCAGCAGCTCGAATACCAAATTCACTGCGCTTGTACCAGCAGCTGAGGTAGTAGTTGACTCCTGGGAAGAGTCCGGCCTCGGCGAGGCCCAAAAAGAATCGGCAGGCTAAAAGACCGGCGTAGCTGGTGACCAACCCCATGAGCGTCATGATCACTCCCCACGAAAGGATAATTCCAGTGAAAAAGTAACGGGGAGTAAGTCTCTTGAGGAGCACATTGGTGATGGGTTCAGCAATAGCATAGCTAATCTATTTGATCAGGTTAGAAAAGGTATGGCGAAGAGTTTTAAGGGGAGTCTCACGAAGAAGATAGTCAAGGAATTGTTATAATCATGGCCACCCATGTTCAGATCAGTCTCCAAGCCTGCCAGGCGTGCGTTGCCAATGTTTGTTCGATCAAGGAAAGACAAGAGATACCTAGAGGCAGGGGTTATTAGCCAATGCAATAGACGAGGAGGATATTTCGTAAAAGAGGCTTGAGTTGCTGTTTGGCAAGGTGAACTCACAAAAGACAAAGCCATGGAATCAACCAGAGATCGACTTTCCACATCAACTTGCGATCCTTGCTGCGAGTTAGTCTCTATACCACGACGAAGGTTGTATATCATGGCTTACAATGGCGGCTCTTTCTTCTGGAGTCTTGCCAGCATCGATATCTGGCAAATCGGCCAGTTCAGCCGAGTGCTCGATGCGGACGGCGTCTCCCTTTTCTGGGGACTTGCCCTCTTCGAGGGATGAGGTCGATCGTGCATCCGCCATTGTTGATCAAGTAAAGTGAATGATAGATCGAGATGTCAGGAAACAAAAAGAAGGCCGCGATGGCGAGGTTTGGACTTGTCTGTTTCCCTACGATTCATCTTTACACCGGGGGACAGGACGCTCTTTATAGACTCTATCACTCATGTGGGATGACTGAAGATGCTCAGAGCATTCCGAAAGCATTCGTGAGGGTAGCAGCATTGTAAGTCCGATACCAGTCCCCGCCACTGTCCCTTAGGCATTTTTCGGCTATGGTGGCCCATGTTGGGGCTTATGGGGTGTGGAGTCCTGGAGAAGACATGGTGCGGTTTAGGGGAACCTAACCACACCACTCATCAAACACGGGCTGCTTCGTTGGCCGTGCCACCTCACATGTTACGGTCGAGACCGGCAATAGAGCTCGGATAGGCTGTTGAAGGGCAAGCCAGAGGAATCTCGGGTGCGGCTCGCAGTTTGGGGTCCACGCCACTGGGCCTTCGCGCCTCGAGATGGGTTCGAGAAGGCCTGAGAAGAGTGGATTGAGAGGAGCGAGAAGCGTGGAGGGAAGTGGATTGGTTCAAGGCGTCGCCTAGTTGTGCTTGTGCCGCTTGTGCGGGCCAAGAGGCTTGCGGAAAAGCTCGTGTCGAGTCTAGGCAAGAGCTTCTAGCGGCTTGCTCTTGCCTTCTGGAAACCCTTAGATGGCACCCTGATTGGTCAGATGGTCTTGGCACTAACTTATCTCCGGCCTTCCCGTCAACGGCCAAAACTCGTGATTACAATATGAGTGAAAGTCGAGTGGTGTGATTGTTGTACAGACCACTTTCTGGCTCTGTAAGCACGCCCACATGATGATCCAAAAATTGCAACTTTTCCCCAGGGCAGTTCTCCTCGATTGTGCAGACACTAACATGGACAGTGCTACCTTCTTCCCCCGTGGGACATCCCCCGCCTGCAACATCCGCATTTGATAGGCAGCGAGCCTCCCTCGAGTATATTCGACAGAGCGGCAGCCCATAAACGAAAGGCGCCAGTGGCGTGGAGAAGATTATGCATAGGCTTGACTGCTCATGCAAGATTGGACAAAAGACACTATTTATTTAACCTTTTCACAGTCGGATTGTCTTAGTCCGAAACAGAACGTGCACTATGAAAATCCGCTGTTGCTATGGTTCGGTTGCATTCCTCGACTTGAGTTGAGAAACGTCAAATGATCAAGAGGTGGTCTTACCAACATGCCCATCGCCTAAACTATACATTCCATGATCTGTTCAACAGAATCTGGACGGATTGGCATGAGCGGCTGGCCCCACCAGTCTGGGGTCTCACCGTTTCCACGATCTGTGGAAAGCTGTGTCTGAGTTTCACGCAACGGATGAAACCTACCCCGGGAATTTGAGATCCAGCAGACGATTAAGTTCAACAGCTCCCGCAAAGCCCACAAGTGAGTCTCACAACCCCCACTACTTGACGTGCGAGATGTTCAAGATCACGCCGTTTTCATTCCAGCCTCGTATTCGTGTCATCTGGCTACAAGACCTCCTTGACAAGGGTTCATCAAAGTCTGGCTTGGGGTACCACTTTTGATTCTAGCACGTCAAACAACCGCGAAGCGTGAGTGCAGAGCAGTCTTCAGTCTTCGCGCATATGAGACACGTGACTCATGTTTGTTTGCTATCGATTTCGTCTGGGCCTCACCCAGTTTAATCTCGAGTCCATAACAACAACCCCCAGGTTCCGGGGGAAAACATCAATCTCCCGTGGGTTCCTTTCTGCGACTACTGATGCGCCGCGGCCATTCCCGCATAGATTTGAACCAGTCTGAGATCGCTTCTCCGAGGCCGCAGGAAGTGTCTGAAGCCACACTAGGCCGCCGAGGTGATCTGCATTTCAAAAAGTCCAAGCATTCCGACCAACTAGTGACCGTATAGATGATGGCATTTCCAAATCCGTGAAATGGAATACAGATGGATGAAGCCAGATACAGGCTATAGATCTGCTGGTTTGGGGGAGCAATAAAGGTATTGTACACTCGATTGACACTGATGGGGACCCAGGTAATGAGAAGGACGATCGTATACAGGAAAGCAAACTGAGCATACTTCCAGTGAGCCGCGTCGAACCGAGATGGGGTTTTGCGTAGAGCGGTCTGACTAGTGGTGGAGTGAGTCCGCTCCCGCCGAATATTAGCTGCGAACTGGTAAGATGGAGAGCGCGCGAGCTGCGCCTCGATTGAATGTGACGGCGCCAGTTCCTGAAGGTCATTTGAATGGAGGTCTTGGGAATAATTAGGCTCCGAGAACGCAACTTGGGCCGGCCGGCTGTCTTGGTCCGACGAACTCGTCGATTCGGGGATGCCGTCTGCGCGGCACCAGTCTGGCTCGGGGTCGGGGCGACCGGAAGATTGATGAAGAGGGTTTTTGGTTTTGACGGCGTTCAAACGCCGACGTACAAGGATAATGCTTTTCCCGCTCAGCGCAAACAAACTCAACGAAGTCAAAATAGAAATCCTGTATATGGTCAGACGGGGAAGATGTGATGCGAGACGAAGGCGAGTTACCAGATTGGAACATAAAATGCTACCAGCCGTAAAAGACCGGATTCCTTAGAAATCCAACACCATGAGGTGGCGTCGCCGTACACAGTCCTGCCGTGCGGACGCCAAAGTAAAAAGGTCAAAGCGGAGGGAAAAGGCAGGGCAAAGGCGAGACCAATGCCAATAACGTCGGTTTTTTTCAATTCCTTCAGACTTCGTTTATGATGCACTGTCCAATACACATTGAGTGCCATGACCATAACCTTGAGCAAGGTGTTAGCTTCCCAGCGACTGAGTCACGGCGACGGCGAGGCGAGGGGTTTTACCAAGAGCGGGTCTGACATGACAAACCAGGTGATCATGAAGCCTTGGGTTTGGCAAATGGCGGTATTTCGACCAGCGTCGACGGGATATCGACCCCAAGAATAGGCCAGACAAGCCATGGTGTTTGAGACCGAGATGCAAAAACTGAAACGATTGACGGGCTTGCGCAGTGGTCGGTAAAAAACGAAGCTGATCATAGTCCATAAGGACCCTGCCAGAGACAAACATGACGAAACTCTAGCAGCGACATCGAGTCGATGTAGGTCGCCAGGACTAAACGTCGTCATCACATTGTGTGCCCGGGAACGCGCGGAGTGAAAGAAGGACCAGACTGAGTGAAGCCAGGCTGACGATGCCGGGGTTTGACTTTTTCAAATCCGATTTTGGAGCTACTGGCAATGCGACAGAGCCGCACCAAACAGATGACAAGTAGCGGTGTTGGTGACCTGTCAGTGTAGCAACTATAGGGAGAGGGAAGTCGTGTCTGTCGATGGGTGAGGAATGGGTAGAAAAGAGATTTTAGAGGTTGTCGTGTGTCATGGCAGGAAAGTTGGGCAACACCTGAAGTCGGGCTTGTGATTTCTTGGGAGCAGCGAGCGCAGACGTAAACGCAGGCGAAAGGGACGGTTTTGGCGGGGGACACAAGCGATCAAGCAGGGCTGCGACCCGGGGGGATCCCCAAGTGCTGAGGAAGCAAAGGACAAGAGCCACTCCTGGCTGTCCCAGGTTCTGGGCACCAGGTCGAATTGGTGGGATGAAGGTCTGGACCCCGCAAACGTCTGGCTTGACTGAGAATCATGGACGAATAAGGATGGGGCCCCAGAGAACAATGAGGATTAGGCCCATGAAGGCCCTCGGCCCCCTCGGCCCACCAGGCCCCAGCTTATGGAAAGGACCATCACGGAGGCACGGAGGTTGACGGTGCGGGAGGATGCCTAGGCATGCCAGGGCTTCCTAATGTAGGAGGAAAGCCGAGATGGGCCTCAAAAACCCTCCAAATGTCTCAGTGGTCATGCGCGTGGATGGCATGCTTTCTTGCTTAGAGCCTTGCTGGTCAAAACCCCTCGTTTAAACTCTCCCCAATGCTTTGGGCCTCGGACATAAGGGTCATCACGTGAAGGCGAAAGTGAAAGCGGGCGATCAGGTTTTATTATAATTAATCGACATGTGTTTATTTCAAACGTTTGCAGGATCAGTTTTGATGATTTTTTACGTCTGTTGATACATTTGAATTAATTCTCAACGGAAGATAGTGCTTGATAAAGCACTGTTGAGTGAGTAATTTTATGCACAGCACGGAGGCACTGGCTTGGATTGGTGCTTTGCCCATGAGACGATCTTGGATTATATCGCCACTGGATGCAACTCAACTTTGGAACAGGATTTTGCGATATCTCCGTACTCATAGCCATTCAAATTGAACAATTGAGGAACGCCGTGCCACCAATCGCAGGCTGCAAAGGAATCATGTATTAGTGAAGGGTCAGCCATGGAAATTCCGGAAACTTACCTAGCCAGCCACCAACGCTCCCGTTGAACTGCAATCCAGATGAGTTGAAAAAGAATCCTTGCCCAGATGAAGGGAGGGCAGCGATGCTGATGGTGACGAGATTCCATTCTGTAGCCAAATTGTCAGTGTCCCATTCTTACAGAACAAATGTAGGAATAGGTACATACGTTGATACGGCCCATAACCGACAGCCAGCGGCCAAGGACCAATCTGGTTGTTCTCATAAGTGAAGAGTTGCTGGGTGTCATTCAGGTAACCCTCCATTGCCCATGACCGGTTCGACGACAAGCCAGCATCGCCAAGTCCGGCACCAGTGTGATGCGAATAGAGCCAGAGAGAAGATTTGTTGCTGCCAAAGTCTTCATGGTCTCCATTCACCACAGTAGTCTCTAAGTAATATCTCGCAGGAGGATCGATGGTCTGCCGGCTCTCAAGTATGGGCGATGCACTGACGGCAGCTGTGGTGAGGAGGAGAGAGAGACTGGTGATGAATGAGAAATGCATCGTGGTGACAAAAAGGCCTGCGAGGCCAAGATTTGCAATAAAGGCTGGACGTTTTTGAGCTTTGGGCAGAAATTACTAGAGGAAGCAGAGGACGAGGATAGGTGGAAGGAACAACGTGTAGGCAGAACGTTGGATGCGGGGCAGAATTCAAACGATGAAAAGTTCAGCCAGAGGAAGGTAGGAATGCAGATGGGAGAGCAACGGGAAAGAGGTTGGTATTAAGAAGAGTCCAGTGGTGTACCTACAAACAGACACTGGGAAGGTGAAGACAGATAGACAGAGCTGCAGGAAGGGCGACCTGAATCATCCTTCCATTTTGTAGAGCCCATCACTGGCGGGGTGGCAACGACGAGGTGGGTATATGAGTAGAAAAGAAGCAGATCGGCTGTGCGGCTCAAGGCTCTACGGAGGTCTAAAGCCTGCAAGCATAAGCACAGACCAATCGGTAGCATCATCTGACGGCGGGAAGCTGCAGCAGAGATCAGCTCAATGACGAGTAGGGTGACCTTCTTCGAGACACGATTAGCTCACATCTGCATAGCTGCAGATATCTTCTGCACGTCGTTCAGTTCAAAGTGGTCCCCAGGTCCAGTGTGCCTGGAGATCCTGATGCCATCACGAGCAACAAACCCAACATGTGAAGGTCGGAAGCAAGGGATCGGGGGGACCATCGCACGGGCGACGATTGACGCTGGAGGGCGTTCCCCAGATGCGTCATAGTGGCCTCCAGCTCGTGTTCCTGAGGGGCGAAGGGGAGCAAATATCACGATCAGCTGTCCACGTTGGATCGAATGATGCTTTGGAGGCGGAGTGAATCTCGATGGCCTGTGCCATTCTACCATTCCCATAGTCTCCCGACTGCATAGAACTGGGGTTTTGAACGATGAACGGGTACAGCTTGACACGATAGTGACATGGAATTATTGAGTCAAACTTGTCTTCAAAAAGTCTGTTGTGTGGTTCTAATAATAGGTACCTAGAGGGGCCGAGGGGCCGCTGTTTAAGGTACCCATGAGGATCCAAGGCACAAAAGGTACCTACGGAGTAGGCACCCAGCTAAGGTACCTACATAGGTAGGTACCAGTGCTACCTAGCAGTAATAATAATTGTCTCTGAGCAGTTCTTGTGGGGGTTCATTGGGGTACAATAATAATAGGTACAGTGTCTGAGGCTCAGGCGACTTTTTTCGCACCTCTCCCAATTTAGGTACCCAAGCACCTAGCTACCATGACAGTCAAAGGTTGCATCATCGTCAACACATCATTTTCCCACCACTTCCGTGACCTTTTCAAGATCGGTCATCCTTGTCAAATTTATCGTTCCAAAACCCTCTAAGATGATGGCTCTTCCCAATATTAGATATCTCCTCGACCTCTTTAGGCGTCAATTTAAAAGTCAGCGCTCTCAGGTAGTCACTGAGCCGCTGCTCCTTTGAGCTGGTGGTGATCGCGACAACGCCTTGATCAATGACCCATCTCAAAAGGATCTCGCCAGGGTTGACAGCATACTTCTTGGCCAAAGAATCCAGCAACGGGTCCAATGGTCCTCCCGATCCCCGAGTAATGGGGATTAGAGGACCGTAGGCCGCGACCTTGATGTCCTTGTTCTTGTGGTAGGCCAGCAAATCCCCATGTTGCAAATACGGATGGAACTCGATTTGGTTGATGGCAGGTCGTACCTTGGCTGTCTCCAAGATGGCATCAAGATGGGGCTTCAAGAAGTTGCTGACCCCAATGCTCTTTGCCTTGCCGCTGGCCGCCACTTGTTCAATCTGTGCCCATTTCTGCTGCAATTCTGCAGGGTCCTCCTTTGCAAAAAATGGGGCATGAATGAGATACAAGTCAACATAGTCCAGGCCCAGTTTCTTCAAACTGATGTCGATGGCTGCCGGGATGTCCTTGATGTTGGTGATAACCTTTGTGGTGACAAAGAGTTTCTCTCGCGGTACTTTGCTTTGCTTGATAGCATCTCCCAACTCCTCCTCTGTGTTGTATACCTCGGCGCCATCGAGATGGGTGTACCCGATGGAAATGGCAGTCTTGGTCGAATCAATCAACTTCTGGTCCTTGGGAGAGTTGGAGTCTGTTTTAAACCACGCCGTACCCGTACCATATCCGATCTACTCAAACTCTATCAGTCATTAATCTGCTCCTATAGTGTCGAGTCTACTGACAATGGGAATCTTGTTACCATCCGGGAGCTCTAGGTCCGGGATGGACACATCTAACTTGGCCATATTGAGTACGCGGTAGAGGATTCGGGTAGACTTTGCCGAGAAGCGCTCTGGGCTCGATTAGGTGTTGTTTGAAGAGTCTTTAAGTGGAATTACTTCAATATGTCGATCAAGACAAAGAGTGGCCTTTCTGATTGCTGGTGAGAACGGACAAGTCAAGGTTATTGGGATCCGAAGAATCTTGGAGGAATCTTGCTGGAGTCTTGTTGGTATTTGAAAGCTTCTGTGGATGATGGGTTCAGAGGTGTATTATAATGTGGGCGGAGGTGGGCCGGTGGGGTAACAAGTACGAACGACGCAATCCGAGCTGGACACCGCAAATCACTTGCTTCAACCTTTAATCTCTCCAATAATAATGACGTGCGCGGGTAATCCGATCACGCGTTTGTCCGTGTATCTTTCGTGTGCAGCACCCGCGTTTTGGAGGCGATAAGGTCTTCACCCGCTCATGAACATGAGATGGGATATATCGGAGTGGCATAATAACGACCAACCAATGTTCATGGACTTTATATCGTCCAGTGGTCCACCCTCGCTGCCGCACTCTTCTGTGCGTTGTGATTGATCCTCGTCGGCATTCGCATATTATAGTGGCTAATGGCGTCGAGAGCGTTTGAATCGTGTCAACCTGGCTGCAGGGGAGTCGCAAACAGTAGTCGAATGGTGAAAAGTGTCATGCTCAACAACAATTTCTTCCGTTGCCTTTGACAGCATCATTCATGGTGAGGTTGACCGTCTTTGGAGCACCTTTGGTATCATTTCTTCCAGTACCAGTGCCATAGCCCTTCACTCCACTTCTTCGATCATTCAGATCGTACTTGCCAGCCTCGATGTTCTGATAAATCCTCTCTGCCACTTCGAGAAAAGCCCTTTCGACGCCCTCTCCGTTTTTGGCGCTGGTTTCGACATATTTAACCACGTTTTCCCGCCGACACCAGTCCTCTGCCTCTTCTCTTGTCACAGCACGCTTCGTCTTGCCTTCGATATCGACGCTCTGATTTGCCAGATCGGATTTGTTCCCCACGAGTATCACCACGATGCCCTCTTCCGCAATCTGCCGCAAGTCATTTAGCCATGACGTTACAGACTCAAAACTGCTCCGTCTTGTTATGTCAAAAACCAACAACGCACCCGACGCGCCTCGGAAGTAGCTCCTAGTTATGCTCTTGTATGTTTCTTGACCTGCCGTATCCCATAATGATAATTTCATCTTCTTCTGCTGACTAGGGTCGGTGCGTGAAGCAATGCCGCTGGGAGCCCCAATGCCCAGAGATGCGTTGGCTGGAGGACCGACGGGCACAATTCGAGACCCGAACTCGACGCCAATGGTAACATCGTGGGTGGCGGAGAAGCGTCCTTCACACAGTCGAACAGTCAAGCTGGACTTGCCAGTCCCTAGAGCATGGTTAAAACATGAGTGTGATGGAGATGAAAAGAGACTGCTGCATACCAGAATCACCAATGCAAACCAACTTTGCAATGTAGTTCCATGGCAATGTCGGCACTGGAGTTGTAACCGGCATGAATCAGACGGGAGATGAAATCCAAGGTTGACGATGATATCTGTAAGTATAAGGGCTAGGTCTTTGCCCTGAGTCGTGAGTTGTGTGGCGACAGTATCAGGCCTCGAGAGGCCCTCGGGCCAATAAAGACACCCATGATTTTCGAGTCCCGGTCAATGCCTGCAGGTTTAGGTACCTACCTAGGCAGGTACCTAAGGCACTCATGCACTGCACCGTGCACTACGGGCTGCCAGGCTGCATCCGGAGTGGTATTCTCACGTGCCAGCAAATCCAGCAAACGGCAGACCGCTGAGGGGCTACCGGGAGGCACACGGGCCTCATGAACACCTCCGCCACTCCACTGTAACCCAATCATGCCTTTTGTCATAATTCGAGCAGTGACACGGGCTATCGAGACTCATAATTCACCTCCAACATCCCAACCTCCATCGATACCACGACACGTTTGTCCTGTAACACCAACAGTTGTCTCCATATCTTGGCTTGAATTTACTGCAACTATTCTCTGCCGCATCAGACATAAGCCACCTCAGCATCACAACAGCTCGTTTTGCCTGGATATTCCCTTATCGCGCCTTATATTATTACCTAGCCACCGATTGATTGCCCGCGTGACACTCGAGTCATCGTCTCGCGGGCATCATGTTCTCAGAATGTATGCCCGTTGCCAGTTGACCCCCATGCAACAGTGTATTGACAAGCTGTTAGATGCGTCGAGATTCCTCGCCCAGTCCCAATCTCGCATCAGTTTTGCTCCCACCGATGAGCGGCGGAGTGCCGATGCCCGAGTAAGGCGTCAAAATCAATCCGCACGACCACCTCCTGCCTCGAAGTCGTCCAACCCTCGAGTACCCAACCCCTACCAGCCAACCTCCTCTCAGCTATCGGCTTTTCCCTTTGCATCCCGCCTCAATCCACAGCAGGCTCCCTTGTTCTACAGCGCCACGGATGAGTTCCGTGAAGAGAATGACGAGGAAGAACATGAACGAGAAATAGCGGACTATTATGCTCTTCAACGCTCGCGGAGGCAACTAGGCGCCAGTGATCTCAAGGAGTCTTCCGATGCAGGTGACGGAAGCGGGTCGAGTGTTATTGGAGACAGCACTCATAGTGGGCATGCTCCCCAACACCGCTATGGCCATACGGGCGGCATCAAAAGCTCATGGCACGGTGGCGGTAATCCCCCCCGCAGAACATCACCTCACCTAGCCGATTTGGCCGAATCGACAGAATCACAACCGGATCCTTCTAGTCCCACGTCCTCCAGAGGGCTCATGGTTGATGTCGGACTTGGGGACACACTGCGCAGCGACTACGATGACGACCCTCCAGAAGATCTTATTGAGAATCCACCATCTGTGCAGCGACTAAAGTCAGGGAAGGCGGAGATCAGGTCCCCGGATGCCTTGGGAGATTCGGATGAGGATTTCTCTATGCAACAACCTCTCTATGAATCTGGCAGCTTCCAGGACGAAAATCATCCCTCTCCCGCTAGTGTGCCACAAAGTCAAGATCAACAACCGCGACACGATTTTTTCTTCGGCCAGATATACCTCCTTGCCCTCGCCGCCATGTTCACAACCTGGTTCCTGGTCTTCCTCCACACAGAACCACCCGGCAAAGGCACGCCTCCTCTGGGTGACACCATCTACACGACATTGCACAAATCTTTTTATCTCTTAGCGACTTATACCCTCGTAGCGACTTTCGTTTCATTGTTCTGGCTTGCAGCTCTCCGGTCTTATGTCCGAAACCTGGTTTACGGTATTGTTGTTGCTGTGCCCGTCATACTCTACTCCTTTTCGCTTTATCCATTCATATCCAGCTTCAAAGGCGCCTGGCATGGATCAAGCATCCAGGACACAATCATGAGATGGAGTGCCATCGTTCCAGCTGCCATGGCGACCCTGTGGATTTTGGCCGTGTTCCGCGGAAGGCTGGTGATGCAGAAGGCGATCTCAATCCTTGAATTTGCTACGAGAGTCCTCGCCGCTAACCCAGCATTGGTCTTGGTCGGATTCGCAGTTCTCGGCTTCATCGTGGCTTTTACATGGGTCTGGCTTTCCATGTTCACCAGAGTCTTTCTAGGAGGTCATCCTAGCACTCGGTCGGCGATCACCAAGTTCGTCATCGACACATCGACCTGGTGGGTTGGAGTCTACTTTATCATTGTCTATCTATGGACGATTGCAATCGCATTTGGGTTTCAACGTACAATCACCTCTGCCACCGTCTCTCAGTGGTACTTTCACCGGCTAGCCATTCCTGCACCCACCTCGCAAGCCATTGTCAAAGCTGCCGTACACCATTCGGCCACCACCTTGTTTGGAACTATATCCATGTTCATGGCCCTTGGCCTGATGGTCAGACTGCCGTTGCTAGTCTTACCGAGGCGACTGACCATGTTGATTGGGGTGGCCATGTACTCGTTCATTCCAAGCCCCGTGAGCATTCTCATCAACCCTTTGACCCTCACCTACGCCGCAATCCATTCACAGCCGTTAAGGATCAGCGCCCGAGGTCTCACACAGATGCATTACCTCGCACCAGGAGATGCGTCGACTTCACTGCACCCAAATACCTTTCGTTACAGCCGTGGCCATGCACGAGATGGTTGGAGCGGAGACGCATCGCCCCTGTTGCCATATCGATTGGCCAAACTCGTGCTGCACGCAACGCGCTTCATCATGTCGCTCGCACTTGGATTTGGGGGTTGGGTTTCAACTGCACGCACGCTGAAACTAGAAGGATCTGGGGTCCGGGGTAGTCTCTATGCATATATTGTCGGCTTGATTGCTGGGGCCATTGGCTGGGGGATACTGGGTGCGATGGAAGGAGTTCTTGCCTGCATTGTTGACGCTCTGGTGGTTTGTTGGGGAAGCGAAGTAGGAAGCAGCGGTCAAGGGGAGGTCCGATATTGCCGAGAAGCCGGGCATTTATTCGGAGACGATGAGACCACCAGAGGACCTGTCAGTCTGGCCTGACATGGAAACGCTCCATGAAGATGGATGCGACGATTGCATAAGGTAGACAGCATTAGGTAGTGGTGGCGGCAGCTTCAGCTACGCGTGCCAACAAATATGAGCGGGCCCATTGAGCACTCTGAGGTTAGAGTGACAATTTTGGAGGGTGACGTCTTCTAAACTTATCAAGGGGAGGAAATGCTATTTATGATCCAAGGTTCAACTAGCCATACCATTCTGACATGGGAGGGCAATGAATTTTACGGTCTTGGAGCCCTAAAGAGGCGTGGCCTCCTTTTGAGGGAAGTCAAATCAGCTAACAACTGCCAGTAATGTCAACCTGCTGAGTACCTACAGTCATGGTGTTGGGTAAGGAGAACAGCAGCAGGAATGGTGTCCTACAGGCTGAGCGAGCCCTTAGAAGCCCCCTCGGCCCCTCTTTAGGCCCCTCGAACCCCCTTTGACAGCTGCCGGCTCCATCACTTAACCCTTTCTAGGCTCTTACGACTCTCAGGTGCTCTTCCTCCCTGCGTCGCGCCCACTCTCTGTCCGAGTCGCGCCAAGCTCTTCCTCTTCGACACGTTGCTTCAACTGCAATCGCTCCTCCTGTTGATGCACATGGGCCAGATGGCTTTGCCGTGAATCTCAACATCACTTTCTTCTACACTCGCTCCATCCCCTTTCCATTTTTTCACATACTCGGGCCACTTGGTCATTTATCTTCTTCTTTTCTTGGGCCTCAGGCATTATCAACTTTTCCATACCGGAGCCATCCGTCCGCCTCAATTCTTTGACCACATTTCCATCCAGCGATCTCCCAGGATTCTCAACGACACATTTCTGGTTCAGCAATTGAGAGGCCCTAGCCTTACGCTTCAACTCCTCGTGTCCACTGCTGACACTATCTTTTCACCATCAATTACACAATGGCAGCTGCCAATGCCGGCTACACCACCGGTGCTGGCAGGAATGAGGCCGACTTGCGTCGAAGAAATGTTGCCAGCTATGAAGACACAAATGGTCAGCATGTCTACAAGTTAGAGGCAGAGGACAAGAAGAAGGTTACAAAGGTGCGTTCGTTTGATATGGCTTGGTTGAAGGAAATACTGACCGCCACAGCCCAACACTGGCGTCCTCGCTACGCTGGACGAGTGGGAGTTTATTATTGCCCCAGTCATATTCACAATGTTCGCCCTGTTTACAAGGTTGTGGAAGATCGGACTGTCTCCAATTGTGACTTGGGATGAAGCTCAGTATGTTCTATTAGCTATCTCCCTGTCGGTCGCATGTTAACAAGTCGACAGTTTCGGTAAATTCGGCTCCCACTACCTCAAGCGCGAGTTCTACTTCGATGTGCACCCCCCTCTGGGCAAGATGCTAGTGGGCTTGTCAGGCTATCTTGCTGGTTACAACGGGTCTTTTGAGTTCAAGTCCGGTGAGACTTATCCGGCCCACCTCAACTACACCTTTATGCGCGTTTTCAATGCCCTGTTTGGCGTAGTCACAATTCCCCTAGCATATTTCACCGCCCGAGAACTGCGCCTCAGCCGACCAACTGTCTGGCTCGTCACCTTGATGGTCCTATGCGAGAACTCGTACGCGACAATCTCACGCTTCATCCTCCTCGACTCCATGCTCCTGTGCTTCACCTTCACCACAGTTGCATGTTGGGCAAAATTCCACCGTCTTCAGAACAAGAGCTTTTCGGTGGAATGGTTCGTCTGGCTGATCCTGACGGGACTCAGCATTGGCTGCGTCTGCAGTGTCAAATGGGTTGGTTTCTTTGTCACGTCGCTGGTTGGCCTTTACACTGCGCAGGATTTGTGGAACAAGTTTGGCGACCTCAAAATGCCCAAGTTGGAGTTGGCTAGCCACGTGGTTGCCCGGGTAGTTGGCTTGATTGTCATTCCGCTCCTCGTCTACATGTTTTCTTTCTACATCCACTTTCTGATCCTCGAAAACTCGGGGCCGGGCGATGCTCAGATGTCTTCCTTGTTTCAAGCCAATCTCCGCGGCACCGAGGTCGGCAAGGACTCGCCACTCGAATTGGCCTTGGGCTCCAAGGTCACGCTCAAGAACATGGGATACGGCGGGGGCTTGTTACATTCTCACGTTCAAACATACCCCGAGGGGAGCGGCCAGCAGCAAATCACTTGTTATCACCACAAGGATGCAAACAATGACTGGTTCCTGTGGCCCAACCGCAGCCAACTCATCTTTGACCCGGAAGCGCCTTTGAGCTATGTCCGGGACAAGCAAGTCATTCGACTAATTCATGCACAGACTGGACGGAATCTCCATTCACATGCGGTTGCTGCTCCCGTGACCAAGGCCGACTATGAAGTATCATGCTATGGCAACACGACAGTGGGTGATGAGAAGGATCATTGGCAGATTGAGGTTGTCAGTGACGCCATGTCGTCGGATCGGTCTCGCATCAGAACATTGGCTACCAGCTTCCGCTTGAAGCATGTAGAGCTTGGATGTTACCTCCGGGCTGGGACGGTCAATCTACCACAATGGGGCTTCAAGCAGATTGAAACAACTTGTGTGAAGAAGCCCAGTTCGCGTGATGTGTATACACATTGGAATGTCGAGTCTCACATCAATGAACGCTGTAAGTCAATGGATCTTGTACAGGGTCTGCGGGACATTACTAACTTGATACAGTGCCCCCAGGAGAAGCCAAGAATTACCGGTCGCCATTTTTCAAAGATTTTATTCATCTCAACGTGGCGATGATGACGTCCAACAATGCGCTGGTACCGGATCCTGACAAACAAGACGACCTTGCCTCGAAATTTTGGCAATGGCCGATCCTGCACGTTGGCCTGCGAATGTGTTCGTGGGACGATGCTGTGACCAAGTACTTCCTGTTGGGCAACCCGCTGGTGTACTGGGGGTCTACGGCGTCGATTGGTGTGATTGGCCTGATTGTGTTGTGGCACTTGATCCGATGGCAGAGAGGCTACAACGAGCTCAAGCAGTCGGACATTGACCATATTCTTTATGCAGGCATCTATCCTGCGGTGGGCTGGGTATTACATTATCTCCCCTTTGTGATTATGGGACGAGTGACATATGTGCACCATTATTACCCAGCGCTGTACTTTGCAATTCTTGTGGCCGGGTTTTCGGTTGACTGGACCACACAACGGTTGAACAAAAAGGTCCGGTGGGGATTTTATTTTGTTCTCTATGCCGCGGTGATTGGGCTATTTGTCCTGTTCAGCCCCATCGTGTTTGGGATGCAAGGAAGCAACCGCCAATACGCCTATCTCAAGTGGTTCAGCCGATGGAGAATCTCTGATGCTTGACCGGTGAAAGGCACGTGACAAGGTCTCCTGGGTGCAGCCCTGCAGAGCCCAAAAGGAACTGACCTAAATCAAGTCGGAGTATCACCATAACAGAGCATCGACCTTGATGGGTGATGGTTTGGGTGATGGTTGCGAGGATGGATACGCTAGCATTGGGCATTGATCCATGGACAGTGAAATGGGGAGGGGAGTGGTGAAGACGATGCGTGTGAGATGAAACAGATGATTCTCATATAATGCTGTACTACGATTGACACAGTATCCTGGCGTTATCACATGGCGGGTATTGAAAAAAAAAAGCATTTGGACTGAAAGAATGATAGTTCCGCGTGGCCATGAATCCCCTTTATGCCCTGTGTGTGTTTGGTGTGTATCTATGCATCGAGAGGACTGCACGAACGGTCCAGGATGCTGCAGAGTAGAACCAGGCTGTTGAGACTAAGGATACCGTTAACAATTACATGGCTGGCTTGATGTAGTAGAAAAATGACAGGTCAATCAATCATCTCTGCATCAGTGACTGTTTTAAGGAATGACGGTGTACACTGACAAGAACAATCTTTGAGCTGACAACCTGGGATCCCCTCGCTTGTGTTTTCGTATCGAGGACCATATCGAGGATCATATTTGGTGGCTTATAAGTGGACACATGTGACTGGACCCGTGTGCAGCCGTTTACACATTCCATCTTTTCTATCCGAAGTGAAAGAGAGTAGTACTACTTAGGGTCGTATCTGTGAGATTGTCAAGATTCAAGCCCAGTGCACAGAACCATTTATTCTCCTTTTGCAGACAATACATCTGTACCTAGATACCTTGATGGCCGTAGGTAGGTCGCTTGGACATACATTGGTAGGCATCTAGCGTGCCTACCTACCTAGGTAGATCACTGACTTTGGTTATTGATGGGACACTTTTCAAATTAGGCTGAACCGAAGCCTGGAGATCTAGAGTTGTTAGGCTCTAGCTTGGCACTCTGGGCGGTTGGTGGGGGCGGCACTCGGGCGTCGTTGATCCCTGGGCATTGAGGATATAGACTAAACTACTACTTACTCCGTAGTAACATTAGGCACTGATTAGGCGCCTATCCCAGCTCAACGACAGTGGATCCACGGATCCGATCGCCCGCACCTTTCATTGCCTCATCGTCTCATTATTTCATCATTTCAACGTCTCAAAGGGTCTGGAGGTCCGGAGGTCGAACTAAACTCGATTCTTTCTAGTTCCAATCCAGCGGGGAGAAGATGCCTTTACTCTTTACTCATTCCTCGTTCCATCATGCGCCATACACTCTCATTGCTCTACTCTGCTCTTTACCATACATTCATGTTCTCTTTGCTTTCAGCTCTCTACTCCACCTCCTCAACTCGACACATTACGCTTTTGCTTTTCTCCGTCTTTGCCAAAGGATCTAACCGCCAATTCGCCCTCTCCTTCGCTATGTCTACATAGTCCTCCCTGGTCTGTCCAAACACACCCTCCTTGCCACCTACCACCTATTACCACCCTCAGCACTTCCACATGACATGGACCCTCGACGTTCCTCCCCGACCGCTGCGAATGACACAGCCAACGCTTACCATAGCGATGACAACCCGGATGACTCTGTCGTCGACGGCAAGATCGAGATGGACCAGGAGGAAATAGATGCCATCATCCGCAACAAGAGAAAAGTCCGCGATCCCAAGGCCTGTTATGCATGTCATCGGCGAAAAGTCAAGTGTGACCGCAACCTACCTTGTGACTCTTGCGTCAAGCGAGACCACCCAGAACTCTGCTCCTACGAGCGGCCTACCAAGAAACGACGCATTGCTCTGACGGGCCCGCTCCAAGCAGAAGAAGCAACCTCCACGACTCTAGACCCCGCCACCCAGAGCGGACCTAACGTCTCAGTCCCCCGCGAGCATTGGGATCGCATCAACAAGGAACTCGAGGAATTGCGAGCGGGTGCCCAACTGGCCCGCCACTCACCTGCCCGCTCACATCACCCAGCAGAAGACAACGCGGTGGCAGAGCCCCACAGTCGCGATGAAACTGATCGCGATGGCATTCATGCCCCGAGTAACCAGATGGGGTTGATGCATCTGGGTTCGAGGTCTGTCCTTGCATACATGATGGGTCTTGGACGATCACAGTCCACCAAAGACACCGCCAGGACCTTGCTCGAAGAGAATATTCTTCCAAAGCTAGGTCTCGACAACGAATCCGCCACATATCCTTTTGTCGACCTCTGGAGCACCGAGTCCAGCATGCAAGATGTTGCTGGACTATGCAAAGCCATCCCGGACGATGACCTGTGTAACGAGTACGTTTAGAACCTCTCCACAGGCCAAAGTCATCATTGCTGACCCTCACAGATTTTTTATCTGCTATCGAGATGTAGCCTGCACCATCTACCCCGTCGTCGCCGACACCCATAAATTCTCCACCACCCTGTTTCTCATGCTATCCAACCGCGGCCGCCACGTCAGAGACAACATGGAAATCGACCCCACCAAACCATATGGAGTATCTTTGCCCTGGCTTAGCTTGATGTTTGCTGTTTTTGCCTCGGGTTCTCAATCCTCAGATCGTCCAGCCAAAGAACGAGAGTTGACGTCTCAAGTCTACAGTGAGTTGCCTCCCCTGTCTTGTTCCTCGGCCTCGCGGATTAACACACCCCAGTATGTTGTTCGTACCAGGCTCTCCGCATGTCAAATTTTCTGACCCACCCATGTATCGAGACGATCGAGGCATCCTTGATCATCGGGAACGTCCTCTCATACAACATGAACCCCGGGGTTGCTTACATATTTCTCGGCATGACCCTTCGCATGGCCTTTTCAATCGGCCTGCAAATCAATTCCCCCATTCACGATGAAGGCGAACAGTGGATCCGGCGCCGGGTTTGGTGGGCACTCGCCTGGCAAGACTCGCACTTTGCCGTGAGCTACGATCGGCCCACTTCAAGCGTCATGTGCATTCCAGATATCCCCTACGGCAAGTTCAGTTCGCCCGGAAACAGAACATACGCTGAGAGCATGTTTGCCATTATCCGCCTCACCCAGGAGATTGTCCGCGAAAGGCTTCTGCATCCTCGCTCGCAGATGACCTGGGACACCATCAGACGTTATACCGAACAAATCAACGAGATTGTCGCTCAGGGTGCGTCACATCTCCGCGAGCGTTCACACTGCCATCTCATGACAGAACACCTTGAGCGTCTAGCACTCAAGCTCCACAGCTCATACATCACAAGCGAGCTGTGTCGTCCGGCTCTGAAAGAGTCAACCGAGACTTGTCATTCCTCTCATACCACGTCGGCCCAGTCGCCGCCGTCACGACATCGCAAATCATCTCAGGCCTCGGCTGGTTCTCCGGCTGCCACCGACACCAACAATATCCGTGCTCGATTCAGACGTGAATGTATCAAGAACCTCGAAGGTACTGTTGCCGCCTATGTCGAACTACACTCTCTTAGCAAGTTTGCGGCCAGGTCTTGGATCGGTATTCAGCGATCTATCTCAGCAGCCTTCTTACTCGGTACTCTGGGTGAAACCAATCGAGAACCCCGCATCCTGGCACTTTTGCGCGAGCTCGAGAAAGTCATGACTCAACGGACCATGGAGGACCCTACATTTGACGGTATGCAGCTCAATAACGAGGCTCTCAGCAGTCCCGATCGCCACCTTCTTTCTGCCACGCGCGCACAGATGATCGACTCGCCCCATTGGGCACGAAGCATGGCCAAATCACTGAATGCCTTGGGCAAACTCAACGCCGCACTAACAAATCCAGAACCCAAGTCCGCCAACTATCATACTGCCCCGACCAATAATAAGCATCACATACTGGGCACGCGGAGCAATGTATCGCCAGAAGTCAATGCAACACAGGGTCAAACGAGCACTCAGTCACAATACCCGAGTATCCTCAACGTCAAGGCAGAACCATACTCTCCAGCTCTTCCCACGACCGTAGCAAGTTCTAATATGGGGATGGGGCTTGGTGCAGTCGGCATGGGTCCTATAACTCCTGACAGTACAGGGTCCTCGAGCGACTGGAATCTTGGAAATCTCCAAGAGCGAGCAGCAGAATATGTACAGGCTCCTCTCTGGGGAGACAACACTCTGGGCAGCTATGTGATGTAATGATTCCTGACTCTGGGTTACTCTGTGAGTGATGAATCGTCTCCTTTTAGTGCCAAACGAAATCGGGCCTAGCAAGCGCTTTATGGAGAGATCTGGTCGTGGTTGATATCTCATTTCCTGCGTTGTGTCCAAGAATGAATGACATTACGGTTCACGATGAATATACCCCGAATATTATATAATTCCACCCTTATTGGATCCTAGTATGAATAAATGTCTTCCTAATGCGATCGGAGAGATGAGCCTCTGTGGTATAGTGAGAATCAAGAGTCCTGAGACACGTGTGGCTCACATGTGGTGTGCAGACTGGAGATCTCCGACTTAAATAATAAGGTACATACTACTATGAAAGGTACCTACTAGGTATGTATGTTCCCTATCTACACTAACGAATTTCGACTACATTGTTCTTCTGGTTTTTGATCGGTCGAATTCACAACTCTCAATCAAGACATTTCAACAAAATGGGCGATGCTGGCGTCCCCATTGGCCCCAATGAGACAGCCACACTTCCTTCATCCCATCCTACTAAATCATTCTGGCAGACCTCGCATCCCAACCCAGTATCTCACCACCGATCAACCCCATCATTACCTTCCAAAGCAAGCATCGTTGTCATTGGTACTGGCATTACTAGCGTCTTTGCCGTGGATGAATTACTAGCTCGATCACAGGGTCTTGATGTGCTCGTCCTTGATGCTCGGACAACCTGTTCTGCCGCGACTGGTCGAAATGGCGGACATCTGGTTCCTCTCGTCCACGAGCAACGACCAGGCATCATCGCCTGGGAGCTCCGCAATTACCACCACGTCGCCAATCTGATCGAGTCGAGGAAGATCCCCTGCGACTTTCGTCGTCTACAGTCGTGCATCGGCTTTTGGAACCAAACCTACTTCGAAGAGGCCAAAGAGGCCTTGAAGCAGGCTACCGAACTCGCACCTCAACAGACAAATGGCCAAGTCCGTGTCGTCGAAGACCCGGACGAGTTGACACGTCTGAACCTCGTTCACGCTGTTGGCGCCTTGGTGCAGACCACCGCCGCTAGCCTGAGCCCTTATAAGCTCGTCATTTGGCTCTGGCAGGATTTGCTCGATCGATATCAGGCTAGCGGACAGCTCAACCTGCAGACCGAGACGCCAGTTAACGAGATCCAATCGAGCTCATCTGGCGACTATACTATTGTCACCCATCGAGGCACCGTTCAAACTCGCCATATACTCCTCGCCACCAATGGCTATACGTCCCATCTTCTCCCATGCTTCAGCAAGCTAATCTCCCCGCGTCAAGCTCAAATGACGGCACTGATACCGCCGCAAGCGTCGCCGTTCTCTCGGATGCTGATCCCCCAAAGCTACGGCTTCTCCGGCGTTGCAGGTATGGACCGCGAAATGTCTGACTACTTGGTACAGGCGCCCATATCTGACTCGGATTCGAACTTTCACCCTGATCCTCTGGACCGTCACGCTATCGCCTCACAAGGCGGGCAACTCATGTACGGAGGTGGACGACAGCATGCTAGTGGCAACGGCAACTATAACAGCGACGATAGCTATGTCGATCCAGAGGTGGAGAAGTATCTGCGAACATTGCCTGCACGGTTGGACCTTGGGAACTCCTCGAACACAACTAGCCGTAGCCACCAAGGCCAGACTTTGTCGCCGCCCAAAGATGACTCTGACCTCCAGCTCGAGTTGCAGGCCTCATGGACGGGTATCATCGGCAGTTCCGCAGATGGCCATCCATGGGTCGGTGCTGTGCCTGATCACCCGGGCCTCTTCATCGCCGCTGGCTACAGTGGACATGGAATGCCTAATGCCCCGCTGAGTGGCCGTCATGTCGCCCGCCTCCTCCTCCAGAGTCTCAAGACCGTTGACGTAGATTGCACCCTTCTACAGGAACACGAAGTTCAACCTTCCAACTCGTCTGCGGATGCTGCTTTGCCCATCGAATATCTCGTCACCAAGGAGAGAATGCAGAAATTTAATCTGTGAAATATATGCTTCGAGACCAGGAAGTCCTTTTGAACGGGACAATACTGCTCCACATCTGACTGAACATATGTTCTTGAAAACCCCTGCTGATCCTTGGAACAATGTGGATCTCTGAGACGAAGAAAGCTAACTCCATGCACTATGTTGGCTTTGTGCTGGATCATGCTCTCTGCTTGCAAACATCCACCATCATCGGCTACAAGTATTATTGATTTGGTCTTTTTTCATGCTTTCTGTTCCCGTAACCAGATTGTTCGACTTCTTTCATGTCTTGATGGAACCCGAATGCAACATCTAAGCTTGACTTCAACAAATGTTCCAACAGAAGCCCATGACACTCATTTCATGTAATAATATCATGCAATTTCCAGAAAGAACACACCGAAGCTGATGTTGAGAGTTGCCATTCAGACCAAAATCCACTTTTTGTCTTTGCCTCCCTGCTTCACCGCGATCGAAGTCAATGTGTCTTTGATGGCGTCCTTTGGGCATTTAGGGAACTGGTCCTTGAGCACCTCGATCAATCCAACCTTGGACAATGTGCTGCCCTCCACTGCCGCTCTGAACGCAGGGAGGACATCCGACGGAACCATCTTGACCGCCTTGGTGCCGCTCTTGGCTTTGGCTCCTGCTAAAGCCTTCGCAGGCTTGTCGTCTTCAGTGGCTGTCCCGAGTGTGCCCCTTGGTGGCATCAAATTTCCTGTGTTTGCATCCAGTGTCATAAGTGGCAGTCGTGGAGGCTGCATCTCAGATCCAGATCCGGAACTTTTGCTCTCTTTTTTCTTGGGACTTGGCTTGCCAATGTCACTCCAATGCACGGTCGAATACGGGTCGATGGGTAGAGAAGTTGCATCGTGAAGGACATCCATGCGATATACTGACAGATCGAATTGGTTTTCAGGCTGAACGCCAGATCCTTCCCAGCATACTCCACTCGACTTGGCCTCCAATTCACCAACAAGCAAGCGCCGCTTGACTGGCTCGGCTTCGTCGTCTAGAAAGTCATCCATCTCATCTTCACCGGCTTCGTCCTCCGACATTTCATCCTCATCCATCAGATCGTCATCGCCGTCCTCGGGCTCTTCCCATTCCGCCTCACTATCATAGTCGTAATTGATATCTGGCAGTCCACGATGCACAGGGTTTCGCGCTAATTTATATGAACATTTTGATGAGACTGCCCGCGTGAAGGTTCCTTGATATGGCGGACGAACGTCTTCGCGAAATTGAAGATATTTGTACGGCACTGATGCAAGACAGCTATCATCGTCAACCACATCGTCAACGGACGTTGAGATGACAGCAAGCTGTTCCATAATGGCCTTGACCGGTCGAATCGGCCGTCTGCGTTGTCTTTGGCGAAACCTTGAGCGAAGAGGTTCAGGTACTGTGCCTTGATTGAGCGGGAATTCGGCATGACCGAGGGGTCCGGCGCTGCGATGAAAGCGGTTGAATGGTGCTACTTCGGCAAGGTCGCTCACGAAGAAGGGCAGGATCCAGTTGTTGAATTCAGGATTGGTGGCTTTGACCGGAGTATCCGTGCCGGCCAGAGGCATATCACTATCGATGGAGGCAGTTGATGATCTCCTGCTGACAGGGCCGGTTGAATGAATATCTGGTGTAGTAGGTGGTGTCGAAGCAGAAGCTGGGCGAGCAAAGAATGCACCGATCCTCATTTGTGACTGGACCAAGTTAGCACGATTGTCATGAAGAATGAGTTTTGCGGCATACTTGTTGCTTTTTGAGAACTTCAGCCTCCTTGCGCTTCTTCTCGGCTTCCTTCTCTTGCTGAACTGCGTCTTTGGCTTTCTTTTTTTCTTCTCTCACAGCCTCCTTTTCTTGCTGAACGGCATCCTTGGCTTTCCTTCTTTCTTCTCTCACAGCTTCCCGAGCCTTGCGAGCGGCATCCTTCTCTTCCTCTTTGCGTCGTTTCTCGTCATCTTTTGCAGCCCTTGCTTCGAGCTTCTCCTTTTCTTTTTGTTCTTTTTCTTGTCTCTTGATGACTTTCTCAACCTCTCGCTCAGCAAATGTAAGTTTTCGTTTCTTGGGATCAGGCGCCATCGTCTTGTCCTTTTGTGGACTCGTGCCAGGGGTTGTTCCTAGGTCAGACAAGGGGCTGCCGGGAGATGATTCCCGCGGTGCTGATACAGATGGAGAGGCCCCAGAAAGAACACAAGAGTCAAAAGGTACTTGGTGAAGAAGTAGTCCTTGATAGTTCCGCTTTTTGGAAGGCGTCAAGGGAGCACCTGCTGAAGGAGAAAGAGCGACCTCACACGAGGACATGGATTGAGTGTCCATGTTCCAGGGTTGCCTCCCAGAGCGACCTCATATAAGGTGAACAAATGCGTCACCGGTTTAGAGGGAAAGATAACAGTTAAGTAGTGAAGCCCTGTGAATGTGAGGCTGACTCAGGGTTGGGTGGTTGAGGCCAGACTCAATATCTCGAATTGAAATGCACGACTTGTTAAAGTGACGCGTACTTGCTACTATTCTATGGAGTAAAACGCGGGCTGACGCGCCGAGAAACGGGAAACGCGATCAGTCACTATGGTTTAAGTAATGCCTAGTTTGACTTGTGATTCACAGTAGAGCCTATGACTTGGACTACGGTGGGGTAATCGCTCCACGAAATGACAGATGATAATGAGGCTTCACAGGTACGTTTATGGCCTCCAGGTCTACGAGAGCTACCGGCAGTGATGACCCAGTTGGAATTTTAGTGTTATCTACTTGGAAATTCCAGTCTCTTTACCTCAACGACGCCTCTGAATCTTGGTTTTATTCATGAGCTTGTCCCAGCAGAGAGCGATCTTGGGGTATTCGTGACAACTAAAGCAGCCATGAACATGTACTGCTTCACTTCTGACTGCTTTCCAACTTAAAATGCTCCATCAGACTCTCAAGCTGACATTACTACCTCCAACCCACAGCGCATCCATCGACAGATAACTGATATCATACCCATTCGCCTGACCAACCCAAGATTTGAAAAGGCCCCCAAAGGACGCAGGTGCTGTATCGAGGTCGACAGTCCCTTGGGGGCAAATCAATGTGTTTCACTAGTCCAACATCTGTAGACTCCTCGAAAGTCAAATTGACCTTTCCAGTACAGTATTGAGCTTTAAATCGTGCCGTAGCCTTGATGTCCGCCACTTTGTACTCTGTCCGAGTATACGCCCGGTGCATCAGAGCCAGTCAACTGGCCGGTTCTGGCTTGTTCGCGTCGATCGAAGTAGACATATTCAATGTAGAAAGCGTGAATGTGTCCAGGGAGGTAGCCAAGGACCGTGAGACAGATGTTGACGAATAGGTCAGCGCCGCAGCCTGCGACTAGGAAAACACCAACAGGTGGGACTGTAATACAATGTCAGCAATGCCTTGGAATGGGGCTTTGGTTGTAAGACGTTGTCGGGTCGCACAAACCCCGGGACAAAACACTTACGAAGGATAGTGATGAGGACGATGAGAAGCGCAGGGGCTGCGTCAGACATTGTGATCCCTTTTGTTCTCCAAGGTTGATAGACGAGTGAAAAGGAGGAGATGAGCAAGAGTGGAGGGCTGATAATCGAAGATTGTAGGTACTTTGTTATTGTTGATGGGATCAGAGGGAATAATGCAGGCAGATACCAAAAGCTCGTACTTATCTCTACGCCGAGAACCACCACAATTTCAGGATCAGGTTTCAAGAATGATGGGGTGACTCCAAGCGACCATGCGGTGACGTACCTGCCTTTAGTCCCTGCCTTTAATCCCTGAGCAATGTGGCAAGTGCCGCCCTTGCATTTCTGTGGCTAAGGCACCCGCTGGAGGAAGGCGCACCCATGTTTGTGATCAACAGTCGGTGTGGCGGTGCTCCTCTCTCCATTTGTCCCAATTCCAATTGCGTGTCACGCCGATACAATCAACCACAACCACTGCAACCTCAACTCCAACCACAATCCATCACCGCGATCATTTCCATAAAAATATACCCTCGCAATGAGGACGACCACGTTACCTTTTTACAGTGGCCATTGATCCAAGCATGGATGACATAGCTGGCCTCAAGTGGGATTCGAATGCGGGTAATTCACGGAAGCCCCCGACCTCGAATTACTCTGCGTTTACTTCCCTGAAACCAACCCCTCCCCCGTCTGGACGAGCCTCTCCCTTCCCTGCTGCCTTAAGCAAACCCCCCTCGAAACCAGCTACTCCTTCCAACGATAGCTTCGCCGGCCTGGTTGCTTTCGGTTCCGGGCCAAGTAAGAATCTGTCTCTACAGGAACAACAGAAGCGGCTTCTAGAGTCCAAACTCCTCCAACAGCAAGCCAAAGACCAAGCAGCTGCAGAACAATTCCAGGGTGGCGATGATACTTTTTGGAATAACTTCGGAAGCGGCAGGGGGACGCCAGCCGTAGCCAAGTCACCACCGCTCCCCTATGTTCGTTCGAGTCAGCCTGTTCAACATGACGACGGCGAAGACGACGACCTTTTCGCAGCTTTCAATCAACCAGCCACTGGAGCAAAAACTAGTACAAATGGGACCGTACAGAAGAAGATCCTTGTAGAAGATGGCGACGATGACGATCCTTTTGGACTGTCCGAATTCACTTCTCGAGGAACCAAAGCAGCCGAGACAAATGCTCCAATTGTTGGCGGTGACGATGACGATGTCCTTGGTCTGTTAGGGAAACCAGTATCCTCTGTTCGACCGTTGCCGAGGCCCTCTAGCAGTAGTGTTTCTAACAGTCCTGCTGATGTGCATCCTCAAGATAAAGCAGTCGCGGAGCTTGTGGACATGGGGTTTCCGGCTGACAGAGCGAAACAAGCACTGGAATCGACTGAGACCGGCTTGGATGTACAAGCAGCCGTAGGTTATCTATTGAACCAGGCCCATTCTGAAGCCCAGGAGAGAGCTCGGGGTCAAGATAGATCGAAAGCACCTGGGCGGAATGTTTCAAGGGTGTCGGAGGCAAGATCACCTCCAGGCCAGCAACGGACCTACAATGAACGAAATCGACAAGATCATGAACAAATCCCGGCATCATCTCGGGGTCCTGAGAAAGACTTTGAGCGCATGGCAGGCGAATTTGGCAATCAGCTACTGAAGAGTGCTGGCTCGTTCTGGAAACAGAGTACCAAAAGGGTTCATCAGGTTGTCCAGGACTTTGGTTCTGACAGCGAACCAGGGACACAGCCTCGGTGGATGCGTGACACGGAAAGGCGCCACATCGCAACAAATAACCCACAGACTACTCAATTTGAGGATCAAGGCTCCCGAAGACGAAGTCCTAGGAATGAGCCAGCTCTGCATGTTACCGATGAAGCATTAATGCTGGAATCTAGTAGACCAATCACCCAGCCGCGAGAACCAAGAGCCGAAGAGCCCTATCACAGATTTGGTGACAGTCGGGGCCATTCACCCAATTTCTCCCAGCGGCCTGCAGAACCTACACTCCCACTTCGAGAGGCGCATGAAAAGCAACCAGCTTTTCTTCGCCCTAGCATCTCCCCTCCAATAACGACAACGAGATCATCATTGAATAGACAGGCAGCCGAAGAGCAGGCGGCTCAGGCATATACAAGTTCCGCCCGACGGCGAAAACCGCAGCCGACACCCGACCTTATCGCCCAAATAGAGCCACATGCCCGCGAGAATGGCTCGCAGGACGCCTCCTCGAGAAACAAACCAGCAGCTGTGTTCGAACGCCATCCACAACGTCCTCCGCAACCAACACTGACCCGGATCGAGACACCCGTCAACCCTCCCGCGCCGGCTCGTAACATTCCACCGATATCAGCCATCAGCCTTAAGGCAGTCCACACCCACCGTGAACAGGGCAACGCACACTTTCAACGCGGCGATTATTCCGCAGCACACCAGTCGTATGCAACCTCTATTACGCATATTCCTGCCGCTCATCCTCTCCTTATCGTCCTCCTGACCAACCATGCTCTTACCGCCCTCAAGACAGGCGAGCCGAAAGTGGCCATCACTGACGCCGATAAAGCTATTGCCATCATTGGGGTATCTAAGGGTGAATCAGAGTCGATCGATCTCGGAAGTAACACTTCTTCAAAGCGGATGCGTGACTACTACGGCAAGGCACTGATGCGGAAAGCCGAAGCACTGGAGCAGATGGAAAAATGGGCCGAAGCAGCAGCTGTCTGGAGATTGGCTGTCGAAGGCGGGCATGGTGGCTCGACAAGCATACAGGGCAGGCTTAGAGCCGAGAAAGCGGCCAGTCCGACGACGCAGAAGCCAGTCTCAGCGGGGCCGAAGCGCTCTGCTGTGTCTGCCCCGAGGCGGCCGGCGCCAGCTCGAAACTCACCTGCTCCAGCAACTGCCGCAGCAGCAGTGACCAGGCTCCGTGCCGCGAATCTCGCCGCCGAAAAGGCCGATGAGGAAAAGTTTCGGCTCGGTGACTCGGTCGATGCACGAGTCTATGCGTGGAAAAACGGGAAAGCCGACAATCTGCGCGCCTTGTTGGGTTCGTTGGAAAATGTCCTTTGGGAGGGAAGTGGATGGAAAAAGGTCAGCATGGCGGATTTGGTCTTGCCACAGAAGGTCAAGATTCAGTACATGAAGGGCATTGCCAAGGTTCACCCCGATAAGGTATGTCTCTTCTCTCTATTCGTATAGGCACTGGTGCCATCTTTTGCTCATCGAACTCTTTCTCACAACAGATCCCGACGGATGCCACAACAGAGCAGAGGATGATTGCCGGGTCCGTCTTTAGCACCTTGAACGAAGCCTGGGACAAATTCAAAGCGGAAAATGGACTATAATGGGCAAAGAAGTGTCCGTCCGACGGGAATTATCTACGATATCCAATGCTAGAAGTAAGTGTTCATCTTTGGGAAGAACAATGGAACCTTGACTTCCAAGGGCGGACGACTCTATACATGCATAATAAGACATTGATCATCTGTTCAAAGCCTTGTCGCAGACAGACGCTTCTCGGGTAAATTGTTGGTACACTTGGGAGACAGGCCAGGTCAGGATGTGTGCTGTCACCTCTTCTTACCACCAATCTTGACGCCTTTGTTTGATTTCTTCCCCTTGCTCTTCTTGGTGCCTTTGGCGGCCTTGGAAGCCACCGCGGCCTCCAGTCTCGTAGCTCGCTTGCGCCATGCCTGCCATCTGTTTTTCCGATCAAAGCCGTCGACCTTGACATTCTGCCTCTCTGCTTCGCGACCAATCGAACTATTCGCTTCTCGGTTGGTGCCCTCACGAAGAAACGTTGGAATGATGACGCGGGGCTTGTACTTTGTCATTCCGTGACTCTTAACCGGCTGTGTGGTTTCAGGTGGAGATACCACTGGTACAGTGAAGACTTGTGGCTCTTTCATTGGTGTTGCGAACATGTTCAGCCGTCGTCGCGTGGGGGCATTCGGCGTTGCGGGAAGTTGCGAGCCAGGTCCATCTTTTTCCAATGCGACTCCAATATATCGTCGTTTAGGGTGGCGTGCTGGATCTCGATAATAGCGGACGTAGCCAGACTCGGTGGCGTAGATAGAATGGTCTTTACCAATGCCGACATTCTCGCCAGGGTGCCATTTGGTACCTGCAATCTTTGGGTCAGCAACTATCCATGGCCGGTCAGCCCAAGGAGAAATCCACCTCTCTGTTTGAAAATTATGTTTCCAGGGACAACGTATTCTGAGGCCGACTTTTTGGCTCCAAGGCGTCGACCTGCCGAGTCTGTGGGCCCATTGGCTCGCCCCTGAGCCGCATGGGAGGCATATCGGACGAGAATTTTAGATGACTGCGGTTTGAAAGGTGTATGGTGGGAGTAGAAGCTGAGGGAATTCATGGACGAGACGAGGGTGACCAATGAAGGTTCCGCTGCGGTGGCGGATTGGAACAGCCGTGGCTGCAACATGGCGACTTGATGCAAGGATAATTACCGTCGAGGAAGACACATGGTGTTGTCGAAGCAGTTACAAATAATTGTCTTGCGGTGGACAATTGCTTCCAGAAAGTTGAGGTTGCTATGAGTTTGGCGCTAACCACTTTCGGTCAAAACTGTCAAATTCCATCGTCATTTGAAACCCTGCATGGGGTATAGGGAAGGCGCGAAGGCCAAGTTGTTCCTTCCCTCATGGAAGCCAATATAATCTAACCCAAATGTCAGTTTCGACTTCATCATCTCATCCTTGAAATCGCTGTCCCCATTTCATATTGTTTCGTCAACATGATGACTCCTGTTGTCACTCTTCTCCTTTTCCTGAGCGTGGCATCAGCTCAGTTTCAATTCTTCGAGCAGTTTTTCCAAGGCGGCCAGCAACAAGCCGCTCCGGAGAAACAAAATGTACCTAGCGACTCTAACTGGTATCGTCAAAACTGGGAGGGAGGTACGTCAATTGCCAGTTACTCTTTGAATTTTCTCTCTCCTCTTCATGCTAGCAGCTTGATGTCCATCAGAGAGCCATGTTCGATCATTACTGACACATCGCATAGCGACCTGCTCCAACTATCTATGCCCGGATACACTTGCTTGCGTGCATTTTCCACACCACTGTCCATGTCCGCACCCTGATGTGGAGGACAAGGTGGAACTCGCAGAAGGTATCGCCGTTTGTGCCAGCAAGGGGGGCTACAAGGCAGGGGAAGCCCTTCGTAAGGTTGACTTGGCCAGAAAAGGTCTCTTATGAGTCGTTGTCGGGAGGCTCTGTACAAGTGCAACACAATCATTTTGCAAGCAATACAGATGTTTATTCCAATTCCTGCTCTGCTAGGTCCTCTTTGTGACGCAACTGCTAGCATCCACAGAGCGTCGTCTCCGACGGTGGACCACATAGAAGAGATAGAAGCTGTTAGTCGCATCTCCAAAGACTTTGAATGCCGGCGTTCGAATTCGACCCATGGTTGTCATATTGAGGTCGGTGCCAATTTCTCCCAAGCGCAAATGTCTTGCATGTGCTCAGAGCGAGGCAGAATATATTTTGTTGGCAGTGAAGCGGTTCGATGCACCCCGCAGGGCTTTGTCTTGTTGTCATGCCCTCATCTCAACGCAGGTCGCTGCCTTATTACACTGCCGATGGACGCCTTTCCAGCCCATGTTGATGCCAATAGCCGGCGCTGGCACCACTTCACAATGGCTGTTCGCAGCGTTTTCTCCAAGTCTACCTTTGATTCTCAAGGCTCTCTAACTCTCTGAATCACGACCTCCAGGAGACTCTCATTCTGCCATCCTCGTTGCTGTGGTCATTGCTGTGCGTATGGAATGGAAATCAAACACAGGTGCTTGCTACGACTGTCTTCACAAGGCTTAGATCGATGGATCCGTTTTCTCTGACTGCCGGGGCAATTCAAATTGCAGCAGCGTGTGCTCAGTGTACAGTCACAATTATCAAGTGGGTTGGCGATGTCCGCACCGTCGACGCTCGCATCTCATCGTTTTGCGACGAGGTTTCGGCGCTCCGTGCTACTTACGAGGGACTGGAACATAGCCTGAGCTCGCCGTTGATGGCTGAGGCGGCCCGCATCGCCAGCAAAACCTCTGATGGCGGTCCCCTATGGCTGCAAATCAGGGAAGCATTAGACGACTCGAAGAAAAACATGAAGTGAGTCAATGAGGTGCTCACACACATCGCTAGCACTTCAGGCTTTGCTCATCGGATCAAGGCTCAACTTCAGGAGTCCCTGGCTTCTGGAGAGTTGTTCTATCTTCGCCAGCGCATTCAGGTCTTCAATTCATCTCTGTCCCTTCCCATCCAGATGGTTTGCGTCATGCTGCAACTCGAACAAAGGGGCATTAGTGTCGAGAACCAGATAGCCCTGAATAGAAAACTGATATCCTTGGAGAAAAGCATCCAGGAGTTAGTGCAAACCCTGTCCACTCCTTCGAATAGTGGTTCGACACAGGTTGCCAGTGATGTCGACTCCTCGGGCCGCGCAGGGATGGAAGCATACATGGCGTTCGCCCAGAAGTTTTTGACGACTGCATCTGCAGCTGCCAGTACGCGCTCGTCTCTTAGCACTATCTCTCAGCCAAATGTACCCTTGGAGCACCGGCGCCTCTCAGGAGTTGGGCTTTCTGGCGATAACAAAGCACGAGTCGCTGGGTGGATCCCACCGCCATCTCCACCTTCTCGTGAGTCCAGGTGCCCGACGGATCACGAGCAGCGCAATCATATCACTCAGTCACCAAGACTGGAAGTGCCAAATACCGTCGGAGCTGAGGTGGAGTTTCTGAGGACTAAGCGACATCTAGACTTGGGTCAGGAAAGACTCCAGCAAGACCAGCATGTGGCTGCAGAGACGCACTTCCGCAAAGCTCTTGCGCTCATGAAAGGGCACGATTTTCAAGGCAAAATCTCCCTCCAACCGGCTGATATTGTACTTATAATAGCGGACTGCTGCCTGAAACAGCAGAAGTTTGACGAGGGCAATTAACCTGCTCAAACCTGTGACAGAAATGAGTGATGTTCTCTGTGCAGAAGACTCCAAGAGTACAATTGTTCAGTCTCACCCACCTGGCCACGAATCGCACAGACCTGACAGATTGCAAGCACTGGCAGGTGATCACATGCTTGGTCTGACGTACATGCTAAAAGAAGAATATGAGATCGCTGTTAGTCAGTCCTTGATTATGTGTCCAAAGAGCACGACAATGATTTGAGTCGCATCATGAAGGGCGCAGTCGCAAGATATGTCAGTGAGCTCCCAACTTGAGGTCCTTCAGAGGAGTCAAGTGGTGGCAATACACATCACTGAGCAGCTCAGGTATCTCATCTCAACAATAGTAAATGATCTTGCTATGATATTGCTAAGATCCGTAGTAATGTTTCCCCGAAGTCTATCAGCATCGATACGGAGGAGCAGAGGTGGCAGAACTGGCGCGTTAAAGTTGTTCCGAATCCGGCCTTGGCAACATTTGGTCGGCGCAGCTTCGAAGCTCAGAGCTTGAGACCGGATCCTCTTGACCCTTTCGTTCTACCACGAAACTATCAAACTCCTCAAATCCACGCCCACAATCCTCGTCAAGATGGCATTCGCCTGGAAAGCAGCAGGCATTTCGTACGCGCTCAACCCCTGGCATCGCTTCTTGACCTGCTGACCCATGCAGTTACAACCGCTACCTCGCAATCGCCGCCCGAGTTGTCCGACGATCGTTGCAGGAAGGCCCAAGATTACAAGCTGAGAGACGGGGTGAAATGGACCTGAGGTTCGCAAAATGGCAGGTCAGTTGTGGCACCATGGAATTATCCTACCAAAATACTGACTGACCGATTCAAAAGAATGGCAAGCAGGGGGAGAACAGAAGTTTGGGAGAAGCCAATGCCGAAGCTGCGACGGAACTAGCATCACAAGAAGCCAAATAAAGGATGAGTTGAGCCTGGAGACAGCGGGCCAGCGGTACCCTAGGTTGGGATACTGTTCATTGTAAATATCATATCACTCCGTCTGGCAAGACTGCTCGTGGAATGGAAAAGCGTAGCCATAAAGTTGGACCCTCAACCCTTCAGTGGAGCGAGATTGGGGGGAAGCACATGACATGACACTCCAAAATTTTATGCCCAAGGCAATTAAATTATCATGTCGGCCATTAATCAGTTCGTCTGTCTCTAAACAATCTTATATCTACCATGACTTCTTCGTGGCCATCGTCATCTCCATGTCGTGCTCGTAACGTCAATTCCAAGTCACTCTCGTTGTCGCGGGCTATCTCCACCGCCAATGTTGGGATATAACGAATCCCCAATTTCCGACTACGAGTGTCATCGATTACAACCAAGGAGGCCATGGTGCGACCAACCATTTTGCATCCAAATGTGCAAATCAACGACATAACGACCGCCTTCCGGGCTGCCACGTCCAGTAAGCTACCATCATCCGCATGTTGACGCTGTGTTCTGGCCTCTGACTTGACAAAAACTAGCCCTAAAACCCGGCCAGCTGGTTAAAGATGAGCACTTTACTTTGTTCGAGGCCGTCAGTGCCTTGGAGGTTAGTACGCGAGCTTTTGGGTATCTGATCGTATTTGCTGACCAGCCCAGATTGGCGATCCCAAGATGGACAGCGGGTGTTATCCTGGCGAGGAAGCCGAGGAAGACTACGACTTCGCAACAGCATTCTCTGCAGAGGAACTCATCTGGTTGATGGATGAACTGATCTGTCGCGAGGCACGTCTCTGATAATTGTCATCTCTCTCAATCCTGACAAATCACAGGTCGCATGGCACATGGGCTACCCGCTCTCTCAAACTCTTTTCACGTCTGTCCATATCGAACGACTGCTTTGGCCAGAGCCCAAATCATTAGACGAGGCCAGCTTCCATAAACGAGTGCCTGTCTCGACACCACTTCCACCTCTCCTGACTCACATTTTCCAGCCTTTCTGCTTGGCATTAATCAAGTGTTGCGATCTTGTTCTAACAATGATTCTAAATTCACATTATTACGAGGTGAGTCGCAGAACTCTCTGGGCATGTTGGAGGCATGGTCTGATTCAGTGGTGCTACAGGAAGAGGATTTTGCTACGCAGGTTTTCAACCGTCCCTTGCTACACAGCGTGGCGGTCGACGATATTTTGGTTGTCTTGCAGAGTGCTCGGACTCATCTTTCTACCCTTGCTTTGGCCCCAGATCTCGAAGCTGCCATTGCTGCCAGACTAGACTTACGCCTGTCCTTCCTATTCATGCTTCACTCATGTGCTGATGCAACAATCCCTGATCCAGTACGAGTCCGAAACCCTCGATCCATCATTGAAGTCGTGCAAACCTCCTCCCATCTTGGGAAGCCCGTGATCTCGGAAGTCTTCACACTGAAGATCCAACGGCGACTGGCGAGCAGCGTCCCGCCCAGGCCTATGGTTGTTATCAATCATCAGGAGTCCTTCAAATTCCTGACACAGCTGTTCACCGATTCCATCAATGCCTTTGAGCTACTTGACGTTTCATGCAGCGCGGATCTGCTGGCAGCCTATCAAGTCTTCATGTCCCAGAACCCACAACCTGCCGTCTATGTTCGAGCACTCGTGCAATCCTTCTTGAGCCTAGATTATAACGTTCTAGGGAGGTTTACTGCACAAGAATTTGTTTTCCAAGATCTCCGACCTTTGGCAGCACCCGACTACCTGTTGACGCAGGATCTAACGTGGAATGAAAGGTCTTTCAGTACTGAACAATTACAGATCCTCAATCAGATGACAGAGTTTGCAGGTCGTGTTGGCCAGTCATTCGTCAACATCTTCCGTGCGCAGTGTTTGAGCCGATCTCGACTTCGACGCACCACGTGTCATGCTGCCCTAGAATGGGATCAGATCCAGGCCGAAGCCGAGGAGCTCGACGCATCCTATCAGTCTGCTTTTGGAGAATCGCCGCGAACGATCCCCGGTGGTGAAGACCAGATGTTTTCATACACCTTCAGTAGTTGGGTGTACCATCACAAGCTCTGTCAGTTAGCTACCATTCACCAGCTCGGGTTCGAACTTTCCATCTACGCTCCCTATGAATATGTCCAAACCCTATGGCATTTGGCGTGGGTGAGCAATGCGCATATCTCTCATCTAGATAGAATCAGCCTCTTTGTCGCTTCAGATGGCGAATTGGACGCCATGTGGGGTCGCAAGGCTCCCGCTCATCTTCGCCAGCTCTTTCGCCAATTCACTTGGCTTAAGGCCGTTGAAGCCTTGGCTAAAGCACTACACGGCGTCTATGTGGTGCTGCAACGCCATGGACATGTTCAACAACCAACCCCAAGCTACTCGACGCACGATTTAAGATATGAGCTACGACTGCGACCGTTCCAACATCTCTCAATCCCCGAGCCGCTCACCGCGGAGGTTGCCCGACAAGGCTATCTTCTCGAGGGTTTTTCGGATCAAGTGGTGCTCGATCAGGCCTCGAGAAACAACCAGATCGCCAGAAAGACCTGGGATGAAATTTTGAAAAATCGATGGAACTCTCAGCCGTTGCTCAGCGCCCCAGATGGATTAGGGGGTACTTCTTCCTCGATCATTGAAAAGGAATGGACACAGGGAATACGAAACTGCATCAAAGCATGTATTGGGAACGGAATCGCCATTAGTGTGCTCAGCAACACATTGAACAGGAACAAGGCGATGCTGTCTGCGCTCACAGTCACCATTGCGGAGTCGGGTCATCGAGATCGTTGGCATCCATCCTGGCCAGTACCCAAGATTTCAAGCTGACCAAATCGTGAAACCACGATTTATTAGTTTTTCAATGCTTTCTGTGCGCAATATGGTAGCTTTAATATGATTCGTTACCGCCCGCACCCTGGGCTGTATTGGGCTGAGTAGCACAATAGAATGGCCATACTTGTTGCAAGCCTCATGCACAGAACCATGTGGTTCGGCTCTGGCAAGGCTGAGGTGCAGCCTCGTCTCCCTGCCAAGTTTCTAAACTCCGAAGAATATTTTAAACGCCGACAGATATTTTTTCCTGCGCCGTTTCGATCTTTGTTGCAGAATCCAACAACTCCAGGTTTCACCTTGCATCCCCAATGGCGTCCGCCTACAAGTCAGCGAAGCGGTCGGGTGATTTTGACGAGTCTGATGTCTCCGACGGATCAGATTCGGTTTCGTCCAGCGAAAGCAGTGCCACTCTCCGCGCTGGATCTTCGGAAGGTGAAGAAGAGACAGTAGATGCACCCCGCCTCAAAAAGGCTTCGACATTACCTGGCGAACTGAGGAATCGTGTTTTGATGCTGACATCGCGTGGTGTATCATACAGGTGAGACTCTCCGGCCTGGGTATTGAATGTCTACTTACAATTGAAACAGACACCGACATCTTCTCTCCGATCTTCACGGTCTTCTTCCTCATACTTACAAAGACACCAAACTTGATACCAAGTCATCGAACAACTACAACTCTGCGTTAAATGGTCTTGCCGATCTCCACTCATGCAACTATGTCTTTTTCCTAGAAGCGCGAAAACATGGTCAAGATTTATATCTATGGCTCGCTCGACCCCCGAACGGACCCACGATCAAGTTCAGTGTGACCAATGTCCACACGATGGCTGAGCTTGGATTTGGAGGCAATTGCCTGAAAGGTGGCCGCGGAATCGTGGTCTTTGACAAAAGCTTTGACGAAGGAGTCGCTAGCGCTGAACATCTCCCTCTAATCCGAGAAATGCTACGCGGGGTCTTCTGTGTGCCCTCGAAAGGCGTGAGAGGCATGAAACCATTCATTGATCGAGTCATCGGCATATATGGTCTTGACGGCAAGATCTGGATTCGTATCTACGAGATTCGAGAAAAAGAGAGCGAAACGAAGACGACCAAAGACTCCAATCGTTCGGCGGAAGATATCTCCCTTATTGAAGTTGGCCCACGGCTCGTCCTCACCCCCATCATCATTCAAGAAGGTAGCTTTGGAGGACCCATCATATACGAAAACAAGCAGTTCGTCAGTCCCAACCAGCTACGGAGCGAGACGAGATTGAAGCGTGCCGGGAAATATGCTAGTCGAAGAGGAGGTGCAGAAGATCTTGCCGTCAAAAGAAAGTCCTTGGGACTCAACTCGGGTTCAAAACGAAAACGATCAGCTCTGGATAATTCACAACTTTTTGGCTGATGAGCCAGTACTCTCAGACAACGTTTCAGAACTTGAACATTATATCACTGCCAGATTTGATACCTTACTAGCGTTGCATCGAGCAACGGCAGTATATTGCCTTCGGCAGTTTTCTTCGACCTCATGGCCAAGTGATTATTGCGGTCTGGTTGCGGGCTATGATCTGACCCAAACCCTAATCGACATCATTCGACAAGGGCGCACACCGATCTTACGGCGTAGCATGTTTATGCACCGACACCTTCCGACAAGGCACCACCTCCTTCGCTGGAAAAAGCGGCACATTCTCAGGCCTTTCACAGAAATCCGGTGATGAATCTGGTTCATCGTCCCTCCAAGTGTGGCCCTCAACCACTTGGATGAGAAAGTCTTGTGGCCAATTTTGCTATTCGGAACCGACAAGAAAGACCCATGTCACTGGTACAGCTACGTCGATTCTCATTCTGGGGCTTCCTGCACAGACTTTACGGCATTGTGGCAAGCAACGGAGGACTAGATCTCAGATGACAAAGTGGTACGAGATCAACTCGACCGTGTGCGCAAATAAGTAGCCAGCCTAGATTTGCACAATGTTATAATAACGAATGATTCCCAATCACAAATCCTGCACCATTCTCGTTCTAATTGATGGGCATGAAAGATGCACTTGAAGTCAAAAATCGTGAGAGGCTGGATCACATGATATGAGATATATTGCCAAGCCAAAGTCGCCAGCCTCGTCAGACTCACCGACATTATCTGGATACTAACTGGCCAACCTTAAATTGCATCTATTGTACCTCTACTTACGTCCATCATCGTGCTCTCGTTGAGAAACCATCTTATCAGTTGTCCCATCTGTTGTGTCAATCACGATGGGCCTCGAGTTTGTGATGGACTCCTGCAAGATGTGCCCTTCAATCCAACAGAACACCGCCAGCGGCGCGGGTATCCCCTTCATCAATGCTTCCAACCATGATAGCCCCAGTACTGGGGTCTTTGAGTGTTGAGCTTCAAGTGTTTGCTGCAGTCAAGTGCTGCAGAATCCATTTTTAAGGCCGAGAGGTGTCTGATACGCACATAAATCGTATGTCTCACAACCATCGTACAAATGGAGTACTGTGCTGACAACCCAGAACTTAATGGCCATGGACGCGCTGGCTCCCGAGTTGTTGATTCACATTTTCAAGTCACTCCATTCCGCTGCCGACATCATCAACCTTTCCTTGACGTGCCGATACTTCAACTCTCTCCTTCCCAAGTCCCAGAAATTGGCTCTGTTCTTTCATACCGTCGATCAAGAGATGGGACCTGTTCAAGAAGCCATTCAATTGCTCACTCAAAACGACCAACAAGCTCTCCACATCCCACGAAACCCGCCACTCTCTTTTGCCCTCCTTGCTCAAGTCACGAATGTCGGTCGTGTCGCACAGCGCTTTGTTTCCTTATATCCACTACACAAGTGGACCTATGAGAACAGCGAGAATCGCCGGATGCTGCAACACGACGAAGCCAGACGCCTCAGACGTGCTGTGTATAGATTTTGGAGTCATTGTCAGGCACTGCATTCCCAAACTTTGTATCGCACTTCTCGTCCCGGTTCAGTCAACACTGAACGTTTACAACTCCTGCGCAGCTGGAGTACGGCGGAGCTTTTAGAATTGGAAGACTTTCGTGGCATTCTGGAGCAACTTCTGGCGAGCGAGATCTGCCCTACAGATGGAGATGTCTTCTCTCGTCACCCACAGACCAAACCTGTCTATTCGTTTTCATTCAAACGTGACGCCCTGCTCGATCCTGTCAAGTCCAGCATTTACTCTGAGGTATTTCACACAAGCGGGCACGAAACCTCCGAACCCACGCAAGATTCCAGGATGTCGACTCAAGAACGCCGATTCAAATGCATGCAAGGATGGGGGAGTGACCTGGAGAACTTTTACGTGGTGCAGGCATTCCTCAAACTTACGCCGGCGCAGCTATTGTGGCTATTGGACCATGCCGTCTACAAAAGCGATGTCGAACAATTCGTCGAGTCTCAAACAATGGACCTCTGTTTTCTTGAGAGCGGCTCGATGCTCTTCCACGAGTGGGTCACCGTGCTTCACCAACGCGGAGTGGATGTCCAACAGGTTCGAGATTCGATCTGGGAGGGAGAGGCAGGAATTGTACGAGCACAAGAGAATCAGGTCGTATAGATCCATAGACAGATTGCCATCCTAGAGAAACCGTTGTTGTCGGGCCGTGTGGTCAACCATGTTCCTCCTTCTTTGGGGGTAGTAATTGATATCGTGAAGTCTATAAAGGTTATCTGTCCATGACCGTAGTAGATACAATGGTGCTCTGATGTTCAAGGAAGTTTTTCAGAAACAGCGTGGACAATACCGAACTTGGTAGGAGACAAAGCGGAAGTGGACGTCGTGTAGTGTAGTTTAGTATAAAGTGTCGAAGTTGGTCTCATTGTTATACACGTCGAAGTAATCCATACCTTCGGTACAGCTATTCACATTCAGAACAACGGTCTCGAGTATTTCTAGGTGCTTTGGAGAAAGGTAAATGTGATCGTGACTCTCCAAAGGTCGGAGATGGGTGGGAGTTCGTCCCATTACATATTCCTAGTATGTAGTTTATTCTCCCATATCTATATAGTGACCACCTTATTCTCAAACGCTAAATATATTTCTTGGATTTAGACGAGACTTGGACACCACGATTACGATGGCAACAGATCTTTACACTCGGAGAGCTCCTATTTTTTGCTGCTACATTCTATCACCAACTGAAGGATTTCAAAGATAATCATAGGTCTATTGCTTACGTAGACAAAACTCCATGGGTAGATAAACACGCACTTGTCTGATATCATACATTGTCGACTAGGTATTCTCCATGCCCAACGGCACTGGTCAATTCGCCCATTGTCTTTTCTGGGGCTGGTGAATGGGTGGCGACAAAGGTTTTCAAGCCCGTCAGTAGCCGGGGAACGTTCTGCCTGATGGAGTACAGGACCATCTCACTCCAGCCCTGTTCATGGATGTAGACATTGTCCTGATCACGGATGTCACTGCCACGGTTTGCGGAGCCGGCAGGCTTGGAGATGCCCACCAGAGTCGGGAAAGCCGAGATACAACTCATGTTAAGCTCTCCATTTTTGCACATGGTTCCAATCCCGTTGTCAACCGGCTCGTTCCATGGCACCATGCTTTGCCGATATAGGATCTTCTGGGCGCCTCGTAGTGACACCGCGTACGCCGTCAGACACGACAGCCACGCCGTCCGAAAGTAGAGTCGAGTTTGTGTATCGCCCAGTTCGCCTTCTTCCCATGGTCCCATGTCGGGCTTCTCCCACTCTAGTCGAGCATCCGGTGGCAACACCGTTGGATCCTTTGGTATCACAAAGTAATTCTCGGTGTCTTGTTGTGGCACTGCAGCACAGTGCCCCAACGACAGAATGTCCCAGTCATTTCCGTATGGTGACTCCCGGCCTGGCGGCGATGTGGTAACAAAACTCACCGCGTCCGCAGCCAACACCATTTGGTGTCGGAACGCAACATCCCAATCTGCATCGTCCTCAAAGATCAGCGCTGACTGTACGTTTTTGCGGACCATTTCTTGAAAGACGTTCAGATGGGCCCGCCAGCAGCCCTTGGTGCCTTCGTCCTGGTCGAATGTCTGCCCACCATCCCGTTAGCATTCGAATTACTTGCCGACTCCTTGCGCACACATACCAGTGGCAGGGCTTTTGGCGATATGTCAGACCCAAGCACGCCGTCTCTGAATTCAAAGCTGATGTTGGACAGTCGTGCTTGTAGTGTGAATGCATCTCGTCGGTCACTTCTCTCCGGTAACGAGATGGTGTAGACCTTTTCAAACCCAACTGTTGCATTCAAGACCTGCTGATGGGCCGTGGACTCAGAAGAAGATTTCTCAGTTGCGGCTCTCCATGTCCCGTCTTGACCAACCTGTCCCGATGATAGACATCGTGACCTGTCTGCTGTAGCTTGCCCAACGAGAAATGGTATGTTACGAGAATAGACGAACAAAATCAATGTCAGAAGAAATCCAGTGACCGAAAATCGAGCATGCATAGTTGTCAGGCCTCAACCTGCTGCGATGCGCGATACTCATATGTCGACGGCGGCGGTCTGCCATAACAAGATGAATAGGCCAGCCCTGCAGTCTAAGCAAAGTACTTGTACGACTCAACACCATGCCCTATCTTAAAGAATTAGGGTAGGCTTGCCATATCCAGCGAAGCAAATGATGCAAAAAGTCCAAGCTCAGTATCGATAGCACGTGGAAATGGTCCCTGTGCGTCGACTTGGAACCAGTGCACAGGCCACTAATGGGCCAAAACATAGTTGAGGCGAAGAAGAGAGCACGGCAGAGAGCACGGCAGACACGGAATCCATGGACAACGCAAGTCCTGGACATGCAGGCTTGTGAGTAAGTGCACATCAGACATGCCTCAGGGTCACGCGATCAGACGTGTGGGTAAGTCTCACTGGCGATCTCACAGTCTGGATTGTTTGTTGATACGGTGTCGACAGCCTGAACAACTCCAAGTGCCTTGCAATATCTCTGGTCCAAGGTCTGTCCGAAGGATCGTTGAAAGCTGGTTCATTTGCAGAGTTTGCACCTTTCATTTGTTTGGAGCGAGTGTCTAGCCCTGCATACAAGAACCCAAGCAGTCATTCGAGACATGATCATCTCTGCATCTCAATTCGCCCGACGGTCAGGAATTCCTCGTAGAACATACAATTGTGCGAGCTCTGCAACTCGGGAACTAAAGAAAGACAATCAGTGGCTCTCAATGTTCGATGCTTTAGCAAGTGGGCAACGGTGACACGATCGAAATGCGAACTGACAATTTCAAAATATCAACGGCTCGACCAAGAGATTCGGGGTTGGAATTGAAGTCTTATCGAACATGGAACATTCACCGGATGTCTTATCATGAAGCTGTGGTGCTTGCTCATGAGTCATGCAAATCATCAGCACATGAATACATTATCAAATTCATACTTTGACATGAAAAACGCCGTGCTCCGAGTATACCGCGTATCAAATCCAAATCAGCAGCACTTGCCCCCCTTAGCGTCCGGAGTTCCAGAGGGTGTCATGTCAATCTTGACGCCACCTGACGGAGCTTGTGCCGCATCTCCATTGTCTAATGCCTTGCTGGACACGATCCGATAGATTTCTGGAATGAAAAAGTCAATACCTGCTAGCCACAACAGAAGACTCTTGGTGAATTTACCTGTGAGAATGTTTTGGAACGCCAGTTCGACGTTGCTAGCATCGAGCGCAGATGTCTCGATAAAGGAGAGATTGTTCTCGCCTACATTCATGTCAGTGTGATATTGCAGGATGATGAGTTTAAACGAGTTTGCTCACTAGCAAATTGTTTAGCTTCCTCTGTTGGAACGGCTCGCAAGTGGCGCAGATCGCTCTTGTTTCCAACAAGCATGATGACGATGTTGGCATCGGCATGGTCCCGCAGCTCTTTCAACCATCTTGTGACATTGTCGTATGTTTGATGCTTGCTAATATCGTAGACAAGGAGGGCTCCCACAGCACCTCGATAATAGGCAGATGTAATCGCTCGGTATCGCTCTTGACCCGCGGTATCCCAGATTTGAGCCTTGATTGTTTTGGTGTCGACCTGGATCGATCTTGTCGCGAACTCGACACCAATCGTGGACTTTGAATCGAGGTTGAACTCGTTGCGGGTGAATCGACTCAGAAGGTTGGATTTGCCGACGCCACTGTCTCCTATGAGAACCACTGTTGGAGAATAGAGTCAGTGACGGTGACGAAGGATTTGGCGGGGAATGGAAAGAAATCGCAGGAGAGGGATGCCAGAATAGGGACCATCTGCAGCATCATAAACTGACTGACCCTTGAAAAGAAAATCGTACTCGTCGCCCATGGTTGTGGTGTGATCAAGGGGGGAGGAAGTTCCAGGAGGGCGTGAATAAGGCAGGCAGCAAGACTGATCACCAAGGGTCCGGGAATGAAAAACTTGGATGTGATCAAGTCCACTAGGGTTATCAAGAATAATGAGCAAAAGAGTTGAAAGGAGGCTGAGGGTCGAGGATGAGGTAGGTGTCAATGGCAAGATTAGACGTCGTGGCCTGTCGCGGTGTTTTGACCAGAGGTGATCCGGGTGGCCGCAATATCAACTGGCAGGCAGACCAGTCAGAGTGGCAGAGGTTCACAGCCTTCAGGGTTCTATGAGGGTTCTTGGCATAACGCTAGTCCCTTTTAGGTCCAAGAACACCAGTCACCGTCGCGCCTTCCTGTATTTCCTTTAAGTCACGATGCATGAGGCAGGAACTTCCTCTGATCATTCCTTCCGTTTTGAAGGGCAAAAAAAAGGAAAAAATGTAAAAGCGCAGTTCCTCCTCCAAACCCCTGCGATGATCATGAGACGTCTTCCTGACCCGCTACCTGCTACCCACGACTCGCCGGGTAGGCCTCGTGATCTGGTCCCAGTCAATGTATTTTCGATTTTCCACTCCCGGGTTCACGCTTCAGCAAGATGACCCAAGAGTCGCCCGCCAGCTGCGAGGATGAAGAACTTTTTAGGGTAGAGAGAATTCTTGCAGAGCGAGTGGAGGCCGATGAGAAGATCTATCTGGTTAAGTGGGCTGGGTATCCTGATGACCAATGTACCTGGGAGCCCAAGGAAAGCTTCACCGAATTGGAAACCATCACTGATTGGGAGACACAGCGCAACAAGGGTGGCCTTCTAGATGAAGAAGAGGTCGCAGCCGTCCAGATGCGCATGGATGCTTTCCAAGCCCGCCAAGAGGAAGCAGAAGCTGCTGAAGAAGAGGACCAAGAAGCCGCCCGACTCCAGGCTTCTCAGTCAGCAAATACAGCAGAGTCCTCAAGTGAAACGCCAACCACTCAAGCCCCCCGATGTTCTCGGAGTTCAAAGTCTCCATCCCCTGGGAGTGACCTCCTTCTCAATACTCGCAAAAGAAAGGCCCATACCAATTCACCATCAGCTGGCGATGAATCTCCAGCAACTAAGCGGCCCAAGTATGGCGAGACATCCAATGTGGCTTCTGCATCGACCGTTCTAGCGTCTCAGTCTGCAGAATCCCAGCAGTCACCTGTAGAGAGTCATCCTGCAACCCAAGAGCTTTCCACAAAGGAAGTCCACCCGCCTAGCCAGAACCCAAATCCAAAATCAACGAAAGCTGTATCTCCACGAACGATTGCTTCGAATTCAACAAACAAGTCAAACCACGATATCGATGGAACTCAGCTGAATCAGCAACCATCTTTGCCAGCATCACGTGCGCATCTGCCTCAACCCAACAATTCTGTGACGCCTACGACTGATCATGATGCATCTGAAAGCATTTCGACTCCTATTGCTAAACCAGCAGCCACAAAGGCGACAGGATCTGGTCAAAATCCACACAGCAGAGCTGGCCAGCGCTTCGATAGTCTTCGTCACCGGAACAACTATATGAAGCGTTCAAGACAGGAAGGTGTACCTGATCCAACGGCTTTGGACTTGAGAACTCCCGAAGAATGGTCAAATGGTACAGCTGCCAACAACATCGGCGTGGGTCAGTCCCACGACCAGCATGATGGTTCGACCTTGTTTGTGCCCGAAGAAAGCGACCACAACACCCTCGAATTAGACGTAACAAACGAACTCGATGCCTCAATCGCCAAAAAGAGTCCTGTGCCTACAGATGTGCCCGGTTCAGATTTGCAGCCCTTGCCGAATGATACGCTTGACAAACACTGTACCACAACAGCGGAACGTTCTACACCTGACCAACTTGTCCCTTTATCAACGTTAGATGGAAGCACGAATAACAGTGATTTGCCCGCTACATACTCGACGGTAGCAGCAAAGGTACACTTTGAAAACCACTCCGAAGTCTCTCCGGTTCAATCATCGACATTAGCCCCACAACAACCCCAGCTGGCACGATCAACTAGCCAACTTCAATCGTTCCCCGTGACACGTGATACAATGACACATGCTGGAAATCATGAAACTAATTCCCGAGGCCTGGTAAAGACCGCCACCGGTCGATTTTTCGATCCACGGGAGGAACTATTGGTTCAACTCTATCTAGGAATTTCCCCCGTGGGCGATGTCAGAATTCGGTTTTTTCCGCCCTGGCTCAAAACAAAGATCAAGGCTCTGAAGTCTTCAGATGGAAAACTAGAAATTGCGTTCGATGAGAAATGTTTCCAGCAGCCCGACGAGTTTGCCGCTTTTAGCAAGCAGCTGTCTCCTCGTGCTGCCGCTGGGGGAATCATCGTGGCTTATGAGGACACGATGAAGACCATGGACAGCCTGATCCAGCACTTGGAACAGTACAATGTTTGCGCCGTATGGATCTACCCTGACGAGCGAGAGACGTTGGTGATGATCCTATACTCTTGCGGAGCCTCAGGATGGAAGTCCTTTGATCATCGATCATGCTCTAACGCAGACCAGCACTTGCATCTGTCTGTCCGTAACAGCTTCTATCATCTGCCTCACGCACCAGCTCATGCTGTGCGTAGAGGAAGCCACAACCACTCTTCTCTACCATATGACCAACAAGACCAGCCACGTTCTGCAGCACCGCCGAAAGACTTGGACATGAGGCCAGCACGCGTACGCTTAGATCGAACTCAGACTACACCAAACTTGGGCTCAAGCTCCCTTGGTGCAGCTAACTCGGCAGCTCAACCTACGAGGCGGAGAAGCTTCACAGCAGAGGAACGCCCACGACTGTGGTCTTCAAAGTCACATGGCGGTTCGATCGAAGCCCAACAAGACTTGGCGACTGGGCCAAATCCTGTCGCTCGCCGTGAGTATGATGGACCCGAGAGCGCCGAATTTGTGGGCGTACCAAGCACGGCTTCGCGAAGAAGGTCATCGATGGCGAATGGCGAAAGTCGCGAATCCGCACGTGCTTGGGCATACCAGACTCTGACGAAACAAGACTTTGATTATATGACGACAGTTGCACCTGCATTTCGAGGCGATAACAGCAAGCTGAGAGTCTTCATTACCTTTACCGGGACGCATCCGTCCGAAGCTCGAATCGTTCAGGAATGGCTCCGGGCTTATGTCCGACCCCGTAATCTTTACTCTGACGCCCTGAAGACGGACTGGACCGAGTTTCTGAGCTGCTTTGAGAATAGGAGCCCGTCTTTGTCGATTGTTCTATTCCATTCTACGCTGCCCGACTATATACACTATACTAAGCTCGGTTCCTTTCTAAAGTCGGATAACTTTCTCTGCTTCAGCGTGGACTTGGAACTGTCCCCAAATAGCGGCCCGAAATGTCCCCTTGCTCGGCTGTTTCCTCGCGGTACCGTCCTTTGCATTACGGAAGGATGTATGACATACTGCCCAAAGGAAGTCCTTTGCGCGTTGGAGTACTTTGAGAGCGTGGCAACACCGAATTGGACCTTGATGCTCATACCTGACATCACAACTTGGCTGACCGATCGTCTTGCGCATTGTGGCGAAGGCGAAGAAAAAATGATATCGAAGATGCTCGAATTGATTTTCCGACTCCGTTCAAGGTTATTCACGCAGAACCTATTGGTCGACAGCAACGATTTTGATCGACTGGCTTACCTCACGGATGACGAGGCAGACGCACTTGTGCTGGAGGTGCCCCGACTCTCAAAATATGTGTCTGCGTCCGAACCTAGCGAACTTGGCGACGAGGCGTGCCTGCGGGCGCGTGACAAGGTGGTCTCGGAGTATTTCATCGGTTGGACGGCAATGAAGGCATCGATTTATCGATGCATGATCCTGTTAGACGATAAAATGACCAATAAGACGGAGAAACTTTCGGGGCACGTGAGTATCGTTGACCCAGTCAAGTTTCTCAACCAGTTTGCCGTGCAACAATATCCAGACAAGGCAAGGGAAAAGGCTTAGAAGGCCAGATCGCGCAGGAATGCGCTGGTGACTAAATGAGACCATGGAGAGAGTAAGGAAATTGGCGCCTAAGTTAGAACGAACAAGGTTGAATGGAGGTCGGCAGAGAACATTTCAACGCCCACTTCGGGCTCAGAGACTACTATCAGAGGTTACCAGACTGGTCTTTGGGTTTGTTGTATGTCTCTCAGTTCGCCCGACCTATGGCAAGTCATGTGTCGCCCAGGCACGTACCCAGATAGAAATCTTGACTGTTCTACGGTTCATAGAGAATACAAATAGCCCAATGTTTGCCCAGTTGGCCGTCGCCGTTGCCTAACATGTTTGCTAGATAGCTGCGAGGATGCTACGATTTCTGAGATCGTGACAATGTCAAGACAATACTGTTATATTTGATACATACTATAGTCATTGATAAGAACCTCGCATGCTTCGTAGACATTTGAGGTGCACGCTGTCCGCATGCATGTTGACGACTGCTGAAGCCTCGGAGACGTGCGGTGTGTTGGTTGACTTGAGAATTAGGTGGCAGACTTATTTCCTGTTGCCATTTTACGACAGGAACATGGTCTTTGCGTCTGATTTTGCTTGCTGCATCGAGCAAGGTGTCTCCAATTGATAACCGAGACCGATCTCGCTGGTCTCAATCCTCAATTTCTCTGTCGGCACAACATGCTTGTGTGTCGCCTGGATCTGCATGAAACATGCCACAATTTAAACGAAATATGGACGCCGGTCGGACAGAACTGGTGTTCTCAGGGTTCTAGCTGGTACTGTGAGTTCCTTTCAATCAGGCTCTTGTAGTAGTCACGCAAGACTTCGGGCTTTGGAACTATCCGCCATTCCATTCGGGTTAAAAACTCCAACTCTAAAAGGGCCAACTCTTTCATGCTGACTCCTCCAACCCTGGCATACGTCTTGTTGGTCCAAAACGAATCACTTAGACCCTTACTGGCCACCGTGGCACTCGTGATCAGAAACCGGTGGACGGTCAAGCTCGAAATGGTAAATGCCGGATACAGAGCGCACAAGCGATCGATATAATATACCATACTCAAAAGAATAGGCGGAGAGAGCGTGGCATGAGTGGTCAAACGCTGCAGGTAATCGAGGACTGATATGCCAGGTGGTGCTCTGGAGTGGAAACGGGTCAGATGGCCCTCTCTTAGCGGGATGGCATCGTTGTAGCGAATGAGCTCCATCAACATAGAGGAAATGAGAACGACAAGATCTCGAACATTACAGTTCTCGTACATGATGGGCATCATGCGCACAGGAGGAGCGTCGGGACGGGCTTTTTTGACGGGGGATTCGTCTTCCGAATGTGCCCCATTGATGGCTGGAGAAGGCTTCGGGGCTGGATCGACTGCCTGTCGTTTCGTTTGGACGGGGCCAGGCTCTTGAACGGGGATCTTGCTGGCCTCGGCCGTTGAAGCCTGCCGCGACAATCGGCCCTGGTTTGCAGGCGGGCTGGAAGACGCTTTTTTGGAGAAATTCTCGTTGGGGTCGGTCAAGTGCAAGCCAGCGATGGTAGAGGTTGGGGTCTTGTTTGAGGTTGCAACCGGCTTGATGTCTGGAGGGGAATATTGGGTCGAAGCGTCAACCATCTTGACTCTTGGCTGAGCTGGTTCGATGTACCGGTCAAGAGATCTGGTACTGAAAGTCCTATGAAGGTTATAGAGAGAGCCGTCTGAAGGGAGGTAATAAGTCTTGTTTAGATCGTTCTGTGTAAGGGCGGATCTTGAAGGCTTGTTGCAATAATCATATTGCGGTTGAGGGGGCGGAGGAAGATGGTGGGGTCGCGGAGAAAATGATGGATGAAGAGCGGCAGCGTCAAGGTGCTTGGATGGAAGATTTGGGGAGGGAGATGTTGCTAGCATCTCGACCGTGTGCCTGCATTGGGGGTCGCTGTCGTTGCATGTGTTTGCCGCCCGTCGAAAGAAGTCAACAGAGCGAAAAGGCGAAAAGGCGAAAAAGCGTGTCTTGCGATGGGGTGCAGAAAAAAGAGGGCGCAGGCGCCGGTCTGACAAATTCGGACAACGGAGTGAGGACACGACGTTCAACAAGACGGTGAGGGTGTGCGAAGCGTGCCTCTACCGGACCAGAGCCTCCCTTTTGAAGGCAAGGTTTGACGCGGCGTTGCAGGAAAAAAGATTGGAATGAAGATGAGGTCCAAGTGGCAGTCCCGAAAGTAGTGGGATGGTGCCCAAGCGTGGCATGGGAGGGACGAGGAGCGGTCAGGAAGGGAATCTAGAGTGGCAGCCAGTTGCATGATAACCCATAAGGAATAGTAATACCTGTACATGCGACGTGCCGTGTCTGTAGCAATGAGAGTCAAATGAAGGCGGATGTCTTCATGATGGGAATCCGGAAAAGCGTCCCGCACACATCAAGAGGCCACGAGGAGAATGCCGAGACTTGATTGGCTACAAAGTCTGGTGTATGGCGTACTCCGTACTTTGCAGCGGGCATTGACGGCCAGGCGGAGGCCATTCAAAACCTACGGAGTAGATGCTGGACAAACGTGTGTTGTAGACAAACAACAGGTTGATGACGGTAGAAAGTGTAGGTAGATAGTTCATGATAGATTGGAGCGATGATGGCCAACTGGCTTACTGACTTACTGTGAGGCACAGGCGATCACATCACTTCCTTCTTCCTTCTTCTTCGTTCTTGCCTTCCTTCCTCCAATTCAGACCGTCCGGGCCTACTTTTCTCCGTCCACGCATGTTCAGGTCGTCACGTGAATCCAGACACCCTGTTGTCTCCTGCCTTGTCTGTACATCCTACATTATTCCATCTGGTTCGTATATACGTGATAAAAACATCAGCACCGTCATCCTCACTGCCCCTCACCGACAACAACACCCACACCCTGACCCACGCCCACAACCACCACGACCAGGTGACGGTCTCACCATCGTTCTTCAGTCTTGTCTTCCTGGGGCTTTCCATCTATGAAGCGCCAGGCCCCTCTCCAGACTCTTTACGATCTGCAGAATGCTCAGTCCGACAGTACTCGTGTCGAAGCACTCAAGGCTATCAAACATGACTTGACCGGCCATCTCTCGCGTAAATCCCTCTTTGTCAATGCCGGTCTGATCGATGCGCTGGCGGCTGCTCTTCCGCCATTAGACTCTTCCAGAGACGTCAATCAGCTGTACCTTCAATCATCTCAAGTCCTTGCGGTACTTGCACATGGTATGTCAGGGCGCAGCCTACCCTACTACTATATTCTGAGTCTCAACCATATCTAACCCAATCCATTTAGAAGGGCCCTTGTTTCTACGGCCACTGCTTAGCACTGCCATACTGCCTCAGTTAATTGCCAGTCTCACCGCACCTACTTCACCCAAGACTTCTCTCGCCGTCCTCAAGTCTCTCGTCGCCATTGCAGATCACCTCCCAGCTCATCTCGCAGACCTTTTATATTCGAAGACTCACATAAGATGCTTCGCCTATATCATCCGACGAGCTGGGTCAGAGGCACAGTCTCCACAGGCCTGCGATCTTAGCTTGACCTTGATGTGCAAGACTGTCGCCGCTGATGCACACAAGCGTGCCCTCGTTGAAGCTGGGGTCTTATCCGCTCTTGCTGCCCGCCTGGCATCTTTTGTCGTTGCACAAGGTCTGGTACCTCCGTCTTCTGATACGCTCGACTTGGACAACGGGCCTTCGGATGTCATCCCAGACCCTGCCCCCTCATCCGCCCATTTGTCTCCTGTCCTCGAGTCGATCGCACTCTTGATTGATAAGTCGAAATCCCGCTCGCGACTATTTATCAATGACCCTTCCATCAAACTGGTACTGCCAGACCAAAGAGATGGTTTCTCGCCCTCGGACATTCGCCGGGGTCCCTGGGGAGGCAGCTACTTATCAGGAGCCGCCGTGCCACGCAACAGCACTCACGGACCTTTTGATCCTTTACTACCTTATGTTCCCACAACCGACAAGTCTCTCTCCAATGATCAGACTGCTTTCCCTCCTCTTGGTCCAGTCCTTCCCTTACCGAAGCGTAGAACCTCCTTTCTCCCAACCTCGACACCAAATCCCGACCTATCTCAACTCACTTTCGGATCCGTCGATGCCGAGGAAGGACCAGAGAGCTCAGTTGTGCCGTATCTCCTTTACCTCGTCCGCGAATCACGAGGGAAGCGCCGCCTGTTGGCCACCAAGTTACTCGTCGCGCTCTATAATCTGGGCCATGTGAGACGACATCGCAGATCCACCTTCACATCGCTTCTGGCGCCATTGTTGACTCGGATGCTGGAGCCAGATTTGAAGCAAGACACCCTCCATCAGAATCCGGGTTCTTTGCTGTGCAATGGGCTGCACTATACCAAAGCTGTTCCTGCCGTCCTTGCAGGGTTGATCAATGACAATGCAGATATGCAAAAAGTGGCAGTCGAGGCCAAAGCAATATCCAACCTTTCGGCCAGTTTAAAGATGACTTTTGAGAGCCCTCTCGAACCGAAGCTGGCCCCATGGCAACCATCCAAGGTGTCGGACAACATGGTTGATGATCGCATGGGAGACAACGAGACCGATCAAGACAATGTGGAGATACCACTTCCCCTACGCCGAGAGATGGATTTCCGCCAAGGCTGCCTTCAAGCGCTCGCAGCGATAGCCTTGTTCCGCGACTCGTACCGAAACGAGATCTGTGCTCAGGGAGTCCTGACTCATATTATGGCAGCGCTGGAGCCCTTGCACATACACACTCATGCCTCGGGCGCGACCGAGATCCGTGGAAATACAACACCGGTGATCCTGGCGGCGTGTAGTGCCGTACAAGTCTTGACACGATCGGTTCAGGCGTTGAGAACTAAATTGATTGAAGCAGAGGTGATCAAACCAATAGTTTTATTGATGAGCTCGACCAATGCCGATATCCGAATCGCCGCTACCATGGTGCTGACCAACCTCGCCATCGACTTCAGTCCCATGAAGGATGGGGTGGGTGAGTCGACGATGGTGAAGAAGCTTTGCGAACAGGCTCATTCTGCCAATGCCAGACTTCGATTGGAGTCACTGTGGGCTCTGAAGCAATTGGTTTTGAACGCAAGTAAAAAGCTGAAACAGGAGGTGGTGGATGAGCTGGGGGCAAGTTGGATCAAACTGCTCATCAAGACCGACCCCAACGACATTCCCGAGGGGGAGGTGATTGGGCTGGTGGAAAGGGATTACCCACCGCTCAATACGTTTCAGCCCTTGCTATCACCTCACGTGGCGGGGAAAGACGTGGTCATGAGTGATGATTCGGACGACAGTGAGGGTGACGAAGAGAAGCAAGAAGAGGACGAGTCCACGAGTTCCGGTTTCAGCACCAAACATACGGTAGAGGATGATACCGAGATTCAGGCACAATTACTGGATCTTTTGAGAAACCTATTCTGTGGAGAAAATGCGTCTGACTTGGTCAAGTACGTGTTTGATGAAATGGGCCAGGATGACTTTTTCGACATCTTGGTGGACCGGCTCAAGCCTCGAACCGCCGCATTGGGGCCCACCCGCAAGGATGATCACACCATCGCCGCACCGAGCGTGATTGTCATTCGAGTGCTTTACATCCTGGTCCACATTGCTGCGTGCGAGCCTCGGTGGAGAAATGCACTGGCGTCGAACCATGCGTTGACGAAGCAGGTGCTGACGTTTTTCAGTCATTCGGACCGGGAAATAAGAGCCACGTGTTGCTGGATTGCGACTAGTCTTACGTACGAGGACGATTCGAGCAGCCGAGCGTTGTGCCGGCAGCGAGCACTGGAACTGCACAAGGTTGGATTCATGCCGCAACTCAAAAAGCTGGAAAATGATGCGGATCTGAATGTCCGGGAACGAGCTCGTGCGGCTGTCCATTTGATCACCAAGTTGATAGCTTCTTAGCAGGGTTTACATGCCCGAGTATAACATAACGACTGCTGATGAGACCAGTGCCGTTGATTTATGAGACAGATTCACCAGTACTGAGTGCCTACGATTGTGGAGTCTGGAGGACTGTTCAAATTCCATACTCCGTATGTAGATAACGGGTACACGTGAAGCAACGGAAATGCTTGGCGGTGTCATCAGGGGCACCCCGGGCGAATCAGATGTCGGGAATCGTTCCTTTGTTTACTGAGTACGCCCTACACCTCGACCCCGCGTCTTCACCAGGATTTGTCCATCTAGCGTATGAGCCAGCAAAGTCATAAGTCGAGGCTCAAGGACGACATCTTTGGCAAGACATTTTCCATTTTGAACATGGCGTCAGTCAATACCAGGTATCCCCGAGCAACGATTCGAAAGATTGCAAAGGGCCACACCAGGAAGAACGTCAGCAGAAAGACAGACCCTCTGATTTATCTCGACTACATTTTATTCATTGAGGAGTACTTTAGCCCAATGGTCCATGTTCGACCAGTTCCATTCTGACTAATTCTAGGTTGATGAAAAACGCAACTCGGAAGGCGACGGAGAGTGGTGAGAAACATATCGCAGCCAAGGACATCAGGAAGGTTACCATGGTATGTTGCAACCCTAGAGATGAGTAGGCTAGAGGGCTAAATACAGCACTAGACAACACTACGGCGATTCAAAGGTTGAACAGTTGCCCTGGCTTTGATGTTTTGGATACCAACGGGAGCGACCAGTTCTCGACATCTGGCTTCCACTCATGGTCAGGTTATCCATGGGATTGTCTTTCACCGCCCTATAGACCACCTGACTCCATACAACGACCTCTACATACTCCACCGCAAATTAAGGGTGCGGAGGGAAAGTGAGACCTCGATTGGGTCTATTTTTGCTAGATATCCCTACAGAGACACTCTTTGATCCACTTGGTCGGCGCACGATATTGGTCAACATCTCCCAGCTTCCCTTGACGGCTAGAGAAGAGAGAATGGAGATGTAAGGTTTGGCTATAGATTGGGGTGGTCTGGTCTCCTCGGTGAGAAGTGAGATTCTCTACAAGTCATTCGACCCTTCTTCTGGGTTAGGGAGAAGGCGCGACTCTTGCCTGTCGTGCCTGCCTTACATAAAAATACACATATGGAGTAGATTTCTAGGGCTGCGCATGTGGTCTTCCAACTCTGCTCTATTGAGGGGGCTGTATTATCCCCAGACGCTCTTGCTCTCGCTCTCGCTCTCGACTTGTCCTAAAATCGTCACACAGTCAACATTGCTTAGGTAAGGTTGTCAGGCAAGGTACGGAGTAGGTACTCATCTCCTCCAGCGGGTGTCTTGGCATGGGGCTCTAGATGATTCCCCAAACGACCATGGCCAGCCGGTGAGTCTTCCAGCCTCGGAAAATGATCAATGATTTGTTCACGCGAGCATCAACTTTCTCCGTCCTTCAACCTTGAACCCAGAAAACTGCCTTTCCCATATTCGGAATTCCACCTTTTCTAGACCTTTGCCCACAGCATCTCTCCCAACTCGCCAACTCATTTCCTGCCACTAGACTGCACTTCAGCTTTCTGTGTGACCTCTCTCTCACCCATTTCCACCAAATTCCTACATCATCAAATCTCGGCCTCTACCCCCCCGACCATGTCTTCCACCGCAACCATACCCGTGGATTCAAAATCTGCCAAAAAACGCAAGGGCAAGGCCGAAGCTGCAAATGCCAGTGGTGCTGCTACCCCAGCCCTAGAGACCACCCCTTCCGAAACCCATACCAACGGCGTCGAGACACAGAGTGAGCACAGTTACATCAAAGAATTGGCAAGGTACGCACAGTCATGACACCCCTCTCCCTCTCACCAAGCTCATTTCCCCGGCTGAACTGACTTCTACCCAAGAAACATCCGCAACATTCACAAGAAACTCTCCGCTTCGTCCAAGGCTGATGCTGTCATCGCTGAAAACCCCGACGTCCCCCTCGATGACCTCGTTGCCCAGAAGAAACTCAACGCCGATCAAAAAGCCCAAATCCTCAAGAAGCCTGTGTTGCAAGCCCAAATTGCCCAATTAGAAGAACAGCTCAACACCTTCAAATCGTTTGCACAGGAACTAGAGGCCAAGGCTGCAAAGGATAAAGCAAAACTGATCGAGGCACATGAGAGTGAACTTGCTGCAGCCAAAGACCAAGCTGCTCAAGGTGCTGGAGAGTCGCAATCAAAAGCTGTCGAGAATGGTCTTCGAGTTGTCAGTCACTTCCTCCATGCCGCAGCCTCTAAGCGCCAGTCAGAGGATGCCGACACAGAGGAAGGTCGAGCCTTTGAAGGTGCTCTTTTACTTGTCTACCAAGGCAATGATGCCTCATTGTCGACTCTGAAGAACCTTGTCAACGGTGCAGATGAGAGGATACCAGATGTCAACGGAGATCTGCTGGAGGTCACGTTTGCTCAGGTCAAACAGTCGGCCTTGCAGGCCGCTCAAGACATCTCGGAGCCTGCCCTGGCCGACGTCGATGATGCTCAGCCTGATCTCCCTCTCCCTGAATCCGATTCGACCGTGGCACATGCTGCTCTGACCGAGCTGGACGACACAACAACTCTACCCACCCACCCTGCCGAGCCTGAATCTGCCGCACCTCCCCAGCAGTCATCGACCGGTGACGAGGCCGCCAACGCCGTGGCAGAAGCTTCCTGGGACCCCCAAGCTTCCGTCGGGACAGAATCCAGTGCTAATAACGATGAGTGGGTTCAAGTGTCTCGTGACCCTGCTGAGACCGAGACTGGTGTCGCTGCCACTCCCGCTGCTAACCACGGCACGGGTAGCTGGGCTGAGGAAGTCGGTGCAGCAGCTGCTAGCGAAGAAAAGGCTGCGGCCGAGAATGATGGATTCGAGCAAGTGAAGCGTGACCGCGGTCGCGGCCGGGGTGGCCGAGGTGGTCGTGGCGAATTTAGAGGTGGACGAGGACGAGGAGGTGGTGGTGGTCGTGGAGGAGACGGATATCGTGGAGGCCGTGGAGGCCCGCCTCGAGGACGCGGTGGTCCCCGTGGTGGGCCGGCTGGAGAGAAGAACTAGGAGGACAGCCACTCTGGCCGATGCCAATTCGTTCAAGCCTGATCAGGCCCCGGAGTGGGTTGGACTGCTCTAGTTCGCCTTGATCTGGGACAGCAAGCATGATCGACTCCGTCTCGACTCGACATCAGGTAAATTTTTTGCTACTTGTCTTGAGCCGCCTTTTCGTTTCCAGCATTTGAACCACAACGAACAACTCCACACAGCGACTGCGGGCATCATTTGTTTTCATTCCACAACCATCACGAAATGCCTTTACAAGATAATGAGGAAAGGTGACCGAGAACAGGCCATTTTTGCCTTGATTTCATTTTATTAAACCCCCACCTGTACACCATTACGACCCTTTTCTGTTGGGGAAAAGTACCAATGACCTCCTTTTCGGGGCGTTTAAAAAAGCATCATCTCGTTGGTTTGACGGTTTCACCTCCATCAAAGGGTAGGGCCGGAGTTACGCACGGGCCGAAAGCGAGGAGAAGAAGAGGAGTGGGCAGGAGATGAGAAAGCAGGAGAAGAAGAATGAGAGGAGATGACGGGAGCAAAAGTGCATCAGGCGGAAAAGGGGCATTGGTCTAGGATCCATATTCAGAGCACTTCTTGTCCATTGGAGCTGCACCAGGGCGCTTGAAGGCGGGCTTATGCTGTTCAGAGATGAAACCATGAGACATGTGCAATAGGACGAATTGGGCTTCCGAAATCCATGAACCAAATTAAAGCGTAAAACCTCATGGTAACTGAAGTCTCGTCCTAATTGAGTCGTCGTCAAGTAAAATGTCCGTCGCCTCGTAAAAGGCTGGTGCACTGGATTTGGATGTACATTGTCTGCATGCCACCCAGTTCTCATGTAAACATCACAAACAGGACACAGGGCGTCTATCTCGTTAGGCGAGCGATACCATGATTATTACCAATTATCATCCCCCCTGCAGACTGCCATCATAATCGTGTGTCAAATCCTGCACGCGGAGGATCCCACTGGCCCACCCCACGGCGGCCAGACCGGCGAATGTCTGATTTGGGTTCCAGTCGAGTGCTGTGAGGGCTTGCTCTTCTTCAAACAAGGTGTCTCCAGGCCCTCCAGCGGCAGCCGCCTCGGTTTTTGTTTTAGACGAACGTTTGCGGGACGCTGGAGTGTGGCCGAGGTCCATCTTAGTCGGCAAGAATCCTTCGCTAAACCGAGATAACCCTTGCCGGGTTGGGTTGCCGTGGTAGAGTCTATGTGAAGGATCTGACGTGGTGTGGTCGGTATCCGCGGACGCTGCAGGAAGCGTCATGCTAGAAACCTGTCCGTCGTCGCCTATGGCACGCGCGACTGGCCGCCATTCATATCCACATACCATTTGCAGATACACGGGTACTCCTCGTGATGCAGCCAATCGTTGTGAGGTCGTCGTCAACCGTGAATCGCCGCGAGTCTGAGGAAGTGTTTTCCACAAATGATTGGTGGCGTACAGATCTCCCCGAGATGTGCCTGCCAGAATGCAGGGATGCCAAATGCTGCCAGCGAGGATGGTCGCAGCTCCAGTGTCTTCCGGAAGCTTGGCGACCCGAGTGCTGGAATGGAATGAACGCAGGCTGAAGGAGTTGATGGTGCTGGTGGAGTCGGTTGCATTCTGCGATGAGGCTGTATCAGATAGGGTTATAAAGCCACGAGCGAAGTGATTGTACATCAGAGAGCCAGGCATGGGAAATGACGATCGATAGATAGAGACTGTATCAGAGTATGGGCTTCTCAGGTCGGTCAAGGTAAGAATACCGGTAGCAGAGAGCGATGCAACGTATGGGACTAGGCTGTAATCCGTGGAAGAGGCGCAAGAAAGTGAGATGATATAGGTAGCATGAACGTGATGAGAGAAGTAAGCTGTCGTGGAGGGTATCGAAAGATCGTAAACATGAATTTCCCCCGAAGACGTCCCTAGGACGAGATCTGTTGCAGATGCAAAGGCGAGAGACGTGAATATGGCGTCTGAGGGAAGAAAGAAATCATGGAATGTTTTCTTGGCCAGCAAATTCACGGGACGAGCTTCTTGCTCTAAAGGGATGGACACTGCAAGAGTACGAACATGTCCATCACTGGATAACACCGCGAGTACACCCTGGAAACAGCCCTTGATCTTCTCCTTGGAAAGTTCAGGTTGAGGCAAGGAATCCAACGGACGCCATGCAAGCTGGCGAATGTCACCCCAATCTGCCAAAATATTGGCGGCAACTCGTGGATGAGCGCTCATATTCAGAGTCCGAAGAGAGGCTTGTGGCAGGTTTAGGGTGTCGAATCGCCAGATCTGTATCAGTGCTGAGTATGGGGGTGATGGATGGAATGCTGGAGAATGATTGAAGTCCTGAGGCACAACATGCCTCTGTGTTGGAGTGGCACGTACTGAGACGGCAAGAAATTGAGAGCCGTCAGTATGAGACGGTGCCCAAGCAAGTGTTTGGACCTTTTCTCCGAGATTGATCAACCAACCTTCGCGGTATCGGGATTCTGGCGCCGGATGAGCACTCTCATACCTCGTGCTTACAGGTTCTCTAGTCCATGCCAGCCCGAAGTCGACGGCACAATTTAGGTCAAGATGGTATTTGTGTTGTCGACTTTCGGGACCAAGGACGATCCCATGGGGCTGGGTGTTCTTGTTGAAGCTGTGAATCTGCTTTTCTGTTTCGGTATCAACCAATTGGGTGAGTTGACCGGAAAATATTTGCTGGAAGACATTGTCGTCTTTGGTAGGGATGCTGTCCGCGGATGATTCGACCGGCCGAATCATGTCATCTAGAGTAGATCGACTTGGAAGGGTAATGTCGCGGCTATTTAACCAGGTATCCCGGGCACTGATAGCACCAGCAAGATCTTCAGCCTGGTCACTGAACAAAAGGGAATAGTCTTTTGGCCTGTCGACTTTGGGAAGGCCACGAGACCGGGTTTCAAGCTTGGTGGAGTTGAGGTGTTGTTGACGTGGAGCCCTGGGTTGTTTTGGGAAGGCGGTATCATTATCGGACGACAAGGTCATTCCGTCATCTGCTTCGGAAAACGGAGGGTTTGAAGGCTGTAATGATGAATCACGAGAGGCAAGATTATCGGCCTCGGATGACGTGCCATTGCCCTCGTTGCCAGAGTCTTCTTCTTCATACTGGTCCGATGGACTCGAGCCAGAGGACTGAGAGTCTGTTCGAAGGACTCTGAGAGTCTCTTTGTTCCACCCATCATTGGCGTATTTGGGATTGGTCTTGCGTGGACGTTTAGAACGACGCATGGGAATTGGTGGTCTTTGTTATAGATGAAAGCGGGTGGAGGTGTGTGATGGAGCGACAAGATGTTATCGATTTGTCGTCAGACGGCACTCACTTGGGCATGAACAAGCTAATGTGACTGTCATTACATTTTGTAGATAAAGAGATTGTGTTGATTGGTTAGATTAGTAGGCAGGCACAACTGGAGCCAGAGGGAAATTATAAATTGTCTTGCAGGAAATGTGAACGCGAGAATGGAAGGTGTAGCGATGATAGAGATGACATCTAATGCTACGTACAGCAGTGAATTGCCCATCTGAATCTTCATTGTGGGCCTATATTCAAAAGTAATGCTGTACTTGATTGGGGTGGGGATTTGAACATCTGTCGAGGTTGTGTTTGTCCAAACATATGAGTACATATACATCCCTAGCTGCGTACTTGTCTCACCGTCGAGGCAGACAAATAAGACTTCCCTGGCACGGGAATGTGATTATGCGGCAGTGTCATGTGAATTATAGGATTCAACGACTCAAATATTTATATCTCTACATTGTGAGTGCTGATGGTTGTATCCTGACTGTCCTGACACGTGCCTGACGAAACCAAAACTGGTAGTTGAAATCAATGCCAAGTCGAGCTAACGGACAATTAAATCTCAAACTTCCGACTTCTGAAGCATGTTTGACTTGAGGACGCGCGTTCATCCAATCAGAAGTGGGCAGGACTCGCCTTGACCTGATCTATTGCAAGAGCAATAGCTTGGGCGTCATTGGTGGCTGCCATTGTCCCTGTGCTGTGTCACTAAAAATGGCAATTCTCAGACTGCGACACGTTGGATACCCTGGCACTACCTGGACACCCTCACTGCTCCAGCCCGCGCTCCGTCTTAGCAACAGTCAACAAAGTTACTCTGGTTGGATGATTCCCAGCCCCCGTCTGTTGATCATCGGACTTGGGGGACCTGCAACTCGGGACTCTCGTACACATATCCGTGTCCTGTGCGCTTTGCCCAGAGAGAGAGCGAAATGGTTCTTCAAGGACCCTACTACCCTATTACGCCTGAATCCTCCGGGACCTTCTTCCCTCCTTTACTCACGGCCCATCCCATGACCATCGCCTCCCGTCGAGCCACCAGCCCTCGCCCGCGTAGACTCCATGGCTTCCACTACGATTCTACCTCGGATCCTTACTGTGCTCGCTCTCGCATATACAGCGAACGCTGACTGGCGAGATGGAAATGGCGGATATGGCAATTGGAAAAACGGTGATTACGAAGGTGAAGGTCCCCCGTGGTGGGGTGGCAGAGGCGGCAGAGGCAGCAACAGCACCAGCAACAATGACAGCTACCGAGATCGCAGCGATCAGGCTGGAGCATTTGGTTCCCTCTCCGACTTCAACCACGCAAGCAGAATCCTCATAGCACACGCCGTCCTGGCCTCGTTGGTCTGGGTCGTCTTCGTCCCATCGCTGGCCATCCTCCTTCGCCTCAATATCAAAAATCCAATCGTACTGAAGCTACATGCCCTTGGTCAAATCTTCAGCTATATCGTTTATATTGCAGCCGCCGGATTGGGCATTTGGCTTGCCCAACAGTCTGCGGGCTTTGGCATCTGGAATGACCCTCATCCACAACTTGGACTTGCCATTCTGGCCATTGCGTTCTTCCAGCCCTTCTTTGGCGCATCACACCACCGAATCTACAAGAAAAGAGCCAATGCTCTTCAGGCAGGTCAGCCAACCAAGCAGCCTGGCAGAACCACGCCCGGCCGCACTCATCTCTGGGTTGGTCGAATCCTGATCGTCCTGGGCATTGTCAACGGCGGTCTGGGCATCAGGTTGGCATCCTACAGTCCTTTCCAGTCAGATGCAACCTCTCGAAGAGCCGGAATCATCTATGGCGCCGTGGCCGCCGCCATGTTCGTGTTGTATGTCGCCTTTGTCGTCTTCTTCGAGGTCAAGAGGGCTCGATTCCAGGCCAAGGAGCGCGAGGAAAGGCAAAAGGCCATTGATAACAAGCAAGGACTGCCAACATACGACGAAAGTGAAGAATCTGTGGGGCAGAACCTTCCTCGATACTCCTGATTCAGCGGGCTTCTGATATATGACCTTTATATGATATCAAGAACACCAGCGAGATTAATGATGCTGGTGGCATTCACTCCACAGATGACAACGATGACATTATGTTTTGTTCGAATCACTCGCGTAGCTACATCGATCAGACCTCCTGGGCTGTGTTCCTTGTCTGCTGGAACTAGCTAAATGACGATGTATTGACCTACGTATGGACATGCCTTCCAAATGGTGAGCATTTATTCATCCTTATTCACACGTGATGTCATGTCAAAATTTCTCTGCTCGAATCGCACATCGTTCTTTAGATCAACAATCACGGCGATGACCGCAATTTGATCTTTCTCCGCCTGAATTGCAGCCTAGATCATTATTGAACCGTCTCCGTGAATGGTTCCGACGACTATTTAGTTCTAATTGCACCTTTCGACAAGCCCGACTGGAGATCTTGATCCGCGTTCTTAGCGGCAGCCTCCGACCTAACCAACGTAGCCTGGCTTCGTTTCGACAATTGTTGTGATCACTCGCCCAGCAATCTCGCGCTCACATGGCTGACTTACCATTTGACATAGACCTCGGACTGCAAGATAGCCATGTCTTGGTCACTGGTTCAAGCGGAGCCATTGGCGCCGTGGTGGTGCAGGCCTTTCTTGCCGCAGGAGCCGTGGTATCTGGGTTTGACAAGGTCGAACCAAGCATGGATGCTCCTCGCTTTCACCCGCTTGTGGTTGACATCACTGACGAAGTCGCCCTGGCTCAAGCATTTGCAGATGCTCGATCGAGATTTGGGTTGATCACTACTCTGATAGCTGCAGCGGGCATTGATCTGAGCTACGCTCCGCGCCACTCTCTCGTCGACATGCCCCTTACGGAATGGAGAAGAATAATGAATGTCAATGTCGACGGCACATTTCTTACTTGCCGTACGTGGCTCCGCGAAATTCGAGAATTTGTCAAACGCGAGAAGAACCTGTCGGCGATAGTATTTGGCAGCGAAGCCGGCAGATTTGGTGTGCCTTCCTGTGCTCCTTATGCAGCATCCAAATCCGCAATACAGACTGGACTGGTCCTTTCCCTGGCCCAGGACGTGGTCAATGTGCACCCGGAGATACGAGTGAATGCAATCGCACCTGGTCCAGTCCAAACCCCACAATATCGCGAGGAGTGCGCAGTCGACCAACAAGTTAAGTGGAAGGAAGCAGAGGCAACCGTGGCTCTTCGCAAACCAGTTACAATGCAAGCCGTTGCCAGAGCCTGCCTCTTTCTCGCAAGTGACAACTTCTCATCCAACATTACCGGACAGCTGTTGCCAATAGATTCAGGCAAGCAGGGAAACCTGTTTTGGTTGCCTGGCGGAGACCCAGCCTGACCTACACCCAGCAACAGACACGTATCCATATTTGTTCAGTATGCCGTCTTATACGGCCGTTAGGATTGGATGGTTTCCAACAAATGCCGTTACTTGAAAATGTATGGAGACCTTGCACGTGACATTCTACGTTGCTTGTTCAGCATCGACGTTTGGCTGTCACATCTTTGTTTGTAGTATTTCGGTGTCCATGCGCCTTGCCCCGGACCATGCCTTCATACGCAAATGGAGCAGGACTTTGGAACTTTGACGCTACAACTGCCAGCTCAGACTGAAGACAGGTGACTGGGATTTGGACAACCCAATCTCAACAGTCTGGTCAGCACTTGTGATACTCTTCGGGATCAACTCCCCTCTCCTCGTAAGTACGATCCTGGCTCCGCCTTCGGTGGCGGGCTCTGGAAGCTTGTAGAATCGTCTTCCGGACCGACTCAGGAATCGTTCGAGCTGGTCCTGTGTGACCTGATCCTCCTGAAGTACGCCCGTTTCAATGGCCCCCTCGAGCGCCAGTATGACAAGTTGGGTTGCAAATGGTTGAGTGAATACGCCTGCTGGTGCTGGGTGTCCATGCTGGGTATTCATCTTGTTTGCCAAGGGGTGCGGCGCACTATCACTGCCACTAGAAGCCCCAGACCATCAGTCAAAGAGCTTGACACTGCTGGCGCTGCGGGTGAACTCACAAAAAGAACTTGGAATCGCCACTGCCAACGGCCCTGACCAGAGCATCTCGGTCCAAAGGCGTTTTTGGAATAGGCTTGCAGAAAGCGAGAGGGTCGACTTCGCTGTCGTCCCCAGTTAAGTAAAGATGATGTGCCGTGATCGTCCCTATGGTCATATCTTTAGAATTCAAAAGGGAAACCGATTCGGTAAATTGACGAACCTGCAACAGTCGGGCCGCAGGACCGGACAGCATCTAATGCAGCCGCAGTTGAGCAATGCTGTCAAACAAGGTCAGATCTTCCAATCCATAGGATCATGGCTCGACATACCTCCAGTACGCAGCGCAGGGCTGGAAACTTTTGGTGGAGCTTTTTTAGCTCTGGGAGGAATGCTTCTTCCAGAGAAATATTGCGATCTGATAGAGGCCCTGGCCATTCGCCATGCAGGTTGAGGACAAGGTCATGCTTTTCCATGGCGGCGAACACGGGAGAGTAGGCATCTAAGAAGTTGGCAGGCACCCCTGATTCGGAGTTTGTGGTCACGCCTACTGGGGTCTTAGTCCTGCATCTCGAGTATCCAGGTCTTTACATCAACGGCTTACCTTGCGGGTATAACTTGACTCCAGCGATGCCAGCCGCAGCTGCTTCAGCAATCACTTCTGGGGTGATGGAAGGGTGTAGCTGTTATGTTCAGCCATCATCGGCCAACATGTACAGTCGTGTAGTCACTGGGTATTACTTACATAAAGGGACATGAGATAATGGACTTTGGGCTCAATCGCCTGCAGGAGAGCCTTGTACTCCAGAGCTTGGGCAACAGTGGTGATTGGAGGCTGTAAGTTTGGCTGCCACCGAAGTCAGTGCTGGTCGAACAGCGAAGTGTACCTGAATATGGACACACCATAACAAAAACAGTATCTACTCCTCCTTTCAAGATCTGAGGAACCACCAGCTGCATGACCTGCCAGAGGAAATCATTAGTACGGTCTTGTTCAACGTTGGGTTAGGTGCAGACCAACTTGGCCTTGCCGCAAGTGGACATGCATGTCCGCTGATGGCGGTAGTTCAAGACGTTGTATTTCTCTTAGCCGCATTGTGCTGGGTCTTATGTGGGGAGGTTTTTCGCAGCTATAATTCAGTATGGGCCAGCCACTTGTCCAAGGGTAGTGGTGAAAACAGGTTGAGAAAACCTTCAGGATTTTGCTTTGCTGAAAACGAACAGAGAAGGCATGAAGCCGTTGTGTGGTTGATAATAAACAGGAGTGTGAACACCAGTAGAACTGTCATATAGTCATTCTATCTAGTAGCAAAAAAAAAAGAGAGAGAGGGGAAAACCTCTTCCCAGCTACATAGTAGATATAAGGTACAGGCGAAGCATATTTAGTCCAGGACTTTAGACAGGTCCGCCTGGTCATCACAGACGGTGTTCAGTTTTTTGTGGAGCGACAAAGGCAGGTATGGAGGATACGGAGTCCGACAGTTCCTCAGCTTCTTGTTAAGTTCGCAACGTTTGTGCGTTCTCTTCCCAGCGATCTTGTATAGAAAATGTGGTGTGGCAGGTGCCTACTGAGCCACCTCTTGAAACAGGCCACTCATCTTTAGGCAACAGAAGACATGGACATACTAGAGTCATGCTTTGCCGTCACTGGGCATGTTGGTAAGTCAATAAATTACGCCTGGCAGATTTGGTGGGAGATGCACAGGACAAGAGTGGTAATGGTGGTTGGCCAGCTTGGTGATAATTGGCCAAAATCCTCCCCAAGTGGCGCGATTTGTGGGCTGGGAGAAGAATAAACCATGGCCATTGGAAGTGTATTATTGCTGCGTACACGGCTGCGGAAGAGTCTTCGGCGATACTCAACTCGTTCAATGGATGTTCCACATAGGCATGGTTAAATGTTGGATTTCTGTAATAATATTCTGACTGACAACCAAATCCAACAAAGCGGTAGGAGATCTCCTCAAGGTAAAGGTGGCCTTTGATTTTACTCTAGATGAGGCATTTAGAAACTAAACGACTAGCCATAATTCGCGAATAATGCAGAAGGCAGCAAAATTATTGAACCAACTGTTACTTAGAACCCTGTCGCCACTCGAAATAAGCCTGGGTTCAACTCTGCAAAACGTGGCTAGGCAGGAGTGCTAGGGCAGGACATTATTAGACGGGGCGTCTCCAGGTGCGTACAGACGCACGAACACGACCGACAGTACTCCGGACCTACCTAACTTACCTAGCTTTTGACTGCCCGGGGCCCCATCGGCCTCTGGCTAGGGACGAGGGGGGACACCCCTCATGCCCAGCTGACGCGAATCGACTCCCCGAGCCTTCTCTCTGTGAAAAGGGCCCTTGGAGTTCCCAACACCTCGTAAATCCCCCCACAACGGGGCAAGTTCAAGCGGCCAGATTATTCCACCAATGAGTGGCCGACCTGCGCAGATCAAGTGTCGCTGTTTGTGGACTGTCATGACTGTATTGCTCGTTACTGGCTCGCCCGCAGGCTACCTTTCTGGCAGCCTCCAGTCTCCAGTCTCTCAAGGCCAGGCGTCAAAAGTCAGACGCCAGACACGCCAACCACACCTGCCTGCCATGCCATTTTAACCTGCCTGTCTCCGTCCTCCGTACTCCGTACCTCTTGTAGAATGCCACTTTTGCCTAGTCCTCACATTCTCCACCATCCATCACTTTACTCCTACTGTACAAACTGGTCGCACCCACTCACCCACCGCCACAGTCATTTTACCCACACCTTGGACAATCTGGTCTGCCTCACGACCCTCACGACAAGTGCTCGACATTTGTCTCTTCACCACCTGACTCACTCTCTGCGCACCCTCGTACCGTTGCCGTCGACACCTTGTCGACTCAAACGTCCCCTTGGACCTGCTTTTTCGTTCTCAGCTCAACCCTGTTGAACGGGGACCTCTGCCCTCAAGGTAGCCGCTTCAGTCCGCGCTTCCAACAATCCTACCAGTCATCGACATTCAACGACAGCTTCGTCCTCATACCGCATCCTCCCTCCAATCATCGCTCCTTAATCGATCCTACGTCTACCTTGATCGCCACTGCCTGTCCCTCCCAAAGCATGGCTTAGATTCCTATTGCACCTGAAACCGAACACCTTGTCATTCATCTCCACCAGTCGATCAAGATGGCCTCGACACAAGATGAAGACATGTATTTATTCCAGGCCGGGCTGGATCAGACACCCTCATTCGCTGGCCAGGATTTTGATAACTTTTTGACCTCTCCTGTTCCAGACAATGACCTTGTCCCCTCGAATCCTGCATTCCTCAATCCCAACGATCTGTCTATCAAGCATGAGAACGATGACACCAAATCCTTTCCTTCAGGTTCATCATTCCCTCGCTCTCCTCGCGGCTCTGCGTCTGGCTCTAGCAGCTCCTCTTCGGATTCTCCCACATATTGGCAAGCCCGTTCCTCTCGACCACGAACCGAAGCTTCCACCGCTTCACCTCCCACCTATAATAATTCTCAGCCTAATTGGAGCAGCGGCATCAACGGCTTCTCAATATCTGCCAACGAGCACATGTTTGAGGATGCTTCTATGGCAGGTATGGATCAAGACTACGAGGCCAGCAACCAGCAGATGGCCTCGGACTTTGATTTCGAAACTGCAGCTAGTACCCCGAGTGGTTTTGATGCACTGGGTGGCATCAATCCCAAAGTTGCCAACATGTCGCAGCCATTTCAACGCCAGGCTAATCACGCCGCCTTTGGGAAGCAACCCTCGAATGCCCGCTTTCCAGCCACGGGTCAACCTCAATTCTTCTTCGCCAACTCTCGAGAAGTGTCCCCTTTAAATGCCATGCTCCCTTCGACGCAGGGACAATCACCGTGGTCGAAACAATCCCCAGCTTCCGGTCTCGAGGAGACTTTTAATCATATCACTATGAACGGCGATTCTCCTGGGAACGCCACTTTCTCTCCCAATGTTCAATTTCCAAACCCAGGCTTCACCTTCGATCCGGACTCCAGTGCCACTCCTTCCACATTCACCAAGGAGATCTCTTCGCCTCCATCAACCGTCAACTCAACAGAAGGTGCATTCTCTTTGACCGTCCATCCAACCTCTCTCAAGTCTCGAGTCGAAACTCAAATCCCCATCAAGCTGACTTTACACCCTCTCCCATCGGGAGTCAAGAAGTTGAGACTTCCCAGGCACACTGTTTCGAAACCAAAGTTTCTGGCAAAGCCAGAGGCGGAGCGCTCGCCGGAAATATATGAACTCCACACATCTTTAGTCTGCACCAGCGCCATGCAGGACCCTGTCAAAATGCAACGAGCGTGGGCTCGGGCAAGAGGCGAGGACATGAGTTCATATGCTCGCCCAAGCCCTAGCTCATCAAGTGACTCGCAGAACTCTCGCGATGACGAAGATAAACCTTTGGAGGGCGGCGAGGTCCGGATCTGTACCGGCTGCATTCAAAGAGAACGCAAAAGAGCCTCGAGAAAGAAACAGAAGAAGCCGGAGGAAGAGGAAATGTTCCAGAAGGACGAGGAAAGGAGGGTCGTCGTTTTCAACACAAACGAGATTAAAGAATGGGTCGAAGTCCCGCGCGACCCCCAGTCAACCTCCGCGGCTGAATCCAGCCCTGCTCCTGGCTCGATGCAGGTTGAGTTGCCCATGCGCATTGCCTGCTATTGCCGTCATCAGAATGAGAAAATGGGCTTCCAGGTCATATTCACCATCAAAGATTGCCGAGACAAGACCATCGCACAGGCAATGACGAATCCAATCATGATCACCGACGATCACAAGACTCATAATGCTCCCACCGCTCTCGCCAATCCTTCGCCCGCTCTCCCTTCTCAAGGCCCTCAACTACCTGGCGCTGGCGTCTTCTCCACCGCCGGCTCAGAGCAACCCGTTATGAACTCCGGCAACCCGAAGCTGTCAAAGCAATCTTTCTCCACCACTGACCTGCATGGGCTGCAGTACAACTTCAACCCAAATTTCCCCATGGCACCCTCGAGTAACCCCTTTGCAATCCCCTCTGCTGTATCCAATCAAACATCTGCAACCTTGACACCACGCAACCTTTCTCGACCAGCTTCCCCCAACGGCCCCTCTGGACCAACTTCCAAACGGAGGAAACAGAGCGGCTCAGGGAAGCTGCCCTCGGGCCTTACAATGACACGCTTGGACACCTCTCAGGCCCCCTCGGGCCCGGCAACCATGCCCAACACCGCTGCGACGTCCCCCTACGCACCAAACATGACGGCTTACATTGGTCCTCAGGACCGTGCATTTGCCATGCCTCCGTCAAGGCCAGCACCATATGGCACCAGCCCTCCCACGCCTAATGGACTGGACACCTTTCCGTCCAACATAAATCGCTCCTTCAGTTTGGAAAATCTTCCTCGGCAGGCTCTCATATCTGCGCCGCCATCCCGCCAACCTAGTCGCCCTGGCAGTCCGGGCTCTGCTCGAAATAGTTTTGGCGCATCGGACGCACCAGTTGGGCAGGCCTTGGCGACCTCCGTGCTGGGACAGCCATCCCGCCGACCCCCGCCATTAATTCACAAGCTTGTACCTGCCGAGGGATCAATCACCGGCGGGACCGAAGTTACAATCCTTGGAAATGGATTCTACCAAGGCCTCGAGGTCATGTTCGGCGATACAGAAGCGACAACGACTACTTACTGGGGAGAGAAATGCCTTAACTGCATTGCTCCGCCGGCTCTCCAGGCCGGTGTTGTCCCGGTCACCTTCAAGCAGGACAGGACCAACCACAACTTGCAGCAACAAAACCATTCGCGGCTGTCACTGTTCACATATGTGGACAACCGTGAACTCGAGATGTATCGCTTGGCACTCAGTATCTATGGCAAACAGATGCCCAGACCTACAGACAGTGCCTGGGACGCTGCAAACCAGATCGTCCAACAGAACCAAAGCCATTCAATGTGGACTTCTCATGGGGGATATGGTATGGGCGGTGGACATCAACGAAATGCTGGTCTGACACAGCTCGGCCCAATCGATACTTTGGAGCTGGAATCGTCTATGGTCCAACTCTTGGAACGCATGGACGAAACTAAGAGATCAGTGACTCCCAGGTTTGACCTTCGACGTTCCACCGGTCTGACCTTGTTACATCTCGCAGCGTCGTTGGGACTTACTCGATTTGTGGCAGGTCTCTTGGTAAGAGGCGCCGATCCAAACATGGTGGACAATAATGGGCACACAGCCATGCACCACGCAGCCATGAACGGGCATACACACGTGATACACCGCCTCAGACTTGCAGGTGGCAGCCATAAAGCACGAAGCATACGACACTTTACGCCTGCGGATCTGGCGACTTCGCTACTGGCATATCAAGCAGCCACCAACACGGCCGACCACTATCGATCTCGCAGTCTTGGCGGCACTCCGATGCGGCTGCATAGCCGAAGCTCTTCGTCACTGCGCTCATTTTGGGAAAACTCATCAAATGTGCAGACCTCGACAGACATCGACAGCTCAGAGGAGTCGGATGACGCTGAAGACGAAGATACCGTCCCTCTGACTCTCTCCACGAGCAAATTTGAGACTCCCATGTCCAGAAGTCAACTCAACTTGCATCGCGTTGGTCGCAGCGGACCTTCATCGCGCCGAAACAGTAGTCATCATCCCACCGATGTGAACAAGCCTTTCCAGCAAGAAACCCGTGACCCCGCTACTCCTCCCCTGGCCCCTACAGCGTTCATGCTGGCGTGGCGTGATCAATTGTTGGCACAGCTCCATCAATTCAACGAAAGCGCACAGTCTGTCATGCCAAACCTGAACAATCTAAATGTGCCTTTGGCGGCACTGCAGGACTATCAGGCCAATCCTATGGTACGCCGTGTTAGCGCATTGTGGCCGCAACGACCGAACTCTAGACAGCAGAATAATGCACGTGAGGGCTGGTGGGAAACGCTGACGGGATCGTCATCGCCGCCTCCGTCATCACCACCGGCTTACCGCGATCTTTATCCCGACGAGAAAGCAAACCAGGGAGCCTGGAACGTCAAGCAGCGATCCGAGGTTCAGGCTGCGGCCGACGCTGCGGCGGATCTGCATTTTGACAATGAGAGACACATTGCGGGTAGCTCATCCCACGTTAAAGCAGCGTCTGCGTTGGACAACCCGATTGAGAGGATTGAATTAAGCCGCGATAGGAAGTTGTTCTTTTTCTGGGTAAGAGACCTTGCATTCGTGCGAGTGGGTGTGGCAAGACTAACCGAAGCTCACAGATTCCTCTCCTTGCAATTCTGTTAGCCCTTATGATACGAGGGTCTGGATTGTCCAACCTTTTTGGACCGTCGTTAGATGTGCTTGAAACGCCGGTCGATCGACAGATAGTGGAAGTGATGTAATGGATGGCGGCGGAGAATACGCAGGGGGAGTGGCATACTATGTTGCTGTAATAGTTGGAACTAGGACGTGATGAGGATGATCCCAACTCGTTTGAGAGAGGTCTACTTATGACTGAGAGGGTGTAATTTTGATTCATAGATATTCGCCCAAGTTGATGCTTTGATGGTTCTAACCATCTGGGGATGAGAGATAGTTGACTACTGTGTGACGAGATATGATTTGATCTTCGTGGACCAATTGATGGACCAAAGCCCACAATGATACTGGGAACGAGGACTCTGACGACTCTTCAGCTGGTTAGACTGGGGTCCACTACAAATTGAGGGACCTGCGTAAATGGTTCATGTGCATACGCCTTATCTCCTGAGCCCAAATTGCCCTACAGTGAAGATGTGCAGAAGTTGTACGGGAGTCTCTTATGCAAAGGGCCAATATTGGCTTCAAATGATTGGCTCGGGCTCAGCCTTGGCACGAGGCTCCCAGTTGGCACAACAATTTGGCAAGGAATAAGCGAAGGAAGGAGGTGCCCGTCGTACCTACTTTATTTATACGCGTCGACCGAGTTTAATCAAGAACTCTAAAAGAAAGCCCAAAAGTCGCTTTCAACCTCTTTTCATCACCATCGCACTGCATCGCACCATCTTACCGCCCGTTTCACAAACCGACGACGTGTTCAAAGCGCTCCGTACCAGGTTAACTGCTGCTAGACTCCTGTCCTCGCTTGGGACTTTTGTCAAATCTGTTCTAGCCTTTGCGCCAAGCCTTCCATTTTCAAATACGTATCGAGGTATCTATGTATGTACTATGCCGTACTTGAAGCTTGACTAGGACATCGCGTTCCAGCTAGGTCGCGTGCAAGGTCTTCCAGACGACCCGTCTGCAGAATTCTCAACGCACCAGCCAAATCTGATTGCCATATCGCGTGCTCCTTCTCCGAAACCCATCGGAAAACTGGCACCAAGCGCCGCGCGAAGTTCTCAACTGCCAACGGACTACATCGGCCTCAATCGGTGAGCTTGTCCCCGAAGGCACACACGAGACATCTTGATCTACGGTGCTTGATGAGGTACTGTCGGACTGAGTGAAGAACCTGGCCACCTCACTCTCGTAAAGGTTGGCCCCTTGTGCCCACCGGCATAAGAGCATTCATCATCGCGGTACGACTGTCACCCACCCACGCCCTGACGACGGACGGTCTCGGCGTAACCCACGGAGCAGAGTAACCATGTCCTCTGAACCCAGTCACGAAATTGAGTACGAGGACAAGCACGTACATCAGGTGTACGAGGAGATTGCGTCGCATTTCTCTGCCACAAGATACAAGGTTCGACATCTGCAAGCCACGTTGTTGATGATGCTTATGTTGCGAAGACACTGACCAACATGTCTCTTCCGTCTAGCCTTGGCCTGTTGTCGACCAGTTCCTTCGCAGTTTACCGCCCGGGTCCGTCGGTTTGGATGTGGGATGTGGGAACGGCAAGTATTTGACCGTCAACAGGGATGTTTTCATTGTCGCCTCAGACAGGTATGTTGGACGATTTTACATTCTTGCTTGGCGCGCATGTGGAGTAGCGAAGGTTCAAATTACGTCCGCCATTGTGTCTGTCACTGCATTACTTCATGTAAACGCTGACATGATAATGGGTCCAGATCTCACAACCTTGTGGACATAGCCGTCCAACATCAACCCCACGACGCCATCGTCGGAGACACCTTGAGTCTGCCGCATCCTCATTCCTCTTTTGACTTTGCAATCTCAATAGCAGTGATACACCACCTTTCCACGACGGAGCGTCGAGTGCAAGCCATCAAGGCCATCCTGCAAACCTTGAAGTCGGCCACCAGAGACTCGAAAGCAGGGCGTGCACTGATCTTTGTCTGGGCGTTGGAGCAGAAAAACAGTCGCAGAGGGTGGAGCGATGAAGACGAGCAAGATGTTCTTGTACCATGGGTCTTAAAACAAGGCTACAAGTCCCCTTCTCCGGACCAATCCACCACTTATCAACGGTACTATCATCTCTATCGCCAAGGCGAAATCCAAGACGATGCAAGAGCCGCTGGCGGCCACATTGTCGAGGCCGGTTATGATCGAGACAACTGGTGGGTGGTCGTTGAGAGATTGGACTGAAAAATCAACGCTCGCAGATTCGTCAAGCCTGGGACCGTGTTCAGGCTGTCTGTCCACTTGGGTATATCGTCACTATTTTTACAGCGTGGTGCCCCTTGACATGCTCAAAATACCAAACAAAGCTTCATGACCGTATATACCGAAATCACATTATGCAGGCGCCTGCCTCCGCCGCGAGTGTTAGTCGCTCTTCACGCACACCCCAAAAGCTTTGCCGAAATGTCATTATTGAAACGGAGCGTTGCGCCCCTTGTGATGGTTGTACAGGTGATGGAACGGGTCCGAAGACTGGTATGGGGGTGTCGAAAACGCCGGCAGTCCGGCCGTGAGCTCTGCTAACGATGGCAGTTGAGGACCTTGAAAATGCATCTCGTGCGGCATCGACTCTCTTCTCAGGCGCGGAGGAGGATTGCGGAGCGGAGGTCGTGGGCCCATACTCGAAGGTTCGTAGCTGCTACCAGCGGCGTTGGCCAGGGAAAAAGGTGTCACGCCTGCACGCTTGGCCATTTCATGTTCGCCCATTTGCCAGTGCATGGCCTCTACTGCTCTCCATGGCATGGCCATTTCCTCGGCGATTCTTGCCCACATGTCGGCTCGAAACCTGTGAGCCAAACAGCATCCGTTAGCCAGGACAGAACGTGGTTTCAGTGGTACAAGAGAACGTTTGACGGCACTGATCATGATCTGGTGCGACGTTTCTCAACATACCGTTCGTACAACCTAGCGAGCTTATTCTTGCGGTCTTCATCCCACTCGCTCCGCCGTTCGAGATAGTTTTGGTAGTGGAGTCTACAGCTGATGGCACTGCGTCCAGGCAGATGCTTGCTGATATCCTCCCACTTCATGCCGTCCTGACGAAGCTGGATGATCTTTGTGTCCTCCTCGGGAGACCATTTCGACTGCTTCTTGGCCGGGGAGTGAGAGGCAAAATCCTGGCTCGACGACAGTCGCTTTGCCGGGACTGCCGAACGAGCCGTGGTGGGGACAGGGGCCACGCTTGTGGCGACGCTGGACTGTGCAGACTCTGACTGGGAGACGGACGCTGGGGAGCTGGTGGACTGACGGTCTTCCTCCTCGGTGGCCTTGAGCAACGACGAGATATCCACGATGAAGGAGAGTACAGGGACTGTGCTCAAAGGCAGTGTGGGGTAGGGTTTGGGCAGGGTGAGTCTCTGCAGCCATGCACATGAAGATGACGGGAGGGGAGGGGGATAAGTAGAAAGACTAATTCGTCGAGCGAAGATGTACGAGCGAAACCTCAGGGATGACAATGCCAATGCGGGAGGGAGCACTTTGTTGCTTGCTTGTTTGATCGAGGCGGGTCACCCGTGATGAGGGAAGGCAAGGCGCCGGTGTTTCCAGGATCGAGCCTTCGAGGGAAATGGTGATTGGTGGAGCGACGACAGAGAGTTGATGTGACTGTGATGGGAGGGTTACAAGACAAGACGAGGCAGAAGGAGAGTGAATATCAAGGCAAGGTCTGTTGAGAAGATAACTGTCGAAAGGCAAGCGATATGTTTAAAATGCGGTCTGCAAAGCGGGCCAGTTCTTCTGATGTCTGGTGGTTTCCTGCAGGAGAGATCGTTGACAACTGAGCGGAGAATTGGCAGCAGACGATGAGCCCCATCTTGCTGACAGCTGCTTGGTCGATTGGCAGAGGGAGTGGCAGCTGGAGTGGCAGTGGCAGCAAACAAGCTCGCGATGCAAGTCGAGTGCCCATGGCTATTGGAACGCAAGGTGCGTCGCCGGCTGCCGGCGTCCTGGCACGACGGCCTAGCTTCGCTGGCAACCTGGCCCTGTAACGATTAACCTCATCCATTCTGGGGCACCTGATATCATGAACAGGGTTTGTGGCCCCTTTGAGTCAACGGGACAGGGTGGAGCCAGGATCAGAGTGCGATGGGATCCCCAATTAGCTGGGTCAGTGCCAGACTTGTCCAGGACTAAACCGGGTAGGCATGGCGGGAGGATGGAATTGGCAGGTCTGGAGGCGACTGAAGGCAGCGCGAGAGCACTCGGTCTTGTTTGGTCGTGCTGGGGTCTGTGAGGGTGCGGGCGTTGGGTGAAATGGAGACTGGAGACCGGAGGCTTGCAGCGGATGCCGCGAGAGCCTGGTCGGTGGAGCACCATGGCGTCAAACAGTAGGCGAGAGGGGCTTGACAACGGGAGGTGGATGCTCAGATAGAGTTCGTGGAATTTTATTACGAGGTTCGTCAAACCGTTGAAGGTACGAGCCTAGTCAGCTTGGATGTTCGGACATGACCCACGGCTTTCAGGGTGCAGAGATTGAATTTTTGCTCAGAGCCAGAGCGTTCAGCCATGCGGAATTTGGCTCGACTGGTTTTCGACAGGTTGGCAGGATGGGGGCACAACATGTCGAGCGTGAGCAGATGTGCGGATGGATGGGATGTGATTCAACTGTCGGTTGTGTCGTGTTGTTCCAGAAAAGAACCCTCGCCCAACGCGACTGCCATCCCAAACAAACGAGATCTCAGGCTCCTTCCCAAGATGCTCCAGAGTAAGTCACGGGGTCACGGGCCACGACTATCCGTCTGGGGTCAATTCAATTCGTTCCTGCCCCCGGTGCCAGTGCCAGCGCCAGTGCCAGCGCCTTCTCTCCTCTAGAGCCTGATGCCACACGCCTAAGTACAATAATGTCAGTCCGTCAATCTTCTCGGTGCCTGGATATCCATGATCAAGCCGTGTCAAGACGAGGGTGCAAAGGCCCTTTTTTCCCTTCTGTGGCATTCGATAGTTGCCGCAATGTCATTCTCCTGGCTACCTGCGTCACGAGCAGTCTCTTCATCCTGATCGTCCTTGGTCGATCCGAAAATCAGGCAAATTCAAACCTAATCGTCATTTCCAAATTCAGCCACCTCGAGCAGACAGCCGTTGTCTTCGGGGATCCGCTTCGGCCAACGCACAGTCAGTCTTGACTTTTTGCCTGGTTCCCCTCCAAGTAAGAGGCAGGGGCAACCTTGCCCGGGTACGAGTGCATGATTGTTATGATTCACGATTTACAATTTGAAGGTCACTGCTGTTGAGGCATCGGGGCGCAGAATGAGGCCACGGTCAGCAAGGCAAGGTCACTGTGTTCGCCTACCCGTGAGACAAAAGTACTGTGCTCTTGCTTTTGCTCCTGCATGTTTGGCCTCGTTCTAATCCCAGTAATCATTTTCATGTGCTGGCCTATGGCCACAGAGACGAGACACAGAAGCATCAGACTTTCATAGCCTGACCGTCAGTCAAATTTCCCCACCTATCAATCCACCTGACTTGTGTCTACCTGTTGTATGTACGGTATGTGGCATGGCACGACCAGTCCATGATGCTTGCTGCGGAAACTCAGACAAAGACAATCACCCGCAGGATGGCTACTGGAGGACCACAAGTCACACTACTGTCTCCCGCCTCGCAAAGGCAAGAGTTTAAATCGGTCCTCAGATGCCCGAAGACCCGCAGCGATTGCATTGTACAAACTTGGACATTGAATACCAATTATTGGCTCGTGTGGCCCGCTGTCTAGCTGTAGCTTACCGGCACGACTAAAAGTCAATCAGTCAAGAAATGTTGCTCGCAAGTGGCTTCCCATCCACCCCGAGCATCGTTAGGCCACCTTTTCGATGGCAGGAAATGGCTCTAGCACCAACGGCCGACTATATGCTCCTACAGTGTATCGGCCATTTTGGACAGTCATGGATGAGGTATCTTGAGTCAAGGTCATGTGGCAGGGTGGTCGGATAAAAGACGGTGAAGCGACCGCCATTTGTTGGAACAAATCGCTGGTGGCCAACGTATTGGGCCGAATGCAACAGGAGCATTCATCACCGTTTGGGAATTTCTCCCATCACCAAGGCTGGCCATTGGCACGCGCAGATAACCTGGACTTTGTTTTTTGGATCCATTCGATGGTATCCCAAGGGACTCGCGAGTGGTATCGGTTCCTCAGGGTGCAGCGCTATTCGGAGGCTACAGGGTCACGAGGGTCTATGAGGGTCCCAAGAACAAGTTTGTCTGATGAACCATCCTAGAGCTGAGCAGTGTGGGTTAGGGTGAATTCTACCTTGACACACCTGACAGTGAAACTTGACAGTGGCGGCCCTTGATGAGCCGTTCGCGTTCGCGATCATAGCTGTAACAGCTGGACCAGGGTATTGGTTCATCATGATGCGAACAATGGGACTTAATCATCATGTGCTAAGTCTACTCCGTAGTAGTTGACCGAAGTAGCTGGGGCGAAACTTGGCTGGACCCTCTTTGACATGCAGTGACCCACGATGACTCGCTGGAAACCTAATTGGCGAATTTGGGAAACCACGAGTGGCAATGAGGAATATCGCCATCGGACGATGCGCATACAGTTATGGCATTGCACCGCAAATATGGCAGAAGAAAACAAGAAAAATGGCAACGGCAGTTCCGTGTGTTGCGTCGATGTCGACGTGGACGCGTCAAAGAGGCGTGCAGAAGGGGAGATGCAGAAACATTGCGCAAAGTCAAGATTGTGGTGAAGGAGTCAGGATACAGCTGTGGTGAGCAAGCCACAAATGCCCCGCTGGGTTCAGTTTACCAGTGGCAAGCGTGCAATAGACGAAGAAATGGATTGTTTTGTGAATGTTGACGGGTGTCGGATGAAATCAAGCCGGGTTTTCTTGTTTGACACCATAAGCCCCAGGCGGAGGTGTCAATTTCAACCAGACTAATGTCATCAAGGACAGCATGGGAATTGACAAATGGTCAAGGGCGTTGGCGTCAAACAAGCCAGCCAACGCACACATTTGCGCCGGGACAAAGGTCGATGCAGTGTGGCAGTCCAAGACAGGGTGAAAACTGGACCAGGCCGACGAATTTCTAGAAACACACCGTTTGGGTGTGTTGAGGAGCAGATGTTGGCCGTTTGAGCACTTCGCCTCATGGAATGTCGCAGGGTCAAGGGGTTGATGGTCTCGTGCGACTGCCCAGGTCCTGTGGCTATCCGTATCTACGGTAGTTGCATGCATGAATAATCCGTACATGGATACATGGGGTCACTCTGGACCGAGAGCCTCCCAGAGTACGGTGTAGGCAGAGCAGAGTGGTAGCGTAGCTCAGTAGTGTGGTGGTGTAGGAAGTGCTCGTACAGTGGTAGTGTGGTTGATTTGGGGTACGGGCACGACAGGGATTAGCCGTAAGAGTTGAAATAATAATGGGAAAGGATCATCGCCAAGGGGCACCGTTATCATAATTCCTGCAGTGTCTGTGGGCTTTGCTCGATTTTACGGAGTATTGCAGATCCCAAAAATTGATGGATTGGGCTTAGGTTATGACCAAGAAACTCCTTCGGCTGTAGCCCGAGGGCCGAGGGGGCCCGTTGCTCGCTTAGATGAGACCAAGCTGTGAGAGACTGGAACCGCCTTGGCTGGAAACAGGATGCTCGATCAAGATCTGAGGTTGAGGGGCTACCGCGGGCCACCGAGGGGTGCGAGGGGAGGATCCGTCGTTCAGGGTACTCTGTAGCAGCTTCTTTGTTGTGTCTGATTGACTCGTTAACTCGATCCGTCCCAGCTCTCATCTCCCATCCGTGAAAGGTAATCATCATTGTGTCTGAGGTAAAGGAACCACCCGCCCCCTGAGGCCCCCTCGGCACAACGGAGTAGATCGTCCTTCCAGAGGCTTTATGCCAGCCGAACCCTAAGTCAGCCAACCCAGATGCACTAAAGGTGGGCCAATTCCGATTCGTCCTTGGTTGAGCCCAAATGCCAAAGTGCGCTTGGGCCTGAGCCTACGAGTTTTCTGTATGGGCAGTGGCCAGGGGCGCCTCTGTTGATTCGCAGGAGCAGCGTGGGCCCCTGGACACTAGGGACGTTCCCTGAATCATCGGATGGAACTCCCAAGCTTCGTGGTGACGATTGCGGAGTTTTCTACTAGTGATAATAATGTTTGTGAGATGATTCATGATGATTGTCGCATTGCCTTGCCCAACAAGAGATGGGGCCTTGATAATTAGCCGGGGTTGGCCCAGGGCTGCCTGTCGTATGAAAGTACGGAGTAGGTACCTTAGGTAGGCATAGGGCTTAGTAGGTCAATGGGCCCCTCCGGGCATTTATTGGTCACTGCAGACTACCTACAGTACTCTGTACGTACACCCATCACGTCAGATTAGGAGACCACCACCTCCGTTGTTGTGTTTGAATGCGTAGGCATGCAAACATCAGCATGCGTATAGACATGTCAACAACCATGTACATTCTGTAGATTCTGTACATTGACCAAGTATGCAGTGGATCGGGTTGACACGAGCACTGTAAGATCGACATGGAGAAGGGGACAGTGGCAACGAAGACTGTTACAGAGCATGTATGTACACACGTTCAAATGCATGCAGACCATAATCCCAGCCTACATGCTTATCGATCAGATCCGTCTTCCGTGTTTGTTGTGTAACCTAACTTACAGCAGTAGACAACGACTAGAAGCTTCGTGGGCGGAAGTGGTGGATCAAAACGTTGGCATCGACATGTGCACTGGCATACTGGAAGTACAGACTCCAGAGTACCTGCATATACCCCAGACAGCGTGGCATTTGGTGTAATGACTTGGTGCTGTGTGACCTGGGCTGGCGACACGACATGGTGTAGGACACGACGACATGATTGATTGCGTGTGCTTGCCTTACGTGTACTGTATGTCGATCTTCAGGAAGTGACAACATCCTTCAACTTCCAAAATCGGGTTACCCATGAAAGGCTGAGGTATCTGATCTTAGAAATCCTGGTCAGCACTGCTCAATCAGTCGTCCGACATCAGTAGTGGTGTGATAAACAGGCACACATGTAGCCTTTGATTGCCTTTCAGGGCTTGGTGGCCGAGGGGGCAACTCGATTGGGGTTGAGACTTGGCACAAAGGGGTTCGAAGTAGACGCCGCCACTCCCACACTCGGCGATCCAACAAGCCAGCTGAATCTTCTCGCGCTTCTGAACCCCATCCTCCCGCCAACCATCCCCCGGCCTGTCAGGTCTGGAGGGAGACATCTACAGGGTACAGCATATACATCACCACGTACGCCCCCGTGGCCCCTCAGGCTTGCTGTCAATCTATCCATAGGCAAGGTCGGCACGGCAGGTTAGGGTAGCCATAGTGCTCTGTGCGGTACCTACAGTTAAGCGTATTCCGTACTCTCGTTACGTGCTTGGAGCTCGCTTATGTATGTAAGTGGATGCTTTTCCGCCGTCCCCATCATGAACTTTAAATAAAGACCCGTCACAGACTCAAGGTTGATGTTGTCCTTTTCCACCTGCTCGAGCCATACCGTGCATGTGTTCGTCCCGTTGAAGATATCCTGATCTTACGATACCCACAAGACAGGCAGCCTTGAGACGGCCAAGCCCTGTGTGCCCCTCGAAACCTCCCCCTGTTCCCCCTCCCCGTTTCCATCCACTTCTTACCCTCCCACCCGTGGCAACCTCCCGTAACTTAAAGAGACGTCAACCATGCCCTCCTCGGAAATCTTCCTGCAAATGTACAAGTTTGGGGCATTAAATGAGAATTCACGCATTTACCTCCGCGCATATTATGCGCTCATTCCTCGGTGCTCCTTTGGCCCGTTTAAATCGTTGAGAGAGGTTCGAGGATGCTTGAGAGTCTCTATGCAGGTTGGTTCCTCAGAACATTGATGGTTGACTGGCGCCACATTCGACCAAATAAAGTATATACGTAGCCCATCGCATGGCCAAGATATGTCTGCATCCGAGGTTGCTCCTCACACACCACTGGCGGCAATTGGAAGCTCGAGGCTGTAGTAGTGTTGTCTCGTGCTTCTACCGTCCCGCAATATCTTGTGCTTTTTCTCCTAAGCCAGTGGTTTGAGAATGACACATTTGAAAGCTGTCACGATCCATAATCTCGCTTCACTAATTCTTGCCACCGTATCAGCCTTGACGCCATGACCATCCTGAACCTGCCCGTCTCCCAGCCCTACGTGCCTACCACGCTTACCATGCCTACCGTGCCTGCCCATACCTTTGGTCCGTCTTGGCGGTGATCCATTCAGCAATTCAACAACAGCGCAATGTTCGAAGGCTTGTCACTCACTACCACAATTCTTTTCACCGTGGATCTGCGTCACTTTTACTGTTGATAAACCGCCAAGGACGTTGGGACGCGGATCCAGCAGTCATCAGGACTTGCTACAGCTGATCTTGTTCTGATTTGATTCAATTCGCCTGCTTGTATCCTTAATTTATTGTAGCTCGAGCCCGTTGCATAGCACCCTCGATCCGAGAATCACATAGACAAACGCACCACCTCCTATTCGGTGCTCTCTAAAGTTTCTGGATCGTCCGGAAACCGGTCTCCAGTTGAGCCTGTTTGGTGTACCGAATTTCGACCCAAAGCCTAATCAACCAGCAGTGCCAGCTCTCACAGATTGTGGCACTGTCATTACCACTTCCCATTGCAGATCTATCGTTGCAGCCATGGGTTTCTCCATGCCTAGAAGGATAAGGATTCCTCTCCCATCCCATTCGTGCGCACTTGACCCGACCTCGGTAAAGTAACACCTTTCAATCGACTTTGTCGTGATCGTCTTGACTCTGTCCTTGCACGCTTGGTCCTCGTGTTTTCCGATCGTCGCTGCCAAACGTCTCTTCAATGTGCTCCATCAGATATCTGTCAAACTTGCCTTGGCTCCTCTCCTGACCCGCTCTGGTCGCTTGCTTTTGCCATCCTTTCTCATGAAGTCCCTGCGCAACCTCGCCTTTGAACCGTGCAACCGCATTTTTCAGCCGCGAATCTTCACGCACAAATTCATCTGAAAGGGGGCACTTGAGCAAACCGCACTCGTTCAACTCATACCTCTGGTATGTCGCTGGTAGACTCCCAATGATTCCGCGTTTTTCCTCTTCTGTGTAGCTGATATCCCATTGCGACAGGCATCTCTCTATGAATCCAAGCAGGTCCTGATCCGGAAGCTTTGAAGTGGCATTTAACACTCGCTGCGATGACCAGGGCCCAGTGCATGCCCTGCTTCCTTTTGATGCTGGCGTCATCTTAATAGTTTGTACTTTCGTGGCCCCAAATAAATTTAGGGTTGGGTGCCGGGTGTCTAGCAGGCTTCTGGCTCCGTCTCTGGTTCTCGGTCCTAAATGAATGTCAACAACAATGAGGTGTACAGTTGATAGATCAAGTTGCTAACCTAATATTCATCAACAGCACCGCCTCTCTACTGGTTGATATATCCAATGCGGCCCTCAGTTTTTGATATCTCAAGTACAAACTTGTGGGATCGATTGCGTTAAATTGTTGAGAGACCGTCACCGTGATGTACCTAGGTAGTGTTGTGCTGAGTATGTAGTGTGCAGTCAAGGTTGTGCTTTCCACAGCCCTATCTGTGTTGTTGGGCTGTGATGACCAAGAAGGAAGGAGCAATGCAGATGGTACAGGCCTTCTTTGATTTCCCATGGTTCATTTTCTCTTCACCAGCATTTGCCACGCCAGGCGACTGGTTGTAACGGAAGCATGTAGTTGTGCATTTGCAGTCGTGAATACTCAATCGATAGATTTGTCGGATATCAATTCCTCCAATTCCTTTTCAAGCAACGCATACAAACAAATGGCGTGGTGGCTAAGTAGTGTATTGATAGTCAAAGTTCCACGTTCATTTTGTTTACTCAGCACTCACAGTTAGTTGTCCAACACAAGCAGATCAACCAATTCTCACAGTTAGCGGAAGGTACGAGCGAGATTCCAAGTACATAACCCTAATCCTTTTGAGGCGTTGTGGTCTATGGATATCTGGTCGTCCTTCTGAAGTTCATAAAGCAACATGTGGCCTATAGCATCGGTTTTGTCGAGACGCTTACCTAATGCTGAGCCGAGGCAACTCGACACACCACGTGACCGGGCCTCATCCCAACCACCCCCTCCGCGACCCAATCCCTGCCATGCCATCTCACATCAACTTTGTGACCACATTCTTCATCTTCAGTGTCTTAATTCATCTCAAGGCATTGCCGCCATTTTCATTTCGACCATCGCGTTCTGTCGGGCAAGCGACAATGGTCACGACAACCCTTCGACAGGCTGCTAGCGCGACTGTCGACACCATCTCCATTGTCTCTACCGACCTCGCCAATGTGGCCCGAGATCTTCCATCAGCATATGCAGATTATGTCGCTTCAAACTCCTCCTCCGTGTCCACGATCGAGAGTAGCCTTCGCTCGTTAACCTATCTCCTCCCCGGCGCCCGACTTCATGACACCGAAATCGCCTCCGAGTCAGTTCATACCTTCGTTCAGTTATTGTCCATCTACCATGACCACATCCTCAAGAATCGTGCACGAATCCTTGCACTATCCCCTACGATTCTAAAGCCTCGGAACATCAAGGCCCAGCAGCCTAAACCGTCATTGCACTCTCGCTACACTATGTTTTGGTCTTCCTCGTCCTCCTTGTATACTAAGATCGCGACTTTGTTGAAGGTCGCGCAATATACAGAACTCCTATGGGAGATGATCGCACGCAGGAGGGGGGGTGAGAGAACAAGATGGAGGGTGGTGGTGCTGTTGGAGTCACTGAAAGCAATCTGCCGTTTGCTCTTGTTGAAGATCACACGCTCTCGCCCCTTGGTCAATCCACCCCTGCCGTTGCGAGAAGATTTTGCCCCAGTCGAGGCCGAAGGATCGGAAGAAGAATTCAACCAGGAACATCTTCGCGGTGACGAGTTCGATGTCAGGACCGCTCTCGGTGATGTTGGTGTTCCCACACCACCGCTGTCAGATTCCGGCAAGCCGTCTTCTCTATCAACCACCGAGCCTTACTGCATGCCCCGGACGGGGTATACACTACCCACCTTGCCTACCACCGACTCAGTCTCTGCATATTTATTCAACCATGTCCTTACAGCTGACGATGTCAAACCTGCCAAACAACTCCTCCATCGCCTCTCCACCCTACGCGGACAAGCAGCAGAGACCATGTACATCCTCAGGCCAGTTATATACGCTTTGCTCATGCAAAGAATGGCCCGTACGTATGGTTACGAAGGAAATAAGTGGAAGCGACACTGGACCCCCTGGTTGATTGGTCTTTCAATTGAGTACTTCGCTCGGCAGCTTGCCAAGCAGGACCTGTCTTCTCGTTCTCCGGTCGGTTCTCGGAATGCGCTCTCGGCGTTGGAACGAGACGAGTTCAAGAAGCGTCATTGGAGCCTGGCGTGGTGGGGTATGCGAGGCGCCTTCTATGAGAACATCACTAAGAAGTGGATTCATGGCGCAGCAAGTTCGTTAAAAGGCAAGCCGCTGCTCGACTTGGTGGGAACCGTTGTGGAGGACTATGAGTATCTCTGGAGCAGCTATTATTTCAGCACTTCGACAATGTGAGTAGTTCTGGGGGAAATGTCTTTGAGTGGTATGATCATAGCAGTCCAAGGCAGATGAGGTACTCTATGCACCCAGGAGGTTCACATCAGTGAGTGGGCATATTCTCCTCCAATGTTACGAATAGGTCGGCGTTTTGAGTTTGAACAAACTGCATTAGACAGGGTTTTACCTGCTGGTATGTACCTACTTCCAGGATGTGGCAATTTTATTTGTGATGAGACCGCTTTCCGTCAGCCATATTCTCGCTCTCTGTTCTCCTCTTCCAAAGTTGTTGTGAGTGTTGTCTTGTGGTGGAATTTTCTTAGAGCAGGATTGTGGCAATCATCTGCCACCGAGAATTGCAAGGCGGATGGCAGCAACGCAATTGTTTGATTCTCAATCTACCACACAGCTCCCACCGTGGTTTGTCCAAGCCAATCGGTGGTGGATATCCCTGGTCACAACTTGATTTCTCACTTGTGATCGCGGCCCGGTAATCCTCAATAATGCCATCGCTTGATGGCCGACCAAACAAAGAGAAGCGAAATCATTTTGCTGACAATGATCTCAGTGGCCGTCCCCCTGCGATATCTAACGATTACAAAACCTTCTCCAAGTCACCAAGGTAATCATTCATCGTCTCTGCTGTGAGGACTCGCAACGTCAATTTCCTCCTTCGGCATCCTGTCTGGCGACACAGCAAATCCCCGATGAAGAAATCCAGATCCAGGACCTGCAAGCCAGAGACAGAAAAGGAATGCGAAATGATATACGAAGGGAAAGCCCGCTCGTCCTCGATCATCGTCATCTCCGATGATTCCAGTGATGACGATTCTGAAGCAGGGGGCTGTTCAAGATCGAGAAATGACAGGGCCCATGGCCTGGAATTCTCTGACTATTTCCATGCAGGCCACGATTCGTCAAAGATCATAGGCCTGACGAGTCCAACATCTTCGCACAGCAAGTACACAGCCACCGCGCCCTCTCAGTCGACACCTAGCCAATTGCGCACCGAAAATCGGAGCATCTGTACTGGACAATGCAATACAGATCAAGAGAGGTGTCAGGCAGTTGATGACGACGACCATCCAGACCTCAACGTGTATCTGTCGTATCTGGACACACAGGACGGCAGGGCACAGCTAAACATGATAGAGGAGGCTCCCACACAAGCAACACACGATCTAGAAGCATTCACGGCGCACCTTGGCCGACACAAGATTCGTCACGACAGGGTGACAGCGGATCTCGCGGATCTCGACTTGCGAATTGCGTCCATGGTATCGAGCATTGTCGCTGGCCCCCAGCGTATGGTGCGAGAGCAACTTCGAGAGGCAGCGGCCTTTATGCGTCACGACCTGGCCAACTCATCACAGTATCTGACAGACGCCCACACCAAGGTGTCTGCGCTCGAAACTCGAGTCAATGCATCTCGCGACATGCGGTCCTGCTGGCTGCGCCTCTGGTCACTTTACGAGGATCTCAATCGGCCTGGCTCCAGTCGTGTCAGTCCCATGCTGAATCAACTTTGGACAGATCAAGGCCTCGGTAACAAGGTGGTGTCGGGGATCTGCGACGCAGAGACGAGACTAGAGCACGCAGACTTGGACATCCGTGCCTTTGATGTCATGTGGGGAGAGATGGTTGGTTTGGATGGACATGGGGATTGGGATGGGGATGGGGATGGGGATGGGAATGGGAATGGCGAAAGATGAGCCCCGTCGCTTGTCTGTCCGTATGCTACACAATTGGATGTGGTTCTGGCCTCAGTTGTGTTTCTGAGAGGGCACTTGAATGTGCGGATATGGCCGGAAATCTCAGCAGAACCGAGTTTCAGAGATATTTGCGTATGATGGAGAGGTGTTTCACCCACCTTCAGGACTGTCGCGTGCGTCAAGATGTGGGATTTATTACGGCAAAAGGGTGGTCAACACAATTTGGGACCAGCCCAGGGGTCCCATGATTCAATGGGTCAAAGCCTGTCAGTTGGTTTGAAGAGTCTATTTGACATCCCATATCCAAAGACAGGAATCAAATTTTGAATGCTGCTTGACGAGATTGGGTCTGATATCATAGGGCTCATGTTCTGCGCAGGCATTTTGCCCAGTGTGCTTCACCACGTATTTGATTCATTGCATCTGCATGCGTATTTGCACTTCTAATCCTGCAGATATCCGAGATCTGCTACAGCATTGTCCCTGCCGAAGCCGTCAAGCTGCTGTTTTGCCGGAATTTCGATCTCCCGCCGTCCTAAGGCTCGAAGGAGAAGAGGCCTATTGAAACAAAGATGATTAATTTTTGTGAGCGAGCCGTGGTCTCGTCTTGAGTATTGGGCTGGCTGCCAATGTAGCCCAGGGCTCTGCTCGTCGTGTTCTCTTCCCCCGTTCAATCACTGCAAATTTTTTGGGGTCTGCACTGCAAAAAGGGCCTTCGAATCCCATCGTCAGGACTTCACTTGGCCTCACAGCAGAAGGCTTTCCTTGTCCACCACATCCGTATAATGGTTGAGGATACCCAGGATAAAGTCCGTTCGCGATCCACCGGCATGAAACACTTTTCGTATTGAAATCGTCGTAGAATTTGTAAGAATGCATTTTTGGTCATGACATCATGAGTGATGCTGAAGAAGCGGACATCCATGGAACCATGTTTTTCGGAAATGGCACTAGAAAGGAAAAGAGAGACTGGGGTGCCGAAAAGGGGTCCATCCTAGGCATTGGGACAGGCAGACTGCAAGTGACCTGGTTGCTTGCCTATGTGTGGTATGTCAGTTCTGCTAGGGAAGTTGAAGCAACGACCATGATAAACATACACTTGTAGCAGATGCGCTCTTGGCTTGGTTCCGATGGGCAATCACGAGACAGATGACCTTGTTCGCCACAGTTCTAGACAATGTTAGAGAAAGAGGAGGAGTAAGGAATATGGGGACTTGCGTAGCATTTGGAGGATCGACCTTGGGTGCAGTCACTAGATTCATGTTAGTGGGAATGGGTGATGACGATGGCGACAATATGACTCGTACCGAGACATGTGTCCGATACCGCCGCAGGACTGTAAAAGCATTAGCCTTGAATGTGATGAGGACGGAGAGCCAGCATACGTAACAAGTCTGCCCGCCGCCGCCACGGCTGCCATAGCCACCGCCGTACCCGCCTTGACCGCCGGAAGAAGTACAGTCACTGAAGGAAAGGTTAGACTGTGGAACGCGCAAGGACATTCCAGGATCATACCGTGCTATATGACCTTGACCGCCACAACGATAGCATTCCCGAGAGGGACCACCTCCGTAGGAAGGGCCGCCTCCATATCCACCGCCGCTGCCCCAGCCAGCGCCAGCTCCAGCGCCACCAGGACCAGCAGCGGTAGGGCACTCACGGGCGAGATGACCCTCTTGTCCACCTTGATCTACTCAGTATCTGGGGTTGTTTGTTTTTGATCAGGGAAACCAACATTTGTAGCAAGATTTGGGTTTGGGAGCTGCGGTGCACTCTCGGCTGACGTGGCCTTCGCCTGATGGAGGGGACACAGAGTCAGTGGGAGCAAGGAGAGGGAAAACTGGGAAGCATTGTACCTCCACAATTATAGCTGCATAGAAAAAAAGGAGTCAGTAGTTGATCGCAGGTGAATAAGCCAGGTAGGAGGAGGGGTGTCGCGTTAGCAAGATTAACTCACCAGGTAGGGTTTCCCTTCTTAGGGCAATCACGAGCCTGGTGAGACGAGTCACCGCATGTGTAGCAACCACGATCCATGATGATAGGGTAAAAGAGATTGGTTATCTGCGGGCAAAAACAATTAGTACCTCAAAGACTACTCCGTAGAGTGGTTGGCTGGCTCGGGGGATGAACAAGGTGGGACATACTGTGTGTTGAGAGGAGAGATGGACCACAGAGACGACAGAGGACAACGGTGAGATGAAAGGGATGAACTGATTTGATCCAGGATGAATCAGGTTACTGAGATTGATGGGACCAAAGAATGGCAAAAGCAATGGAGGAATTGGAGTTTGCAGGTTTGGTAGCAACCAGGCGCAGTCAAGTCAGTGCGTGAGAGCGAGAGGCAAAGGCAAAGAAGCAAGAAAATCCAATGTGGGGAAATTTCGAAAGTCCAGATCCAAGGCGAGTCGCTGTGGATTCTGAGTGGGCGACGGGGGTCACCAACTGATCATTGATGTCTGGATTCTAACTCGATATGTGTGTGAATGGAGACTTCGTACAGCGTAGGTACCCAGGTACCCAGGTAGTCAATCAACGTCATAGCCATTCTGACTCTCTCATTCTCATTCTCATTCTCATTCCCTTTCAGCCCTGTATGAATTGCTGACCACGCCTAACTATAACTGTGTTAGGTGGATTACGAGTTCCTATAGGCGACAAATAAGGGCCAAGGGATTATAGGGGAGCCGAGGGGCCTTGGGTGGTCCCCAGAGCATCCATGTTGTTGTGTGGAGGCCTGTTTACCTCATTAGCCTCTATTTACCTGACCCAAAGTACCTTATACACCTCAGTCTATAGTGACAACATCCCTAAAACCCAACCCTGTCGAGTGTGATAGCAGCCCAGAAGCCCTCGGCCTTTCTGCAGCCCCAATCAGGGACGCTTCCCCCGCTCGCCGCCTCTAGTCCCCATTATTATTTGGTCCCCAAGTTCATTTTTCTCAACTCATCTCATCTCATCTCATACATGGCACGATTAGCCCATGAATACAGGTATCATCAAGGTATCTACGTAAAATCATACAGCGACATGACCTGAGTCGAAGCTCGTTCTCCTAGGACCACGACCTGTTCTTCATCAAATCCCACCCATCGACCACGGGTCATTTCCTCTTCTCGTCTAAGCTCAGACACTGCCAGGCCCAGCCCTTGGGCTCGCTGTGCCAACGCAGCCGTGATTTGCGCCCACGCCGATCCTACCACTTTGACTTGAACGCTCGTTCGTCGATGCGCAGCCATGGTCATAACATCCTCGAGCTCCCAAACCCTGATTTCGGTGCCTCTTTGACTGATAGACACCGCCTTGCCGCGGCTGTTGACCTGCAAGCTCGAGATACCCGCTGTGTGGCCCCAAAGTCGCCGACCCGTGCTCATCTCCAACTGGTTCTCGGTGGATGTCACTAGAAACGACATGATTGTGTTGTCGGCCAGGGACGCAATCACGAATGGATGTGCGTAGGATAATGACTGAGGAGGCCTTCTCTGCTGAGGGTGTGCTGGGAGTGGTAGAGAACTCGTGGATCTGGTTCCGATTTCCCACCGCTCTGTGGCATCCTCCACCCCGGACGTGCCTGTCGGTGTCAAGGAGATCTCTTGAATCCCAATGCACCAGCCTGCGCCAACCCTTTTGAAGCCGTACGCAATACTTGCAATCATTCCGAATCCTTGCTTTCGCAAAGAGACAGACGTCGGACCAAACTTTGCATCAGATTGCAGCTTTGTGAGCGCTTGTAGGCTCATTGGCTCCCCTGCTGTGAAAGAAGCGGATGAGTAGATGGTCAAAGAGTTCGTAATCGATGTGGTCATGATAAATGGCATGGCCAAATCCACCGCCACCAGAGGACCATCGTCGGACTGCTGCGAAAATAAGAGGGACAGGTGCTGACTATGTGTCAACCGGTATAGTGCGAAACGGCCATCTGAAAAGCCAACGAGGATATTGATCCCCCCCTGCGCTTCTTCCTCCACTGCCATGCAGGTCGGCTGGGCCCCTTCCTCGATCTCTTGATGCGCTCGTAAGACCCTGGTTCCGTCTTGCTGTTGCCAACATCTCAGGCCAGAAGTGCTGTCAACAGTGAAGAGCTGATTCTGAAACATTTTTCCAATCACCGGCGGCACAGTCGATGGTGCGACCTGCACTTCCCTGATCTGAGCCGCTCCTACATGCCAATTGCTCTTGATTTTGTACTGGCGTTTCCAGTTGGTCGGCGCACTCGATTTGACTCGTTGAGAGTGTTCCAACCACTCCACTGCTTTGGCCAGTTGTCTGCTCTTCTCCGGTCGCTGTGTAGGGGGGAGACGGCGGTATCGACTCTTGATCCATGCGTCATAGTATTTGCCTTTCCAGACCTCATCGTCATTGGCAAGGGGTTGAAAGCGCTTAGATGTCCTAGCAATGGGTTAGTCACATGCTTGCGCAAAAGAACAGATCAACGAGTCCCCACCCTTCCATTCGGAGTAGATCCTGGACCGGCAGGTAGGATAAGATGCGCACAATCAGTTCATCACTGAGGCTTGCAAGGGTGCGCTTTGGGCCGATTCGGCCTTTCTTCACGACAGCACGATCGCTCTCTCCATCGTCGCTCTGTCTTCTTCTCTTGGTCATTTTGTTGGCCGCGACCGCACCATTTCGACAGTGTTGAGGACATGAAGATCACGGTGATTGAGACCAACTTAGTTGGCTGTTCGTTCGTCTACACACTGCCAGCCGAAGTTCTGCCGACCGAGTCAATTTGTTATGTAAGCATTTCACCAAAAAGGATAAGCCCAGCCTTACAGTCTCCCCCAGTTCGTTGTATCATTGACACAAAAGTCAGGAAGACGAGTTCCAACATTTCAGAACCATGTTCGACAGAAGCAACACCAGTATCAGACTGCTAAATGGACATGGATATCTTTGCGCAAGCCGTAAGCTGCCCTCCACACCATGCAATATACGGCGTGAATTGCCGCATGAATACCTAGAGTAAAGACGGTACGCCGATTTCAGCTATTCAACCCTGGCCTGCGACATGAGAACAAGATTTCACCTTGCCACTCGTGTCGATTTGTGAATACAGATGACTTCGTTACGCCACTGTGCAATGTAACTTGAGACAATTCAAAATATGTCTGCTATCTCCTTTGCCCTCCGCAGGCAATCATCCAACCTACCCTTCAAGCTCTTAGAAAGTCTCATTTGTGCAACATTTAAATCCTGTTTTGGCCCGTCAATAATATGTGCCTAACAATTCTTCCTTCTCTTAGCTGCTTACGCCTATTGCTCCTGGCCAATTGTCTGATTAGAACAGCATGATCCACGAGAGCCGCTTGAGCTACTATTGCTCACTTTCTCTTGGACTTCTTGGTCACCATGGCTTCCCACGAAAGATGCAATCCATTAACTCATTGGAGAGAGTGACTTCGGCCTTCGAAATTGCATACGTAAACCATGTTATCGGCCTTGGTGTCTTCCCACATCACATCATAGATGTACCGAGTGAGCCGAGTGAGCCGAGTCTGATTGCCATGTTTGTTCACGAATTACATGGCTTATGCCGAGACTCATTTGCAGTCGTCATGGAGCCCTATGCCGGAGTGCCGACGTATTCCCCTAATCATTTCCTCTTGTGCTCAGGTCTCATGAGCCCAGGCCGAGAACGAGTAACATCTAGAACCCACGCAGTCTGGCCGCGAAGAGGTTGAACCTACATTCTGCTTGGCACCACCTGCTCTCGTGCCTGATGTTCTTCTCGACTCGAAGTCGGACCGCGGATAAGCTCCCCACGCTCATATCATGGTAACTATTGTTGCACCCTCACAACATTTGCCCACTGTAAGATCTGGGTCAAACCCACAAAATCCCGTCTTCTGGTTCCATCTAAATCCAAATCTTGCCAAGGAGTCAGGACAGATCCATCTGAGAAACTCCTCTCGAACGCGGGGAAATTGCTGTAAAGACCTAAGGTAAGTTTTTTTGCGCATTACACACGCTTTTACGGGACCAATCGCCAATCACTTTGTACCGCAAGTTGCTAAACTTCTTGAGAATCAAACTCCTGAAATATCTTCTTCCATCTCTAATGCCTCCGACACGACGTGATCGCGCTCAGGTCGTCTGTGTGACATGCCACGCAAGAAAGGTGAGAGCTAGACCTATTCTATTCGGCTTTGGGCCGATCTCATGTTGTGTCCTCGTCTAGGTCCGCTGCAATCTTCAGAACAGTCGGGGCGCCAAATGCCAAAACTGCGATCGAAACAACCTAGAATGTGTGGTCAGAACTGGACCAAGGAGTGGTCGTCTAGCAGAGGCTATGCGATCGGCATCATCAATTCAACTACGAGAAACGAGTAACATGCCGCTCGACCAGGTGGTCGCAACTATTGCCCAATCTCCTGCCAGATCAGAACCTATCATCCCAGATCCGTCGACAGCTCAATCCATGAACATATCAAATGAGCCTTCGAGCTACCTAGGCGATCATACATTATTAGCTCACGACGCAGTGACGGAAACCTGTCCGACTTCTGCGATTCTGCCTCTGTTTACACCACAAACAAACAGTCTCCTGCAGTTTGCCCAAGCGACCGTTCTTCCCAAATCACAACTCGTCGCTGCACTAACCGAATCCTATTTCCAAAATGTCTTTGCCAGATATCCAGTAGCCGAGCGCTCAGATTTGGCAGATAGCGAATGTTCCACTTTGTTAAGACAATCCATCTGTATGGCAGGCAGCTTAATGCGCCATTCCTCCAAGTCTGGTGAACTGGCCTTCTCCCATTCGCTTTACGAAAAGATGAAAGTGATGCTATTCTTGAACCAGGACCCTGATCCGATTGAGAACTTGGCCTCCCTATGTCTCATGATTTGTTGGAGCCCCAATACAACCGACGTCTACAGCTTTGACTGCCCATGGCAGTGGACCGGCACTGCTATACGTCTTGCAGTGCAGATGGGTCTGCATAAGGAGAGTACTTACCTGGGTAGGCCTCAGGCGGCACGCCTGCGTCGTCTATGGTGGATATTGATGGTGAGGTTTCTTCTTCCACTCTGTACACTTTGATTCCTCGTCTTCTAACCCAGTCTCGTCAAACAGAATGCTGATCGATTGCAATCGGCATGCTTCGGCCGCCCTCTAGCAGTACGTCCATCAGACAGCGATACGAGGCTGCCATCAAACGCAGACTTTGAGAAGGAAGACGTCGCTAGTCTCGTTTTCATACATTATCCTGGTGTGACCGTAATTTGGGGTGAAATAGCCGACTTCGGGGTTCGTGGGGCCTCGGCCTCGACCGCTGATATTGAACGGCTGACTTGTGCTCTCTGTGCCTGGATCACGAGTTTGCCTGAGGAAATCCGGTTGTATGACTCTTGTGGTAACCGGTTGCCTTATCGTCAGTCCGTTTCTGAGCTCCACATGGTCTATTTTGTCGCCATAATTCTCCTGGAAGCACTGCGTCTAAGGAAACATGATCAATTTTCCTCGTCGATACCATCAATTATCGCGGCTTCATGCATCGCCAGACTGATCGAAGAGGTAGATTGCTGGGATGATCTAAGCTCAATGTCATCGACCTCGACCTTTTACATAATGGCCGCCTGCATTCCTGTCCTCTACTACCGCTCTAGCCTCACTAATAAGAAAGAAGCCCGTCAAGAAGAGCTCCAAATTATTTGTTCAGCACTTGAGCAGATGGCCCCAAGATGGGGAGGTGCATTTGTCGTAAGAAGGAATATCGAGAAGATCCGCAATATGGTCGAGCGCCATCCGTCTGGCCAACATCATGATGTCTCGGACCAAGCATCCCTGGGCTCTCCTGGTTATGAATCACAGCAATCCAAGATCAAGGAGATTTTTCCGTTCCCGCAAAGCCTCTGCCCCAATATGGACTTGCTCAACGAGGACTGCAATGGGCTCCTAGATTTCGATAGCATGATCCTTCCCTTGGGGGATGATACCCTCCCCTGGGCGTTCATGGAGTCTGAGTCAACTTTTGATATATTTAAGATGAATCTGAGCACGGAGGCTTTCCCCTTAGTCGACGAGCCTTTTGGCACGCTACACCCGGGGACACAATGAAGAAGTGATGTCTGACTTTATACCTACAACCCCTTCTATGTCGTTTCTCATAGAGCTTTCCATTTGACCAATGTGCTGGGGTATCGTTTATTGTGACGAAGCCGCAACCGCCTGTATAAGCGAGTGCGTTAAATCGTGCCGAGGCTGGTGCAAGCCGTTGGTATCTGGCTTTGAGAGCACCGAACTCTTTGTTCGGCACAGAAGCTGCGCCGGCTCTCCACAGCGATTTAATGCAAGTAAGATTTGCCTGGCCCCCACGTGAAACTGATCTCTTATTTGTACTACTACGTCGACAAATTTCGTTGCAGATGGACTAACTTTGTCTCTTTCAACCCCAAGGAAGACAGCAGTGGTGCAAGTCAACCTTTTTATCTCTAGGTCTGCGTACTAGCAACTGGCAAAAGCCAACATATTGGCCTTCCTACCGCACTCCATAGCAAGATGGCCACAGAAAGCGAATTTGTCATTGCGCCCAAGCCGGCACCGGCTCTTGATATCCCTATATCCAACACCACAGTCACTGTGAGCATCATAAATAGGTGAGAATGAACTGTTTTGTTGGGCTCTATGAAGTCTTACAACTATGACAAGGCCTGAAGACTTACTCTTGGTGGTTTAGCACTTCTCAGCTATCAGCACAGGCATCGATGATTCTTGAACCAGAAATTCTTGGGCATGACACCTTACAATGCCCTGCATATTCATTTCTGATCGAGCATCCTTCGGGAAGAAAGCTTCTCTATGACCTTGGCACTCGTAAGGACTGGCAGAGTCTGCCACCAATGGTCCTAAGTCTTCTCAAACAGCACGACTTGTCCATAGAAGTTGAGAAGAACGTGGCAGAGATATTGCAAGACCACGGCGTTCTTGTTTCTGACGGCGCTATCGAAGCCCTTATCTGGAGTCATTGGCACTATGATCATATCGGAGATCCAAGCACCTTTCCCTCTAGCACCGCTTTGATCGTTGGCCCTGGCTTTAAGTCTGCCTTCCTGCCGGGATATCCAGCTGGTAAGGACTCGGCAATCTTGGAATCAGACTACAAAGGCCGAGAATTGAGAGAACTGGAATTTGATCCTTCTCTACCTCGTATTGGCGGTCTAGAATACTTTGACTATTTTGGCGACGGTAGCTTCTATGTGCTGAACGCGCCCGGCCATGCCGTAGGTCATATTTGCGGTTTGGCTCGGGTCACGCTGGCAGGATCACACAATTCAGATAAGGATACTTTCATCTTCATGGGCGGCGATAGCTGCCACCACGGGGGTGAGTTCAGGCCCACCACCTACTTACCACTTCCACAATCGATTAGCCTGGGAGGTTTGACGCGGAGTGCCCTCGGCGTGTGTCCAGGATCGTGGCTACAGGAGATTCACCACCACAAAAGGCCTGATGAACCCTTCTATCGTGTGAGGAAAGGGTTCTCATACAACGATAAGGATTGTGAGCAAACGATCATGAACATGACCGCATTTGATGCAGCAGATAACGTACTGGTGGTTATTGCACATGACCAATCTCTTTTAGAGAACAGCTTCCCAATGTTTCCAGCCATTGCAAACCACTGGAGACAGG